TAGGAATCTTCGATTCTGAAGGAAGTTTTTGAATTTCCTTGACTGCAAAACCTTCTTCACTAATTAAGAGATCAAGATTACAATCTCTCACAATTTTGTTTTTATTCAAACTCAGAGCAATTTGATTTTGACTATTAATCCAAAGACCATTATTCATGATTCCATCCAATTTTCCAATTGAAATATATTGACAATTCTGGGAAGTATTGACATCCCAAATCATAATTTCATTCTTCTTTATTGGACAAGAACCATCCTGATATTTACACTCTGACATATCTGCTAACACATTAGATGGTCTACTTTGGTTAAAGTGAGAATATACCTTAGTCTCAATAATTACACAATTCTCTTTGTAATATCTTTTGCTTGTAAAGAAACTAGTGAATCGATTTGGATATTCTTCATTCACTTTATTATTTGTACTATACACCCCATTACTTGCTGCTTTCACCAAACTTCCATATTCACATTTCTTATTTGCAATCCATTCTCTACATTCTGCAAGACTTATACTTCTATGATTCAATTCCTTTTCTACTAGATGCTCATATCCAGAAAAAAATCTGTATACATTGAAACTTCACTAACTAATTTCTTACACAATTTAGCTTCACTTGAATATTCGATAATGTTCGGTTTGAAGACTTCATAACTTACTACTTTTTGATTTTTTTCATTCAATTGTCTATGGTAATTACATTTGTGTAATTTTTGGTAATTTAAAGTATTGAACTGGAGCATCAGAAGAACATATAATAGCCGCCAAAAATATCATAATGAGTAAATGTTAAAAAAAGAAATAGAATTGTAATAGATTCATTTACTTCAGAAAATTTATTTTTAAATAAATTGAAAAAAATTATCCTGACTTTCTTTGCAAGTTGAAATTCTCAAGATAAAAATGACAGAATCAAAGATTCCTAGATCCGCAGGATTGATTGAAGCAGTAGACAGAATACTAATTGTTGATAGTCCAATTATTCAAGATCAAAGTATTCAAAAAGAAAATTTGATTAGCATATTCCCCTCTAGTGGTAGTAGTTTAAATCAACATGGAGAAATTAATTTTTATCATAGAAACTTGTGATCAATACCTTCTACTACATAAATCTTACATCTACTTAGAAGCTTCCTTGACTAAATTAGACTCTACAGCACTGAATGAAGGTGATGAAGTTACACTTTCCAACAATGCTCCAATGTTTTTATTTGATAGAGCAACTTATAGTATGGATGGTATGCAAGTTGAAAATGTCATTGATCCTGGAAGAGCTTCACTTATGAAAGGCCTCCTTACTTATTCTTCCACAATGAATAAACAAAATACTTTTGGTTGGATCCTCGAGACTAAGGATATCATGAATTATAAGATAAATAAATACACTAAAAATAGAAAAGGCTTACTTACCTTTTGTATTCCACTGACTCATATTTTTGGCTTTGCTGAATGTTATAATAAAATAGTTTACGGAAGAAAACACACTCTTTCACTTTACAGATCACCAGAAAATAAAAATTCTATTACGTCCACAGATCCTACTAAATTTACTGCTAAGATGACTATTAATAAACTTCAATGGATAATTCCTAAAATTATACCTAGTCTTGAGATGCAAAACAAACTTCTTAATTTATTCGAAAGTAATAAATTAGTTCAAATGCCTTTTATATCTCGTCAATTTGAGAGTTATAATATTCCTAATGGTAATCGTGAATTTACTTGGAAACTTGGAACAAAATATGATAAAATAAAATATATTGTTCTCTCTTTTCAAACTGCTAGAGATAATAATTATCTAAATGCTGCAAAGTTTGATAATTGTGGGCTTGAAGAAATTTATGTTGAACTCAATAGTGAAAGATATCCGTATGAATGCTTGAAATTCGACTTTGACAAATTCAATGCAGTTCAACAATACAATTTTGCTAAAGAATTTAGAAATAGTTATTATGAATCAGTGAAAGATTACATTTTCATGGAAGAAGATGTGTATTATTATTATTATCCACTTTTAGTATTTGATGTATCAAAACAGAATGATAGAATTATTGCATCTCGACCAGATGTTACAATAAAAGCTTCCTTTAATAAAAACATTGCTCAAAGTACTAAATGTTATTGCTTAATTTTGAGCGAAAATATTGTTGAAGTCAAGGATAATAGAGTTAAAGTTGTCAGTATTTGATAAATCAAAATAGATTATTTAAATAATTGCATCTAAGATGCTCTTGATTATTTCTAATTATTGAGTCAGTGTATAAAATGCTTAGATCTTTAAAGGATCTCCTTCGGATTCACTTGTGAAATTTAAATCCATTTCCTTTATCCAAGAGTTAAATTTCTCCGGATATCCATGCCACTTAACAAACACTTCTTTTACTCCCTTAGATTTTCTATGTTTTATCACTTTTTCAACTTTATACTCTTCATTGATATTATTGTAAAGTGTTAGTTCTTCTTCATAAAACTTTCCTTTGATTTCTTCATCTGCTAGGTCTCTAATAGAATACATTGTAATCCCTTCTTCATTTGGGTGAACTTCAGAAATCTTAAATTCTTCAGTACTCCAATTTGGAAGATATCCTTTATCGAAAATAGCTTTATATTTTGTAATTCTGACAGTGTCTCCTACTTTGAATTTTGGACTTATTTGAGTCTTTTCTTCTTTTCTTGGTGGAAATAAGTTATTGTAAACTATTGATTCATTTTTCTATTTTTTTGAAGCCTGCGTGGGAGTCATTTTTTTATTGAAGTGTGATAATGATTATTATAACCCCAGAGTAAATCATCAAGAATATCAACCCATTTATGATTTCCTTGATGAGTAAACATTTTCCACATCTTTTCTTTTAAGGTTCTATTGAATCTCTCAACTATTGAAGCTTTCTTATCTGAATAAGTTGAAAAATGATTAATTTCTAATGATTTGACAAGTTTATTTATTTCTTTATTATAATATTCCTTACCATTATCAGTTTGCATCTTTTTTGGTTTTCTTTTACTCTTTGTAAAAACTAAAGAAAGAGCATTTGCAGTTTCTTTGCCTGTTTTACTCTTAAGAGGAACAACCCATGCAAACTTACTAAAACAATCAATTATAGTTAGAAGATATCTATAACCTTTATTTTCTTCTTCGTAGGGAATCATTTCTACGAGATCTGACTGCCACTGATCATCTATTCCATTCACAAACACTCTTTGACTCTTGAAGTTCTTCCTAGCTGGTTTGTGTAGAGTGTAAACATCTTGCTCATTGAGGAATTCTTTGACTTCTTTGATTGGTTTTTTGGTAATTCTTGTAAGTTCATTTATTCCACAAAATCCTGTTTTAGGAGAATAATAAGCTTTTTCTAAAAGATCTCTTTCAGATTCAGCGAAAGGAAGCTTCCTAGAAGTGTTTGTGGATTGTCTAAGAATTTTAGATTTTTCACTAATTTCAACCTCCTTGATACCTTCTAATCCAGAACCTCCTGTGATTGTTGGAATTAGCTTACACTTCATTGTATTACAATCTTGGCATAACCCTTTTATCATAGAACGTTTCGAGCTTGTTTCAACATAAAATATGTCAGCAGTATCAGTATATTTTTTACATTTGAAACAGTATACTAATTCCATAATTTAGAAGTTAAAAATTTTTTTGGATACAAATATCTTATTTGATTTTTGTGAAATGGGGGACGTTCAGTGAAAATGGATGTCTTCACTAGAAAGTGAATTCACTTCCACCTAGCCATGAACCCCAAACATGGCTACCTCTTCCGAGGTATTAACTTTTTCACTTGGCTTCAATCAAACAAGATATTTGTTTTTTTCAAAATAAAACAAGAAGATGAAATAACAAAGAATTAACAACAACAATCAAATGATTATTCACTTTCTCCCCATCCGGAAAAGATTCTTCAAGTCGTTACATAAACTGTTTTCTCAGAATTTCGAATGCTCATTCAACATTTCCTGCTGAAATATATCTTATTCATTTAAATTCTTTGTTGTTATTCTGAAGACGTTCATTACTCACCTTTAGTAGTGTTGAATCTTTCTTCTCGTTAAACATAATAAAATCTCTGGTTATTGAACACATCTTTCACTGTTCGAAGAGATTCGCCAATTTCGTTAAATTGATTTTGTAGTAAGTAAAACCTGCAAATAATTAATAATCTAGTGTATCAAACAGAATAGACTCACCAGTTCTTTCTGTTCACTTTTACACTTTCTATGGAGAAGTAGAGATTTCTTGACACGAAAAGCATTCCCATCTTAGAAGAAAATATTGAACTTTGCTTGAAAATCATCTTGAAAATGAAATAACAACATAAAGACTGAAGAAATTCTGCGACGTAAATCGTTCTCAAATGATACACTTCGTTCTTTCATACTTGTTTGCCAGTACCTTCGAGAAGTTTCAGAGTGTGACCAAACTCGAGTTCTCTCTTTCTCATTTACAATTAGTTCTTTCCTTCACTAGGCACTTCAAGGAAGCTTGCTTTCGCTGAATGTCTTTCAGATCCTTTGGTGTGACGTATAAAGGTCAGCAGTGTTCCCTTTCTATTTGTGTGACCTTCTTTTCTCTTCCTCACTCTGACCGAGTACTGACCGAGAGACTGAGTACACATTTGCCACAACTAGGCGCACGCGACGCAACACGCAACGCGTTGGGCTAGAGTGGAAGGCAGAGACGCAGAGGAAAGCGAGAGACAGCCAGCATCGCATTCTTCCATAAACCTTTGTGAATAGAAAAAGAGACTTACTTTTCTTCCGTAGTTTGCATTGATTTCGTGATTTCACATCCGTGATTTACTGTTATTTTTTCTCCTCAACTTATTCCTACTCACTCTCTATCGATTGTCGCATTTATAAGAGAGGACGCCAGTTTGTATGTCGTCTATATATACAGCACCAATTATTCTTTCCTCTCAATGTTGCTTTCAAAAATTTTTGACTTTTAGATCGGGAGCTGTTGACGGTTAGGCTATCATCAACTTGATCGTCAAGAATGGATAATCATAACCAGGTATACACTGTCTTACTAACTTTTATCCACCTATTTAATTAAATTTCAGAGCGGATCTTCTTCAAGTGGAGCAGACAGTTCATTCGGCGTGTTGGCCATGCCTTATGACGAGTTCGACATCACGCTCACGGATATTAACGAAGCGGAGATGGAAAAGGTTTTTTGAGGCTTTTTTATTTTTATTGTAAAACTTTCAAAAAGTTGTTTTAGATCGGAATTGCGGAGGAAGTCAAACACTTGAGCCCAGGGACGTTCTCGGATCCCGCTTTTCCTGTGCAAGGAGTCTTGCATGGTCCGAACTCCAGGCTCATGATCCCTTTGACCTTCCAACGGTCCCGGAAACCCGATTCCCCCATCATCAACGTGTGGTGTCTCATTGACACGGGAAGTCCGTTCACGTGTCTGAGCGTTAAGACACTGGAGGCATTCTTTGGAGCTGGAAACGTCGTCGGCGAGATGTACTATCCATTTGCGATCCAGGTTTGTTTGTTATACTATTGTTATTTGAAAGTAATATTGTATGAAATTCAGGACCAGTCGACTCGAATCGAGTGTCAAGTGAGCAAAGTTGGCACTCATTTTGAGCATGCAAATATTCTGGGAGTCGATTCGTTGCGTATTTTGAACGTTTCCTTTACTATGAATTGGCATGCGAACTCCTTCTCGCTTATCCAAGTGTGAACACTCTGTTTTGATGAACATCCCCTTCATGAGTTGTTTCCATAGTTTCTGTTAGTATTTTATTCTCATAATTATGTATGTTATGTAATTTACTCATGTGTTAGTGCCTACTTCTCTTGGATTTAATTTATTTGGATGTGTGTGTCTCTCATAAAGATTCCCCGGAAGTTCTTAATCTTTAATAATTCTACTAATTCTAAGAGGTCAAGATTTGTTAATGCCTTTAGATTTGTATCGAATCTCAGATTCGTCATTTAATAGCAATAAAAACAATAAATACAAGTGAAAAATTGTAAGTGGGCAAAATGGTCACTTCTACGTCCAGCCTAAAAAGTGTCGTTTTTCAAAAATGACTGATTTTCGATGAGCTTAGGCACTTTTCTGATGAAAATAAGCGTTACAATAGTCAAAAAGTGCAAAAAACGTCATTTGGGCAAAATGACCGTCCAGCGTCAACCATTTGTATACTACTAATCTGAAGTTCTGAAGGTTTCAGAAGACGTTGGACTCCTCACGGAGTGTCGGCCATGCAGTAGGTGGCGCTAGGTCCTTGGGCGTTGCAGAAGGTTTGGCAGGCACCCAGGGTCTGGGCGCGGATGGCGACGGCGGCGAAGACGAGGACCAAGGCGAGGGAGCGGAACATCCTGAAACATGCAGTTGGACTGGAGATGATCAGGAAGATCCTAGGAAGAGGAATCGGAAAGTTGATGCTCAGGTCTCCATTGGAACGCTATTTAAAGACTCCTCTTCCGCGTGACCTTTTTTTGACATAGAATAGAAAACATTCAACAATCCATGGAAACTTTTCAAACGAACAAATTAGCTGGATTAAACTTCCGGTACAAAGTTCATATGGGAATGAGATTGGATTGCGAGCCTTTCAATCTATTGTCAGGTTGAAAAGGATACAACAATGGACCAATTTTTCCATTTTTTTCGCTCCACTGTTCAGGAGCCTTTAAATAGCGGGTCCGAAGAGAACTGAACATTCTCTTCTCACTGATCATCTCCAGCCTATCTCCATGTTTCAGGATGCTCCGTTCCCTCGTCTTGGTCCTCGTTCTCGCCGTTGTTGCTATTCGCGCTCAAAATCCTTTGGGATGCCCAGTTTTCTGCAACTCCCAGGGACAAGACGCCACTTACTGCATGGCTGACCGACCGTAGGAGTATCGGCGTTTTCTGAAAATTACAGAAGTTTAGATTTAACACGGTGAAGAACAAGTCTTGCTTCAACCTCTGCGTCCACAACTGCCAACTAGACGTCTCCAAGGCCCTTAACCCCAGCTACGCGTAAGTTATTCTCCCAGATCAAGCTCAAGAAGTTCGACTCCAGATGCGCCATCAAGAAGACGCCCATCGGAGGCAACAACGACCTGAAGAAGAGCGGCTGCGACAAACTCTTCTACCCCGCCTGGTACTTCACTACTCCAGCCCCCGGAAAGTAGAAATCTGATTGTTGGAATAAATTAATAGAAAGCATTTCCGTGTTACACCAACATCAAAAAGATAATCTTTTGAAAATCCCCAAGGTTTAATCCGAGAATGAGTGTTACTCATCTGAATAAAAACAGCACAGCTACTCATCCAACAAATAAAAAAAAAGGGAATATCGAGCCGGTTAAATTCACAAGTCACTTCAACGAATTGTTTACCGGCTGAAGCGGACATTTTATGATTTTGGTCAGTTAGAAAGTAGCGCTGGATTTATTTATTCGAACCTTATTTTGAAGCAAAAAGTGGAGGGGAATTTCAATTTTCGCATGTACATTAGTGACAAGTCAAAGACACGAATCTGAAATACTTTTTGAATCAGTCTATGTTTTGATGTTTTCTATTGAAATGAACTACTTAGAAACTACAAGAACGCTCATTTCTAACCGTCCAACCTAATAAATAAAAAAAAACAAAATTGCGTAGGGCATTCGACAAAGATTTTTTAATTTTCTGAATGAAAAAAGCCTTCTGTATAATTTAAGCCTCAAACGCGGTTTTATTATCAAAATTTATGATTTTGCGCGTTTCAAAGGGGAATTTCAGAATCAGTCCGCTTCCGAAACTGAAAAAAATAGTTGCGAAAAAACGTGTGAGATGTTTTTCGAAAAGACGGGAAAGAATGAATAATTTCAATCTATTTTCATATTGAAATACTTCCAAACAGCTAAATACTCCAAAAAGTCAAGTCTCATTGAATCTCTTTTCATTTTCAAATGTCATTCTGGCCCCTCGGGCCGTTCAAAAATTGCTTATGGAACTCGTGTTTCAGAGTCCATCGCGGGCAATCGGGAAAAGTTTTCAACCAGCAATAAACGCACCTCGGCAGAGCCTCATTGGTCACGTTATCGCCCCAGCGCAAAGCTGTCTGAAGGGTCGAGAGGCGGAGATCCCCTGTTTTGGTGCGACCGACTCGCGACGGCTTATGCTGACTCTCATCTTTGATATATGAGGCAAGCGATCTTCTTTTTGACAATGCGAAAGAAAAAGAATGCTTCTTCGTCGTTTATTCAGCACATCCGACAGAACTTTTACTTTCCGGGGGCTGGAGTAGTGAAGTACCAGGCGGGGTAGAAGAGTTTGTCGCAGCCGCTCTTCTTCAGGTCGTTGTTGCCTCCGATGGGCGTCTTCTTGATGGCGCATCTGGAGTCTAACTTCTTGAGCCTGATCTGAGAGAAGGACCTACGCATAGTTGCTGTCGAGGCACTTGGAGACGTCGACCATGCAGTTGTTGACGCAGAGGTTGAAGCACGACTTGTTGCCGACCGAGTTGAATCTGAACTTTTGAAGGTTTCAGAAAACGTCAGACTCCTCACGGAGTGTCAGCCATGCAGTAGGTGGCGCTAGGTCCTTGGGCGTTGCAGAAGGTTTGGCAGGCACCCAGGGTCTGGGCGCGGATGGCGACGGCGGCGAAGACGAGGACCAAGGCGAGGGAGCGGAACATCCTGAAACATGCAGATGGACTGGAAATGATCAGGAAGATCCTAGGAAGAGGAATCGGAAAGTTGATGCTCAGGTCTCCATTGGAACGCTATTTAAAGGTTGCCAGCCTGTATAATTCTTTTGGTTAACAAAAGGTTCCGATGTAACGTTTTGGTCGACAAAAAAATTTAAAGAGTTGAACTTCCGGTGCCATTTTTTTTCCGAATTCTATTTGAATAAAATTTTTTCATCCTATTGTTGAGAAGGGTAGGATATCACAATGGATGAATGTATTCAATTCATTATTCAGTGTTCAACAGCCTTTAAATAGCGTTCCAATGGAGACCTGAGCATCAACTTTCCGATTCCTCTTCCTAGGATCCTTCTGATCATCTCCAGCCCACCTGCATGTTTCAGGATGTTCCGCTCCCTCGCCTTGGTCCTCGTCTTCGCCGCCGTCGCCATCCGCGCCCAGACCCTGGGTGCCTGCCAAACCTTCTGCAACGCCCAAGGACCTAGCGCCACCTACTGCATGGCCGACACTCCGTGAGGAGTCCAACGTCTTCTGAAACCTTCAGAACTTCAGATTCAACTCGGTCGGCAACAAGTCGTGCTTCAACCTCTGCGTCAACAACTGCATGGTCGACGTCTCCAAGTGCCTCGACAGCAACTATGCGTAGGTCCTTCTCTCAGATCAGGCTCAAGAAGTTAGACTCCAGATGCGCCATCAAGAAGACGCCCATCGGAGGCAACAACGACCTGAAGAAGAGCGGCTGCGACAAACTCTTCTACCCCGCCTGGTACTTCACTACTCCAGCCCCCGGAAAGTAAAAGTTCTGTCGGATGTGCTGAATAAATGACGAAGAATCATTTCCGTGTTACATCATCATCAGCAAGTCATCCTTTAGAAAAAAGTCCAAGCCTTAATGAGAAAATGAGGGTCATTTAATGAAATGATGACCAAAGAAGGCATTCTTTTTCGGCTTTTTTTTTTTGAGATGAACGGGCTCCTAGAATTTGCAGTTGGCGTATCTCTACTACTCATTCACTTATTCAGTATTAGTTTCAATGTGTGTGCGTTTGTCGCTGTGAGAAGATATAATAGAAAGTGTCCAGGTGAGAGAAGTTTTTTAGTGGTCCTTAAAGGGTACTTGAAATATGATCACCAATGGTTCGAGGCGTATATAAGCTGTTCTTGAGCTTCTGTGTGAAGGATTTTTCCATTTCGATTTTTTGTAGGGCTTGAGGAAAAAAGCTGGAGTTTCAAAGTTTGCTATGAAAGAAGGGGTTTGTTGACTTATCAAATGAGAAATATGGAACAAAAAGCATAAAGAGTTAAGAAAATAGTTTTTTAAAATCTTCCCTTCAAGATTTAAAGAAAATTTCTCCGAGTCGATATTTTCAATTCACTTTTTTTCCAGCGGCACTTCCGATAGTCTATATAAACCTTATGATTTTCTCCGAGACTTTCTACAACTTGACCGGCTTCCTACAGTTCTGTTTCCCATTTTTGGTTCCTGACAGCGTTGAGAGAGGTTTTATTCACTTATCCTGAAGCTCGCCTAGAAAATTACACATTGAAGTAGGTTCATGAAATCCAGTTTCTCAAGTTGAGAAACTGGATTTCATGAACCAGAATCGAGGCTTGAATATAGTTGAGAGCGAAAATTCAGATGCTCAAAGTGGAGAAAACGACGGTATATCGCTTGCTGCAAGGTTGCATGAAGAAAACTTTGAAAAATTACCTTGGCTGAAATTTCACTTCAGTTCAAATGAATAAATATTTAAATGTTCGAAAATACTGACCTCCTTCCCAAAAGAAAAGAGCTTTATTGAAGTTACTGACCATATTTAAACTTTGAGCCGTCATAATTTTGTTTTCCAAAAAACTCCTTTGAAGTTCTCATGCAAAAATTCGGAATCAGCGTGAAAAACACCCCATTGAACTTTTTCTCAATAATCATTTGGGAGCGCTGAGATATTTCCAGAAAAGAAGGAATCTTTTTTCAGAAGTTTTCAAGTGGACGGCCATACCTGCCGCTACCTTAGGACTCATTTTCTACTGCCAAAGGATTTTCATGACACCTTTGATGACGATAAATCGGGCCTTACTCACCTTGTCCCCAACGAAATCTCATTGGTTTTGCAAGCCAAGACTCTGGTTCTACAACGCCATCATTGCGGTTTCGATTTTCAATCAGAAACTGATTTTTGATTGAAGGTTCTTCAGAGCCTCGTCTTCACTTTCGCCATCATCCCCTTATTTTTGGACTGCCCCACGATTTTTGACATCCGGAGAATAGCTTTTCTGCCGACCTGCGGCGAACCGCAAAAGGTCCGGTTTGATATTATTAACTTTATCAAAAGAATAAATTTTTTCAGATAACTTCAATCCTCCAAATGATTATAATTTCATCATTGTCGTTCTCCTTGTCTGGAAATGTTTTACTGATTCTATATATCAAGTTCCGAAGGACTACAGTGTTCAAAAGGATGACCAGCATTCGAAGTGAGTTCTTCGAAACTTTGAGTTCGGGCATTTACGAATTCTGAAATCTCCAGATCTAATTCGAAATTCCTAATGTTTTCATTAACCCCTTCAGTAGCCTGGAAACTAAGCTCGGACTTTTTAGTAATAATTAAAGTTTTTGTGCAGAAAAAAGCTCACCTTTGCATTTTTCAGTGATCGCTTACAGCTTTTAGCACCTCTTGGTACTTTTTGGTTAAAGCCTAGGGACTCAACTTGAACCTCCTAAAGTGGTCACTCATAGTTTTATAAGCACATAAGCTTAATTTTGACTTTCCTAGGCTACTTGAAATTCAATGCGGATCTTTATAGTTGCTTACAGGTTTTAGAGATTAATAACTCTGTTCAGACCCTCCCGTACCCCCTAAAAGCTGAAAAGCGATCTCTTTTCAAACTCAAATATTTCGGGCTTGTTTTCTCAGAAAACCAGAGTGGAATAAGCTTCCGAGCAGCGAAAAGCCGGATACGTGCCGAAAATACCTTGTTGATCCAGGCGGTGGCAGTTTCCTGTACCTTACTCGATTTTGAGATAACTGATAAGATCGCTGTCTTCTTTAGTGTTAGTTATCTTGTGCTAATCTCAAACAAGTGGATGTTTCCAGGAAGAATACCAGAAGTTGCCGATTTTTGTCCAGCACATTGCTTTTAGCACCCGAATCTACTCCCAGTTCTTCACCAACTTCACCGTCTATTTCATTTTCACCAAGCTTCTCCGACTGGAAATCATCCGTCTGTTCAAACCCGACTACAAACGAAAAACGATGGCCTTCATGAGCAAAATCTCCTCGAATGATGTCATCAAACAATAAACTTGTACGTCTTTAATTAAATGACTTGTTTACGCTGACGTAACTATGAAGCTTCCTGGCCACAGCTCAAAATTGGAAGCGAATATTCAATTGAACAAAAATAAGAATTGGCTTCGAAAATTGAGCCGACAGGAGGAAAAAAAAATACAAAAATAGGCTTTATTTTCTCAAAATATGTCATTTTAGCTTCCATTTTAGCTCTCGTTTCGATATTGCGTATAGACTTCGCGTCCCAGGATTTTCTCAATTACCACGTCAAAAAAGAGAGTAAGGTACGACCATCAGACGAAATTGTATTAAAATTCATCATTTTGTGGGTTTTCCGGTGAAAGTTCAGATTCAGTCTATTTTTTTGAACTATAAAAATTATTTTAAAAAGACAGGAAAGAATGAATAATTTCAATCTATTTTCGTATTGAATCACTTCCAACCAGCTAAATACTCCAAAAAGTCAAGTCTCATTGAGTCTCTTTTCATTTTCAAATGTCATTCTGGCCCCTCGGGCCGTTCAAAAATTGCTTATGGAACTCGTGTTTCAGAGTCCATCGCGGGCAATTGGGAAAAGTTTTCAACCAGCAATAAACGCACCTCGGCAGAGCCTCATTGGTCACGTTATCGCCCCAGCGCAAAGCTGTCTGAAGGGTCGAGAGGCGGAGATCCCCTGTTTTGGTGCGACCGACTTGCGGCGGCTTACGCTGACTCTCATCTTTGGTATATGAGGCAAGCGATCTTCTTTTTGACAATGCGAAATCAGAAAAAGAATGCTTCTTCGTCGTTTATTCAGCACATCCGACAGAACTTTTACTTTCCGGGGGCTGGAGTAGTGAAGTACCAGGCGGGGTAGAAGAGTTTGTCGCAGCCGCTCTTCTTCAGGTCGTTGTTGCCTCCGATGGGCGTCTTCTTGATGGCGCATCTGGAGTCTAACTTTTTGAGCTTGATCTGAGAGCAGGACCTACGCATAGTTGCTGTCGAGGCACTTGGAGACGTCGACCATGCAGTTGTTGACGCAGAGGTTGAAGCACGACTTGTTGCCGACCGAGTTGAATCTGAACTTCTGAAGGTTTCAGGAGACGTCGGACTCCTCACGGAGTGTCGGCCATGCAGTAGGTGGCGCTTGGTCCTTGGGCGTTGCAGAAGGTTTGGCAGGCACCCAGGGTCTGGGCGCGGATGGCGACGGCGGCGAAGACGAGGACCAAGGCGAGGGAGCGGAACATCCTGAAACATGCAGATGAGCTGGAGATGATCAGAAAGACCCTAGGATGAGGGATCGGAAAGTTGATGCTCAGGTCTCCATTGGAACGCTATTTAAAGGCTGTTGAACACTGAATAATGAATTGAATACATTCATCCATTGTGATATCCTACCCTTCTCAACAATAGGATGAAAAAATTTTATTCAAATAGAATTCGGAAAAAAAATGGCACCGGAAGTTCAACTCTTTAAATTTTTTTGTCGACCAAAACGTTACATCGGAACCTTTTGTTAACCAAAAGAATTATACAGGCTGGCAACCTTTAAATAGCGTTCCAATGGAGACCTGAGCATCAACTTTCCGATTCCTCTTCCTAGGATCTTCCTGATCATCTCCAGTCCAACTGCATGTTTCAGGATGTTCCGCTCCCTCGCCTTGGTCCTCGTCTTCGTCGCCGTCGCCATCCGCGCCCAGACCCTGGGTGCCTGCCAAACCTTCTGCAACGCCCAAGGACCTAGCGCCACCTACTGCATGGCTGACACTCCGTGAGGAGTCCGACGTCTTCTGAAACCTTCAGAAGTTCAGATTCAACTCGGTCGGCAACAAGTCGTGCTTCAACCTCTGCGTCAACAACTGCATGGTCGACGTCTCCAAGTGCCTCGACAGCAACTATGCGTAGGTCCTGCTCTCAGATCAAGCTCAAAAAGTTAGACTCCAGATGCGCCATCAAGAAGACGCCCATCGGAGGCAACAACGACCTGAAGAAGAGCGGCTGCGACAAACTCTTCTACCCCGCCTGGTACTTCACTACTCCAGCCCCCGGAAAGTAAAAAGTTCTGTCGGATGTGCTGAACAAACGACGAAGAAGCATTCTTTTTTTCTGATTTCGCATTGTCAAAAAAAGAAGATCGCTTGCCTCATATACCAAAGATGAGAGTCAGCGTAAGCCGCCGCAAGTCGGTCGCACCAAAACAGGGGATCTCCGCCTCTCGACCCTTCAGACAGCTTTGCGCTGGGGCGATAACGTGACCAATGAGGCTCTGCCGAGGTGCGTTTATTGCTGGTTGAAAACTTTTCCCAATTGCCCGCGATGGACTCTGAAACACGAGTTCCATAAGCAATTTTTGAACGGCCCGAGGGGCCAGAATGGATGAAACTAAGAAAATGGATATGAACTAAATAAAGTTCCATGGTTTTTTGTTTTTCAAACCTGAGTTAGAAAGAAGTAAAGTAATTTTCATAATTTCATGAGGTTAACTCGGAAATTTTCATTCATTGGTGACTTTCCGCAGTGTTTCGTAGGTTGCTTCAGCTTTGAAATGCATAAAAAGATGAATTGAAATTTGGATTATTCAAACTGCAATTCGAAAGTAGTGGGCTCAGAGGTTTGAATTTCACTCTGAAGACCATTATCCTACTGAAAATTTCAAAAAGTTTCCGAAACATTGTCTTTTTACGATTTCCATTTTTCGAAAAATATTTTTCGTTGAATAGCGGGGAAAATGAATTCAAAGAAGTTCAGGATTTCTCTCAAATTATTTCATTAACCACAATCTGAGTTTTTCTATCAACAGGGTCATTCTAAATGCGACCAGGACCTTCTGATACAAAATTTCCGGAAAAGCCAGCTTTATACGTTTCCAGTTTGTTTTTTTCTATAGAACTTGATGTTTTTTGGTAGTTTTTGGCACTATTTCGAAGTAAGCATTCTGAAATTTTGAAAGCCTGTATTGTATTCTCATTCAACAGGAAACATGTTTTTCAGTAACAACAATAGAATTCCATATAAACAGGGATATGATAAACAAACTGAAAATCCTATAAAAGTCTTCTCTCAGTTGGAAAACTCAACCCATCATTCTCTCTTCACCATGAACTTTCTGGTTAGTTTTTCTTTGTATTTTAATAATTTTCAAAAGAGTTTTAGAAAAATCTCCTCGCTCTCCTGGTTCTGATCGCCGTCGTCTCCGCTGGCAACCCGATTTTCGGTGATGACGACAAAAAAGCGGCTGAAGCTTTGAAGGATCTCATCAGACGTCGAGGTCCAATCCATTGAATGTTTCACCAAAAAATTTTTCCTGTATAATTGGAATGAAGTTCAAAGCGTCCATTGATGTTGAAAAAGCAGCAAAAAAAGCTAGGGGGCACTCGGAGTTGAACCGGGGACCTCTCGATCTGCAGTCGAATGCTCTGCCACTGAGCTATACCCCCGACGGTCCGCCGCGCAGCTTTTCTGTTGACAAGCCGTATCGAGACTTCCACAGCTGCAGTGTTCTTTTTGGTAGAAATCTATACTTTTTTCCATGAAAATTAGAAAATGATTCAGACTGACGATTTAACATTTTTTTAAAATTCATTTTGTTCCAGTTCAGTTTTCCAGCCACAGTGGTTGAACACAAGATTTCTTGAACGTGTTGAAACCAGTTTAAGCTTTTGAAACATTCATAGTATGAACTTTAGTTGGTACAACCGGAAAAACTATTCTATCACACTATGTCGCTTCAAGAACTCTTTAATTACGAACAAATTATCGTTTGAAAACTTTTTGCCTTTTTAAAAGCACATTAACTTACGATGCGATTATTCGCTATACATTTTCTATTTACATGTAGCTTGTCATTTATCCTGTCCAATGATTTAAAAACGGATTAAAATTTGAATATATTCAATGCCTAACACCCGAGAAAAAAGCATTTCATTGAAAGCAAATCTGGCGATTGGAGCGGTTTTCAAGAGCGACTGAAGCGCCAATCCTCTTGTTCCTTGATCCGGGGAAAAAAGAGAAAAAAGTGCGTCCGAAATTTCATAAAAATGTTTGATTAGTTTACTGATAATTTTACAGAGTAAAGACTATTAACAACAGATTTCCGAATTTTTCTAACCAAAGCGCAGCAAGAAATGATTCAAAACGAAAACATCAAATCTGATAGGCAGATGTATTGTCAATAGTGGCTAATCCACTTATTCGGACGCTTCCATCTTTACGGCCCAATGATATAATCTTATGAAATCTCGTGATACAATAGTTTTTGTAATGGTTAAAGAAAAAGATGTAGATTATGGGAGAAAATGTTGGAACACATAAAAGGGCCGTGAACGGGAAATATCCGAGATAGGGATGACTCCAAATGCCGAATTGGTCCAAGGCGTAGACCAAAACGCCTAGCCAGTAGAAGCCAGGTAGACAGGCTTGGTAGGTGAGGGCCTGCAAAATGTTAAGAATGATAAATTTGAGAGTTGGCTTCTAGATAACAAAATCGTTATTAAATGATGTTATATTCTACGAATTCAATTGCCATACTAAAAATAAAAGTTCCGTTTTTTTTTTTTCATTTTTTGGAAAAAAAAACCCTTTTTACTTTGAGCTGAACAAGCAATGTGATATAATTCAAACAAAAAACCAACCTTCAACAGTTGAGAATGGAGCGCCTTGGTTCTGTTAGTCATTTGAGACTCTGACCTTTCCAGAGCCTTCACAATTCTTCTTCGGAAGAAGAGAATGAATATATAAATCGGTGTGACAGGAACTGTCATCGAAAGAATAACGTATAACGCGTAAAAATGGAAAATATTGGCGTGACCCAGGAGCATTTCTCCCGCGTAGTTGTAGTTCGGAAATTTTTCCTTCAACTTCCGCAATATTTCTTCCGGCGGATCGTTGGCGAACAGATATACCACCTAGAACATTATTGTGTTTTTTCGCGAGAAAAATTCCTACAAATTGAAAAAAGGAAGGTAGATACACCGATATAAGGATGAAAATGAGCTTCTTTCTAGTTGGAGCTTCATTTTTTAGAATATAGTAACGATAGGCAAAAGATAACAGAATGGACCAAAGTGTATGGGAAAGGCAGTGTAGCATAAAACTATGGCTGAAAAAATGATTGATATAATCGATTGTCGCACGTAGAAGGGCCCAGAGCCATTCCATGCGACAATTAGGCAATTTACCTAGTGTAGCAGAAATTTGGTCCCAAATAAGTGCAAGGGCCTTCGGCTACCAAAGCCAAAGTAGCACCTCCCGGGACCAACCTGAAAAGTCAAATATAGTACGTTGATCCATGAGTTTCGGCTTATTAGTGGCATTGAGAATGGCTCAGCGATCACTCTGATGCACATTATCATTTCGTAACAACCAGCATCAACGACCTTAGGGCAAGTCAAAGAATAGAAGTTTTAAATAAAACCGCAGCGCAACGCTTTGAGCCATTCCAAGTGCCAACAGAAATACCTCGGCTGAACGAATAAGTCGCTCAAACATCCCAAAAAGTCGGTTAGAGCAAAATTGATGATTAAGGTCGCGTAAGTCCGAATAGCGTTTGGAGATTGGAAAATCGCCAAGTAGATCAAAAAGGCATTCAAAGTACAGCCAGTCAAGGGCAGTACTATATGAGCTATCGAAAAGGCAAGCATTTTTGGAACGGAGAGATGAAGCTCACCGCCAGCAAGCTGTTATAAATGTCAGGTGAGACTAATTGACATGAGTCGGCAAAACAACTTAATGAGTTAATTGGTCTGAAGTCTGAAGAGTGGATACCTTTGTGTGGAAATTCAGGTGTCAGGAGGGTCGAGAATATATGTTTGCGCCACGTAATTGGTATTTTCAAGGAGAAGGAGCCAGGTGCAGTTTTCGCTTCAGGCTTGAACTATTAAGCCGAATATCACGCAAACTTAAAACAAAACTACTTTGAAACAAATGTAAAGAATAGCAAAGCGCGCAAGCCACGAATGGTCAGTTGAGAGCCATTCTACAACTTCTATTAATTCATTCATTACGACTAGAAGCAATCAAACTTGTCTGCGCTCTCATTCTTTTTCTCAGTGGAATGACGTTTTTCTGTCACGAAGGTTGTGTTGAAGTTACGTCTTTGAAATAAAATTTATTACCATTTTTGCAAAAATATAATGGAATCAAATTTGAGATGCGGAATGCATCGTGGACGATGGACCTTGTTCCGATTTGCCAACATCGATACGGCCACGCGAAATAATTCGTTGGAATTTATTGAAGCAATACGTCTTGTAACTTCCGACAAAGAATAGATAACTGATGGGCGAAAAGACGGAAATGCAGAGAACCGATGTGAAGGTGAAGTGTTCGAGGAAAGGGTTGTTGGAAATTCCGAGTTGTCCCAAAGAATAAGAGACGCAAGCGATGCAGAAGAATCCCGGCATACAGGCTTGGTAGGTCAGAGTCTGAAATATCTTATGAGATTTATTCTGGAAAAACAACCCAATAGATAGGGACCGCAGACGAATTTTCAAAAATTTTTTTTCAGCATCGAGCTTTATATGGTTTGATAGCTGTTTCGATTCAAAACTCAGAACCGTTTAGTTTTTCGAAAAAGATTAAGGATGAAAAAAGTTATGACGAAAAATGTTGCGCGCCGCGCACCATTTTTTTAGTACTGAAATTTTGGTATTATCCATTTTTGACATTTTTCTCGATTTTTCTTCTAAAACAAGTTTTGATACTGGTCTATTATGATGTAACAAATCATAATAGAGTGCTAAAATGATGCTAATCAGCTATTTCGCCGAAAAAGTCGGTATTTTGCAGAAAACAAAAAACTGACGCTTGCGGGTATCGAACTCGCGACCTCAAAATGAAAAATCGCAGCGCACGCACTGCGCCAAGCTGTCAGGTCTAGCGCGGGGAGCTTCCATCCGCCTTGCCCTTGAGCCGTTTAAATAGCACAGATTGTCTATTTCAAAAAGAAAAACTTGAAGTAATTAAGCTATTTTTTTATCAGAATATGTTCGCAAATCTTTACTCAAACGTTTCGTGGAAATTCACTTCGAAAAAAACTGTTTTTTTCAGTGCTTTTTTTGCCTCTTTTTAACGATCGCTGCATTAAAACGGCCCCGTATATTTTTCGGCAAAGACGAATTTTTTTATTTTTATTCTTTTTAATTGAAAGATTTTTTTACTAATAAATGTATATAATCGTTTGAAAAAAACCTGCGTTCGACCGCTTTCTGTCTGATAAACGCCGCTAATTTTTATTCTCTAGTTTTCAAGAGCATTTTTTTGCGTATCAAACAACTTTTTTCAAGCACATATGCTGTGGAGAAAAAAATTTAAGTAAGCCCATGGTCTAAATTTTTGAAAAAAACAAAAAAACTCGATTATATTCGCTTGTTAACGATATTTTTGAATTATGACTTTCGGCACTCCCTAAAAATTTTTTTGGCAAAGACGAATTTTTTTATTTTTATTGTTTTAAAATTACCGTTACTTGAATCAAAAATCATTATATAAAAAAAGAAAGAGTGCGTTCGACCTGAAAAACACATGAAAAAAAGCAAAAAAATGAAAAAAATTTTTTTAGTTCCATTCACGTTTTTTTGTACGACATTCCGCGAGAACGCATCAAAAAAAGCGTGAAATATTTTTTAAACGAAAGAGGAAGCTTTTCTGTACATGTGTGTCAAATTTTATTCGCCAGTTCCATATATTTTGCAACTAAAACAAAATGAAAGTTGAAAACCAAAAAAAAGCCACTTTTTCTATCGCGAAAAGGGGCGTGGCTTTGCGGTCCCTACCAATAGAGATCTTCCATTGTAGAAGATAGTTGCTCGGATTCTTCACGATGCAATCAAAATTATTATTCTTGGTAACGCCGTGAATCACGCGCATGTCGGTTTTGCTCGGTTGCAATCATTAAGAGTATAGTCGATGTGCCACAAGTTGAAATTTCATGGAACGACACTCCGCTGTTTCGATTTTGTGCGGTAGCGCGCATCTGGCGAATTTGCCAACTTCGGCCACGCTAATTTTTTTTTTGGTTTTCATTCTAATTTCGATCGTTTTTTTTATTGTTTTATTTCTTTGAAATGTAATATTATCGTTGAAAAGGATTGCGTTGTACAAATGTAAAAGAAAGAACACAGTAAATTTCATGATGTTTCTCGAAAAAAAGCGATTAAAAAAAGTTTGAAAAAAACTTCATGTATTCTTCAATCGCTTTTGATATTGTTTTTCTCGTTCCTCAAAAAAAGTTTTCAAAGACTTACCAAAAGGATTTGCGGGTGAAATAGGCCGTAAACGCCACAATATTCTACAATAGTTTCTGTGTTTTTTTAAAGCCATGTTTTAATGTTTTTCATCGTTTTTCTGTTTGCAGTCGTTAATTGTTTTTTTCAGAAAGTGAGCGCCTTATAAAATGAAGATGTGTACTTCCATGAGCACATGCACCATAATTTGAAGAAAGGTTTTCGTTCCTTTTTTTAAAATGGAGCTTTAGATAAATCGTATTGCTGAACTATGCGTCAGGAATGGGGCGTGAACAGTGGGCACATGGAATAGTGGAAACGATGTGCTGAACGAAATGTCCAGTAAACTAATAATTTTTCCTTTGAACTTATGCATCTGTTTTTTTTTTAAATAAAAATTCGTCAATGTAGAAACATTCAATTTTTTTTAAATCATTCACTGTGTATTTTATTTCTGATTGGGATATTTTTTTACATGATTCGAAATGAAAAAAAGAAATGTCGATAAAGGCTCAATGAAGGTAAAATAACGGAATATATTGAAGAAAACCAAAGACCATCTCATGAAAAAAACTTTCAAATATTATAAACGCATTTTTTTCGCTTAAAATTCGAAAAATTACTCTACTTTATTTTTTTATCAATGAAACAGTCTATCCTCTAGAAAAGATAATTATGATTTTTGGCGCGAAGAAAACTATTAAAAACATAATTAAAATAATGAAAATTTCGAATAAAACAAAAAAATGGAAAGCGCGACCGAAATTCGCAAAGGCAAGGCGCTTTCACGGCCACGGCCACCCAACGGAGTGTCGTTCCATGAAATTTCAAGTCGTGGCACATCGACTATAATTCCACGTGCGGCCAATGTTTTCCTAGCCAGAGTCAAAGGTATTTAAAATCTTATAATTGTCTTTAACTTGCTTCAGGTTTTGTACAAAGTTTAATTAATTTTTTTTGAGCTTTTTCCGGAGATTTTTTTAAATGTGAGACATAGATATTTATTTGGAGAATTTCTGAGCCCAACCTTCAACAGTTGGGAATGAAGCGCTTTGGTCCGATGAGCCATTTGAGCTTGGGAAAGCTCCAAGGCCTTGACAATCTTCTTTCGAAAAAATAAAATGGCTAGGTATGATGGTACGACCGGAACTGTCATGTGAAGGATGACGGATAATGGAAAAAAGTTGATAATATCCACGACGCCGGTCACGGTTTCGCCTTGGAAATTGTAGTTGGGAAACTTGAGCTTCAGCGATTTTTCAACGGCTTCTGGAGAGTCGAAGGAGAGCAGGAAGATTATCTGTTACTCCATTATTTGAGTGAACTTTTCGTGAGCCCTGGTCGCCCTTGGAATAGCTCATCGCAGTGGCTTTCGGCCATTCCAAGTGCGACCAAGGAGCATAGCAACTCACAAACTGTAGGAAAGATGGGATATAAATTAACAATACGAGAATAATTAGAGTTTTCCTCTCTGGAGCCTTATGGTGGAGAATGTAGTAACGGTAGGCGAAAGAGAGGAGCAAAGACCACATGGTATGGGCCAGGCAATGGCACATGAAGCTGTGGCTTAAGTAAAACTTCTCATCAAGGTTTCTTCAAGTTCTTTGAAGGTTTCATGAAAAGAGGAATGGCTAGGCTTTTGCTTTTTTTTATCAAAGAAAGATTCATTATGTCGAGTCGGCGATTGAAACCGCAAAGCTCTGAGCCATTCGATATACGACATGCGTTCTATCGAATTAGTTCGCTGACTTGTCAAATCTCAATAACGAAAAACGGACGCGCTCAGGACGTTCCTGAGTAAGTCTAGGTACCAATTAGCATGCTGACGCCTCTAAAGTGATCACGAGAAATGACCCGACACGTTTGATTAGCGTCCAGATCGCGCTTACCAAACTCCAAAACAACCCCCCCCCCCTTTCTACTCATTTTTTTCCTTTCCGGTGTTGATTTTTCTTCTAAAACCTTTGGAAATCTTAAATATTACCCTAGGGTGCAAAAAGCATGCCCAAAATAAGTACATGGACCTGTTGAAACGAAGCCGAGGGACAGCCCGGCAGGAATTATTCTGAAGCAAAGCTCACAGGATTTCAAGTACTAAAAATGTATGGAGAAACCTCTGTTGGACGAAAAAGTCGGAGAAACAGCACAAAAAATCAGTCAAGGCAAAGTTGATGATGAGGGTGGCGTAGGTTCTGATGGCCTTGGGCGATTGGAAAACTGCCAAATAGATCAAAAGTCCGTTGAGCGCGCAGCCCGACAAAGCTAATACAGTATGAAATATGGAAAAAACGAACATTGTAACTGAATATTTTCGAGAAGATCCTTTTTTTCTTTTCTTTTGCTCAATACGGGGCTAACTAGCCAGTCCCTATGGAAAAACACACGTAGTCTCTAGGATTAGATTCGAAAACAGGCTTTTCTGATTATAATACAGAATTTGAGTGAAAAATAGACAGAAAAGGCTTGGAATTTTATAACACAGTAGTGCCTAATAGTTTGAAAAGAGGAGATTCGAACGAGTTTCAAGTTTCAAAGAGTTTGAAAATGCATTGACTTTTCGAAGTAATCACTAAAAAGGTTTATTTTAAACCAATTTTTGTAACCGAAGTTCAATCCCATTTCTATCGATTGGAGCCCTCGAGATAATTTATCTTTATTTCGATGCTTCAGGAAATATTAAACTTCAAAATCGCGTATTTCAACTGAAACTGCGATTCTTATTGCTCGATTGAAAGACGGTGGTCAGTGGGGTCAGCTTCGGATTTCGTTTCAAAAGTCTCAAGACCTGAGCCCGTAAGTTCTTGTTGAAAAGCAGCATCACGGTTCTAAAAAGTAGACCATTGATTTGAAACGAGATTTTGATTTACCCATCCATAACGTGAATGCCGAGAAATGAGAGGGAGCTGAATATGAAGACGTACCAAACTTCATCGCGAAGATGTGAAATTTTCGAGCAATTGATCATGTCAATGACATGAAGGCAGTCTTGAGCGACACTCTGAGAGATAAAATTAGAAAAATTATAAAGGGAGAAAATCGTTATCTTTCTACTATTTTGAATAGATTTCACCATTTTTCGTATCTAAAATTTTGTTGAAGCGCATGAACACCTTCGGAAAACCTCTGATTCAAAACGTTAAAAACTGATTGCAGTTTTGGAAACAAAAAAGGATGGTACGACAAAATCTCAAGTCCGCAAATCTCGAGGACCGTAATCTTGGAAACCAAAATCTTGGAGACCAAAAATCTTCTTTTTTAGTCTTCTTTATTGCACTTTATCTACTTATATTCTTTTGTTTCGATCACCGAATACAATTTCTGATAAAATCTATTCGCAAAAGCGTTGATTTTTACTTTGAAAGATTGTGGTCTCCAAGATTTTGGTTTCCAAGATTACGGTCCTCGAGATTTGTGGACTTGATGCCGTGTTCAAAGTGATTCCGCGAAATTCAAAATAGCCGTCAGAGAAAGAGAAAGATAACTGAATTTTAGAGGGTCAGAGACCATTTCGCATTTCGCGGAAATTACTTTGAACACGGCATGAGATTTTGTCGTACCATCAAAAAAAGTATTCACCCCGTTTGCGCCGAGAAACGAAGATTGGCATATTTTGTGTGAGGATTGACTCATTTCGCGTGAATATTTAAGATTTTTTTAAAATTATTTAATTGTTTTTGAGTATTATCTGAAATTTTTTAGTCATTTCTGTTATTTTTTCTGATTTAAAGCACACTTAAGTGCACTTCGTATATTCAATCTATGATACATTAGGAGAGCGATGCAAAGAAGCAATCGAATTACCACAGAACTTCCAGGTTTGTGTTTGTGTTTTTTTCATTTTTTGATATTATTTCGCTCTCTTGATTTTCTGATTCTTCCGCGTTAAAAAGGCTCAATGAGTGGTTTTTGGTCAACAATAAGAAAAGTTTCTCTTGATATTATAGAGGTATCAAATAAATAATCAAAAAAAAGCGGAACCTGGATAAACATTTTTGTTCTACGATTTCTCCGTTGCATCGAGGCGTCGTGTGATATTGCTGTTTTTGCCTGAAAAAAAAAATTCATTCTCTATTTTTAGTGAAATTGGCGAGAATTAGATTTGATTGCTAGTTTTTGACACATTTTTTAGAAAAAACCTTAAGATTTATTTTGAATGTGAAGCTAAGGAAATTATTACCTAAGAGAAATGTTTTTTTTAATTGTGTGCCAAAGCGTACCACTGTAATGCACCAATATCTTACGAAGTTTTCGAAATAATAAGAATTCAAAGGGGCTCATGTTTTTCTTTTTCAATTTTTTTGAGAATTTATTCGAAATATTTTTCGGTAAATGCTTGATATCTTTTTGTAAGGCTGAAGTCTGATTTCATTTAAGATTAGAGCTCATGTTTATGAGAGTAAAAACAACGTTAGGCTGTCTTTTAAACCTGATTTAGGCTTTTGAAAGTTGAGATTCGTTTAAAAATAAATTATTTTCTGTCTCTCGATAAAAAATAATGCTCATTGAACGTTCAAGAACTTATTTTGAAACTCATTAAGTCGCTTAAACGTCACAAAAAAAAACTCGGATAACCTTTGGATTTTTTAAAAACACATTGAAATATCAGTGATGTTTTCGAAAAAAGATTTAGTGAAAAATAGCAATTTCCTCCTGTGTTCTTTTTAAATATTTTATCGTTGAATCTACTTTTAAACTCACCGAATCAGTCAGAAGTCTGACGATAATGGTTAGATTAACTGAGTTAGTGACCACCGCCATCACCACAACTAGATAAAAATAGAATGTCGCGAAATCCACAGCGCAAGGCTGATTCTCGGGCTCCCAGGCCAGTCGTTTAACGTTGTAGATGAAACCGCAGCCAACTGAAGTCATTTGTTTTTCCCTTTGATAGTTCGTTTTTCGTACCTGGTGTCCCTAGAGCAGCTAGTACAATAGCCAGCGACCAGAAAAATGCCAAAGCCAGCTGAAAATTCAGTTTGATAGATTAATTTATCTACGAAAAATTCACATTTGTAACGTTGAACTTTGTACTTTTATTGTAGTGGTTTGGAAGATAAATAGCGATAAATCGGTTGAAAGCCATGCAAAGTTGGGTGAAAGGGCCTGAAAAATGGTTTCAAAGGCGAACAATCGGGGATTTTTGAAGCCCGTATAGAGTTTTGAATTGATCTTCTGACTTTAAAAATCATCGCAAAATTTTTTTCGAAAATAAGCCAAAAAAAGAAAAAAATTCATTTTTTTACCCATGATATAAGGACACCAGCCGCCGAATTGTCCAATTAGAATGTTGCCTTGGTGCGTGAGATAGTATTTGTTACTGAAATAGAGTTTTTTTTTCTCAAATATTCAAAGTTCTTCTGCTCACATCAAAGTGCAGGGAACGGACCAGAACAGAAAACTTATGCAGATTATAGTGTTGCTGACAGTTTTTGAAGCACAGACTTTGAAAAAACCGCTCAATTTCGCTTCGGAAGCTATTAGACCGATGAAAACCATCGCGTTGGCGATTATCCCGTAGAAACTTATCTGAATTATAGGTTTTATTCAAGTTCTGGGCTTTTATTAGTACTCAATAGATTGGATATCGTAAACAGTTTTCTGTACGTTTCAAAGTAGATTGTTAAGAAGTTTGATTAAATGAGGGTCATTTTCGATCCGAGCGATTTTTGATTATTAAAAACTAATTGCAAAAAGAAAAGCGGTTTTTAGTAAAATGTGAATAATTCACACGACTGTGGTGAAATCTGGAAAAAAATACATTCAAGGCTAGCTTGCCAAAAAAAAGGTAGGCCGCAACTCATAGAAATCGCTCTGAAGCACATGTCTCCAACAATCACTGATCCTTCACAGTTTACGATAATACTCGAATTAATTCGATGTTATAACGAAACTAGTTTTTAAGTTTAAAAAATTGCCAAATCTAGCAACTTACTACTGCCATAATAGCTGAAGAAACATATCGCTGAGCATCCGAAGCCGTGTCCATTTTTTTTTTTGAGGGATAATATTACTGGAAATTAACTTTGAAAAAAACAACCAATAAAACCCTGAAATAAAAGTAAATTACAACTTCTGACAAACATCAAGAAATAAATGAATGAGATCTTGCGAAAGCTAAATAAATAAAGAATAATCTAATTCTGGCGGGTACTTGTTTTGTCTACCTAGTAGAGTCTGAGTACGGAACGTTTCTGTTTTTTTTTCAAACATCAAAGAGTAGTTTTGATATTAAGATAAAGATATACAATTAAACTGGTGACTTCATGGAAATTTAGCTGGAAAAAAAGTGTTTTTCTGAGAAAAAAAGTTGGAGAAAACAATCATTAAAATTTTCAGCTGCTTTAGACGGCAATTAAAACTCGATTTCTGAAAGAATCTTTCATTTAAGTTAAGGTGAACTAAAAAATGGAAATTTTAGCGGACCGTAGAAGTAAAAAAAATTCTCACTCTTTTTTTTTTAGAGAAATCGAGTTGAATAGTTGTTATTCGCTTCTTTTGAACACATAACTTTTCAGTAAAAAAAATGAAAAAAATAATCTGGAAAATTTTCTCTTCAGATTGGATTTATAGCAAAACAAGGCAAAGTACAGACAGCTGTTTCGTGACAATTTACCGTCGTCGATTTCTAATTCTAACCTTGAAGCTAGCAATCAGAGCACCTTCTTTGTTGGGCATAAAATGAATGGAAAAAAATTTATTTTTTTAGAAGAAAAAAATATAATCAGAGGCTCCGTGAAGATTTTTATCCGTCGAATCGTCAAAATTAGAGAACTCAGGACAAAGACGGTAGCAACGGCGAAGTGATAGCACGAGTAGATGACGAACTGAAAGTAGAAAGTATTCATTTTTGAAACCAACTGGACATCGTAACGCCTATCATTACTTATCCAAAAAAACTTGAAAAAAATCAGTTAAATTTTTGAAAAAAATTTTTTTGAGAAAAAAACTTGATGAAATCATCTCAGATTTCTAGAATACATCCACTCACGCAGAAATTTTTTTATGAGTTTCAAGTTAAACATTTTTTTAAATAATAAAAAAACGGTCATAGAACGATGAGCTACAGTAAACAATGTCATCTATGGAATCAAATCTTTAAAAAGTGCTAAATTTAATAGAATCAAAGCTTTTTCATACACGGCTCACGCTGAAAGTTCACCTGAGGTCTAATTGGAACTTTAGCCACTCTTACAACCAAAGTTGTTAAAATTGTTTGTAGAACCAGAGCCAGAAAAGTGTTCAACCCAAATAACAAGCCAAATGAGTCGGACTTTAGCTTGGACGCCAAGTTGCACCTGCAAAAATATTTTTCTTCTATTATTCTTTAACTTTTGGAAAAAACTGGAAGCTTGCGTTGCAAAAAATGATAAATTTTTTTTTTTGAAAAAGGGCCATCCCGAACGCTGTTCAGAACAACTTCGAAATTCTCTAAAAACTCACTGAGCCACGGTCATTGAAGCTTGATAGATCACTCTGTAGAGGATATAACCAATGTACATCAGAATAATGGTTTTCGATTGGGACATTGAGAGTAGGAGAGCGCCTTGGAATAAAGATCCAAGGGCTAAGAAAAATTCTCCCCATTTAGTCCAGTCAAAGTTGAGTTTTTGAGTCAGTAGCACCACAGGAATACCTAAAATAAATCAAGGATTTTTGAAGTTTTTGGGAATTGATCCTACCAAAAAGTGGGACCAGAGCTTCAGTGATACCATTGAACTTATCAGCATCGTCAGGTAAAGATCCCCACAAGGTTTGAGTGTAATTTGTGACCTAAAAACGAAATAAAAAATAATTGCAAGGAAAAAAAAACCTGGTAAAATGCACAATTCGCAAGTGCCCACCAAAGGGACCACTTTAAGATGAACCAGTCCGAATAAATGGTTATAAGGTCTTGATAAATGCTTCGGAAGTATAAGGAGAGGTAGTCTTTGTATTTGGCGGTCTCTATTTTCTCCAAAATGTTTTGAACGCCTGAACTTGGATATTATTCAAACACAAGGCTGAGTAAAATTAGCGTTAAGGAACGACTTTTTCAAAATTTTTGCCTTTCATGTGAAACTAAAACTCACCTTGAGATTCTAGCTTCCGTTCATAAGCCGTAGACCACTTTACATTGGGAAGAATGACCGCCACGGCGACGGCTAGGAACATGGCGACCAGAGAAATTATGTTCAAGGTCATATAAGATCCCCAGTTCAGTAGAATTATCAACTGAGCCGTGGCATAGGCGGTAAATCGGCCCACGAGTAGTGCGGCTCGGGAGTAGGAGGTGGCACTGAAATCAAGATTATTGTGATGTTGAAGAGAGAAAGTTAGGAAGAACGATGAGATAATTGCGAGAGGAAAGGAGGCGGTGACTAAGCTTTTTCTTAAAGTGTTGAGAGGCTAAAGTTAGATTAAGACAAGTAAACTGAAAAAAAAATTAGTTTTTTTTAACACTGAAAAAACTGAATAATCTTATCCAGCTCTCCCGTTCCTCGGTAACGCAAACCGGACAAGCCCGGGACGTTTCTGAAACTTTTAGTATTCAAATTTTAGTATTCGGGATCTCTCGAAATGCTCAGAAACGTCCGGTTTGCGTTACCAAGGTCCGAGAAATTTTGATTTTTTTTTGATGACCATAGGGCACACAAGGTTCTTCTTATAACCATGTGTAGAATAATATATTCACGAACCTCTTAAATTTAGTTTTGGGGATCTTAACGTAGATGTAGGCAAAGTAGGCGACTTCTGTCGCTGTGGCCCAGCCGTAAAACAGTTCTAGGAGCTGAAAACTGCTGTATTAACATTCTAAAAAGAATTTTTCAAAGTTTAAAAAATCACAAAAATAAAGGGAAAAAATCTCGTCCAAAAACCAGCCATTATTTTATATTTTTTTTTCTCGAAAGATAAACGAATATACGGATATTAAGAAGATAGACGAGCAACTAACACGCTGTGATTTTCAAGTATTTCTGCAATTATATTTTCGAAGAGATTTTCACCTGTTGATTCAGAACACTTCTTCCAAAGACTAAAAGGAGCCAGCACAGAGTATAAGCGACAGCTTCAAAAACTATCACAGGTTTATAAAGTAAGACGTCTGTCAGTAAAAAGGCTGGAACCAAAGTCACCATATAACTGTACGTCCAAATTGGGTAGACCTAGAAGTTTAAAATTTTGAAAGAATAAAAGAAAATAAACTCACATCCTGGTTCAAAACTTGTTCGGAAATGTTCAAGGTAACGTGTTCGTAAGCGTATAAATACGGCTCTGTCGGCCGGAATTCTTTCAAAAGGCCGTAAAGACATAATAAAACTATCGTCTTAGTGTAGCCCATGTTGAGGAGGGTTCTGAAAGTTCAATTCAATTTTTTTTTCAAATTTTAAATTTAGAAATTTTAAGTTCAAATGAGAGAAAGAAAGTTTCGTGAAGGTTCAACAATAATTAGAAAAAGTTTCTTTGTGCAAGGAAAGTGGAAAAATATTGTAGAAGTATACAGCTTTTGCATAGGAATTAAGGTCGAAATTTTCAATGATTATGATATTTTTCAATTTCGCAAAATAGTTTAGAAAGCAAGGTTTTGAGATTTAAATATAAAATTTTTTTCTATAAACAGTTCTTCTAAATCATAAAGTTCTCAAAAAAACGAAATAGATTTTGGTAGATAGAATTTAATAGAAATTAATAGAAAAGGTTTCATCCACTTCAAATCAAAAATTATTGTTCCTGCCTCGTTTTTTTCTTTCAAAAATGTTTTCTGCCACAATCGTTTAAAAAAAAGGTTTCTGACATGAGTAGTTTTCGGAAATTAGTTATTCACACGCGAAGCTCTACAGTAACCAAGTATTTTTCGAGAAGAATCAGTGGAGAATTGAGTACAAATGAACGCAATGTGAAACGGATGACGGCAATCGATGTTTACGGCGTTCACTTTCCACAAAAAACAATAGTTCATTTGTAGAATTGCCCTTTCTGTCCGATTTCCGATACATATAAGAAAAACAGGAGCGAAGTTCAAGAAATGCGTAGGAAATAGTACGAAAAACAGTAAAATGCGAGAAAAAGTTGAATTCGAGTTGATTGCTGCGATTTATATTTGTTTAGAAGATTACCTAAGAGAATCTCGAGAGAAGAGGTTCAGGAAATAATAATCGGAGGTTTAAAAACGAGAAAGATCAATATTCACACTTCACACATCGTTTTTTTCACGACGAAAACTGAAAGAAATAGACTAGAACGCCGAGAAAATAATCATTTTTCGTCGGATTAAAATGGTGAGATGCTTTCCTATGCAGTATTTTTCTGATAACGGTCCAAGGGAACCTGAATTTTTAATGAGTGTCAGTCTAAACTTGAATACTAAAGCTTATTAAAGAAGAAAATCAATATTAGGAAAAAGCTCTTCGTCTAGAAAGTTTCCTTAAATTTAACATTTTTCTTTAGAAAAAACCTCAGAAACCGGTCGTTAACGTTAGTTTTTAACCTAATGGGAAAAATCTAATTCTTTCTGCGTTACGGTAGACCCAAAGTTTGTGGCGGTGTCCAAAAGTAAGCGAAATTACCTTTTAAATTTCGCAGAATTTTTTTTTTGAATCATTGCCTTTTCACCATGCTATTTCTACGGATCTTATTCGTTATCGAATTTCGTAGTCCAGAAACAATTTTTAATAGAAACGTTTGCTTAGAAAAAGTCCTTTTAGGTGTTGTTTTCAGGTTTTGAGTATCTCCTGCATTTTTAAATATATTTTTTTAATCGAATAGAATTTTATCCAAAAAGTCAATGTGTTTTTTTCAAGCATTTTGAGTATCTCGTTCGTCAAGTGGCTTCTTGAAATTTTCTAAAAACCCTTCACGATCGCTTACATTTTTCGTGTTTTGAACTGGTCTTTGCTTAATTTTTCGTTCAAGTACTCTCTTATCATTTCAGGCCGTAGATGTCTACCATGAAAGTGGACACTCCGTTTTTAAAGCCCGTCAGTGTAAAGTTGGCTTGTATGGGAGCTTTTCGACGCTTTCGCTTCAGGGTTTTCAAAAATTTCCCAGTTCCATCAGTAGAATCATATCTTTTTTTTCCAGTACGATGATACGAAAACAGCGGACATGTTCGACAACTTCATCAACATTATCAAAGTTCAGGCGAAAGATGAAACGGCGATGTTGGCCTGGAGAGGTGAGGAAAAGAAAAAGAAACCGAAAAATTCGCGACTTGGATGAGACAGAAAAAGAAAGGTGAATATATTCAGAATCGAGAACTACGTTTTCTTTCAAAATAGTTTCAAGTCTTGATTTTCCTGCGAGTCGATTTTTGAATTATCATTATTCTCTCTAATTTCCATTTACTTTGGTTAATCCCAAAAGTCTTAAAATTTTCTCAAACCGAAAATGAAAACCTTGATGATTTTCCGTTCATTTGAAGATCTTGTTGATTTTTTTCAAATAAAAAAAAACACGATTTTTATCAATAATTAACTTAGGTTCTTCCTTTTTTAACAGTTTTTTTCAGTTCAAAAAAGATTCTTTGATAATTTTCCTTTGTATGAGATTATGCTGACTTTTCGCACAGACAACGACGGCGATACGATTCTGATCACCTGCGCCGAAGATTTACAAGAAGCCGTGCACAATTGTCAGCCGGGCGCCGACGGAATCCCGATGCTCCGTCTTTTCAGCTTCCCCGAGAAAGAGACCCAGAAAGAGACACAAGAAGAGGAAACGGAAGGCAAAACGTTGAAAAATGTCAAAAGCGAACCGTGCGAAGCCCAGGAGAACTCCAAGGAAAATACCCCTTTCGTCATTAAGAGACGATCCCAAAAGGTGAGATTTTGGGGAATTTCTCGTATTTCAAAGCTTGCAGTTAAGAAAAAAACTTTTTTACAGTATGGATAACTTCTTTTTGAGAAAATTTTTCAAATTAAAAAAAAATAGAACTTTCAACTTTTCGATACATTTTTTCTTTCAGGATTCTCTCAATTAGGTTTTATCAATGAAATAAATCCGAATTGAAAAAAAAAAAATTGAGCATGTTCAATTTTTTTTTTCGAAAAAAGCAATTTTACTGTTTTAGATCATTTTAAATACCAACCAAACGAATGAAATAGATTTTCCGACGTTCTACTAAAATTCCGAAAAGGTTCTTTTTTTCTCAATTTTGATTCAATTCGTTTGGAATTTCCTACTTTTAATTCCAGGGAAGATTAGGCATAAAATGACCTTAATGAACAGTGGAAAACGGTTCTTCCTCTTGAGACTTTTATAATATACGTCTGTCATCCCTCAAAGTTCACATTTAGGGTTTTTGAGAATTCCCAACTCTTCGCAATTGCCCTTTTCTTGAACAGAAACAAAGAAAATGTCGTTCAGCGCTATGCCCATGAGAACATCGTTTGTGACCTATGCGCCTCGAAACTGATGGGAACGCGATTCCATTGCGTCGTTTGCGAAAGCCTCGACATTTGCGAGACCTGTGAGCGCAAAGGTTTGCCGAAATGAAACATTCGAACCGTAAGAATCGTGGGAAAATAGTTTATCATTTTTTCTCTCGTGCTGATGGGGGTAGACCGAAAACGGGGTCTCAGCGGGTGACCCCGTATCGAGCCCGTATAAACGCAGCTGGTAGAACTTTTTCGCATTTCGCCAAACCGTAGCTGGGCACCGTTTCAGCCCAGCTGGGTCTCAGACTTTTGAAATAAACAGCTGGGGACACGTGCTTTTTCTTACAGCCGCTTTTTCTCCGTTTTAGCACAGCTGAGGCACAAATGGCCTCAAAAAAAAGGGGTACATCCGTTGAGACACCTGGCCAGAATGAGAGCCCAATGGGTGTACGGTGCCATTCGCGCGAGATGGTCACGTTCTGAAAGAACAACAGATTGCAAATGACCGTAAACGCAACTTTTTCTGCACTTTTGCTCTAAGTACTGCAAAAAAAAAGAAAAAAAAGGTTCTTACACAAGAGTGGGTCTAATTTGACCCATACGATCTTTTTGGAAGAAAAAAAGTATGACAAGCTGGCGCGGAATAATATATAAAAACTCTGAAAAATTAAAAAATAATCTCGAAAAAGCCTGACTGAGGTCTTTACAGGGGAGCACAAAGAGCACGCGATGATTCGATTCGTCAATTCAAATACCTACCTTCCGGCTGCCCTCAAACAATTCTTACCAAAATAAAATTCTTGTTTTTACCTTTTTTTTTTCATGTTAATTTCTGTGTACTATGATCTCACAAACAATTGCTACACTAATTTATTCGATTTTTCAAACCTTTTCTAGCTTCAAAACGAAGCAAAACGCCCCAAAATGAAAACTTTGAGACTTTTTCAGTGATTCCTTTTTTTCTGTGATTAATTCTCTATTCATCATATGTTGCTTTATAAGTGTAGACCCTTGGATTGTACATTTTAATCCTTTTTGGAAAATAAATTTTCTCGGCTTTTTGATTATTTTTTTCTCTTCGAAGTGTTTTTCTTTTGCGCTTTTCATACCTCTGATTTGCGAGATTTCATAATTTTTATTTTTTAGAAGTGAATCATTCTGTAAATAGATAGCGTGTGGCGATGGAGCGGTCTTCGATCGCCTCCGGTTCGTTTATTTTTTTTTTTTCGTTTATGGAAAGTATATTTCATGACACTTCAACAATTTTTTTTTTTTTTGAACGTGATCTCAAAGAAGGAATGCTGCGAAATACAGAAGTTGTATCGTTTTCGCCAAAAGCGTGCGAAAATTCTGATTTCTAGGATCTTTGTTCGCTGAAGCGTTCTTTCACACGGGAAAAGTCCGAACGACCTCTGAAAGGCCTTTAAAAGGATCTAGAGCTCCTCATCGTGATGCAAAATTGCTTTCCTGAATCACTTTTTTCTCGTATTCTCCTCTTTTTAAAAAAGGAGCCTAAGCCTTTTTCCAAAGTCTTATTCAGATCCTTCTAGACTTGGCCCGAGCAACTTTTTGTAAGTTTCTATTTCACAAACCCCCCCCCCCTTTTTTTTTAAGAACTAATAATTTCGAATGACCGAACCCCTACAGTTGCCCCTGGTTTTTAGCCTTTCTAGAATTATGTAGGTAAGCTTTCTTGAAGATTTTTAGAATTTTTTTATTAGACAAAAGTTTGTTTCATTTTATTTTTATTTCTCCTCAAGAACTATCGCTAACGACTTGCCAACCAGGAGAATCGAACGCCAATACTGATCAGTTTTTGAATTATTATTTTTTTAATAGAGTTTTTTTATATTAGCAGAGAATAACCTTAAAAAAGTTTAGCACTTTTTTCTTTACGGGGTTCAGTCAAGAGTTTTCTCGAATAAAACTTGAATTCTTGTACATTAATCTCTTGAAAAGCCATTGATAAATAAAATAATAATAGTTGGCCGAGTCGTGGTCTGCTGTTCTGACCGGCGTTCCGTTTTCCGACCCCTCCACACTTTTGCCGCTTCTTTATTTCTCTGCCTGCCGTCGAGAGAGTGAGAGGGCAGGTTCACGTGCTTTTTCTTTGTTTTTCTCACCGTCCTATTCGACCGCGAAATGAACGTTTATTTTTGCAGGCTTTTGCCCATTTTCTGTATTTTTTTTTTTAATTTCGAGATCTTTGTCGATTTATTCGTCATAGCGTCATTTTTAAAATTTTGGAAATGCTCGAATAAGTGGATTTTAATATTGTGAAACATATTTTATGCATAATGACGCGTTCAATGGAAAGATGACCTTTTTCGAAATCGAATTTTTGTTGTAAATGCTTTTAAATAGACCTTTTCGGTGCGTTGATATGTTGAGAATCGACAAGTTTCATGAAGAATGCTTTGAAATAATAAAATTTTTATTATTTTTAAAACTTTTCTATTAAAAAAATCAACGAAAGATCTAGGATTTCATAGAGGAATTTCGCTAAATTTATTCCAAAAGAGTTATTTTTTTTTCCAAATTTGAAATGCTTTTCTATACATAATAACGCGTTCTGCACAAGTGAAACTTTTTCGGTCTTCAAAAGTTTCACAAACTTCCAAAAAAAACTGATTTATCCATTTTTGAAATACTGTTCCACGACTGACGATATTTTTTTAAAATAAAATAGAAAGTGCCTGAAACTGAAACTTCTGCGAAATATATATCCTATTCATTGATTTTTTTAAAAAGGTTGATGACATTTTTTTCATAGGTATCAAGTCTGTATGGTAAGCGAAAAATGTTAGAAAATTCCAGAAAAAGGATTTTTTTATTTTTAAAGTATTTTTTTACTCCGATTGCTTTCATTTCTATCAGTAAAAGAGTATGAAACCTTTTCAGGTTTATTTCATTCAAAAAATGAGGATATTGATAGGTTTCGAAATGTAGTGTTTTCATGAAATTTTTTCACTGGAAAAACAATCCATATCTTTTTTACAAGATGATGATAACGGTAGATTTCGTAATAAAGTCCTAATGTTGTGGACAATTTTGAAATGTTTCATAATGAAAACTTTTTTTTTTCTTTGAGGATATGATGACTTTGATCAATCGTGTAACCCAGCTCGTTATGGATTTTTTTTCCCCTGAAATTTATCATTATTCAAATATTGTTTGTAGAAGTAGTATTTTTTGATTTTTCCAAAAAATGATGACTATAGTTGATTTTGTAATTCATTTGAACTAAGTTTGAATATAAAGCAGCTTTATAAGTATTTAGTAATAGCAGAAGGATACGCTATAACTGGAAAACATAAAAGCCTGAAGAGACGTCAAAGAAGTTGAAGAACTTTCGTTTCTCTGCGCCTTTTCCTTCTCGCTTTTTTCTCGCATGTTTTCTCTCGTTTTCGTTTTCTTCATACATAAAAACATGGAAGGAAAACAAAGTTTGGAATTTGTCGAACACTAGTTTATAGAATCTTCCTTCTCATACTATTTCATCCAATCTGAACTTTCTGTGTATCTTGTTGGATCTCCCATTTACTTTCTGATTCCCTAGAAACATTTTTCAGAAAATGCGTTGTTCTTTTTTCTCTCAAAAAAGAAATCGGTGCCGTGTCAAACCGCAAAAAAAAAAACAGAAGCTCAACCTAACGAATGAAATTATTTTTGAAAAACTGAAAAGGGAAAGAGAACGTTGAAGCGGAAGAGGCGCCCAGAGATAGAGAGATGTTTGCGTCTAGGAGATCTACACGCTCTCCTTCACTCTTTTTTTCTTTTTTTTTTTTAAATAGCCTTAATTTGTTCCGGATTGTTCTCTATCCTCAGATCAGAGTAATCCGCATCGTTACCATATGTTGCGACTTTTATTGAAACTTTATTCTACTGTGCTGGAATGCTACGCGAAATACCGCGGAACTGTCTGCGCTTTCCAGCAAAAAGGAAATATTTATCAACTAAATCGCGTCAAGACCCCATTTTCCTATATTTCAAGTTATTCGTGTATCGGCTATAGAGGATTTTCTCGGTCTAGGTTTTATCAGTACTGCGCTTTCAATCATCCCCATGCAAAGCGGCTGCCGCTTGCTCATATTACGCACCAGCGCGCATTCGAAACGTCGGTGAAGGAGACATTCTAGAAACGTCGGCAACGCTGCCGCAAAACCGTGCCGCCTCCTCTCACCGTCACCTTTTCAAATCCCATTCCTTCTGCATCTCCCATTGTTTACTCGGCTCCTTTTGGTCAGCCGCCTTTTTCAAATCTTTTGGTTTGAAATGGACGGGGACAAAGTCCACCAGACTGAGAAGGAAAAGCGAACTCTCCGCTGTCTGGCTTCAAATTAGGCTTTGAAGGCTTATAGAAAAGTTTCATATTATTCAATCTCTATAGGTGATCTGATAGATACATTTAAAATAGTTTATTTAAGAGCAGCATGAAAGAAAATTATAACTATTGGAATCCTCTTTGATTTATGGCCATATTCGAAGCCATTTCTGCGAAGAAATCTCGAGAAATTTCAAGAATAATGAGCTCCTTGCAGAAGCTCAACATATTTTCAATATAGAAGGCACCAGTGCTCACAGTTATGTGTATCGATTCGCCTCGCTTTTCCCCTTCGGCTCCCACTGTCTATTTATCATAATCACAGATGCCGAGATGCTAGAAGTTTTCCTTGCGCTGCTGAACTGTTACAAAACAACTTTCAAAAAAAGAGCTAGATGTGCGATGGAGCGAGAGAACGTGAGCAGCCGCAGAGGCAGACATCTCTCCTTCTCTGGTGTCTCTTCAGCTCTCACGCTCTCTTGCCTGCGGCGCATTGCTATAGGAAGATGTGTGGAGGAGGCGCTCTAGAAGCGTCCAAAACTTTCCAAGAAACCGTCACGCGTAAACACGCCTCTTTTTCGAATCAGTTCCATCCCTTTTTCTTGCTTCATTTGGTTGGTTTCGCCATTCTTCACCACTCTTTTCAAGTTTTTACGGTTTTTGGCTTTATTCGGAGGAAAGATAGTTTTTCTCACTAGAACTTCTAATTTTTGAAGAACAGCTGGAGTTTTGAGAGCATGTAATAGTTTTACATGTTCGACTTGATCACATAAGGTTTAGAAGCAGGAGTTGATTGATTAGTTTTAGAGACCTATAAGAACGTCAGGACCTATTGAATCAAAATTAAAGCTTTCATTTCAAAAAAAATTTAAAAATTTTCCGTACTTTTTATGACTAAAAGGCCATTCTTGAGATGGTCATTTTTGCACGATTGTTTACAATTCCTGTATCGATTCGGACCTTCTGGGCTCTTATTTTATTCTTAACCGTCATTTCTGATGACGAATTTCAAAAGTGCTCTTTGCGTCGCGAAAACAGTTGCAAAAACAGTACGATGTGCGCTGGAAGCGAGAGAGCGTGTGGAGTCGCAGAGACGCAGGCTTCTCCTCTTCTCTGATGCCTCTTCAGCTCCTATGCTGTCTAGATGGCGGACCATTCGTGTTATCTGACGTCTCCTTAGCTCTCACGTTCTCTCGCCTGCGGCGCATGGCTATAGAAGAATGTGCGTGAGAGGCGTTTTAGAAGGGTCCAAAACTTTCTGAAGAAACCGTCCCGCGAAACCACGCCTACTTCTGGCCGTCGGCTTTTCGAGTCCATTTCATTCAACACATGGTTGTCTTCTTGGCCGGTTGTGCCATTCTGCAACCGCACTTTTCTTCTAAATTCCACTGTTTTTGGCTTGAATCCAAAGCAAAGATCTAGAGTTTTTTGCCTCTTTAGAAGTCCTTGGTTTTTCATAGAGCAGCTTTACTGGAAAGTATCTTCCAACCCTCTTTTATGCAGCCGTTAGGAAAGGCTCAAGCCACTAACTTCAAAGTAAAGTTTCACTTTTGACGACTTATTTCTTCAGTATTACTTCTTCAGAAGACAAAACATCCCCATTTCTAGGAAAACAATAAAATTTTTTCATAGTTTACGGCACCACGTTATTCATAAGGGTGTTATTTTCGCACGATTGTTTACAGCTCCTGTATTGATCTTCACTGCCGTCCTTTTTTACACATCTCGTTTATCATCATTTCGTCTGGCTCTTTGCGCTGCTGAACTGTTGCAAAACCACTTTCAAAAAAAAAAAAAAGAAGCAGATGTGCGATGGAGCGAGAGAACGTGTGCAACCGCAGCGGCAGACTTCTCTCCTTCTGTGACGTCTCTTCTGCTCTCACGCTCTCTTGCCTGCGGCGCATTGCTATAGGAAGATGTGTGGGGGAGGCGTTCTAGAAGGGACCAAAACTTTCTGAAGAAACCGTCTCGCGAAACCACGCCTACTTTCCGAGTCCCCTCTCCATTCTTCTAGCTGCTTTCTTGTTGGCCGGTTGGGCCTTCTCGCAGCCGCAGTTTTGAACTTCCGCGTTTTTTGGTTTGATACTGACAGAAGTCTAGAGTTATTCTCAACGACACCTACGGAAGTATTACTAGCGAACGGCTATGAGTATCTAAAAGCTCTCTAGTGACCATTCTAGTGATCATACTCATATGGTCGAAACTTTCCTGAGAGCTTTGGGCAAGCAACGGATAGCTTCTAGAAATTTCCTCTTTCATAGAAATTCATTCAAATTTTTCTTCAAAAAGAACAGAAAGATCAGGAAGTCACTTTCATCCCTAGGAAAAAAAAGGATTCTTCACGTTCCTCACAAGATTCATTTAGGACGTCATTTTCGCACGAATGTTTACAGTTCTCCGTATCGATTTGCCTTGCCTTCTTGGCTCAAAAAGTTTTTGCTTCCGACCTTTTTTTTTTGTGTTGAGAAGTGAGAGAGCGTAAGGGGTTAAGAGCCGCCTAGAGAAAGAGAGAAATGTGTATCTCTGCGGATCCTCACGCTCTCTCACTCTGCCAATGTTTGACGGCTCTTATTTTCGCCTCGGAACATTTCGGATGATCATTACGCACGCCTTCAATAATAGGAAACTCATTCTCTTGAATCAAGCTTCAAAATGGAAGGGACCGACCTCGCCGTGAAGCTCGCTTGCGGCACGAGTTTCCGTCGTTTTCGATTCCATGTAAGGAAATTCTTCTTTTTCAAAAAAGAAACGGAAGATATTTTTTTACAGTTTGACGAAAACGTCAACAATTATGAAGAACTTCTCAAGCTTGTGAGAAAGACCATGGGAAGAGAAAACGCCACGATCGCTTGGCGAGGTAAGAAATCAAAAAAAAAAAAATTGGCGCTTTGAGACAAGATTTCGGTATAAAGGATATGCTCCTTTGAATGTGTAATGTAAAAAAAAATACTACGTGGAATAAAAAGAATAATGAATGCGCTTCGAGTTGAAGGAGCATCTTTTCCGCGATATTCGCAGTCTTGACGCGAAAAATTTCCTTCTTTGCATAGACCTACTTTTGAAAAATAAAAAATAAGAGCAAACTTGTCACTGCGCCAGACTTTCTACGACCTGAAGAAGAAAAAAAAAATGATTTTTTGAAATATTTCATGTTTATTTTATTTTAATTTCTGAAGACTTTCATATAAAATTCCCGTTTAAAATTTTGATTTTTTTCAGATGAAGACGGCGACACGGTCGAAATCACCTCAGAGGAAGAGCTTCGCGAAGCTGTGTTCAACGCTGTCGCCGAAGAGAAAAAGCCTTCATGTCTCCGTCTGTTCGACCCGTCGGAGGCCTTCCCCAAGAAGGAGAAGCTCTCGAAGGCCGGCGGCAACTCGCCGTACAAGGTTCTTGGAAACCCTCGGATGGAGCTGGATGAGGTCGTTGACTTGCAGCATAATCATGTTGCCACTTGCGACGGCTGTGAGCGAACGGTGATTGGCCACCGGTTCCGCTGCGTCATCTGCCCCGACTTCGACCTTTGTGAGAGCTGTGAGCGCAAAGGTTCGTTTTTTGTCATCCTAAGAAACGAATTCTTTGAAATAACATTAAATGCGGTCTTCCCAGAGTAATATATACATAGGTATAAAGATAGCATCTCCTTAAGGTGCCACTTTCCAGGTTACTTTCAAAAATATATAAAGTGCGGCGAGTGGCTACTTAAAAGGAACATCTGCGAAAATGGAAAAGTGTTTTTTCCATTACAGGGGTGACAGAACTTCAATGATAGATACGAAATCGACTCGGAGAGATTCGAGTCTAAAAAATTTTGAGTGATCTCTCAAGAAATTATCAATATAAGAAGCGTTATCAGTAAAATAAAAAACCATATCCGTTGCGAAAATAAATCATTAAAGGACTTAAACTAATGTAATAATTACCGAGTCTTCAGGAGCCCACGAGGAACACGCGATGCTCCGGATCGTCGGCCCGAGGACCCGCATCCCTTGGGGCACTCGTCTTCGCAAGAAGCCCTACAACTATGCCCAACCCGGCTAGTATTTTTCACTTATTAAGAAACACTCTTTTGGGCTTCTGAATCAGACTTCTTTGTTTCGAATCTCTGCTCTAAATACACATTTCGCCTGGTGCAGATTTGAAATTAAACGGCTGAAGCTTGTGAAAAAGCCCAAGAATAAAACTTGAAGGCTTATGGGCATCAAAAAACGGGATTTGAGGTGAAGGCAGTATCTTGTAGAGCCCTTCATTGCGAGTCGAACGGTCTATTCAAAAAAGTACAGATATGAGTTATTTTGAAGAAAAACGCGTTTTTATTTTTTCGCTACTTAGTTATGAATTATGCGTTGGATCGGTGTACAAAAATCTGTTTACAGTAGCCGTTTACGCGTCACTAGACTCGCATTTTGCACGAAATAACCGGATATCTGCTTCAAATCTGAACTTTCTTTTTTCCAAAATCATTTAGGCGAAGACATTTTTCTCTTTATTACGACTTATATTCAACGTTTCTTTTTTCAGAAGTTTCTTTGGGTGAAGCCCTGCACGACTATTTGCGTCCAGGTTAGTTCAAATCTAGTCACGGGATCAAAAAAGTTTCCTTTTTTTCCAGATCCGGCTGCCTCGAACTCTTATCCGGCTCCGAACGCGCCGAAGACCATTCAGGACAAGATGAAGCATTTCCAGGAGCTTTTCGGAAAAGCTTCGGAGCTCGCCTGGAACGCCTTCATTCCCTTCGAGGGCAAGCAGCCAAAGAAAGACGAGGAGCTCAAGAAGGACGAGCAGGAACAGAAGAAGAACAAAGAGGAGGAGGCCAAGAAGGAGTTCGTCAAGAAACTCGCTGCTGATCCTATTTGGACAAACGTTCGTAAAGTGGAAACTTGAGAGGATATTTCAATATTTATCTTCTCCCAATGCGATTAGTGGACGTTCATCGATCGAATGACCTCTTGAGTGGCCATTCAAAAATAATTTTTTAGTTAGAGTGTCATATTAAATGTATGCAAAAAGCTAAGAATACTCTCACTTTCAAAGGGTCTCGCTTTTTTTTTCCCATACAGCTGCACATAATTTTTGGAAATATCAAATAAACTTCAAACAGTTCCACAAAAAATAAGATATTTATGAAAAAGTGAATTTTTGTAGACTTTGCCGCAGTATGTCCTTTGCTATAAGTGTTCACTTAAGAATTTCAGTTCCTTAAGTAAGATAATGCTTGTGTGGATGTTGAATAGATTAATTCAAAATCGAGCCGATTCGATTTCCAAGAAGAGTTTTTCAGGGCATGCAAGAAGTGAGCATGTTTGGCAAGGAAAAGCGTCGCCGCGAAGAGGAATTGATCAAGAACTTTTGTCGCATTGATATGACTCCTCCCCGGTGCTCCCATCGACGTGCTCCCCAGTTGCAGCCGGGCGTCTTCGGTGCGCCCTGCGCGATCCCGTTCAGCAAGCCCCATTTCTTAGCAGACTATCATGAGAGCGCAAAGGAGGTGATTTCTGCGAGAAGTGTGATATAAATGACCTCTTAAGAGCTTTTAAAGTCGTGAAACACGGGGACTTGCAATGATCTAACAGTCTGAGATTTCTTTCTCTCTTTCTCTCTCCTTTATTTATAGAGAACAGGAGGGCGCAGACAGTCAGACTGTTCAGAAGTTTTGATGTAATCGGCCATTCAAAGGTTTGAAAGCCGTGGAACAGCAAAAAAGGACGACTTTCAGAGGTCTAACTGTCTGAGCTCTCTTCCTCTCTCCCACATCATGAGAACAAAAGGACGCAGAGAGTTAGATCATTTGGAATCGCGACGAATAGAGTTAAATTGATAAAAAAAATGTCAAGGTTGCGGAATTTGGAACCAAAGGCAACCATTGAGTTTTTGAGACAATAAGTTGAATAAATGGTTTTTCAAGGCTCAAAAAGGCGTAAAACAGCTGGAAACGACGGCTGGCACCAGTTCAACTGTCTAAGCTCTCTTTTTCCTTCATCTCTAGAGAATACGAGAGCGCAGACTGTTGTTTTTTTTTTCGAAAAAAACATTATGGCCTTGATGTAGGAGATAATTTTTTCCGAATGAAGAAAGACCTTTTTCAATAATAATAATTTTTTGAACTTGCTGGTTCCAGACCCAGGATCCTGTGGAGGCCAAGATCGAAAGCTTTAAGAAGACTGCCGACGCGTTAGTTTCCCTTTTGGCGTTTTCACAGTCATTTTTATGTTTCAGTTACAAGAAACTCTCCGAGAAAGAGAAATGTGCCGCTTCAGTGCTCAGCTCCATTCCCACGGCCTGGGCTAACTCGGTGGGTCGATATAGAACTTGAGATGACGGCAAATTTAGTTCAAAATTTTAGGAAATTGAGAATCTTTCCCTCCTAGAGCTACGGTAAACATTTGGAAAATTTTGCGTAGCTTTGAATTTTTTTGCGTTCGAAAAAAGGAGAGTGACATTTCAGCCTTGAAAATGAGATCATAGAAATCTCAGTCTCTATTTTAAAAAAAATGGTCAGCAACATCAGGTTCAGCCTGTAGAAACGGCTCGGAAAATTTGGCTTTTCCTAAAAAAAAAAGAAGAGCAAATTTTTAGCTTTGAAAAGTAAGAACATTAAAATTTCAGACTTACTCAAAGAAAAAAAAATCAATATTGACGTAAACTTGAGCCAAAAATCACATTTGCCTTCAACTTTCAACGAAGTTTTTTTTGCAGGGTGAATTCAAACCAGAAAATTTCAACGTGGTCAACTTCGAGTACCCGCCCTTTCCAGAAACGGAATACCCTGAAAATCGGCTCACCGACCATCAGGCTCAATATGAGTCTTTGCTGAGATCTCACCAAGAACAATTGAAAGAGACCTTGGCTCTGAACGAAGAGCTGAAAAAAATCCAGGAAGCTCTACAGCTCAAAAAGGTGTCCGTGGAGCCCTCGGCTGAGATCAAAGCTCGACTTGAAGCTCTAATGGAAGTCCAAAAGAAGGCTGACATCAAGTACATCGCTGAGGAGGCTAAATTTATCAATCGATATCGCGCTTCCAGAAGGGACTTGAGGAAACCCGTGAACCAGGATGAGCTCAAGGCGGAAGCTGAGCCTCAAACGAAAGCTCAAATGGAGGCGAAGGCGGGGGCTAAGGCTGAAGCTGAAGCTCAGTCCGAAGAAAAAGCTGAGGCTGTGACTCAGTCTGTTGGAGAGATCGAGGCTCAAATCAGAGGCGAGATCAAGGAAACTCTCAAGCGCATCGAAGAGCGATGGCCGCAAGGAACTCCGATCCTCGAAGAGTCGCGGTCTTCCAGCTTCGAACACCTCAACCACTCGAGGTTAATTTCCCTCGGAATCCCGAAAATATAGGATTTTTTTTCAGCGACAACGGCGTCGTTCCGGAAGGCGTCTATAACACCAACTTTGTGCAGAACCCGGAGTCGTACTATTCCCAGCTCCAGGGCTCATTGGTTCAGGTTCGAGTTTTCAGACGCTTCATCACCTGAACAATGTCATCATCTGAAAAAGAAATAGTTTTTTTCGTTCTTGAAGTTTTCAAAAAATCTCGATTCATTTATTTTCATCTCCTAATAACCTTTGACAACTTTGTAAGTAGGCAGGAATCAACGGATGAACTTGATGCTCACCAAGATTTTATGAGTTTACTGTCAAATGGCCTTCGTGAATTTTTCCCATTAGCTTTTTCTTTCAAGGTCACTTAGTTACAAGCCCTGAATAATTGGGTCTACTCCTGAGACTTAATTCAAAGATCAGTTCAAAAAACTACAACTGGAAATTTCAGCCAAAAGATAATGTTACTTGACGGTTTGGAATTTTCAAAAACTGAGAAGTTGGACAGGTTGAGAGTGTTATATCTTTGTCAGAAACTGCTCTGACCAACTTTCAGAGAGGTTCTAGTTTTCAAATCGTTTTTTTGTACATAATGTCCTCTCAAACATCCTTCATTTGTCAAGAAATCGGAGCGAAACCATGTGGTTCCAGATGCTGAGTGCCATGGGCTTCGACTCGGACCGTTCTGCGGCCGCCGTCGCTGCGTTCGACGGGAACATGGCCAAGTGCATTGACCACCTCATCAGCGAGGATCAATAGAGCAACTCTGTTGATGTTTCATTTCTCCATTCTATTTCATTCCCCGATGTTGAATGTGTTGTAAACGGGATGAAACGCACCTGAAACCACCTAGTAACTGCACAGATTTGCAAAAAAACACTAAAAAATCAAAAAAAAAAAACGAATAATATGAAAAAAACAAAAAGTTTTCCGTAATTCACTTACTCACCTACTTATTTAACCTTTTTTTCCTGTATTTAATCTCTGCACCTTAGAAATAAAGTGGTTTCAGCTAATTGTGAAAGAGAACGTGAAAAATCGGCAGGAAATTAGTCAGACCGCAGAAAAAGAGAACTTTCCCGTTTCTTTCTTTTTTCGCCCGCTCACCTGCGTCTTTTTTTTTATTTGAACACTCGCGCAGGTGTAGTAGGTGAACCACGTGTTTTTTTGTTGAGTTGAAATTTCAGAGGTTACTCAAGTTCTATAGCGTTCCTGCAGTTTTAATGAATTTAAAAAAATGGAAAATTTGTGATTTGAGCATTTTAAGACATTCTCAGCAGGTTAACTTTGAGTATGAACGGAAAGATTATCAATTAATAAGATTTCATATTTTGATTTCTGGGCTTGAATACTTAAGTTTCCGTTGTTTTCTGTTCGTACGCACACTGTGCATCTTTCTAAGTTAAAAACTTTTATTTTCAAATTTTTGAGGGTGTTCAGAAATATTTTCAAAGCTCAGAGCGTTTAAGGACGACTGAATGAATCTTCCAGTGGATATCTCAAAACTCGAACTTCTTTCAATCGTTTTTGTTGAAATTGAAACATTTTTTCCTCTTATAATTTTTTTTGGAAACAGATTCTCCAAAAATTTAGAAGTCGAATTCCGGTATTTTTCACGGTTTGTAAATGATTAACTCTATTCAAATTAATAAGAAAAATTAACTTCGTGCTTGACTCTACTAGAATGCAAGCCTTATTTTAAGGAAAAATCTGGAACATTTTTCATCCCAGAGAATCTATTAACAGCGAAATGAATGACTTCAAACTGAATTGAATCTCGAAAAAAAGTTTTTCACGGAGAAACGGAGATTCTGACGTTTTGAATGATGGTTTTAAGTGAATTTAATATCTGCCTTTGAAATGATGCAAAAACTGCAGAACCTCTGAAATTTCGCAATTTTTTCTGTTTGTTTGTTTGAAATCGAAGAATTCTGTGGGCTCAAAATTGATTGGAAGTCTAAATTCGGCTTTAAAAATGAGTATACCAGCAAAAAACTTGAAATTCGATTCATTTACTCTGTAAATGTAAATACTCTGTAAATGAAAATCTATTTTTTAATCTATTTTTTGTGTCATTCTTAATCCAAAGTTTTGTGCATTCTGTAGTTTTTCTGACTTCGTTATCAGTCAGATAACAATCGAGCACACTATCGAGTAGATAAAAAGCGAATTTGTGACTAGATTCAAATTGCTCCGTCATTTTTTGCTTTTTTTCTTATAGAAAATCATAAAATTTCAACTTTTATCTCTTTTACAGCTTTTTTTGACCGATGAAAGATAAATATCCCAAATTTAATTTCAGATTCTAGGAATTATTTCGTTTTCTATGTACTCATATGATGCAAACTTCAATACTTTGTATCACTTTGTTTTTTTGTTTTTTAACTTTGAGTCAGAAAATTAGAAAAATTTACGGCCAAAGATTACTTTTTACATGTTTTTGCACAAGAATAGGGCAATCTTTCAAATTTCATTTTGGAGTGAAGTGAAACATTTTGAAATTTAATTAAAATTTCTCTTTTTCGATTTCTTTCCTTATAAACTCACGAACATTTTTTTCCAGTCCAGTGATGTTGATAATTTTGATCCCTTTGCTGTGGAAATTGCCGTGGATTATCGTTTTTTATGCGCCAATTTACTGGTTTTTACAATGGCGCAAACCGGTCAAGTGAGTTTTTTTTTTGGAAAGATGAAGAATTTCAAGTATTTTTCAAGTTCCTCAGCAAATGTAACAGGAAAAATTCCATGTTTACTCGTTTTTTTTTGTGATATTGATCCCTTGAAATCAGTTGTAGGGGGGTGGGAGTTGTTCGAAGGTCAAAAAAATATATCTGTAAAGCTTCTGGAGACCTTTTTAAACAGCCTTTTTTTGTATTTAGTCCTTAATCCTCTTTTGTAGGGTTTTATCTGTTGACATGAGTTTCTGGTGTGTCTCGAAGTCAAAGTTAGCTGTGAGACCCATTTTTTCGCCTCGAGACCTTTTTATGGTTTTCGTGTATGTTCCTTCAAGGATACCAAGGCCTTTTTTTTATAAATTATAATTTCAAAAGCTTAGTTTCCCCTATTTTATCAAGACAAACTTTTTTGGGTTACCATAGTAACTGAAAACGAGAAAAAGTTCAGAAGCTACACTGCCGACGACACAACTATCCATAGGATTTTGGAATCCAATGAGGAAGAAAGAGAACAAGAAAAATCCCACGATAAGGTTTTTTTTTTACTTGAAAGGCTTCAAAAGTTTTGATTTCCAGCAAGTTCTGACAATTGACGGAAGTTCTCCCGACGGCCAATTCATTTATATTCAAGTTCTCACGAAAAACAACCGGCATGAGGCTTTTGTCGCAGTTTCTCAGGGCGGAAACTTGTATCAAAACAGATTTTCATCGGCCGGTATTGTTATTCGTTCGGGAATACAAAAAAACTTGGAATTTTCAGTTGGAAACGATGCCGGAGTCGTTTCCTGCGGCCCTTTGAATTTGGAATTGCGGGTACCTTTTCAACGGTGGCGAGTGTCTTTCAGAGGATATCTGAAGTTAGTTATCGATTCATAGGCTGAGAAAAAAATCGGGAGGAAAACAACAAGGATAATTCAGTAAAAAACATTATCTTCTTACTGTAGGTCCGATGTACGCAGTGTGTTTACAGGAATGCGTTTGAAATGACGAGAATTCACACCAAAGGAATTATTTTTTTATTCTTTAATTTTTCTTCTTTTTTTAAGGGTTTCTTTGATGAACTGAATTCGAACGTCTTATTGGATGCATTGAACACGCGAAAGTTCGAAACTTCGGAATTTTTCAATTCACTGAACTTTTTTCTTAATTGATGATTTTTTTTCCTAATTTTTTTTTTGAAGTTTTAGAAATTGATCGCGAAGCTTTGAGAATTGATCAAACTATAAGCTTTGAAAGTAGCGATACTTCTCGCCATTTTTCATCCCTGATATATTTATTCATTCTGCCTTTCAGAGGACCCGATGAGCAGCAACATTTTGTATGTGTCGGCGGCTGGTGGAAAGCATTATCTAATGCTCGGACTTTCTATAGTAATATGGGTTTGAAGCCGCTTGCCACTGAATTGAGGAAAAACAAACTAGGAATTAGCACGAACATCAAGCTCATTGAACGGTTTCTGTTCCCAATTTATTCATGAAAATTGAACTTTTATTAGATTCCGCACAGCCAAGCTTTTGACGCAACTCGGAGAGCTTCATTTGGAAGTCAAAATTAATGATGAGGCTATTCAGCATCGATTTAGAGGTATACAAATATTTCTAAAAGAAGATCATCCTTCAATTTTCAGGCGTTTGGGAGAAGATTCCACTGGATCTCATTGACAATTCCCAGCAGATAACTTTCTTCCTAGAGGTATAATAGTTTGATCAAGATAACTGGGTCGCATTCAGAATGGCTCGGAAAATTCCTTGAGAGGTAGTTTGGACTTATAGAAGCTCCGAATTCCGCCCTTGTAGTTCATTGGAAATCTAAAAATTAAAAAAAAAGGTCTGCAGGACGGCAACGCAGTTTCACACAAAGTGACGTCATACGACAATCATACCGTAACCCTGGAACACGGTTTATTTTTCACGTCGAATCACAAAGTTCGATCGATCAAATTGAAACAAATTGAGGCTTTGGACAGCTCTAATTTGATTCCTATTGATTTCGATGTCAAAAAAGGTTAGTCTGAAAGTTCAAACAGCAAAAAAAGAAATTTTTCAGAAAAACCAACTTTCCAGTTGAGAAAAGACAAAACTTTGAGCTCATTTTCCTACACGAGATCCGATGGGAGGTTGGTCGATGTTGCGGTTGTCAAGGTAAGAAAATTGCATTTATGTCCATTTATATTTAAAAAAAAAGGATTATTTCGTGTCGAGTTATAATTTTAAAAAATGTCAAAGCACCTATGAATTTCGCGAGATTTTTGTGGCATATTTTTGTAGATTGATTGATTTTTTCTTGGATTTTCTCGTGTAGTATCTCCCTCGTCATAAAATTGAAAATTGAGAACACACATCCAGAGAATTTTTTAGGCTGAGACTTTCATTTTTTGAAAAAAGCAATCTTCCAGAAGCTTAGAATTTTTTAGAAGGGGCAATCTCCTCTCAGGAGGACTTTGATATTACAAAGCTCAGATGCCATTTTCTTTTCAGTCATTTTCTCGAAAAAAAGTTATTTATTAAAAAGGCAGCTTTCTTTACAATTTACTCAACACATTCCCCTTTAAACCTTTTGGAATCCTGTACTAAGCAAATTTTTCAATTTCAGGTAGTCCATGGCCTTTCCAATGGCTTGGCCTTTATCAGTAACGTCAGGGAGACTCTACAAGATATCCCGGAAATAACGAACATTGAGACCTTCCCCGGTAGCCTTTCTTATCATATAAAAGAAAAAATTGAAGTCTTCAGCTTATTTTGCGAGTACAAATGAGAGGAACCGATTCGTGCTGCCATTCAGTCACAGAGCTTGTCAGGATAAATCTTTGGCTGGCGGAAAAGGCGCCAATTTGGCCCGACTTCAGTGTATCACCAAGGGGGTGGGTTTGGAGGAGAACATTGAAAAACTCTGAACGTTTTTCTGATCCTTGATCAATTTTTTTTTTACAGTGTAAGGCCTCATTTTTCTCTTGATTTTTGAAGATATTTCAAGGGCTATTTTTGGGTTAATCTTTGAATAATTTCTACATGGATGCTGAGTATTTTTTGTCCGTGACTATCCATGAATTTTTGATATACATATATTCCCATAAAAGTATTTAATTTCAGTTTCAAGTCCCTCCAGGCTTAGTTGTGACCACAACGGCCTTCAATCATCACATTTCCTCTCTTGAAAAGCTTATCAAACAACTTGAAACGCCTGCGGAAAGCAATGAGTTCTACGTCAAGATCGGACACGAGTAATCCAATTTTTGCCTCAAAATCTGACATTTCTGTCCAGAATCGAAGGGAAACTTCGTGATTCAAGTGTCTCTGAATCGCTTCTCGAAGAGATTCTGGAGCATTTGCCAGAATCGGAATATTATGCGGTCCGATCTTCGGCCGTCGGAGAAGACGGAGCTGACCTCAGTAGTGCTGGCCAGTTGGAAAGTTATCTGGACGTTAGGAAGGATGCAGTGAGAAAATCAGCTGGAGAAGCTTTTCTGAAAATAGCAGCTTCAGATCGTCGAGAAGTTGAAGCTGTGCTGGGCCTCGAATTTCAGGACTGAGGTTATCAGTTATCGCAGGTGAGATCCAAGAAAATTGAATGAAAACTTTATTTTTCGTCATGAAAAATTAAGAAGCAGTAATATATGAAGTTTGACTCGTATAAATTTACATCTTGGTCTTTGAAATACCTAAAAACCAAAAAACAAAAAAAATGGACCGCTGCGTCTTTAATAACCTAAGTCTATATAATTTTCAAATAATTTCATTGCCGTTGCTACCTAGAAAAGGTAGATAAACGTTCTTCTGTGTCTCTAAAACTTTTTTTTAAACATAAAAATAAACAGCTGTCTCTTGAAGCCTAACGGTGTTTTGAAAAAGAACTAGATTGATTAACTGATAGAATTTTTGTTGAAGAAATTACGGTCAACAGCTGAATCCGCCTATGGCCGTTGTCATCCAGGAAATGAGCCGAAACGGCGTCGCTGGTATTTTTTATACCGCCTTGAACCTGCCATACGAAATCTGGCGTTTAGGAGTCATGTTCACGGCGGACCCGGTGAAAAACGACCCAGGAAGGTTGCTGATCAACGCCTTGAAGGGTTGCGGTGAACTGATTGTCAGTGGGGCGGAGACGCCTGACGAAATCAGCCTTCATCGAATTTTCAACAAAATTGAGAAGGTAAAGGGAAAATAGGACACGAAATGAAGCAATTTTCGAGAAATTTTAGCCTGAAAATGGAAAAACTGGATCCAAATTTTGAGCTCATGTACGTTAATGTTTTCTCCACGGACGAAAAGAATCATGTAATTTCCAAATAATTTTTACGTGATCAAGTTAGGGGTGTTCAAGCAAGTCAACTTCAATTATGAACTTTATTGAATTTACTTATTATAAAAAAAAATGGAACTGTAAAGTTTCCAAAGTTGAAGTTTTTTTTTGTGCACACGTCAAAAAGAAATCAAAAAAATCAAGCCATCATTTGAAATCGAGCTCCAAGGCCCAGGGCCCGCGAAAAGGATTTTTCAAAATTTTCGTCGCGATTTTCATTTTTTCGAATTATTACCGTACAGAGAGTATGATGTGAAGTCCGAAACTGTTGTTCTCTGAGTTCAGTTTCTATAATTTCCAACTGATTCTTTCTTGATTTTGAAGACTTTTGAAGGTTTCGAAACTCTTTTTTTTTCAGCCCGAAAATTGCTGCCTTTCGAATGAAGAAATCTCCAAGTTGAGAAATGTTGGAGAGCATTTGGAAAATGTTTTCGGCAAGCCGCAGGACGTGGAGTTCGTTGTAAGGGATCGCAAAGTCTTTGTCGTTCAGACCCGAGATGTTACAGGTAAAACTAGCCTGCATTATTCTCAAAATTGGTAATTCCAGGACTCGACAAGGAGTCCCATTTCGAACTGTACAATGAGTTTGACACGCCAATGTATTTGGATAAAGAAGCACTGACCAATGCGAATGTTGGGTAAGTGTGGTCGCATTTGGAATTGCTCGGTGGCGCGGTCACGATGATTCTCGGAAATTTGACATTTAGCTGCCGATTTCGATACTTTGTATCGTCATCGAGCGCAAGTCGTTTTGAAGCCGGTTGCGCTTGAAGTAGACCGCCGTTTGTCGTCGAGCGATTTCACCTAAAGCTGCAAAAATTAATAAATCTGAAAAAAATGTTTTGGGAGAAAAGAAAAGAAAAAGTTACTTTTAGTAAGTCACGTAGGAGTTCTAATTTAGTTGTGTATGGTATCTCAACCGAGATTTATCTTCATTTTTCATGTTTTGTCGTTTATTTTAGCCATTTCAGAAATTAAAAAAAGATTTTTCCAGTGAGAATCTAGGAAAAAAATTTACAAACTTTTTATTTCATAGTTTTCTTTGTTTAGAGGTCTAAAAGTAAAGTTTTGGAGTTTTTTGAAATAGTATAACAACTCCATTTTTTTATCATTTCGAATTTCAATGTCGGTTTTTTTCTGTTGCTGAAAAAAATTCATTTTATAAAAAAAGTTGAAGATTTTTTTCAACCGAGTTTCGAGAAATTTCTTCTTTTTTAGTGAAGTCCTTGCCGCTCCAATGACTCCTTTCGAGTGCAATACATTGATTCCACTTTACGATAAGAGTATTACGGTAATTTCGACCTATCTTACGGTGTAAATTGTTTCATTGTGACTGTTTCAGGCCATGTCCCTGAGGCAAGTCAATGGCCGTGTCCCCGCACATTTCTGCATGACTTTTGCCGTTCGCCATCGGAAAACTTTTATGAATCTTGGCGAGGTTTCGAAAAATCTTCGAAAAATTGAAAGTATACTCAAAATGTTCAGGCGATGCTCCAAACTTGGGAAAATCTGAAAAAGGATGAAATCACGGATTATGTATTCGCCGGCGAGAAACTCTTCACCGAGGAGATGTTCAAAGACGCCGAACAGCGCTATGGATATCTGAGTCCCCTGTTTCCGATCAAAATGATGTTCGACATGTTGAAGGTTCGCTCAATGGAAGAAGCATTGCCAAAAACTTAGTTGGTGAAAAAAGGCGTGAAAAGTTAGGTTTTACGTTTTCGGGCATGACTATAAGCACAGCATGAGTGTTGTGAATGTTTCTAAAAAGGACAAAGAAGCTCTAGATAAATATCTGCTGAGATAGACGTTTTGAAAATAGACAGCCTATGGAGCCTTGAAATGTGTTATTTATTGCTTTTTTTTTAAACTTCAGACTTGAAACAGTTTTTTTGACGAATAACCTTTTTGCGCTCTCGGTTAGTTCTTCAGAAAAAGCAGGTAGGACGAACTAGCCGCGAAAAAGTGAGCTTCTGAAAAATAAGTTTCTCAAAGGTAACCAGGATGAATTTTCTTGCGCTCCATGGATTTTTTAAGATTTTTATTTGAAAAAATTAGCCAAAAAATTTTTGAAAGGAACGATCATGCAAAACCACCCCAAAAAACAACTTTCTCCATCAGATGACCTTCTACACGTCATACAAGATTCTGAAGCGAGTCGAACAGATTGAGAAGGATATCAAAGCCGTGGCGCCGAATTGTGATCTCGACGTTCATTCAATGTTCAAACTATTTGAGAAGCAGTCGCTCTTGCTTCAATCGGTAATTTTCGAAAGGAATGGATGAGAAAAATGGAATTTTTCGGGAGTTTAGGCATTGTACAGTCATGGAATGCTGTCCATGTTCTCCTCGTTCACCTATGTTATCGTTGGAATGCTCATTCGAGGCTCTGATAGTGGGTTTTCTCAATTTCTATTGAGGGATGTTGTTGAAGATCAGATAAAATTTGAGAAGGAATGCGAAAAAAAAATCTCAGATTATTCCGTGACTGATTAACATAAAGCCTGAAAAGTCTAGCGTCTTTTATACAGCCCTAAACAAGCCGAAAAAAATTCCCTTCAATATTTCATTCTCGATTCTTAACAGTTTTCGAGTGTCTGAGTCTCTCTGTTCCCTCTCCGGCAAGGTCAGAGAAACATGGAAATAGCACGTCAACATGAGAGTATCACTGAAGGACAGGGAGGGCGCAGAGAAGCCCCGCCCTTTCAAGTCGGGAAAAACGGACTATATTTAAATTTTCGAACTATAAAAAGTTTTATAGGTTTTTTTTACATTTTTTCTTCATTAAAATTTTTTTTTTAACTTGTAACATGTTCAAATTTCTTTGCTTGGCTTTTTAAAAAAGAATGTGAAGGTCTTGACGCGAAGAAATCCTTAAAACTGAGAAAAAAAAAACTCATCGCTTCAAGGCCTTTTTTTCAACAATTCAGCAAAGGATTTTAAAAGACGGAAATGATTTCCTTCATTTTTTGTTCCAGGTGGTACTCTTTCCGCCGACAATCTTTCGGATATTGCCAATGTTTTTTCGAACAACACCAGGACAGATGTCATCAGTGCCGATGTGCCGAGTTCTTTAAAAGTAATTTCCCAGAATAGATGGAATAATAATAGAGAAATACAGAAACTAGCCAAAGCCGTTCGAGAAGACGGCCTCGAGGAGGAGTTCACCAAGTCTGAAGGAGAACAAGCTTTGAAAGTGATTGAAGATCGGGGAAAAGTTTCGAAGGAACTTTTGGCTCGCTTTTTGAGGATCCACGGACATCGGTCGGTTATTTTTCGATCAGAGAAGAAAAAATATTTCATCATTTAAAAGAGGATTTACCTCTTTTTTATGTACTGTGATCTTTCTACCGTTTTGTTCATCGTTCTGTGGTCTTTTTACCGAAAGTTCAATAATAATAATCGTATTTAGTTGTTAAATTAATTATCAATAGAGCAAACTTCAGAGGGCCAAAAGAGCTGTTCCTTGACGCCGTGACATGGGCTGAAGACACGGATTTACTCGTTCACACGTTGAAAGTGATTGAAAAATGATTCGAAGCTAAATATTATTTCAAAATTATTTCAGAGCATGCTCGCCTGTCCCGAAATGGCTGAGAAGCTGATTGAAAATACGGATGACATCATCGACACGTTGAAGTGCAAGCCGACGGGACTGAGAAGGTTCTGATAAAATCAAGAAAGGTCACAGAAACCCCTCGAGCTGTCCCTCATTTGAGAAGTCAGCTAATTCGATTCTAGAGTGGAAACTCACCTGTTTCTTTGTTCATTGTATCTAAAATTAACTTTTAAGTGGTTCCTGGGATGATCACTCTACTCAAAAATCGGAAAATTTGTACAGTCATTTACCATCTTTTCTCTGAGAATGGCAAAGTTAGCGCTGAAGGGATTACTTGAGTGGCAACTTCTTTTTAAAAACCCTTGAGTAATCACTTTTTTTCATCAAATTTCTTATCTCATTGGATTCTGATAGATAATCAGCTCAAAAACGTGAGTCGATGTTCAAGTGACCATTTAAGGACTCTACTGAAGTACTTCATCGGTCAGACGCATCGAGGCGTCGCTTTCAGAGAAACTGCCAAGAATTATCTGGTTTCATCGACACACGAAACCAGAAAATCGTTGAGAGCCATCGGGGAGAAGCTTCATCGCATGGTTAACAATTTATTGTTATTTTAATTATATAAAAATTTGCAGGGATATCTACCTGATCCCAAGCTGACCTTCCAAATGACGCTCGACGAGCTGAAAGAGTTGAGCGTGAGCCGCAGCGCGAAGTTGGTCTCAAGGTGATTTTTCGTTTTGGAAACTAGAAAAAAAAGGGTGAAACTCCTTTTTTCATCAAGTTTCTTTGGGGCGCACTTGCTCTTCCAAAAAAATTACATGTTTTTGTTTTTCTCCTTTCTTTATTCGCCTTGAAATTATGAGTTTACTCTTTACCATTTTTCTCAAATTTAGAGCGATCCGCCGCAAAAATTTTGCCCACCACTTTGAAGGTCTACAGTTCCCGATGGTTGTCTACGGAAAAATGGAGCCGGTAACTCAAAATAGTTAGCATTCGAACGATTTCGAAAATGTTCAGATAAAAACAGAAGAAGCGGCGGTTTACACGGAAAAATCAGTGACCTTGACGGGGACGACAGTTTGTGAGGGAATAATTATCGCCAGGGCGAGAGTGGCAAAAAATTTGGATGAAGCCAGAGAAACCAAGGTATGGATTGATGGGAATGGCTCGACGCGTCGCGGTTGCGTTGCGCTTTTACCTGCTTCCTAAGACCTGAAAGAATGCTTCAACGAACTACATATGTCTTCAATTTCGCGACACCTGTAAAAAAGGTCTGAACAGCCAATTAAAGAACTATTTCGAACTTTCTAGCGCTTCTCTATGGTAAAGCCTCTAGACTGCAAAGAAATGGTCGTGATAATTCAATCGAACGTTTATTTCTTCCTAGATTGTTCTTTCAATGCTAGAGAAGCGAAGCACGAGCCCATTTTCATTAAACTTTATCGATTTATTGATTTTTTAGCCCGGTGAAATTCTGATAACTCGCTACACGGACATTTGTTGGTCACCGTTCTTCCCCATAATCAAAGGAATTGTGACGGAAATCGGTGGATTACTGAGTCATGGTTAGTGACGTCATTCTGAGAAGTTAAGTGACGTCATCTCCTTTTTTTCGAAATGTGGATTTTCATTTTTTTCCACTTTTACAAATTTCTGAGAAGGATTTGAAAGTTTGAAAAAAAAGTTGGCAAATTGTATCACCTTTTTTAACGAAATCGACAAGTTCGATAGATAAATATTTATTATTTGGCAAAATTTTGTGCCGTTTCATTCATTTTTCTTGTCTCTATCTATAACCAGTGATTCCGTCGATTCTAAGTTGGAAGTCGTCCGTTTGATACTTTTTGAAGTCGCTTCTAAGTCTTCGGATAATGACTTCATTTGAAAAAAAAACGTCTTGACGGAATTCGTTTCTCACTGTTGACTTAGTTTTACAAATTTTTTTCAAGTTGTCCGAAAATAACAATTTTTTAAGGAGCCGTAGTCGCTCGAGAATACGGCCTTCCCAGTTTGATCGCCGTCACAAACGCTACCAATGTTTTCCGTACAGGTGAATACTCAATCTCATGTCTAATTAATTAACTAATTCAGGTGATCTCGTGGAACTGAATGCGATAAAGGGTACCATTTCGCGAGTCGAAGAGATAGAAAATTGACAATTTCCTTAGAAAAAATATTTATTTGTGAATAGAATATAAACATATCAATGTTAGAAAAGAAATACAACCGCATCGAAATCGATTCAGAGTTAATTGAATAAAAGAAAGCATTGAATTATCAGCATATGGAGAAAGCTCATATCGAGAAAGCACCAACATTCGCTTCCGCCGGACTGAAGCTTGATGACAATCGGAAAAAATCGAAATTTCGACACTCGCCCGACTTCTGGAGACTTGGATTTTCCCCTTCGAATTCCGGAGTCTGTCTCCATAGATTCATAGCAAAATCCTTGAAACCATTTTGAATAACTTATTTTTCGAAATAACTTCAAACTTTCGTTCGTTGATCAAAGCTCAAATAATCATTTTACAGAGGTCTGAGCTAGAACTAGATTTGTATTCCGATCGCTGATAACTTGGCAGAATTTAAAAGCTGATGCAAATCTGAAGCTACTAGATCAAGTTTAATCGGTAAGTGGCCTGTATTTTTGGAAAGCTGACGTCGAGACGAAATGAGTGATATAATTAGATAAGACGTGGCTGCTCTGGGAGCCGAGATATGAGCCTTCAAAGATTTTTTAAAATAATTTTTTTGCGCGTAAGATAAAATACCATCTCCGAGATTGCGCGTCAGGTGAATGCTTGTCTGAGGCACATATCGGTGTACTTTTCTCGCGAAAAAGGAAAAGCTCAAATATTTTTTTGACTTTTCAAGGTTTTTCCTGCATCAATCGATAAAGAAGCTTCTATATAGTACTGTTTTCATATCACTTTTATGAGAAAAGTTCAACATTCGAGTCAAAAAAAGACACAAAAAAGTCGCATTTTTCAGACTTTCTAGCTTCATAACTCAGTTCATTTTGAAGTTACACAGGAGCTGATTATATCAGTCGATTTGCCTTAAAGCCAGCTATCTAATGATATAAATAATAAATCCGATCAACATCATCCAGAAGCTTCAGACTTGCTCCAGCTTGTAACTCGATGTTCAGATGATTTATCACCGAGTTGATTTCACACAATTGTTCGTCTCTAAACGCTCTATCGATCGATTATCCTTTCAACTCGTTTGAAAAAAGCTGAGATGTAAGCTGCGCAAATCCATGACGTCATATCAGTTGGCGGAAAATCTTGGAGACTGATATCATTAGAAAGCTGGCTTTAAGACGAATCGATTGATATATTCAGCTCCTGTGTAGCTTCAAAATGAACTGAGTTACGAAGCTGGAAAGTCTGAAAAATGCGACTTTTTTGAGTCTTTTTTGACTCGAATGTTGAGCTTTTCCCTTAGAAGTGATATGATAACAGTACCATATAGAAGCTTCTCTATCGATTGATGTAGAAAAAGCCTTGAAAAGTCAAAAAAATATTTGAGCTTTTCCTTTTTCGCGAGAAAAGTACACCGATATGTGCCTCAGACAAGCATATGACCGAACGCGCAATCTCAGAAAGTGCATTTTATCTGACGCGCAAAAAAATTATTTTCAAATTTCTTTGAAGGCTTATATCTCGGCTTCCAGAGCAGCCACGTATTATCTAATTATATCACTCGTTTTGTCTCGACGTCAGCTTCCCAAAAATACCAGTCACTTATCGATTAAGCTCGACCTTGAAGCTTCAGACTTGCTCCAGCTTGTAACTCGATGTTCAGATGAGTTATCACCGAGTTGAGTACACACAATTGTTCGTCTTCAAACGCTCTATCTATTGATCATCATTTCAACTCGTATGAAGGAAAAGCTGAGATGTAAACTGCGCAAATCCATGACGTCATATAAGTTGGTAGAACATCTTGAAGATTTATATCATTGGAAAGCTGAAAACGAGAATAATCGATTCATATAATCAGTTCCTATGTAGCTTCAATATGAACTGAGTTATAAAGCTTGAAAGTCTGGAAAATGCGACTTTTTTGAGTCTTTTTTCGACTCAAGAACTCGAAAAAATTCCGAGATTTCTCATTTTTGCCAGAAAATTCTGGAGATTCTATTACAGTATATTACGTGCAATAAAAAATTTAAAAAAAGCCCAGGGATTCATATCTTGACTTCCATAGAAAACACAGCTCATCTAATATAAATATCCGGTTTCGTTTCATCGTCAGCTTTCGGATAAATTGTCGAGATTTTAAAAAAATTGATCGCGAGATTTATAATAATTAGAACCAAATATTTAAGAGAATCGAAAAAAAAAACAGTTGAGCAAATAAAAAGGTCATAAATAACAACAAGATGGGAAATGACGTAACTCCATAATTTATTGCATAATTAGTTGCCTAAACGAATGGAGGTGCTCGCCTTAGACAGAGGCAGGACGGCTCCTTTGTTGGCCGCGATTTCTCGCGTTATGAAAACAGCAAAGACAAGTTCGGGACCGCACTGAAGCAGGTTGAAAACGGGTATATTCACGAGATATCTGTCGACAATCGCGAAATGGGACGAGACGAACGTGACGGAAGAGTTGAAGGTCTGCAAAAGCAAGAAGAATTTAGAAAAGAAAGGAAAAATGAAGGATCCCATAAGTTTTTTGTATCATTAAAAAGCTGGAAAATCGAATAATATTATTGAATAAGTCGTAGCGGCTCTAAGAGCCAAGATAAGCATTTTTGAAATTTTTGCACGTCGTTATATGCCCTGATTTTTCTAAAGCTCTTGTCAAAATCAAGTTATAAGCTCGAGAAAATTTCTTGTAGGACGAGGAACTGAAATTTTTTCACGAAGAAAAGACCTCAAGAGGCCACTTAGGTTCATTTTCTGTGAATAAAAACTCACTCCAAAAAGAACAGCAGAGATGAGGATTTTCGGGACCCGTTTCCTCGCAATTTGCTCCCGTTTCGTGACGAATTTGAAGGCAGAATTCGGCTCCCAGCGATTTTTGAGGTAGACGACCGTGAACATCATAATAGTCGGGAAGAATAAGCTGTTCAGAATCGCGAAAAAGTTCTGAAAACGTTTTCTGAGTTTCTTCTCTTCGGCTTTGAAAACAAGAGCAATTGTCATTTTTCCAAGGAGTACTGTATGTGAAATCCCGCATTTAAATGTGTGCACTTTGTGTGGGTCTATCTCCCAGTTTTTTTTAACTTTTTGTTTATTTCGAATAATTTCTTGGTTCTATTTAGATTCATGTTTCAACAAAAATTCGAAAAATCCCAACTCAGTACACATCAAATTGCGGACTTTGACTTACAGATAATTTCGGAAAACTAAAAGTCAATCTAAAAGTCAATCCAATCGATTACGCGCGTGTTCGTCCCCTCAAAAAAAAAAAGAGTAGAAGCCCCAGTGCACAAAGCTTTTTTGTGTGGTTGCTTCAAGACCTGTGATCTAAAGGTATACGGCCAGAAAAAAAATGACAAGTTGGTTCGGCAGAAAAGGTATCCGAAAAACTAACAAAATGAAAACCCGGATAGATGACCATGTCGAGATAACCGATTCCGTTGAGGTAAACCCGATGAATTCGCGAATAAGTCATACTACAGTAGGTGATGGCCGTCGAGACTATGACGAACGTCGGCGCCAGCAATATGGAATATTGTCTGGAAAAAACTACCCCTTGAAATCTAGAAAAGGATAATCAGAAGGCTTTTTCCCAAGGAATAACAAAGGTTCATTTCTAATGAATCAGAAGCCATAGATCCCGGTCAAAAAAGGAGAAAGTGAGAGATTATGAAATTCTGAAGAGATTCTGAACTGGCAAGAACGCTCTCGTTTCTCTGACATATCTTCAGGCTACCGCTGATCTTCATTTTTCCAGTCTTCTCGAGCTTTTTCCTCTCAGTTTCTCCACAGCAATAGAAGTTTAAAAAGGCCCTAAAATGTTAGAAACACTTTCATTTCTTTGGAGTCTTTTAAAAACGTTTCAATATTTTCTTTTGGTTTTTTTATTTAATCTTGGCCTCATTCAAGGCTAACTTTCGAGCTATTTTTGAGCTTTCTTTCCACTGTTTTTCCTTCAAATAACTAGTAGAAACATACGAATGTAACAAGAATCTATGAAGGTTCTTCCAGAAAATTCCGCCAAAATGGACGAGGGCCAGGAAGAAAAAGCCGATGTGTTGGTGAACAGTGATGAAATATTCGATATAAAGTGAAAAAATGGCGTCGAGAGTCGCCTCCTCGGAAATCGGTCGCTTGGAAGTTGGCGCCGGCGCCGACGATTGCAGAAGCAAATTGCAGGTGCACCGGAACCATGACATCAGAACTATCGTGGTGATAAGGTAACTTGAAGGAGTCTAAAAGGGAAAAAAAAATGAGAATAATGACCTTATGCGCCCCAACGTAATCTTTCGGCTCTTGTCGCGTTATTTACGTAACTTATTCTTTCGAATACATTCTATTTTTTAAAAGACCAGCTAGATATAAAAAACGACTATCGACTATAAAAAGAGTTCCTTTGCGCTCCGTTAAGAATTTTCGCCTCTTGGGCTCGATTTACGCAGCTTTCATTCCATTCACTGCTGGCAATAAAAAATATTTCCGGTTTTTCATTCGTCTTCACTTTCTTTCTCTCTTAAAGCCGAATTTTACAAAATCTGTGTTTTTTCAATCCATTTATAGAAGAACACCAAATCAATCAATTCCTTAGCTTTTTTGAACTTAAAACGAACCCTCTCCTTCCTTCGAACGAGCAGGAAAGCAACCAACGCGTTGACGAACATGTCGATGGCGCAGGCGAAAAACTCGGCGAAAAGCGATATCGTCCGCACTATCGCCAAAAAATCAGCATCTCCTTGTGGTTGTGATAGAGTTTGCCGTTGTATCACGAATATCATCGCGATCCTGCTGAAAAGTCCTGATTTTGCCCTGCGTCTCCAATTACCCGTAGCTCGATAGAGCGAACTTTCAAGACTAAAAACATAAAAACAATCAATTCAGAACATCTTACAGGGCTTTTCGAAGTAAACGAGTGAGGGGTTTAAGGAAAAGAGCGGAGTCTTGATTTTGGTATGGCGCCAGGTAGCTTTTTTTCGGAGAATAATTAGTTCATGACGTTTCTGTCAAGTCTTCATTGAACCATTTCTTTGATTTTAGTGGCCTCGCAGCAGAAATAGAAAAAAAGGGCGTGATTAAAGAGTAAATGAAAAATGTAAAAATTTTCCAATGAAACATACCTATTAAATCTTTACGGCAATTTCTCGATTTTATCTCTAAAAAATTCATTCACAGATGTTCTGAGAATCCTCAAAGGCGCAGAAAGAAGGCAGAATAAGGTCTTATTGCGAAGTTCAAAAAAAAAGAAAATGTAAGTTTCTCAACAACGTGAGACATCAAACAACTAAATAGGCTCAAATCAATGTTTGAAAACTCCAGTTTAATTTCTACAGTTAAAAGGTTGAGTCTTCAACGAAAAAAATCTGAACCGATACAGAGCATTTTTCTTCTCTTTTGAGATGTTTAAAGGCGCAGGGAAACGCCAGAAAAAGGTCCCAACGGTCCCAAAAAAAAAACCATGACTCGAACTTATATAAATCTAAAAAATGTTGGGGTGCTGAATAATAAGCTGTCACTCAGTTATTGTGTAATCCTTCATTCCTCGATATTTAATTACAACTTCCCCTTGTGAATGAAATGAATTATTGTTAACAGAGCGAAACATCAAAAAAAGTACAATAATAGATTTGAAGATAAGCGCAAATCGAAAAATAAAATTCGAAAAGCCCAAAAATTTCCTTTTCAATTCCACACCTACGCTTTTCGAAATTGGAAAACTGAAAATAATCAAAGAGCAATAATGGGAAAGAGATGAGGCGACACAAACAAGACGATCGTTATAAATGGCCCCTGGCAACGGTGGTAGAGCCCCACTCAGGGGAGCATAGTAAAGAACTTTTTATTTTATTCCGGTTTATTTTCATTTCCGGAACAAATGAAACACAGTATTGATATTAGCAAGCCAAAAAAGATGAGGTTTCGAAAAGATGGCGAGTGGAGGCTGATTTACGCCTGAATACCTTCAGAATAAATCCCAAAAAGAAAGGTTTGCAGGAGCTTTTTGTGTATTAATCAGCGCTATGAGGTAATTGGGATCGTCCAGCTAGACTCTCCATTCTTAACTTAATTTTTAAGAGTAAGAAAAAGTGGGTTTGATTAAATTGGAAATCGCCTAGTGGAATTTTTATTAGAAAGATTGGAGTTTGTTCTGGAACCAAACGAGTCACGGTTTATTTTGGTATGACTGTTCTGATTTTGTGATGAAGCATAGAAATGTGGGAATAGGCTAAAGAAAAGGGAGTTTTTGAACAAACCTTGGCCTTATTTTGGTTCAAGTGGATGAGTCGGGCCAGAAGTTCATATTTTTCAACGGAATTTCTCAGAAGGAAGTACTTTCAAAAGCCTTGTTTTGATTCTCATCAAAGATATTTCTCAAGTGCTAGCCTATTTTTTTTTTTTTAGGAAAACATTTTCTAGTTTTTTAGGTTTAAATCCTAAATAATGGTCGATCAGAGAAGTGAAGTTGCTTTTTGAACTACTGAATCCCCTCTTTTTTCTGATGTAAAATACAGCCCCGAGTTCTACTTTCTAACTAAACTGCTGAACACATTTAACAAGAAAGAAAATTTCAATTCTTAAATATTCAGCCTTTTTCTTTTAAATAGCCTTTCAAAAACCTTGAAACTAAAAAACGAACCATTTCCATCCACGTTATGAAGAACTTGACAGCTTTCATGGCACGTTAAATCTAGCCTGAATAAAAAAAAATTTTAAAGCAGTTTTTCGCACAGAAATCACACATGATCATACAAAAATCACTTTGAAACGTCGGAAATAGAGTAAAATATCAAAATCTTTATCATCTGGGAAAATACACGTATTGGGGCGAATTGAGGCTGTCGGGAGCTAAGAGTGGAGCGAAAATATTAGTTATACTTGTAATAGTTGATTCATCGCTAGCTTGGCGATTTAGGAGAAAAAGTATGGGAAAAGGAGAGCGTTTAGACATGTAAACAAGAAGCTTTTTGGCGCCTTTCTCCTCTTTCCAGGCTTTTTTTTCCAACTTTTTTCAGTTTTTTAGTACAAAACTGTTCCCGAAATGAGCATTTCTACATTCCTACAGTACCTTATGAGTATTGGTGGTTTTTCCGAAGAACGAAATGGTCTCGGAACGAAGGTTTTACAGATTACAATAACCTGACAAGCTAGCAATGAAGAGACTATACCAAATACAACAATTTTCTTCAGAGAAAGGGTTAGGAATTGACATTATTAACATCTTGGGAGTTCATGTTCGCTTCAGGATTGTTGATGAGGTCGCCGCGTCGGATCTGGACCATTCCGAAGCCGCCGCCGTAAACGTCGCGGTTCGATTTCATGAACGTGGCGATCGACTTGATCGTGAAGTTGTTCAGCATCTCGTGCTCTTCGCTCTCCTCCTGAAGTTTTCTTCCGGATTTATAATTGTACGGTTTCTCCTATCAAAAAAGACAAAAATGGAGGAAAGCGTCGCGGTCGCGCTGCGTTTTAAAGGATTAAAAGAGTTTCTAACTTTAGTAGTTATCCCGTAGGACTTAAAATTTGAATTAGCCAACTTTGGGCGACATTCCTTTTATAGGAAATCATGAAAAACAGTAAGTGTTCTGAAGAATTGCGTAAGTTCAATAAAAAAACAAAAATCTTTCGAAAAAAACAGATTTGTTGAAACCAATACAATTATATTTTTTTATGAATTATCTCCTAAATCCATCTTGAAAGTTATTTTGAAGACTTTGTCACAGAAAGCCTATTTTTGAATTCTACAATACTTATAAAATTTGAAAAATCAGTAGACTAGAAATCAACAGGGGAGAGAGAGAGGCCAGAGATTTTGCAGCTTTTTTTCCTGGCGTCTCTTCAAAAGCTGTCGTTCTCTCAAAATTTATGAGAGCTTTATATTAAAATTCGTCAGATCGACATTATTTCCCAACCTCTTTCATTGACGGCACATCGAAGCTGATTTTTCTCGGCGACTTGCTGGGTTCCTTTAAAAAAAAAGCCTCGTTTCCTTTTGATTCTTAAATCTCAATACCTCTTTCGGTGCAACGATCGAGTTGGCCAGCATGTCGAGCCTATTCTCCAATACCGTAATTGTACCTAAGCGCCATTTTTGTATTTGAAAATCAATTTTTCACGTTTTCAAACCAAAAATGCCATTTTCCACAGCGATATAAGTAGTTCTGTTGACAACCCTCGCGAGGGACATTCCAATGAAGAACATGATCGCAATAATCGGTGCAAACTGAAGAAGTAAATACATAAGAAAGGAATGAAAGGAAAAAAGAGCTATGTTTAAGAAAGCCAAATCAAAAAAATGCTCTAATAAGAACAGCCGTCTGAAAAGACGAGAAGAATAAGCTGCAAAAAATCAGAGAAATTCGCTCCAAGGTTGACAATACGCTTTTCCGCTTCAGGATTATATTTGGAGCTCACTTTCAGCTACTTTTGTGTTCAACAAATCTTCACCGTGACATTATTCGGCATGACATCGCCAAACCCGATAGTAGTCAAGGAGACGAATGAGAAATAGAAAGATTGGAAGGCCGAAATGCCGTCGGGGCCGGAGATGTCGTCGTAGAGGTAGACGAAGGTCGTGCACATCGTTATGTAGGCTGGAGAAGAGGAAATTCTTCAACTTGCTCTTATACTCTATTTGTCGCTACTTGAATGAGTCTAACTGTCTGCTTTCTCTTTTTCACTCGGAGTCAGGTAACTGAAACAAACTTGAGTTTGCGAGGGAACAAAAGAGTCCAGACAAGCCAGAATTTTCATTTTTGGACCAATGGCTGACATGAACCAATACTACAAAAGACCATCTTCAAGGGATAGAGGAATCAGCGAGTGAAAATAAAAGACTCAGACGTTTCGTTGGATCTCAAGTCAGTGGTGAGAGGGCTATAAAATAGACTAGTTCCTTTTTTTTTTATTCTTTCTTTCAAACAGCAAAAAAACTGTTTGGACTCGACTATACCTAAGAAGATGAAGATGCAAGCCTTGATGGGAAGGCTGATGATCTCGTCGTGATCGATCTCTTTTTTACCTTGAGCTTTCCTGTAAGGTACTGCTCAATGGATAACTTTAATTATTCACGTTTCTTGGATCTTGAAAGATGGAGTTTATTTACAAGAAGTGCTTATTGAGAAACGAAAAATGATCGGACAGATAATTTAAATTGAATTCGAAAGGTCTTCATATTTTTTCTTTGAATAATTTTCAAAATAAGAACTTCTGAAGAGACTACTGAGCCTCCGGAAAAAATACCTTCGAAGGCTTTGATTAAATGATTTTTTATGGACTTGGTATGTTCTCAACCGCACCTTCAAAAATATTATATTTTCCTCCAAGTTTTGACTACAAAACTTTTTTTATAAACTCACTAAACAATTTTCGAGCTCTCAATAGCCTAACTCCCTACCACTTTTGAAATTGAAGGCGAAAATAGAATGAAATTTGCTTCTTTTTTATTTTTTTTTATTTTTTATTTTTTGAAAATATTTTTTCGCACCAACCTAACATGGGTCAACAAGTGAGCATAAATCTTCGTTGAGTTGACCAGGCAAAACTGTCCCAAATCTCGAAGGACCACTAAAGTGGTCGGCAAAAATATGACAGCGTAGGCAATGGTCAGCACTTGTCCGAGGGTAGTTTCCGGGGCGATCGACCCTAAATTGATTACATTAGAACCTTTAATTATTGTTTTTTTTTTCTGATACCGTAACCAGTCGTCGTGTGGACATTCATACAGAAGAAAAAGGCGCTTGACAAGGTCCATTTCAGGTTCTTTTCCGGCTCTTCTAGCTTATAATAAGTGCTGCCTTTGTATTGAGACTCAAGCTTCATCAAATGAATGTATGCGTCCTGGAAAAGAAGTTTCCAATGATTTTTGAAGCGGCATAGAATCAACTTAATCGAATTGTCGGCGCGATAAACGATATATTGATTTTTTTAAAAGAGATCCAAGAATGAATAGGCTTCAAAATGTCACAGAAAGGTAATGAAAACGATTCGAAACATTTAAAAAATCCAACAACTAGCCTGGTGAATAGAAAGTGCGCTCTAAGGCTAACTTGATCTTTTCTTTGCCTTCTCTCGCTAACGAAAACCGGACGCGCTCCGGACGTTTCTGGGAATTTCAAGTAACTGACGCTGCTAAAGGAATCCCTACAGTGCTCTGAAGCGCCCGGGGCGCGCCTGGTTCGCTCTACCAAGGCCCGAGATCACAATGAACATTTAAGCTAAGATTTCAGAAACCCCGTAGAGCAAACTTCTTTCTTTTAAAGCGGCTACTTTTTCATAACCAAAAAAAAAGACCAACTCGAATATAACCGCGAATCGAATCCAGCGTCGTCGAAATATTTGGATGATTTATTTCCGCTTCGACCTTCATCGCCAGCTCAGTTATCAGCGACTCCAAGTTCGCTTCCCTCACTTTGACCATCCAAAAAGAAAGTTATGAATGAACGAAGTCGTATCAGGATGAGAATATCGGAATTAGAGTTTTCAAGTCCTAAGTTAAAGTTGTCGCTTCAGGAACTCGAGCTTGAGTTATTGAAAACTTCAAGTGATCCCTAAGGCAGTCATGAAACTCGGAGAAATACTGAACTAGATTTGAGAAAAAATAACTAAATGGTCACTTAAGAGATTTCAATTCAAAATGATCCCTTCAGAGAGGCAAATGAGAGATTACAGACGATGGCTCAACAACGTTCTGAAGAGACGCTATAGATGTGAGAACACTTTTTCTCTCTGGAATCTCTTCAAAAAACCCTCACCTCGCGTTCATTTTTCCCCTCGATGGTGTAGAACATCAGCGCACCAAACATGGTGTAGGAAAATATGAGAAGCGTGAAGAATAAATGTCGGAAGCCGACCCGATTCTGGCTGAACGACAACCAGTAGATCGACTTGTCGAATCCTAGGTAGGACTTGTTATCTTTTTTCCTTCTTCTTCGTAGATTCACTCCGACTTGAAACGCTATCATGATGTCTTGAAGAGAAAGTAAAGTGGTTGGGTAACTTGCGCCTGACAAAAAGTGGTTTGCGCGTTGAACTATTTTTTCAGCTAAGGTCAAAAGCTCTCTAATGCTATCTCCGCCCTGTGTTGCCTCTTGCTCTTTGAGAAGTCGTGAGAGGGCGGGTACGGAAAAAAAACATTTTAAATCGTTTATCTACTGCGACTGACAAGAAGTGACGTGAGCTTTAATCTATATTCCACCTTAAAAATGAATCTTTCTCGGGTTCTCTCACCCTTCTGTTGTCTCACACCTGTTCGAGTCGTAAGAGGTCGGGCGCAGCAAAAAGATATATTTGAGGTCGGAACTTTCAAGGAAAAGGGCGGAATTTTTTTCAGCTGATTTGGACATCAATCCATTCCCTATGCCACATTTTTAATTTTGCGCGACCAACTATAAATAACGAAGCTCATAATTACTTCGACGAGTTGGAGCCACGGGCTCGCCCAGTGCTCCGGGGGTGCTCATGTGGCTCAAATTGTCGCCTCCGGGCCGAATTTGAGCTCGAAACGGAAGTTTACCGTTAATGTCCAGTGGCCGGTCGCATCCTGAACACTATTTTTTTTTTTTTGAATATTTTACTTAGAGGGAGAGTTTGTACCAATATTTCTCTCATAGTAGCTGTCGATGGCTTCCTGGCTGCTGTACAGGGAGTTTCTTTTGTTTTGCTGTCTGAACTTTTTTCACATTCATTAGTTGAAAATAGACTTTTTCTCACGAAATTCGAATTTAGACTTTTCACTCAGTTTCAAGAAACTCTAAAACGAATGCCCAAGCTCTAACCAAATGGTAGTGGTAATAACTTCATAAATTTCAGAGCAAGGTTCGAAAAAACATTATACTTTAATTATGGCCATTTTTAAAATTTTTTTTTCATAACATTTTTTACAACAAACTTCTCATAAATCGGAGCCGCGCCCCTCGTGTATCTATTTTGATGTGGAGCTTCGGCTTCTGAAGGTCTCCGAGCAAGATGAGAGCTGCTTCCGACGCTTTTGCTCCTTCTGGAACTTACGGAAGTCGAAACTCGCATACTTTTCAGAGTTTTAATGCAATCACAAGAACTCTTTCACTTAAGTTGATCGCACTTAAGATGGCTTGAAACTCAGCGACTTTCGCGATTGGTTTTGGATCGGTTGCGCTTGAAATATAGCATATTTTCGAAGCTAGTTTATGGTTTTCCATTCCTTCTTAGAAGAATATCACTGCTCACATCCTTCTAGCCAACTTCTCCTGATCTTCGTCGAAACTCGACGTTCGGCTCAATTTCCGCTCCGAAGGCGTTTCTTCGCCAGTTGCCGCTGGGCGGTCTTCAGTTTCCGTCGTCGTCTCTTCGGCAGGTTTGTTTTCTTCGACCTCTTCGTGAATCTCTGCGAAAAGTAATTGATGAGATTGATAACGATACCAAACGATTATGTGATTAGGTTCGATTAAAGTTCGTCATGTGACGGTGAACTTTTTTCTCGTCGAGATACATTTTTCAGTGCAAAAATTTGCGAAAGGTCGTTCAAGAATTCAATAACAATTCTTTCATGATCAGTGAAAGACACAAAAGCCCCACACGATCTAGAATTACTCCTAAAACGGCTTCTCATTTCGAGACGTTTATGAAATATGATCATGCTTCTCTAAAAAGCGAGTACTTTAAAAAAAAATATTTGAAGAGAAAAACCCGTTATTTTTAGATCAAAAAATCATCTCTTGCATACAAATTTAATACTGAAAATTGGAATTAGTTGAACTACTCAGAATGAATGAAAATAGAATGAAGAAAGACAATAGAAGAAACTTCTATTCTCAGAGCTCTTGATAAGTGGATGCTTTTTGATTTGAATTACGGTTCTGAGCATAATATATCATACTTTAAGATCCAAAACTCGTGATTTTGAGCCTGAAAATTTCGGAAAATCGAAACCTTGCAAGGCAACCGGCTTGAGGACCTTCCGGTGGGCGGCCATCACCGAAGAAAAATTCTGAAATTTCAAAAAATACAAATTTCACAATGTTTTCCCCTCTCCAATGTTTGCTCAATGTCCACTTTTCCATTTTGACTCCATTCACTTAAAAGAAAAAAAAAAACAATTTTTGGACCGAGAAAGGCAAAGAAATTTTCGACGAAAGGATGGAATGATTGATAGGGTAACATCATATTGAACTGGGAAACGAGACGACGAGAAAAAAAAAGAAACCAAAATTTATATGTCCCCTTCGGAAATTACCTCATGATCGCTGGCCATGTCCACTTTCTATTGGTTTTTGGATTTTGGCCGAGTTGTGGGTACCCTGAAAGTTGAAGGTCTTCGTTTAAATATATATTTCACCTATCATGATACAGCAGGTCCAGTACACCTTTTCTTGATAAGGAAAACAGCAATTTTGGGAAAAGAAAAGAAAACAATAAGAGTTGAAAAAAAGTATCTCATTCAGAAAAGCGGGATTGAGATTTTAAAAGCACAGTCAAAAATCTTAAAAAGTCTGGGAGTATACTCTGACAACAAGAAAGCTTACTTCGTTTTCAGAGCCGAGTTTATTTGAAGTCGAAAATTTAAAATTTTTTTTTTCTTGAAAAAATTCTAACTTTTTTATCTCAAAAGGAAACTACAGCTTGCAAAAAAAAAGTTCGGAAAAGTGCTTGGAAAAGATCTCAATTCAAGAAAAGTTGTTAGAATATTTCCAGTAAAGAAAACGAATTCGGATTCTTCGAAAAGATTTTGAAACCTTAGTACGAAAGTTACAAGGACATCGAAATTTTAAAAAAAGATCCAGCCTTCGAAAAAGACAAGACTTGAACGATTTTCAGCTCAATACATGGTTTACAATGATTGCGACTCCTGAAAAAAACCCTTAGGAGCTGAAACTGCTTCAGAACTGGAAAAAAATAAATCTGAATAAAAAAATATTTGGTTTTTTTACATACTAAACCATCTTCTGACTAGCTCGTTTTTAGACTGCCCGTTTTCAAGCTCATTTTTTTAATGGAACATATTCTGACTTTTAAATAAAGCCTATTTCAATTATATCAGTTTCAAAAATTTGAGTCCGTTTTGAGTAAATCAAAGAAATTTTGAAGGAAAAAACTGAAAATTCCTTTAAACTTTTGAAAATTTTGAGTAGCACTTGGCTCTTTGGAAAACCTTACAACTTAAAAAAGAGGCTGTCAACTTCACTAGAAGGATTTAGGCTCGAACAAATTTTTGGAAAATTGTGAAGAAAGGAAAGAAATATTCGGTCTTCACAACAAGTTCCTAAATTTTCGAACCGTAACAGTTTTTTTATTGGCCTATTCAAGTTTGTTTTTGAGACAAAAAATGTTTGAACTAATAAAAGCTCATTTTTTTATCTTTCGATTTACTTGGCCCCCTTTAAAACTATTTTTTTCCTTACATAGGTCTAATTTTTGTTTCACTGAAAAGGAAGCAAATATATTTCTATTTAAATCGCTCCTTCCACTTTTTTTCCAATAATCGATACCCAACTGCAAAAAAATAGTTAATTCAAATCTATGATGATCCGAAAAAAAAATTTTGGGCGCTTTAACTGTAAAAAACTGAGGTTAACGTCTGTGCCACACAAAAAATACTATTCAAAATTTTCCGTCATTTTTTAAAAATTTTCCCAGGTTTTATCAATATTTAAAAAATACAAATAATTTTCAATAAAATAACAAACTACAAAAGACAATGGTTCAGAGAAGTTAGAAACGAAAAAGATGACACGGAAAAATAAATGGTGTGATAAAATGAGCGGGGAACTGGTTCCGCCTTTGACAAAACTTTCGCAGAAAAGTATTCTTTTCTTGTCTCAAAAAAGAAGGAGTCGCCATTCTTCAGGATCTATGATTTTGTCGAAAAAGTTATGAAGAACAAAGGGACAAAAGTAATTATTGGAGAGGAAAAAACCATCAAGTTTGCGTTGAAATTCGTGTGATGACCGAAGAAAACCACGGCGGATGACCCGATTAGGATAAGAAGAAGTGGAGAGCTGAAAACATCTGTAGTGATAAGGGTTTTGGAGATGAAAGACAAAAGATTGATCTAACTTTCCGTTCGGAACTTCACCAAGATCTTGAAGTAGCCGTATTTTTAACTGTAAACTTTATCCTAGGTTTTGATTTCCTCGGTTGTTGTTGAGGTTATACAGACTTGCCACAGCTTTTTTTTCGGACTTCTGTTTCAACATTTTTCGGTTGAAAATTAGGAAAGGTAGTTTACACACTGAAAATGCTGGAATCTAGAAGTATTACGAAAAACTCAAGGATCAAGTGCAGTTTAATAGAAGTTACCCCTCAACTCGGCACATTGAAAAGTAATCTTTTTAAATTTTGAAATCACAAACTTAAATTTTGAGCATGAACTAACTTTCTAGAATTATAATCAGACATATGAGTGATTTTCAGAATTTGGAAAAGTCAAAAAGATTTACAAAAAAAAGACTTCGAAGTAAAAGATATGAAAAGTTTTCAGGAAGCATATGAGAAACTATCCAAAAAACTAACTAGATAAATGAAGAAAAATAAAGGCTCATTTTCTTCATTTCAATATAGAAAAAAATAGCTCGTTTATACCCGATTTTCTCAATGCGAAAGTATCGAACTTGTGAAAATACTTTTGATATTTGTATTTCCAGTATGTAAAAAATGCACAACTTTTAAAATGCGAGTTTTCCAAACATTTAGAAAACTATAGTTTGTATAATCAACTAATCTCGCAAAATTCATCATTAAAAAGACGTGTTTCAAGTTTCAGTTGATTATTTTATATAGCTATTTTTCAACTTCCATGCTGTTCCATATCGACTAAATGCCTTGAATCTTTGAAATTCTCAATTTAAAAAAAAAACCTTTTTCATTTTTTTCGTATTTTTTTGCCCAGGGGGTTTCGTCTCTTCCCATCCTCGGAAAACTTTATTTGATACTTCAATTTAGAAGAATTGAATCGAAGTCAAAGCTTCCTTCCTTAAAAATAACAATTCAATCTGAAGACAACAAAAAAAGTAGAAAGATATGAACTGAACCCTCATTAATAATCAAACAGATAATTAAAAAAAAATCTTTATTAATATTTACAGAGTTTCGTAAAATGCAAGCAAAAAGAAGTAAATTTCACTGAATATAACGAAAAGAAAAAATGCCACAAGTGAAGCAAGAACTTTCCACATGCCTGAGCTTCATTCAAAATTAAAATAGAGCGTGGAAAAGGTACGAAAAAAGGAAGGAAAAAGTTATTAAAAATATATATCACGATCGACAGAAAAATACCAGTATACAAATAAAGGATGAGACAAAAAAGAGGGAATAATTGAGTTTAGTAATCTCAAAAATTCTTGCTACTGTGTATAAAAGGCGCCTAAAAACATTTAAAAAAAAATTGAAAGCTACTCTTCGCTTCGAGACCTTCCCTCAATTCAACTTCAAACAGAGCAAGAATTTTTAGAAAGGTTTGAAATTCTTCAGACTTTTGAAAGGTACATTTATTATTTATTTTACTAATATCTAACGTTTAGAAACAAGCTGGTGACCGAAAAATGTTTTTTTCCGTGCTCGAAAAAAATTTGGAAAGGCCGCAAAATATTGAAAAATCCGGAAACAACCAAAAAAAAAAATGGGAATTTACTATAAAATATTACAACTAGGCCCTCGAATTGATTTTAAATGTATCAGAAAAATTGATCAAAAGCGTTGAAATGAAGATTTGAGCATAAAAAAAAGAGAAAATCTTCAAAAAGTACGAATCGAAAAACATATCACAGGCTTATAAGATTAGGTTTTTTTTTGGAGACAACTTTCAAAGTTTCCAAATGCCTCTCCAGAGTTGACGGAGTCTTGATGAGGTAGATGACCGGTATGCTACGTATTCGTCAATTGAAACCTATTTACATTTAAAATCGGTCATCATGCCTTGATAAAAAAAAATAATTTTGTGAGAAACTGAGAGAAATCTTTCAGAACTCATAAGACCAAGCTCTAGAATCTGCTTTTCAAGAAGTCAGTTACCTTCAAAAAGGGGTCATTTCAAAAAAAAAAACATTGAAAAAAATCCTCTCAAAAGTTGACGGATTCCCGATGATGAAGCGGATGACCGGAACGCTGCGTAACCGATACGGAGGCGGCGCGTTGTCGATGTCCTTGCGGGGCACTTGCGGCCGTCGTCGGCACCGGTGTGTCCGTGCTGCCGCCCTGCTGCAGAAGGTCGCCGCGTCGGAGGTGCACCCGACCGAATCCTCCTCCGTAGATGTCGTGATTCGACTTCATGAAAGTGGCCAGAGAGCGGACCGTGAAGTTGTTGAGGAACTCGTTGGCTGGGTCCTGAGAATATTGATTTTATGGATTATCACGCAGAAAGAAGCAAAACTACTTGATCCGGAGCACCATCGGTGCTTGGTACGTTGCTGACTGGTGGTCGCGTCTTTGGGGTCTGAAAATTCGATCAATAGATTTTGGAAAAGCGAAAACTGATTTCTGTCTGCTGTTCCTTGTTTAAATCTCGTTTACACCTATAAGTTCCATAGTTAACAGCTCTTTCAGAAATAGTAGAAGGCGTAAACCAATTTAAGTCGGTTGATACTCATTCTGACTTCATTTTAGGTCAAAACTTCAGGGAGTTTTTTTTCTTGAAACTGGCCAAAGTTACAGTACTGGAATACGTATAACGCTTAGAGTTGAATATTTTCTTTACATCGTTTCAAATACTCTCCTATTATTTTTCAAAAAAGTTTCAGTTTTTCCATAACATTGGAATCTTCAAAGAACGTCGTGACGTCATTTCTGACATTTCAACCAGAAATTCAGTAGCAAAATCCCGTTAATTTTTCGATCATTCGAAATTCAAAAGATTTTTTTTACCTCGACGTCCTTCGGGGCAGTCTTTCGTGCCGCTAAACTGTCCAATTTCGCTTCCATCAATGTCAAAAATCCTTGAAAGTCATTTTTCCCAATCATTTTTCTAGTGTGAATCCTCACCAACAATTCCGTTCTCCAGAGTGATATAAGTGTTGCGATTGACGACCTTGGTAATCGCCATCCCAAGGAAGAACATGATGGAGATCACTGGGGCATACTGGAGAAACATCCTTTTTTGTTGTGGAAATTCGAATTTTGAGTCAAACCGGCACATTATTCGGCATCACATCCCCAAGTCCGATGGTTGAAAGTGAGATGAACGAGAAATAAAATGCGAGAAAATAAGAAATTCCTTCGTTGGTCTCATGGCCGGAGATGCCATCGTAGACGTAAACGAAGGTGGTGCAAAACAGGAGATATCCTTAAAACTCTATTTTCTTATTTACGGCAAAAGAAAAGAGAATTTAAAGAAAATTTCATTTGGAAACACTGCAGCTTTTGAGTTATTTTATACCTTTTCATCAAATAAGAGCCCAAAAGCGCGCAAGTCGTTTCCAGTCGGATGAGTCAATTTTGATACCTATCCGAAAAAAGAAAACTCTTAGACTTTTCAATTTTCCTATGCCGAAAACTCCAAGCGCGCTTGAAAAAACTTAACCTTTTTTTTTGAGAAACTTTCCTCTAAACCATTTTTCCTGAAATCGTGACTTTTCAACTAGAGCAGACTTTTCTGTTAAAGAATCCTCACCTAGCAAAAGTGCCAAGCAAAACTTGATGGGCAAGGAGATCATCTCATCGTCGTCGATTTCCTTCTCGCCGTTGAGTTTCCTGAAGTTTAGCCTTTGAGATTGTTCTCAAGAAGTTTCGTCTGAACCTCCAATAAGTCAAGGCGTGAGCATAGATCCTCGTGATGTGAACCAGGCAGAGTTGACCGAGATCACGAAGGACAATCAAGGTTATCGGCACGAATAGAAAGCCGTAGAAGATGGTGAATGCCTGGCCGAGAGCCGTTTCCGCCGAAATGGCACCTGATAGTCCACTTTCAATCTTGAATAATTAAAAAAGCCCAAATTTCAATCAATTTCTTTTAGGAATAAATCCGTCAACTCAAAATTGTCCCAATGATACGGTGACCTTTCCAAAAAAACCTGATTTAACCGTTAAAAAAAATCAACTTTCTCGTGGAGCTGATAAATTTCGTCCTGAAATCCCCCAATCTCCGGTATTTCTGCCTTTAAGAGTGTTTCCAAAATATTTCAAACAATGAGTGATTATGTCCTCTCAAGAGACCCCTGAAGAGACGCTAAGAGCACTCTTCGCTTAAAAGCTCTCAGCCGCCAGGTAAGTCTACCATTTGTTTGGAAAGGTAAACGTCCCAAAACTCAATTTTTCCACTTGAAGACCTTACAGTAACCATAACCGTACCCCGAGCCTCTTGAAAGCTATGCTTACCATATCCAGTCGTCGTGTAGACGTTCATGCAGAAGAAGAAGGCGCTGGCATAGGTCCATTTCAGATGATGATCCACGTCTTCTAACTTGTAATAAGTGCTCCACTTGTACTGATTCTCCTCCTTTTGAAGTTGGATGTAGGCATCCTGAAGCTTCTTTTTAACTTATCAGAAATAATAATGAAATACTAAACCCTAAGGTAATCCTCCATCTGTTGCAATGTAACATTAGTCATGGGGTCGTTAACGGCATCGGCCATTTCCTCGGCTATCTTCAAAATTAGCACTTTCAGCTTTTCCTGGTGCTCTTGAATCATCTGAAATGCATAAATACGTCTAAATTCAGAAACCAAGGATTGAATAAATGTGTAATAGTTCTTTAGAAGGTTCAAGAAAGTAGACAGGAATTTGGAACATTTTCTTCCGAGTGAAATTAAAAAGTTATGATTGAAAATGTGGTAGTAACACGCTTCAATGCATAATACTGATCCGAATTTCGCTTGAACGCAGAGAAAATTGCTAGTGAAAACTTTAGGGTTTTTGAGATATTTTTCGTCCCTATGAGTTCTTATGAAATGAACACGTATAATGACCAATCAAAAACCCAAAAAAAAATAATTTAGTATATACTTTGACAGGCTTTTCAAATGCTCCCAGACTAGAAATTTCCTTCATTTTTTTTTCAGTTTTTTCAAATGTTCCCAAAACCGTACAGCCTTCTCATTGGTTCCCTCGACAAAATAGAATACAGTAGCGCCAAAAAACGTGTAGAGCAGAACGATAAGAAGCAGGAAAATGTGACGGAATCCGAGGCGTTTTCTATTGAAGACCAGCCAATAGAAGGATGTGTCAAAGCCTGAATTTCTTCTAGATTCGGGTCCTCAAGCGAGAAAAGCCACCAACGTCTTACGGTGGGTACGACAGGTTCTCCGAAAGCTCCGGGGGTACTGTTTCGGCTGACGTGGCTCTGGTTGTCCTGTTCTCTGAACTTTTCCATTCTCCGTTGGAGGTGAAGAGGCAGCTTGTTGTAGGTGTCATGCTTTCCTAAAAAGGATCGCCCAAGTAAAAAAATTTCATTTTCGAAATTATCGTGGGAAAATTCAAAAAGAACCTCCATATTTGCCTCTTTCGAGGGAGAGAAAATCTGTTAATTTTCGAAGTAGTTAAATTTTTTTTTGGCACTCATTAGATCAAATAAAATGATAATTTTCTAAAAGCTACACAAAGTCTCTAAACTTATCCACTATTTATAAAAATTTCGACATCGCGATCGCATTTGGAATGGTTCGAATCAAATAATCAAAGCAGTCATCTGGGCGCCTTAATCTTCCAAAAACCATGTTTCAATAATTTTTTGGAAGCAAAAGAAGGAAATTGCACTCTTGATAAGTGTTATTTCCAAGCCTCTTCTTTTATTTATAGCTGTAAAATCAACATGAAGCGCAGCTTAATTTCGTGTTGTCCAGAGGTATTAGGTTTTACCGAACAAATTATTAAAGTTCAATCAGAGGTCGAAAAATGAAATCTTCTGACGAACAAATCATTTTACTTTGCGATTTGGAATTTTTTTTTTTTGAACAGAATAAAAAAACTTCAAAGTTTTAGAATAGGATTCCTAAGAATAAATATCTGCGCAGATGTTCAGATTTTTTTAAATATCATTTTTTGAAAGTGGCCATTCATTGATTTTAGGCCTGATTTTGTGTTAAATTCAGACTTGAAAATTATATTTTTTTGAAACTAAAAAGTTCCCATGGGTACCATGTTTTTTTAGAATGAATTCTAGATATAAACGACTTTTCAGAAGATACTAAATCACAAAGTAGATTGACCTTCCTTGTGAGCACAAAATTCGTGCCATCTTTAAAATTAAATGACGGTGATTTTCTTTAATCAAAATTCACCTGTGACCGTATACTGATTCTTCTCGTAGTACGAGTCAACGTAGTCCTGCGATTCTCGTCGGGGCACGCCGTTCCTAATAGATTTTATAATTCGAAAAACATATTTTGCAGGGAATTTGTACTTTTCGAACAAATTGGGGGTGACTCTGGCTTGGTCGCTATTCTGTCTGGCGAAATTGGGCGGCTCGACGGCGTCGACAGTCATCGTGGAGACGGCTCTTCGCGGAAGTTCGACGACTTCTGGAGACGTGCACTCGCTCACGCTCCTTCTGAACACCTTGGATGTGCCCGACAAGTTCTTTCGAAGGTTTTCATAACTTTGAATGGAAATCTTAAAAACTCTAGCATAAAGGAGGAAGTTCGGAAAGTCCCATTTAGGAAGCCGTGAAATGAGTTCACAGAAGATACTGAAATTTTTAAGTTCACTACAACTGTTGCAGGAAAAATTTTCTTCTGCCCGTCTCCGTTGGTTCATTATATTTATCTAACGGCTCAAACTAAACAGAAAAAACAACAAAACTTCATTTATTGGCCCTAGTACACAAAAACTTGGAAGAAGAGAAAGAAAAAATATTTCAGTAGTTACCACTGAAAATTATTCCTAGTAAGAAGTTGCGATTTTTGAGCCTATTTTCTTGTAATATTTAGAAACTAAGTTGGAAATACGACTAAAATTTCTTCTAGAGAACAACACAAAACTGCAAAAATATCAGAAAACTCGAGGAGCGGGGAGTCTTTAAGTCGGAGACGGTCACGAAGGGGGTTGGCTCGTTTTTAATCCTGATCAACTTATTTTTTTCCCCTCTATAACTATTATGGCGAGAGGTGCCTCGTCCTTTGTATTTTTTCTTTCAAATCGGTTTGACAGGTCCTTGGAGAGGACGAAATATTTTGCCGGAAGATTACGTGTTGCGTAAAGTTTTCGGAACAAATAAGAACATTTTGGACTTTGAACTATAGTGCAAAATATAACTTTGATATCCCTGTTGCATAATAAAAATTATTCATTTATCGTTGAGGTGTCACAGGTAGTTCTTTCAGTTCATTATTAAGACGTAATCTAGTGCGATTTTTCCCGCCGTGCATTTTTTTGATTAAGTTACCTTTTTCACTCTCTGACGGCTGTTTTGCATTTCGACTTTGAAAACTTCATCAATTTTTTTAACGATAAAAAAATCTTTTTGATGAATTAATTCTTTCATTTTCGATATTTTTTTGAACAGAGGATGGATTTTTCGTTTAAAAAAAACAAAACTTTTTTTAAAACATCAAGATTATTTTTTTCAATTTATTTTTTTAATACTCATGCTTGTCTCACTATTTTTCATCACCGTTTCCTATTTGGCTCTCTTTTTCTAATTTTTCAAATTATTCAGAAAAAAAGCTTGTAGCGAATTCGACTTTGAAATGAGTATTCTTTAACTTTCTGATTTAACTCACTCATAGTTTCGTGATTTAAATAGATATAAATTTATAAAAACTATTCCATCCCCGAAATATAGAAACTGTGCTACTTGACTTGAGGGATGACTAAAAAAAGTGGAAATAGGTTCAAAAACTCTTCGATCAAACCACATAAAGATTCAGAAATCCTCAACCAAAACTAACTTAATCTGGTACTATGATGAGTCTATGCCTCAATTTCAAACATATCAACGGGCAAAGTGAAATTATCGTCTTCCTAAGTTATTCAAAAATTTTCAAGCGTTATTTTCCAGAGAAAAACACTGCTTCTTCGAATAATTTATAAATTTCCTTCCAAAAAACCATTCAAAGTACTGAAACTCTACTTTTTTTTTTTTTTGAAGTACTGCTTTTTTGAATATACGACGTGTTCCACTTCTGAATCTCCTCACAGGGGATCATATCAGAACCCGATAAAAATCGTACAGAGGTGCTTTCGTTTGCTAATTCCCAAATGAACAATAAAAGTATTTTTGCGTTCTCGTCGAGTTGTTGTACCTCAAAATTCAAAATCTACGAATGGAGAAAAAAAGGGGTTTTGCGTCTTTGAGATAATTACACTGAAAGACGAGAATCGCCCATTTATTCTTTGATAAATTCAATCAGCATGTCTGAAAGTACCTGTGTATAATATCTCATCGATTTTTGATACCCTTTTTCCGTTTCAACTAAAATCTTCTTCTAAGAGAACTGAAACTCATTCAAAACCGCCACAAATCATGTCTCTTCTGCAAATGATACCATTTTCTCCCAAGATAACCCCTCTGCCAGTATCAAGATGACGTGATGCGCGCATTCGGATGGCGTCACGACCAAACTACCATCGTCTTCATCAAAAAACGCACCGCCGTCTGTTGGTCTTTGCGTCTTCTTCGTCGTCGCTGCGTTGGCCTTGCGAGTCTTCGTCGCTGGGGTCCAAACTTTTCTTCTCCTCCTCGGCGATCGTGTGCAACGTCTCTTTCGGGGCGGCGACGTCGCTAACTTCGTGCGTCTCTGCAAAAAAGTTGAACTTGACGTCATGTGGTCGGAAATTCCCTTTTCGAGGCGGAAAAGGTGACGCCAAAACCGAAGAGCAAATGACGTGAGGTGTTCGAAAACAGCCCTCCTACCTACTATTTAATGGCGCTTTCTGATTGGCTACCGCTTCTTCTTCGGACCATTTTTGGGTGGTCCAGGAAGGTTTTTTAGCTCTGTATATTCTAACTATGTGGCTCTAAAATTCCTTGAGCCACTCTCAAAATGATACATCTTCCATTTCGATCTTTCAAAAAGGTATTTCTGGGTTTTTACTACTGTAATTTGTCGCATGAAAAACTATAGCCCCTTCGGAAAGCTCTTGAACAGATAAAACCTTTCTCAGTTCACTCTATAGTTTAATAATAACATTCCTCAGAGTTTTAGGAACAGAAGCAGACTTAGCTTTCAAAAGTATTTTACAACTTGAGAACTCGAAAACTTTTTATCGGAAGGAGTCTTTTTTTATAGTAGGAAAAAAACATTAGTGTTTTCATTAGTTAAAAAGTTTTTCAAATTTTTCTATATTTTAGCCATCAAAGGCTTAGGATGTTTTTTTAAAAAGCTTGAAAAAAAGCCGTTAACTTTTTTTCTGAACGATACTGAAATTTTTTTATAGGCGTACTTATAAAAAAAATAAAAAAATAAACTTTCGAATATTCAAATCTGTACAAAGCCACATAGCTTCGAATTTTTCGGCTCTTATCTTCACTTCAGTTTAATTTTTTCATTTTCAATTTTTTTTTGTTTTGAAAAAGATGCATTAAGAAACTGAAACAAACTTAAAATCCGATTCGCTATTCAAACTTCAATTATTCGAACAAATTAATCAATTCTAGAAATGTTCTTTGCATAAAACCACTTTTTGACAACACTAACGAAGTAAAAAAAATATTTTGTTTTCGAATGTCCTTGTTAAACTTTTCTTTTCCACTCAATTAAATTTTTTTTTCATTTAACTTCTTTGATAAAAAAAAACTTCTCGCAAAGCAGAAAAAAATCCTCGTTTCTTTGCATTTATATTCAGCCTTTTTGTAACAATACATTTTCAAAAAACCATATTTCAGAACTAATTTCTAAAAAGCACCTCGACTCGGATGAGCATGATTCCAACGTCGGACTTCCCTGTAAGACGCCGGTGTCCCATGAAAAACGTTCTGAAATAAGTTATTTTGCCTACATTGAAAAAAAGAACGCAAATTCAACGTGAAATCAATTAGTAAATCAATAGCGGTCAAAACTTGCCGATTCAGAACAAAATTAGAAAATGATCTTACTAAAAACTAACAAATTCCGAACTTTATCTCAGTTTATTCATTTTTTTTTTGAGGTTAGCACACAAAATCTGAAACAGTTTCAAAGAATTCAAAATCAGAAAATTCTAGAAGAACGTCAAAAACGAGAAAAAAAGTAAGTTCCGAAAGAAAAGTCGATAATGTCGATGGAGCGCGATATCTCCCTCATCAAGGAAAAGCGAATTTTTTTTTTTGCAGTTCATTTTTCACTTGGACATTGGTAGCGCGAACGGGACGTGCTCCGGACGTTTTTTGGCATTTTTAGGGACCTCTTAAGTAGCGTAAGCATTCTTAAGTGAGATTTGCCCAGAAAAGTCTGGAGCAAGTCCGTTTCGCGTTGAGTGTCCGAGTAGTTTGCTTATTTCAATTTTCTAATTTCTACTTGGTGGAGGCTTTAATACCGAGCGCTTCTATTCGCAAAAGTTTGTTTAATAAATTTTAATAATTATCACTTCATTCCATTAATGATAAAAGTTTTACACATTTGAAAAAATGGGAAAGTTTTTTTTTGGCTTTTCAGATTAAGTGCTCGAGAAAATAAAAAAGTACGAACTTCTTGGCTAGATGTTTCATCAGGGACAGCCATGACCCGCCGTTTCACTTCTCCGAAACCGTCTATTTTTGCTCTTTTTCCGTCGATTCAAACAAAGAAGAAACCTGTAAGATGATGTTAATAATCGAAAAATCGGTGCGAAGAAGACGGAGAAAAAAAAACAGAAATCGGACACGGGACAACACAAACACGGGGCGCAAAAGAAGACGTCATCTTCTGCTGGTGTGTAAATCGGGACTGGACAATGGACCGTTGACAGTTTTTCTATTCAAAGAAGAGGCTTTATTATTGAAGTTGGACGGGAAATGATGGATGGAGACGGTGGAACAATGTTGCGAAAAATTTATAAGCGGAGAATTTCGATGGTTTTTCAATAGGTCAAGCTGATTTATTGCTTCTTTTTGGCGGTTCCGGTATTGATCTCTTTGGTTCCATCAGGGTTCCACGCCTCGAAAGGTTGCTCCGATAGTTTAATGAAGAGAAAAACATTTTTACGATTTCTCGAAAAATCATTTACTTAAAAATTAGCTTCATCTGAAAGCCACGGCTTCGAAAATAAGTTTCAGTTCATTCAGCACAACCTCGAGTTTATTTAAGGCGCAGAGGTTTCGCTCATGAATAAAAAAAATTCGTTTCGTTGATATTTTTAACTGTTCCTATGCACCTTTAATCTCTTCAAGAAGCTCTTTTAAATCTGGGTCACGCAAAAAATCCACATGGTTTTTGACGCGAAAACTATTTCAGGCTATTTTTCGGCCTCTGCGCCTTCAAAGCTTCAGAAACAAACCGCGACACGATTGCAACGCGTCCGAAAAGAATCGAGTCATTTTTTGAGGCTTCTCCACTATCTTTTTTTAGATTTTAAAGGAGCATGGTTTCATTCCAAGAAAGTATCGAAGCTCAAAGTCTGTTCAAATGTCAATACGGGTTATATTGCGTCTTCAAGAAATCTAGCAGAGGTTTCAGAACAAACTGTAGAGCTGAATGAAGCCGCGAGGCGACCGCAACGCGTCCGACGACACTAGGACTTTCTAAGAGATCTTCCCCATTTCTGCAACTCGAAACCACACAAAGATCAACACAGAGAATCAGATCAAAAGTTTATTCCAACAGAGTTTTCATAAGAAATTAGAGATAAAGAAAACAGTAGAGGTCAATTACGTAGGTCTCTCCAAGAGAAGAATCGGCCCACCAAAGGGTTTTTAAACGAACACGAGAGGGAGCCAGAGAAACAGAAAAAAAGACGAAGAAAAATGAAATGAAAATAAATGAGAAATGATAACGTATCGTGTGCAGAATTCAGAATTCTCAGCGTCCACAGTAAGAATAGAACCAAATCGAACTGCAGAATATCTATTTTAGGGCCGTTGTTTTGTTGCGATTTAGTGTGGGATTTGTCTAGAAAAACGAGAGTTTTCTGGTTTTTTGCTTTCGGTCTGAACTTTTGACAAACCCAGGTTAGTAGGTTTAGCGTCACTGAAGCCTCTAAAACAATTTTGGAATTTTTTCTCGGCTCAATTTGAAGTGTTCCAACTGCTGCGTATCAAAAATCAAAATATTCATGCCGACAAATAACCAGAATAAGCGTTCAGACAAGAGGAAGCGTAGCTCAGTGGCTTAGTATCATTTCTACTGTCCGCATGCTCTCAGGTTCGAGTTCACTCGAGGTTTTCCGAGTCTTAAATTTTACATGAGCAGGCGAAAAAGCGAGCTAAAATAGGTCAAAATCTCGGAACAATGTTTCAAAATCCGAAAACGTATATCTTTCCTCAAATACTTTTGATTCTGATGTTCTAACGTTGTTTTTTGTGAGAGCGATTTTTTCAAAATATTATATGCCCATGTCCCATTTGTTAACAGTCAATACTTAACTTTTACAAATTTATTTTAACAAAGACCAAATAAAAAAGCTTTACAGATCGTTTAACACAATGGGAGTATCTCCAAATCGCTTAGAAGGCATTTTTTTTAGTATTTCAAGTTCAAAGCTTTACTTTCTGATTCATTTCCTCAATTCTGAAGACAAGCATTTACCAATTCCTGCCTTTTGTAAAGGAAAAAAAAAACGGTCAAGCTACTCCAGATAGTAGAATCAGCCCTCTGCTCGAAATACTTTATTTAAAAAAAACTTTAAAAGTATTTTTAAAGTAGGAAAGTTCTTATATTACCTAAAACAACACTGAAAACGGCTCTTCGTCTCGAGATTTTCGAGTATAGGACAAAAGCGCCGATTCCAAGAGCGCCGTTCAAATTTAGCGCCAGTCCGCAATGCGCCGTCGCGTGTATGCGCCGTGTATGCAGACGCCGCTTTCTTTTGCGCCGAGTCCTTTTGCGCCGAATCGTTTTGCGCCGTTATTTCAAACTTTTTTTTTATCGCTCTTTTTCTATCATTGTTTATTGATTGTGTAGTACAAATTCATATACGACTCGAATAATTTTAGCGCCATCTGTTAATATGGATCTTTCTGTCGCATTTTCGAAAAAACTCGAACTATTGTTTCAAGAAAATGAGTTCAACTTTACGAAAAACGATTTTCTGCTGTTTCACGTCTGCTAGACTTGAAACTCTGCCTTACCTAACGCAGAAACTTTGCGACCACAAAAAAAATCACTCATTTTGTCGTTTAAAGCAATAATTTTTTTATCCATTCTCTTTTCCTATCGTTTTCTGTATTTTTCGATATCAGGGGATCATATTAGCTTTTTTATTTGTACTTTGAAAAAGAAAAAGGGGAAAAAATATTTTACCTGGACCAAAGTAGACCTAAAACTCATCATTAACGGATGGCGCGAAAATCATTCGAGTCGTATATAAATGTGTAGTAAACAATTATCGAAAAATAATATAAAAAGAGCGAAAAAATAAAAGTTTGAAATAACGGCGCAAAACGATTCGGCGCAAACGGACTCGGCGCAAAAGAAAGCGGCGTCTGCATACACGGCGCATACACGCGACGGCGCATTGCGGACTGGCGCTAAATTTGAACGGCGCTCTTGGAATCGGCGCTTTTGTCCTATACTCAGATTTTCACCGAGTTGGTCCTCGGTTCTTTCAGCGAGCCCGCAATTGATGACGGAAAGTTACCAAGTTTGACTTTCGCGCCTTTTGATCAGAACTTCTCTGACATTAAACCAAACCTCGATAAAATGAGATAAAATCATATAACGTACCTCGCCTTTACCGAATATTCAAAATTTTCAGATTACCACTAGGCACTAAAAAATAAATTATTTTCCACAGGAACTTTGTCATTTTCCAACGGATAACCTCTAGCCTTTAAATAGTATCAGAAACGAGAATATTCGATTATAAAATTTGATCGATTTTTATGATATGCTATACAAAATTTTTTTTTCAAAATAAAAAGAGATGTACGGCTTCTATTTGTTTTATTTTATCTCGGGCCGTTCAAAAATTGCGTATGGAACTCGTGTTTCAGAGTCCATCGCGGGCAATTGGGAAAAGTTTTCAACCAGCAATAAACGCACCTCGGCAGAGCCTCATTGGTCACGTTATCGCCCCAGCGCAAAGCTGTCTGAAGGGTCGAGAGGCGGAGGTCCCCTGTTTTGGTGCGACCGACTCGCGACGGCTTACGCTGGCTCATAATCACCATCATGGCAAACGGAGGAAACCAGAAAGTTTCCCGAAACAGCTTTCACTTCATCCTTATAGAGCTTTTCAATGCAATTTCGAAGGGGTGCTCAAAATCCGAAATTTTGATCACCCCTTCGAAATTGCATTGAAAATCTCTATAAGGATGAAGTATTATCCTTACTTTTTCACCTTATTTTGTTCGATTCTCAGAAAAGATTATGAACCAAACCGTATGACGACCTCCAAAAAGACCATAATCCAAGAACCGCCTACTATATTCTGGCCAACTGACGTCATCGACCAAAGGTAGAAGACGTCAAGGGCGTCTCGCTACGTGAAACCACTGAACTCGAACTCATCCCTCTTCACGTCACTCTCAAATCCTCCTCCAACTCTTCTCTAACTCTTTGAACTCAAGTCTCAAGGGCGATCGAATTTTCGATAGAGCGCAGTTTCTTTTTTCAAAAAATGACATCATTTCAAGAATTGCCGACCGTTAACGAGTTAATGATGGATGACTTCGGTAAAACAGTTCAAGAAGGAGAAATCGCGTCATTTTCGGGTACTGTAACCAAAAGGTGTAAATATTGAGAGTTGAGATTCTTGCGCGATGGTTCTCTCTTTTCAGAAGGAACTGAGAAGAACTGAACCACTTGAGTGATCCCTAAATGATTTAGGATCGCCTGCTTAGTGTTTTGCTAGAAACCAAAGAAGGTATTTGAGAGTATTGCGTTTATTGCTTTTATTTCACTATCAAAGCTACAGTAATCTTTTCGCTCCGAGAATCACGCTGTTTGAAAGAAATTGTGAGAATTTATGCGTCTTTTTGAAGATCATGGTGAAGCAGTTTATTCGCTGGTACTACCAACGGGCCCACATTATCTCCCAACACTAGCTGTCACGCCGGGACTTATTGCACAATTATTGTGGATCGTAATCCGCGCCGACAACTAACTCTTCGATTATACCATGATTCAGCAGAGGTTTTCTTCATCTTGCTCTGAAGACTGAATAAATTGAATTGAATTGAATTTGAAGATCATCAGCCCTTCTTACTATGGAAGTTCAAAGATAATGGAAAACGGCATGGAAAAACGAAAATTTCTTTGAAAAGGGAATAATAATGTATTTGTATTGTTAAAACTTCACGGTGAGTATTGTATGCTCGAACTCGAAGTCACATCAGAAAGTTTTTTCCGTTTGCCATGATGGTATGTACCCAGCAGCGTAAGCCGCCGCGAGTCGGTCGCACCAAAACAGGGGACCTCCGCCTCTCGACCCTTCAGACAGCTTTGCGCTGGGGCGATAACGTGACCAATATGGCTCTGCCGAGGTGCGTTTATTGCTGGTTGAAAACTTTTCCCAATTGCCCGCGATGGACTCTGAAACACGAGTTCCATACGCAATTTTTGAACGGCCCGAGGGGCCAGAATGACTAAACTTGGTATGAAGAAATATTAATATGAGTTCTTCTTTCGAATTTTTTCAGTCTGAAAATTCTTTCTTGGGAGTTTCCTGGAGGCGATGAACTCGGATTCGGCTCGAAATACCGCTTTGTTAAAATTATTTTTTTAAGGTATTATTCTTCAGTTTGTAGACCTAGAGAAAGGAATATTTATATTTGTTCAAGAGAGCTCAATTTTTTCCCTTCAAGTGAGAATTTCTGGCGCTCTAAATAGAATCTAGAAACAATGAAAAATACTGTAAATTGAAAATGCCTAGTGAGTACTGTATTCGAAACCTGGTACCAAAAACTGAAATTTGAAAAGGGGTATATTCAAAAAATCAAAAAGTTACGAAAAAGGGCGCAGATCGGAGAACGATTGAAAGCAGAGGCAAGCAGGAGAACGCCATAAAAAAGTCTCGTTTTTTTTCTCTCAACTGTTCCACTCTGAAAGTTATTTTTTATTATACAAGGTACTGTAAAAGGCACACGTAAATTGATGTCAGAAGTCGTCGAGTTGCAAAGGGGAAAACAAATAAATTATGTATTTTACGAGATAGTTTTGAACTCTTCAAGTTCTCCAATGATAAAATTTGAATTTAGAAATTGGTTTTTTTGAAGGGTTATATCTTATAAGACTTGGCGTTTCAAAGGCCCAAAAATAAGTCAAGAGAAAATAAATGAACACCAAAATTCTGCAAATGCGCTCTGGCGAACCATTTTCTTATTTCGCTTTTTCCATGATTCTCATGAGACCGTAACTCTCTGAATTGCTTCTGCTGTAGACTTCTAATGGGAAAATAAACTGAAATTAAAAAAATAAAAAAAATTCGATGAATTTTTTTCATTTTTCAAAAAGTCTGTTGATTCTCAAAACCGGCTATCTTAAGCTTTCCATTGATCAAAACAATGATAATTTGCAGTTTTAAAAACAGAAAAACTAATTTAAAGCGGGTAACCAAAAGCGAAGCCATTTTAAATAACTCCTAGACCTCAAAAAAGCTCAAAAAACTCTCCCGTGAAAAAAAATTCTCGAAACTTTGAATCTACGTTCTTCGATCAGACTATCTTACAGTAACCTTGTGCTATCATTTCTTCTTTTTTTTTTGACCAGAGAATGACATCACTCGGAAAGAAAAAGGGCGGAGAGAGAAGGAAAGAGAAGTTAAATTCGTGGGTAACCTTTTGGTCTCTTGACGAATGAGAAGACAGATTAGAAAAGCAAAAGAAATGTCTCAAAGATCGATCAGAGAAATGGAAAAAAGAAAATTTTTCAGCGGATCTGGACATTCGATATTCGAGGATGTCAACCACTTGAAAATGCTCAAAAAAGGCAAGCCAAGTTAGTCTGCTCGCATTTTTCAAAGTAGGTTTCCGATTAAAAAAACTTTCCTTCTTTGATAAAAAAATAAAGTCATCGAAAAAAAATAAAAAAAATAAAGAGAAAAAAAGCCAAATTTTTTTGAACAAACTGGAAAAATTTTTCAAAACTAGTCGCTTTTTTTAAAAATTATTCGTAGATATACATGGGCAGACCGAACTTCGATGCCGCCGACCCCTTTCCGTTCCAGAAAATTTCTTATTATCAACCTCTTTCTCTGACTGACACGTTCGGATTTTTCCATGTATGTTTATAAAGAGCAGAAACATTCATAAACCATTTATGACCAGACTTTCAGGCTTCATTTTTTTTTCCAACTGTTCTACCGATCTTTACAAGACCCTTTACTTTCAAAAAGGACCGATCTTCCTATTTTGATGACTGAAGAGCTGTCCGTGATTCAACTACCCATATAATCGATTATCTTTGGCCCCGGCGTCCCTTATCAATGTTTTGGACCAGCTGCGCGAAACAAGGCTGGGCTTAGTTTAGCATTTATTTTATGATCTTCTGAGCGTTTCTTGTTTTTTTTCTATAAATGGAAAATTGCAGAATGTTTGCCTCTGATCGTAAACTATTTTTCGAGAGAGTTCTCGATGTTCGACAAGATGAAAGGGACAAATGCCGGTTTTTCTCCGATTTGCTGTTTTTTGAACTCAATTTTTCTTACAGATCATTTCCACCTTACCTAAACGGCTCCTTGATCACAAATCCAAGATTATTTGGTGGTCAAGCCGTTTCTCAATCATATCTAGCGGCGAAGAAATTTCTGGAGAAAGATGGTCTTTTTCCTGTCTCTATGGAATTTTTATTCATTTATCCAGGTTTTTTGTAATTAAAAAGTCTTTGTCGAGGGAAACAGATTCGCATTTAAAAAAAATTTTGAAACTAGCAAACGGAATTTTTTTTTATGCGGGCGTTTTTTTTACCACTTTTAGAGTCGGACATCGTTAACGTAACAGCCCTTCTCATTGAAATGAAGAACTAATTTCGGATTCGTAACGTATTTTTTGCAGGATTCGTCGACGTCGAACTAGAATTCGTGGTTGAAAATCGGTTATCGAACATCCTTCGCCTTTCCATCGTACAAAAGAGCAAAACAATCGCCACAGCGATAGTGAAGGTATACACATCCTTCTTTTTATCAAAACTATTTTATAGTTTGTCTGGAGCGGATTCAGCAAAATTTTAAGATCTGTTGACATTTTCTTGACAAGTTTCATAGCTCCAAACAAGATTGCGAAAACTTCAAAACTTGATAAGGTTTTGAAAAGGCAGTGGTCGCGTTTGGAATGACTCGAAGCGTTGCGGTCGCGTCGCGGTTAAAAGCCAAGCCTTGAATTTTTTTCGAAATTCAAGTTTAGAGGAACTTCCTTGCAACTTTTTTTCGGTTTTGATTTCAATAAGCATTGCTTTTTTGCAGATAACCTTCAAAAAAACGCTGAAAACGAAGCTCTTGTTCTTGAGACTTTCCTTAAAATTTTCTGATTTAAGTGCCAGATTATTTGAACAAAAAAAAATGAACTTTTCTCGGCATTAAACATTTCAGTGCGCCCCATCAGCCTATCAAACAACGTCTTCGTATGAAGCAGAAGTGACCGAATTTTCGGACCCCGAAAATTGCGAAGAAATCCCGGCGTACTTGGTAGCAAAGCGGGACAAATACGGGACAAAATGTGATACCGAAATGGCGGCGAGTGATGTCGAAACACGGCTTATTGAGTACTCAACATCGCCGAGTAAAGAGGAAAATCGAGTCGTGTTCTGGGCCAGAATTCCTGAACAGTTTCATCGTCAGTTTCCTTCATCTCTTTCCATTATTTCCTAAATTTGGATCCATACACTCATTTTTCTTCAGGATTTTTGCTCAAAATGAAAGCATCCAACTTTTGTTTAATTTTAAATTTGAATCATTCCTTAACCAGTTTCTTGACCTACAGTAGCCCATAATTTTTCGTAAAAGCAGCAAAAATATGAAATAAAATATTGAAAACGTAGACGCCAACTCTGACAAAGATGGAATCGGATTTGCTGTTTTTCTAACCGATTATTTTATTCTACAACCTATGGCTGTGAGTTTCATCAAATTAAAAATATTCGAGGTTAATAAATTCAGAAATGCTTGAACAATCTTGGATTACGCTTGACGAACGCGACATCTTTACAACATTCCGTCCGAATCTTTCAAAATTCAGAAAAGGTAAGTATGATTTTAACTTCTTTTCAAGGTTTTTGGGGAAAGAAAGAAAAAAAAATGGAAGAGAAAATGAGAAAAATCACAACAGACTCGTCCACGTTCAAATTAATTTTTTTTTTCTCCTGAATCCATTTCTTTAGATTGGGACTCGGAATCCAAACTTCTCAAGCATTCTGCTTTCGGGTCATTTTGAGTTAATCGTCGTAAAGCTGAAAAATAAAATCTACAAACAGGACTTGGAGTCCCGAAAAAAACTTTTAAATGAAATTTCTGACCGAGGGACGTAAGAAGCAGGAAGATTAGTTTATTTTCCTTTGCAAAAAAATTACCAACTTGATATGACGTATTCCAGGCGACTCAATGGTTTCTAGTTCGATTCGACCTCGAAGTAGTCACTGAAGGGAGAGTTTTTCTCAAGGCGGCCGTTTTTGACGAGAAAAAAAGATTGATTGCCGCTGCTCGACAAGAAATGTTCTGCAAATGGGTGGATTTGAAAAAAATTAAAAGAGCTAAAATTTAAAACAGATGCACAGAGTTTCAAGAAGGATAATTTGAGTCGAGTTGAAGGTTTTTTTTTTCAACTTTGAATAAACTTAAGCGAGCCCTCTAGACGCTAAATTTACTCGTTTGAAAACAAATTTCATTCCATTACAGTAACTGCCTGAAAAGGCTATAAGTTTTTGAAATAATATTTAAATTATCGTTGAAAAAGTTTATAACTTCATAACGTGTGCTAAAATTCATGGAGAGTTGTACGGTAAAAAAAGCAAACATCTTTGAAATTTTCGTTCCGTGTAAAATTTAGATTGTAAATATAAATTTGTTTCTTTGCTGAAAATATTTGCTGAAGTAATTAAATGGGCATAGGCGAATCGAGAGAGGGCTTCTCGAGACCCTCTGAGGTATATCGCAGGTTCTGAAGTCTCACGATGGTTCCTCGAGGATACCTCTGAGGATTATAAGCGAAATGAGATAGACTTGAGGGAGACTCTGAAGTACTTCCGAGATGGCACAGATATAGCTTAAAGGTATTGATACATTATTAGGTCTTCACGATCCATTTTGAGAGATATCTTTGTGGACACATTATGGTGCCCTCCAAATTCGCCTGTGGGTCTCAAATCGAAGAAAAATTTTTTAAGTTATTCGAGATCTTCTTGCTCCTTTTGAAATAACTCAGCAAGCATTTTCGAACCGGAATGATTATTTTTAAGTCGATTTAAAAATCTTTGTCGGTCATTTCTATAATGCTCCGATTGTTGCTCTATTCCACTTTTCAACGGGTTTTAGAATAAATTTTCCTATTTTGTCTTTTTTTTTAATTATTTACACAGAAGTCAAAACAAATTATTCATTGGAGGTATCTGTGGAGGTGTACATCAGAGACAGATTTTTCTTTTTCTTTTTTATTAAACTGCGAGAGGTCTTTGGTTCAACTCTTGTTCTTTTTTTGCTATTTCAGATTAAACTTGATGCTTTAAACTTTATTCACAAGGTACAGGACAAGTTGAACTTTTCACAGCTCATTCAAGGGATAAGGCCCTTCTCACGAAGGATTCTCCTCAGTTCTTCAGCCGCCTCCTTGTCGTCATCCCCGAAAATGGGATTTTGAGCCGAGACGACGGCGATCAGGACCAAAAGAGCAAGAAGATATTTCTAAAAAGTTTGAAAATTACAAAAATATACTGAAAAGCAAACCAGGAATTCCATGTTGAAAAGAGAACGATGGGTTGAAATTTTTGGTTGAACCAAGGCTTTTATAGGATTTCCAGCTTGTTTACTATATTCCTGTTCTCTTTCAACTTCTATTGACGGACTACAAAATGTTTTTGCTCGTTTAGAAATCTTTACAAACTTTTGAAAATTAAAAAAAACTTTTTTGAACAATAATAGAGTTTATTATTGAGGATCGCTGTTCACATTCCAACAATATCCTGTTTTTGAACACCGGGATAAAACATCAAACATTGAAAAAATGAAAAGAGACGGATAAACAAGAATAGTATAAAGCCAGGGCTGCGAAAAGCACGATCTCAGTTGTATGGGTCTAAATATTTTCAAAATCTCAAAATATATTATAATATCGGTCAATAAGTTGAAAATTTCAACAGACAATAACCCAAGAGGAGATCGAAAACAAAAAATAAACTTTTTTTTTCTGTATTAAAGAACAAGGCGAAATTCCTACAACAAGGAAGGTAATTTTATTTAGCAGTTTGAAGTTTTCTAATCCGTACAGATTCGATTAAATAATCTCTGAATATCTAGGTGAAGATCCCACACATTCGCTATATACCTGCGCCAACTTCTAGTTTCGAGATAAATAATTTCCAAGTTCGACAAGTTAGCCTTAAAAGTTAAAATACGCAGTTTCGAAAAACCATATGTCGAAAACTGGAAGTTTGCGCAGGTAGCGGTTCTAAAGCACACACATCCAGACTTTCAGAAAGTGTGTGAGCAAGCTAGAAGAAAAGCCCAAACACTAAAGTAAAATCTCAAAAGCAAGCTTTTTTTCTGGTTTCAGTCCTTCTGGCCCCTCGGGCCGTCCAAAAATTGCGTATGGAGCTCGTGTTTCAGATTCCATCGCGGGCAATTGGGAAAAGTTTTCAACCAGCAATAAACGCACCTCGGCAGAGCCTCATTGGTCACGTTATCGCCCCAGCGCAAAGCTGTCGGATAGGTCGAGAGGCGGAGGTCCCCTGTTTTGGTGCGACCGACTCGCGGCGGCTTTCGCTGGCTCATAATCTCCATCACGGGGAAAGGTAAAATCCGTCGTTTATTCAGCACATATGACAGAACTTTTACTTTCCGGGGGCTGGAGTAGTGAAGTACCAGGCGGGGTAGAAGAGTTTGTCGCAGCCGCTCTTCTTCAGGTCGTTGTTGCCTCCGATGGGCGTCTTCTTGATGGCGCATCTGGAGTCGAACTTCTTGAGCTTGATCTGAGAGAAGGACCTACGCATAGTTGCTGTCGAGGCACTTGGAGACGTCGACCATGCAGTTGTTGACGCAGAGGTTGAAGCACGACTTGTTGCCGACCGAGTTGAATCTGAACTTCTGAAGGTTTCAGAAAACGTCAGACTCCTCACGGAGTGTCGGCCATGCAGTAGGTAGCGCTAGGTCCTTGGGCGTTGCAGAAGGTTTGGCAGGCACCCAGGGTCTGGGCGCGGATGGCGACGGCGGCGAAGACGAGGACCAAGGCGAGGGAGCGGAACATCCTGAAACATGCAGATGGACTGGAGATGATCAGGAAGATCCTAGGAAGAGGAATCGGAAAGTTGATGCTCAGGTCTCCATTGGAACGCTATTTAAAGGCGCCCGGTCTTTATCGTTGTCGAAAGGCTTTGATAGAATGTGTACATGGAAAAGAATGACAGAACCAATTTTCCGGGACGAGTTTCATTTTTTATTTCAATTTGAATCAAAATGTTTTCAGTCCATTGTCAAAATCGAAAGAATATTACAATGGATGAATGTGTCGGAATCCGTGTTCCGCGTTCGGCAACCTTTAAATAGCGTTCCAAAAGAGACCTGAGCATCAGCTTTCCGATTCCCGCTTCCTAGGATCCTTCTGATCATCTCCAGCCCACCTGCATGTTTCAGGATGTTCCGCTCCCTCGCCTTGGTCCTCGTCTTCGCCGCCGTCGCCATCCGCGCCCAGACCCTGGGTGCCTGCCAAACCTTCTGCAACGCCCAAGGACCTAGCGCCACCTACTGCATGGCCGACACTCCGTGAGGAGTCTGACGTCTTCTGAAACCTTCAGAAGTTCAGATTCAACTCGGTCGGCAACAAGTCGTGCTTCAACCTCTGCGTCAACAACTGCATGGTCGACGTCTCCAAGTGCCTCGACAGCAACTATGCGTAGGTCCTACTCTCAGAACAAGCTCAAGAAGTTCGACTCCAGATGCGCCATCAAGAAGACGCCCATCGGAGGCAACAACGACCTGAAGAAGAGCGGCTGCGACAAACTCTTCTACCCCGCCTGGTACTTCACTACTCCAGCCCCCGGAAAGTAAAAGTTCTGTCGGATGTGCTGAATAAACGACGAAGAAGCATTCTTTTTCTGATTTCGCAATATAATTTTGCATTTCGCGTAAATTGCTTTGAATGCGGCAAGAGAAACTGGAGTGCACAATTTTTCGTCTTACCATTTCTCGTTAGTAATGTTGGGATTTTATTACTGGTCAATCGGCGCATCCACAAAATCCGCTAACGGAGTGCACTTTTAAATTCAGTCAGAATTTGCATGCGGTCAATCAATAATTAGGATACGGAGTCTAACTTCTGCTGTTTCAGTACTCTTTGTGTGCACTCCGATACTATCCCTATGCTATCTGGATCTGAGAGAGCTTTAAAAGTCTGTCGAAGTTCCCTCCTAGTTATCTCTATAGCACTCTCAACGCGAATCCTTTTCATTGTCTGACGGAGGGCATACCTTGATTGACCTTAGATCGTGATGAAACTGGTTCAACACCTTCAGACAATTCACCAGCAAGTTTTAAAAAAATCATTTTTTTTTCATTTTTCTGTGTTGAAAAGCAAGGTTTCTAAAGACCCAGCTTTGCAAATATTCGTTTTCTAGGTTCGAGTTACTTCTGTATCTTACAAATTTTAAAAGCATGTTAGGCGCAGATTTATTTGTTTCTAGTTTCAGTCCTTCTGGCCCCTCGGGCCGTTCAAAAATTGCTTATGGAACTCGTGTTTCAGAGTCCATCGCGGGCAATTGGGAAAAGTTTTCAACCAGCAATAAACGCACCTCGGCAGAGCCTCATTGGTCACGTTATCGCCCCAGCGCAAAGCTGTCGGATAGGTCGAGAGGCGGAGGTCCCCTGTTTTGGTGCGACCGACTCGCGGCGGCTTTCGCTGGCTCATAATCTCCATCACGGGGAAAGGTAAAATCCGTCGTTTATTCAGCACATATGACAGAACTTTTACTTTCCGGGGGCTGGAGTAGTGAAGTACCAGGCGGGGTAGAAGAGTTTGTCGCAGCCGCTCTTCTTCAGGTCGTTGTTGCCTCCGATGGGCGTCTTCTTGATGGCGCATCTGGAGTCGAACTTCTTGAGCTTGATCTGAGAGAAGGACCTACGCATAGTTGCTGTCGAGGCACTTGGAGACGTCGACCATGCAGTTGTTGACGCAGAGGTTGAAGCACGACTTGTTGCCGACCGAGTTGAATCTGAACTTCTGAAGGTTTCAGAAAACGTCAGACTCCTCACGGAGTGTCGGCCATGCAGTAGGTAGCGCTAGGTCCTTGGGCGTTGCAGAAGGTTTGGCAGGCACCCAGGGTCTGGGCGCGGATGGCGACGGCGGCGAAGACGAGGACCAAGGCGAGGGAGCGGAACATCCTGAAACATGCAGATGGACTGGAGATGATCAGGAAGATCCTAGGAAGAGGAATCGGAAAGTTGATGCTCAGGTCTCCATTGGAACGCTATTTAAAGGCGCCCGGTCTTTATCGTTGTCGAAAGGCTTTGATAGAATGTGTACATGGAAAAGAATGACAGAACCAATTTTCCGGGACGAGTTTCATTTTTTATTTCAATTTGAATCAAAATGTTTTCAGTCCATTGTCAAAATCGAAAGAATATTACAATGGATGAATGTGTCGGAATCCGTGTTCCGCGTTCGGCAACCTTTAAATAGCGTTCCAAAAGAGACCTGAGCATCAGCTTTCCGATTCCCGCTTCCTAGGATCCTTCTGATCATCTCCAGCCCACCTGCATGTTTCAGGATGTTCCGCTCCCTCGCCTTGGTCCTCGTCTTCGCCGCCGTCGCCATCCGCGCCCAGACCCTGGGTGCCTGCCAAACCTTCTGCAACGCCCAAGGACCTAGCGCCACCTACTGCATGGCCGACACTCCGTGAGGAGTCTGACGTCTTCTGAAACCTTCAGAAGTTCAGATTCAACTCGGTCGGCAACAAGTCGTGCTTCAACCTCTGCGTCAACAACTGCATGGTCGACGTCTCCAAGTGCCTCGACAGCAACTATGCGTAGGTCCTTCTCTCAGATCAAGCTCAAGAAGTTCGACTCCAGATGCGCCATCAAGAAGACGCCCATCGGAGGCAACAACGACCTGAAGAAGAGCGGCTGCGACAAACTCTTCTACCCCGCCTGGTACTTCACTACTCCAGCCCCCGGAAAGTAAAAGTTCTGTCGGATGTGCTGAATAAACGACGAAGAAGCATTCTTTTTCTGATTTCGCAATATAATTTTGCATTTCGCGTAAATTGCTTTGAATGCGGCAAGAGAAACTGGAGTGCACAATTTTTTCGTCTTACCATTTCTCGTTAGTAATGTTGGGATTTTATTACTGGTCAATCGGCGCATCCACAAAATCCGCTAACGGAGTGCACTTTTAAATTCAGTCAGAATTTGCATGCGGTCAATCAATAATTAGGATACGGAGTCTAACTTCTGCTGTTTCAGTACTCTTTGTGTGCACTCCGATACTATCCCTATGCTATCTGGATCTGAGAGAGCTTTAAAAGTCTGTCGAAGTTCCCTCCTAGTTATCTCTATAGCACTCTCAACGCGAATCCTTTTCATTGTCTGACGGAGGGCATACCTTGATTGACCTTAGATCGTGATGAAACTGGTTCAACACCTTCAGACAATTCACCAGCAAGTTTTAAAAAAATCATTTTTTTTTCATTTTTCTGTGTTGAAAAGCAAGGTTTCTAAAGACCCAGCTTTGCAAATATTCGTTTTCTAGGTTCGAGTTACTTCTGTATCTTACAAATTTTAAAAGCATGTTAGGCGCAGATTTATTTGTTTCTAGTTTCAGTCCTTCTGGCCCCTCGGGCCGTTCAAAAATTGCTTATGGAACTCGTGTTTCAGAGTCCATCGCGGGCAATTGGGAAAAGTTTTCAACCAGCAATAAACGCACCTCGGCAGAGCCTCATTGGTCACGTTATCGCCCCAGCGCAAAGCTGTCTGAAGGGTCGAGAGGCGGAGGTCCCCTGTTTTGGTGCGACCGACTTGCGGCGGCTTTCGCTGGCTCATAATCTCCATCACGGGGAAAGGTAAAATTTTTTGGCGCGATGTAAGCCTCAATAACACATAATCTTGGAGAGAATAGGAAAGAAAAAACCAATAGAAAAAATGTTTTTTGAAAAGAAAAGAATGTAGGTTGGGAGTTCAGAGATGCCCTTAATCAACATTAATCTTTTTAATTTTGGAGTCGGAAAAGTGGTCCTAAAGAAGAAAAAGGTGACAGGAAGGCAGTTCACAATTAGCTGAGTAGCTGAGAGATTGGCTGAAGATCTAAAGGTCGCCGGTGCAATTTTTCGTCCTTCTTATGCTGTTTTGCAAAACTGTCGTGTCATTTCGAATAATCGAAACGTTATTCAAAGACTCAAGGAAAAAAGTTCAATGCTGCTCGGCGCTCGAAACAGCACTCGTGACTTTGGAAATGGGCGGTCTTTCGGGTTCGACAGATCCACAAAGAAGAATCTGCCGCAATTTGTTGAGACAGTAGGTTCTATAGTGACCGAAGAAACAGAGGTAGCTGACTGGAGAGAAAACGGATATACAGAGAGTTGAGGTGAAAGTGAAGTATTCGAGGAAGGGGTGATTGTAGATGCCGAACTGGCCGATCGAGTAGGAGACGACGGCGAACCAGTAAAAGCCCGGCATGCAGGCTTGGTAGGTCAGGGCCTGAAGAAAAAGTCATATTAGTTTCAACGAAAAAAAAATGATTATGAAGCGGAGAATTGAGACGAAAAATTAGTGAATCGCACGGAAAAGTTGTCGCTTTTTTGGCTTTTCAATTTTTTTGGACCTCGATTTTTTTGAGGAAAATGAATTTATATACATTTTCCATTTTCGATTCAATTGAAATTAATTTTAAAATAAAATTTTTTTCGATTTATCAGCTCAATACTTCTCAATAGCAAGGAAGGTCATTTCAAATTTGGATTGGAAATCCAAAAAATAAATTTTCAACCTGCACGTCTTTCTAGTTTTTGGAAAAGGACACACAAAGTCAGTGAAAACTCTCAAAATTATTTTGACAAATCGGTTATTTTTGGGCTTTGAGACCTTATTCCTCGATTTTTAGGAAATTTTTAGGAAATTTTGCAGGTTGAGAATTTCAGGACGATAATTTTTTATATCAAGAGGTGTTCTGACAAAAATTTACGAATTTCTCGATTGCAAAGTAAAACTACCTGCCCTGAAAAACATATGTGGTAGTCCTAATAGGCTGAAATTCACCATACATATACTAAAAAAATTTTTGAGCTCACAAAGTTTTTCGAGGAAATCTTTCACAACTCTAAATTGAAATTAGATACCAACCTTCAACAGCTGAGCGTGAAGCGTCTTGGTTCTTTTGGCCATTTGGGATTCAGAATGCTCCAAAACCTTGATGATTTTCTTCCGGAATATAATTATGGCTATATAAACTGGAGTGACTGGTAGTGTCATGTGCAGAATAACGTATAAGGCGAAGAAATTAAGAATACTGGCATTTCCAGTGACCGTTTCGCCCTCGAAACTGTAGCTGGGGAATTTTTCCTCCAGAAGTTTCGTCACCTTTTCTGGAGGATCGTAGGAGAAAAGGTAGGATATCTGAAACATGATTATTGCTTATGCAGAAATTCAACTTTTCAAAATAAATTTTTACTCCCAAAAAACTGTTCAAAAACTTACAAACTGCAAGAAAGAAGGAATGTAAATTAGGAAAAGAAGTATAATCAGTGTCCTTCTTTTCGGAGCAGAGTGATGAAGAATATAATAACGATAGGCGAATGACAACAAAAGGGACCATAATGTGTGGGACAAGCAGTGAAGCATGAAGCTGTACCTAAAAAAAGAGAAAAGATTGAAATTCCATGTATTTCTCGTTTAACTAAAAGATTTGATCTTACTGCTGTCGTCCTCGAAATTCATTTTAAAGTCCAAACTCAAAGAAATTTAAAAATATAGATTTCGCTCTCCTTTTCACTCAAGTTTCACCCCGAGTTTGAATTCAAAAATAAATCCTGTAAATAAATAATTTCTCATTGAAATCAAAGAAGATGAGGCTGAAACAAACGAGGCATAATGACATTCTAGAGACCCCAGAAAAAGATTGTTTCACCGACTTTTTTCGAACTTTCTTTGATTTATCTTTTACTTTCAAAAGAAAATTCTAATATTTTTCCAATCGATCGCCACAAAGATTGAAATCTCACGTCGTGAAACAGACGAATCTGCCAAAATATTTGCAAGGGCCGTTGGAAACGAGGCCAAGAGTAAATCCGCCTGGAATAAGCCTGAAAAATTCGGGTTTTCTCCTTTTGAAACACGGAAAATTAACCTTTGCTGGACGAAAAAATCACTGAAACATCCCAGAAAATCCGTCAACGCAAAGTTTATAATGAGGGTGGCATAGGTTTTGATACCAGAAGGTGACTTGAAAGCGGCCAAATAAATCAAAAGTCCATTACAAAAGCAGCCGAATAGAGCCAAAGCCGAGTGGGCTATGGTAAAGATCAGCATTTGCAGTTTGGACTACGAAAAGTAGGTTTTACCTTTTATACTTATCTTTTTCAGGAGACTAATTGCAGCATTGTTGAAAAAAATACGTCGTTAAGTTGTTGCGTAGCCGTTTGGAATGTACTAACGAGCTCATTCAAAAAGTGTCGGCGAATTACAGAAAGTTCTTTGATGCGCTGTAGGATACGTAGAGATGAACAGGGTGAATAAGCAGAAACGGAAATAGGCAAAAATCGAAGTAAATATCGTGGGATTCGAACCAGGGACCTCTTCAACTACAGTCCAATACTCTGTCACTGAACCACGCCCAAACATTTAGCCCACCCATAATCTCAATCAATCAATGACTCAATTAAAAATATCTGTAAAAAGTATGTGCTGTGACTTTTTAGGACGTATTGAGGGGAATATATAACTGCCTCCAATTGTTTTTGGATTTTTTTTTTAAGTCGATCCATAGAGATTTTTCCGAAATCAGTTTAATATAATCACTTTTTTAAGCAACCGGAACAAGCAGAACACACAAGTTATTATTTTTGTGACCCAATTGTTTCTAAAATTTTATTTCATCACAGCTTTTTCTACATTTTCTCAAGTTTCCACTCGTTTATATTCAGTTCGAAGGTATTTCTGCACAGTTCAAGAGACTGTAAATTACTTTCTTTGGTATTTAATCAGGAGATAGGCGTCACATTCTTTGAAGTACGCCAGGAACAAAATATCGAGGTTACTGAAAAAAGTAAATATAAACGAAACTAAAGGAGTCCTAATGGCAGGAAGCGTGAACGAAATCTCGAAAACAACGTCTTCAAACGCGACAGCTCCATTTTCTTAGGTTCTAAAGAGAAAATGTTGAATATAACCGATAAAGACGTATTGGATGTGTGCAACAAAAATCATGGCACTTTTGCTTTGACTATTTTTTTCTTCGTGACGTTTCACAACTAATGAGCTCCTAAGCCTCGAGATTACTGCTCGAGTAACTTGGATTCCAAAAATTCTACTCAAATTTTGAGATGAGTTGCGAGAGAATATTTGATTGGAGAGGAAGTTTTATATACTTTTATTTTTCAAATAGTGATCTTGAATTCAGTGATTCGTCATTTTTAAGTGTGAATAAAGTTAAAAATTCCTCCAAAAAGGCATCGAGAAATCGGTTTTCCGTTTGACACAAGGAAGTCTATGTGACAGGGAAACGATTAAAAATGTCTAATATTTGGAAATTTTTTTTCAACAGAAAGCTGACAGAGGCAAGTTTTGAAAAAAATTGAGCGAGGCTTCAAAAAAATCAGACAAGGAAGCAATTTAAAACTTTAAAAAAACCTGCATTATAGTCCTTCCGCTGAAAATAAAACACAAGAAGTTGAAAAATTTTTCTCAAATATTTATTTTTAACGGATAGTAATTTTTTTAAATCATTTAAAAAAACACATCGAACATTTTCTTCAAAAAAACTTGCGGTGAAACTCGTAAAAACCCACGCAGAAGGCAGCATGGAAACTTCTGAAAAAGCAGAGACAAAAAATCTTAGAAAATCGAACAATACCATTTTTCACACTAGATTTGATCGATTTGAAAAATTTCAGGACAAAACGTCGATAATGTTCATTTAAAAGTATAATAGTACAAGGGGAGGCTCCACCGTGTAAAGTTATCCAAATAACGATGAGCGAGCTCGTTGCTGGAATGCTTTTCGAATAGAAACAGAATGAAAGAATTGATTAATGTGAGTAATTTACATGGAAGAAACTTTCCGGCGTAGACTAGGACGACGATCAGGAAAAATGGCATGATCAGGAACATTGAAGGAACTGAGACCTGAAATTCGAATATTTCTAATTTCTTCTAACAATCGCGAAGCTTTATGGATTTCGGACGCCAAAAACGTCTTTTTTTTTTACCACGGGTGCAGTGGAATACGGACTTCAAAACTCGATTAAATAGGTAAAGATCGTGAAAATTTTAAGCTTGCTCAGATCAAGTGTTAGCAAAACTTAATTTAAATGTAAAAGAGTGTCTTTTTGGCGACTCCTTTGTGATTTCCTTCAAACCTGAATGCACAAGGCGGAAAGAAACGCTTTTTGAATTTTCCTGGTCTTGTCGGACATGATAATCTGCTGATTGTTCAGAATATAAATACTGTGAACTGCGAAGAAAACGACGTGGGCCAAGATGATCGAGGTGGAAATAGCGATAAAGGTTACGTTTACATAAGAAGTGTCCACAACGAGGGCACATTCGGTGAAGATCCTAGCAGGACGGCATCCGATTGACTGATTACCACAATAAATTCGCTTCAAGCCAGAGAAAAAAGCCACCTTCACTACAAAAACCTGAGCTTCGACCTGATTTGTCGGGATATTCAGAAAAAGGCCAACTAAAGCCCCACTGAAGAGAATGCACACAGCCAACCAGTACAAAAAATAAGTTGATTTTTGAATTCTAATTCTGATGTAGCCCGGCAAAACGCAATAATGACGGTACATGAAAAGCAGGACCAATGCCACAATCATGTCTGAAAAATATTAAATATTATGATTTGTTTCATCGAAAAGTAAACTTCCAAATGCAAAGTAAGAGCATAGTAATTGAATTTTCGGAGAGATCCCAACGCTTTGGAAAAATCCGATAGAACAGCCGGCGGTGGCGGGAAAATAGAAAATGGGCGTGATGCAGATAGAAAATAGGAAATCCCAAATGAGAACCCTGAAAAAGATCTGCTTAAAACTGAAAAATTTAGTTTTGAATCTTGATGTTACAGGCAAAAAATCCAGAATGCAAATGAAAAATATGAAAAAAAAAATATTTGTTCAAGCTATCAGATAATGTTTTTTCTAATAGCGAATCCTAAGGATTTAAATCGAAGAAGAATTATGGTGAAAGACGCCGCTCAAAAATCCCATTTTTAGGAAATGCTTCCTTTTTTAAAGTTTTTCCACCAATTTTTTCTTAGTTAAGAATCTTCAAGACCCACCAAATTTGATAATTGAGTTGATACCATCGATAAGTTCTCATTGATTTTGAAGATTTGAAAAGAATACAATAAAGAGAAGTGAGACTCAAGGGCAGAAATAAGAATGCCAACGCGATTTCTACGCTTCTCAGGATGTTTATTTTAGAGTCCTGCGGGTCATTCTCGCAGTTCGGGTACTTGTTCATCTCCAACAACATCTCCAAACGCGACAGATCCATTATTCTGTAGAAAAAAAAGAATAAAAATTATATAACGGGATTGAAAGGTTATGTAGTGAAAATGAGCAGCAAGAAACTAGGTATTTTTTGGTCTGCTCATTTTTTTTCGTGAAATTTTCCCCCTAATGAGTTATTAGACCACAAAACTTCCGCTTGGTTACCTTGAATTTCTAATAACTAACTATAACTGTGGAAAAATACATTTTCTAAAAAAAAAATTGAGCAGAAAATTCTTCTCACTAGGGAACTACTCGGACTCGGGTACGCGTTTCGAGTTGAAACTTTGGCGGCTCATAGACCCGGGTAAGAGTACTTGGAAACAAGGAAGATCATCTGCTAAACTCCACAGGCTTCTGAGAAAAAGCTTTTTGAAAATGAACAGTTTAGGCTTGAAAATTGTCAAATTTTTGCTTTCCTCGTTCTTTTGACTGGAGCAAATTTTTTTAGAGTTTATCATAGCCGAATCATTCAAGGCGATTGTATTAAAATATAAAATCAGGTAAAAAGCAGTATTCTGAAAAATTTTAGGCCTAATTTTCACATTTTCTACTAATTTTTTCTCAGTTCTATATCGGGTTTAGCAGATATTCTCTCTTGTTTTCAAGTATTCTCACTTAGGTCTATAAACCACTAAAGTTTGAACTCGATCGGCGTACCCGTGTCCGAGTAGTTCCCTAGTCAGTTTGTTTCTCGGAAGCTGAAAGAACGAAGTTTGAAATTCACATTAACTTGAAATAAATTTGGGATTAGAATTATAAAAAAATATTTTTTTATCTCAATTTTTTTCAAAAAAAGAAAACAATTTTTTTCATTCACTTCGAGAGATTGAGTTTAACTTTCGTTTAAGCCACAACAAGTCAATTTGACTGTCGAAAATAGTTCGCTCAACTGCGGTCGTCAATTAAACTGAGCCGGCTGTTCACTGGACTGAGCCGCCAGCATAGCTTTCTCGAGTGCACTACGCCTATTTCTAATTGACAGCTCACGTTTTTTTTTTGTTTTGTAGCTCAAATCTATAGACCTCTTTTACTTTTTCACTCCAATAACCGCTGTGTGTGTTCAAAAGTGGACTTTTTCCTCTATTCAACCGATTTTTTTTTGAGAGAAATTTCATTTTCACAGAACATTTGATCAATCTTCTTTTTCCTTAAGAACTTTCAGTCCCGAAATTCCGAAAGCTAGCTTGCTGGCTTTCGAAAGATTTCTACACGTTTTGAGGTCCCTGATCAGCTGTTTTGTACGCAACTGACCGCAGACACTTTCATGCCAAAAAAGCGCGCGCGCTCTCTCTTTTTAAACCAATTTTGAATTTAATTTTTCTTTTTGTGTATACTCGTCTTTCCTCATTGCTCTGCTGCAGTCTATGAAAAAAATTAGAAATTAACCAAAAACTAAAAATATTGTATTTTATTAAACTTTATGTCACGGTGTTTTTTTCATTACGCAAGGTCAAGACTTTTTCGTAAATTATGATGCTTAGGGTGTAAGCACACCGAGACGCACTATCGCATACTCAAAATACTTTTTTTCAATTTTTAGAATTTGCGATTTCAGGATAATAGCTCCTGAAATGTTCGAAATTTGTCATTTTTGAAGAATATGATGTGAAAAAAACATTCACTTACGTTAAAAAAACATTTAGGAACGATTTCGAAAAGGGGAAAACTCTAAATTACTGATTACAAAATAAAAAAACAAAAAAATATTATGAAAATGAATCAGCTCCCATTGAATAAGCATTTATAAATACGAAAAAAATATTGAAATGAGGAAAAATTCGAGGAGCAAATGAAAAACATTTTTATATACCTCGAAAACCTAGCTTCAGAAAAAAACAAATAATGGATAGAAAGCAGAAATTTTTAGAAAAAACCTCGTATGGCGAAATTTTTTTGTTTAAATCCGAAAAACCATCAAAAAAACTAGAAAAAAATAATTTAGATGATTCATATATCAAAATCATTAAACTGCATCAGCAAATTCAATTTGGCTCTAATTTACGCGATACCGGTTTTTAAACTACGTCAAATGAACTAGATAATAACTTTTTTTATTATTAACTGATTAAATTAAAAAAACTATAGTTTCCGAAATAGAGTGATTATTTTTCATGTCGCGAAACAGATTTCAAAAATTTTTGAAAAAAATTAGGACTTTTTAGAAAAAAATCTTCAGCTCTTTTGAGAAAAAAAGTTAAAGATCTGAAACCGGTTTAGAAAAATGCGCAATTTAAAGCTTCACAAGATGTACCCATAGAGAGGCGGATCACATAAATGCAAGAAATAGAAAAAAGTAAAAAACCAATGAAAAAAGTGAAGAAATTCAATTTTTGCATCAGAAACCATGAGAAGGGCGCAATAATGCGCCACGGATAATATGCCGCTGGGACCCAAAATTTCGCATTTTTTTTCATTGCGCGGAACACCGTGATGTCAATGGAAAGCGAAAAAATAACCCCTTTGCTTGCGAGTCTGCATTGTCAGTTTTATTTTTCACTTTTGAAAAAAAGTATTTTTTTTAAAAAAAGATTTTTTTATTTTTTTATAATTGCCAATATTGGCAATTATATTGCAATAGAAACAACGAATCATTTTTTTCAAAGATGAAAAAAAGTTAAAAAAAGACTAAATCAAAAAAAGAATAATTGTATAGAAATCGTTTAATTTCACATTAATTGTGGTTCAAAGTTTGAAAAATAATAATTTGATATTTTCAGAAGCTCCGATGTTGCCGGAAATCCAGAAAAAACGGGTCCCCGCGGTGATTTCTGGACGAAACCGCAGAAACACGAGATACGATTTGATTCCCAGAAACAAGTTGGACTACAAACCGCTCGATGGTCTTTTGAAGGTGAGATATTTAGATTAATTCAGTAAAACGTTTTTCCAGAAAAGGTATGAATGTGTCAAACGAGCTGTTATAATTGATGTAGCAAACTGTATGCGTTTATCAGGTTATTTTTTCTTAAGTCTATATTTTTTATATAGATGGAATCCAAAGTAAATACCAAAAAGTTATTATTTTTTTAGAATTGTCTGACAATCATAAAAAAAGAACTATATGTTAAGGGAGTTGCAAAGAAGTTGCGATATATATTTCAACCTAAAAAACAAAAAAAAAACTCGATAGTTGAGATTTTTAAATTTTGAGAATTTAAGATTTGTCCGAGAACGTGTGTTAATAAAAACTAACCCTAAAGATGAAATGACTATTTTGTTTACAAAAAAGGATATTTTTCAGCTAACCGCGGTGATCCAACAGTTTTTCCAGTTTTATCACTTCTTCGCTTATTCGTTTTGAGCGATTTCGACGTTTTTGGGGTGATCACCAGAACTGATTGCCATAGTGAAGATTTGTGTGAGGTCGCCATTATTGAGGTGTGTTGAAAGTTTTTCGACACTATTTTCAACTGAGATGCTTGCAGAAGCTGCTGCAAAATGGGCTGTTGGTGAAAAATCCATTTGGCAGCTACGACGATAATCAATTTTTCGTTCATGCGGCAGAACTCAATGGCGTTGTCGTTTCCAACGATCAATTCAGGTTGAGAAATTACTTTATGAAAAATGTTTATTCGAAAATGATTCGTTTGGTTTCCTCAGTTTTTGCGTTCTTTTATGAAATGGATCCTCAGCTTAAAAAAAAGATAGGCGAGGAAGAGATTTTTAAGATCTCAAAAGATCGTTAACCAATTTAATCTTCCATCAAGGAGATTTTTCGCATCAGAAATGTTTGCACTGAAAGTTTAACCTTTCAAATAAAGGGACTTTGCCGCGGTTTCGGAAGGACAGAAAACTCTTCGAGACAACAGTGTGGTCAATTACGTGACTATCGTTCTGGACTCGAGCGAACAGTACCATCAAACAAGAGATCGACGTCATTTCATGTGCGACGTCAGATTCGACGTGTTCCCAAACTGCCACGGGGAGCGCTCAATAAACGGTTCCTACAAAATACGACCGTTTCGTGAAACTTTCTTTCGTTCAGAAATGTTTTTTTCCTCCTCTTTGGAAGCAGAATATCCAAAGTCCATGGTGCGAAGGAAAACGTGGACAATTGAACGCCAGGAAAAGGTTATCAACTTTCTTTTTTCGTGAATTAGAAAAATCTCAAAGATCGATATGGCATATTTTTTCGAAAGAAAAATTTCTAAACCTTAAGTGGCTCACATTTTTATCTCGAAATTTCTTGGTGAAGACAAATATAACTTTCCTGGTTTCCTTCCTTCACGTCACAGATTCCTGCCTGTGAACGAACAATGAAAATTTCATCATTTTGGAATCCATTCAGATGCTCAAATTGCTCAACGAACTGATTCTGATGAAGCTGGACGCCCTGCACCGGGAAAATAAAGTTGCTGAAGTGCCTCAATTGCTTCAAACCACAGCCGAAAACGATGGCACCAATCAGATAACCGAACAAAAACCCTCCGAGGAACCGGAGCCACCCGTAGACCCTGCGGAAGTTGATTTGATTAATTGGTAACACTTTTTTGTTTTCTGGTAATCTTTTTGTCATCTCGTCACTCTGAAAACTTTTTGAAGATAAAATTTTCATAACATTAGGTATATTTTGCTATGTTTAGCCAAGACGTAACATTGAAATCTACTTCTGATATGTTCACAGTTCCTAGCTAGACTTTTCGATGAAGCGCTTGATTCCTGAAGATTCTTGCATGAGGTCTAGCCAGGGTCGAATTATTGAAAAAGACAATTTCGCTGCAAAAAACCAATGATAAATGTTACAAAAGACTGAAATATGTTCAAAAAACCTCTTTGAAGTGGGGCAATAAAAAACGGACATGGTTTCTCAACTAGTCAGCTATTTTCTGTGGTAGGTTGGTGATATTCTCGGACTGCTTGAGAACTTGCTCCAGCCTTGAACTTTCCGAGCGAAGGTGTCGGTTCTCGAGAGAAGGCGTCATGCTAATTGGGTGCGCATCCGTCTCACCTTCACGTTGCCGAGCAATTACATTCCTTCCGGGTCGTCTTCAGCTTCGTTTCAACCAAACCTGTCCTCTCTTGAAACAACTTTCTGGCACACGTGCCGTCTAGCGCAGAATAACATTTTATTCTTAAGCATAAATCAAAATTTTTTCCAATCCGACCCTCTTCTTCCTCTCGTAATACGTTGAAGCGTTTTTAACTCTCTAATTTTATACTACTTGGGTTCGAGAAGTTTATTTCTACTTTACAAAAGTTAGCAGCAACCTTTTTTTATTTCCACCGTTTTTCTTGCTGTAGAAGAAAGTTCAAAAAAACATAGATTGAGGATTTAATGGAATTATTAAAATACTTTTTCAAAACATAAATAACACAATTATCAAATTTTTCGATTTGAGCAAAGTTATGGCACCGGAAATGCTTTGAATTCTAATGCTTTGTCCATTGACCGCTTTTTCCACGAGTTGGATCGAAAGTTGGGCTAAGTCCCCTCAAAATATTGACATTAGCGTACAGAATGCTCCTTCAACTCCATTTTCTTCTTTTTTCTGTCGTCACGACGACTGCTATTTTCTTTGGCGGTCGTTGCGGCTGTGGCGGCTGCCAGCCACCTCAAGCTCCTGTGTATTGCCCGGTTCGTTGGTTCTTTACTCCCAAATACGGTTCTACTTTAAGCCAGCGCCAGCTTGCGGGGGTTACAGATACCCTTCTTCGGTTCCCCTTGTGTCAAGCTTTTCTTCTCGGCCAAATTACATGCCCATTGGTTCATACGCGACTAGAGCTGGATCACCACTTTTTGCGAACCAATTTGCTCAGTTCCGTGGTAAATTTAAAATTGGAGTCTGAGAGAAAAAAAAAACAGTTCAAGGAAATTCTTTAAACGCTCCCTTTCAATCGTACGTGATGCCACAAATCACTTCAGAAAGCAGAGCTGAGTTCACTGATAATCAAGAAAATTGTAGGTTCGCCCAGATTATGAAGAATAATCTTGATTATTTGAGTGGATAACTCGGAAAATCCTTTGGACCGGATCGATTCCACAGCCACGGACAAACAGCAGAAGGTTTCCGCAACTTCAATGACATCTGAAGCTTACGAGGTCTCCAAAAAATACTAACGTTGAATTCGACAGTCAGCTTTTCAGCCATTTCACTATGATCCGAGAAAGCAGAAGTCGGGTCAGATTGAAAAATCTGGTTACCACAGAGCCCAAGCAAAAGCAGCCAAATCTATCAGAGAGAAATGTTCAAGTCCGCGTTTGCGAGAAATTATTGATAAGGTTGATAAGAGTTTTTGTTTATTCACTATGAGTGAAATTTTCAGTCGATCACAGACAGCATTTCGCTTTCAAAACTACGAATCTCTCAATTAGCCAGAAAAGAACTTGGATACAATTTCGACGTCATTTGTAGCACAATCGACTTTTCTTACCTCATTTCTTCGAACATTTATTGTCAAACCGGAAAGAATGGAATCATTTGCTTAGCTTTTGAGCATTGATATGCGTTCAGTTTCTGGCACGAAGATATTTAATAAAATGGCTTTCGAAAAAACAGTTTCACGTATCTCACTTCACAACATCAGGATAAAACTCACGAGGGAAGTGCCTGACCTGGTGAGGCAAACATCGCGGATCTAGACAAAACCGTTTTTTAAGGTAGTCCTAGGTATGATTACTTGGAAACAAAAATAATTTTTAATAATAAAAAGCTAAAAAACTGCTTTTCGTTTTTAATCAACTACGTGAGATAGTTTTGAAAATAGGATCATTTGGAAAGATTTTTCGCAATGAAATTCCGACGAAAAAGAGTATCAAATCTTTTGCTGCACTTTTTTCTGATCACGGCGCCGGCGACACCAAATCGAGGCCACGCCCACCGCAGCGGCGGAATATGAAATGTTTTGTACGCAGTGAACACGATGCACAAAATACGACGCGCAAAAACAAAAAAAAATAGTTTAATAAAATTATTATGATCGAAATTTTTTTTTTCATGACTTTTTCTAGCTGTTATTCATTCAGGGATCGCTGAAAGAAAATTCCACAATATTAATATTCTAAACAAAGTCACATCTAAAAACTAAAATGAAGAGGAATAATTATTTTTAGAACTAATATTCTATTTCAATCTCCAAAACTTTTTTCTGACCTCTAAACACTGGTGAACTGATAGCTTTTCCCTCGGCACCTTTTGGCGGATATTAATTAAAATTACGGCAGCGTATACATCTGCAAACACAGCTACACTAGTTTAAGAAAATTCACGCGCGAAAAAAAAATTTTCTACTTTTTCAAAGCAAGTGGCTTGTTGAACTGAAGAAGAAGCATGTATCGAATTGCTAATTGTGTTCATTGGCGTAAAGTTGCTTCATAGTAATAATTTTTATATTCTTTTCTCTCTCTACAGAACTGCTAAATATATCAGTAAGCGAATTCTTCGAGCTATAGCTAGACAGTCTGTGGAGCTTTAGTCCGTCGCGTATTATCAAGTTAAAAAAAGATTCGAACATATATCTTTCATTTCTTTGTCAGGTTTATATTTCCAATATCATTTTATAGGAGTTCTAGGAACTTCTCATGGCGCAGCTATTGAGGGTGAGGTCCTAAAGTGATCTTGTTCTCAGATGAAATGAGTTTTCCAGCTTAAAATTCGAGGTGTGCGCAGTGTTGGCGACAATTCCGAAGATTGCCATATTGTAACATTTCTTAATCCGTTGACTATTATCAATGGCCCGAATGGAACTGGGAAAACAGTAATTTTCCTTCACTGATTGCTACGTAGGAAATTTTTTTTCAGACAACAATCGAGTCCTTGAACTACATCACTACAAGCGCTCTACCCAGTGGAAAGCTCAACTCTTTCATTCATAGCCCAGATGTAAGCTCAACGGACTTTTGAACTTGAAGAATCGTTTTGAATATTTTGAGGTAGCCCGGAAATCGCGGGTAGATGGTTCGATTGCGCTAGAATTCAAGGATGTGAAAGGTCGCGTTTGCACAGCTACCAAAAGAATGGTGGCGACGGTGAAAGAGGTCTCATATGTTTCAGGTTTGTATTAACTTAATTAATGTATTTAGGGAAAGCTGCAGTGCAAATCGGAGGAATTCACTCTGAAAGTGCAAATGCCGAACGGTCGAGAGCACACTATTTCGAGTAAAGTTTCGGATTTCCAACGTGCCGTGCGTTTTGTTTTATTTTTATAAGAAAGGTGATTTGACTCGAAACTTTGCAATTTTTGACATTAAAGGCGTTTACCCATTTTTAAATTCAGTCCATGATAAGAATTTTGAAAGTATCACTTTGACCAAAATTCTAGGTTTGCTGAAAAGATTGAATTGAGATTCCTAGTTGGATGGAATACGAAATTGCCGGGTTTGTAACATTTTCCTTCAGATGATCCAACACATGGGTGTTCCGCCCGCTATTCTCGATCATGTAATTTTTTGCCACCAAGAAGAATCTTGTTGGTCGGTTCCACCTTTTTGAAGGATTTATTTTTTGCTGATTGTGCAGGCCTTTGAGCGAACCCAAGGAGTTGAAAATGCGATTCGACCGGATTTTCCAATTAACCAAATTTGTGAAGGCGATGGAAACCATGAAAAAGATGAAAAGAGACTTCGTATGGTAAATTTTCTCTTGGCTGATGCTCATTTTTTACCTCCAGGACAACGAATTGAAAGTTCTCACGGAAAAGCAGCACAATGCGGAGGATAAACTCAAATCGAAGTTCAAGGTTTTTTTGTTGAAGAAAAGTTCTTTTAATTATGTTTTCAGTATGTCCTCGGCGAAAAACACTGGAAGAAGAAAAAAGCCGACGTTCAGGAGAAATTGAATGAACTAACTGTTCGTTTCACGAAAAAAATGTTTTATTTTTCCATTACTCTTCTCATTCAGGAACTTATCGCCGATAAGAAGTTTGTGATGAATGATTTGGGAAGTAAACTGAACGAAATGCATAACGCTGAGCGACAAAAAGGTTTTCGATCAAAATATTGATTTTTGAAGATCGTCTGTTCAAAAGAAGACTAGGTTATTTGACGGTGCAGAAGTCTTGCACGGAAATTCTCACATACTGCATGGAAATCGCTTCTGCAAGGTGTTATGAAATAACAATGGGGAATTATTGAAGAGCTCAAAGAAGCCGATTTGCGGGCAACGAAAGATCAAATTGCCCTATTGCGCGTCAACCCGTACAGTGGAACTGAGGAGCAACTTCTTCAGGAAATCAATGAAGTTTCCGAAAAATTTCTGCCGGTTCAGTTTATGTCCTCGATTGCAGATGAAAAGTTCCAGCGATTTTCGCCAGATGGAGTCCGAGAACCGGAAGATACAACAGAATATTGAAGCAGTTTCAAGACAAATCGAACAGATTTCCAAGGAAAAGAAAGATTTGGAAGAGCGAAATTCGCGCTGGCAAGCAGCTATCATGGTTTCGTACCTTTTCTGTTAAAAAAAAAAAAAAAGTATAACTTTGTACGAACAGAAAAAAAATGTAAAAGTGAGGAAAATTTCCTATTATTGCGCTCTAAGAAATATAGAGAAGCTCAATTTTTTTCCTCTTCAAATCATCGTTCTCTAAGACAAAATCTGATAATCTTATAATCTAAACACTTGTTGAAAGAAGAGCATCTCAGTGAAATATCAGAAAACTTTTTCGTCTGGAATAAAAAAAATTCTTCGCTGTTTTGATTTTCGCTAATCTGCATGTTCAAAATCAAAAGAGAAAAGATCCGCTAAAGATTTCAAAATAAAGCTCTGCAGCACCGCGACGGAGTCTTGAACGAATTGAAGTTTTTGGAAGAGAAAATCCGTTCGAGTCACGATGAATCTCCGCATTTGCCTGTGATCGAGATGCTGGATCATGAGATCAGCCAAAAAACTCGGAAAATGCAGGAGTGTTTGGTAGGCGACTTCTTTTCGATTGGAAAAGGGTTGCGAGTGTAGAACACGGCGCAAGAAGATCTGGACGAATACCAACAGAAAGTGGATTCTGCGCAAACCGCCGTGATGAAAACCGAGATGGAGCTGAACAACGGACTTCTCGAGGAGAAGAAGCTGCGCAGCGCCCTTGGCGCCTTGGATTCCAAGCTCAAAATGATCTCCGGAGCAACCGAAAGGTAAAAAAGTTGGAAGCCTTCCTTTTTCATTTTGGGTTACTCATCAATAACCTTGTAGTGTGATATAACTCTTTATACTCTTTGTGGCGCAAACGATTCAAAGATAGAAGCGTGAGACAAAAAACATTTTCCCATAAATTTCTTTGCTTTTTATTCGTTTTTTTTTTTACCGCAGCTGCAAAAAGAAGAAATTGTTTTGTGCCTCAAATAAAAAGTTGAATCCTGGACTTTCCTGAATCTTTTTTTCTTTCAATATATCTCAAAAATTTTTTTATAGAGAAAAAGGTTTTAGTAATTTAAATGTAGGAGCTCGAGAAAGATACTTCTTAAAAATTGAAGCTTTGAAATGGATAAAACAGTTCGTTACTTTTCTCCGCAGTTGTTCAGGGAGTACTAATTTTCAGCATCGCGTGTCTTTCCGAGAAAATGCAAAAAATCGAGGACGAGCTCTCGAATCTGCCAAGTCTCGACGAAAACGAGATGAACAAGTTGATTGCAGATCGAGTCGACGCCCAGAAAAAAGTTTCCTAGCTCGATTTTTCTCCCTCTTTCAGTTAGCAGTTCAGCTTGACGAAATAAACGACCGATGTTCGCGTGCGGCGACGTTTGTCGATGTTGAGAAGAATCTGGCGACAAAAAACGAGCTGCTAGAAGACTATATCGAGAAAATCAGCGATTTGCACCGAAAGCACGAAGAAAATTGGAATGTTCTGTACAACGGAACCACAAGGCCGTCGCCTCCTTTTGTGTTCGTCTTTTATTGGATCAAAAACCGAAAAGTCTCGGAATGTACTCTGGAAACATTAGGAAAATAATTCCTTGCCGCTCAAAAAATTATTAACTTCAATAATGCGGGAATAGTTTCAGAAGTTGGCTGATTCCCAACTAGGCAAACGCTTCTTGAAGCACATTTTTATATGTATAAAACATTATGTGCAAGATATCCGAAAAAGCGGATTTTTCAGCAACAATCCTATGTTTTTTTGTTTCCAAAGTAACTGAAAAAAAAAATTGAGAATGATCGTTAAATAATTATTTTCTGAGAGAAAGCTAAAAACGTTTCATATCAGAAAAAATCAGTTTCAGAGTGTTTTGAAGATTTTCGCGAATTTCTCTACGTTCCCTGCCCTCGAAGCTTTTTCAATTTTTTTCGGAAACTTACTTCAAGCTTTACTGTGTTAATGAAAGACGCCTTGTTTTCTTTTTTAATTAAAGTTCGCAACTGCGAGATAGTTTTTTTTTTTCAGAAATGCGATCAAGGATATGAGCGGAAAGATTGGCGTCTCATTGGCCGACGTAGAAAATGAGCTGAAAGTGGCTCAAATGGAGTCGCAACGAGTCAACATAGCCGTCGTGCAGTCAAAAACTGAGCGGAACGAACTGATTGAGGAAATCAAGGCCACCGAGAAACAAATTTTTGATGTATTTTTTGGATTCTGAGCGTTGATATTTCTGTCTTGCCAGATGTGTGGATGTAGCCCCGAAGAAGTCGAGAATCGCTTGAAAGAAGTGAGAGCCGAGCTGAAAAAAGCCCGGAAAGAACTTGCTCCGATCGATGCGAAGACGGTCTCAAATCTTCTCTAATGCTCGAAAAAACAATGTTTTTGAAGGCACTTTACGAGTCTTGGATTGAAGAATCAACGGAAAAGTCATGCTGCCCACTCTGTGAGCGCAAGTTCCACACCAAAAACTCGGCGACTGATTTTGCTAATAAAGTGGGTTTTTTTTCACGGAACTTTTCGTCTCTTACGGTTTACATTATTTCAAAAAAAAAAAATCTCAATTAGTATAACTCCGACTTTTCTCCGGTCATAAATACTATAATAAACTTTCTCCTCACAAAATATAACAAAAACAAAAAAATTCAGCTTCGTAACGTGTCGATGTCGGTGCCAGAAGAACGGGATCAACTGTCAAAGCGCGTTTTGCATAGGGAAGAGCTGGAAAAACAGCTGTCTGGAGCTCAAATTCATGCACAAAACATCATGTCAGCCTTCAAATACTTTTGAATCTAATTTTTTTTTCTTTAGTGGAAATCTATTAGATTCCTTGCTATCTTCAATTTTTCAGAAAGTTGAAAGAGAAAGAGAAAGAGGTCAAGCTGAAGATTGAAGAGTCAACGAAAGAAATGGCATATTCCAACACTGTTGTCGGCCAAATGCAGAACAATCGCGACAAGTTGGCCTATCGCCAGTCGGTTGCTCACTCGCTTCAAGTAGATAACTTCTCTGCTACAAAGACCTTCAAAACGTTCAGAACGACGCTTCAATGATGGACTTGCTACAAGTCTCCATAGACAAACTTCGACTCGAAATTTCGGATCTCAAAAATACTCTTCGGAAGCGAAATCAAGGCGAAACTTATTCTGAATTGAAGAAATTTCGCGAGCTGCAAGAAGTTTTTGACTTTTTCTCATTCACTTCTCACTGATGAATTGTTTTTTCAGGAATACGTTAAAAGTCTACACTCACAGGGGGAAAAGATGCAAGTTTTGTCGAATAAACGAAACTCTCTTCTAGCTCAGGTTTCTTTTAGCGGTTTTGAAGCACTGCCAATTTTTTTCGTTTAATGAATTTGATCGCCCTGGACTTGATTTGCGATGAAAAAATTTTTTTTCTTTAGTTTTTACCACTTTAAGGCCTTTCCTTTAGACCCGCTTTTCATATATTTGTCACGGAAAAAGAGCTAGAGATTTTTCGCGATAAAGAAGTTTTCAACCGTTAAAAACTGTAATGATCCGTGCGATAAAGACCATTTTTCTAGAAAATTCTTGTTTTTTTTTTTCAGTTCAACGCGCTTCGAGAACAACGAGTGTCTTTGGGAGAGAATGCGGCCCAATCTACACATCTTCAAGAAGAGGTTTTGCTCCAATCTTAATAGAACTTGCAAAGTTTCCTAGCGCAATTCCAAAATGGCCGAATTGCGTTCGTCGAAGGAGAAAATTGCGGATTTGGAGCTTCAGTTGCCCGTAGTCAGTAAAAAACTCGAGGTTCGTTTAGACGAGAAATGCGCGATTAGTGTGGTTTTATCAGCTCGAAACACTCGAAAGAAATCAGAGGAACGAAGACAGACGCGTTTTGGAATCAGAGTTGATGGCCGAAATCAACGGTTTCATTTTTTTCGAGTCATTTATTTTCAAGTAAATGTTCAAGATTTGCAATCAATTCTTACGAAATACGAAGATCTGAAGAAAAAGTATGACACTATTCCTGATCATTCTGATGAGGTTAGTTTTTCGTACCTTTTTCCCATTTATAGCTCTGAGTTCAGATGGCCCGCAACAGGAAGACTGTGGAAAAGATTTCGAACGATTTGGTTGTTGCTAACAAACGGAAAATGGAGCTGGAGATGAAAGCGAACGACGTGGCTGGATCGGTACTACAAAAAAGAATGTAGGAAACTGAGAACCAACGTTTGAGCAAACGAAGCGCCGCACTCTGGATGACCAACTGACTCGCATGCACCTAGAAGCGAAAATTGAACGGGTGCAGGAAGAGCTTAGAAGTCTGGCAACTCAGGGCGCGAGCCTCAGAGAAGTCCAAGATAGTTACTCTGTGGGTGAAAAGTGTTATGAAAAGATGTTGTTGCAAATTTTCAGAAGGCCAAGTCCGAGGTGGAAAAGGCAGAAGTGGAAGTCGGCAGACGAAACGGCATCTTGGAGGAGATCAATGTGAAGGTACGTCAAAGGGTGACTAAAGATGGCTGGCAAATTAGTCTGGGAAAAAAAGTCTTATGAGTTTCTGCAATGCTCCATATGGACTATAGCCTATTCCACGCCAGCTTTTCACGTTTTTCTTTCCGCCAAATAGACCGTATACCAAATTAGATCAAATTACTGCTTTTATAACGGCAAGAAACAAAGGTCATGAAGCGAAGTTGGTCGAATTTGACCTGGCCTTTTGGCGGAAAGAAAAACGTGACAAGCCGGCGCGGAATGGCCTATAAAAGTGAAATTTTAATTTCAAATTAGTTCATAAATGAAAACTTCGATGAAAATGCGACCAACGTTTTTCTTCCAAAACTTTTTCCTCTTTTTCAACTCATAATTCTCACATCTACTCATTTTCACAACTTGAAACGACCTAGGGTCGCTTTTTCGACATAACGGGTGGCTGGACCGTTTTTAATCGTTTCCTGAGCAAAAAAGAATTTTTTCCGATGCACTTTATGAAAATAGGAAGAAAAATTGTTTTCTAGCTGCAAGAAGCTCATGAAAATCTGCAACTGAAAGACTGTGTGAACGCCGAGAAAGTTTATAGGAACATCTGCATTGAGAGCTGCATCATCAATGAATCTGCCAAGGTTTCAGTGTTGACCTTTTTCGGAACTTATCAAGCTTTCAGGACTTGGAAAAGTACATGAGGTGCTTGGACTCGTCGCTGATTTCGTTCCATTCGGAGAAAATGACGGCTATCAACGAGATAATCGACGACTTGTGGCGCAAAGTCTACAAGGGAATGGATATTGAGACAATCAAAATAAGGTTTTTTTAAATTTGATTGGAAACTGGTAATTTCTTTGGACAGGTCGAAGAATGCGGAAACGGGCGTTCGGAACAAGGCCTACGACTATTCAGTCGTCATGATTGTCGAAGGAGGAATTGAGGTGGAAATGCGGGGAAGATGCAGCGCCGGACAAAAGGTCGGAAACCAGCCAGGACCGCTTTTTTCCTCAAATTTTGGTCTCATTCATTTATATGGAGCTGAAAACTCATAATAGACTAATGAGCTTGGAAAACAAGTTTTGAAGGAAAGTGTCGGGACCTTGAATTCTTGGTTGCAAAAGTTTTCTCAAGTGGAAATAGCTTGTGAATATTCTGGCTCCAACGATGTGTAAAAGAGAAGCTATTCTCGCTCCTACGTCATGTTAGAAACGAGTGGATTTTTCAATCTTGGGAGTTCGAAATGACGGCACTCAGATGCTGGCCTCGTTGTTGATACGGATCGCCCTCGCCGACGTCTTCGGAGGTCTGTGCTCGATCATCGCCCTCGACGAGCCGACCACCAACTTGGACACGACCAAGGTGGAGCACATGGCCGAGATGCTCAACGAGTTGATTGCCGCACGACGCAACGAGGACGAGGACGGCGTCGTTCACGGCCGACAGTTCCAGGTCTAGGAACTCCCTGAAATCTCACCCTACTGTGTTTCAGATGATTGTCATCACTCACGATGAACGGCTCGTCAACAAACTCACCCTTGCAAATAAGCCGGACTACATTTACATTTTGGGGAAGAACCACCGAGGTCTCAGTTTTATTCGTCGTCAGCTCCCGGACCGGTGAGGTTCCAAAATCTTGAAAGAAATCTCTTTTTCTTTACAGAACATATGAGAGCGATAAGTCATGAAGCTTCACTTTTTTTTCGGTGCCACTTTTTCCGATGGATCAAAAACGGAGTATATTTATAAATCATTTACGGTTAATTTTTGTAGTTTTCAAGAATAATTGCTTTGAAATTTGATATGTTTTCTTGTTCAATAAAAAGTTGTTTATAAAGTCGAATTGGGCTTTCATGGTTGTGAGTAGTTGAAAATCCTCTAGTTATCTTTTTATCTTATCGTGAAGATCGGAATTTGATCTCATTGGTGCCAAGTCTTGTTTTCTCATGTTTTCCCGTTGACGAGCTGTACTAAACTGGCGTTTGGTGCTTTCCTGCTAACGCAGATAATACGAAAGAACCATATTTCTGCTCACCTATGAGCGTTTTTCGTTCATGCACATGAAAACATCCCTTGATCTTCAATTTTTTATCGAAATTATCGAGTCGAAAAGGCAGTAGATGAGAAAGTGAGACAAGAACTTCTAAAAAGTCAGCTGTAAGGTCGTCTTTTTCTGACTCGCTGATAGATTGGTAATTGAAAAAGCGCAAAATGTACACCAAGGCCGCGTTTATAATTAATTTTGAACTATTATTTTTTAATGTATTTTTAACTTACCGTTCGCTTTTCTTTAAAAGTATACCTCGTAGCCAGAGGCTGTGCCAGGATTTTTTTTTATTGAACCTGATTTTTTATTCGTTTCTTTCGGTGATTGCTTCTGTATAACTTAATTGAGCTCTACTTATTGCGATAAGGTCCACGTGGAAATCATGAGCGCAATTTGTGTAGCACTTGTTGTGATCGAGTCTTTCTGCCTGATTCGAACCATTTGGCTGCAAGGAGCCAGGCGCCGCCGGCCAGCTGCCAGAGTGGTCATGTGCCACCTTACTATCCTTTTAAAAAAAAAAATGTTCTGCTTTTATCTTTTTTCTTTTTGCAAAACGTATCATTGAACTAGAGCTAGGAGAATATTCAACTAAAGACGAGATTTTTATTTATTTTCCCTTTTGTTAAAAATTTTTTGAAGCTTGAAATTCATTTTTGTCTTTATCTTTTAAGAAAAGCCTGTTTCATTTCACCACGTCTCTTTCATTCGAGTTTTCCCATAATAGTTACCAGCTTTCTTCTGGTTTTGGAAACTTTTCATAATTTGTCTCTTCATTTGGGTCTCCAAATGGAGACTGGCGCGTTTTGTGTGAATTTTCTATTTCTCTTTTTGGAAGCGACACTGGCTGTAATTGGTTTCTAAACGAAATTGCATTTTCTTTTAAACGATCCGGGTACTTTCCAGAATTACCAAAAATTTAGTTTCATTTTAAAGTTGAAAACTAGACTAATGGCCTCGCTTTCCTTTCAAAACGTGTTTCGAGGACTCTTTGTGTTTTTTTTTGTTTACCCTCACTCTTTGCTGAGCGCCAATTCAACACGCGGTATTCTGCATACCTATTTGCTATTCTAACTTTTCATTCTTTGAAGATGAAAAATACTTTTTTTTAAATTACAAAAGAAACTTTTCTTATTTCTAGAAAAGTCAATATCCTGTTTTAGCGCACGTTTCCTCGCGAGAAAATATATTCTCTTGATGTTTCTGAAAAACAGAGAGAGGGGGGAAGAGAGAGAGAGAGAATGAATAGGGAGTTGAAATACTCAAGAAGAGCTCTACAGCGGCAGAGGGACCAGAGAATTTCTCGTGGTTTCAGAGCATTCGATCCATTTTCGTGTCGGTGCTGTGTATGTAAGTTTATTTTCAACATCATTTCACTACCTTTTCTTTACAACTCATCCATTTTTTTCTGTTTATTTAATTTTCTTTATCGTCAGAAACGCTATATGTGCTCGCCGATTTGTGTAATCTTCATACTAAGCGGTTTAAAAACATCATTATGCAATCGTTTTGCAAGAAAAAGTTGCGATTTCTGTAAAAAGTTATCTTCGGCTCTTCAGTTGATTTTCTCTACCGTTTTTATGATCCACTAGCGATTTCATATTTTAATCGAATTCTTTCTTAGCTTTTTCATAGCTTCTATTTTCTTTCGTTTGATTAGAACGATCCGAGTTTAAAATCTTGCTATAAGCGTAGGTAATTCTAAAAAATTATTTCCAGAATTACCCGCGAGGGAAAATAATAAATACTGTATTTTTTCGACAATTGCTGGAGAAAAAATTTTCTGTCCATTCCCGTAAATAACAGTGATCGATTGATTGTATACTTTATAAGTGGCCTTTTCTATTCTCTTTCAATGTTTGGTTATTTATCCTAACTATTGTACTAGTGTTGCACTAATCGTGTCACATGCTGTCCCGGGCACATGATTTTTACAGCTTTTTTTTTCAAACGGTAATTAATTTTGACGATTATTTCAATCATATTCATTTTTTTCTACTCGAGGTTAAGTTATTTTTAGAGTAAGGTCTTGTATTTTTTTTTCTCAACTTTTTCTTCCGTGTTCCTTGATGTTGTCTGGAAGCATAGGAGAGACGCCATTATAGATAGCACTCCCAAAAGTCTCCTCTTGGCGCATTCCGCGTGCGTGCGCGCGCCAATTCAAATTTCGTCTCTTGGACTAGATTTACAGGCTTCCAGTATATGGTTGTTTTTGTATAATTTTTCTTACTTATTCATTTCCAGTTTTCTTTTATTTAATATTGACTCATTTAGCGAATCTAACTTTATTTAAGAAAGTTTTTTCTTGTTTTAGCGCAAATTCGAATTTTCGCCTTCACTCACTTGCACAGGCAAATGGGGAAGGTACCATAATGTGCCCACAAATATACCTCTTAAAATGAATCTTGAATATTCCATAACGTGTCCATCATGAGACGTCGAGCATAAATTTTAGCTCTAGCTGCCCAGGGAATGGTGTCTGGTCGCAGTTGGATTTCAGAATGAAACCCAGTTCACTAAATGAAGTTTTTCATGCTGTTTCCAAATCTGTTCTCAAAAAATGCCGCGCAGGTCCGTGAAAAAAATTTTTTTTTTGGAAAAGTTTTTGAGCGGAGATACGATTTTTCAAAGCTCCTCGCATGATAAGGAAATTTGCTGCTGAAAATTCATTCTTCGTTTCTCATGAGCGAATAGAGAACAACGTGTACAGCTTATACAAATTTCAAAGGAAGTCTGAAAACAGAATGAATAAAAGTTAGAAAAACCGAAATGACTAAAAAAATAATAATAATAAAAAAACCTAGGAAGCATTTCCAGGCTACTCGGTAGCAATCAAAAAAATTTCAGGTACTCTGCCCGTATATCCAGTTATCATAGATATGATACCCGGGTAAAAATTAATTGGATGTTTTTTTAATGCAAGAAAAAAATTATACAAAAAGAACCATATACTGGAAGCCTGTAAATCTAGTTCAAGAGACAAAATTTGAATTGGCGCGCACGCACGCGGAATGCGCCAAGAGGAGACTTTTGGGAGTGCTATCTATAATGGCGTCTAGCATAGGAGTTCAAAAACTATCAAGATGAACACGTCGAAATTTTTTTTTTGTTTTGCTAATGCTTGAAAAATTTAGATGAAAAGAACTCTCCCATATTTTGGAAACGTTTTAGATAGAAGTAGGGCAACTTTTTGCCGAAGCGCACTATCATTCTAGTTGTCAACGGGGTCTTATCAGTCAAACCTTGCAGACTTCACAAAATAGATCGTTCCCCATTCTGCTTAACTTTTCTCGATGCCTTAAATAGACGCCGGGGAAACTGATCGGTGTCGACAACTTATCTTTCAATTAACGTTGGCGCAGAAACAAGTTCTTTCTTTTTTACTTTCCTCACCTTCTCCATTAGACTTAGTTTCTCCGTGGTGTGACTTCTGAAAATCAGCGAAGAGCTTTCGTTTTACTATTTCGTTAGTTTTTCTGAAAGTCAATTTTCTAAGCTATTCATACAATGTTAACTTTGGACGTTTTTTTTCTTGAAAAGTTCGTTAGATTTTTCGGTTGTCTATTCAGACTTTTTTTTTCAGATTCTCCAGGTTTTTATTTTTTGAGTTGAATGAAATACGCACACGAAAATGTTATGTTATAGTGGCGGAAAAAAAAGGCTAGGCAAAATTGAAGAAGGAGCCAGTTTTGACGAAAAATTTCTTGCAAAAATCGCGAAAACCCCGTAAAGCTCAATGTCTGAGGGTATGATCCGTTTCAATTTCCATAGCTTTTTCAAGCATACATGGGCAGAACCAAAAAAAGAGGCAATGAGACTTTGAAAAAATAAAAAGTTTTTTTTAAAATATCACTCTGGTAGAATAATTCCTAGTTTCCCATTGGCGTCACGGAATTTGCGTCAAATAACATTTCAGTGAAAAATACACTCGTTCTTCACATGTCCGTCCAGCCGTGACTGCAGTCGTTCTTCTTTCGTTTTTTTCTCGCTGATTAAAGTTTAAAGTCTGCTGGTCGCGTGATATAAATTCTCTTATAAACGGCCTGGGCCCGAGATCACCAACTTTTGTGACTCGGAAATTCATCTATTCTTGCAACCAAATTGTTCTTTTCGCTATAGTTTTGTATTCCTGAATTTTTTTGCAACCATATATTTTTTTATTATTCAGTTTATTTCTCATAATTCTTTAGACTGATTTGCAGATTAAAAAATTAACTTATAATTATTCGAGATTTCTTGTAACATGATGCAACACCAAAATTGATTAGCGTTTCACCTGTTTAATTTTTTTGAAACTAAAATCTTTCCGCAGTTTTTTCGACCGATTCAAAGGTTTTTAGGTGGTTCTTCTCATAAATTGGCTAAACTCGATTTTTTCTCTATTGCCCAACACTCCCATCCATCATTTCTTTTTCGTTGGAAAGTGGTGTAGGAAAGTCGGGAGAAGGCTCTTCTTTCGTTTATGTTTCTCAAAGCGTTTGACGGTTCCGTTTTCCAGCAAATTACCAGGAAGTCATTTTCTTCTTGCTCTTTTCGTTGTTATTTGAAGCTCTACTGTTATATGAAACAATTGAACTCAGCATTGCAGGCACTTTTGGCCGTGACGAAGCTCACAGTTCAAGATGAACGAGTTGATGGCCATTATTGTGATCGTGATTTTGTGCTGCTTGATGTTTTTCCTGTGGCTTGTGTCTATGGCCACCTGTCCCGACACAATGGTCAACTTCCTCTCTGGAAAGTGCGTTTTTTCAGTCATTTTGTATTTTTTGGGTAATTTAAAATGGCTTTCTTACCCTTCAATGTAAAAGAGTTTCAAAAGTTTCCAAATAAGATTATTTCATTTTTCTTGGTAAAGCTTCTATCGAAAATATTTACAGACTTTCTCAAAAAAAACGGTAGGTAAAATAAAGTCATTTTCTCGAAGAATTAAGAGATTGATTTATTTTTCTTCGAGAATGACATTCAGCAGCGACATCACTCGTTGTAACAATTAGGAAATGAATTGATTGCCTCGAAATAGGGTCAAAGTACTTTAGCCCAAAAAAGTTTTTTTTTTCACGAAGTTGAACCGAACGATGTACATTTTTATGAAATGAAACAATCATTTTTCAGAGCTGAATCTGGCTACACCTCTCATGACTCCAAAGAACTCATTGCTCGGTGCGAAGAGGAGAATATTAGTCATGTGAGTTTCATTTCGATTTCTGTTCTTCATTTTCAAATTGTTTATTTTCCACAAGTCTTCATCATCTGACACTGATTTTCAAACTTTCCGTTGGCTTTTTTCGAAAATCATTCCAGTCTTCAAAGCCCGCATTTTTAATTAAGATTTGATGACTTCGAACAGAAAAAAAAACTATCAATTTCTCTTGAAAAGCATACGTTATCAAAAAGTTTATTCATACTTGGCGAAGAAACTTTTTTCTCAGGAGTTCCTGAAATCTATCGCCAGGGATAACATCCAGTTGAACTCGGGGCGCCGAACTAGTGACAAGAAGCTGAGCGTCGTGCCAGAAGCCGACGAACAGGTGCGCTTACGGCTTTTCCAGTTGCCAGGAACTGGTAAATGTTTTTCCAGTCTACGGTCCAGTCGACGATCCACTCGATCCGGCCGTCGATCCTCCGCGCGGCTCCCGTTATAACCGCCGTCGTCCACGAAGAAGACAAAGACATCATCGAACTTTCGTAAAAATTTTATTCAGTTCCTATAGTCTGTTCAGTTTCCGATTGTCAAGCAGCCAATTCCATCGATTCATTATCTCGTGCGACAATGATCCTTCAGTAACGCGATACTTTATTATGTTTCCCGATTCAAAATCTTGAAGCAAAAGTCAAAAATTGTCGATGTATTAAAAGATCATCGTCACGCGCGATGAAACACACGTGAAAGATACTGTAGACCCGGTGTCGCGGTTGCTTGACTTTGAAAGTCGGAACAAACCATGTTTCTTGCCTTTCCTCCGTTCTGTTTCAATATCTCCTTCCACGTCAAAGGAAACGATAACTGACTCTTCAAACTCGTTTCTACATTCTGCCTTTTGATTCGCTTTGTTTTTTTCTGACATCTGCTTCTTGGTTCATTCACAACCTTTTCTGATATTTATGTCACCCTCTCTACGCGTATATTTGGCCTTCATTTTTTTTTCTTATTGCGCCTATGAGCCGAAAAATGCTAGGTGCAGTACGTAATCTGTTTTGTAAGCCGCTCAATTCAGTTGTACATCTTTCTGAAAAGTTTCGTTAGCTTAACAACAATTAGTAAGAACATTTCATGTGCGGAAAAAAAAACTGACGCAAGTAAAATTTTTAATCAGTCTGACAATAATTGCATACAATGAACTTTTCAAACCTGACATTATGAAAACTTTCTTGAATTTATCATCAATGTTTCCCCTCGTTTCTTCAAAAAGAAGCTTATTACCTTTTCGTCTATCCTGAAAATGAGAGTGTTTCTAAAACATACCAGTTTGATATATAATAAAGAAAATTTCAGAAAAATATCAACAAGTTTTGATTATCCTTCGTTTGGATGTACATTTCCCATCTTCGAAAAGCACCCATTTGCCCATTTTCGTATTAATAAAGCGGGTTTTTTTGAATATGGTTTTACTTTTTTTTTTGAAATTTGGCTAATGGTGAATTTCTGGATAGAATAATCCATGTTTGGTACTTACTTATAAACAAGGATTTCTCTTTGAGAACGATCTTAATTTCTCGAATTTTTTAACCACGATGTGTAATATGTTCTATTATTTACAGCATTCCTTACATGATCGGGTTAAAAAACTGTCTTTATGTTTTGGAATCGGATTCATTTTCAAAAACCATCTACTAAGGGAGTATCTGACTCGTTAATAACCGATTAGAAAGTTCAACCAACGAACTTAGAAGCACGACTTAGCAAAGCATGTTTCTAATTGGCTGCTCATGTGCCTTATTGACGAGCTCAGAAATACGTTAATAGTACGTGATAGGCTAGAGTCGAGTGTACTAAATCTTCAAAGGGATCCTCATTAGAGTGGCAACAAATGAGACAAGTCTCGCCGTAATTAGCCGGCCATGACGGTCCCCTAGGTGACGATGTTTTCACCTAGCTCATCCGTGATAATGATAAGATCCAAGGCGGATACGTCATTGTCTTTTTGTTTTTGGAAGCCGACTCGCACTTGGAAGCGATAATTAGTGGCAAAGTTCCATACTATTCACCACAACCCGCCTCTCGCTGCTATTCAAACACTAGACGGATTTGTCTTTTCTTGTCATTTCATTCAAAACCGAGAGCAAGAGATTACCCGGTCTTTTCCTTTTCATTCCGTTTCCTTTCTTCGGGATTGCCATTGCGAGATGTACGCCAGGTTCGATCGATTATTTGTTAATTTCAGAAATTTTTGAAAAATTAACTGAAAATTCAGACGTTTATAGGAGGTCTTTATAGATCTGCGACATCCTTTTTACATTGCAAAAGCATAGTTGCCATAATGTCGTTGCGGAAAAATGACCCTTCAGTAGGAGGCCTCGTTATATATTTTTCGCGATTCTTTTTTTCGCCGCGGCGTTTTTTGAAATCAAATAAGTTGTACATTCAAAAAAAAAAGAAAATGATCGGAAATTTTGTTTTAAAGGTTTCATGATTCATCTATTAAAGATTTTCTTGCTCTCGAAAACCAAAAAATAGCCAGGGAAAGTAGTTGATCAAGAGAATAATAGTTTAAAAAACAATCAACAAACGGACCGAGTTTTGAGTTTACCGAGGGAAGGCTTTGAACGGAGCTTTTTCTCGGTAGCCAAGTACTCTGAGGGCTCATTCGCTGATGAAACGGAGCGGCGCGGTTCGTTTTACGATTGTCATCAAGCGGCAGAGCCAAGCGTATGACCTGATGCGCCATTTTCCCGCAGCTTCTTTGAGTCGACGGCAAACTCTTAACAGATGCTAGTATTACCCAAATATCCGATGACATCGGTTTTTCTGATTTATTGGTATGACTTTTGGAATTATGAAATTTCTTTGGTTGAACCAAACAAAGCTGCATTCTTTAAAAATGGCGAAGTTTTTCTAGTGAAATGAAACCATAGGTATTTCATAACATCAAATTGATTGGGTATTGCTGCTTCTTCGCTAATCTCTACATTTTGTTTTCTGCGAGAAGAAGAAGTTCACTTTTTATTCAATCTTCATTAGGTGCTATAATCAGAATCTATCCACCCTTGGAAAGTCATCCAATATTCAAAACTTTAATTTTATCTGGAGTTATTCAGAAGAAAATAATGCTTTACAGTTGGTTGGCGAATTTTATGAGCAGTCCGGGGAAGATAGATCCGCACAGCGAGGAAGACTACTGGGAGGAAATCAAATGTTCTCGTGTGCAGATTCCTGTTGTCCCCAACCAATTATCGTACATATTACTTTTTTGTTTTGTTATTCTGGTAGTTTGAAAAGTCGATAGCTGTTTTCAGAGAGTTGAATGCACCGCCAGATGTCCCTCATCTGAAAGTCGTTTGTATTTCCGACACTCATGAGCAGCTTCAGAACGTCACGGTACATCTCATTCAATGGAATTGGCTTCAAAACGATTTGCTGAGAAAATGCGCACCAGCAAAGAATTAGCGAATATTTGAATAGGTTAAAAATGAGTATGGTTTAAACGATTTTTCTTAAGGTTCGTGTATTCTCCTCACATATGATCAGTCAATTTAGCTTTTGTGTATGATAATTTAAAAATTTTCATATGGTTTCAAACAAATTTCCTTGAGAATGAATATTATTATTAACGATTTTCTTTGAGCTTGGATATGGTTTCGAACAAGATTTACTTGAGAATATTCCGGATGGGGACGTCCTTATTCACGCTGGCGACTTCACTAACAACGGCGACCGGGAGCAGCTGCTGATTTTCAACAGTTTGATGGGCGCCTTTCCCCACAGACACAAGCTCGTCGTCGCTGGCAATCATGAACTCGGCTTCGACGCCAATGAGCGCAAAGAAGAGAGGTTCCTTCTCAAATTTGCAAAATTCAGACTTATATTTCTTTTTTTTCGGCTTGAAACTGTGGTTTGCAATTCATGTGCAAAATTTTTCGCTTTTTTGTTTTGATGAAGTATTCAATTATCTGCATCAAAAAGTTTCCTGAGGAGTGCCTGAAAAAAATGAAAGTAATTTCTATAAAATAGTTCACTAATGCGATAATGTTGAGTTGCCGCCAAAAATAATCGCAACCGCTTCGCGCATGAACTGCAAACGCCGCACCCCGCTTTTTCAAGCCGAGAAAAAGGGATTATACGCGCAATCACGTAGTAGCGGAATTAGAAGTGTTTTAAAAACTAAAAGCCTAGTTTTCCATGATTTTCCCTTTTTCAGGTTAGAAAAGGACGTCGGGAAGGGCACGGAGAATGGCTTCGAACTTCTCACTAACGTCACTTATCTCCAGGACCGAGAAGTCGAGGTTTGTGTGCATACCCGAGATCGTCGACGTCTCCTTCTCTTGAAGATCGACGGGGTCAAGTTCTTCGGCTCCTCGTATCACCCACTGCGCGGATTTCCGTTCTACCGTACTCGTGCCGAAGAACTCGGCGAGTGTTGGAAGAAAATTCCCACCGAAACCGACGTTCTCATCACTCACACGCCTCCTTTGGGTTGGTTTTCAGATTCAATCTTAAAAAAGATCTTTTAATATTACTTTTTTTATATTTCAGAAAATCATTAAAGTTCACAATTCCTGAAAATTAAGCTTCAATATTTGAGCCCAAAAAAGAGCTTTACGTTTGAATTTAGGTTAGTAGATGTACAAAGCTTGATATTTTTCTAACGGAGTTCATGGAAAGTTACAGTGTGGACTCTTTTTTTCCGTGTCCGTTGAACTTTTCCATTTTTATATCCCATTCTCCAATTCCTTCACACGGAAAAACTCCGCCTTCCAGGATACCTCGACCAATTCGGAAATGAGCGCTGGGGCTGTCGCGATCTACTGAGGGAAGTCGAAGAACGTGTTAAGCCATGGTGGGGAAACTTGTAAATTATCTAATCAGAATTGATTTTTCCCTCAGTTTTCACGTTTTTGGTCACGTCCATGAACGGTACGGCGCCATGAGCAATGGGAAGACTGTTCGTTTTTTTCTTTCCTTTCTAAATTTAATACACTAATCTGTAGATGTTCATCAACGCGGCCCAATGTCTTCGGAACAATGTCATCCAAACGCGACCGCTCGTTTTCTACATTCCCAAAAAAATTTGAATATTTTCGATTCTTTCTTGAATTTGCTCTCAAGCCGCTTATAACTATGTGTTTTCAAAAAGATGAAGAAAGATGTTCGAATAGAAACACTAACAGAATGCTGCCCCATGAAAACGTCCTCAAAGAGCTTTAACTTGTAAATTTTTGTACCTATTCCAGTTGTAACTTTTTCTATTTTTTGTTTTTCTTTAAGAGTTTGCTAGATTTTTCTTGTGTATTTGTTTTGCCGATATATGATAAATCTTTTTTTTTTCCCCTCCCTACATATATTTGGCTTGTTGAAATCATGGCAGAGTATTTTTTTTTTTCTGTTTGAAGTTTTTGATTATTTTCTTTGCTTTCAGCCGCCCTCTAACAAGTGGAACACTCAATGCCTTTCGACTTTTCTCAAATTATGGAGGTTGAGTCGGGGGGTTTTTTTTTTGCCTGAATTTAACAGTTTTGGACTCCAAAATCGAGTTAGCCTTTGAGGTTTTAGCCCAATTTTCTTCGTATTGACTTGAGGAAACAACGAAAATTAACTCCAGTTCATTTTGGATGACTTTAAGTCCAAATTGTTTTGATAATTTCCTTTGAACTTCCACTTAGCTGTTCTACCAGTTTGAAAAATTGAGAGAAGTTCATCAAATATCGTGCATAGTTGTTTTTAGTTATAATTCTTATGAGAAGTTGGTCGTCAAGTTGTCGTGGAGTACTTTCCGCACATGAAGTACATCTTGCTGGAACATCTGGAATGATTTCCATTTTTGAGAAGATTTCCTAGAATTTCGAAACTTACGTGAGGTCGTTGAGCGTTTGATCTCGCGTGACGCCGTCGACAATAATTGAGAGACAAATTTCCAAAGAGAACGAGAAGGAAGGACTTTTCGGGTCCCAATGGGGTCCGAACGAGTTTGTCTGTGAGACTCCGTTCTGCATTCGAATAACTAAAACATTTTAAGATCTTGGCATGAAATTTATTCATCTCTCGGACTTTAGACTGACAAGGGAATTTTTTTTTGTTTTTTGAACTTTTGATGAAACTTTGCTGAATTTTACTTCTTGATTACAGAAAAAAACGTTCTCGCAATAGATTTTTTTTTTCTCGTAATAGCAAAAACGATCTATTTTGAAAATTTCTTCTTTTTCTGAATTCAGGAGGTCTCAAAGCACATTTCAGCCAAGCTTCATTAAATTCTAAGCGGCAGGCCAAAAAAACGTTCCTTTGTGAGTAATGACTGATTTTTCGGTCGGCACTCCATTTTTCTTTTTTGTTCAAAAAGCTTTTTTTTTAATCAGTTTTCTTCTCTGTATTGAAACTGACGTTGTCACGGCTACAAGGACTCGAAGGATTTTTGTTGTAGGGAACGTCGGCCGATGCTGTGCATCCGGCTCGTCGTTTTCCGCCCAAGTGAACTTGTCCAGTGAACTTTTTACTCAACAAGTAGGCTGAAACCTCTGACTTCTTCGAAATACTTGGAGACTCACACTCCATAGCCGTGTACTCTTCGTCTGTTTCGAAGCCGTTGAGGTTGGCGCCCTGCTCTTCGCAAGCTGATTGTGCATTCGCAGCTGTCATCTTCGTCATGTTGACCTAGAGGTTTTCCTGAGAAACGGACGACAAGTCAGAAAAAACCGTCATGCACCAAAATCGTCCGTCAGTTCTTTTGAAAGGTAGCCAGTCTTTCGGGCATGGCGGTGGTGGAAGAGTTGTCTGCGTCAATTTTCAGATTAGGCCTCCGCCAGCACTTGAAATTTCTCGAAAAACAAACTTTTGTTGAACCGAGGGAAGTCGTTACAGGAGGTGGAGTGGTGGAAAATTTGCCCTGTGCAGCGTAGAATCATTAAGGAGAATTTCACTTTTTGTTACCCCACACGCTTCAACCGAAGAAAGAACGAGAGAAACGAAAATCACTCCAACCAGCATTCACGAAGAGCGAACTGGGATTCTCTCTGGAACACTTCCTCAAAAGCTACAAAAATAAGCTCTTTGAGGACTTTTTCCCACGCTTTTATTGTCTTCTTTTTATGGAACCTATGAGAGTTTTTTAGAATAGCTTCATGCGCAATCTAAAGTTACATTACGAGCAAGAATGAAGAAATATTTGAAAGGGAACATGTTTTAGGTACAAAGAAAAGCATGTTCGAAATCCAGGTCTATGAGAAGTTCCAAAATCTGCTTTTCATGCTGTCAAGCAATGGAATCTAGGAAATTTTCTTCAATCAGTTGATCATCTATTTTCATTGATTCAGGTTCTACTTGCCCAGCCTTTTGAATCAAATATAAGGGCTACTTGAGAATAGGCTGGCTCTAGTTAATTTTCGCATTATTTTCATAAGTTCACGTTTTCTTAACTAAGACTTGCTAATTTCTGCTCAGAGAAAAATTTCAATTTTTTTAATTCAAGATTGAGTCATTTTCTCTGATTCCCAAATCTGAAAATTTTGACCAATGCGCGCGATTCACTTTCTCTTGATCTATTATCCTGTCTTTGGAATGAATATTGTAATTTTTGTTCCATTTTTTTCGGCTCGGATGCATGTGATAAGTTGAATGGTTGTAAGTGCCCTAAAATATTCGAAACAGCTATTTTCCGTGTAAAAATTAGCCAATGCTATCAAATTTCGTTAAACCTTTGCATCTTTTCTTTTTTCAGTTTTATGTTCTCTTTTCATAATGGCCACATCCTTTTCTCATTTTTCTTTTATTCAACATAGAGCACAGAAAATTTCGAATTAAAAAAGGAGTGGCAAATGTTGTCTACGACAAACACCCAAAACTTTCACGTTATATTTTCAAATAGCTCAAGTGTTCTTCTGCGCTTTTTTTGCCAGAAATGACCGTAATTTCTTCGGCTGACATTGAAAGATGAACAACTCCTTGGCAATTTTCAATTGCAACGTATGATCGATAGAGTTAGCGGAGACCAAACCACCTAAAGAGCGCGCCACTCTTTGGTGTTTCAGTCGACAACAACACGAACTCAAATTGCGAGTGTTGCGCTCGCCCAGTTTTTCGAGAGACGTGACTTTTTCTTTTTTTTTGATTACCTTCCACGTTACTGTATTTTGGCATTATATAAACCTACTCAATCCATCGTTCTCTTTCCCTCTCTCTCGATACGAAAAATCAATCAAGAATCTCTTTGTTTTTACTGTCAAGTATACCATATTCAACTAATTTCCGTAGAAAGAAAATAGTATTACAGTCATTTTTTCATTACACACAAACTTCGGAATTTGTTCTCCACTTATTTCTATTTTTTCACTCCAACCTGTCTTTTAAACTCTTATCATTTTGCTCAATTTGGAAGACTGCTTAATTTAAAAGAATGAAGTTTCTCTATTGAATTTTCGAATTTCAGTCGCTTTTCCAATCGGTGGCTCAATTATCTGTTAATTTTTCACCGATATTTTTAATTTCTTTGGATGGAAATCTATTTTCAGAAGTTGAAAGATGACTATGGACCGGCAGAAGGTCGTTGATCTGTGCAAGGCTTCGTTAGAAGATGTCATGGTTGGCAACGACGAGAAGGGCGTTCAGAACGGCAAGGACTTCTACAAATTGTCGGTTTATCTTCGCTTTACTTATCAACAGCTAATAATATTACTTTCATCACACTTTTTTCAGCTTCTTCACCAACTATCCGGACCTCCGCGTCTACTTCAAAGGCGCTGAAAAATATACGGCAGATGACGTTCAAAAAGTGAAAGGTATTCAGTTATTTTAATTTATTTGTTTTCAGTTTCATAAGATAGACGGCTTTCAGTTCATCGAAGTATTTTCGTATTCAGCCAACCTCCTCATAAGAATTTCCTCATAAGGTTTTTGATGTTATAAGGTTTATCAGTAGCAGGAAAATGATCGATAAAGGTTCAGTATTAACAGTAACAACAAGGCTAAAATGGTGTTGGGGGAGAGATCCCGAAGGTTATTGTATGCTCCAGAATAAAAGTGAAGTGAAGAGAGTATCAAGGTTAGAGTAAAAGATACAACATTTCAGCGGCTCAGAGAACCGTCCAGAAAGCGGCAGAAAATTATAGAATAATGTGGAACCTTCTAGTAAGTATAGTAGTTGTAAAGCAATTGAAAAGCTTGTGGAACTTTCTAGAAGGGAACCCTTCCCACATGACTCCCATGTCGTAATGATACTTAAAATATGAAAGAGAATAAAGTAGAGAACTCCAGAATCATCCTGATATAAGCGGAGTTTTGTAGATTTGCGAAACAAGGCCAGCGAATCCTGCTCTCCGTACATACGGTCGTCCGTCTCTACACTGACGAGGCCGTCTTCCTCGGCCACATCCGTGAAACTGTCAACCGCCATAGACAGTACAAAATGGACCCCGCCCTTTGGCTTGTTCGTTTTTAGCCTTTTTCATCGGATTGATCTCAAAAATTCTTTAAAAAATACCCAGCTTGGGATATACTTTGTTGGAATTTCTTTCAGACCAGCGCGATGAGAAAAAGAAAATTTCATTCTTCTTGTCGTTTAGTCAAGTTATGACACTTCAAAGACGTCGAAAACTCATTTTATTGTTAGAGTCACCGTTAAAAACCTCAGCTATGTAGAACATATAAAAAGAAAGCGTTCACAATTGTCAAGAAAAAAAAAGCCTCCCCTATCTTTTTTTGAACAATTTCTCTAATTTTCGAAGGTTCGAACATAGACTCGAACGGTTTCAAAAACAATCCTTTTACCTAGCCTTCTGGATTTCGGCGATTTCACTCGAACCCTCATAGTCGCTTTCTGCGCGAATTTCTAGTTTCAGAGATATGAATTTTCAAATTTCGTTTGATACAAATTGGGTTCGAAACCCATAAATCCGCAACTTCAGAAATTCATATTTTCAAACTAGAAGTTTGTGCAGAAAGCAATTTTGTGGGTTAGATATCCAGTCCATCGAAGGTTTTCAGAAGACCCTAGAAGGCTAAGCAAAATAAGCACTAGCTCCATCGAAAATCATCCAAATCCAGCGATTTTCAGGCATTTTTCACCGTCTTCACGGGATTCCTGGCCGATCGTGGAAGTTTGACCGACGAACAGCGCGCCGCCTGGATGCAGTTAGGAAAGGTTCGACTTGCTGGAGGAAGTTCACAACCCTTCACTCATTTATAGGACTTTGACGCCGAGTGCCAACGACACCTGAAGGAGAACGATTTGCCGCACGTTTGAGTACACCTGCAAATGTACCTGTTTTTTCTGTACTTTTCCTCTCAATAGAACTCTGCCAAGATTGGATAAATGAGTCTTGTACACGATAACTATGAGGTGTAAAGCCAGTGAACCTCATCGAAAAAAGAAAAAGAAAACGCCAGTTCGAATCACCTAATTAATACACCTTATAAAGAGGGAAAAGCTGATACGTGAAGAGGTTGCCAGAGTGAAAATGGGCAGCCAGCCAGTGAACTGCCATCCAAACGAGATTCTTCGCCATTCCGTTTCGTTTCCACTGCCTTTTCCATCTTCTGCCTTCTCTCTTCTTTTCACTTTCGTACTCACACTGTTTCCGCTAAAAAAAGTAATGGTTGCTCAAAATAAACTTTTCAAAACGGACAAAAAGCTCATCTCTGGTTGACGAATTCGACTAACTTCCTCTGTAGCCAAGTTTTTTCTTCTTTCTTCTTCGAATACAATTTTTTTGTGAATTCAATAGCTTGAGAAATATCATCTATGTAAATGTTGAAGTATTTAACTTATGCAAAAAGCTTGTACGTAGGCAGTGTTAGGTAAAGACTGAGACAGGTTTGAGTTTTAATAGCTATTTAAAGTTTCCGATTTGAAGGCCCTTGAGTCTTTCTGCGTTCGACCCATGATCTAAAAGTCGATAAGAATGCAACTTTATATAAGCTCGTTTTGGCCACAAATGTTTTTTTTCAGAAAAAAGTTATCGAATCATGTTGCGTTCTGCAAGTCTGCTCTTCTATCTTTTCATCCTATTTTCGTCCTCAACCTCTTTTCGACCCATTTGGATTGGTGGAGAATGTTGGTGAATGGACTTTGCTCTTCGCTAGAACTTTCTAACTTGTTTTCAGTTCGCGAAACTTCTTTTCTGACGCGGAATGACAGCGAGGACATCGGGCTTGCTTGTGGCTTTCAGAAGGACTCGGATCGCAAGGAATTTCCATGGGCGGTCTCCTTCATGGTCGACGTCGGTTCTCTTTGTTCCTCCCCTGAATTCGCAACAGTTCAGGGGGTCAACAAACTGGGCGGCTCCATAATATCGCCTTATCATATCATCACAGCTGCGCACGGCTTCATGACAACCCTGGGCAGTGGAGGATATCCTTGTTTGTAGGTTGAACTGGATCATCTGAGTTTGGCCTGAAACAGTGCCACAGCTTTTCATGTTTTGGAAGAGCGCTTTTAACAATTTCTGTTTTTTTGGGTCGAAAAGAGATTATGAGAGTGGCTCGTCATTATAGATGTTAATTGAAGCAAACTTTTCTTTTCCTGTTTTTCAATAATCTAGTCAATGAATTCTGGCGGTTTGAGCAGCGTCTGATGGAGTATGGAGTATATCAATTTTCCGCCTTTTTAATAGGTTTTTCTTCAGAATTAATTGTTACCAACTGTTATTTTCTTAAGAAAAAAAAATCATATGGCAAGAGAGAGAGTTCCACGACGGTTAGAAAGACAATATTTGCAGCTCTTCACACTATCGTTCGATCGATTTCCTGCGGTCTACAAGAGTGATAGCCTACGGTGGCAGATGCATACGCGGTCTTTCGAAAACTCTCAGAAACGATCCTGAATGCGTCAAACCGGATGTTATGTTCACGAAGGTCTTCTCCGACATTCCGTCCTTCCAAAACTCTGCAAAATTCCCAGATCCGCAGTGTCTTGATCGACGGCAACTTCGCGCTTTACGGCTGCCACGGTGGTCATGACTGGGCGATCGTCGAAGTTGAAGAGCCGTTCGTTTCTCAATCGCAGCCGTAAAGCCCATTTCTTCTTTCAGAATGATTTTCAGCGACGATGTCATTCCGATTTGTCTGCCCACTCCGAACATGAAGCTGAAGGAGATTCTGACGGTCCCTGGCTGGGGCAGAGGCTACAGTAAGTTCCCGGAAAAACATTGATATTGGCTTCAAAAGCAAGAATTTCGTAAATTCATTAAATATGGTCAAGTTTTTAACCAGAGCGGTCCGTTGGTCCACGAAACGCCGATGGAACTCGATCCGCACTGTAAAAAGCGACCCTGGAGTGATCGGGTTCGTTTTAATTTATTCTTTTTGGAGTGTACTTCATAAGGCTTGACATAGCAGCAGCTTTTCATCGTGAAATTAGTCACAATAGTTTGCTGCTCTAAGAAATTTCTATTTTGCAATTTACTTCACGGGCATCTGAAAAAAGCGTGAAGGTCTAGTGTGAAAAGTGCCTACGTGAAGAAATTATCGTGAATAACAACGAAAATCACGAGCGTAGCGTGCGCGTTCGCGGTTCTTGGCACGAGTTCAATTCAACCGTCAGCGATTATTTGAAGAGCTCTTTTTTCGTTTTTTTCATGTATTTTTAAATTCGTGCTTTATTTGTATCATGAAAAATGGTGAAACAGATTTAAAAAGAGCGGTTACCGAGGTTTTTTAAATAGTCAATGACGCTTGAATTGAACTCGGGCCAAGAACCGCGTACGCACACGCTACGCGTCGAACTTCCTCGCCTTCCTTGTCTTGCTAGTCGGGATGGATTGACTATATAATTGATCATCTTTTCATCTTCTTTCTCCTATTTTACTCATGTGATCAATCTCATTTAGCTGCCGATTCAAGCGGATGATTTCTTATGCGCGACTTCAATTTTCCCCAAGGATTATTTCGCTCCGAGGACTTGCCATGTATGTAATTAGTCTATATAGTAATCTTGGAAAAGAAGTCCGCTAGCCTCCGTATTTCAAAGAAAACACATTATTTGAACTACAGAACGTTTCAAGGCTTCTTTCCGAGCTTTCAAATGTCATGGAAAGCTTTTTTAACATAAAAAGGCTGCAGGGCGACAGCGGCAGTGGTTTAGAACAACGGGATCATCTCGATAGAGCATCTTTGATTGCGATGGTTTCTTTTGGGACCGGCGGTTGTCCGGCCAACATGCTCGCGAGGTGAATTGAGAAAAAAAAGACAGTACTTAGAATTACGTCAAACGAAAACAATTCAGATTCACAAGGGTTGACCGGTACCTCAAGGAGATCTGCCGCTACACGGGTCTTTGCTACAGCTTTGTCGAGGAATAAAATGGAAATATTACACTGTTTATATCAATTTTAAATTAAATATTTTTATCGGGAGTTTCTGTACCTGAAACAAAAGAAGCAGGGCATTTTTATGTTAATATTATCATATAAGGTCCATAGCTTCCGAGTTCACGCGTCCCCGATAACTTGGAAAATTTTTCGAAATCTCCCGTTCCTTCATCATTTGTGAGTGAATTTGAAGTCTTTGGAGCTTCATTTGGGAGAGTAACCTTGAAAATTTTGAGCTTTTCCTTTCCTGAAACGAGCCTCGAAAGTTTTCCGCCTCCGACGCCACTATCCGAGGCTGCAATCAGCAACCTATTCTTATTTTCCGCCCGTTCCCCAACAAAAGACGTCCTTCTTGCACCCCAAAAATTTGAAGAAATGTCGGCCCTCCATATTTGGTCGCCGTCGACGGCTTCTCAATCGTCCATGTCTTCTGAAGCTGGAACGCCCGTTACTGTCGTTCTGAATGACGTCATTGTTGATGTTGATGACGCAAGTTTTCTTTTTATCTATTCAGTTCACTGTTGTAGTAATCAACAAGAGTTCATTTCGAGCTTTTTAGAAGTTTTCATTGGCTGATCCCGCCTTTTTGCAGTTCTGAGAATTTTCTCGGTAGGGAAAATGTTAGAAGTTGGGAAAGATCTTGTTGGAAAAGTTAAAATTTCTCCCATTCTGAAAACTGAATTTCAAACTTTGTTATGTTCCTTGTCAGTTCAGAGAAAGCATTTCTCATAGAAGCTTTTTCTCAATTTATTTCCCTCAGGTTCACGTTAATTTCTCAATTTTCGACCTCACAAGTGACTTCATTTTTTGCCTGAACTTTTAAAAAAAGATTTTTTTGTTCCTTCATGTAAAAGATGGATAAAATGTTTCAGTTGATACACTCGGACACGGAAACCAGCGTTTTTCTGTACCATGTTGAGGATGAAGAGGAAGAGGAACCTACTATTTTCGACGAGAAAAAAATTCCTGATGAGGTTAGTTTCACTAGCAGAAAATGATAAAATAAGTCGTCTATCTTTGGATTTGGGAACATTTTGAAGAAGCAAAGACCTGTTAGGGCAAAGCGAATGTTCTTTCGGAAGTTGATGTTTCTTTGGTGGCCGGTTATTCCCGATGGGCACATTCATGGGAATCCTTGGCCTTCGGAAGCTTTTCTAGCTGTTGTCAGAATTTCATTTCATTTTTCGACTCTCTATCCAACTCTTTCTTTTCTTCCGCTATGTCGAATTCTGATTGCACTGTTTCGATTCTTGAATATTTTCTAGTTTGAAGAAGGCAGATGTTCAAATATTATGACCCTTTTGGAGCGTCCAACAGCGGAAAAACACTTTTATTAGATTTTGTCATATTTCTTCTTCCAGGCTCTGATATATTCAAGATTCATGAGTTTTTATTTAATTCCTCCATTTTATTCTTGTTATTCGCAAAGTTTTTTACTGCCCAACTTTCTAGTTAGTGAGAAAGAACATCTCAAACTCAAAGACAATCCTCAAAATTCGTAAAAATAGGCCATTTTGGGGTTTAAGCCCTCGTTTCTCGAAAACAAGAAATTGTGCAGGTTGAGACTTTTATGGTCTTCATGGTACATCAAGAAGTATTCTCGAAAAATTCCAAACCGCAAAGTGAAATGGCCCCCTTGTTAAATGAGCTTATAATACAATACAATATTTATTGGTTCGTTAACAAACGGATCATTTATTTTTCTACATTTTGAATATGCATAGATTTTTTGAATTCTTTGCTCTCCAGACCAATTTCTGTTTTTGAAATCAAAAAATCTCGGTTTCTGACTGGAAGCCATCTTTTTTTTCTAATTTCCGCGACCTCATTTTCCATTTATGTGCTCTCAATTGTTTTTCGAAAAGGTATGCTCCTTTCACGAGGTGAGATGCGCACCTCAGTGAAAATAAAGCAACAGAGAGCTGGTTCAAGTGTCAGCCAGCCTCTGAACACGAAAAAGAGCCTGGGCGACCTGGCTCAGTTCATGCTGCCGGCCCTGATCGAGAGCCAATCGGTTGGTCTTTCATTTTTTGGAAAGAAAAAGTCATCTCGATTGCGTCACTCTGCCAATTTCAGGAGAAGGAGGAGAACAGCCGACGTCGAACGATCCGTCGAAACCCCAATGGAAATCGGCTTCTTCAGATGGCCAACGCAAGGTTGCGGAAAGGCGCTGCCGGGTTCATGGATGTCAGTGTCACATATTATTCCTTGACGTGTTCATTGAATTCAAACAAACTGACTTTTTGTGTGGTCCGTTTTTCGCGACTTTTAAGTTTCTCAGAGCCATCCTCGTTCCTAGCCGTCTCTCTCAATTTGGCGTTCTATTTTTTGTTTCTCTGACCTCGCCAATAAAGGAACAGAGAGACGCAGACACCTGGAAACTTTCAAGCCGCGGCGAACGGACTATACGTAGATTTTAGAGAAAGACTCATATAAATATTATCGAATGACGGAAAACTTTCCATCAGACGAATTTGTTATGGAAAATTGCGAAAAACTGCGAAAAAAAAAACAGCATGTTTCCTTCGGCTTTTGAAGCCTGTCTGTCATGTCATTCTTGCGTTCCTCGGAGCTTCCTTACTGGAAAAGCTCTCCAATTTAATTTCTTCTTTTCTTCCTATTTAAATTCTTGTTCAATATGGTTCTAAACCGAAAGCAGATTAGAAATATCAGTTTCAAGGTTTTTTTTTCTTAGAAATAATGGTTTTGATCCTTTTTTGTAGATAGCCGAACGGGCACATTCGGCCGGCAAACGGCGCGTCGAAAAACTCCAGCAAAAGCCGCCCTTATGGATGGTCATCGTCAACAGAGCTTATCACAAGTACGGGTTAAAGGTAGGAAATCTAGAGTAATGATTGAAAATATAAGAACCAGCTTTTTTGTGATAGCCGATATTGATTGAATTAAAACCGGGAAATCCAGATTTCTTTAGCCTTCAAAAATCACAGAAGAGGGTTCTTGATGGGAACATTTGCTTTGAATGATGGTAACTACGATATTTGATTCAGCACTTGGTATTGATTCTCGTCTTTCTCGCTTATACGGCTTTCGGCGGCCTTATCTTCTGGCTCATCGAGGAACCATATCAAACTGATCTCAGAGATCAGTGGAACGAAGTTTGTTAAGAGTTTTATAGTTTTTTCTCCAGAAAATCTCTTTGAACCGTACCCAGCGGGTCGGCGCTCTAATGCATCGAATGTTCAACAACTCGGAATATTTGGTCTACATCAAGGGCAACACGACGCTCCGATTGGTCGATCTACTTCATGAGTACGTTGTTTCATTCTGTTTTCTCAACGGGAAATTTTTGATTCTTCAATTTTTTGACTTGGGAGATTTTTTTTTGCTTTGAAAGGAATTTTAGAAATCGTTATCGATCAAATTAATGTTTGAAGAGGCCATTTATGTTGAAATAAACTCGACGAATGCTCATTTTTAACAGGAAAATCAAAAATTTAACTTTGAAAGAGATTATATACTTTCTTCAATTGACTTACCTCCAGAAAGCTCGTACTAATACGAATTTGCTTGTAAAATTTGAAGTCAGTTCACTCCGCTTGCTTTAAAATTTAAATTTCCCAAATTTCGTTTCCACCCTTTGCGCCCGACTCGCAGCGGTTTACGCCGAAAAAAAGTATAGACAGGAACGGGCTGAAGGGTCCGAGGTGTGACAAGCATTGTGAAAATACTTCTGAGTGAGAACGGCGTCCCAGGAGACCTTCTCGTCGCTCTGTTTGTTATTCTTGAAAGTTCAGTTCCATTCTCGAAAGTTCTTCGAGGAAGATGATTTCAGCGAACTGATAATGTACGAACGACAGCTTGGGATAAAGTGGAGCCAGCAGAAAATGGATTGGGACTTTTGGAATGCCCTGCTTTTCGCCGGAACTATCTGCACTACAATCGGTAAATATTTTTCATTGAAAAGCTGAGATTCTCGATTAAGTAAGAATAAGAAGCTTGTTGTGGCAAAGCTAACAAGAAGTCAGATTTCTCGGTTTTCCAAGTAAATTCTTGCTCTATTTCTCATTCCCATGAAGATTAGAACCATCCGAATATTAAAGGTTTTTCCAAAGAACAAATTTTTAAATAGAAATTTGGTTGGTTGATAACTCGAATCTTTATATCTGAAGCGGTTTTTTTCCCTTTTACTATTCAGACAAATTTTCTGCGTAAATAAAGTTTCTCCGGCAGGATATGGGCACATATACCCGATGACCAGTGCTGGCCGCATTTTGACCATGGTTTTCGCCCTTTTCGGTATTCCATTGATGTTGCTGGTCTTGCAAGACTTTGGCAAGCTGCTCACGATCACGATGAAATTCCCGTGGTTTCAAACTAAAAGGCTCCTTCGCCGAATAATGAGGTAATATCTTTTTTTAAAAACAAGCTCATTGTCGATAATACATTATAAAATAGACAAGGAAAAATTGTGTCTGGCGAAAATAGTTAAAGGAAAATTGGCTGACCTCTTTAGTGGCCTCTCTCTCTGTTTTTCGGGTCGGTATAAAGGTGTAGATTCTGAATCCCAGATGCTGCACGAAGCAATCACTGAGCGACATGCGAGCCATCGAAGACCAGGAGCGAAGAGATCTCGATATTTTCGACTTGCCTTTGCCTGTTGGCATCGGATTGATCGTCTTGTGGGTGAGTGAGAAGAAAACTGAAGATGAAAGACCGCAGCTGAATAACGGCTTCAGATTTTCGTTTGCGCCTCTGTTTTGTCAATGTGGGACCAGAACTGGACCTTACTCGAGTCCTTCTACTTTTTCTTTACTTCCCTCAGGTTTCTTTCGGGAAGGAAGTCTGAACTTACGGAAAATCTCAGCACTGTCGGTTTGGGCGATTTGGTGCCCTCTTCTCCTCGACTGCTCATCACCATGTTCGGCTTCATTCTCGTTGGCTTGTCCTTGGTTTCCATGGTCATCAACCTGCTCCAACTCAAAGTTCCTCCTGTCAGCCGCCCATTCCTCATACCATGACTTCAGATGAAGACGACTTACGAGGCAGGTCACGTCGAGGACGGAGCTCCCCCTCCGAACGTGACAACTTTGGGAATTTTGCAGGTTTCCGCAGATTTTTGTCGTTTTTAACGCTTTTGAGCACTTCAGTGTTTCGAAGAAGACGACAAGAAGTCGCCGTTGTCAGAGAGGAGCCTGAGCCGGTCGACGCAGACGAGTCTGAGCCTGCCTGGCGTCAAACAAGTTCCGAATCGACTCAACTGTCCATTGATTCTGAAGTTCAGGTCGTTTTGAGGTCGGACGGGGTCCATTGGGTGTCTGATGTTACCTCCCCGATGAAAAGTCCCGATGAGGTTTGTTCGAATCGAAAACGAGAGATTATATATTTTTAGGTTACACATCTTGTCGAAAATGAGTCCGGTTTGCGCGTTTGCGAACAAATAGGTAACTTCTTCCAGGAATCATGGTTTATCTTGAAACCCTCAGGAGACAACAACCATGAAGATTATTCGGAGGCTGAAAGTCTGACCTACGAAACTGACGCCCTGCTGGAAGTCGCAGAGTCGCATTCTGACCTCGAAATCGTGGGATGACCCGTAACTAATTTCACCTTTCTTTTCTTCATAAAATCAAACTTTTAGTTACCTTTCGTGCAATATGGATTTTGCTCAAAGTTCAAATGATAAACTTGAAAAAAAGTGCGCTAATTTAAATTTTGTTCGCAACGAAACACATTTTCAAAGAGCTTTGAAACGTAGGAGAAAGTATGTTTTTCAGAATATGAATGCTTGTGAAAGGTGAAATTTAAAGAATTTTATCACTGGTCGTTAAAAAATCTCGTTTTTTATAGTCGCGGAGCTGTGAGACTTTTCCACTTTTTTGAACATTGCATTTTAAAAAAGCAAGTTTTTTCGGCTCAGAAGTTGTCCAATCTACAAATTTTTAGACTATTGAACAGGGTGAAACTGCAAATTTTCAAAAAAAGTTTAATGTATTAAAAAAACTGAGCATTGGAAAAACTTTCAACTAATAAAAAAAGAAAAAAATAACATCAAAGCTTGAAACCGCCCTGGAAACATCTTTGGAAGCCTCACATTAAGAATTTCCACCGGAACACTTCAGAATTCTTTTCAGTTCATAAAAAGTCATCAGAGTTGTTTTTCCGTGAAAAACTGATTATTTTCATTTCGTTTCTCCCAAAAACTTTTTCCTTCAATTATTCGCTGCTTGTTTGAGCATTTCACAGCCTACGACGAGAATCAAAAATCGAAAAACTCTTCGATTTCTGAAGCGTGATGTTTGGAACCCGCACTCCATTCAAGGTTTCCGAGTTCTCATTACGAAAACTTCTAATAGGATGACGCAAAAAAGGGGAAATATTGACATTCCTTTAATTTTGGAAAAAAAATTCCTCATCAAAGAATTGAGCGCGTCATACATCATTGAAAATGGGACATGAAAAAAAGTATTTTCATATATTTAATTAAAAATTTCAAGCCTTTATAAGATTTTTTTCCATACGAGATTGAACAAGGTCACCTTAAAATTATTTATAAACTTCTGAATTTTTCAGTCTCGTTCAAGAGAATTCTGAAAAACTTTCCCCATCTTAATTTCTTTAAATTAAGGTAATTCACCTAAAATTTGGCAATTCGGCAAATTTGCTCCAAAATTTTTTTGATGAGCTTTTAAGGCAAAATGAAATACATAGTTACATTTGAATATTTTTCATTTTTCATTCAAATTGTCTGATTAACTGGAAGTCCTTGAGTTTATTAACGAACAGCTCAAACCCAAAGTCCATACGCACATGAATAATTGAAGGGCAGGCCCTCGTCATGAGCTGCACCCAACTCATCATTCGAATCGAATAAACGGTGTTTGAAGCCTTGAATGGAAATGTCAACAAATTTTGACTGCTTTTTCGAACACCTTATCGGGCTGGTCGACCACACCTGCGCAATTTAATTGCATATTTTTTTTACATCGCCGGAGAAATTGTTTGTATTCGATTTTCGGTGTGTACAAGCTTTTTTTTGTAAACTATCAGCTAATTTTTCAACAAATTCCAGAGATCTCTCCTGTATTTTCGCTTCGGAAACAGATGTTTTTGGAATGCTGAATTTTGAACATTTTTATTGGCGCTCGTTAACAAATCTTGTTTTTTTTAACCGTTCTGCAGATATGTGATGTCAAATTCAACCCAAAAAAGGACATTTGAAAAATTCACCTGAAAATTCTTGAATGGTGTTGATAATTCGAAAGACAGTTTCAAGTTGAAATATGAAAATGGAAATTGTTTGAAACGGAATTATTTGAGTGGAGAGGAAACCGATCTGGAAAAAACGAGCGATGGGAGACACATATTGAACCTAACCTAAACCTAAACTAGCCCTAAAGAAGATACCCAGCCTTGAATAGAACTTGAAGTCCAGGATCATGAATCGTACATATTTAAGGTCTCAAAATGCTTATATTTAGTGTAGAACCTTCTAGAAACTTTTTTGCAAGAGAAAAGATCTAAATTTCAATAATTTTTCAAGTTCTCTCACATCCCTCAAAAACTGCCAATATCCCTCTCTTCAAGTAGAAGAAAAGTATACTGAAAAGTTTATTACCAAAACTGAAAATGAATAACAATGTCATAGAAAAGCAGAACAACAACTATTAAAATTAAATGTTTGCATTTAATGAAAGGTCGGAACGGGAATTGAAACATACGATAAAATGGAGAAAAACAATCGGCAAAAGAATCGAACGGTCTTGGATCCAGATTTTAGCACAGTTATTGAGTTGAACGACCTCTCGCAGATAAGTGAACAAATGTTTAGCCGTACTCTTAAAATGTGCGCACCCGCGTGGAAATTAAAAAGAAATAATTATTATGAAGCACGAGAGGTCGAACAACGGCGAACAAAAGTCGAAAGGAAATGTTGAACTCGGAAAACCGTAAGCCTAAAACCGTTGTAAATTCGATTAATCTAACGGGGGAGGCCGACCCGAGCTAGAAAAAAGGATAAAATGGAACAAAGGTATGTGATTATGTGTTTTTGATATCATCAGAGAAGGAAAAAGAAGAAGAAAAAAAGGTTTAGTGACGACGCTTGTGGCAGTGGCCCATGTGGAGGAACTCCTGATCGGCGAGGCGAAGACGCAAATCTTCGTCGATGGCGAAGAAAAGCGTGCCGACGCCGTCCAGGTTCATCGTCTTCTCCACGAGAGTTTCTTCCCTGCAATTTCCATAATTTTTTTCAAAAAAGTCTGTTTCGCCGTATGGCGTAGTTCGTCAAACTTTTGACTTCAAGTTGGATTCGCGGAGTTTTCAGAAAAAAGGAAGACTCACTTTCCGTCGACGGCGGTGCAGACGACGAACTTCCAGACGCCGTGGCCACAGCCTGGCTGACTGGCTGTGAAAGACAGAGTCTCGCCGTACGTGGGGAACTCGAGGAGTCCGACTTCGCCCGTCGGAACGAAGATCTTGACGTAGAAGTGCGAGGAGGTGCCCGAAGTGACGTCGATTTCAATCTGTAACTGTTCTTTTATTTCCTGTCTCTGTTTTTGTAAACAGCTTTTCGGAAGTATTAGTTCAAAAGATAAACCTAGTACTTTGAAAACAAACCTGAGTAGCGTCGGCTTGGCAGATTTCCAGGGATGAAAGCTGCTGAGACAAGGTGGAAGATGTGCGACGAAGCGAGCGACGGAGACCGCCGACGGCGACTTTAGACTCCAGAGCTGCCTCCATCTAAAGACAGCAGGTGAGGTTCAGGTGAACTGCTGAGATGTCTCTCACCTTTCCATCGTATTCGGATTGGCAGGACGACGAGGCGAACGGTCCGCCACACGAGAAAGTCACTGGTTTCGAGTGAAGGACGAACATGTTGGCAAGGTTTGGAGGAGAACTGATCGGAAAACTGAATCACATTGAATATTTTGGAGCTACAAGCAGAAGGAACGAAAATTTATCGGTAAATAAGAGAATAGGAATAGCTCAAGGGAAAAGAATATTTTATGAGAAACTGGGTTGAACGTTCTCAAGATAGGGAGAAACCGTTAGATTCATGCTTGGAAAGTGTCGAAAAGTACAGGAGGTTCGGGCGTTTATAAAGGGAAGGTCACGGGAATTTTCTCGATGAACTTTGTTTTTTCTAGTGTATTTTATACGAACCAACATAAATAGCCATGAACACCTGATTCGTTTATCAAACGTTGTATTCAAACAGCAGATTGAAAAGGCCACGCCCCTTCGATCTACATGTGATGTCGCGAGACTTTGCCGCGTTCAAAGTTTGGCGAAACGGAATTACGCAACCGGGAAGCGTTCCTCGCCGATTTGTTTCTCTACTTCTCACTCGCAAAGTGCAAGCTTAAGGGCACCCTGTTTGGCATCCGTTTTTTGTTCACCGTAAACACGTTGACAGAAACATGGTTTCGGCGGACTTTGTCTTCCCACTGCCGTAGGATGACTAAAAGTTTTGATAAACATTCCAGAAAAATGTTCACAAATCTAGAGAAACCAAATTCTTTGAGAGATAATACTAGGCAGGGTTCTCTGAAAAAGGAAGTAGAATAAAGCCTTCTAACGTCAACAGACTCTCCCTAGTATTTCCGCAGACGTCATTAGGGAACGGAAAAAAGCCGGAGGAACGCATTAAAATGAGTCAGAGGGCGCGAGGCATTGTGTGTGTGTGTGTGTGGGGGAATGACTGGTCGAAAGTATGGCAGAAAAAGTGCATTTACCGCTATCGCTTCAAAAATCATTTCAGAAAAAGAAGCTTAAATATTAAATTTCGAAAGTATTCTTTTTCAGTTATTGAAAAAAACTCATGAATTTTTTTCAATAGGTTTTTAGATATACTAATATCTCTTGCGGTACTATATCTGTTCATATCCTTGAGATTTCTAGCTTCGAGGTATTCGAAATATGGAGCAAGGGACAAAAACAGCGGCGAGGCTGGCACCAGACGGCTGCAATGACTCGTTCAGGAGGCGGAGCGTCTCTGCTTTGTGGCGGGTGGGCGGAGCGTCGTTCCGTGCCAAGATCGGCGGCATTCAAACGAGTATACCACACAATAATTATCATAAAAAACAAGAAAAGACCTTAGATTTTCGTGCTACAGCCGTGTTGTCTACACAGGCTCGCTATCTTTTTAAAAAAACGCACTTTTTGAACGTTTTCTTGAAAAAAAAATATTGAAATTGAAAGCTTTTCTAAGTAGGACTGATTGATAAAATGTTGATAGCCACTCCATGTGCTTCCCATTAGAGATTCGAAAAGCTTTGTACAAAAAAGAAGCATCAAAACATTTTCTTCTATTTGTTTTAATTTTCACCCATCAGCTCTCTTTTCAAAAATTGATTTGAAATAAAGGAAATTATAGGTTTTTGATCTTTCACAATCTAGATTATGATGAGCGACAAGAAAAATCAGTGGTTCACCAAAACTTTTTGGTTTGTTGTGGGAACCAGATTAAGGCTTCACTAGTTGCATGAAAACGGCGATTTTTGAATCGAAGCAAAAGGCTGAAATTCTAGCGTTTAATCTCTTCCTAGTCGGATTGAAGTTTGAACGTTAAGAATAGCAGTTTGAGGTTTGGTTTGTAGAGGGTGTTGGAATTGAAAGATCAAAGAGGCCTCGAAATAGTCGGAACCTCACAAAAGACGTTCCACGAGGCAAAACGCGATACCGATCTCGATAAAAACGCGTTATTTATAGAACCAATTTCGAGGAATGGTATCTAAAGGGAAAGGAAAAGACCAAAGCAGAAATAAAAGTCGAGCAGGTGTCGGCGGAATGAGCAAACACCGAGAATTCCCACAGAAGATAGTCTTTTTTTTCTTTCAAATTTCATATCTGAATGAATTTGGAACGTCGAACAAAGGTTGAACAGAATCCAAAGTTTCCCTGTACCCACTGGGAAACGACCAAAAAAGGTTTTGGGTTGTTCTTTCTGTTTTTGTGCACGCGAAAGTGCGCGTGCCCTTTCCTTTTTTGCCGGTTGGGAAATCTCAACAACGAACGGATTTCTTTTTTTCCAAACAAAAACTCGTGAATGAATAAAAAACTATATGGGAGAAATCAGATGTTTGGAACGCTACAGGCTTTTCTTTTCATTCGAAATAATCATAGATTATGACGCTCGAAGTTTTTTCTTTCACGGCAAATCTTGTAAGCGTCATAATTCCCTTTCTTGTGGAATTCCTGAAGTTTCCCTCAGTCAATTAAAATCCCGTCATAAATTAGAGACCCACGTGAGGTGCCCACAAAAATCATTCTCTTTTTTCGACTCGAAATGGCGACAAAGAACGTTTTTGACGTCAAACACGGGGGCGTGAGTTAAAAATAACGGTTGGCCTGTAACGATGATAAGGGAATTCGGTATCAAAAACCTAAAAAAAACTGAGTTTTCCTTATCTCTGACCATTTTGAATCCATTCAATTTTATCATGGGGTCCTGAGATTTCTGATGAATGAGCAGAGAAATTTATAGACCTGTGGAAAAAAGTCACTTCAAAACAGTTCCCACTAGAATTTTGATGAGACATATTGGATTCCTTTGATGAAAACAATTTCTGAATACTCTCAAAGCCCCTTCTCTTAAATATATGACTTCCTGGAAGTTTAACCTCGTGGCAAATGAACGGATCCATTTCCTTGAGGAAGCTTAATAGTTTTAAGAGAATTCTTCGTAATTCACTTCCATTGAGGAATAAAGATTGACTGAATCGCCTTATCCACCGTTCGCTTAAGAAAGACCGATAAGAGTCATGGAAAAGCTGAGATTCGAAGCACAGCCAAATATAATTACTGATTTCTTTTAAATAATTGGAATGATTCACGACAAGGTATTCTCGTACTAAGGCAGGGTTGAGAGTGATCTACAGGATCTGATTTGATAGGTTGATAAACGCACCTGGAGCTCAGGTAGAACATGTAGCTCGGATCGAGTGACTTGCTGACGTCGAACGTTCCGTCCATTTCGGCGGTTGAGAGAGGAATGGTCGTGGGTCAAACAGAACACAGCTCATATGCCGGTGCCGGCGATGTGCCAGGCCTCGGCGTCGGCCAAAGGGTGGGAGAATGGAAAGATCACGACGGCCCGAGCCCTTCTTTTTTTCCCTCCTTCGAATTCCGTCTCCTTCGTCTGGGTTCTTTGAATCTGTCTGGGTCCAACGCGTTCGTTCGGTTTTATCAAAGGGAATCACACAATCCTCCGTACGATTGCGGTTTCGATGGAAAGATAGCGTTACCGTAACATTTCTAACAAGATGTTGTTTCTTCTGAAACGTCTTAATTCTGGGAAACACCACAAAACAAACTCGCAAGGATTCTTGCACCTTATTTCTCGTACGAAATCAATTGAAAAGCGAAAGACGTAATTATTGTCGGCCCGAACTTCAAGAGTCTTCGAAAGTGAATTAAACGCATAATGACAGTAAAAAGTTGGGTTTCAAAAAATTTTCCATTTCGTAGAGCTCTTTATTGCGTGTCGAACAGTGTGCTTGCAAAGTACAGAACTTTCTAGTTATGGAGGACAAATAGTTCAAAGTCGCAGAGAATTCCAAACGTTTCTTTTTGAGCCAAAAGCAAAAAGCTTTATGAGAGGGAAAGTTGTAAATCTCATTTGAGAATTTCTATTGACTGACCGGCTCTCAAGTTATCAATTCTATCATCCTTCAATTCAAATTGTCCGGTTCCTTTGCACATTTGTGCATGTCAGTCAGAAACCTGAGTAACTTTTTTTTTTCATTTGGAGTGACGACTAGAAAATTTATGACAATGGCGGTACCACGCTGTGCCAGTGGAGCCTTGAACCCAAAAAGATTTCGTCTGCCCTTTTCTTTTCTTACAAAAGCCTTTCAAACCTTTCCCAAATTCAAACTTGCTGCAGTTGATCCGCCTAAGTCAAACTTTTTGACAAATGATTGAATTATGTGTTTCACTCTTGTTTACACTGACTAAATTCCGTGTCTAGAGTTTGAAGAGCACACTGAACGGAGTAGGTTCGAACCTTATGATACAAAAAAGTTTTTTGAGCTACAGCGTACCGAAAACATCGCCAACAAAGGACGGCCAAAGTGGAAAGTGTCTGTTTTTTTTTTCTCGTTGTGTTGTTTTTGCCCGGTTTTATTTACGTCTAACGCTTCAGCTGTTTATTTTCGATGCAAAAAATTTGGTTGAGAAACGATCAAAAAAACGAGGGATTGAACAAAACCGATCAAAACTCTTCTATTTGATGAAGCGGTGAAAACCTTTGAACGTGGCGTTATCTTGATGAATATCCTTTATTTTGAAAAGGTCTGGAATTCAAACCCCCCTTCACGCTGAAACAGCAACGAAACAAGCGTAAAAGAAGAAGAAAACCGGTATACATAAAAAAAACAGACATAGATCCCGGAATTTCCTCGTTTTTTTCTCGTTTTGAAACGCTGAACACGGAAATGAAAGGGAAGGCTAAAGATTGGCAAAGGAAGAAAAAAACAGAGAATGGGCTGTGTAAATGCTTGGAGTGGCGTGTTTTGAAAGTTGTACACGACGACCTCAGACAATAATAGAAGTCTTTCTCTCATTTACATGGTGTTATTGGTGACTCTTGGAGCAAATAGAAGTTCAGAAAATGGAGCAAACTAGAGATCGAAAAAGTTGGAGCAACTTTGGATCTAAGATCTACGGTGGGGGAAGTCGGTTCACGTGCCAAAAGTTCGATAAAAAAGCTGAGTGATGACTTCACAGGATGAGTCAGACGGAAACATCGAGAAAAAAGGACTTGACGAATTATACAAACATCTTGAGTGTGACTACAAAGGAATAAACCTCTGAGACTGTGTATATATTTACAACGGGGGATCATTTTAGCAAAGTTCCCTTCCCAAAACATCAACATCAACAACAGAGTAAACCGCTGCCCATCTTCGATTCGCTATCGAGAAAACTGAACCGTTCCCCCTTTCTTGTTTATTTTCACCCTTTTGAGGCTTTTTTCCTTGCAAGGAATGATAGACCGGTCTCTGGTTCGTTCAGATTGATGATGATGGCAAAACTCAATTATGCAAAGTTTTCAAGACATGAAAAACCTATTTCACAGTCAAATTTTCCATTTTCATAATTGAATTTTTTTTTAATTTTATTTTTATCATTCAAATAAACCAATTCATGAGGATATGAATGATTTATTTGATGATTCAATAGAAATCAAGACTAAATAATAATCCAAAAAGAAAGAGTATCATCAAAATAGGTCTTAAAATGATTCATTAATGCATTTTGGAAAAGACTGAGAAAAGCGAAATTTCCTGCACACACATACCAAAGATCCTCGAATTGTGAAACAATTTCACGAGTTCTCAACTAGAAAACAAGATTCACAGAGCGCAATATTGCACAACTCGAGGTTTGAAGCTTTCTCGAAAACATTCGACATATGAGGGCTCAAGGCGTCTTTTTCTGTAGAAAATTCTTGGCAAAAAAGCAAGCAGAAAATGTAATCATGATCAGAAAACCGGAAAAAGCCCGCACCCTGCGGAATGATGTCATTTTAAAGCTTATAGTCGCAGGAAAAGCGTTTTTTGATCTGTGTTGTTCTAGCTGTCTGCTGTTCCCTGCAGTTCTTTGAGCTAAAAAAAAATAACTTCAACTCCGAGGCCAGAGAAAAAAAAAAAAGAAACAGAAATGATCTGCAATCCAATCCACTGAATCCAAACTCAATTCACGCTCCAAAAATAGTTGCCTGCAAGTCTCGAAGTTTTCTGAATTCATTCCAAAACCGATTTATTTGCCAGCGATATTTGCTCCTTTACCGTCTGTCTATTTCAAGTAAGATGTATCATAAGTTAAAAAGAAAAAACAACCGTTTGACGTGGAAATTCAGAATATAGCGTGAATTTCACGTGTCCCCAGTCGATTTACCGCCATTGGATAGTTTCCTGTTGAGTAAATATTTGGCTACTACGAATAAAGTAAAAAGACTACAAAATGCTGTACTTTCTATTGAAAAAAAGCCTTATTAAGTAGTTATTGGAAAAAAATGTCTTCATTAATGAATACCTTCTTGATTCCCTTCGATAGGTATTCTCTATTTGCTTCATAGTACTTTTTCTAAAGCAAAATTCTAAACACTGACCTCTTTGACCGCTCAAAAAGAAAAACTAGATGTGTGACGCTTTATTTCGTTTCAACAAACTCTTTTCCGCATATAAATGCTAAGTTTCTCTTTTCGAAACCATACAGATTGAAAATTGTGGCGTTGGGAACAGAACTAGACAACTCCGTAGAGAAAAGATTTTTTGTTCCCATCTTTGCAGAAAAGAAGGAAAGTGCAAGAACGTCTAGCAAAGTTTTGGCGTCCTTTCTGCGTTGGGAACGGCTGTCTGCGCGTTCGGCAGATGTAAACGCAGCACAGACAAACAGAATCCGACAGATTGCTCGTTGGTCAGCCGAGAATCCCATGGCCAGGGGATCAAAATCACTTTTTTGAGTATTCGTTCTCTTGTTTTTGCAAAAAATGTGTTCATATTTTTACTCAAAAAAGAGATAATATATTGAAGTTTCGTTCCATAAAACGTTTTGCAAAAAATCGGCTTTTAAACCTGTATTTTGATAAACGAAAAAAAAAGAAGTTGAAAATGAGGTCTTAGTATAGCCTGATGTCCATTAAGTGTACAGAAAAAAATTATTAAATAGTCTTCCTTCAAAGTTGTCTCAAAAACACACTCCGGTTCCAAATGAAAGATTTAATTTTATAGGGAAAAAAACGTAGTTTTTTTCTTCAGTCAATAGCGTGTTTGTCATGAAAGAAAAAGAGATTCTCATAAAAACTCCTACAGAAAGTTCAAAAATTTTTCCTTTATTAGGAGAAATTTGAAAAAAACTTGAATATCAACAATCTATTGAAAAAAATCATATCTAATAAGAGATTCTTATCGAAAAATTGTCAGAAGCTGACGAGACCAAAAAAACAAAGCCACCAACGCAAATTGTAGGCGACGCGGAACACAAAGAACCGGTTCGAGCCATTTATTGCCTCGAATAACTAATTTAGTGACAATTCGCATGATCCATAAAAAAAAATCCAGAAAAACAGAGAAAATTTGTTTCTACTCTCAAAGTTTCGAGAACTTATCAACGTCTTGAAGGCAATTTCAAATCGTTCTTCAAACTTCTACGCCAAATCCAGTAGCAATTTGATTAAACATGCATGTTTTCTTCCGTTGGCATGTTCTTCGTGTTTTCGCGAGCCAGCCTGTGCTGGGGAATTCTTTCTTCACACCAAATATTGTTAGAAGCGTTGAAAATGATGTTTTTCTTCTTTTTTCTAAAAAAATCAAGGAAATCGACAAAAACACTAAAATTCCTAAATTCGCGTGAGAACGTCTGCGAATATTAAAAGAGTATCCTCTGAAATATCAGCAAAAAATATAAGAAATTTTAGTTCTGGGCTGGCCATTCTCGAAACACTGGGATTCCAGAAAGAATCACTCAGAAAGAATTATCTTCACAACGCTCTGAAACGAGAAAAAAAAGCACATGGTTGAGGTTGACCTTACAACTAAAAATAACTTCTTGAAAATTCCTTTTCCGAACAAAACAACTTTTGAGATCGTTTTCGAAGAGTAAAAAACATTCTTCGAAAGACGTTTTACAAATGACTTTCTTTTTCGTCCCCGGCGGTGCAATCAAAACAAAAAAGAACGCAAAAGTGATACTGATAGGAAAAAAGTTTTCGGTGGTACGAAAACTAGTTTTATCTCGAAGAAGAATTAGTTAGAGAGAACGAAGTTTTTTTTAAAGTCGAAACTGAATTCGATTTACTTCTCATACTAGGGTTCTAATGAAAGCCAAACAAAGAAGGTGGCGATAAGCCTTGGAAAGAATTAACTGATAAAAAGAATGCAACCAGATCGATGAGAAAATGGGAGGAACGGCGACGACTCTACTTCTGTGTTTCTATGGATTTCTGAAAGAATTCCGTCCTTCGGAACCCTACCTTTATGAGTATCAACACGTCTATCTCAACATCTCTGAGCATGTACTCAATGCCGACGTTAGTTGGTTTTCTTCTGTCCCAATCATTTTTTCTCAGGTCTACCCGATCTGGACTTACAGTTATATGGTGGCCCTATTTCCTGTGCTTCTTCTAACTGACGTTTTTCTTTATAAGCCAATGATCATACTAGAAGCCGTATCGTATGTGGTGGTGTGGTCGATCTTCTTGTCCTGCCGCTCAGTCGTTTCTCAACAGGTTCTCTACTTCTCAAAAGGATCGAACGGTTCTGTTGCCAGGTTGTGGAAGTCTTCTACGGCTGCGCTACAGCCACTGAAGTCGCCTATTTCTCCTACATCTACGTGAAAGTGGACAAGAGGCAGTTCAAATCGTAGGTGGTCAAGGCGGTTTGTGGCAACCGCCCCTGCAGCGTGACGTCATGGACGAGAGCCGCGCTTCTCGTCGGTCGTTCCGCCGCCTACGGGCTCGCTCAGATAATCGTGCTGTGCGGACTCGGATCCTACAGAACTCTCAACATAATCAGCCTCGTGTCACTGAGTCTGGCTCTCCTGTTTTCTTCGATACTGCCCAACGTGTCTTGGAGAGCGGCGTACAAGAGAAAAATTGAGTCCCAAGGTGAAGTCAAAGTCCAGAATTCTTGAATAAGGAGACAAAGAAGTTTCAAGCTTTTTTTCGAACCAATTTCTATTAAAATGGAATCATTCAGGCAAAGAAAATGAAGTTGCGATTGAAAACCTATCGAGCTACGGAGAATTCGTTTCCGATCATTTCTCCCACATCTATTCTGATTTTCGTGATATGTATCGAGATATTTTCATACTGAAATGGTCGGTGTGGTGGGCTCTAGCCAACTGCGCCTTATTTCAAGTGAGAATCCTTAAAAGCTTTCCACAAGGTCATGTCACAGATATCGAATTACACACAAAACTTTATGGGGTACAGTCACGGACGACTCGGACAAGTTCAATGGTATCACTGAAGCACTTTGTCCACTTTTTGGTAAGGCCTAGCAAAACTGATACTTTCTAAAAGACTAATTTGGAAATGAAAATTGAATGAAAATAATTATTTAGATTTTGATTATTAATAATGGTGTACAAAAATGAGTAAAATCCTCGCTAAAGATGAGCCGTTAGGAAAGGGACACACTCCAAAAATTAGAAGTCATGAGCTTTAGCCTAAAATTGAATTGAGATTTCTCTGATTATTTTCAATCGAATGCTAAAATGCTCTTTTAAGTTTCGAAAACTCAAGAAAAAGAGAAATGACTGGTAGTCTACAGGTATTCCAGTGGTACTGCTGGCCCAAAAGCTTTTTGTCGACTGGGTGAAGTGGGGCGAGATTTTCCTATCGCTTGGATCGCTGGCTCAAGGACTTTTACTGTTTCTGTTGTCCCAGACAGGACAATTGTTCGTCATGTACGCCGGGTACATAGCCTACAGGGTTATATTCCAAGCCATGGCGACAATAGCACAGTAGGTTCTTTATAATATCTACTCTCTTTCTAAGAGCTTCAATTCATCAGACTTTTTGAGGAATAATCTCGCGTCGGGTCTCAAATCCGAGTCTTTCGGTTTATTATTCGGGACAAACACTTTTGTGGCGCTCGTTTTGCAGACGATCCTAACGGTGGTGGTTATTGACATCGCTAACTTATCGATTCGACCTCAGGTGAACTAAGAGAATTAATTTCTAGAAGCTCAGGTGAACCCCGGAACAAAGAACGTTTCTTTGGTGATTTTTACGGAGCAACAGTTGGCTGAAAAGATAAAAAAAATTATTTTTGAAAATAAAAATTGTGTCAATAATGTTAAAATTTCATTCAAGGGAAGTTTAACGAAAGAATGAAATTTAGCCCCTGAAACATTAGAACAAAAATGATTCTCTTTCTCAAAAACAGAAAAAAAGCTTTCAGTTCGTCGTCTACTCAGCGTATCACTGCTTCATATCGATCATATTCTTGATTCCAATTTTCAAAATTTCCTTCTTTTCATGAAAAATCGGTTATTTTCTTAATAAATTCATTTAACAGATAACAATAAGAAGTAACAATAAAGCCATAACAAAAATTACTCGTTTTCATGCGAAAATGTCTCACTTAACCTCAGAAACTTGGAATCCGGCCTGCGTCGAATTTATCGAGCCCTTGGCTTTTTGTCGTGGACCCCAATTTTTGCCCTAAACAAACGGAATTCGTATTTCTCAGCGAAAATGGAAACCTTATTGCACTGAAACCGGACAAGATTCTCTTTTTTCGCCTGGCTGACCGCTTGAGAATTCAATTTGAAGTCGACGGTATTCCTAGGATTTTATAAAATTAAAATCATTAATTTCGAATGTTTTTCGGTCAAAATTAGTGTGAAAAATTGGAAATACAGAAAATAAAAATGTGTGAGAATAATAATACTATTTTCGAAGTTTCATCGTTTATATCCAATTCAATTTTCAACTTTTGAGGTATCTAATATTTTTCGAACCAATATTTGAAAAGGTACTTTATTTCATGGCCGAGGATTCGGTAACCGGCGGAAAGAGGGTCGAGACGTTTCTCACGGTCTACATTCGTATCTTTCGCCTGAAATTTTTTTTCTTTTTTTTTGAATTTGGAAAAATGGCAGACCACTTGTCGGTAGAGATCCCAGAGAAAAGTCAGAGGGGCGTCGGTTTTGAGTGCTCGGGGATTACAATGGGATCCGGAAACCTGAAAAAGGGAGAATCCGGGAATGAAAAGTAGGATGAATAGTTTTTCCCGTCTTGAAAGTGCTTTTCTGCGCCCTCCGCGTCTCTCGGCGACCCTCTCAAGGTGACGTGCTATTTTCCTGTTTCTCTGACCTCACTGGTGAGGGAACAAAGAGACGCAGACACGCTAAAACTGTCGAATCCTACCTTATATCCGGCGTTCAGAATGGCCGACCGGATGTTGACCGCCTTCGGAACGGAGATCTTCACGACGTTCGCCAGTTGGTCATGCTCATAGTAGAGAGGGACTTCCAACTCCTGGAATTCAGATCAAATACAAGTTATAAATGGAGAAAAGAACTGGAACCTCGTTTACTGTAGTCAATACTCCCAACAAACGGCTATGTGTTCCCAAACGCTCTTCGGCCGGGGTCGAGTTTAGTCTGAAGCGATTTGATAAAAAGTTTACTTCTATAATTATTTGAAAGCCAGGAATTTATACAGTTTTCTAATTGATTCTATTTTTACCTCTAAATTACTTTTTTCCAAACTTCAAAGAAACTTCTGCAGTCTCTTGTTTTCGAAGACTTTTGAGAAAAGTGGTCTTTTAATTTCAGACTTTTGAGAAAAGTGGTCTTTTAATTTCGAAAGTTTGACTTTGCTTAAGCTTCATGAAGCCAAAAATTACCTAACGCCCTGAGAACGACATTATAGTTCAAAGAAAGCTCTCATAAATCTAATGGATATCAAAATAGATAGACAAAGACGAGCCAACAAACCTTTGCAATAAACTGGAAACGAATGGTTTACTGTGGATAGGGTCCAAGTACATGGGACCGATTTGATGGATCGAATTTCCACAATGTACGCATTTGTCGTCGGCTCCTGAAGAACCATATGTGTTCGAAATTCAAATGAAAAAAATGAACCAGTCATGGAATGTTTCAAAACGGGCGTGGAGAACTTGACGCTGTTTCCGTCGATGATTTTCCGGAGCATCGGAACGATTTCCATCGAATGGCAACCGCTGCACACGAGCGCCGTACCGACTTTTCTGAGAGAAAAAGCTTCTTTTGACAAAAAAGATAAGGGTTCGAAAATTGATATTTTCTAGTTCGTTTATTCTTCGCTTCCATAGAAAAAAAACTCCAGTGAGAAAATTTCTTGAAAAATTTTTGATGCTTTTCGTTCTCACTCATCGAGCGTCGAGTGTAAAGCATTTTTCGGACGTTTCAGAGCTTCTAAGTGATCACTCAAGTGTTAAACGTCATTTTAATGGTAATTTGACGCAGCCTGAAACTTTCCGCAAGCGACATCAGCGTGAATTTTTTTATGATTCCAAAAAAAATTATAAAACTCACGATCCACTGTCTTTGGCCTTTTTGGCACCAGTGTGGACTCTGACAAAAACTCGGACGTAGAAATCGATAGAAATGCTGACGAGAGGCTCAATGTAGCGAGTGTAGCGGTTGGCGTGAGATTCTATGCTTCGCAAAAGTATTCTGAGGGCCTGTAAATCGGAAACAAATTCGTTCATCTTTTGGAGGTGAAATAAAACTGATTTTCTCATAACGAATAACAGAACCAACCACTTCGTGACAACATTTGACGCGAGTTGTGACGGCGTCGTACTTGTTGTAGCAGGATTCCGGAGTATTCCCGCAGAGGACCGCCATATCCGTACAGGTGACCATCAGAATCCCTATCCAAACATAAGAAAATCTACTTTTTGATCGAATTTTACCCCTATCCGCAACGCACTGAACGGCAGAATCTAGGAAAACGGAGGCAGATCCGTAGGGATCGAGGTCGACGGCGTGGAACCGTTTATCCAAGCCTCGGTGGTGCATCATCGTCATTCTGAACGACGATTGATCTTCGAAAAAGCTCGGATTCCTCATTGGTTGGACAATCAAATGGAACTGACATGGCGTCGCCGAACATGACGTTGACCTTGTCTTCGACGCCGTTCAGCTTGATGTTCTCTTTGATGGATTCGACGGCGTTGTCGGAAAAGTCGTTGGCCGTGACTTTATCCACGAATGGAACCTGAACTGGTTCATGAACCTTTTTTATTCAATCTATTTTTTACCTCGAGAGCAAATCGAAGAGCTCTCAATCCGGAGGCTGAGAGAGCATCAAGTATCCTGATGGACCCGTCCTAGGAAAAGAGAAGGTCAGGAATTGAAGACAAAAATGGGTGACAGAACGGACTTATTTTTCTCATATTTCGTTAATTCAAAGATAAATAAGACCTCTCAAAGTTTCGATGAAAACAGGACTGACCAGCCTCAGAAATCAGTTACCCCAAAAAATCATACTTACACTTTTCTCATCGACTTTTTTTCTTTTTTGAGGCGGCTCGTTAGGACTTTCTTCTTTTGATTTCGCATCTTCAACGCGATCGGCTGCAAACTGACGAAGTACGGTGACTCTGAAAAAACTCAGATCTCTTGATTCTTCGACAAAATCTGATTGTAACGCACGTTAAATCACGGTTGAACTCTTGAACGGGATTGTAGAAGACCGGCCCGTGGAAACCAACTTTTGCCTTTCCTTCTTGAATTATTGTCAGAGTTTTCGCCTCTTCAACTATTTCCTCGACCTCAATGCTCATTGCAGAGCAAAACTGAAAGTTTCATAGTAATTATATTGACTGAAGCATGACGAACCGACAGAATCGGGCGAAAATTTCGTAAAAGAAATGCTTTTCGAAGAATCAGCCTAAAACCATGGATAAAAACAATTACAAGACGTGAAATAGGTTCGAACTGAAATATTAAAAAAAAATCTAGAGTTATTAGAATAGACAAAGAGCTGGGTTTCCTTTCAAACTGCAGATATGGAACAATCTGACCTAAAGAAACCAGAAAAAATCAGTAGAGATTTAAAAAAAAAAAGAGGGCGCAATGCAGATAAGATTATTCTCATAACTTTAAATGTTCCGTCTTCTTTTTCATTAGTTGGCACACCATAAAAGTTGGAGAGAAGGAATTTTCAGAGCGTTAAATTTTAAATTTTGAATTTTGAATCGAACTCCAAACTTTTAAGATTAAATTCTAAATTTAATTGTAAATTTGAAAAAAATTATAAAAAAATAAGTGAGAAAAAAATCCTTTAGTGACCCCTTGAAAAAAAAACGGATTTTTAAGAGGTCTCTTGAGGGAATAAGTTATTCGCACTGGAGCAAAAGAGAGAGGGATTCAGAAGTAAAAAATTTCCCGCGCGTCAGCGGAAGATTCAACTTTTACATTGAAACTAATGTTATAGTTGAATCCTTTTATGTCTTGCCCAGCAACCGTTGTTGCATTCATCAACCGCTTTTTCCGAGAGCGATATATATTTTTGCGCGAAGATTGGCTTCAAGCCGCGCTCGATTATTTATCTACTAAAAATTTACGATCAGTAAGTTTTATCTTTTTTTCTATTACTGCATTACTTAATTGTCCGTTTTTAAATATCTGTGTTCCAGGACTCATCAAAACTTGCGGCCCTTGTTTTTGAGCAGTGGAAATTCTCAAACTTCAGGGAATCTTCGGAGCCAGTTTTTTCTAAACTCGGCCTACTCCCCACTTCAAAAAAAGCTGTTCTAAAGAATCCGATTGTTTGTCAGGTTTTACTCTAACAAATTTCTGGATTAGAACTGAATTTCTTCAGATACACTGTATCATTGATGTGGGAACGTCCTATTATTCACAATTCTCTCGACTAAGCTCGACTTCTCGAGTTGATAACACCGGTTTCGAGGCGGTATTTAATAAAGAAGAGAACGACAATGACGAAGTGAGAAATTAGGAAAGTTGTCGAAATGACCTTTTTGAATTTTCAGAAGTCTTCTAGAATGCTCCGGTTGACATTGGACGACGGCGAATCGCAGCTCAAGGCTATTGAGCTTGTACGAATCCCGAAACTCTCCTTGTACATCAAACCCGGCTGCAAAGTTGGTGATCTTTCGAGTATTTCTTGAATATGATCCGTTTTGCAGATACTAATTTCGCCTCCGTTAACCTTGCGAAAAGGAACTTTCCTTCTACTGCCGGAAAACTGTCAAGTTCTAGGTGTCAATGAAATAATTTTCTCAGTTGATAGTTGTTTTGAAGGCGGCGAGTGTCTGCCTCAATTAAACTCTGAAAGGCCGCTCGATAAGTACAGAGAGATTCTGGGACTTCAGGAGAAAATGTGAGAGCTTTCTTTTTTATTTTTCAAATGAAATGGCGGAACTTATTTTCATATTTTAGTGAAATATAAAAAAACGACCCTTGATTAGAATAATTGGAAAAAAGTTCAGGGTGCCCCGCAAAAAGGAAGAACCTCAGGTTGGAGCCCGCCAACGGTCTTCTCTGATAAAAGCTTCCGCAGAGCCTAATCAAACCAGAAATTATTCCTCCTCCCCTTCTAGGTTGGTTCAGAAGTTTAAAAATTACTTTCATGGGAATTTGCAGAATTACTTTTAACGACGACGACGTCGTCGATCTTTCAGACGATGAGGAAGGTTTTCTGTTCTCTCCATCGCCCAAAAAGCTCCCTTCTCGAATGGAAAAAGAGCTAATCGATAAACCAACGAAACGTCGAGCTGTCGAAAACGTCGTCAAAACTCCGAAAAGACGCGTGGAATTCACCGAAAAACAAGTTTTCTTTTTTCCCTGTATTTAATTCTTCTAATTGTCAGAGGCCTGTGAATGGAATGCTGAGCACGTCTCGTCCGCAGTCTTCCTTCGAAAATAGTCCTCTGAAAGCCGACGAGGAACCCTTGAATCTTACCAATCTAAATATGTACAAGGTCAAAAAAGAGGTTTTTCGAAAAAGTTATCTTGTTATCAATCTTTTTTCTTAGAAATCGGACGACAGTGACATTGAAATCATTGAACTCGATCCGCCTCTTCTTAAAACTGTCAAAAAAGAAATTAAACAAAAGGTTGAAATTTTCTATCAAGTTACCTTATTTTCATAGTTTCAGGTTGTGAAACTGTCGCCCGAAGAGTTAATAATAAAAAAGTTCAAAGCACTGGAAAACGTCAGTATCGAGGAGATTATGAAAAGGATGCGGTTCTGCGTTGGATCTCGTCGCGTTAATATTGTGGTCAGTTGGGGAAAAAATAAAGTGGTCATTTGAGGGATTTAAGTTCGAGACTTTTCCATAAATCAAAATATTTACCGTTCACATTGTTTTTTTCGGAATCATTGAAGGAATTGGTAGAAAAATGCAATTTGTTTGGAAATTCTTGTAATCCTGAAGTTTTAGACAATTTGAAAAAAACTTGATAAAACTCGAAAAAAATGAGCTTGGAGTTTTTTTCGGCAATAAAAAATTTCTTATATCGAGTTGTTAACTTTTTTTTACTTTCAAGGATTCGCAATCAAGACTGTTTCATTTTGTTAACGACTAAAATGAAACAGTCTTGATTGCGAATCCTTGAAAGTAAAAAAAAAGGGGTTTTTTCTGATTTCATGAGTTCGCCGTAGTATCGACCGATCTGTTCATAGGAGCTTTCAAAATGTGCGAAAGCGAGAAAAGAACAGAAAAAGGCTGGTAGCCCACGTGTTTTATTTTTTGAGGGATCGATTGAGAAGGTCTTGGATCCGCTGCGGATAGTGGACGGTCTCTGGACGATGAAGGTCTCTTTGAGAGACGACTCCAAGTCCGTCGAAAGCCTCATCGACAACAATTGCTTGGAAATCCTCATCGGAATGTCCTGTGCCGAGGCTTTGGTCACTTTCTGTTCTTTTCAAGTTCTCTATAATCTTGTGTCTTCAGGCGGTACGTCAATCCACAGACATCGAAAGACGGAAAAATGGGGCGAAGCGTCTAAAAGGCACCGAACAACAGTTACAGCGGCTGGATCTGCTCTTCGAGGTTTTTGACTCCGATCTATCGTCAATAAACATCGAAAGAGGGATTTTTAGGTGGAGTTTTTCAACGATCGATCTCTCTCGCCGGTCATCCGCTCAGTTAGGACGATGGCCGAAGTCTTGGACGTGTTTTGAGGTCAGGTTTTCACCGTAAACTTATTTTATACGACCGTGCAATGTTTATTTCAATCTGAAGATAATATTGAAGATAAGCTTTTTTTTGACCATTCAACGGTTTTTTAACGGGGTTCAATTGGAGAGAAGATACTTCGAATTGTGAAAAATGATGTAAAAAGAACCACATGTAATAATTTCCCCGTAAAAATTACTCACTCGTATAAAAAGTTTTCAAATGTGGTTTTTGAGTGTCAAAACATGTGAAGGGCTATTATTCTAGATTCATGTACAATTTCTCTACGTTATTCGGAAGTTAAATGATTTTTTGCCTACATCGCAATTCAATAACGCCTTCTGAGGGCCACAAGTTTAGTGAAACTTCCGAAAAATTAAAAAAAAAAGGCTTCATTATCTCAAGACAGTTGCTTCTAAAATGAGAAATATGACGATGATTATTACGGAAAGGCCGCCGAGTGTGTAGGCCCGGACTGAGTGCTTGTTCTTCCTCATCCACGCCCCCCAGACGGCTTTCTCCTTTTTTTCTCGCTTGAATACTGAATTTCCAACATTTCTCTCTGCTTCATTTTTTTATTTTGAAGGTATTCCATAAGATAGGTTCATTTTGGAAGGACTCTATTATTTTCCTCAATTTATGAAGTTACCTAAAAGTCAAACGAAGCGTTTCCTTTGTATTTCAACTTTACTGCCATCTAGAAACTCGGAAGGGATTCTCTACTAGAAGAACTTTTGTATCTTTTCAAACCTCAATTTTTTTTTTCCAACTAGAGCCTTTCCATTTTTGACTGCGAGGATAATGGGCATCATTCTCTTTTTTTTAAAGTTTCCAGTTAAAAGATTTAATAATTAATCGGAGTTCTTTTTAAGGTTTTCTTAATGATTTCTTCGTACCTGCTCCTCCTTTCAAGGGCATTGTTGTGTAGACGTACATTTGCGGAGGCTCGTGAAAGACTTCGGAAGTGGAGAGAGCTGGCAGACTGAACCGTATCCAATAAATCTCAACTCAAAACTTTTCACCGTATTCTTTGAACTTCATAGTTTTGCATGGTTAAAACTTCGGGATTGAGGAACTTGAAGTCGTTCATCGTCCTTGGCGGCCGTTTTTTCTCGTTCTCCTAGTATCGTAAAACATTCATTCGAGCTTTTTATTGAGAAGGTACCAACCATCTGGATAGTGGCTACACACACACTCGAAGATTTTTGTCGACGACTTTTTGCTTTTAACTCGTTTTTCGTCGCTTCAGCGTCATAATATGTGGAGCTTCCATCTGTTATGTCCTGAAACTCCGAAAAATTGAAAAAAAGAGATTCGGAAAGGAAAAACTCGCCTTGCATTTGTCGCTTGTGCTCATGAAGGACTGACTCCTTTTTTTGTAGTGCTGAAGTCGGTGCTCGATTTCCGCTCTTGCTGTCATTTTTTCCTTTCTAGCCGTCGAAGATTCTCAAGATTTTTGACCCGAGGTTAACCAATTGCAGCAGTTTTGAAGGTTCTCGCGACAGCTTTGGCCACAATAATGATGACTGGGGGAGCTGAAAATCTCAAGCTGGTCGAGTTTGTCTCAAAAGCTTCGGAGTTAGAGCACACAAACGCGTGAGAGCTATTAAATTGATAAGTTTTTGGTTGTGTCAGGTGACAACTTCCTTTTGGTAAATATCCTTTTTATGATCACGGCTGCTGATAAAAATCGGAAACTCAAACTTGAACCGTTTCTTTAAATTTTGAATGAAATCTTCGTTGTTTATTCGTCCTAGAATAAAAAAAGAGATCAATGATACTTTGAAATCAAGTATTGTTTGGAGATGATTGAAGTTGACTTCATTTCAAAGGAATGTAGAAAGTATGGATTGTGGAAGATGAAGAAAGAAAGTTTAATTAGAGTTCACAAGGAAACCGAGGCATTGGATTTGGAACGATGAGAAAGAAGAAGGAAAAATGCTCGGAAAACCATAGGAAATGGGCGGCACTCTTGATAACGACGACACTTATTATCACAACGATAAAAGTCATAATGATGTTTCAACTCCAGCGGGGAAGCCGAGTTCCATGTTCACGAGTTTTCATGTCTCTCAAGAAGACCTTAGTGGAAAAAAAAATTCAATTCAACCATTTATATCGATGAAGCTTTTCATTGGGAATTTCAAGTTATTTGTTCTCATTCGAGTTGATATTTTCTCTGTTGAAAATCCGAAAAAGATGCTTTGAGATAATGGGACCTTCACGGTTCAGTTTAAAAGTCATATAGTTTTTTCTCTACTTCAAAACTTAGTAACCACTTTTCAAATTTTTTTTCCTTCCAAATAACCGAACTGATTTTGAATCATTATCTCTTCTTGAAAGCTTTTTTCAGTGCGAATGATTGTTGAAACTGTACTTTAACACTTTGTTGCACTAACGTTCCAACAACAAAGCTTTTATTTATTCAAGATGCGTAGTCGAATGAAAAGATAAATCAAAAAGGGAAGCGCTTGCGGACGTAAGGGGCGTGTCCCAGGTAAAGCTCGTTGATTCGCCATCTTTCAGGAACCTAAAGAAGTTTTTGGCTGACTCCTAGTTTTCAAAATCTTACGTTTGTATATCCCACAAGTTTGCCGATTCCATTGTACGCAGAACTATTCTTAGGCCAATTTTCTCCTTCGATATCGACGAATCCAAAGAAGATGACCTCTCGTTTCACGGCATCGAATGAAGACTGCCTCTTGGTGAACTGAAAAGTTTCCTTTTTCCGTTGGCAGGCCAATCATTCTGAAGCTGAACCTTCAGGGTAAAGTGTTGCTGATGCATTCTTCGGACATAGGGCTCGATCTCCCCTGAATGGTTTCTTGTTTCATGGAAAATTCCGATCTGCTGGAAAAACTCAGAAACCAGAAGGGGCTTTTGAGAATTACTTGAAAGGTTTTAGCAACTCTTTAGCGATCTCTTGAGAAGATGGTTTTTTCTCTTTGTATCCGAAAAAGTGTAATTTCGGTGTGAGATGACTAGTCACCGATTCCATGAAGAGGTGTATGGCCGGCGATTTCGAGCTTCCCGGCGGCGACGAAAACGTCATTCACAATCTGAGACCGTTTCGCATGGAAACTTCTTTCGAAGGCCGTCAGTTGGCGATCTATTTCGTCAGTGGGATCTCGGCCTTTCCGGTGGATGGCCTGAAGTTTAGAGTGAAGTTGTCAGTTTCGTTTCAAATCGCAGCAGTTCGAAATCTTCCAAACCAACCGCACAGTAGACGACGAGTAAAACCACGAGAAGAAGCTTCATTTTTTTTTCTTTGAAAAACAGAAGCGAATGTTCTCTTTTAGACCAGCGCTCTTTAAATACGATAGAGAAGAGATCTCACAAAAAAAAACACGTGGGACGTTTGAAATTGAAGAAAACAGTCAAAATTTCTTTAATCATTGAAATTGATATTTTATTGGAAGATGGGATACAAAAAAAGGAATTCTTTTGCATTTAATATTTTTTTGGGAATCTGAGATGATTTTTTTCCACCTTTCACATGGATATAAGATACTTATTTAACCTCAAAAAGGGGAACTTTGAGGTACATTATAAATTTTGCACATTTTCAAAATAATGATAAATTTTCAAACCGAAATTCTTACAAAAAAAATTTCGAATCAATAAAGAATGATTTGAAATAGTTTTCTGAGAACTCGAAATGTTTTTTTTTTTCACATGCTCATTTTTAGGATTCTTCACAATTTTTGGATAACTTAAACTTTTTACTACTTCTCCATTTGAAACATCCCATTCAAATAGACATGGGAAAACAGAATGATATGGGTTTATAAAGACAACGAAACAAAGAAGAAATATGAAGAGATGTCTCTCCATCTATTTTTCTTCTTTTTGGCTGTTATTCCAGCTCTCCTACACGGACAACTCGTAACGGGCAGTGAGTAGATTTTCCATTGTTTGAGACAGCTTTTCCAGCTTTGATAATTCGCTCTAACGCACATTTACTTTAATTGTCTGGAAAATTTTGTCTGAAGGAAGTTTTCATCATGTTAGAAGGTCGGGGAATTTCAGCACATGTCAGGATTCGAACAGGCGTCGCGATGCCTCCGTTTTCGTACCTATATAATATGGGTTCACATTTATTTAGTCAATTAGAGGAATAATCCTTTTATTGTCAGATTTACTCTGCGGATTCGACTACGCTGGGCCGGTTGATTTCTTCAAAAAACATTTTTGAATAAACAAATGAATAAAGAATGTCACGTGTTGAATCGTCATTTCGAAAAGATCTTGCAGTCCAACATTATCCTCAAATGCTCACGTTTTGGCAAGTTTTATTTAACTTGCGGTCTTTCTTTGTTTTTTTTCCCGGCAATTTTCTGCATCTACTTGAAAAAAATTCTCTCGTCCAAAAAATTTTGCATGAATTTTAGGATCCTAGACGTAATGACTTTGATTCAATTGTCTCTCCTTTTTCTGTTCTACTCTAGTTCAAACTCGGATCAACAACTTCATGAAAAGTAATAGAATAATTTTCTCTCGAGTTAAATTTATCACAATTTCCAGTTTTGCTACGTCAAGCTCTGCCCTTGAGAACGAGAGCAAAGAAAAAACAAGGTTAAATAATTTGGTTCTGTTTCTTCAACTTTCTACAACAGCCTCGACATTTCCTTGTCAACTTTCACGGTTTCTGTTGTTCTTCTGTGTCAGACTGTGCTCTGTTTGACCGTTTTCCTGATTAGGAATCTGTGGAAGACCACAACTCCCAACATGTTGGCTCTGACATTCTACTCTTTAGTTTGTGAGTACTTCTACTTCTACCTTCTGATCTCTTGTCGTTTCTAGCTTCTATTTCACTCTATTATATCAACGACTATCAAAAAGAGGACTTCCGGCTCGAAAAAGGTTTTTCTTTCCTCCTTTTCCATAGTCTCTTCCGATTTGAAACCGAATTCTCACAAAGCGTAGAGGTCGTTTATCATGTTCTGAATTCGTAATTTGGCCCGTGCGTACGAATTGAGAAATTTTAGCCGATCAACATTAATATTTATAGCGATAGGTTTTTCCAGACCTCGCCCAGTCCAGCTTGGATCATGAGAATCTTCAAAAAATCACCATTGCTCTTATTATCAACCAGTTAATCAATTTTTTGATTTTTTGGCGCTCTGTATATGTAAAACAGTTCTCTGCCTGGTAATGAATGTTGTTTGAAAGAGATTATTTTTGAAAAAGCTTTAAAAAAATTAATCGCGAAATTGAAATCATCCTACAGTTCGTTCAAAGTTTGGAAAAATACTGGTTCTCAGGAAAGACGTGAAACTTTTTTTCGAAAACGTTGTACGATGTGAGAAAACGGAATAATAGCAGCACGAGACAGAAAGCTAATCCGCTAAATTATCCTATTTTTGGAAAATCGGCTCTATTCTCCTTTTTTATCCACTCCCGTTCGCAATCTTGAAAGTTGCCTGTAATTCGTGACGATTCAACGAGTGTCCTCAAGAGGAGAGAGTCGAAACGGAAGAAGAGACAGAACCAGATCGAGAGAGAGAGAGAGAAAGGCCAACCAGCTGGTCCGTCGAGACACTAGGTCATGAGGCGGAGGGTGCCAGAGACTGGTCAGCCGTGTCTTTGACCAAGTGGTTTGAAGCTGTTGAGGAAGCGTGTTGAGATGAGAGGGTGGCAGAGAGGCCGTAGGAAAACGCGATGACCAGCACTACCAGTCGCCGTCGCGACTGCACAACAACACTCGCTGGGAGGACGCGCTCGCGTCGTCTCGCATCTTCGCTTCTTCAAATTTGCCTCTTTTTGTTTTTGCTCGTTCATATCCAAGTTTTTGGATCCTAGAAATTTCAGCTTTTCATCAAGAAAAATCCGGTCGCAAGAAAAAAATTTTCAGTTAGTCGGGTAGTGCGTGAATGGCCCATGGATAAAGCTGAGCTCCTAGAATTTTTCCCCAAAAGTTCGACTTTTTTTTCACCGTATGCTTCAAATTCCAGACGCGACCTTTCTTTCGTTCAGCTCCATTTCATGAAGCTAAAATTTTCAGAGACTTGGAAGTTGGACGTAAGACTCGAGGGTGCCTGAGCAGCGCAAAAGTGTACTAGAGTCGGGCTTCGAACTGAAGCTAGTGATCAAAATTTATTGCCTCTTCTTTCCTTCGTTTGAATTATGATTTTTCGTTGAACCTATGAATGATGTAGACATGACGTTGTGCGAAGTACTTCAAAGTCATACTCAATTTTGAAGATTTTGTTTTCTGGAGCGAACCGGTCGGAAAGACCTGAAAAAGCTTTGAAGTTTCACGTAATGATTTTTGATGAGAAGGTACACCACTATTTCTCATGGTAGCAAAAAAATGTTTATTGAAATCTTCTCTTGATGACTTTAAACACCCTGCTGGGTTGGGGATGTACTAAACTCTAAAAAACGGCTGGTTGAAGTTGTGCGGTGAAGCGTCGGGACACGACTGCAACACGGGGTTTTCACTACTCTTCTGTTTGTTTTCGGGTAATCGACGTCACGACCGCCACTTTCAGCCGTCCAAACCGTTTTGCGGCTGGCTCAGAAATGTCTTTCAGTGTTTTTTTCGTTCTTTAAACTCCTTTAACTGAATATCTGAATCAATTAGACTATGTTCGTAAGCCTTAGTATTAGTCTGGACTCAGTATTAGTCTGGACTCCTTCTGAAATTCCACAAAGTTGCCTGGAAGATCCTCGTTTCACATTAAGGCTCTTTTCTCGTATACAGTCTCGGGAAATTTTTTTGTGCGTTTTGAACAGCTTTTTATTGAAAAAGCGTCGTTTCTTGTTGGAAGAATTCTGCTAAATATGACTCTTCTTTTGAGCTCTTCTTAGAACTAAAATCTTGACCTTTAATGTATCGCTTGAAATAGATGAAAAACTAAGATTTCATGGAAACTTTTACATCTCTGGTCTCTTGTGCTCATTTTCCCTCCGCGTAGCAGAGAGAGAGAGAGGGAGAGAGAAAGAGAGAGAGAGGAGTGCGTCGATATTCGTATAGTCGGCTGTCTGCTTTCTTGCGGCTTACGTCTTCAGACGAGCCATTATAGAAGTGGGCGTGGCCGGTCTGACGAATTTGACGTCTTCTTCAGTCTCTGATGCTGTTTTGCAGCTTTTTTCCTCGCTTTTATATTCTATTCACGAATAGATTGCCTGAAAAGAGTCAGGTTACTGTAGAGCATCTTAATCTTCTTGTTTTCGCCTATTTCTTCGAATATCTTGTCTTGTCACAAGGCTCTTGTGAAGGATCTTAATTTTCGCAAGTTTTTTTTTTTTGAAATTAGTGTTACTTCATCATAAGCGTTAGAAACATGTAAATGAAGTGCTTTAAAAAAAACTTTCAGAGAGCTTTTTAGCGGCTCTAATTGTATTTTTTTTTCTACGTGATTTTTTTGAACTCAAATTTTCAATGTTGATTTCCTCAGCAATTTCTTATGTATAGATTTTCTTCCATTTTCAGAAATTTTAACTTTAACCTGTTTTAACCTTTTCTGAAAAAAAGAGTTTCTCGTCGTTTTCTCTCAACTTTTGAGTCAAATTTGCCGTTTCTGGATCGATGAGCAAAAACGGCGAGATCCCGATGGAAGCGAGCCAAGTCGGCGCCGCCCATTGGCCGGCGGCCAAAAAGAGAGGGAAAGCCCCTCCCATTTCGATTACTACTACTTCTGGAGAGCTTTATCGTTAGAAAACCCCCTTTTTGAAAGTTTTTAATTTCTTTTTTCCGTAGGCTTTTCTCCTCAGTTTCTCATAGGTTTCCCGAATACCTGAAACAAAAGATTTTGATGGATTGTGTCGTGTCGAACAAGTGAACATTTTCTAAGATGCTCTTGTTCAGAATTTTTTCGTTCTCATATGAAAAGTCAAAATGATTTCTTGCGTTCAAAAAGCTGAAACACTTCTCAGGAGAACCTCAATTGCGCTTCAAACATATTTTTTGATTTTTTAATATTTGACCAGTGTAATTATATTCTTTTGAAACAATTATATTTCTGGATTTTATCAGTCATCAAGTTGTGCCAGAAAAATCACATATTTTCAATCGGAACACTCATCAGGTAACTTGGAAGCTCTCCAGGCGCTAAAAAGTATATAGCTCTGCATAGGTTCTCGCAGTTTTTCTCTCTTTTTTTTCGTCACTCGGAACCCTACAGAAGCCCCTGCTACTCACCATCAGAACATCGGAATTCTTCGGAGAAAGACTCAAAAACTGAAATCGCGTTCCAACGGTATGCGGCAGCCGGCGTTTTGCTTCTGATGGAAACAGGAACCGGTTGTAGAGGGAGCGAGAGAGCGAGAGACAGAGGCCCTGAGGGCGTGCGAGGCGAGGCAGTGACGACGGCCGTCGTCCCTACTACTGGCCAAAGCCTCCAGCCGCTTGCGAATAACACACGTGTCTGTCCATGTGCCCCAATCTCATCAACTTTTCCGGTTCCTCTTTCGATTCTTTCAAAATCGCCCTTTTATCCTTTTTTTTTTCCTTTCTTTTTCCTCAAACTCTCAGTATCTCTTAGGAATCGCCTAGAAAGATTTCAAGGAAATAGGATAAATTTTTAAGCTTATCAGTGCAGTGCCACATCTCCGCTAAAATTTTCATCATTCTTCTTCAAAACCTATCCCAACCGATTTTTTATTTCGTTATGTTTCATAACTTTCGCAAAAATAGTTCCTTCCTGAACAGAACACAAGTAAAAGACTAAACAGATTCGAAAATTTATATCCAAATTTTTGAAAATTGTCCAAATTTATAAATTTGGTTAGTTTTTGAAAGAACCCTAGTTTTCTTTTTGAAGAGTTTTTTTTTCAATTTTAAATTGGTGGCTTTAAAATTTTTACATTTTAGTGAATAGATTTTTATTTTCATTTATTCCAAAAAAATAAACAAGATCCGTCCGAGATCCTAGCGTTCATCCTATCTGAGAAAAACGTTCAACCATGAAATTCAAAATTTCTGTTTTTTTTGTTCTTTTTTTGGATACCAGCCAAACGCCCGGAAATTATCGTATAACTCTTGCTCGCATCATTGCCTACAATTTATCTTGTTCTTTCCTCTTTTTCTTTTCGCCTTCTGGAATTCCTTCAATCTGCGATCTCGAACCTTTTTAATTTTTTTTTTCTTTTTCGTTTTCTGGAGCTTTCTCCGAGAACCTTCCGAGCGTCGAATACATCGCATTTGTTGAATGTTTTTTATTCAAACACCTTATTGAAGAAATGCGTTGACACGTGCTTCCACAAACGGTTGGGCACCGATTCCGCCTGGAAAATCCGATGATTCCTTGACTCTCAGCGTGGCACTCGTCTTCTGAACCCTTTTTCGATGTTCAAACTCGCAATCTTCAATTTTTGTACCATTGTCGAAGGTCTCACAAAGGAAGCATTGTAAGTTTTATTTTTTTTTATATATACTCAGGGTTTCGATTATTTTAGGCGAGACCGGCATCGAGTTGGAACTTCCGAGAACAATCAACCGTCATCCGAAGCCATGCTGACAAGCCCTGCACCATCTGGAATCCATTTTCCGGCGATCGCTTTTTTGTAGCTGCAGAATATTTATAATATATTTCGATTTTCCTCTCTTCTACTAGATTATATCTTCCCTCACACTTTCCACTTCATAGCTATCTATTCTCTCATCCTAATTTGGCTCTCTTGCTCTCATTCTTGTAATTCTCGAATGGGTTGTTCATATGAATAAAACCTACTGGTTAACGATTATCTAATAATCTCTAACTAACTTAATACGCTGACTTTTCTATACTATCAAGTACCACAAGTCTTTCATGCCCCTTCTCTCCGCACAAGCGTCTAGTCTCTTCGGTGTTTCCTTCACAGTCTTTCTGGAATATTAGGCATGTTCCGCTAGATATTTTAGTGTTTTTCGAGAGCTCGACGATCAGCCAAAGATACGTTTCGCCGTCCGTCCTCCGCGCACACGGGTTTTTGCAAAAGACGACAAATCTCCGGCGGTCATTTTCTTTTTTTTTGGCACACTGCCAAGCGAGCCGTTTATTCGCCGCCAGTACATCAACGTGGCAATCTGCATCGATTATCCTCAACTGAACTCAGAGCCCATCAAATTCAGTACAATTACCTGGAGATTTGCTCTCTATGGAGAAACTTCAAAATAAACTTTTTGAGCATTTGTTTCCACGTAGTGGCTGAACTCCTTGGGCTTGAATTTCAAAGGATAAAATGCAAACATTTTCTTTAAATTTAAAAAAAAAACATCAAAGTGGTGGCGAATCGGCTGCGCTGCGCGGTGGACCGACCTGGGCTTGTCGTCCGGCAGGACGGGCGGCTTCGTTCTGTTTCTCCGTTCTCGAGCTCTTTTTCGAATTTTCCTCATCTTCACCGGCTCAATTTCGCGTTTATTGATTCACTAGGCCTGTTTCTCTCTCTTGGTGCTTCTTGATTGAATCAATTTTCGTAAAAGTTGTTCCATTTTATAGGTTTTTTTTTCAAATTTCTCAATTAAAACTGTATTTGTGAAATTTTGCGGTCTTGATTTCAAATTTTCTATTTTGGTCACGTTCAAGGCCACGATTTTCATAAATACGGCCTCAGGACACTTGATTTGTTTATCGACTATAGCATGCTGAACGATAAGTTATATAGCTTTTATCAACAAATCAAGCGTCTGAGTTCTGAGTGTCTTCAATTGGAAATCCTTGTTATAAATCGGTACCTCGACGTTCAAATAATTTACGCTTTTTTATATTTTTCATTTCAAACTACCTGTCTCGTCATTCGTAACACTGATTTCTAAAGAAAACCTTTATATCCCCATAATTCGTCTTTCATTCAGCTTCAGCATTGATTCGTACTGATCAAAGTCTTTGGCTGGTTCCAAGGATCTTCTAAAGAACCTTCCATTCTGCACCACATGAGTAGCTCCATTAGGCAATCCGCTCAAGTGGCAATTCAAGTGCGAAGAAAAGAAACACCAGCACTCACTGCCAACCTTGTAAAATACCAAATACCCCCTCCCTTGAAACTTTTTAAATAACTCCATTTTATTTTTTTCTGATAAAAGTTCCCGCACCCAATACATTCGCAATGTGAGAAACATCGAAAGAAAGAGAAGAAAGATTACAGATTTAATTGAATTCCAACATTTCACAACCAGAGTTTTCGTGTATGAGATGCAGTGTGAGAACGAAAAAGTTCGGAAGAATACTGACAAAATTACAAGTGACACTCAAGGAAATCTTAAAAAAGCTAGTAAGCCATCATGACCAGGTTTATCAAGGAGCTTTTCGAGTTGGATTTCCGAAGGGACCACTGCTTAAGTTTCGAAAAGAAACAGATCATTTGAAAAAAAAAACAACCGACGAAATCGTTTGTTATTTCCCGAAGAACTCTGGCGGTGGTGGAGGACGGAAAGGTCCTGAAAAATCAAAGTTTTCGTGTATTTCATATATTCCCCAAACTTTTTTTGGATAAAAACTTCCTCAAGTGTCGTACCAGACTTACTTGTCTTAAAAGCTAACAAGGAAAATCTACACGTAATTTTTGAGGTCGAAAGGAAAATCAGAAAAGAAAGTCTTACAAAAATTTTCGAAAAATTTCTTTCCAAAATTTGGTAGAGCTCAAAACTTTCAGGAAAATATTTGTGTGAAAACTCGAATCGAAATAAAAAAAAAACCTCCAAACGGTGGACCGCCGAACTGCTCCCGCCAACGTCGACGCATCTCGTGTCTGAAGCGACGACGTTCCATTCGCTCTTGCTCGAAATCCGAGTAGTCGGGAAAGTCTCCCGGACCTCTCCAGCCGCTTTGAGGTCCATTGTCCCAGCCACCACTCGGCTGGTTCCAACCGCCCGAACTGGGACCATTCCAATCGCCATTGTTAGGAGCTGTCTGAACTGCTCGCTGTTCAACGTTTGAGACTTCAGGAGCACGATTCGGAGGTGGCGGCGGAGGTGGAGGTGGAGGTGGAGGGGGTGCTTGAGATGGAGAAGGCATACCAGGTGGTCCTCTGCATCCAGTTCAACTTAGGGTTCGTTGTGATGAATTCTTTTCAAAACATGAAAGCGCCTCCTTTTCTAGAATAGCGCAGTTCTACGAAAAACAGTAAGCTAAGCTTATTGAACGACTGGAAAAAAATTGTAGACAATTTTAAAAAAATTTACCTCTGGTTGCTTTCTTGAACTAAAATAGAAATGATTAACAGTAGCGATAAGACGATCATAATGTTCCAAAAGTCTCCAGCAGCCCGAAGAAAAGTTGAGAGAGAAGGTAGCCGACGGCGAACAATGACGTTTTGAACTGAAAGACGGAACTCGTTCTGCCCAATCAGCCTTGAACTTTAACCGAATTGATTGCTTCAATTTGTCAGGACCACAAAAGGGCAAACCATTCACAGTTTCTGAGAACAACTCCAGTGGATAAAGTTTTTCATGATTCATCGGCCTTGAAAACTTCATCCATTTTGAAATCCCTCAAGTAGAAGGAACTGGAATCGCACCATTTACAGGTCGAAAGTTTGTTGAAAATAAAGAAAATCAGCTGATTCGGCCTTGTATAAAAGGGTTTTTACGCTGTCAAGCCAGGTTCTTCTTCTTCCTTTTTTTTTATTTCTTCTAATCTTTCAGTTCTGATCCTAATGATTGATTTTTTTTTTCTTTTGAAGGGTTCCAGTTGTTCTTCGGATGGCGTTCTCCACTTGGGTAGTTTTCCTCGGTCTGATTGCGGTGGCTTCGGCATTCTCCTTCTTTGATGTTTGTTTCAAATGAATGGCAAAGGAAAAAATGCTCAGAAAAAGGGGAAATCTTTGAAAAAAAAAAAGGTGGAAACTGAAGAGGTGTTATCATCTCTTGAGTGATCCCTTAACAGTTTAGATTCCTTTCTTCAACATTTGACTACAGAATATGTTTCTCTATTTAGATTGTAGTATACTTGATAAAAACCGTGAAGAGTACTTTATATTTAAATTGTGGTTGAACCGAGAAAAAATTCAATATTTCTTGGCCTAGGCAAGGAAAGTGACGATAGTACTAGTTTCAGTTGGCTAGGGGACTTTTTTTTTGATCTCAATTGAACTTTTAATGAAACTTCTTGAAGTGTAGTTTAAGACCTTTTTATTCCGGAACAAGAAAAATTCTCGCAATTAATCTTATTTCCGATTTTTGAATTTTCACAGCTTGCGAAAAAACGCAAGCCACGACCCAAAAAAACCTTTTTTAATTTTTTGAAGCGTTTGCACTGAAAAACCTGATCTATTGCGAGACATTTATTTACTTGTTCTGGAATCAGGAGGTCCGAAAGTACACTCCAGCAAATTTTCATCAAAAGATCAACCAAGGGCTGATAAAAACTTTCCAAATAACATTTTCAAGTTACCGTTTTCCGCATTCCCTTCACATATTACATAAAGTTGACACTACAAATGAAAAGAAAACTCTGCAGAAAGACAGTAGCGAAAGCTCCTCGAGCGAGTTTTTCGGATTGTTCGACAAGGAGAAGAAGACCGAGTCGACGACCAAGCAATCTGACGACGACGATTCCTTCGACCCCAAATTCTTCACCCAATTGGCAACTAAACGTAGCCCTTTTTTCAAAATAAGATCATTGTTTGGAGTTATTTGCAGTTCTGCTGAGCGGCCTCTTCATGGTTGCCCTGCTTGCCGCGGTCGCCACTTCTCGCCGATTTTCGAGGAGTCGAACTCAGTTGCAAAACGAAAAAGAAACTCCGAAGGAAGTTGTCTGAACGTTTGTGCGTTCCTTTTATCCTGTTTGATCGATGATTTCATACTGTAATAAAGTATCAGTTCTGATTATTTGGAAAATAGGGGAAGCAATAGGAAACAGTGTTTGCACTGACCGGAGGCCGTCCGAGGATTCTCAATTTATTAAGACCTTTCTAATTTTCCAGGCAAATACCTCTTGGCGCTCTCCGATTTCGAACCGTTTTATTCTTATTCGTTTTTTTGTTTTCAAACCATTCTAAGATTTTCAATATTTCGTTTTTCTATAGTCCATCCGAAGAGAAAATAAGAATGAGTCTAAAGTTTCGAGGCTCAAATGAACGTTTTATTCATGATATGTTTAGATCGAACAGATCTCTTAAGGGCAAACTAGAGAAACAGCTTGAAAAAGGTGTGTGATGTCCCACCCAAAGCCAGTTTGATAAAACATTGAAAAACTCAAGTAAACTTCATGGAAACGATTGGAAGATCGAAGTAGTGAGAGAGGAGAGGTTCATAAACATCCACGGTAGCCCGTGAATTGCGTTGAAAACAGTCAAGAGGAATATAATGGATCGAGAGGGATTTTTTGCCGAGTGATGGGATCAGCCGAGGTGAAGCTGCTCGGAAGCCCCGCCCCAAGGCTTCCAAGGTTAACTCGGCGATTGTGTGCGTGCGTGCGTGTGTAATGTTGCCTCTGTGCGTTCCTGCGAACTGTGTCTCGTTCCGACATCCGCGAGACGCCCGACGTTGTGCCGCACGCTCACCCAAAACTCATCCACTCATCTTACTGGCTCCGCCGTCCTCGTTACTTGTTGTCGCGCTTTTCCCTCCAATCAATCGATTTTTCTTTTAAATCCATGTTTTCCGGCTTTTCCTGCTTCTTCTATAATTCATCTTCCGAACCATGGCCATCTGGAATTTCCTCATTAAGTTTATGAATAAGTGAAGCCTCAGAAGGTTTGCCGAACTCAACAGCCTTTGTTTGCAGCGGATTTTTCGTTTTTGTTGATATTTCTAACATTGTGCCTTTTTTTGAGAGCTTTATCCATTTATTACACGAATTTAGCTTGAAACTCCCGTGGATCAATTCTTTCTCAATTTTTTGAAACGACTTCCCAAACTTTAGGGGAAGCCTAAATACTCATAAAATTGGCCAGATCTCGCAACGACTGCAATAAGGCTCACTTCGTCGTCTTTAGAAACCCAAAAAAATTTCGAGGGTTCAAAAAATAATTTTATGATCAAATTTGATTGGAAAAAATGCTAAAAAAATCGAACTGTGAAATTTCAAAACTACTAGGGTGGCATGTTGAAACACAGTTTCCTGGATAGTCAAATCAGGCCATTTTGTAACTTTGTTGAATCTTTTTCTTTCACGGTTTGAAACAGCGCCCTTCACGTCAAAACTATCTTTTTCCGATGAACTTTTCGTAAAGAAATGATTCTTTTTTTCACCCCGCTCGGCAACTGCAAACAAGCTCTCAAAAAGTTGGAAAAACAGTTCGGAACACTTGAAAACAGCCACTCTTTCTCAGGCCCAGATTGGAACCGGTTCGTTTAACTTTTTCTCTTAACCCGCGCAACTTCTTTCAGCTTTTCCCTTATTGCCTTTATCATTTTATTAAAAGTTTGCCCTCAACCTTTCAGACAGACCTGTCCGAGTCCTTTTCTGTTTACTTTCACCTTGAGATTCGAATAGATTCTTTGTCTCTTATCGATCGATTTTCTAAGAAAAGATAAAGTTTATTTATTTGTTGAATGTCAGGTGGGTACATGATGTGGCGGATTCGCGTGCCAAAGATCTGGTTTTTTTGTCTCGCACTTTAAGTCTCACGTCAAATCACACTACAGCCACTTAAAATGGGTTATTATTAATTTTAATGAGCTAAATATGAATAAATGTTTTGAGCAAAAAGATGTTCGAGAATTTTCCAGCGTTCCGTCGTCTATTTGATCTGGTCGTCGTTTTTTTATCCACCACGAGAAAAGCCGCCATCAATGTTTCCTTCAATTTCTGAGAGCTTTCGATAAATCAGACCTTTTTCTTTGGGCTATTATCAATTTTGTTTTTCTGCGAGGGCGCCTGAAAATATTTTCGTTTCAAAATACTTGAAGAGCTTTAAAATTTATGAATGTTTTTAACTGATGGTGAGGGAAAAATAGGAAACTTTTCAACTTTTGGGTAGGATTGCATAATGCTCTTGTGTATGCGCATATTTAAAATTGAATCTATGCCAGAAACAAACTTTTTTACTTTCCTTTCTTTTCGGTTTTTCGGAATACGATCAATCTTTTCTTAAATCTTTGCTTCTAAAACACGATTTGATTTGGTTTTGAAAGACGATATTTTTCGTTAAATTCAAGTAGTTTCGAATGACCCACTGAAATTGTATGATGGGCGAGAGCGGTCGCCGCAAAACTACACTGGACACCTGCCGCAAAACGGAGCTTTTCCTTGACGCTTCCTTCGGATTTTCCTTCTCAGAGCAACCTTCAGGAGGAAAAAGTTGGGAAAACTTCCGCAATACCTGACTGATTGCAGTTTTCAAGGTCTCTTGGAACGTTTCTCTCTTCGTTCGTTAATACTTTCCACAAAAAACTGAGTTTTTTTTTCTATTAATATATAACTCATTGCCTTTTTTTAAAGGATTCTTTGAAAAATTTTCTAATATTCATCAGCAACAACTGAAGGTCTCAGGAAAGGTCAAAATCTATAACAGAATTATGAATCATATGATTGAACTAATTTTTTTCCTAGAACTTTCAAAACGGATGAGGACTGTTTAATAAACTCGAAATATGTTTTTTTTTCTCATTTTTAGCTTCCTCGTTGTAGAAATCGAAAACTGCAAAGGTGAGTTTTCTTCGTAATTTTTTCTATTTTTCATTGACTTCGCTTGAAAGTTGCGAAACACTCGTCCTTGGATCAATTATTTACGCACCTAGTTCAAGTTTTCGAAGTGTTGTTTTCCTCGGCTTCTCTCTACAGTTTCTCCCATTTCAAAACGAATCGGTTACAGCAGGTGAAGATGGAGGAAGAAATACAGCAGCTGCGAACGAACGCCTCCGGGGAGCTGATGACCGATGAAGACTTCATCAAGACCATCGAGGAGATGGGCGCAGAAGCTCAGGAGAAGGAGATCAACGACTTGCTCAGTTGGTTTTCAATGAACTTTTTCAAACTCGTCGTTCGAAGGTTATAAAAATAGAGTCAGAGCCCACACGCGAGTTTTTGCACCTATATTATATTACACTTGCAGACAGCTTTCAAGGAAAAAAAGAATAGAAGTCAGAGTTCAAAAATGTTTCTCTCGAAAATCCAGTTGAAAGATGAATTTTTATATAATTTCTCATGGAATTCGGATACCTGTTAACTCGTGAGGGTTGACTTCACCCCGTGTATCGTTATTCATCTCCCCTTCCTTTTGAATCTTCGTTCATTGTTCTAAATGGTAGCGGATAAACTAATATTCTTTTTCAGAAGCGATGCATGAGAATAGAATCGTCTCGTGGGATGAAGCCGAGCGGATTCTACAAGAAACAGACAGAACTCCGGTATTTCTCGGCAACTTAGTTGATCAAACTCTGATTTTTCGTGCTCTGTCAGATCAAAAGCAGTTTGCCGGAGCAGACGCGCCCGTCGGAGCCAGACAACGACACGGACGTCGACAACTGCATTCGGAAGCTTCTGGACAACGATCCGTCGCTGAAGGAAGTCAACTTGAACAACATGAAGGTTTCCTTTTGTGAAACCGCCATCAATCCGAGGGTTTCTCGTAGAGAACGCCGGTTCCGGCCATTCGGCGGCTTTTGGAAGCCCTGGCCTACAACGAACATTGCGAACGACTCTCCCTGGCCAATATGGGACTCTACGATCATGATATCATTGTCAGTGTTTTTTAAAGTCTTAAGAAAGCTTCTGAACATTTATTAATTGTTTTCTTTAGGTGCTCGTGACCGTGATTGAAATGAACCAGACGCTAAAGAAAGTCAATTTAGAGACGAATTACTTGAGCGGTAAATGAATTCCCCTAAAACCTTTCTATCGAGTCCGTTTCAGGCGAGTTCTTCTCCAAACTCTTCAAGGCAACTCTCTCCAATGAAACGTTGGAAGAGATCAAAGCTGTTAACCAGGTTAAAGGAATTTCCAACCCCTTTCAAGTTTGACATTTTCTAGGGTGTGTCTTTTTCGACTCAGTCCGAGAAAGAAATTATTGACGCGATCATGAAGAATAAGGGCCTCACAAAGGTAAAATAATGAGTAGAAACGACGTCAAAAGACATTTTTGGCAGATTTCCATCAATTTCCGACTTCCCGAGGGAAGGTTCAAAGTTGAAAATGCGACATTACGAAACGGAGAACTTCGTGAGTTTTTTTGCCCCTTTTTATGAAATTTATCACACTGACAATTATCATAGATGTCCCTTTTAAAAAATATAAGTTTGAATTCTTCATTTAGAAATAAACTTCGAGGATGCGACAAAAAAACTGTAGTTATATTCCAGGAAGAATAAAAAGAAGAGAAGCTGCTCTGAAGGCGAAAATGGAAGCAGAAGAGCTGGCTAAGAACCCAGTGGTAAGCAGTTTTCATGTATGATATGATAGACTTTAATCTACCCAAGCCAATGTCGGAAGTTTCAGCCGCATCTGGCAAAAGAAAGCCCGCCGAAGAAGCAGCCGCCGGTGCCGGCAAAGGTTCGTTTGAGCGTTTTTTGAGTGCTCCAACAGTTCTGCATGGTTTCATAGTCGAAATTTGTTTTGTTCCATCAATTTTTCAACGAAATTATTGTTGAATCAAAGAAAAGTTCCTTTTTGCATGTGTTATAAATTCTATGAATTTTTTTGAGATTAAGCATGTTTGAATCACTCTGTGGCATGCGTATTCTTGTAGAATAACATTATTTGTTAAATCCGTCCACCCAGCCTTTCGCCAAAAATTAGTTCTCCTGAAGCCAGTGGTACATCAACTTTGAAGCCAACTTCTTATTCACTTGTGCTTTTAAATTGATATTTTGTGTGCCCTTTTTGTAAGTAAAATATGTCTCTTGTGTTATTGATCGAGAGTTAAGTACGATAAAATTTTGTTGCGTTACGTTTTTAATGAATTCCTCATGTAGTAATTTCAATTTGGAGAGATGTTTTCTGTGTTCTTGTATTTGTCCTTTCAATTGTCATACTCACATTTATGTTGTTTGAACTGCTGAATGGTCGTTGGTTGGCCAAATAAACGTTGATTTTCTGATTTCTAGGAGCCGCCAAGGATCCTGCCGGATAAAAAACCGGTACCGGCTAAAGCAGAGGAGAAAACTCCGCCGCCGCAACTGCTGATAATCCCAAGAGCTTCGAGAGAATCCGAAGAAGACACAGACCTGGTGGCGCCTCCTGCAGCGGAAGAAAAGCATCTGAGACCGACCTGGCAGCCGAGAAGGTCTTCCGTTGTCGTCGACCAGGGCTACGCCCCTGTCCTGGACGTCAGCTCCAAAGTTCCTTCTGCCGAAGTCACTCCAAGGCCTCAGCCCGAACCGAAGCCGCGTAACAGAGGACCGCCACTCACCGCCAAGAACATGTGGGAGCAGCGGATAGCCAAGCAGGAGAAGAAACTGGAGAAACAAGAGCAACGACCACTTCTATCTATACAGAAGATCCGAGAAATGGAGAAGGCTGAAGAAACCAAAAAAGCGGATATGCTTGATGTGAAGCTGAAGAAGGAGCCGAAGAAGCTAGTACTCCCAGAAAAGAAAAAAGTAGAAGAGTCTGAAGTCTTGCCGAAGAAAGAACCAAAGAAATTGGTCATCCCAGAAAGGAAAAAAGTGGACGAATCTGACGTCCTGCAGAAGAAGGAGCCGAAGAAACTCACACTTCCAGAGCGTTTTGGAGCAACTTCGACGTCTGAAGAACCGGTCAGAAGAAGGAGCGTCCAGAAAATTGTTGGTAAAAAGGCAGAGACGCTAGACACAGTGTCCAGACCGGAGGACGAGCCCAGAACAACTACCGTCATCAAGAGAACGGTGATGCGAAGAAGACCAGATAGCGAGAGGGACGAGGGCGAAGAAAGCCAACGGACGGTAGTGAAGAAAGTGGTGAAGAAACGGAAGCCCCGTCCCGAAGTTCCTGCCGACGGAAACATCCTAGGAGCACATCAAACCCAAAACCCGCCCATTCCTGCTATTTGAAATCAACTATGATATATTTGGTTCTCGCAGCAAAAACAAATATGGGCCAGAGAAAAACGCATGGTCTGGTTATCGTTTTATCAAAACTTCAGTTCTCAAAGCTCAATAAGAAATTAGAATAGTTTAACTTTAAAAGCAGGCCCAACCAGTATGCAAACTTTTTCTCTGACTCAAAATTTCGAGCTCTTTTTCCCTGTCCTGAATACGTATCGATTCATTTAATTTATGAATTTTATAATTTTTAAAGTTTCTTGTTTATAGACAGAGTTTTAGCCTTATTGAATTTCAATATTTTTCACGAAATCTTGTACATGCTACTCTTGGGAGTGCCCATTGTGATAATAAGTGCCTGTCAAATTTTTATTCACATTCTATCGAGCCTCACATATTTTCCTTGCTTCCATAAATCTTCGCGAAGAAATTTTTTCTAGGTTTATTTCCTGAAAATACCAATATTTCCTTTTTAACGCAACTTCTACATTTTTCCTGTCCTTTTCCCTCATTAACGTCTTCCATCTCATACAGTCGATAATATGAGTGATGTATGGTGATTTTCAAAGCAAAGAAATGTTCTTCAGAACACGGAGAAGGAAAACGAGGAAGAGAAGCCAATGCACGTGTATAAATTGAACAGAACCGTTTCTCGCGATTCTTGAAATAAATTGTTCATATCTTTCTCTACTGCTATCGAAACTACAACAAAAACAAAATGAGGGATCTTCACAGGTAGTAGGCGAAAATGGCTCGTTCCTCCGGCTTGTTGCTGAAACATCACAGGGCGTTAAAGTTGGAAAATAAATCCTTATGGAAAAGTCTGATTATAGAGTTCAAAGGGATCAAACTAACTTTTCCGCAGGTCCCTGATGATGAAAGTTGATATGAGCGTACTTGCTTTCCATGTAAACCTTAAATACCTTGATTTTCATTGATTGCTGCGAAGAATTTTAAATGTAAACTTTGACAGTTTTTGAAGCCTTCTTTTTTGGAGACTAACTCTTAAAAGGCCATCTGACAAATTCAAGAAGGTTTTTTTGAATGAAACTTTTAAAATTTTTTGTACCAACCTTGTGAGCTAGAAAGATACAATAAACGACGATCCAAAGGCTGACAGCGACTGCGAGGAGAGGAAACGCATCGGAAAGTCCCATCCTTCTCCTAATTATCGACGCATTTCTTGGCGACTTCCTAAGTAACACTCAATAATATTCACATGAAATCAAACGGACCGGAAAAATTTGAATAAAAAGCTAAAGGGCAGGTTTTTAAGATGAAGAGTTTAATGATGTGTGAAGCTCCAACGTAACGACGTCAAATGCAAAAGATGAGAAAAAATGTGGAATTGGACTGAAGCCTCTCAGTTCTAGTAGCCTCGACGTTATATGACGGAATAATTCTTTTATAAAATAGTAAAATACTTAGAAAAAAAAACCAAAATTTCTCCTAGACATTTTCATTTAATTTCACAAGAATGTTTGAAGATGGCCAAAGGGCGAAAAACGAGGACAAAAATGTGGCGCGACGTGTCCATTTATGGGACAGAGCTCCTAATCGTGTTAAGAGCCCGAAAGCAATGGTTTTCATAGGAAGCTAAAAGGTTTTCTTTTCAATTTTGCTTTGCAATACAAATATACTGAGCGAATTATTATTTTCTGGCTTTAAAACGTGTAGAAAGTGGGGAAATAACAAATTCCGGATGAGCTTTCGATTGGAAAAATTATAATAAAAACGCTTTTCTCGAGTTTTATCTTTTTAGAAACAGGATAAGATGTCGGAAACGAGGCGAAAAATGCGAGAATTGTGATGCGCGACGACGCTAATCTAATCCGTGTAATGGGCGGATCCGTCTTGAACTCCAAGGGCTCCAAATAATTCATGAATCGGGTGAATCTCGAGAAATTTTTCGAAGTCTTGTAGTTCTTTTTTTAGGATAACATGCTCAGTAAGTCAAAGTGATAAGAAAAATTACACTCTTCTGTAGAAGAAGCAAATCTTGAAGTGTTTAGTGACGAAAACTTTTTGTCTAACCCCCCATTTTTTTCAGAGACAGAATAATTTTCAAAACCATGTTCTGTTGACAGAAAAAACCCTGAAGCAGAGCTTAAAAAGAAATTTTAAAGAAAAGTTTATTTTGCTGCTTTTCTTTTGCTGAAACTTCGTAGGAACAGAGAATGATATAGCTGAAGCTATATTGGCAGAGACAGCGAAAAGATTGCAGACTTCTGTGACGGTGACGATTTTTTCTTCTATCACGGCGCTGTAGTCAGAAGTTCTGCATACACATCGACGCAACGGCTGATATTCTAATTTCAAAATTAATTTTTTAATATTAATTTTTCATCTTTTTCATTTGTTTTTAAGGACTATATTTATTTGTAGTGTGTGATTTGGTCCGAGAAAATTTTTCAATTGTTTTTTTAAGTCCTGAAATGATCGCGGACCTTTTTCTTAAAAAAAAAGTTATAATGTAAGCCGATGTTATATTGATTAATTTGAAACTTTACAGCTATGCCAATTGAGTTAACTCGAATCAAAATAGCCGGATCAGTTCAACATAAGCGCCGGTAATTATCACCCATTATATGTGAACACTTCGCAATAGGGCGCCCTTGGTTTTACGCATATTTCGCGGAAATCCGAACTATTTCTATCTCCCCTCGCTTTTTCTGAGTTTTTCATTTGTTTTCATGATCTATAATCAAACTACAAGATGGTGAATACTTACTGCGACGAAAGGAAAGGGGCTACCGTTCGCGTGAAAAATTCCCAAAATCGAAAAAATTTTCAATGAGACCGTGTAGTCATCATCAGGGCTATACGGGAACCGGCACGTGAGCCTATCGGCCCTTGGCCATTATCTAAGCCCCGTTTGGCCTTAGAGAGGCCTCAAATAAAAAAGAACGGGCTCAAATTTTCTTCAAGTCGAATATCAAGCTTTTTTTTTTACAACAGAAGTCACATTTATGCTTGTTCATTCACTCACAGTTCAACAGAAACTATAATTTAACAACATTTAACAGTGAAATTTGGGAAAATTTTCGAAGCCTGGCCTGACCTAAGCCTGCGCAAACCTTTTCTCAAAAATGAGGCCCTAGGTCCGGGCGCCCGGAAGACGATATTGCTGACGCTACATTGACTAACTCGCAAAAAAATCACTTAAATATATAGAAGATAGTCGTCAATTTTTAACGTTCAATGGGATGTTCGTTCGATCAACCGTTTACCTAGTTTTTAAACATAAAAAAACGGGGCCTTGCTTTTTTTAAACTGTTATCCAGTTTACTCCAAAGTTTGTGTGAAAAATACAGTGTAATCCCTGTAAAAAGTACACTGCAGTTTTTCCGAGCTATTTTGAAGCTCTCTGCTCAAAAACTTGTGGCAAAAATTGATCTCGATCATCTACGTGCCGCAGAAATTCGTTTGCTACGACATCTTCGAGCTGTAGCACGTGCCATAAAAATATTTTTTTATTCCAAAGTTCATGAAGTGGATTATAAATCATGAAAAACAAATGAAAAAAACTCAGAAAAAAAGCGAGGTGAGATGGAAATGATTCGGATTTCCTCGAAATATGCGTAAAAGCCAAGTGCGCCCTATTGCGAAGTGTTCACATATAATGGGTGATAATTACCGGCGCTTGTTCAACATGAGGCTAGTAAGTTTCTATTTTTTTTTTCTTTCAATAAAATAATTTTTTTTAAAACCGTGTTTGAAGTGATTCCGCGAAATTAAAAATAGTCGTCAGAGAAAAAAAAAAGATAACTTGATTTTGGAGAGTCAGAGACCATTTTGCAATTCGCGGAAATTACTTCGAACACGGCATAAGAGTAGGACATTTTTCAAAGGTAAAACAAAGTTGACGCGACAAGCTAATTAATTGGGCGAGTTTTTCAGATATGACGTCGGAGGGAAGCTGAAAACATCTTCATTTCATTCTAATCTACTCACCAAATATAATCATATCGCTTCACAGGTATGATTACCGAGATCAATTTTCTCAGAGAATCTTTTTTTCAGTAAACGGGGGCCAATAGGAATGCTTCGTTTGTTTCCGTTCAACTCTACTAGATTCCTGTCACGGTAATATTTTACTCGCTTATGCTTTTCAACATGCTTCTAACGCTCACCTCAGTTCAATTTTAGTGGACTGAAAAACACGTGCTCCAACTCGTTTCAGCACAAGGATCTCATCATTCGAAAGACTGAAAAGCGGTTCCCTAAGCCCAAAAATGTTTCTTCGATTTTTTTTTAAATATTCGACCAATTTTCAGACGGCTGACGTTCCTTTCGGGAAGATTTACTCGGATCACTTGCTCAATGTCGACTGGGTTGAGGGAAAAGGCTGGGGGAAGCCGGAGATCCGTCCTTTTGAAGGTTTTCAGCTTCACCCCGCCGCCAAGGTTTTTATCACTGATGGAAGAAGAAAAGGCTATACTTTCAGGTTCTACATAGCAGTCTGGAGCTCTTTGAAGGAGCCAAGGCGTATTACGGCATTGACGGCAAAGTATGAAATGAAAATTGATGGAAACGTCTGAAATATCCTATCAGATCCGAATTTTTCGACCGCAGCTCAACATGGAGCGTATGAGAAGATCCGCAGAACGATGTGCTTTTCCTGACTTTGACGCCAAAGAAGCCGTCAAGCTCCTGAAGGAACTGGTTAATCGAAGACATATCTGAGATTTTGAGAACTGTGAGTTTTGAGGTCAAAATGGATTCGGACTGGGTGCCGCGCTGCGCCGGTTCCAGTCTTTACCTGAGGCCGACGATGATCGGAACCGAGCCGACGCTGGGTTTGGCCGAGTCCAAAGAGGTCAAGCTGTTCATGATCTGCTCGCCTGTCGGGCAGAACTACTTCAAATCTGAAGGAACGGTACTTGCGAATCGGTTAATGGAATAAACTGAAGGGAATCTAGGGAGTCAGACTGCTCGCCGACACGAGCTTCGTTCGTTCTTGGCCTGGCGGCGTCGGATCTTATAAGATGGGGTGCAACTATGCGCCGACTATCTACGTCCAGCAGTAGGATTCACTGTTTCAATCGAAATAAAACCAGAGCAGACTAGCCCTGGGCCGCGTCGCGGATTGCGAAGCGGTGTAATTTTTTGCCTCAAAATGTTTTTCGAAGGTTTTGAACCGTGGTTCAAGTGATCAAAAACTTCGTGTCAACAATTTTCATGATCATAAAAGCAAAATCTCAAAAACTGTGTACGGTCTTTGAAGAAAACTAGTAATTTTTTGTTTCAGACTCGCTGCCAAACGCGACTGTCATCAAGTCATGTGGCTGCAGGGCAAGGAACAACTGGTAAAACTCGCAGAAATTGGTTTATAATTTTTTTTAAAGGTCACTGAAGCCGGCGCGATGAACTTGTTCATGTTCTGGAAGAATGAACAGGGCGAGGAGGAACTAATCACGGCTCCACTCGATACTGGTAAACGTTTCTGAACGTTTGGAAGCTATTTCCGTTTCAGGACTTCTACTGCCTGGAATAACTCGGAGGTCGATACTCGAGCTGGCGAGAGAATGGGGCGAGTTCAAGGTTTCTGAGCGCTCTTTCACGATGGCCGACGTCGTCAAAGCGATCGACGAGAACAGGGTGAGTTTCTCTAATCATATTCGACTCACCTCGACTTGTGACAGTAAGAGTTCAAGATTACTGTGTAAAAAAGCAGTTAATGCGCAAGCCGCGAGTTGTCGGGCGCAGCCATTTGACGTTCCAAGTTCCAACTTAACTTTTTTGCAACAAATGGTTGTTTTGAAAAAGTCTGTCGGTTCGGTAGATTTCATAGGTTTTTCAGAGTGGTCATTTTATGAAAATTTGAGAGTTATTTTTCAAATTTGTTAACGTCTCCAAAATACATAGGATCCCTGCGTTTGGTCTGTTTGAAATTTTCGATTTCCGTATGAATTACGTCATAGGACTCCCAAAGCTTTTGGTTTTGAGAATATTCCACTTCATTCAGTAGTTTTCTTCATTGTTCTAAAACCTTCTTATTTTTTCTGAAAACTTCTCTTTCATTCCGGAAGAATGTTTTGCCTCATATCTTCCCTATATGTAGGGACCACAGACCTATTTTTTTCGAACTCAAGCTAGCTCCTCGTTTTTTTGTTATAAAAAAATAATGATTTTTAACATGTAGTATGCGAAAACAAAAAAAGAAAAAAACGAAAAAAATATTAAGAATAAGAGGAGAAAAACAATATTTAAAAAGTAATTGAAAAAGCAAAAAAATTTTTTTGCACTGAAATTTTGGTTTTGCGAATTCTCATGCAATCTGCGCGCACCCTCATTTTGCAAGGTCGGCACGGTTTCAGGAGCCAAAAAGAGAAGGTTTTACGAGCTGTAATCCCACTTTACCATCATTTTTCGTCTCAGTGACTGCACAAATACAGCCTACAGTGCTCTTTGAATCCCATAAAAAAATGTAATTTCGCCTACTTTTTATTCACCTTTTTGTTGAGAAAAAAATTTTTTTCGGCGATCTTGAATTTTTCGATTTTATTGCTTTTATTTGTTTGAAAAATTAAAAAAACTCTTATAAATGAGTAAGAAAAAAACGCGTGTCTTCGACCGGGAAATGTTTCAAAACAACTCGCAAAAAAATTCTCCACCTTTTTTTACCACTCAAAACAGTACATTTGCTTGTAGTTGTCAACAAGTATTATTTGAGCAATGTTTTTCTCAATATGAAAAAAGCATAAAAATCTTCCAATACTGCATTGCAATTGAGAAAACAATTTTTGACTTTGCGCGCCTCTCAATTTTTTCGGCGAACATAGAATTATTATTTTTTTGGCTTAAAAAAATTGCATTTACTGTTTATAAGTAGTTTTCAAAAAAATCAACTTTGTCCGCGACCTAGATGAATATCAAAAACGCAAAAATTAAGTTTATTTTTTTCGAACTCGCCTCACTATTCCGTACGACACTCCGTTGAAACACATGGAAAGTACCTAAAAACCTTTTCAACGGAAAGAGGAACCTTTTCTACATTTATGCTGAAATTTTCATCATTTTTCATTGTTTCTATCGGCTGTACGAAACAATCAAAGACGGAATACCAAAAAAATGGCCTTTTTTCCCTCGCGAAAAGGGGCGGGGCTTTGCGGTCGCTACCTATATGCTTTCTAAACCCAACCTTTTGCTCCATAATTTCCTTATTCAGGATTTCTTCTCTCATAATCCCTTGTCTTTCCACCAACAAGTCTCCTAGACCAACGTCTCACCCGCGGTCACAAAAAAGAGTACACGATATTTTTTGAGGTCTACGAATTCTTCTCGTCGGGAACGGCGGCTGTAGTCGGCGGAATCTCTGAAATTCAGTACGTGGACAGATCGATTGGCGTCGACCGCACTCTCCGACTTCCCACTATGGCCAGCAAACACAAAGTGATGCAGAGGTAGTTTCTCTTCATAATCAATCATTTTCGTCATTTTATTCTCCATCAGAATGTACGATACGATCACAGGCATCCAGTATGGACGCATCCAGAAGGACGGCTGGGCCGAAATCGTCGAACTTTGATTCATCGAAATAAACTAATTGCCAAATCATGTGGGACTTTATCATTCTTCTCGGGAGAAACAATTGATTCTAACGAATCAACAAAATAGGGACAAACAATTATGAAAAGACCATTTTTGAAAGACTGCTGATGGTTTCATATCCTAATTATGATTTCAAGGACAAACTGGCGAAATGAAACTAGATATCGACTTGTAACCGTAGAAATAAATTGAAAGCTATTAACAAAATGATTAAGGCTCTTCGAAAAAGTAGGTGAGGACCGTGATTATGAGAAAACCGGTAATAATTGAACTCAGCTGCTTGAAGTTGTTGAAATGATTCGCCTTCTCGTAGGCCACTATCTGTGAAAAAAGAATAGAAGTTTTCGCCAAAAAATTAAAACAAACTTCAACAAAAGTCACATATATGAAGGTGCCAGCCGCAAGGGATTCAAAAGTGAACATAACTCCGTCACGACCCAAATTTCTGTCTTCACGCTGAAATAACACATTTTAGAGATCGAAAAACAAGCGCTCATCTGACCTGAATAAGTGCTCCAATTAAAGCGCCCAGAGGGGTCATGAAAGCATACGTGAGAACTGTTGCAACGATGACGGCAATTTTAGAAGTTCCTGCCTTGGAAAATTGGATTCCCACGGAGAAGGCTTCCACAGACTTGTGGATGAGCAAGGAGATGAACAGCGAGAAAAGACCGGAGGACGTGTCCTGGAACAGAAGCTTTAGGCGTTCAGGTTTCTTTTCCCCTTGTTTACCTGTACTCCTAGAGCAAATCCCTCCAATAATGAGTGAAACGAGATTGCGAAGGCAAAAATCAAAGCTCGCAGCATTTCTTTCCTTTCAACTGCCTCCAAATCGAGGGGATTCCTGGAATAGTTTTGATAGAGGTTGAGAGGTCCTTTTTTGAAAGTTTTCTCGAAAATTTCTTTGAGATTGACAGAGATATTGAAGAAAAAGCCAAAAAAAAAAATTATAATAAATCTAGCAGCTGATGTTAGCAACAAAAAAAAAATCAGCTTTAACTTTAGAAGAGCTAGTTCTGACTTTAATTCAAGATGGTTGATTTATCTCAAAAAAGGGTCTACGCACGTTTTTTCTAAAGGTAAAAAGTAACCTTGAAAATTAGAGATCTTTCAAACTTTTGAACTAAAGAACTCACTGCTCACAAGCTTTTTCGTAGGCACCTCTGTCTTCCGGTGAACTGTCAGAGAAAATCTGAATTGCATTTATTTTATTTTTTCCAAAAAAAAATCTTACCATACGAATAATCTCCTCTAGAAGATATATCAAGAAAAAACCGCAGCAGACGATAAGCTGCGGTACTGGGAAGGCGATCTTCAAATCGTAGTCCATATTCAATTTCGCGTATTCTTTGCTGAATTTCGAAAAGATCATTTTGAGACGAGGCATATCTAACTTGATATGTGGCAGAACACCTAAGAAACAAGAAGCCATGAAAACGCCCCCGGAAAAGCAGGAAAGGTATGACATCCATCCTCGTTTTCTCGGGTCCTGCCCTTGGTTTTGAGCCAATTTCACTATCTGAATCATTTCAATTTGGAACGTAGGTAGAACATATGAACTGGCTCACCATTAGCGGAACGAATCCGGCTGCGGATGTAACGATCAAAAGCGCCAAGGTCAGAAGCATCTGCGTGACGAAAGAAATGGAAGGGTCCGAAGTTTTTAGCATCGGAGTGTCCATGGTTTTTTTTTTCTATTCTTTATATATTCTGAAAATCATTTTTATAAGTTTAATTCATGAAGAGCTATCATAACGTTGATTTGGAGAGTCAAGAACTGTGCCTCAAGGAAGGAAGAAACTTTATTTAGGGTTCTAAAACTTGAGGGCGTAAATGAGAAAGTTGCTGAAGGGAATAATTTACAATGTCTTATAAGAAATATTGAGCGGTCAGTCTGAAACGAAAGAGAACAGCTGACAGCAAAGCTTTAAACTAGGCCGCAGACGGAAAAAGAAACTTTTTTGGGCGGGAACCACTAAAAAAGATGAATTTTTAACAACAAAAACAATAAAATTTGTTCCGGGACAACAAATTCGTCGTTTCTGGTATGTGAAAACCTGTTCCCGAAACAAAAATTTCAACGAAAACATATGCAAAACTGAACGCGGGAATTTTCAGAATAATAAGCAGCGATTTTGTATCACGTGTCAAAACGTTTCAAAAAGGATTCCTAGCGCAAAAAGAGAAATTATTTCAGAGAAAAAAAAATAACAAAAAGAGAAGGCTTGCGAAGATCAGAGATATGAACAGTGCCTCAGGAACGATTGATCCGCGGATTTTCGCACGTCTGACAACGAGAGAAACGTGATCTCGTGTGTTAGAACAACGATCCTGGGATCAGACGCTCAGAAAGCTTTCAAAAACTTGGTCAATTAATAAAAAGTTCATCTTTTATCAAGCAAAAAACTTGAATTTCCGGCATCTTTTTGATAGACCTCTACACACTGAACGAATAGGGCTCTACTCGACTAAATTTATAAATTAAGAGGTCGTCTTGTACATAGCTGCGACTTGGTCATAAAAGTTTCACTATTTTTTCAAGTTCCTTACTCAATTTTCTAGATATTCTTTTGTGTAGATGAAGACAAAAATCAGACTCTTTGATAGTAAATTGTAGTTTAAAGACGCCAGAAAAAGCCAAAAAGGGCAAAAAAAAAGATTAGAAATTGTATCCACCAGGTTATCCTCTGAAAAAAGTTTTCAATTTCTTCATTCTTTTTCACATTTTCCTTGTTAGACTTCTGTTTATAAATGATAACCTATGAAAATTTTGAAACGACTTCCGAAAGGTGATGAGCTGTCCGGAAGTTTTAGGAGGGGTCGCGAGCTTTTCCAATTTCCTTTGTTTAGACGAGAAAAAAGGAGGGAAATCACTAACATTCTCACATTCACATATTGGCATATTATGACTGGATGGCTCGAGGTTTGAATTTTATTATTTTCAAAAAGTTGAAATAATAAGTTCAGATTTGCCTCCAATGGCTCATTCGCCTCTTCGTTGTTGCCCTGCACCTTCTGAGCTACTCTTTCAACGGGATGTTGGTTTATCTCATTGTGAAAAAGAAAGGTTCTTTTCATTTTTCGCTCTTGAAGAAAATCCGTTTTAGTTGTGAAAACCTGGATTTACGTCTGTAATATGGTGGTCGCCGAGGTTTTGCTCAATCTCACACAACACGCCAGTGTCGAATTCAACTGGGTCATTGCAGACGCTTTCAAAAATAGTGATTTCGATAAAAAAAAAAGCATCCAAACAAGACAATTCTGATTTTAGAGCTTCACACTAGTTTCTTCGTTCAATTCACTTCCTACGTCAATCTGATAGCCTTCGAATTTCGATATTTCCTGACCTTACTTATGAGTGTCAACCGACTTCTCATCGTCCTTTTCCAGGGAGCCGACGTCATTTTCAAAGAGAGCCAAATCATCTTATTCTCCCTTTTCATCTGGGTTTGAAAGTTCTCATTCGATTTCCATTCTCATTTTCTTCAGTTCTTCTTGGTATTCATGAACCTTTCATTGTTCCTCAACAATTGCCTGTATTTTTTCGACTGGGAGGAGTTTCGATGGATTTTTCTGTGCCCAAAACCAACAGTTAAAACTTATTTTTGATTTTGATAACTTTTCAAAGTTTCAGAATCCTCTCCATTACGTATCCTATTATCTCTACTTTCTACCTATCGCAACTTTTGTTCTTAACATAACTGGCGTTGTTTACGTCAAGTTGAAGCGGAGCGACATCTTCAGTTCGTTAAAAATGAGTCAAATTCGACTAATTCATTTATTCGCAGTTCTGAGTCACATGATGACGGGTCTGTCGAGGAATTCTGAGAATAACCGGCGGTTAAGAGAAAATTTTTTGGTTTTCCATGCTTTTATCATATCCGTGATAATGTCAATCGACTCCATTTACACTTTGCTTCACAATCAACTAGCAGCGGTCCCTTTCAACTTATTTCTTTTTTAAATGAAACAAAAGGTTTCCAGCAGTTTCGAGGACTTTCGCCTGTCGTGAAAGAGCTCCTGGGCTCTTCTAACCTCTATATATCGTCTCTCATCAATTTCCTCATTTATTTCGCCTGCAATTCCAACATCAGACAGAATGTCCTGACGATAGTTCTGCGTCGTCCGAGAATCTTTCCCAATGGTCGAACAATTGTCATCCCCAACTCCCTATGAAGCCTTTGCGTCGATAAAATTCTATATCCTTTGTTTTTGCGTCTTTTGAGAACAAACAAAGCCTAGGTAGCTATTGAGAACCCTTGAACTGAAGTTTGTAAATTGATACATTTTAGTCGCTCTAATTTTGACTGAGCTCAGTTTATCCGATCAAGTACATTTCATTGTGGTGCTACGACAAGAGCGAGTTTTCCATTTGCGAGGAGTACTGTATGCGGCAAAGCGCATTGCGTGCATGCACTCTGCGTGTTTACACTTTTGTGGCGTGACGTCATCGCGCCGTACATCTGCGGGTTTTTTGCTTGCGGGTTTTTTTTTTCAATGTTTTTTTCGGAATTTTTTTTTTGGATTTTTTTTTCCGGTTTGTTTTTGATTGTGCGAATATTTTCGAAACAAAAAGAAAACTTCTTTTTTACCTCATAGGAAGGCTCCTTTTTGTCCTCGAAAAATCTTCGTGTTCTTCTTCTTCTCATATTTTTTTCTCTCGTTCAGATTTTGAAATGAAAAAAAGTGGTGCTATGAATGAAATTCAGGATGGAAAGTGACGATTATGTTAACGCCATTGTTTTCGACTCAATTTTAAAGCAACAAGAAATCACAAAGGAAGTTTTGGCGAAAAAAGATGTCCCTGCTCCTCCACCCTCAACACCGGCATTGTACAAGAAACCAATTTTCGTAAAATTTCTGACAAGTCCCTTCAAATCTCTCAATGTACATTCAAAATATCTTGAAGATTTTCTGGGAAAATGACTTTTGTTTGATATGGTGGTTCTGTAAAATTTGTTATTTTCTTATTTTCTTATTTTTTGATATAACTTATTTCAATTACTGGTATTTGTTATGATGCAATTTTTTGATATTTTCCTCTTTGAAATATCAATATTAGCTTACTTCTTTTTTTCTATATTTGTGGAGTTGACCTAATAGCTATCTATAAAGAAACATTTTCCTAAGCTGCCCCCTTGACAAACAGAGTTTTCATCAATTAAAAAAAAGTTTTCTTTTTGTTTCGAAAAATAAATAAGCCGGAAAAAAAATTCAGAAAAAAAAATCCGAAAAAAAAAACCCGCAAGCAAAAAACCCGCAGATGTACGGCGCGATGACGTCACGCCACAAAAGTGTAAACACGCAGAGTGCATGCACGCAATGCGCTTTCCCGCATACAGTACTCCTCGCAAATGGAAAACTCGCTCTTGTCGTAGCACCTTCATTGTGAGATTCGCTTGAAAATTCTGAATATTCACCTTCTAAAAATGTCCTGGTCGCCATTGGGAAGGCCGGTTCGAGTTGGGCTCTTCGAGCACGATCCTGACGCTTTCAATTGCTTCCGAGTCATGCCTAGACAGGTTTTTTCGCTGTATATTCGAAATTTCAACCGATTATCTACCAGCCATGCCAAAAACCAGGAGCCGAAATGGAAATCATCGCAATGGTAATGAAGATTCTCGACTGGCAGTGGGAAGTTGTAAGTCATCAAAATTTTCCGGATAAAACGTTCTAACAATTAGATTGACACTGAACAAGAGTTCGACGTGGTCAACGACTTCGGCAATCCACTGCCTGATGGAAATTTCAGATAAGCTTCTTCTTTTTTATTCTGTGAAAAGAAACATTTTGTTTAACTGGGATCATGGGTCTCTTGGCAGAAGACAAAATTGACATGGGCGGTCTTTCAATGAGGATAACACCAGAACGAATGAAAGCTGCTCATTTTACGTTTCCAATTAGATATTTCCAAGTTTGATTATTTATCTTATTCGACAGATAAACTGAGGTTAAGCAAGTCTACATCGTAAAACGGCCACCGGAAAACGATTTCAGGAACTTCATCTTCGCTACTTTCACTACAGAAGTGAGTTTTCCAAAATAAATTTTTGATTCGACGTAGGAAAATTCAATTCCTGATTTGAGTTGTGGATGGTTATTCTGTCGACGATCATTGTCGTTTCCCTGATGCGATTTTTTTGCGCCTTGTACTGGGATTCTCGTGTCGGAACACGTTTGAACATCTACACGAGCAGCGTCTTGGTTGACATCATGCCCAAACAGAAATGAAACGGGAAATTCAGGAAACTTTCGGGATAATATTAAAGCAACGAGTGCAAGACCCCACCGCCGCCTCAACTATGGTTTTTTTCTCTCAAATTTCGATTTTTTTTTTTTTGCAATTCATTTTTTTCAGCTTTTGGAAGGATTTCTCATTTTGGGGATGATGGTGATCACTCAGTACTATCAGACCTCCATGAATTCTAGATTGACAGCTCCTCCAACTTCCAAAGTTCCGTTCCTACATCAAAATCAACTCATTGGTTAGCTATACTCTGTTCAAAGCCTTATTCATGTGATTAAGACTTGTTGGAGAAGCGGAAGACCTATCTGACGTACTACGTTAACTTGACGTTGGAAGGATCAAGTGAGCAGAACGCAAATAGAATCGATCGAGTGCTACGTTACAACCCTATAGTGACAAGATCGAAAGAGAGCGACCTCATCAGGGAAATGAAGTTGGTTCGAAAATAACATTCAGAGAAAGAAGTTATGAAAAGGATAACTTCTCATTGTGATCAGGAAAGGAGGCGTCTTCTATTCTACCTACGACATCGAGTTCGTGCCGCAGCCAGTGAGCAGCTGGGACAAAAAACAAGGTCTGACGGTTATTCGCGACACGACTGGAATCGTCAGCTATGTGGCTTTTGGGTTCAGCATCAGCAACAGGAAACTTTGCCAATTGTGAAGAACTTTTGTAGCTCAAGAACTTATTCCCATTTAAGATTCAACAAAGCTCTTCTGAAAATACTTCCCGGCGTGCCCCAAATAACCTTGGGACCAGGATACGGAACCAAGAAACCAGCCGAAGACATTAATATACAGGTAAATCAGAGAGTCAAAAGCTACTAAACACACTATTCAGGTGAAAAGAACGACTCTCAGCCTAAAACGGCATTTGGAACAACTTTTTTTCATCTTTACGGTTTCACTCGCCATTTGCATCGTTGTTTTTATTTTTGAAATAAGCTCCTATAAGTTAGACAAGTGGAAGAAACGCGAGGTTTGGCTCATAAAAATTTTCAGAACTAAAATACATTTTCAGGTTTACAATGTTACTCGTTCTGCCTCAGTGGTTACGCAACAAACTACATACATACAATTCGAGCAATAGACCTTATCTAATCATACAAATGGCATAAATATTTTTGCATTCATTGGGAAAAATTTTTTAAAAAAGATGTCGAAATTTTACAAATTTCTCAAAATTAAGTTGCCGAAAGTACTTTGAACACGACGTACAGGCTTTGAAATGAACGTGATTTACGAAATCTGATAAAACTCGTTTAAAAAAATTTGAAAATGGGAAACAATTATTTTAAATAAGAAACGTTGAAACCAAGCGTTGAATGCAAAAAGATTGCGCCCTTATTGCAGAAGTGAAACTGCGCCATTTAGTGACCACTCAAGGGTAACTTCAGCCTCTTCAGTACTAACTATTTTGGCAAGATCTTCAAATTTGCTTTTACATTTATTTATTTGTTGGTGAGCTATTAATCTTGCTTGTCGTTTGAAGTTAACAATCTCCTTTATTATTATAATATGTGTCTTCACCTCCTTATGACGTGTTCAATGAAGAATTATAAAGTCTTCGAAGTTAAATTGAATATTCATTCAAACTTCTATCAAATAATCCAAAAGATCGGCCGCAAGAACGTTTGTTTTGAACTTTAATGATTTAGGATCATTGAACACTATCAAATATAGAGATTTTCAGTAGCGTTTATTCTTATTCGGTTTTAAGTATATATGTAAAAAAAAACAATTTATTAGTTTTGCTCCAAAAAATATGTTTTTTGTTCGTTTGAGACCTCAATTTTTTTCAATTTTTTTCATTTGCCTTATTTATGGAAAAAAATCAGAGTTTTACAATAATGTGAATTAATGGAACTTTGCTCTTTTTTTCCTTCGCTAACGCTTTTCATTTATTTTTTCCATTCCTATCCTGGTGTGGTTTCATGAAAATTTGCGAACTGTTTTTTTTCTCAGGAAATGCCCGATATCGAAATGAAAGATGTTAGTGCGGAAGACGCATCGGAGTCCGTTCAGCCGTTTCCGACTCTAAATATTCTCCAGGTTCATTTTTTTTGACCGAAAAAATATCAATTATTTTGATTTTTTAGGTTGTCAGAGATGCCCAGCAACAGCACGGTCTCCGACACGGCGACTACCAGCGCTACAGGTACAACTCTCTAAGAAAAATAAGTTTTGGAAAACTGATATTCCAGAAAATACTGTGCTGCCAAGTTGGAAAGGCTGAGGAAAGCGTTGAAGTTCACGAATCAACACACTTGCGTACGCAAAAGGAAAGCGAAGTTTGTGAAACGCTGGGTTTCCGAAGAAGCTCTGAAAGATCCGCAGTAAGTTTCTTCAAGATATACTTTTATTTTTGTGTTTTCTTCAAGGGAAATTTTTAAATGGTCAGTAACAGATACTGAAAAATCAGCTTTTTGTGTGTTTCAGAACTTATCGAATTCCCCAAAAACATTTCAGATAATTTTAAACGCATTAATGTAATCTCTTCTGTAGATTTCTTCTGATCGGCATCTTCGAAGCAGAACGAAGATGGGCCCTCGCCATGACTGAGAAGGTTCGATAGAGTTATCGATTGAGTTTGAGTAAAGTTTTCAGATGGCTATGGAAGATGACGAGCACAAACAGAGGAAGAAATTTTCCATGGTGAACAGTTTGAGACGAGCCGTTCTCCATGCAACTCACCTCGAAAGTCTCATTATCAACAGCTCCAAGGTCGTCTTAATGCCAAGAAGAAGGATTCCAACGATGTTTTCAGTGCGACGCGCCGACCAAACTCGAGTCTCAAGCCTACGCGGCGTGGATGCGAGGAATGTGCGCTTTCGAGTCGCGCGACTGGATCAACGCCAGCGAAGCTCTCAAGTTGGCTCGAAACGTCTACGAAAAGCTCGCCGACGCCACCAACAACACCACCCTCACTAATCTTTACAAAGCAAAGTTTGTATTTCTCTGTCAATCCAGTGAACTCTTCTTTGTTTTGAAGATGTCGCGAAATCCAACCGCAGCTCCGTCTCTGCGAATTCAACTGCGCCGACACGCCTGGCGCTGTTGGAACCATGAGTGAACTGATGGAAATCCGCATGCAGATTGGAGAAGGCGCCACTAGCGTTGATGTGAGTGATTCACTTCTCTTGAAGAAAATTACGAGAAAGTGTGGAACAGACTGTTCCCTCCATAAATTAGGGAGATCTGCACGACCACACTTCCCCTCTAAACTGAAAGGAAGATTGGAATTTTCCAAAAATCATAATTCAATTCTTAAGTCCCAATAAGAAATTAATTTGTTTCTCGAAGGGAGATAATTAAAAATCAAAGTTTACATTGCTGTGCTAGCCAAAAAATATTTAAAACATACACCATAATCAGGAACACTTGAGAGCTTTTTTTCAATTTTATAATTTTGCAGAAGCTCATATCGGAGATGCGATCATCGGCCGGTGGGGCTGAAGTCGTGACAATTGAGTGGGGAGGAATGAAGAGCTCCGTGGACGTCGAAAAGGCTCGGGCCGTGATCCAAGGCTGGCGACAGGCCGACGGAGAGTTGAAACAGTGCAATAGCCCCAAAGAAAAGGTCATTTCGGTGTTAAAACTTGATCTCAATCCCTGTTTAGATGGCTCTGTACGAAAAGCAACTGTCGGACACTCGCGACGCCATCGACCAAATATCCGATGCGATCCGCAAAAAAGCCACCGAAAATTCGGATTCTACTGTATGTTTTCGTGGCCATTTTGTAGTTGATTGAGTTCTTCAGGTTCTGCAATCGATCAAGTCCTACCTGGAGTTCTTGAAGATGAATGGTACGGCTTCGCGTTACCTCGCAATCATCGAAAACACAAAGTATGAACATTTATTGACTTCGATAGAGTTAGATAGTTTATTCACTGCCATTATTTAACATAAAAAAAAATAATAATTGAAGAATAGATGATCAAGTGAAGGAATAGGCAGAGAAATAACAATACACGGGAAAGAGTCAACCCCAACGAGTTGACGGGTACCCGGAAATATGGCAAATTCACAGGAGACGAGGGGGATATTTTCATGAAAGGCTTCAAACGGAAGAGCATTCAACTTTTTTTACGCAGAGTTTCTGGGGGTAACGTTAAAAATCTAAATAAGAAGTTAGTTTATTCCAAAGAGGAATAGTTCTAGAAAAAAAGTCATTAGAAAACTGACCAGTAGTCCGTAGTCGAAGTGGATTCCTCTGTAAAAAGGATAAAGAGAAGAATTTATTACGGTCGAGAAAAATGATCAGAGCCACAGATGATTTTTATGCAAGGTGATAATGTCACAAATTTCACGACGAATGAATAACGGTTTGATGTTAAATTGACTAAGGCGATCTGAGTAAGAAGTGAAACTAACATTACAACGAATGAAAAACTTTCCGACTAAAGAGACGGAGTGAAGATTCGAGTTCGTGAGTTTCATCAGAGGAAATGGCGGGTGAGAAAAAGCTCGGAGCAATATTCAAGGACTGGATTAACGTAGGTTTGAAACATACGGAAGTAGTTAAAAAGGTGAAGAGAACTTGAAGGTATTCAGTATTTGATTAGAACGTAAGGTGGCAAAAGCAGCAATACGGCTGATGTGTTGTTTAAAGGAAAGCTTGTCATCGATAAATAAACCAAGGTCACGTACTATGGAGCTTTGAGGAACTTCTAGGAGGTCAACATAGTAAAGGGTGCGAGGAATAAGATTTATTATTTTATACTTTGTCGAATAATATTCATTAATCTTGAAGGTCGGAAAAGAAGGTCAAACCCCAAGATTTGTTGCGGTTATACGACTCTGTCATTGAAATCTACAAGGAGGTGACCTCAAAATCAGGGCTCGTGATAGTTTTTCCTTATTAGGTTGCGGAAGTGCCCGGCGCAGAACACGATAAATCGCTGATTCAAGCTTTTGCGGCCAAGGTGGAGTATTATCGAGCGTACAGGTGGGGAACACTTTTTGTAATACGGCTGATGTTGATCTCAGATGTTTCTACATGGCTTCATCCTACGCGGCTCTCAACCGCCACGTCGAGGCATCGGCTCTCTTTGAGAGGGCTCTGTCTCGCGTCGACCAGGCCGCCAACGACATCAAGAAACTCAAGTCGAACGCTTATCTCAGCGAGGAGACTCAGGTGACGACCCAAATGATGTCTTTTTTCTTTAACTAGGTGTTCAAAGATAGATATATTTTTACAAGTTGATAGTGTCTCTTCATATGTTGTTCTGTACACTATATCTGTACATACACTGCTCCACATAATTATATATCCACCTGAGATTTTTCGAAAAATCGAATATTTTGAGAGTTTCTGAAAATCTTTTTGTTGTCAAAAGATGGGAATTTTGATCAGATTAATATAACTATCAACAAAGTTCCTATTGAAAAATAAATGTTTTTAAAAATTTTAATTTTTCAAAAAAACCGAGTTTTCCGTTCCACATAATTATATATCCACCTAAGACTTTAAACTTTTTGAACCATTTTTTCCGGTTTTTTGTATCAGTTATCATTTTCTCATCATTTTTGTTTGAAAATAAGAAGAATAAGAGCAAAAAGGTTTTCCAAGAAGTTGAGGAACCTCGGATTTAATCAGAAAACGGTCGCGGTGCTGTTTTGTACTCCAGCTCAACAGTCATCAATGTGAGGGTTGAATTTTCATAATCAGGGTAAACTCAGAAGTTTTGAAAAAGTTTATCACAAAAAATATTCTTGAATGGGCGTCAAATTTTGGAAAAAAATTTCAAAAACCGTGAGCGCCTTTGGCAAAGTTATCAGTTTTTTCAACTTGAACTCGCTTTTCTAAGTCATTGAGCGGAGAAATTCTTCATCTACAATGGAACAAGGCTGAGGAAGAAATCAGCAATAGTTTAACTCAGAAAAATCTGACAAAACAAATCTCAAAGCTGAAAAAACTTCAGAGAAACAAGAGTCAAAAAAGGATATTTCGTGATTTCGATTTTGTTGACTTTCTGTTTAATTTTCTTCGCTGAATAAGGATAATCATGGCTTATTCAATTTTTTTAAAAAACAAAAAAATGTAACTGTAATCTTTAATCTTGAGTAGAAAAACAGTAATTTAAAAATTCGAAGATTCAGATTCCTATGAATTTGACTTGAAAGTCCCTTAGTTATTTACCGATTTCGGTGAATCTTCTTTGCTAGAAGCAGGTTTTTTTGATGAGACTAACTAATCTTGAAGTTAAAAAAACAATTTTTATCTCAGAAAAAAATATTACAGAAATGGTCCGAAGACATTTTTAAGCTTTCTATTTTTGGCAAAACCGCAAAAAAATCATAAATGTTATTGGAAAAACTCCCTCTTTTCAATGCAAAAAAATATTTTACTGAAGTTTTTTGAACTTAAATTGTTGCTCACAAGTACAAAGGTACTTGTGAAATCAAAAATATTCACATCATAATCGATTCAAGAGTAGCTGATGTAATGAAGAGCATCGCGACCGTTTTCTGATTAAATCCGAGGTTCCTCAACTTCTTGGAAAAACCTTTTTTTGCTCTTATTCTTCTTATTTTTCAAACAAAAAAATGATGAGAAAAATGATAACTGATACAAAAAAACCGGAAAAAAATGGTTCAAAAAAAGTTTAAAGTCTTAGGTGGATATATAATTATGTGGAACGGAAAAACTCGGTTTTTTTGAAAAAAATTAAAAATTTTTTTAAAAAAACATTTATTTTTTTCAATAGGAACTTTGTTGATAGTTATATTAATCTGATCAAAATTCCCATCTTTTGACAACAAAAAAAGATTTTTCAGAAACTCTCAAAATATTCGATTTTTTTCGAAAAAAATCTCAGGTGGATATATAATTATGTGGAGCAGTGTATATATGTATATATCTGTATCTGTTCACTGTTGGCATCTCTCCGCGGCAAAACGCAAAAAATCTGCGGATGTAGATGAGCAACGAACGCTTTTTTACCGAGTTACACCGATCGGATTATCGCTTTTCTCAACGTTTAGCGCCGGTCTTCTTTTCGTGCACACACTGGTTCCATTAACTTCCCGTTTCCACGTCTTCTCCCCACGGACCTACTGATTTCTTTCTTTCTCTGTTTTCTCCTCTAAAAGCAGTCGCGGAAAGATATGACCTTTTCTCCTATTCATACACGTCAATTTTTCGTTTATTGATATTTTCTTTGCAGGAGGCACTTTCGGATTTGAAGACGGAGATTGGCCAGGCGAAGATTGCGGCTCGGACTTCCCGTCTTACGCAAACTGCCGGAAACGCGGCCAACACACGGGATTCGCAGCAACTGGCCAAGAATATCGACACGAGGGTATGCGCATTTTGACGGGAATTGCTTGAGAAATATATGATTGATTTTTTTTTTTGGAGTTTTTGAGCCTTTCTGGATGAAGGAATGTGATGACGATGTTTATGAGCCAAAGGAGCGAAGCTGGGAAGTCCTCTTTTTTAGTTTCCTATTCATTTCAGTATCAAGAATTTCCTGCTATTTATTACTCAGAGTTTATAGATTGATTCATATAAAAATACTAGAGACTCCAGAATTCAGAGCCTTTTTATAAGGTGTTTTCTCAAGCAAACGTTTTAAAATTGTTAAAATTTAGCCTTTGGTTGATACGCTGGACGATTGGCGCGACTGGCAGATCAAGGATTCCCAAAGGGAAAAGCGCTCGATTCCCGTCGCCAAAATCCCGCCGACTTTCGTCCCGATGCCCAATAAACCAATCTTTTTCGATCTGGCCAACTTCCATCTCATGGTTCGCCCTTTCTTGTCAAAAATAAACCAGAAATAAAGAACATGTCACGAGACAATTGATGGAGTTTCTGTTCTTTATTCGTAAATTTCTTTAAAATGTGCCTTTCTGTTCAATTTTCAATTTTTTTTTTCCAGATGCCCTCGTTGGATGATCGCTTGGCGCAACTCCAAAAAGACCTGGCCAAGTCCCCTGCTAAGGTTACTAATTACTCATGTTTCAAAATAACTCATTTCCTCTCAATCCACAATTTCTTTCGTTTCTCCTAACTTCTTCTTGAATTTCCATTTCTCATCGAATAGACTTGTCTTCATTCTTAGTTCACTTATTTTTTGCAGTCAAAGGCTTCCGGAGCGAAAGATGGCCAAGATGCAGAACAAGACAAGCAAGGACTTTCGGGGATGGTCAAGGGCTGGTTCTGGGGCAAAAAATAAATACTTATCAAATTTTCAGAATAAAGTCATTTGTTGTTAATCTAATAATTATTGTATTTATTGGTTCTCACTCTGTGCTGCTTTGTGATCCGTTTTCTTTTCCTGTTCTGATTAATTCAGTCATTTTATTTTTAGGTGTCAGATGAAAATATATTTTTTTTTTCATGATGGAAATACATATTGCTTTTTTTATTGCCAAACGCCGTTTTTAGGGCCTGTATTCGAATCGATTTTTTTCTTTGGGTTTGTGTTCCTAACGTGCCGTTCTTTCTCTTGATATAAACATCCGTTATTTTCCTTTTTGTTTGATTTCCGATTTTTTTTTCCTGAAGGTATGAAGCCTGTGATAATTTTCGCGCTGTAGCGTGGCTTGAAGAATGCGAACTCAATATTGAACTTGTTTTTTATTGAATCTAAAGTTCGAACTAGTTCGAAGAAAGTCAACTTGAGAGAAGTGGAGCTAGGCTTTTTTTTAAAATTCTGAAATCCCTAATATTGTGCACTATTTCATATTTTCTTCGATAATAACAAGAAAGACAATAGTTTACGAAAATTATAGACGGCGATGAGAGATGACGTCCTTGTATCCAGATGAAAGCCACTGCACAAATGAATTGGGACGACTTCTTTTCCATCCGAAGGTACGTGAAAAACGTCTTCCGATCCGATTGATCGACAGAATAGTTGTGACAGTTTTTTGCAACAAATTGAGTCATTCCAGTCGGATTGGTCAGCCAAGGCAGAGGTTACATCTTGTGAGGAGGTCAAGCAATTGGCTGGAAGTTATACCGTTTACACGATAAGTTTCGAGGTGAGCTCGATTTTTAATATTGGAATGATAGCCTTCTGATAGGTTATTCGTGCACTTCTGTCAAGGAAAAATTGAGAAAAATATTCTCAAAGGTTGAATTTTTTCTGAAAACTTTATGGCTGTAAAATTGTGACATGGTTATGAAAGATTTAGGAAATCTTTCACAAAAGTCTTGAAAAGAGAAAAGAAAAATATAGATTAACCTTAGTTCAAAAAATGTTTCGTAGTCTACCAAATTTTATCAGCTGGGTTTGAAGAAAAACCAAAAACCAAACCTTTTAAGAACGAGGGTTTCACAGTTTTTTTCTATTTGGATTTTTTTTTCTTTTGAGCGGGATAACTTATTGAAAGAGTGAAAACGACTATTTACCCAATAAAACGAAGCATTGGAAAAAGTTGATATCGAAAAAACTTGAGGTTGTTCCTCACGATTGTTTGGATCAACCGACTCGCTCCTTCTCTCTGTCCACGAGGTTCAAAGAACTCAGCAAGCTCCACGCGGCCCTGGCAAAGCTTCACAAGCAGGTGAAACATCACGATTTGCCGGAAAGAGAACAGAAAAAGTTCTTCAAAAATTGATGTAGCGAGAAATAAAATTAGCATTATTCTCTTTAAAATACTTTCCGGATTTTTTGATGGTACAAAATTGAGATTAGCCTCCGATTGACACTGCAAAAGGCTTTTTGCCTCGATAAGTACATTATTTTGTTGTTAATCAACTATTTCATTTTTTATGGACGATTTTTTCGGTATTTTTGAAATGGAATAATTTCTCGATGAAAGTTCCCTTTTAGTTGTACCTCCGAGGAGTCTTCCCGAGCTATCCACCTCCCAAACTGCTCGGATCCAACGAGCCGGCGGTGGTCGAGGAGCGACGTGCCTCCACAGACCAGTTCTTAGCTTTTGTGCTCGACAGCGAAGTCCTGCGCAAGGCCCGCGTCTTCCACGAGTTCCTCGACGTGAGACTCCAACTTTATCCCTTTATGAAGTGACTCTCAATGAAATCCGTGGTCGAAGTTTCTATCAACGATGGAAAAAAAATTAGCTTTGCAGGAGAATGAACTGTTCAAAAATTGAAATTTTAGTTTTCCAGAGGGAATATTTAACATAGGTGGGCGAGGTTCCACGGAAAATACTTCCAAACTCTATTTTTGAATAAGCTATCATTACTTTCGAGATTGCAATTGTAGCTAGTCTAGAAAATCTGAGGAAAGACAAAAAAGTTTTTTTTCATGTGAAGTTGTGCCTAAGAGATTTCTCCATTTATCATAGGCTCTTCAGTTTTATTTTTTGTATACATTTTGCCCTTTCAGAAGGCCAAAGAATGCGCTTTGACCGTCCGCGCGGCTTCTCCAGACGCTTTCCTCTACGAAAATTCCTCGAGCATCCTTGACGCGCCGATTTCTTTCTCGTAAGTCCCGAAATCTCCAATATGCTTCATAGTAAATAATTTTTTTCTTGAAAAAAAAACCCCCCGAAAACTGTAATAAATCTGATGGGAATTGTTTAGGCAAAGCCGCAGTCAAGATTCTCAATCTCCGCCGATTTCTCCGTCGACCGGAATGTCCCAAGTCAGTAGGAGATCCTAACTTTCGTTTCATGACCGGATAGGTATAAAAATCTGGAAAAGTTTCCTTTCTTCCGTTTAATTTAAGTTGTTTGTTGGTTGTGATTTTTGTGTTTGCTCAATTTTCCTCTTGCATTATCACCATATCACTTTTCGCCATTTAAAATAAAGATTTTATTGGATATTTCTTTCGTTTGTGACAGCAGAAAAACGTTTGAAAATTGCAGCCGATCGACGTTGATCAGGGCAGTTTCGACGCATCTTCTACTGCCGCCGGCGACTTCCAGTTTCCTGATGTCGCAATCGGTAACTTTCGGATGAAAATTGAAGTTCAAAGAGCCCTCTGCAGCATACGTGGGCTGCCACCCAGCCCAGCCTTTTGCGCGCAAAAAGTTTTTCGAAAATTTTTTTTTAAGAGTAGGCCGCAATTTGCTCACTCCGGGGTAGGATCCGGCCGACGTATGCTTTGAAGGCCTCTCTCAAGGGACCACTTCAATGTCCAGCTTCAAGTGCTCCAACTGAACTCTTTGGCGTACTGTGGCAAGTTGGAGTTGTCCTCCGGAGGGCTTGTGCCTAAGTGGTTCTCGGAGGGACCAAAACGATTCTCAAAGCAATAGTCCTCCGAAGAACCACTCAAACATACCACAGTATCGAAAAGACCTCAAATAATCCGATTTCTCTTTTTTTCTGACCAGGGAATGGTCTCAGCTCACAGTGGGACTTCTGAAGGAAACCATGTTTTTTAGATGTCTAAATTTTTGAAGGGTTTTTTGAATTCCTCAAACTTTTTGTCGAACTATTTCTCTTCAATACAGAAGTTTCACTGTTTTTGGAAATTTTCACTCGTATTGCTTGAATTGATCTCTAAGGCTAATTTTGTACGTTCCAACAAAAAAAAGTATTTCGCACTTCATACTTCAGAAGTTCATGAAAACCATTTCTAAGCTGCGAAAATGTTTTTTTTTTCATTGTCGGTTAGTCCAAATTCCTACTTTCAGATCAATCACAGGCTTGCCCAGCAAAAGAGCGTCGGAAAAGGACGATGAGAAAACTTTTCCCGCGTCTCAGCTCCTCGGCTACCTCGCAACAACTCGGTATCTTTTTTATTATGGTTTTCAGTTTCCAAAAAATAAAAAAACGTTTTTTTGGATCATCCGTCGCTTAGTTTCCTCTGTCACAAAAAAAGGAGTTGAATACTTGAACCTCGGTAGCGCAAGCCAGACGCTCCCCGGACGTTTTCGAGCATTTCTAGTGATCCCATTAGCAGCCCTCTTAAGTGTTCACTACAATTGCTCAGAAACGTCCGAGGCAAGTCCGGTTCGCGTCATCAAAGTCGAGATGGAAAAGAAAACTGTGATTTGAAGGTGAAGACTCGTCGACGGACTACCTGGTCCGGGCCGGACACCTGGTTGCAACTGCTCAAAGAGCCGAGGAAGAACACGCCTACGAACTTGCCTTCCAATGCTACAAAAACGCGGCCAGAAGCCTCATACAGGTGGGAAAAACTTTTTTTGGTCTGGTTTTAAAAGGTGCATTGCTGTTTTATATGACCACGATAACATAGGAAACGCCTTTTGGTCTTGAGAAGTTTTTGATTTTTTTTTCCCTATTTAAGATCCCACAGATAAAATGTTTAAGGAGCTTTTATACCGGGCTTCTTAGATACAATTATGAAACAAAGCAAAAATCAGTTCTGAAATACGTTTTCCACCTGTTTGTTTTATAAAGATTAGATTCCGGTTGCATTCAACTTGAGCATCAAGGAAAATAGAACAGAATTAATCAACAATTTTCTCTTTATCACTTTTCTCTCGTTCCAGGGAGTACAGTTGGAGAGTGATATGTTGCGAAGAAACGCGGTTCGCCGAAAAACCGCCAAATACCTGGTCAAAGCCGAGAAACTCTACCAAACTTACTTGTCCTACGACGGTTCCGTGTTCAACGTCGATTCTATCCTCACCTCGGCCATGCAGGTACTTTCTCGGAAAGGAAAATGAAAAAAAAGCTTTTTTCTGCGAAGTTACACCTGATTTCTCACCAGATTATCTGAGTTTACGTTCGATCTTCAAAAGTTAGAGAACGTCCGAAAATGAGAGGGAGAAGCCTTTTTTTTTCCCTCTGAACGCCCTCTTGTTCACCAGCACTCTCTAGCTTTCGAAAATTCCAGCCCCGAAGAACCAAACGGAGACTCGTTTATCCATTCTTCCAGGACCCAAACATTTTGGCTTTCCAATGTGCCAACCATTCACTGAAGAACTACCGATTCCTTGGAGTTTTGCCGAGTTTGGACTCTTCCAGAAGAGTTCTTCTCGTCGAAGAAACTTCTTCTCGTAGGATTTGCGTTCTTAAGAATTTTCTAAGTGTCATGTTTCAGTGAAGAAGTTTGTGATAAAGCTGCTGGAAAAGGGTCCTCACGGAGTGGGAAGCATCTTTCTGCCGACCAACGTTCCTCACATGGTCCAGTTGGTCCAGTTCTTCGAGACCGACCAACATATCGTCCTTCTCCTGGAGCACACCGAACCGGGACGTCTTTGGCTCTTTTTGGTCAGTTTCGCCAGCACCTCAAACCTTCCAATTGGTCATTTTTGATTTTTTTTTTTTTTTTGCATCAAGCTTGGTATTCAAGCTTTGAGATTCAATCGAGGTAAAGGCGTTAAAATATGTTTAAAATTTGCTAAAGTATCAAATTAAAGAAAAAGTACCTCATTTTCAGGTTGCTTCCATGCGTTTACAACTATTCATGAAAATATTATTCTTTTTCATCAAAATACGTTTTTTAAAAGCTTCACCTATAAAGCTCGATTTTCCAGAAAATACATTTTGAAATGGAAAATATGTAATTATAACATAAAAAAAGAATACTCGTCTAGAAAAATGGCCCAAGAAAAAAGATTATTTTTACTTCCTTTTTTCGACTCATCTTTGTGAGGCAAGTCTTGTGAAGTATACGGTGAAATAACAAGATTTTACAGCGTTTCTCAAAACTAACTCAAATTAATTTTGAAAAAGGCTCTTCGCAGCGAAAATTTTATGAGTTTTCTTATACTCCACTAAAATTTCTACTGAATTGAAAATAATCGATATTTCTAACCTATTCCATCTTCCTTCAGAGTCGCTATTTCTGTGAGGCTGAAAAACGGTTCCTCCTGTCGCTCAGTAAGCCCACAACGGAAGTTAGAAGCGGCGAGGTGGTCAAAAGTGTTCCGGCGCCAGTTCGAACAGACGAAGAACGACACGATTATTCCTATCGGGGTCTGTTAGTCTCTAGTATATTCCTCCCAATTTGAAAAAAAAAATCAGGACGAAGAGTGCTATTCACGGTTGGCGTTGATTTTGAACGGGTGGCCGAGATGTGCGACGAGAATCAGAGTGTCAGTTTGTTCTGGACAATCTTGTTTCTGAAAAAAATATAATATAATAATAGTTTTTTTAACCTCGAAGATACTTACCTTAATAGAGGAAGAAATGGGAGAGTTAATATCGACCTTTAAGAAGGGTTGCCCATAGAGAAAAGAAGGTCATTTTTCCCATTCAGACGGACGATCCAACGTCATCTGATGGAATCCTGTGCACGATGGGCGAAGATGCGACGGGAAGAGCTTACGCGCCAAGCGGCGATTTCTACATCGTCGGGAAAACTTCGGGCGACTCTGAAGGAGTTCTCAACGTTGCCGAGGAATCTCCAGCCGCCATACGTCTGTCTGACGCTTCTGCTGATCAAAATATGGCTATTGAGAGTCGGTTTTGCATATTTGGAGGTTTTCGACATTATTAGTTAGCTTTGATGAAGTTGGGATGTAAAGTTTAAAGCTCACTCTCACCAAAAATGCTTTATTAGCTGGTAGAACTTATTTGCTGAAAAAAGTAGTTTGTCACCTTTCAAATCTCTTCTTTTCTTTTATTAATGCAAAACGTTCGTAATTTTAACGACTATAAAAGGTGCATCAAAATATAAAACTTTGAAATTTGCCTTCCAAAGCCTTTTATTTATTATTTTCTAACAGTATGCAGTGAATAAACTTATGATTTATTTACTACTCCTGTACGAAAGAGGCTTTTGGAAGGCGAGTAATAGCTAATTCCGAATCAACTTTGGCTTATCTGCGACCACCAGAAGCTTTGCCCTCTCCTCAACTATTTCGATGTTTGCAAAACGAGTGAAAAGTATTTCAGAATCAATGGCAAAGCAACTGGCGCTGGCTCTGCAAGACGTTCGCTACCACCTTTCTCTTCGCCGAAACTTTTGGCCTTCGAAAGTCGGGAATAAAAAGAAGAAACTACTTTTCAGTGTTTACAGCACGACTTGCCTGAGTGTCTCGTAGTCCATTGGTGTGCCCAGCTCGTCAGCTTCTTCTTCGTTCTGCACACGGAGCACCGCGAGTTTCTGGGGTACTTTCAGACTTTTTTTCGCGAACAAGATGAAGAGGGGTACTAAGACACTACGCGAACTCGTATTCACGAATCGCGTAGTTCAAACTTTGGAGGTTTTCAGACCTAAACTTCTGCATTTCTCCTATTTTTGGCTGAAAAAAGTTTTTTAGTGTTTATTATAGTCGGATCATTCAAGGCACTTGTACTGGAACAGAAAATAGAAAGCAATCAGTAATTTTTTCGAATTTTCCTAATCCTCCCATTTTCTCCAAATTTTTTCTCAGTTCTTTATTAAGTTCAGCAGCTATTCTCTCTTTTTTCAAGTATTTCCAACTGAATCTATAAACCATTAATTTTTCACTTGGTCCGCGAATACAAGTTCGTGTAGTCCCGTGTAGAAAATGCAGACTACTCTCTCCAAATTTAGCTTGACTATAGCTCTATAGAATGATTTAACTCGACTTTTAGACTTCAGTTTTCATGCAGGCTCTCTTACAACTTATCCTAGCTTTCTATGATCACTTTTCGACTTTTGTAAAAGTGTCATAATTTTCGAATACCTGTTTACTAGGTCGGGTTGAATTCATCCCGTGTACCGTTATTCTTTCTGATTCATACTTTATTTATGTAAATGGCATTGGATGAAGTATTATTATAAAGTCTTCTAGGGATCTTCAACCGGATGATTTGCTCTTGGATAGTGACGGGAACATCCTGGTGACCTACCGAAGCCGTTGGTACGCCAAACAAGGCCAGCCGCGGCTCATGGACGGCTACTCGGCTCCCGGTAAAGCCTCCCATTTAAAGCAAGAGGGCAAAATGCTGACGATGGGTCACCCTCTAAGCCGTCCATTTTTGGGACCCGAAACGGCTGCGCGATATTAAAATTTTCTCATCTTTAAACCTCTTCTCCTCTAAGAAAATTTCAGAAATCGAAATCCTGAAAACCTTGTCATAATAATGTCCTCTTCATATTTACTTTCTCAACCTTCATATTGATTAAACACACTGAATTTAACTATAAAAATCTATTGATTAATAGACGATAAAAAGAGTTCTAAGCATCGGAACAATGAACCGCATTTTAGGAATTTATTTTACAAGTGACTTTGTGAATTGAACTGACAAAGGATTTGCAAAAGGTCAGACTCGGAGAGGTTTTCGAAACATGACGGAGTGGACCGCAATTATTTTAATATATTGAAAAAAGCTGTACCTTTCGTTTTTTTTTAAATATTTGTTATCGTTACTCTTCCTGTAATTTTTCTTGACAAGATGATATCTTTTCCTTTTTCATTTCCCCCAAACTCACTTCCTCACTCTAGAATCCTTTGAATACGGGTGGAAAGTCTCGGCGGAAAACGACATTTGGTCTCTGGGAGCTCTCATGTTCGAACTGATCACCGGTCGATCCTTGGCCAACGCTGCGCCTCACGGCGTTTTGAGGTTGGTCAAACCGCCGGAAATGCTCAACCTGAACCATTTCAGCAACGCCGAGTTGCCGTTTCCCGAGTACTCCAGAATCAGCTTCGTCGCCAAGGATATCTTGTCAATGTTGGTTATTTTGCGAAAGTCAGCTCCTAGTCTTAGTTCAACTCAGAATTCTTTTGAATCTAATACGAACTAATAAAATAATTGGAATTTCACAAGAGTTATTTTCTAGGAAGTCATTCCTCCTCCCATTTGTCAAGACTTTTTGCAGCTATCAAATCAAAAAATCAAAAAGTTGGTATCTTTAGGATCCTCACAACGGAAATAGACCAACGTCCATCTTTGGATCGAATTCGAATCCATCCATTTTTCCGACACATCGACTGGTCTTTGTACGACAATCCATCCTGGCATTTCACAAATGTGAGAAAAGTTTGATGAAAAAAGTCTTCAATAAACAAGTTTTTTCACAAAAACCCAGAGACTTTTACTATTGAATGAAAGTTGAGATTCCCATATTTCGAATCTATTTCAGAGCTCCGGTTCTTCTCTCGACGTGAGGTTCCCCGTCGATCCAGCCCCCCTGACACCCGCACTTCTTTTCGGTCAAGAAGATTTAGATGTTCTAGGACCTGAGTGATTTGATAACTTTCCTCCCAAATCGGTTACCTAGTTTCAGGTATCATTTCTTCATTTATTTTTTGCACTTTGGGGATATTTTCTACGGATTTACCAAAAAGTGATTGTTCTGTTCCTTGTCATTTTACAAACATAGTCGTTTTGCATAATATACAAAAAAGATGAAATTTTATGGGCTTTTCCATGTGAATTCAGTACGGTAATTTATTTCAGTTATAATTATTTATTTGTCTCCGCGTCTTTCGCAAGTTCTTTGGAATAAACATTTGTGATCGTTCTTTAAGCGGCTTGTTTTTGATTGCATGCACCCTGAAAAAACGTCTGATGAATCTTCTAATTGTTGCAAGTTTGAAATTTATGGCTAATTGTCTAATCATCGTTCTGCTGAAAATGACATTCGGAGGAACTGATGACGCTTTGTTTTCTAAATTTAACAGAAAGGTTCTTTGAATGAGTCATCGTTTAGCCGAAAGGCAAAAAAGGAAGCAATACTGTAGAATAAGCATCGCAGAACAAGTATAAAATAATATTACACGCCTTGAATTAGTCATCGACTTGATCAGACAGCGGAAAGGAGCTTGCAAGCTAGGCAATCAACTGGCTTAGCCTAAATAGGGATTGATCCAAGAGTATCGCATGGAAGCATGGTCTCACGGTCTTCTGCATGTAATTCAGCTTTGAAATGCTCGAAAGGAGCAGTTGATTGCCTAGCTTGCAAAAGTCTCGAAAACAACGTTTCGAAGAAACCGTCATTTTTTTCCAACCTTCCCAGCTAATTTCACGGAAATTCCTAATATTGTTTTCTAATCTTTCAGGTTGACCAAGTAATATGACGAATAAAAACCTTAGGTTATTGACCCCCCAAATTCTGTCGATTTTCGAACTCCAAAATGGGATAAACAGCGGTTTTTTGCAGGGTCGGCTCTCACGACAAGTGAAAAAGTCAAAAAAAAAATCGTAGCGGTCAAAAGTTTTTCCGTTCCGATTTCAGTTCCCACCAAGTCTGTTTTCTCGAAAGCAAAATGTAGTTTTTGGGGGTTCCGTGTGATCGGCTAATTTTTTCCGGGGAGGTGTCTGAGGAGTGCTTTCAAAACCGCTACCGTATAAAATATTTCCATTTTCAAAATTCGCTGTTTGTTTCAGTGTTTTAAAGTTTATACAGATTGAGCATAGTTTGGGCCTTATTTAGGATTTCTTAGACTTTCGAAAAAAAATTTTTAATCAGACCTATCTTTGACCAAACTTTCTCGGATGCGAAGCTGATCATAGGGAAATGATTTAGAATCATTCAAGTTGTCGAGAAATAAAGCACTGGTAGAAAAGCTTTTTTTGGTGTTGCTTTGGAGATTTTGCTTCAAAAACTTTCCTCTTGCTCCAGAATGAACTAGAGGTCATTGTGAAAGTCTAAGAACACTCTAGAACCGAAAACTGGAAGATCTTCGTAGTTCAGAGGGGGTTTTCAGGGTTTCTCTTAACCTCGAAACCTGCATTTCTGAATGAAACGTGCTCAAAGCCGTATTCTGAAGATCGTTAAGAAAGTTTTAATAATTTCACGCAAATTGAATCTCCTTTTGTAACCCATCGATGCCTCCTTAGTTCCTCTGTTATTTTATCCGTTATTTGGTCATAAGAACGGTTTTTTTTTAACCAGAATCACTTCTTTAAATACAGTCAAACTCAAAAAGTTGAGTCGTGTTTTCTGTGACGCAGTAATGAGACATTCTATTGTAGGAACATCTAATTGACAATTAATTCCCATATCCTCCCCCTTCTTTTTCTCGAATCGTCTGAAAAACTGAATGAAATGCTTGCTTATGGATGAGTCGCTTCATTTCTCATTAACTGCCTTCGGCTTGTTATCTTCAAACGTGATTAATCCATTGTTTAGCTGTTTTTCTAGTTCTAAATTACATTAAACATCAGCATAGTTCCTTGTTAAATGCCAGGAAAGTGCATTTAAAAGCAAGATTCTTCGGCAGAAAGCTGTCGAGCTGATCCTCTCCTGATTTGAACTTGAACTTAATTGATTAGGTTTCAGTTGGGCACAGATGTATCTATCGACGACGCTTTTCATAATCTACGGCCTTCCGTCGCTCTTTTTGATCATCTCTTTCATTTTCCTGTTATCCAGTTCTTCCAAATTCAAATATTCGTTCTACCGGGTCGTCCAGCTCGATTTGTTGATTGTAAGTGCAGCGAAAAGAAATTTTCCGAAGAAAGTTCACTTTTAATCAAGATAGCTTGTTATGGTTTGCAAGTGCGCTCCAATGAAAAATTTTTTTGGTTGGCCTGTCACGTTTTTTCGGCTGCTTAACATTAGAGCCTACTTCTATGGCCTGAGAAACTAACTCAAAATGAAAAGAACTGATTCCAATAAATAACTTTTTAAGAATGTATTTTGCTATTCGAATACCTGGATTGCGATCCGATTGATGATGGATCCGGCCGGCAAAGATATCCTCGTTTGGCTCTACAAAAACATCAACTTCCTGTACCGCTTGTCACACTTTTTAGTCGTTTGGTGAGTCAAGGATAAAGAAAAATAGGACAAGGTCCTGTGAGCTTTCGAAGGCTAGTAGTTTTTTGACGATGATCCTTTTTTGTAGGTTCTTCCACGCTCAAAGCGTCAGCACACTGCTCATCTGCACCCACCGACTCACGACGGCTCTTTTCGAACGCTCCAACGACGTTTGAAAAAGAAAAACTCCGAAAAAAAGACACGAAAGTTCAGTTCTGGCGTCGGTACACCCCGCTCGTGTACCTCGGAGCATTTGTGTACTGCTCGGGGGTCCTCAGTCGATGGTGGCTCTTCGGAGACAACTACGTCCAGTATAAACTCGTCAATGAAACTCTGATCCCCGTGTATGATCAGGTAACGAAAAAGCCGGCCTTCAGGGGGGACATGAATGAGTTCAGACCTCTGCCTCGGCTTTGGCAAGTATCACTTTGGCCTTCAGTGTCATCTACTTCGTCATGATCAGTTTGACTGGAGCGGCAACAGTCATCGTCATTAGTCGGCGGTTCGGCAGTGAGTTGAGAATATTGGACCGAAAAGAGGAGTTTGTAGGACTTGGGCCAACTGAAGAAACGCCTGAGTCATCAATTTTTCTTTTGTCTCACCTGCTCGTTGCTTTTTTTAGGAACTTCACCTGTAGGAGCGACCTTAAGGACCCTCGAAGGTTCCCCTCTAGAGACCACTTTAGCACCACCCCTATAGAGGCCACTAGAGGTTGCGAAAGTGGCCCCTTTAGGAGACATGCCATGAGAAGAAGCAATTCCATGCTAAAACCTAATAAATTAGCGTTTATGGAATGTAAAATATCAAAAGGTGATAATTTGTTCAAGTTGTCTTTTTAACTTTGAATTCGTAACACAAATGTAAAGACCCCTATATGGGCCTCTTGTGCTTTAGAGACTTAGGGATACCCTGAACCCTATCAGAATCACTTAAATTTTAACCCTATAAGCGACAGTTTTTTGTCCCCTCTCACCCCCAGAGGGACTACCATGTCCCCTGTTAGAGTTTGAAAATTTTTCCTGAAGAGAAATAATCATGAAATGGACTTCAATTAGACCTACCTCTGCATTAAAAACAAACAAAATGAAAAGCACCAAAAGTCGTTATTTCCAGGCCAAGCGAGCTCTTTGACCAAAAAAATGACACGAATCGCTCTTGTACACACGGCGATTTACACGGGACTTCTAGCCTATTTGGTGAGTCGAAATAAATTCGTCAATTGTCAAGCTATCTTGTTCAGCTTCTCAATCAAATCTCGTCACTTTACGCTGTTAAATTAGTACCAAACGAAGTTCAGTGGATGTTGCAGCTCTGCGCTTCGGACACAGTAAGAATTGCTATTTGAAGAGAAATTCCATGATAAACCTTCAGATCACACTATCAATGCCCTATATACTAATGATTTGCGACCGAAACGTTCGCGATTTCGCTCTTCTTCAGAAAACGAGCCAATTCTCGAAAACCACACAAGTACAATCGACCACGAAAACAGTACAAATCGAATGATTGCCCTTTTACGTGTTGACATGGAGAATGGATAATAAACAAAGTTTATATCTGAAAAAGAAAAAAAGGAGAAAAGAAAGTTATGAATGGAGATTCCTAGCGTAACTAATAACAACTAACCTTTGTTTCCAATATTTCAGAGATTCACAAAAAAGAGGAAAATCAAGAAAAAGGCACTTTTTAGTATCCTGTGACATCACAATTCAGTATCTCAAACCTCGAAGAACCTGACCAATATATGAAAACGAGAAGAAGTTAACTTATGACATCGTAATTGAAATAATTCGTCACTTTATAAGAAGAAGGTAACTGAAAGTCGAGCAAAGCCTTGATAAAGAAGACAGGAATTCTCTTTTTAGCGAATATATCGAAGCTCTGTTTCGGGTACCCGAGTAAATGGCAAAAAAAAGAAAAACAAATAAAAAACAAAGAAAGTATAACTAATACCATTTACGACAATTTCTTGATAACAACAGAGGGAAACGCAAGGAAGAGGCTAAGCTGAAAAGGCCCCTTCAAGTGGTCACTCTTGTTTTCCTAGACCTACTTCCCTTTGCGAGGGCAGAAGAAGCGATTCGCAGCTCAGAAAATCTCGTTCTGCCAGCCGATGGCCTGCTTCTCGACGAGCTTCTTGAAGACGCCGTCTGGGATCTGCATCAGCTTCTCGAAGTCGCCATGTTCGACGACGCCGCCCTTGTCGAGCACCACGATCTGGTCGGCGTGTTTGATCGTCGACAACCTCCAAACGACAATCAAACTTCGGAAAAGAAATCCAGTTCTTACCGATGGGCGATAATCATAACTGTTTGATGGCTGTTCTGGAGCAGGTCGTTCAGGGCCTGCCTCACCAAATATTCAGAAGTCGCGTCGAGTGCCGACGTCGCTTCGTCCAGAATCAGAATGTTCGGATGCTGGAAAAGTGATGTATTGGACGGGTTCCTTCTTTCTTTCAAAATAAACAGCTACAATTTTACAAGAAAATTATAGCTGATTCACGGCTGGCTTGAGTCATCGAAAAAAAGGTTCTAACACGATGAAAAAGACATAGTGCCTGGTTGGTGGAGGGCGCAGAGAGGGCACGCCTCCTAAGCGTCCCAAGTTGACCATGAATCGGCTATAGAAGTTATCATGTCCTCTATTTAAAAAAAAACCCATTTTATCACCTTTCACGAGATTATGATCAGGAATGGGAAAAAAGCATCCAAAGCCTTTCTTCGATGTCTGAACCTCTGTTTCTTCTCTAACTACACTAGATCAAAATTTGGGCGTTCAATTTTTCCGGTTAAAAAATCTTCAAACCTCGAAAGTTCTGAGATTTCAAATAGCTCAAAAATTGACGAAACTGAAAATTATTTCTGGTCCCATGAAGAGAGCGGTTATTTCTACCTCAAAAGGTTGTATTTGAACCCTCCAAAAAGTCAATAAAACGTCCATAGCCATCGCTATTTTCACTCAGGTTCAAAAAAAAAGAGGATTACCGTGACAAGAGCCCTCGCGATGGCGATCCGCTGCTTCTGGCCTCCACTCAACGTCGATCCGTGCTCTCCGACCTCAAAAGCTCATCCAATCAGAATCCAGCAAGAAGTGGTCAACGAACGCTGGTCAGGAACTTTTGGGGGAAAGTCTCGATGAAATGCGACGCGTTGGATTGTTCGGCAGCCGCGACGATCTGTAGGTGTCCATTTTTATCAATTAATTCTGAGGAAAATCGCGTCAACTTTTCACGTTTTCTTCTAAAGTCGGAAAACCACAGTATACGGAGCTTTTTTGCACGCTTCGCTTCAAGACCTGTGGATACGGTACTTTGGCGAGAAAAAAAAACGTGAAAAGCTGGCGCGGAACAGACTTTACTTGTTCATCGGAGATTTGGTGTGGGTCTTCAGCTCCATAGACGATATTATCTCGAATAGTCGTCGAAAAGAGGACGGGTTCCTTGAAAAAATAATTTTCAATGGGAAACTGAAGTTGATCATTTTTCTTCTAGTAACTTACCTGGCCGACGGTTCCAATGTGTCGGCGCCAGAAAGACGGATCGATTTCCTTCAAATCGACGCCGTCCACCAAAATGCGACCAGACGTCGGATCGTACAATCTTCAGTTAAAAGGTGCCATTTTTATTTCTTCAACTTCAAAACCTCAGTAAAAGGCTGGCGATTGTCGATTTTCCAGATCCCGAAGCTCCGACAACTGCCGTGATTTTTCCGGCCGGGACCTGTTGATATTACTTAAGGTGAAAAAATACCTATTATAACAGATTAAATTTTATTTAATGACAAAATTTGAACACACTTACCTATATAAAACCACAACTAAAACCTTTTTCGGTGAATTAAACAAAAATGCTTAAAAAGTTTCAAGACATCACTATAAAGGTCACTCAACTTACCAGTTAATATAATATTCACATCAAGCGGTTTTTCAGTTTTTAAAAGCAAAAAAAAACCTCGAAAGAAACATTGTGAAAGAGTTGATCCCGATCCGTATAACCAAAGGCGACGTTTTTCGAACCCAAAATCGCAATTTCAAGAGATTTAAAAAAATTTAACAAACTTGATGGCCTCCTGAACGTCTCCCTTTTCGATTCCTCCCTCGAGTGGAATGATTGGGGTTTTATTTCTAAGTTCAAATAATCGAGCGCTTGCTCCGAGGCCCTAAAATAAATTTTTTATGTTTTTTTTTAACCAAAACGGATACCTTCATCAATTCCAGGTAAAATCCAGAAATGTTGGACAAACTCGCGGCACTCAGAACTGCGTACAAACAAAACGACGAGAGTTCGCCTAGATTTCATTTCATTTAGGGGGAAAATTCTCAAATTAACCATAAGTGAGAAGGCCTTGACTGATGAGATTACTGCCGTAGAATAAAATCGTCGAAAGGGCAATATAGCCGGTGAATTGGAACTGAAGACAAAATTTTTGTTGGTTTCTCATCGGAATCGGAAGGAAGGGTTGGCATAAAAGCATTTTGAATCAAAGTGCAACCCTTTTTTTGAAATTAGAACTGAATTCAAAATTCAAAATTGAATAAAATATTAAAAACTAACTCTACTTGATGTAGGAATAATGGTAAAAATTTATTTTTGCATAAAATATATGTTTCCAGATGCTCAAACAAATTATTTAAATACAAAAATGAACACAAATCCTTGACACCATCTTCCCACTTCATTCTTTCCTTCAAGCTTTTGTTTTTCCTTTGCAAAAACGATTGTAAGAGTTACTTTTCTACTTTTTAAATTTCTAATTATGAAAAACTTTTTTCACCTTTCCAAATAACCTTTTTGGAACTTCACATAATATTCTATACTTTCAAAATTGAATTTGGAGAACGTGTATTTTTGAAAAAAAAAAGGCGACTTACAGATCCAAACATGCATCCCTTGGCGAGGCCTTCGCGTTTGGAAATGTTCCAAATCTCGTGGATTTTGTCGGAATACGCGGCCAATTCCTTTTTCTCGGCCACCAGCATCCTGACCGTCCTCACGTTCGAAAGTCGTTCCGTAGCCACCTTCAATTCGGTTTTTCTCAACTTCAGTTGTATGAATTTTTCAAACCTGGTTCGCTCCGGCAACGGCCTCTTGCATTTGAAGCGTGTATTTCCGCTGGAGCTTTCCGAAAACGGCAAAAGTTCCGACAATGATGGGAATCACGATGAACATGACTTTGCACAAGGCTGGCGAGGTATAAACCTGTGAATTTTCAGAATAAAATTCGAATATCTCCTTATAATCACGATATGAACTTCTAATATTTCTGGCGTATTCATCAGAGACACGGAACATGTTTCAAAACGTAAGAAAGTGCTCCTCAGCTCCCTTAAGTTGCTCCGAAACGACACTAATTATTGTTTTGGAGTAAGTTTGTCCGATGAACACCCCAACATTATTTCAGGCAAACCATGAGTCCTCCGGAGCCGAGACAGGTGAGAAGAGCCCTGGCGCCGTCGCTCAGGTTCATCGAAACCGAATAACCGACGATGAGAGCGTCCGTCGAGAGGCGCGAAACTATCTCCCCGACCTTCAATTTTCATATTTATTCTGGAAAACACCTACTTATTTCAACACAGAGACTCTTGAAAGTTAGGAAACGAACCTTATTTTTATCAAAGAACGTCATGTCCTGCCGCAAAACCGAATTGAAAACGGTTTTCCTCAAATCGTTGATTACAAGTTGACCTTAAATTATTATATTTAAAGCTTTCGAAAATCAACCTCACCGGCCGTATGCATGCAGTATACTCTCGCTGCAATCGCAGCTCCACCGATAAATAAAATACCCACCAAAGCGGCGGGATTTTCTTTGAAAAACCTAAACACACAATTTTTAAGAGAGAAACAGAACCCTAAAACTTTGCGAGCAGCAGAGCTTTATCATCTTTCGTCTCTTTGTCCTTTTTTGTATCATCCCATTCGTCTATCAATTTTCCCAAAACGCGCGGAGTGAACAGAAAGATTGAACTTGATATGCCCAAAAACGACAATCCAACTGAAAACCGAATGAACTTTGTTTCTTGAAATGAAAAACTAACGCATTATTCTCCATTTATAAGGGCCGGCGAGCGAGAATATATCGCGTAGATCTCGAAATGTGGCGTTTTTCAGCTTCACAGAAGCCCTTTTTGTTTCGATAACAGATACCTGAACAAAATAATAGTGAGAAACGAGGTAAATAAAAGGAGACATTTCTTATCGTCGTTTTCGCGGCTAATCCAGAAACCCGCAGAAGTGAATGCGATATTCGAGAAACTGGCCCTAACTTATTTGGTTGTGCGGAGAAAAATCTGAAACTCAATAGTAGATGATCATGGAAAGAATAGTTCAAACCTCGAAGAACATGAAGGCAAAGATGAACATCTGGAACATATCATACCGCTCAAGTGCCGCAATAAAGACATTTTTTTAATATTTTATGCAATTGACATGAAACTGGAAACGCTCTGAACATGGTTCATTTACAAAACCTATCCTGAAAGAGTGACTACCAAGTTAACTAAGTACAACGATGAAAGAAAAAACAGTTAAATTCATTTCATAACACAAAAAAAGACGACAAAACACATTGAAGTAACCACTGAATGTTCAGAAGACCATTTATTGAACCATTATTTTGAGGGAATTTTGTTGAGTTTCGCGGAAGGCCTTGAAATGCAGAAATATCTTGAATCTATCAAATTTGACAAATGATGCAATTAATTTTTTCTGTTTTCTTTATAAAAAAAGCTCGGTTGCTCATTACATCATTTTTCCTTATTATATTTTTCGAAAAAAACTCTGTAAAAAAATTAAAAAAATACAACGACATAAAAATATTAATTAAATTTCTAACTTGATTTTATTTTTTTACCAAGATTTTTTTGGGGAGGGGGGTAATCGAGAAATCACTTTGTTTCAGAAATACAACAAAAAGCAAAAATATTGAACTAAAGAAAGGAAACTTAGATTATAAGCTGAAATCTTTTTCAAATCAAAGTTATCTCTGCTTATTGAAGTTCTGTAAAAATATTGAACCGTGAACACCACGAAGATAAAACATAGTCAATACGCGCACTTTATTGTCGATTTACGTCTTCCATAATAATATTTTTTCAAATGATTTTTTCAATTTTCAAGCAGAAAATAATCAATGTAAGTGGTTTAATAACATGGATTTTTCTTATCCATTCAAGTCATCGACTGTACTTGTAATTATAAATTGTTTCAAAGACACTTATTCCGAAAAATAGAAAGGTAGTATGATTATTTTTGAATTAAATTTTCATTAAGTTTTTTTGCAATTTGTAATATTTTAGGAAGTTTGTTTAAACAAAGCTGAATGACATTTTCACGTACAAATTGAATCGAAAAATCATTAAAGATATCGAGTCTGATCTGGTCAAAAGATCAGAAGTACTTGGTACTCCCATTGCTTTCCCAACATCTCTATAAACATTCAACACAAATGAAAAAACGACTTTTCCCGAAAAAGAAATCACAGCCGAGCGGAGTATATCAAAATTCCGCTCAAATATTAAACATAGAAAGTGTAAAATAAAGCTTTCTTGCAAATAATTGAATCCTCCTCAATCTCTGAATAAAATGAATGCAATGAGATACTGAACAAGTTGTATAGCGAGAAAAAAAAATCGTGAAAGCTGGTGCGGATTGAAAAAGAAGAAAGAGCCAACAAAAAGGCAATATTCCGATTCTGATTATCTTGGACTTCAGGAGGGATTTTTCTCGAAAACCACTTCGAATTCTTCTCGAGAAGCAGCTGTCTAGCCTGAAAATGTCTTTAATTGGTTATTAGAAATTGGATGAAGAAAATCCACTTTTGCAACAGCAGATCTCTCTGAATTCCAGTCCTCGAACAGTGCTCAAAACATGCTGTATTTGAAGTGATTGCGGTACCGAGATCCTAGTTGCTGAAATAATTGATCTAACAATTTCGGTTGAATAAATTAGTTCAAGTACCAATTATGAAGCTGCGAGCTTCGCAAGTGGAGAACAGCAAAGGCTTGTCCATTTTTCGGAAACCAACTTGAAAATTTTTGCAGACCTCTCATGAACTTGTTTTTGACAAGGGCAGTCGCACATGTGAACCCTTAAAAATAATTAAGATTGATGTGTACCTTGGTATTTTTCAAAAGTTTTTTTTTGTGAAAGACGGGTTTTATAGCCACACATAGAGTTAACTTTTGTTACAACTTTTCATCAAAACATCTGAAATAAAAAAGTTTGACGAAAAAAATAGAAAGGATGAATTTTATTGAAAAGTCTTGGGAGAAGGGCTAATTTTTTGAAAGAACAGTAGTTTTCTCTCTTGGGAAAGTAAAGAACATAATAAGTCCTGGAGGAAAAGTTTATTTACGAAGATTTTGAAAAATAAAGAGTGAAAATAACTATACCAAACGGTCTCAAAAAGAAGAGTCTAGAGCTCCTTTTTGAGATCCTAAAAAGAAACAAAAAGTTCTTCAGAATCATTTTTCACCTTTTTTTTAATCCTAAAAAGACCCTTTTTAGAAAAAGGCGAAGCAAAAAAGAGCCTGTGCGTCCTTTTAAAGTTTTTTTTCCAAAGGTTGTTTTTGGTCCTTCTGGTTTTAGTTTGAAATTTATAAGTCTCTTAAAAAGCTCTTCGAACCTTTTTTTCAACTCTGAATCATAACGCTATTTTAAGTTGACATTATAGTTTCGAAAAAAATTTTGGTCATTAAAAAATCAGAAAATCGGAAATCCTATTGAGAAGCCCCGAGAACCCTTCAAGTTCTCCAAAAATGCTCCGTTTTTTTTTGAACATGGAATCGAAAAAGGTGAGTCAAACTTCCCGACTATACGAGATCAACACCTTACGTGAGTCAAAAGACAAATACGCCTCCAACTCATCTTCCCTTATTCGGTCAACAATGATTGCATGAAGCCTTAGAAATGATAAAAATTCAACTTTTGCACGTTTTTTTGAATTTATTTGCTTTTTAAAAATGTTTTTTTGAATAGTTGCTTTTACTTGTTCTTTCAATTTCTAAACAAAGTAGGTATTCGAAAAATAAGAAGACAACACTTTTTTATTTCATATCTGTGCTATTTTTTTTGATAAAAACTTCGGCAAGAAAATTGAATTTTCAGCCACCCTGTGCGTCTATTCTTATTAGACCATAAAACATGGAACTTTGCATCGTGGGCCTGCTCCCAACAATTTTTGCTCTGTTTTTTAGTCTCACGTTTGTTTGGAAACGAATCTGTTATGAAAGTTGATAACAGTACGGAATGGATCGATTTTCACCTAATGCATTCATTTTCGCCCTCCTCCCACTCTATCTCTCCATTTCTCTCTTGCAAAACTCTGGAAACACATTCAGTTTGAAACTTGACCCATCCATCGTTTTATGTTCAAACGGATCAGTAGGAAGTTTCGAAATTGGAAAAAAATTGCCTTCCTTTGGGAAATGGCGCGTCCTTTTGTGACCGCCGTGTTTGCATTTGTATACACGCGTTCTCTAGTTGTGAACGGCGCAAAGTTTTTGTATAGTTTTTAACATTTTTTTTGAACTCTTTGGGGAAATAAACAATTTTTTAATGTGTTGCACATTCGAAGATTCTAAAAAAACCTCAATTTTCGTTCTAAAAAAATAAAAAAATTGAAATATCTTATTGGTCCGTTTTTCTATTTGTGATATTATGTCCGATATGATGAACCATCAAGTAATTCAAAAAAAAAAAACTTGCCGAATTTTCTAATTTCTCTATGTTTTATATTAGGATTATGTTTCGACTCGACCGTCAAAATCTTTTTCTTTCTAGAAAGCCAAGAATGAACGATCCACCGCTTCTGATCGATTCCCTGTGTGTCCAGGGAGTGAACTCGCCCAGCAAGACGATGGCCGTCGGCAGCAGTGGTCAACTCATTTTCAAGTACATTTTTCTTCCAAAAAACATTGGCAATCTGCTTTTTGAAGAGTTTTTTTGACTTGAAGAGTTCTATTATCGGGATAAAAGAAGTTTGAAGACTCTAGAAGTGTTTGAAAGTTCTATCAAGTATTTGGATCAATCTGATCGTTCTGAAGTTTCTCACAGCTTCTCGAGAAGGACAGACTAGTGGAAAGCTCACAGGTAGAAAGGGACACATTTCTCCTTGACTTCAAGAATCTTTTCTTGCTTCCTGAAGATCTACGAATAAAGATCTTTGAAATATCTCCATTCTACCTTCCAAGTGGTCTTCATTTTCTCTTTCGTCTGAGATTTAATCCGACGTTCATCAGTCCTGGAGAAGCTGAGCGCGTACAGAAAGAAGCAGGGATCGTCGGAATTCTCAAATTATTACGATACCATCCGGAGAAGGAAAACATGACCTATGAGCCATTTTTGGTAAAATCGATTCCGCAAACAGACAGAGAGCCTGAAGACTGAATAAACTTGTGAACTTTGTAACTTGGACTTCTACCGTGTTTGAGATAACTAGTTGTAATCAACTTTGTTACAGAAAGTCCGGAACCGAACTGCTCTACTACGACACCCAGGAGCACTCGATCACGACGATGAAACTCTCCCGTTTGGATCCATTATACGACGACTGTCAAGTGATTCACTTTCAGAAATTCCTTAATTTTCTCCTTTTTCTTTCCAGATATTCGACTTGGCGTTCTGTCGAAACGGGCAACTGATCGTGTGTCTTCAGCGTCCAACAACTGGAGAATTCTTCGTCTGCGAGGGACACATCGACACTCAGGTTAATCCAATATTTCACCCAAGTTTCAACTAGAAGTATCCAGGAGAACGTGGTGGACATCAGTGGCAAAGTGCACAGAACAGATATTTTCGCCTCGTGAGTTTCAGAAGCTATAAGCAAGTTCAAATGAGTCCCAGGAAGGGGAAAAACGTGATCCTGTTGGAAGACGAAGCAGGAGCCGTGCTGGCCTCGATGCCCATCAGATTCCACCTTAACAGCCGCTCCTGCATCGAGCTGTTCCACGTGTCGACGTTCCTGACGTCGGGAACTGGAGCCAAGTACATAATGAACCTCCAGAACGTCGACAACTTCACTGGTATGACTTTCTGGCTTCAAAAAGTCAGCTCCTTCTCTCAGACTCTCTGAGCTGTCCGTTCATCTCTCGGAACCACCTTTATCTCTTTCCAGTGGCTGATTACAGCCGTTTTTTACTGATTCCACTCTCAGGTGAGGTGATAACTCAAATGAGCAAATATCTTTGATTTAATCAGGTACATCCTGTGGAAAGGCCCAAATCAGAAGTACCAGTGGCGAAATACCGTCAAGAGAGTTTTTGAACAAAACTGTTCAGGTTCGTTTTTTTTTTTCATGCATCTGAAAAGTTTTTTTTTTAGGTATATGAAGACTATGCTCTGCTCTACGTGAATCAAAGTCAATTTGCAAAAGTTGACCCGTGTTTCTACGTTCTCAATTTGACGTAAGTTCGAAGCGAATTCCGGGTTTGAAAATTGAAAATAAAATTGAGAAATTTGATTTTAGGGAATGTGTATCTACAGCGTAGTTCAAAGGCAAAAAGATGGAAAAGCCTAAAAAAATAGCGCTTCACAAAAAAACAAAACAGCTTTGTAATTTTTTGTGTAAATTTTTGAACTTTCCTTCATTAATTTTTGTTTAGCTCCTTTCAAGTTTTCCGCGAGGATGGCTATTTGTTTTTCTAACTATATTAAAGATCTGATATTTCGAGAATTGCTCAAAAACTACTGAATTATCTGTACTTGATCCATTTTTTGAGGAATCTAACTTTTTCGTAGTTCCTCAGTAATTCGATCCGAGAAAAAAATAAGTGAAATCCCAGAAACTTGCGCTGGAGCCGAACCCACCTCTCACTGTCCTCCCACTACCCAAACGGCAAGATTTCGCTGCAAAAAGCCTCGGAAAACTCGGTATTCCTGCACGGAGACTGCAACTTGGCCTCGTGCTCCTTGAGGACCCACCTCTACCTGGTCAACGTCGAGACAGTCAGCCAGGTTCGTCCGAGGAGCACGTCTGCTTATCTCGCGAAACTTCAGATGCTCTCAGAGAAACGCTACCGATCGCCGTCGGTCTCTTCCATGTACTGCACTATGAGGCCTTCTACTTCGGAATCTCAGAAACAGTCGACCAAAGACGCCGGAAATTCGGTATTTATTTTCAGCAAATTTTGAACACCGTTTCATGGTCAAACTTTTTAAGTTTCGATATTGCACAATGAAAAATCAAAAACCACATTTTATGAATTTAATTGCCGGAAAATCCTCAAGTTATCGCTTTACAATTAAAAAAAAAAAAATATATATCAGTTCGCTTAGCTCCAAAATGTTATTGTTTCTCTGAAAAACCTTTTTGATAAGGTGGACGAAACGGCTCTGAGCGATTTCGCGACGTCGCAAAACGCCCGAAGTCGCCTCGTCGCGCAACGATATCGCAAAAAACAACTCGACAACGACCATCAGGTTCTTATTTCTTCGGAAAAATCGGAAACTTTGATCAATAAAATCGAAGTTCTATAGCTTTTCGACCATTCTAGAAGGTATAAAGATCTCCAACTTCTTTTGGAGACTTTTCTACAAACTTGATATTTTGGATTTCAAAAAAAAATCTTTGTTGTACTATTCTTTTTTTTTGATATATTTCGCATTGTCAAAACGAGGAAAAAAAGTTGAAAGGGATGCTTATATCGTACGGGGACGTCTATTTGTTTGATTTCCGTCTTTGGCATACCTCCAGTCGTGTTCTGCGTGAAACTCCAAGTCGAATCTTCTTTTCCAGTTGAAAAAACGATACAGCGCCAGCAAAAATTCGGTTTCTTCGAGCACCTCGAACAGCTGGGAGAGCGACGTCGGCGGCAACCTGAAAAGATGTAATTTTTTTGTTGATATTTTTTTCGCAAAAAAAAATTATTTGCGCGGTTCCAAAAAAACCAAATACTGGAAATTCGAAATCGGAAAAAAAAAAAATTTGTTTGAATTTACGCTTTCATGGTAAATTATCATGATGACTTAATTTTGACATGCTTTCTCTCCTTTTTCTTTCTTGACATGTTTTACAGTTATGACTTTTCTCTGTGGGATGAGTAACTTCCAAATGTTAAAAAATTGCTATATGAATTGAGTTTATTGAGAAGCATACTCTTTGAAACGTTTCTAACTGTTTGCGTGTAGTTTATCTTATATTTCAAGTTTGGTTTACCATCAATTTTCTGTATAAAGCTTCCTTTTCTCGACTCTAAAATCAATGGTCGCACTGTGGAATGCTTCGACGCGTAGCGGCTGCAAAGCGGGCTTCGAGCCATTCCACTAATATTTTGATGAAAGATTTTTTTCTGCTTGCTCGAAAAACCTCGACAAGCTGTTGCCGAATGAACTGTACAGAAGTGGAGAGAAAGTTGGCTTTTTGATGGTTTTAACTGGCCGCACCAGGCGTATAATCCGATTCGAAACCAAGCGGCTTTGGTGAATAAATTTTTGCTTCCGCTCTCGTTCCGCTTCGATCGCGTTCCATTCTTTTTTCTGTATTTTTCAGCAAAACTCATTCAAAATTAACCTTGAAAAAAAGAATAATTTAGCCCCCTCGGTTGGCTCCGTCAATTGGAGCGCCGACATGGTCGACCAATGTGCCGGTTCTTCTTTGGATGTAAAAAAAGCTCTTTTTTTCTATCTCTGATGAATGAAAGATACAGGAACAACTGAGGATGGCGATCGATTGGGGCTTCAATCAGAGTGAGATCCTGGCCGCTCTCAAGGCGAATAACAAGGAAAATCGAGAGGTTTGTTTATCGAATTTTGCGATTCTGATGGCCATATACGGACTCTCGTGTTTGAACGACCTTTTCGTTTGCGCCCATCTTCTTTTTCGATTTTTTTTTGATGGCCCTGTTTGTCATTTTCCGGCCAACTTGCAGTCTCTTCAGGAGTTTCCACCGTTCGAAAGTCCGAATGTGATGTTGGACCTGCTGAATCAGGTCTCTGGACGTACCATGGCCAAGTTGAGCATCTACCAGCCTCTGAGGTTTTTTTCTAATAAAATATATCAGAAGAACTTACTTTCTGAAGCGATGCCCAACCTCATTCATCGAGGCGACATGACTCTCCCAGAAGTGCCTCAGTCTCTCGTTCCTCGTCATTTCACCTGGGAACTCCCAAGTTTGTCACTTTTTCTACTTCAAAAACACATTTTTTGACATTTAAATCGTCAAACAATAAAAAAATCTTCCAGAAGTACTCGAGAATCTCACGACATCGTACGCTTACTTTCTACGTTAGAGCGAGAAAAAGAGAGAGACCGGAAAGAAGTCGAAAGTCAGTTCATCATTCTCAAGGTTCTTCGAGAATCCCTTTATCAAACACTGAATAAATCTCCTCAGAACCGAATAAACGTGTTGGAAATCGAAAAAGAAGGTCTAGTTCGAGATAATAAAGAATTGCGGAGGATCGTGGACTCGACATCGGAACTGCTACAAAAGGAGCAGGAGGACAAGGAGAAGCTGCTCGACGACAAGGCCGAATACCTCAAAAGCTTCGATAAGATGGTCTTTTTTTTCAAATTATGTCTGGAAAAATCAAAATTTGCAGACATTACAACACTTGCGATCTCAACAAGAGCTTCACGACCAGAAGGAACTTTCGGAGCATCGTCGGAAGATCTACGAAGAAGAGCAGAGCAAGAAAGAAGAGGTTCCCGTTATTCAGTGTGAGCGTTCTGAAGGAACCAACCATTTTCAGCAACTGCAATCTCTACAGCTTCGGAGTGAAGAGCTGGAAAAGGAGTTGGAGCGGAAAAGCGCTTTGCTGGACGAGCAGACCAACATCACCAGAAGGATGGAGGAAAGGACTTCTCAACTGGTATAGAAACTTTATCGTAGTCTTGTCACTTTGATTGAGTTGATCTTGCCTTTGAAAGCAGAGAAAAGAGAGAAAAGCCTATAAAGAATTCGTTAAGCAATCCGTCGTGCTGCTGGAGAACCTGACCAAGAAGTACGAGAAGCTGCTCGAGTTCATGTCTCTCTTTGCCCCGAACTTCGAGGACGTGAGGACTGCTCACAAGGAGCTGGTGAGACTATCGAACGAAGGAAAGATAACGAAAAGTCTTCAGTTCGCCACCTATCCGCAGATGCAAGACGCGCTCCAACGAGAACGAGAGGAAAGGCAGCGGGAGAAGCTCGAAATGCAGGAAATGGCGGAGAGACACATGCGGGAGTACAACCGCCTGGTGGACAAGTCCATTGCCGAGTGTTGCATTTGTCTCAGCACCAAGGTTTGCGGATACCTTTACCCATTTGTTCGAGAGTAACTTCGAAAAAGTCCAGGAAAATAATAGAATATTTGCGAGGTTTTACTAAACTTGAATCAGCCACTGTAATATCAATCGACAAACTCGATAACCTTTCGAAATTGAGCTTTTCCTAACGCTTTTGATACGGCTTTGACTGTCCGAATTCCGAAAATCGGTGATTTTTAAGTATCACATGCTTGGATTCTGAAGAGACTTCCAAAAAAAGCAGCTGGGTTCCTCATTTTTGACTTTCTGACTGTTATGATCTGGTTTATTATGAAGAAATTGACGACTTTCATGAAAAAAGGTGTTTGGAGAGTTGAAACGATTCTTGTATTCAAAAATGACGTATAAATTCCTAATCTTGTTCATTCAATCCACCAAGAGCCTTCTATCTCACAAAAACCGAAAATTGCAGCCTTCGGTGGTTTTCATGCCATGTCGACACCTGGTCTCGTGCCACGACTGCCACGCCGAAATCAAAGAGTGTCCGACGTGCCGGGCGGTCATCGAAGATCACATCAATGTCTACTTGTAGGCCATTTGCTTCAGTCAATCACAAATGTTTCGTTGAACGATAAGCTCGTTTTTGAGTCCGGTCCGGCTTCAACCCTCTAATCTGAGGTGAGTTTGAGTGGTCCCTCGGAAGACTGGTGCTTTTAGTGATCCTGGGAGAGAACACTCCTATTAACCTCAGCTAATTCGCTCAATTGATCACTAGGCCATAATTATCATCCCTTCAGTGAACTCTTCAAATTTAAAACTTGCGAAATCTCCAAACACACCACTTTTTTAAAAATTATTATGACTCTTGTTCTTTGGTCACAAAAAGGCAGTTCTAGTTTACAAAGTCCGATTAGTAGGACTATAATCGAGTCTTGAAACTCGAACTTCAAAAAATGAGAAAAATTCAAGGTTTTGAGTTGAATAGAAAAAGGAATTGAAGCAGGACCGGACGCCCTGAGAAAAAACTAAAAGAACTTTTCGTTTCATAAAAGTCTTCCCATTTTTACTCGATTGGGAACCCATAAGTGACCACGGAAGAAGTTCAAACGTCTATTCATGGACCCTTCATTTTTCTCTTTACTTCCTTATTTTGATTCCTAACTTTCTTTATCAATTGTTCAAAGCAAAACCATCATTTTGCCACTGCCAAAGCTTTCAAACCAATTCTCTCTAGTTTCAAAGTCCCTCAAGCATTCGAAAGAACAAACCTTTCCATTTGGTGTCGTCCAAAGCTTCCGCCTCAGTCGTTTTCCCCGCCTCCTGTGATAACGCTGAATTGTTTTATGCATTGGGTAAACTTTTTTTTGCACATATATGAAGTCTTTCTTTTTCTCTTGTCAGACTTTTTAATTTCAATTAAATCGAACTTTCTTTTCAAATTCCAATCAAAGATAGCTTTGAAACTCTTCAATACTTAATACAAGACTTACAATAAATTAAAACACTTGAGGCAAACAAAAAATAAAACGATCTTTCGGGCGATATTAAATACAGTAGGAATTTGAAAAATATCTATGATTGTAGCTATGATATCATTGGTGATGATGAAATATCGGAAAAAGCATTAATAGAATTTAAAAGGGTTAGGAAATGTACGGGCAATAAGCTATTCAGAAAAAGGCTTGGAAGAACCGGATCTTTTGTTTCCATCACATTGTTTTTTTCTATAAATATGAGAAAGGAATATAAAAAAATATTTCTGAAGGGGTTTTGAAAAAAATAGAAGAGAAAAACCGATTATCAATATGACCATCTGCAACACGATTTTGGGATTGAAAAAAGCTTTTTCCCTTCAGAATTTTTATATTATTCATAATATTATTAGAGAACCGAAGAATGTTATGGGCATTGTATATAGGAAGGTGGTCATCTGAATGCGCGAAAAGCACAATCAATGGAAAGACGGAGCGAAATGACGCGGGGAATGAAATGAAACAAGAAATCGAATCAAAAACAAAAACTCTAGTGAAAGCAGCCAATAACATATTGTACATTTTTAAACAAGCTATATACCGGTAAGTTTGGCAAACCAAATATAACACGCACAGGCAACAAGAAAGATATGAGCAAAATGCTGGAAAAAAGCAAACAAGAAACGAAAAAAGATTAGAAAAGATGTAGAGAAGATGGGAAATTATTTGCGTAGTGCTTTGGCCTCCTTGATCGAGGTCTTGCGAACTTCCTCGTACTTCAGAAGATCATCATCTACGAGGCTCATTTGTTCGCTAGCCGCATGCCAATGGGTGAAATCGCTAAATAACATATATTTTCTACGAAAGTTCCAAGAATATGACCAAAAATTGAGAAATCTCTTTTCAAGACTCTGATTTTTTTTCCGACTTGAAACATTTCGACGAATAGAAAAACATTCAAAAAATTGTGTGAAGGAGAAAAATAACTCCTAGTTTTCTGAAGACCCTTGAAAATTGACGGCATTTCAACTCTCAGAAAATTTACCTGTGAAATTTTTTTTCAAATTCCATTTTAAAGCGTTTCGCAAAAATTATCAAAAAGATAAAAAAAATAATATGCAAAGTTTTAAATTTTTGATTTTTGAAAGAAAAGGAAGTAAAGCCGTACCTATGCTCGAGCGGTCGGCTCCAGGTAGAACTCAACCTCTCGAGTCTTCGTTGATCTCGGACGCTGGAAAGATAACGATTTGTCAGGGAATATGAGGATATTCGGGAACCTGATAGAAAGTGGCGGGAAGACGAAGTCGACAGTCTCGTTGGCCATCGTCGTGTAGCTGCTGACGTAGCCGACGGAGTCGGAGCGGCGGACGCGGCCCGTCGGATCGATGATGAGGATCCGCTCGGCAGGAACGCTCACTGCTCTGTACGACTTCACGTCCTGTAAAAATCGAAATATGTTTTGAGCCAACAATCTATAATATTTCCAAGAGGTTTGCGAGGTTTTGAAACCCCGAGGATCGTCTGGCTAGTTAGATTTATTTGTTTTTATTTTCCATACTTGGTCAAACCTGTCCATTAGTTTTATAGCCCACAGATTCCCCCAAAGTACGTAGAAATTCAAAAAGTTTTTAAAAAAAAAGTACATTATCTATAGCCATGGACTTTATATTCCTACTTTGTCCTCGTTACAACATCGTACAACATCCTATCATCAAATTTTGATTGTTAGAAAAAATTCCCTTTTCGATTATTCGGAATGTTCCGCCAAAAATAAAAATGAAAACATACAGTGTCGCGATTACCAAATCCGGCATAATATGGATTTGCAGTGGGGAAAAGTTGTTTGAGATCGCTCAGCGCTGCGATTTTGAACTCTTCGGGCCGTCTTTCGATCACCTCTCTACAACAAACACACTTAACGTGATCAATTTGGTACTTATAGAGAACCTCCGGAAAGCAGTGATGATACTGGTAGGGGAGAGAAGGACAGGGCCATCGGGCAGCTGTTTCGAGTCCTGAGCAATGCTTTTCAGGTATTGTTTCGTCGTGTGGCTTTGGCCGATCGCTCGCGAGGACAGGTACACCATTTTGTACCTGAACAACTTGATCAATTTCGAAATTGTATTTTTTAAATATACATTTAGTTATCGTACACTGTATAAACAGCCAACCTGAGGAATTGAGAAAAAGGGTGAAAAATAGATAGAGATTTTTCGGAACCATTTTAATTTGGTAATTTTTCAAGTTTCTACGGAATTTTAATATTATACTTTCACCTCCGCCGAAACGAAGGATTTTATTCAAAAATGTTCCCGCCAAATGGTCGGACATAGCAAAGTGCTTGCCTAACATTTGCGGCAGGAATTTGATATTGTCCACCTTTAAGACGGAAAGCCAGAGAGCTCCCACCCCCGTGAATGGACTAAACGAAAAGTGATACGATCGAAAAAAAAAACCAACTACAACCCCTATGTTGCCTGCCCCCGACTTCCAGCGGTTTGCGCTAACTGTCATCCTACATTACACCATAACTAAGTTTATATATTCATTTTGTATAAAAAGTGAAAAAAATTTTTATGGAGAACTTGAGGACAGTCAGAGGGAATGAATATTCATCCTCTTTTTTTAAAAATTGAAAATAAGGGTTTGGAACCGGAATACTTTTTTCGTTTTATTTCATTTTTTGGAAGGTTTTCTCCATTTTACTCATCGATATACTTATGAAAAATTGTGGAATGCAAAAATCGAGCACAAGAATTTAGGAAGATAAAGGAGGAACGCAGTTAAGCCCGGAAATTCGCATTTTTGGAGAGATTCTCGAGTGTTTCGATTTGAAATGATCGCGAACCCATTATTCTTGATGCGACTGTAGAGTTCGGCGACGCCGGCGTGAGCCCAGGTGCCTCCGATGGCAGGAATGACGTGGCCGAGGACGTCGCTTTTCGTTATCGTGCCGTCGATGTCAGAAATCACGATTTGTTCGTACCATTTGTACAGGTAGATGTTGCAACTGCACCACGTGGTACCCTTCAAACCATTTTATTGTTCGCACTTTACATGAATGGATGAATACAGAAATCATTGAATGAAGCTTAAAAAGGTTTTTTGAAGGTGCTCCCAAATGTGAAATTGGTTTATTCGATGAAAACGCTATGAAAAACTTTCTCAAAGATCAGATGGAAAGTCCATGAGGAAAAGGGGTGAGAAGCGATCAAACTTAAAAATTAAACAGAAAAATCATCTTCGTTATTCAGAATTTTTGCTTTTCTAAATGGGAAAACGTGTCGATCAATACCTGAAACTTGGTGGTGATGGAGAATCGACACTCGTTCGCTCCGTGTTTCAGGTTCAAGGCTTTGAGTTTCTCGGAAGAAAGACGTAAGGACTGCATGTATTGGGTGGTGACAAGCGCCGTTCCTTTCTCATTTTCCGCTTCGTCTTCACTCAGTGGACTAAACACTTACTTTTTATTAAGTTCTATATTAACTAAGGATAGGCTATAGACAAGCTTTAAGGTATAGAAAAGTTAATCTTATTATTTTTTTAGGGAAGATAAAACTGACAAAATGTCGTCGCTGGAGGCCCTGCTACGGCCGTCGCTGGCATTTCGCGAACGATGGTCGTTGGCGACTGAAGGGGTCGCGAGCACGACACTCTCCCGCGTCGGCGTCTTTTCTCCGAACGTGGCGTCGCTGCCACTCTCGGCTCGCGTGTGCGTCGTCGGTGACGAGGGCTGAGAGACGCCTCGCGAAACGTGTCCACTATCTACTGACGCTCTGAAAACAATAACATCAACCGGTTCTGAGGGTTGGCTGGATAGAATCTTTCTCCAAGACAGAGAGGGCAGAACTGAGCTATTCTAAATGACTAGCCCTGTCTAAAAAAATGAACGAAGGTTTTTTTAAGCAACTGGTTGCAAATTCGTAGAACTCTAAAGTTTCTATTCAATTTCTTTTCAATTTAAACTATTTAAAAGTAGTGAAAATTCTGTCTCAAAATCTTTTTTTCAACTAAGAAGCCCAGAATGCCTGTGAAAAGGTGTTTGGAGCTTCATTTGAACAAAATAACCCGGAAAAAAAGCTGCCCGAAATTACATTCAACAGTTCTACGTTCTAGATCCTTTCTGAAAGGCTAAAAGGACGAACATGCTGGCAGGACGGCCAAGATACTTTTCAATGTTGACGGGGTCGGTCTGCGCCTTGTTGAGGAGGTCGTCGAGCATGATTCCCTGGTCCCGGGCCGTCGGAATCTCTGGGTTTTCGGGGTCGGCCTTGGTGTTGGCCGACCGCCACCACCAGCTCCAGGACGAGGCCTTGCTCTGGTTCTTCTTCTCCTCCTGCAGCTTCCGTTTGTTGAGTTCGCGCGTCTCCGGCAGCTCTCCCCATTTCCAGTCCGTCACGTCGTGCTGAAATTGTCAATGAGTCATTGGAGGAGATGATCAGAATACCGGTTCTGGGGTGCCTGTCCTATGGCGGTCGACTTCAGAATCAGAAAGAGCGCCATCGGCAATCCGATCAGCTTCGCGTTGATCGATTATCGAAGGCGAGGGAGAGGAGGCTGTTGATGACGTCACCGAAGACTCAAGTTCCGAATCGGAATCCTGAGGAATAGGAAATTAGCTAGTAATTTTTGGAAAAAAGAAAATTTGAAAACTTCTAGAATTAAAGTTTTTCCTTTTTTTTCACATACTTCCTGAATCTTCTCAGGCTTTTTTTTGATACCTCGTCTATTTTTTGCTCCTTTTTTTCAGGTTGCATGCTTTTCACCGTTTATTTAAAAGTTATTGTGAGTCTAACTCCATTTCCAGCGTCTTTTTCAATATATTCTTTTCCATCTTGAAAACTTTTCTAAAGCTCAAAAAAACTCATGATTTTTTTAAAATTCCAGCGATCATTAAAAAGTTAACTTCTACGATCGTTTTCGCTTAAAAAAACAAGACTTTCAGAGCTTAAATCCAACTAATCAGTGGAAAAATCAAACCTCAACATGGATATGAATGGGTTGACTGAGAGGATGATTGAAAGCGACGCGACTCTTCTTTCTCAACGGCTTCCTTGGCTCTGGAGCGATGGGGTCATTGCATAGCGTTTCGAAAATCTCATCAGTTTCCATCTGAAAGAAAGGATTTCTTAGAGTCTTGAAACATTATGATCATATTCTGAATTTCAAGATGCTACAGTATCATACACTTCGATTTTATGTGACGATAATGATTATCGTCACAAAATCGGATGATCCCTGAATAGCGCTGAGTTTTTGGCTATTTTTCTAGCTGTAAGATCGTAAAAGTTCAAAAAATGTAGCAATATTAAAGGACCATCGCCGCGCGCGATATCTAATCGGCTCCGAAAGGTACTGTGGCTTGAAATTCGAAATATCATCAGACCATATCGGTTGTTACCTTGTCGAGAGCCGAGGTCTGGGATCTCGAGTGGAGGAACACTTTTTTGTGGGTCTGGCCGTTGAAGGCGTTGCCTCGAGCCTTCATCCTTTGGCGGTCCTTCTTGCTTCGACGTTTCGAGGATCCTTCGTCGTCAGAGTGATAAGCGGCGCTCTCATCAGCCAACACTGTCAGGTCAGGCAGAGATCTAGACATTTCTATTTTAATCTTAAACTTGTTGAGGTCAGAATCATCGTTTGTATTATTCTTCTGCCCACCATCTTTTTTCACTTCTTATAAAATTTAATTTCTCGATAGAAATGCCAGTGAGTAAACTATTAAAAGACAAACCTGTATTTTCTGTCACTGAAAACGGAAGAACTGAAGGGGAGGGTTTGCTTTCGTTGAGCCTGGCTCAATGATTGCCTGGAAAAGCATGAATTTTTGAAGAAAGGAATGCGGAAACGAACTCGGTCTGGGGTTTTCGGTGGACTTTGCCGCCGTCGGGACTTGAAGAGCGGCTTTTCACAATGTCGTTCTTCTCGTTCGCCTCGACCTGCTCCAGCTTCTTCAAACTCTCGGCCAGGACCTTGTCGACGGCACTTGGCGTCTGTCCGGGCGACTCTTGCTCGGGAAGCGGCGACGTCAGCAAGTAGTCAGGAACCTGAACGTGAAATTAAAACCTGTAGCCTTTTTATAGAAAGTTCTGCACTTGTCTACGCGAAAAAAAAATAGCGCACTGAAAAATAAGTGAAGCAATGAAACTACTAACACTTGTGCTTAAAAAAAATTGATTTAGAAAAACAAAATTCTATACCAAAACTGATAAAAAAAAGTAGTGGAGCTTAAACTTAAATGATAATAATAAGCTTTTTTTTATTTGAAAGCTGATGATTCGAAATAAACATTGAAACTATTGTTTGGCTTCACTTAGGACTTCTTCGAAGCACGTGGAAAAAGAAATAAAAAAAAGCAAAAGTTCTAATCATTCATAAGAGTTCCCATCTTTAATCATTTGAACGACTTCGCGAAACCTCTAATACAACATTATTTTAAAACGGCTTCCTGTAGGAAAAAAACAAGCTATGATTTCCATTCCGTTTAGCTTCAATCAAAAAAATAAAAATAAAATAAAATATCAACCTTTTCTTCAGTTTCCTCGACGAAAAAAGCGACGCCGCTGTCGGCCAATTTCATTTTCAAGTCAATTTCTTCGCCATTAACCGAAATGTCCACATACTGAAAATGTCAAAGTTCTTGAATTATTCCTCTATACAAAAACCAACCTTATCGTTAAAGCTAAAAACGCCGTATTTTCCGAAACGAACGTGAAAAGGCGTGGATTTGTACTCGCCGTTCGGCTGTTCAACCACCACCACGTCGATTGCACCTGCAAAACTTGAAAATTATTCATTTCGATGAGAAAAAAACAATACCTGACAAAGTGGCAGGATTAATCGTGTTGTAAAAGTACTTTACATTTCGAAGAACTCTGTACGCGTAATCCATGGCTCTCTCTTCTCTTCCTTATTAAAACATCGGCTTCAGTGATAAATTATTATATATTGAAGGGCCGAAACGTCAAAGAGCTGCAAAATCGAATTCGATTGATAAATAAAAGCAAGGTGCAAAGGTGAGTAACGTCACTTTCACAATCAACAAATATTGATTGTAGTTCCTCAAAAAAAAAAAAAAAAATGACGCCATGATAAAACGTGAAAAACAAAAAGTGTAAAGGTGCAACTTGGGGTATAAACACAAATTACCCCCAAATCAGAACATGAAAAATGGAATCCTAAAGCTTTAAATTAGTGGAAAATTAAACTAATTCTAAAATAATATTGAAGCTGGAGCCTTTTTCAGAAATACTTTAGTTCTTGCAAAACTTCTGCCAGGATACTCGGCACTTCAAGAAAACATACAGATTCCTAGGGGAATCAAGTAGGAACACAGAAAAGTGAACTGAGTAAGCGGTCTTTCGAGAAAGCGAATGGAAGAAAAAAATTGAAGAAGAGAACTCAGCTAGTAGCGTGTTCATCACGCGATTATATTTCAATGCCCCCTCCGCCCGATCAGTGAACATCCAAAGTATAAGAGGCCCTATCTCTGTTGGTTTGATGTTCTCTCAGGGCCGCAAACTAATCAGCCGATAAGGCAACTGTTCCCGGTGAGAATAGTACAAAAATCGCTCAAAATCGATAGACAAGTGAAGATTTGAAGGATTTAGAAAGAAGATACTTTGTTGACGGAGCATTAAAAGAGCCGCAAAAACAATTTCGCGGGTTTTTTCTTCCATTCCATTGACAAGTAAACAGAAGAGAGAGTGAAATCATTCAAAAACACCGAAAAATGTTGCAGTTCATGCAGAGAGGTCCGTTCGGGTCGCAATGAGCCAAGGAAAACCAGATATGGGAAGATTCAGCTGAGGAAATGCGGAGGCTGCAGTGAAGAGGGATTAGGACGAAGAGAGTGTTCGGAGAGAGGAGCGCAAGGAGGGAAAAGACGGCTGTTGGTCGAGTTCTCCCTTTAGCAAACTTTCGCGCATCATTTCTCTCTCACAGGGAAAGAAGCGAATTTTCGGCAGCCTTTTACAACAACACGCTCGAAAAATAACAACAAATATCGTTTCAAACAACGCTGCCGTGCTACTTTTATGCAATCAAATTGTTTTTCGACGCGACTTTCCGTCCAAAGTGAGTACACAATGTGCGGCAAAATGGACTTAGTGTCCTTGAAAAGCTGTCAAGTGTCAAATACCCTTAAGAGACCACTTTGCCGCATTTTGGAAAACTTTAAATCATCTCTCAAATATAAAATAATCCAAATCTACATTTTATCCTTTTCATGGCTTGAGAGTCGTTCTAACGAAAATCTTTTCTGATTAGCTGGACACGTTTATCAAAGCGTAGCAAATTAGAGACGTTTTCCGTTAAAGCAAAAGCCTTAGCGGAGAACGAACGCCCTTTAGGTACACAAAAAAGAGGAGAAATTGAGTTTTAATGTCCTCGGGCCTTTAGGTTCTCTTTAGTGGTCACTTCTATTTCTCTGGCGTATGTTGCATAACTACCATGAGTATAGAAGAAAGTTTATATATTCTAGAAAGGGTAAAAAAGACGATCCGTTCAATTGATAAAGCTAAAGGTTATTACTTCCAAGCCTCATTTGTACAATTCATCAGAACCGCGCAGAACGATGAAAATCCAGTTTGGTCAAAAAAATTGTCTTAATCGAGCATGTAGAAAAGACTGTTTGAAGAGATACCTAACATAAAATTAATAACAATCGTTAAGTTGCGTTCAGATCACAATAAGACGAAATGAATCATAAATTCTGAAAAAAATTTGAGTGACCTCTAGAGGCGACTTATATGAATAACTAGGTTTTGATTAAAGTTCGAAACTACTTTTTCTTCAAGCTATTGAAAATTTTCTTATGCTCCTTCAAGAAATCCAATAAGCTTTCTTCCTGTTTCGAACGAGGCAAATGAGAATGAAAGTTTTTTAAACTTAAAAAAATTCATTTAAAAAAACGCGATACTAATAAGGAAAACGAAAAAAAGCAAGGATATTTTTTCTCTAGCCAACTCAGGAACGAGATAAATAAATTTAAATTGATCTCAAAACTTCTACAAGAAACACGATGAACCCTAGGAACGTGCAGGGTCCTGAAAGCAAATTAATAACAAACTAAAAACTAGGCATGCTAGATGGAACCGGTTTTCTACCTAGCCAGTGGTCGTTTAGCGTAACGATAAAAAGGGAAAACTCCATTCAAATAAAAGAAAAAAGTCACGCAGCCCTATGACACGCCCACTTGGAACCACGTGACTTCACAGGCCACCGAAACAGAATTTCCGTTCCCGCGTGAGCAACAAATCTGGTGGTTTGAATTCTGAATCACAAAAAGTTCCCCTACACTTAAAGTTCGACTAAAAGGTTATCGACAAAAACTTTGGATGAAAATGTCGAGAGAGGTCATTCTACTGAAGTAAAAACAACTTCGGAGCTTTCAGAAGTTCAGTTTAAAAAATTCAAATCTTTTTGTTAAGAAAATCGACGTAAATTGAAACACGACACTTTCCTAGAAAAGTATCTCAGAAGTCCACAAAACTTTGACATTTAAACGTGGGAGCTCAAAAATTTAAGTGCGATCGCCAAATTGCAGAAAGTTCTGCCGATACGAAAAAAAAAAAATTAAATCCCCCAAACCGTCAAGCCTCTTGAGCTTAAAACTGATAACATTTGAAAAATGATTCTGCGACGTCTTACGAAGAAAAAAAAAGACTTCAGAGCGTTTCTCGACTTCGAACCTTATTCATGTGTATTGAAATGTCTAACGCGCAATCTATTCGAAAAAAAAAACGTTCCAGACCTTGTATATTTGCTTTTATGGGAAAGAAACTTCCCCCTACTACATACTATGAGAAGAGAAACGATCAGCGATTTGGTGGCACGTGGTGGAAAAAAATTGCGAGGGTTCAATTCTCACGCGACTTGGAACCGCGCCACTTCTTCCGATCATTGCCTTCGTCAGAAATTCTTTAACCTCTCATCTCACGTGGTGGCTCACACTTTTCACTAGAACATCATGGAAAGGACAACTTCATGAATCTGTAGACAAGAGTATATTCGCAGAAGTGACTCGAAAGTTCTAATAGGGGAAAAAAGTGGATCAAAATGACGGAGAATGGCGACGGACCATGATAAAAAAAAAACCTTTACTTCTAGACAAAATGAAAAAATAGTCTGCTATGCAGTTATCAATGTTTATTTGATTTTATAAATGAAAGTACTTTTTTTAATAAATAAAAAAATAACAAGTTAATTTTCCAAAGAACCATGAAGTTTCTTACAGGGTGTCAGACATTATCTTAAGCAAACTTAACAGACCTTTTTACATGAAACTAAGCAAAAAAATTCAATTACAGAAGAAAGATTCTTCAGAAAAATGGTTCATTTTTTTCTGAAAGATTACGCAGCTCCAAAAAAACTTTGTTTTTTTGAAAAATTTCGTAGAAGGCCAAAAACTCTACTTTTCAAAAACAAACAGTTCTTGGAACGCCTTTGCACATTGAACACGAACTTTCATGCCGTATTCGAAGTGATTCCGCGAAAATCAAAACAACCTCTGACTCTTCAAAACCTTATTATTTTTTTTTCCAATCCCTGACAATTATTTTAAATTTCGCAAAATCTCTTCAAACACGGCAGATAAATTTACTTCAACTACTAAGAAGCTGAAGAATAAAACGCATATTAAAACTTCACAACTCGCCAGGCCGCGTAGTCGTATGCTAAAATGCCAGGTCCGCAACATACGTAAGCACCTCACGACTAAGAAAAATACAAATTTCCATCATGAGCTCGAGCGACTTTTTTCAACACCTTCTTATAACGATTCGGGTCTGTTTTTACATGTAAAAATAAATATAAGATTGGGTAATTCATTTTCTTAACTATTTTGAGCATTTTGTCGTACCCACCAAGCCTCTTCTAAAATTGCGTCACGCTAATTAAAAATTGTATTGTTCAAACTTATACTTTAGCCGAAACTAGTGTAAACATTATGTTTGTTCATAGTCGCCAGCAAAAATTTTTACCAACGCTGTTAAATAGACGAAAAAAACAGGTCGAAAAAAACGCAATTTAAACAATACACTGATAAAAAAAGTGAAAACCTTTTTTCGAATTGACTTGAATAGAATGTAAAAGTTTTATCATTTATAGTCTGTTCAGATTTTGAATGTCAAGTCGTCGCTCAAGTCCCGCCCATAATAGCGCGGTAAACCAATCGGAGAGCGAACCATCCACAGAGTGTTTTTGAATGACGTCATTGCACTTGACATTAAAAATCTGAACAGACTATATTAAATGATTCAAGTTAATGCCTAGTCCATTTGAGAAAAGATCTTTGAACGCGGTTTTTTTTTTGAAAATGATGTCTTACGAAACGCCAATCTCTCTCGTTCAGCATTACACTATTTAACCATTTCTCTGTCTTACTCGCTTTTTTTTCTATATACTTCGTCTGTTCTATGCGGCGGGTTGTCAAAATTGTCGTTTTGCATCATTTTTATTGCATGTATCAATAATTTTTCAGTGATTTAAACGTGCTAGATTTTGTATTTGATAATATTAGCAAGTCGAAGTTCCTGAAATGAGTATCAGACAGCTGTCCCTTACTTTACAAATGTCTCGAATGGCCTATCGTCGTGCTGCTGAAATAGGAAGGTTTTTTTGGAAAATGGGGCAATAGGTTACAAGTATTTTTGTTTTAGAGTTCGTCTTTTGCATCCAGAACTAGCCAGTTCTCATCTTCTACACACAAGCTTGAGGTAAATTTTTTAAATGTTATTAATTACATTTTTTGTTAAGATATGCTTCTGTGGACAAGAGTAAGATTGACTATACTCTGAAGATGCTCAAAGAAGACATTCAGAAGCAGCAAGAAGAAGTGCGGAAGTTGAAGGTTATCTTTTTTCATAGATTTTGGTCTATATATAGGCCTTTTTTGAATATAAAAAAATAAACAAAGAAAAATGAAAAATGTTTTTTTCAGGTTGCTGAAGATAAGCAAATCGCCACGGTGAAGCCGACGCTCAAGGAGAAAATTGTTCACGAATTGAAACATTATTATCATGGGTTCCGGCTCTTGGCTCTTGAAACGAAATTAAGGTGAAATTAAGTTTTCCCTTAAGCGTCTTCTAGGTATACTTTGTGTCTAAGTTTTATTAGGAACTTTCTCAAAATACGTAAACATTGAAACCCGCGATTATTTTTTTTTTTGATCAGTTATCTGATTTTTTCTGATCTGAAAGCCACCACTTTCGTTTTTGTATCACTAAAACTTTATTATTTCAAACGAGAGTTGTTTCAAATCGAGAATCATTCAAATTTTATCAATAACCATGTTTTCTCCTGTTCTGTATTGTCTTTTGCCTTTTCAAGTATAGAAAATATAACCTTTTTGATTTCAGTGCCAAATATCTGTGGCGAATTCTTAGAGGCGCGACGCTATCAAGACGAGAACGTCAACAGCTGGTGAAATTGCCTTCAGTATCAAATCTCACTGATTTTTTTCAAGGTCCGAACAGTTTCCGACCTTTTCCGCCTGGTGCCCTTCTCGATTTTCGTCATCGTGCCTTTCATGGAACTTGCCTTGCCGATTTTCATCAAATTATTCCCGAATATGCTGCCCAGCACCTTCCAGGAAACCAGCAAAGAGGTTTTTAACTTTCAAAAGAAAATAACTTATTTCATTTGAAATTATTTCAGGAAGAAAAGCTGCGTAAACAGGTGAAACTGCGGGTGGAAATGGCCAAGTTCTTGCAAGACACCATCGAAGAAATAGGTCTCGAGAGGAAAACTCGTTCTGAGGCGGACTCGAAGTCCCTCGAGTTTGCACAGTTTATCAAGAAGGTTTTGAATTTTTTGGTTTTTTGGAGATAAATTTATTTTTTTTTCAGGTCAGAGAAGAAGGCGGCTACGTTTCCATCGAAGAACTTTTGAAATTCTCGAAACTTTTCGAAGATCAACTCACTTTAGATAACTTGAACATGGGCCAGTTGAGGTGAGATTTTCCAACTAATTGTTTATCTTAAAAAAAGGCTTTTTCTGAAAAAAATAAAAAAAGGACATTTTGTCTTTTGGTTTTTTAAAAAAGTTTTTTATCGTTTCGAGTTTTCTGTCTTGAAATTCACCAAAATCGTGGCTGTGCTGAAGTATCAAACAAAAGTTGTAATATATCAGATCACTGTGTCGTTTGATGGGCCTCCAGTCGTTTGGAAGCCCCGAAATTCTCCGTTTCCAGTTGAATATGAAGATTCGCGAACTAAAAGCTGATGACAAGGTATGATGAAAACATTTCAAAAGGCTTCAAATGTCAAAAAATGGCTTGACAAAGTTTAGCGTAAATTTCGAAACGTTTCTCTGTTTTCGCTTTTTTTTTTTTGATCAAACGGATTTTCATCTATTCGTTCTATTGTCACGTTTCTTCCCAACTAAATTTCGTTTTTTTCCAGCAAATCGCAGCAGAAGGAGGCGTCGAAAAGCTAAGTTCTTTGGATTTGCAAAAATCCTGCCGTGACCGTGGCATGAGGGCCATTGGTCTCAGTGAGGAACGACTTCGGGAACAGGTTCTTATTTAGAATATTTCCCTGAATTCAATATACTATATCAAGTAAAAACTTTAATTTTATCTAAAGGCCTTCTAAATAGATTTCCTTGTTTCGTGAATGATTTCATCAACAAAAAGTTTTTCGCTTGTGTTTCTGGTGTAGAAGGGCATCGAAATCTCAACAAGAGATTATTTTTTCAGTGAAGCTCTTCTATAAGGTTTTATTTTTTGCCCGGAAATTTCCTCTGATTACTTTGATAAAGTCTCATTTGAATAGGATGATTCGAATATTCGTGGATTCCAGCTCTCTCAATGGCTGGAACTTTCTCTGAACGACGAGGTGCCCCCATCTCTCCTGCTTCTTTCCCGGACTTTGTTCCTTCCCGAAGACGTTTCCTTCACTGATCGTCTGAAATCCATCATGCAGAGCTTGCCTGACAGTAAGATCTTCAATGAATTCAAACATGTTCCGGGAAATTCTATTTGTTTTCCTCAATGAAAAAGGGTTCTTTCTTTGTTTCCATCAAACTTATAAAGAAAGATTGGCGATGATTTTGAGTAGGGCTTTTCTAAAATTTGTTCAAAAATATTTCCTTTTAAAAGGATTTGTATTCAGTAAAACGATGCAAACATCATCTCACTATTTTGCAGCAAAATTTTTCGTGTTTTAAAAATCGACTCAAGAGAAATCCTATTGTTCCTTTGTTCAGGTGTTTCGGAGACGACGAGGCAGAAGCTCTTGGAAATGGAAGGTGGAACGGTGGACCATGCGGCGAGAATCGCTCTCGTCAAGCATATCGAGGACGGGATCGCCGCAGAAAGAGAAGCCGCCGAGAAACGAAAGGCCGAAGAAAAGCAGAAGGAAGTGTTGGCTGCGGCGGCCAAGACGGCAGAAGTCAAGGCCGAGGCTGCCAAAGCCGCCGATTTCGGCGAGATTCCCCTGACGGAGAGTGCCGAGAACATCCAACAACGGGTTCCTGAGGCTTCGGCCAGCATCGCCCAAGCCGCTGCCGACGCCCATGAAGCCATGCAATCTGTCAAGGTGACCCACTCAACTGTGACCCAAGCAAAATGTCCCGTCTTTCAGGAAGAGCTGGCCACGGCGATCGACGGCTTGAAAACGATGGCCAAGGCGGAGAAGAATATCGACATCAAGGTTCTTTTTCATTTTTGTGATGAATCCCGTCGTGAGAGAATCTCAATTGCACCTTATCCTCATACTGAAGAGAATATTGCAGGTGGATCCGAAGGATTTGTCCTCTATCGAGCAAATTATTGTCGGCGGACCGTTGCACGAAGCCAAGAAGGACATCGTCGGCCTGAAGGAGAAAGTCATCGAACACAGTGAAGTTGGTGTTTTTCTCTTCTATCAAGTTATAAGAAGATTATTTTCTAATTTATCATAATTCAATTTTCACGTTTTTCAAGGAACTTTTAGCTTTTTTCGTCCGAAGATGGAGATATTATTTGAGAAGGTTTCGGAGTAAAAAATACTTTTTTCAGCATACCCTTTATTGAAATTTTTCGAATTTTAAAAATCACTATTTATCTGAATCCGGAGTCACCTCGTTTTCAAAGGTTCTATAGGTTTTGACGCTGTCTAACTTCCTCTTCAACTATTATGAAGTATTTTTTTTTCTTCTTCTAATGTTTTATTGTTTCTTGCATACGTAGTAACTTGATAGCTGTTTTGAAAGTAGAGAACTCCCATGAGATCTTTATGAAGTTCCCTTGTTCTACTTCTAACTTCCGATCATGGTTTTTCAAATAAAGAATTACTTCCTTTTAGGATCTGATAGAGATCCACGCGTTGGACGGCGCCTTTGCTGAGACGAAGGTCGCTAAACGGCTTCGGAACAAGCTCAATTCTATGATCGAAGACGTCGACACGTTGGTCTCCAAGCTCGAGGACGAGAAACGCAGCATCTCCGAGTCTTTGACTGATCCAGCCGCCGGCGGCAGCGACAACAAAAAGTAGAATCTATTCATCAGAGAAAAAAAAGATGGCTTTGAAAAGAGGCGCCCTAATACTTTTCGTGAGCGTGAACCTCTTGATTTCGAGTTGTTTACAGACTTTCATCGAAAACAAAAAAAAAATAGGAAAATTTAGGATCTGAGGAGATCGCTCAAAGGCATAAAAATAGCCTAAATTTTTTTTTTGTAAGTTTTTCCCAGGCGCACTAAGCTTTTTCTTAAAATGCTGGATGAAAGTGTAAATTGGAAGTTTTTTAGCATTTCAATTTTGCAGCCTAAATCTTAATTAATGCCTCAGATTTTTAATGAAATTTGAATCGATTCTTCTGCTCTTTTTTTACATATGTATAAGCCCAAACTTATTCAGGGAACGAGAAGTACGGATTCAAGACGTCATTGATTCTCTGTCTCTTCTGAAAGAAAGCAGTGCGTCAGAAGAATCGGAAAGCAAGACGAAACGGATCGAAACACTTCTGAAGGCGATCGACGACGACGCCGACGGAATCATCGACCGAGTACTCGTCCTCGAGGTTTCCATTCGGAATTCTTCTCGGCTTGGACAATATCTGAAGGGAATTCCAGGTCATAGAGCTCCTCGAAAACCACACCGACGTGTATGTCTCGCCTTCGCAAATGGTCTCTTTGATTGGAACTCTGAAAAAGGAGGGCGAAGTCGCCCACCTCACCCAGCATCTCCACAAGGCTGAGATTGGCGACATCGATGTCCCTGTTTTGCCTTCTGTCCGTCACTTTACCCGATTTCCAAGGAATTATCCGATTTCAGGGTCCTTCTTCTGCCGGAGCTTTCGAGCAACCCTCGGATCAAGCCCCAGAGTTGAAAGAGAACGACAAAAATGCCTCGCTCGACATCCCTCATGTAGATCCGACGGTCAGAAAACCAAAGCTCGCCAAAAAAAAAAAATCAATTTTTCTTTCAGATAACGACCCCTCTCCGACAAAAGCAGCAAAACGGAACGAAGGCCGAACCTCCGTTGTAATCAACCTTGAATCTAGTTTTCGCTCTCGATATTTGTCAAATTATTACAGGTTTTGCGGTAATTAAATATACTCTATCCTACGCGAATTGAAATGGGGAAAAGGTGGAAAGAGCTCATAACATTGCGACAATTGAGCCATTCCACGTGCTGCTTCTCTAAATGATTTACTGTCGAAATGACTCCGACCCTATCCATGTTTTGAACGTCTTCTCAATGCTCTTTCGAGGCGTTTTGTACATATTTTCTCGGTTCGTGTTACACTTCCTATCTATAGAATGATCTGTTTTCATCCTGTTTTTTAAATACGGTTTTCCATACCAGTCAATAAATTTATTCAATACTCTTAAGTATTCTTTTCCGCGAAGAAGTTGACGAGTTATGTCATTACCGAATGACACCTTACGGAACATATTTATTTTATGGATCCTCTGATAACATCGACCTTCCCTGGCCGATAATAACAACGAGCCGCACAACAATGTATTTGTTTTTTTTTGCGACAACGTTTGGCCAGTTCCCTTGCAAAATCAAAAACCTTTTTGAACTTTCCGTTTGGATTATTACTGCGCATTGAATCATCCCAAAAAGGCGCTCTCGATGAATCAACGCAACGCCTTGCCGAATGTTTTTTACTGCAAGGGTACTGTAACGAATGTCTGCAATCTTGCGTGTTTCTCAGCATTATCAATTCTATAGTATGAGACATTGGTCATTCGAATGCTTCAAATCACCTGCCGGCGATTTTTTCACGCTTTTTAGTTTCGTTAATTTATCTCGCTAACGAAGGTTTCGCGTAACGGAGCAATGTCGCTCCAGAGCAGAATTTAACTGTTTTCCCGCGCTCTTTCCTTCTTCTTAGCTAAGAGGCGTGTACATCGGAGAAACTAGGCTTGTGCGAGGGCCGGCCCGTCACCCTCCCGGCCCCTCGACCATTTCGTGAGCCCGGCCCGGCCTTAGCGGGCCTCAAGAAAAAATGGCCCGCCCGGCCCGAAGCGCGCAATTTTTTTCTAGTCGGATATCAAGTTTTTTACGACAAAAATTACGTTTTTGCTCATTTTTTCACTTAATGTTTAACAAAAACTATGATTTCAGAAGTAAAAGTCACATTTCGGTGAAAAAAATTTTTTTAAATGAAATTTTAAATTTTTTTATAGTCTGTTCAGATTTTGAATGTCAAGTCGTCGCTCAAGTCCCGCCCATAATAGCGCGGTAAACCAATCGGAGAGCGAACCATCCACAGAGTGTTTTTGAATGACGTCATTGCACTTGACATTAAAAATCTGAACAGACTATAAGCCCGGCCCGAGCCCACGCGAGCTTTTTCCTGAAAATGAGGCCCGAAGCCCGGGCCAGGCCGGCCCGGGCCGCCCGGCCTGACGCACAAGCCTGGGAGAAACGAAACATTTTCAAAAAGAAAAATCGTGTTCATCGGTGCGCCAAAGTTGCTCCAAAACAGTACTAATTTTTGTTTTGGAGAAATGTTTTGCGTTTCGTAGCAATTTTCGTTTTATCCGATGAACAGGCCACTAATTAAATAATTATATTAACGCTGACATGGGGAGCCTGAAGATCGCCATAACGTGTAGTTCAGAGAAAGTGTTGTGGCAATCTTTAGGCGCTCCAGGCCTGGAGCGCTCACATCATTTCATTTTTGCATTTTTTCTTTCACATCCTCCAGCAAAAAAGATGCTGAAAAGCAACTGAAAAGATTCGTACGAATTCAAGAAGGATCCGCTGGGGCTATGAAAAACGAGCTCAAAAGCTTTTTTACATCCGTTTAGGAGCTTTTAGAGCAACCGTTTCAGCTCCCTCTCAAGATCTTTTGAGGGTCTTCAAAGAAACTTTTCAGTTTTACCTATGAAATTGGTTGTTGTTTTTTTTTCACTTATCATCGACTAGGTGGGATTCATATTCTTCAAATGTTTTCATGAGGTGAAAACATAATAATTTTCACTTTTTTACTGTTAAATTTTCGAATTTTCGATGTTTTTTCTCCTCTATCGGATGTTTTTCATTGACAAAAGGATTTTCAGCGTATACCGAATGCCTTTTGGCCACCGAGAAGACGAAAAACCTCGTCAGGGTTTCCAAACTAGCGGAAACGTTGGATTTGGTGCTCAACAAAGTGACTCTCGTTTATTCTTGATGACATAATATTTCGTTTTTGCAGATGCTTCTTTTAATGACAACTCGGGCAACTCGAATGATAGACGGCCACCGTCACACGGTGAGAGATACATTTTATTATGGACAAGAAAAGTTTTATTTGCTGGTTACACTTTTCTTTATTTGGTTGACCTCAAGTTTCCACAGAAAATACGTTTCATAAGAACTTTTAATGTTTTGGCTTTTTTTTTTCCTTTTTTATATATGAAAGAAGAAGTTTTTGTGTGCGAAAAGCTGCGTTAAGCTTTGAAAAAAGTTTCATTCGTACATTTTTATTGTGAACTTTTGGATTTCCAGCTTAGCGCTTCTTCCGATGCTTATAATTTGTTCAGAAGTACTTGCTGTGCCGTGAGAATTGCACTTTCAAAAAAGTTTAAAATGGAAAAATCTAAGATCTTTGAAATTACAGGAATACAGTCTTTACCTGAATATATAACGTTACAGTAGATTTTCAGGAAACGCCGGATTCGGTAGACCAGAATCTGGCCAAAGTCGACCGGGTGGCTTTTCGCAACCACAGAACGGCTTTCCAAGCAGCGGTGCTTCGCGAGGTTATGGAGCGCCGCAGAACAACAGCGCGCCGTGGAAGAACAGGTCCGACGACGTGAGGTCGGAGAACGACAGAGGCACCTCGCGAAGATCGCCTCCTCCGCCCCAACAGCGCTACGAAAGGCGCAGTCCTGAACGCAACGCCTCTGACGGCCGCAACAGTCGACAGGACACCGGCTTCGCCAGAAACGACAACCAGAGTGGCAGAAGAGAGATGCAATACGGCAGACAAGGCGGCCAGTTCAACAGACAAGACGACCAACACGGTAGACCGGAAATGGAGTACGGTAGACAGTCGGGCAGACCAGAGAATCGATCACAAAGCGACTTCGATAGACCTCGAGGCCGAGAAGGCTCCTACGATCGGCCGAGAGGCAACGACTCGTGGAATCAGGGTTCCCGAGATCGCGCTCCTCCTCTTTACCAGGAGCCTCATCGTGGTCCAAGAAGAGATGAAAGACCCAATCGCTCCGAAAGGTCTCAAAGCGGGGAAAGAAACGGAGGCGGCGGCTACCGAGATGACCGCAACTTTGGTCGCGGCGGGCAGCAGAATCGCAGATTCGACAACGATTCTGGCCGCGACAGTTACCAGAAACCTAGACAGAACGACAACTACGAGCGATCGCCGCCGAATGACTACTACCCGCGGCAGGATGACAACTATCGTTCACAGGGTCCTCCTCGAGGAGACGACTACTCGGGTCGTGGCCGCGGCGGCGGCGGACGTGGCGGCTACAGCGACACCCGACGTCGTTACGACGAAAGGGACAGCTACGACGACCGCGACAACCGACGACGCGGTCAGTGGGACGATGACGACGGCCCCAAGAACCGCACTCTCCCTAATAATCACGGCGGCTTTGGCTATAAAGGAGGTAAACTGAATATGGTCTGAATTGAAGAAGAATGTATGTTAGATGAACAGGAAAGTTGAGAACAATAATTGGTTGAATAGGCCTTTGAGGCGCCGTTTTGACTGCCAGTTTTGACTGCCAGTTTTGTAAGGAAGATCTGAGAATGAAAACATTCAAAATTTGCCACAGATTTTTCAAAATCTTTTTTGCTGCGTTTGGAAGCGCACAAATAGGCCATGATTTCCACGAAAAAAAGCTTTTCGCCCGTCAAAAATCAAATTTCAAACACTCGGAAACGTTCTACCTTCCTACATCAATCTCTTGCAGGTAATGATAACGATGGACGATCTGAGCAGTCTTGGCAAAAAGAACCAGAAGGTAACATATTCGTCCGAAATTCCCATTGCTCTTATGAGTTTGCAGAGAAAAAGCGAGCTCCTCAGGGCTGGAATCCGGAAGAACAGGCCATTGAGACCTTGTTCGACGATACGGCCAGAAAAGCCGAAGAGTTGAAACTCGACGAAGATCAGCGGCTTGAAGTCAAAAATACAGACATTATGGACACAATTGCGTAAATGCCTCGTTTTTACTTTTGCCGTTGGAAATTCGATTTGGTTCAGTTCGTGGGTGAACAGCGGCCTGGATCCGTTGGTCCTACGAAATGTCAAAAGGTGCAATTATGACTATGTGCGCCCCATCCAGGCGGCAGTGATCCCTCAAGTAAGATATTTTTGAAGAAAGGTATTCAAAATTCATTATCACCATGTTGAAAATCTCGTTAACGGACAGAAATGCGAAACTTCATTTGAAATAAGATCTTCAACATGTATCTATAATAAATTTTCGTTTCTGCAAAAAAAGAAATGAGAAAAAAAGTTTGATAAAGAGATTCATCCGCATTTTTTTGAGGCAAGTGACAGGTTAAGAGACCTCAAGTAAATTTTTCAAGTCCTTTTTTTTATTGAATAGTTTCAAAAATCACTTGAAAAATCACTTGAAAAGGTTCAGTTCAGAAGCTTCAGAAGGCAGAAAAATTGAATGAGAAACTTACTGTTAAAAAGCTCTTTTAGCTTCTAAAAAAAGTGAGCTCGAAAGGAGCTTTCTGCATTTTATCAGAAAAATATTTAAATAATTTATTTCAACTTTTTTTCCGGCTTGAATGATTGATGGGCCTTCCAGATTTTTTTGAAAAATAAGTGATTTATTTTACTTTTTCCCATAAGTAAACTGCATAAACTGAATATTTATTGAGGTCCTCGCCGGATATGACGTCATCGGCCAAGCCGAAACTGGCGGCGGAAAAACGGCCTCCTTCGCCTTGCCCATTCTTCACAAGGTCCTGCTAGATCTCAATTCATTCGAATAGACAGTTTTTCGTCTTCAGCTACTACAACTTCCGAAATCGGAGCTCGAGACCAGAAATAAATCCTCGCCTCTCGTTCTGGTCATTGCGCCGACTCGCGAACTTGCCAAACAGCTCTATGAAAACTTCCGACTCTACTCCCATGGTTTCCTTTTTTTTCATCTAGTTTTGCTCGTTTTTTCTTGCTAAATTTTTTTGAGCCTTTTAAAAGATTCTGATCGATGACTTACCATGAAGATCTTTTTACATAGCTGCTCGAGATTTTTCTGGAATTTGGCCAGAACCTTCGAACAACCTTAAGCTTTGCGCCATCTTTGAAAAAGAATTCTCTCACAGATACTGGAATCGAAGTGAAGCTGTCTTACGGAGAAATGTCGAGATGGAAGAACCTTGAAGATATCGGCCGCGGATGTCACGTTCTGATCGGAACGGCTGGCCGACTCATGGACTACGTCAAGACCGGCAGCGTTCGTCTCCATCCACTTGCTCAGACCCAACGTTTCGGTTTCAGATCAGCCTGGGAAAAATGCGATTCTTCGTTCTCGACGAAGCCGACAAGATGCTCGAAAATATGCACAAAGGCACCGACGAGCACTTGGCTCAGATCGTGGAGGATTCTAATTACGAGAAGGTCCGATCATTTTTCTCAGCTTTGCAGGAACTAAGAAGAGCCTTTTTGCCACGTTGTTTTTTTTCTAGGAAAAGTGGTGCAAACATTTTTTTTTTCCCCCTGTAATGAACTCACGTTTTTATTCTCAAAGTCGCCAATACTTTTCGAAAATATCCACTCTCCCAGTAAAATTTATTCGAAAAAAAGTTCTTTTCGATTTTGAAGGTTTTACTCAAAAACTAGGAAATCGTGCACATCAATGCTTTCATTATATACTCGAAGAGAGAGTTTTTGGCAAATTTGTAGAGATTTTTGATTTCTTTGAGACCTGTGTTTGTTTATTTAATTCAATCAAGCTCAAAAGTACAAATCACAGAAAAGGAAGTATTTGAGAGATCTGAAACCCGATATAAGAACGCCCTAAGGAGCGATTTACTGTTATAAAAGACACGTATTAGTATTAAAAATTGAGAGCGAAAATTTCAGATTTTTACCTTTTTATTTTAAAAAGCTCACAATTGTTTTGAAGATATTTCAGTCTCAAACCACTTCTCATCGATCAGTAACTTAAAATGAGAATCGTCTTGCAGATGATGCAGCAGAAGGACCGCCACCAGACGTTGCTGTTCAGCGCGACTTTCCCCGACAAGGTCGAATCCGCGATCCGGCGTCTGATGCGACCTGGACCCATCAATAACGAGTTCGTAAAAGTATCCAAAAGAGGAGCTTTTGAAAGAAAAAACTTTCGGGCCCTATCATGATTTTTTATCGGAACGTTCCTCATTGCGAAGACTGTTGAAAAGAAAAATCTACAACAAGTTTTATAGAGAGGGCTAAAAGCCGACAAAGAGGTCGTTTTTTCTTCGAAGATGAGAGAACGATACTAAGCTTCTTTGCACGTTTATAAGAATTCGAGAAGAAATTTCAATTAACTTTTCTTCGAGTAAATTTTTGAGATCCTTGAAAGGTTATTTTTGTCCGTGAAGAAATTCAGTTTAGAAAATAACGATTCGAAATCTTGAAAATCTATATATTTTTTTTCCTTTCTAAAGCTTGGCTGGCGAGCCATGAACAACTTTGAAATACACCTAAAAGTTGGATTTGAGGCCTGTTCGCATCGTTCTCGCCAAAGGAAAGTTGAACCCGCGAATCAAGCTCACGTTCGTCAAAGTCAACGGGTTGAGAGAGAAGACCGAAAACTTGGAGAGAATTTTCGAGGGTCTGAAAAAGGAGGGTGAGCAAAGGCTTCGTTGGTTTGAACGAGTTATCTTTTTGTTTTCAGAAATTCCAAAAACTTTGATTTTCGTCCAAAAGAAAGCCTCGACGGACTTTATAACAGCAAGCGTCAATGTTAGTGAACGCATCGCTGAGGCCATCAGCGGGTAAATAAATCCTCCTTTTTTCATACGAACTGATCTTTCGGTGCTACGAGAACGGCGAGTTTTCCTTTTTTGAAGAATACTGCATGTAAAATTCTGCATTTAGGGTGTCCATTTTGCGTGTTTGCACATGGCGCGTGGTCTATCTCCGCGCATTTTCGTTCTAAATTTCGTCGAAATGAATTAAAATTTATAGGAAACAGTTGAGTTGGATCAACTTTTTATTCTGATTCATCATGAAACAAAATTTAAAAGTTAAAAAAAAAACGGAATAAACGCGAAGATGGACCACTTGCAATGTGCAAACACGCAAAGTGAACACGCTAAATGCGGACTTTCATTTACAGTACTCTGCGAAGAGAAAACTCGCTCTTGTCGTAGCACCGATCATTTCGAATTTGATTTTAACTCAAAATTACGTTTTCTTTTTCTTTTTGTTTACTTGAGAACGTGAAAGTAATACCATTAACTCTTTTTTGTACGGTGCTTTTGAATCGATGCTTCGAAATTCATATTGGAGCTTTTTCCAGTGGTCAAAAGGCCCTGATCGGTTGATGAGCTCAATTTTGAAGTTTTCAAGGTTTCTTTTTCAGAGATTTCGCGCAAGATATGAGGGAGGATATCTACAATAAGTTCAAGAAGAACGAGTTCCGCGTCCTTGTCGGAACCGATCTCTGCTCCAGGTCTTTTTTTACAGCTTCTCGATTATTGTTTTTGCATGAAAATTACCATTTCTCAATACTCTTTTTCGATAACTACTTGAGCCATATTTCTGTCTCGAAATGATTCAACGATTTCGCTATAACTATCATTGAAGGACTCTGCTTTCAGAGGTCTCGACATCAAGGACCTGGACCGTGTGATCAACGTCGACTTGCCGGGAGAAGACGTCGACCGGGCCATCGACACGTTCATCCATCGGGTCGGCCGGACCGCCCGTCTGCACAAGGGCGAGGCGATCTCCTTCGTCGACGTCAGGAAACCAGAAGACATCCGACTCTGCCCTGGCTTCGTCGAAGTCAGTAACCTCTATTTGAAAGCGCTACGGATTTACAAGAAACCCGAGAAAAAGTCGTAGCCTGAGGACGGAGATCTAATTTCCGCATAAAAAAAACTCGAAAACTTGCCTCTAAGTTCACACTTTATGAAATTGAAAAGGTCAGCCTTTTTCAGCTCCTGAAGGAGACGAACCAAGAGGCTCCGGGTTGGCTTCAAGATTTGGCCCGAAGCAGTGGCGGCTCTTCGTTTGGATCTGGAGGTGGCTTCGATTTTCTACCATTTATTCTGTTTTTTGGCTCATTATGTTTATTTATTTTGATCATTCTTCACTTTTATGTGGAATAAATGAGGAAATTTTTTCAAAGGTTTCAACTCTGGTTTCAACTCCGGTTTTGGTGTCTCGAAATCGTCGGCGCCGGTGACCTATGGAGGTATGGTTTTACGAAATTTTTCATTTAATATATGAGTCGAGGAAACAGAAAAATGAAATACGAAAAAAATTTGATTACCATTCGTAGTTCAATTTTTCTCATTTTTTTCTCTGAAATTTTTAAACATTCTCAATTGTATCACTCAAGGGAAATTTTCCAACTGTAATTCACGGTGGAAAAATAATATTTTCTAGTATAATAACTAATCTACTCATGTTAACCTAATGATTAGTTGTAGATGGTGTCAAAGGAAGTTTTGGTCTTGATTTTGGCGCCGGTGAAGATTCTCACGACGAGATTGAAGAAGATAGTACGTTGATCTTCAAGTTTAATTAATTAATTAATTAATTTTTGCAGAGAGTCAAGCATCTTCTTCTTCGGCCGTGAAACCTAAAGGTTTCTGAATGAATTTCTATTGTGAAAGATTTTAAAGGATTCTGTCCGAAAATCCACAATATCTGAAGTTAACATTTTTAGAGCATCATGAGACTTTTCGAAGCTTTAAGACACCAAAAATAAGATTCCACCATGTTGCTCTTTTTTCAAAAGCGCTCTCTAATCTTTGGAATTTTCCTCGTTATAGCCTTTGAATCATTTCCAAGATTTTGAAGGCAATTATTTGCGTTTTTTTCATTTGACATCTTTGTAATTCAGGACTTCGTACGGAACAATTTAGGTTGAAAATTTTTCAATTCAAAGATGGTTAAGTTGAATAAAAAATTATTATTTTTCAGTGAGCGACGCGCCGACGACGACTTTCGGTAAATCTGGCTTCACTGGCTTCAAAAGTAACTTTTTCGATAAATTATTTAGCCAAGAACATATTATTTTTTTATGCCGTGTTCAAAGTAATTTCCGCGAAATTCAAAATAGCCGTCAGAGAAAGAGAAAGATAACTAAATTTTGGAGAGTCAGAGACCATATTGCATTTCGCGAAAATTACTTTGAACACGGCATAAGATTAATTTACTATTTTCAGAAAATGACCAAGAAAAAGAAGAGACGAAAAACGAAAAAGACGATGACGACGAAGATTGTTCGTGGTAATAATCTCTTCATAGTTCACCATTTCACTGTTGCAATAGTCTTTTTTTTTGTCTGTTACTAATAATCTTTACTCGAGTTTGCTGGCTTTATTCTTTACACTGAATGCTTTTGACAACCTTTTGGACACTGACCCAGCTTGCCAACGAAATAGAAGTTTCCACTGGTGAATTATTTCTTTTGTGTTTGTTAAAAATGTTTTCTCAATCAAATAAATCCCTTGTTAAGTAGGAGGTTTTTTTTCGAATGGGAAGAATGTTGAACTTTCTAAGGCAGTGTTTGAAGGTTGCCGGAAACTAGGTCAAACATTTCGTTTACCAATCAGGTAATTTCGCGACTTCATCCCCATCGGGTTTTGTCACTTTTTGCAGTAAGATTGGGAAATAGGCAATCGAAGACGATGAATCGTTTGTTTTCTGAGAAGTTGTTGATTCATAGCTGTTTTAAGAGTGATAGACAGTTTTTACTGAAAAGAAAATAGAAATTTCAAATTTTTTCTTTCTTTCATTGAAATAAATCAGATATTTGAATCTATCTTTTTTTCTTAACTTTTTTGAAGCCAATTATTCAATTCATCTCGGCGCCAGCTCTCCGAAAATGTTTGAGTTTAATCTTAATTTTCTCGAACCTGTTTTAATGTTTTTAATTTTTCGAGTTCTACTCATCCATCGATTCGTATTTGCAGACTGTAGACTACAGTACACTACAAATATTCAGGTTAAAAGTTCCTATAGTTCCGACAAAAAAGTTAAAAATAAAAACATGAGAACGAGATAGGAACATTTCGAGTCGCGGTAAACGAAGTGCGTGATTTGGTTTCACTGGAAACAGCATCACAGAGGTTGAGAGGCAGTTCAAACTGGAGCAGAACGAGGTGAAAAAAGAGACAATCTTTGTATCGAGATCCGAGGCTGCTGCAAAGAAGGCCATAAGTGGTTGGATGGAAGGTGGCGAGGGGAAGTATTGACGTCGGAATGGCCTTGCGACCCACGGCGGCGGCGATTTTGATCGCCCAAGCAGATCATTTCGCTGCTGCCCCGCACACCGCACACGCTTCTTCTCTCTCTTTTCAAATTACCCAATTTGTTAATTTCCCGACTTTTTGTCGAACTATCCATGACTGGCTTGGAGCGCCAAGTCTGCACCGACCAAAAAATTATTCCATCGTGTGGGAATCCGTTTTTCGATGACTCAAGTCTGAATCTTCTATATCATGCTTCATCTTTCAGAGATCTTTGCATGACCTTGCATGAGTCGATACCATAAACTCATTTTGAAGCAGAAAAGCTCAGTTTTCTAACCGTTCCACCAAAAAAACCCAAAAATGTTAAACTGACATCAAAATTTGAATTTTCCGTTTTCCATCGCGCTTTCGAGGACCGTAAATGTTCCTAAATACCGTCTCAGATTGAATCATTTTTCTGGTCGAACTTTCAATGACACCATTTTTTTTCCTTTATCGGATGAGAGGATCGCCTTTTTTGGATATTTTTCATTCATCCATGAAACGCTCGTTGTAAAAATATTTTTAAACCTACAAGGACTTTAAAAGCCAAAATCGCCAAAAAACAGACCTTCTGCAGGCCATGAAAATGATTTCTTGAACAAGATTTTTTTTTTTCGATTTCCTTCATTTAAATTTGAAACATTCCATGAGCCTCTTTGTAAGTCATATTCTGGAACGTTTTCCGCCTCCTTTAAAATTTTTTTAAACTCGTAAAGAAGACCTTTCTAAAAAAAAAAACCATTTTCCCTTTTCCCAACTTTTTTCTTCCGGCACGTCTCAGACTTTCTTCTTGTTCAATCTTCAATCTGTTTTTTATTCAGTACAATTTTTTGAAGGTTTGTGGTCTGATTAAAAAACCTTTTTTATTCCACTTCCCAGCAATCGTTGGGGAAAATCTAAAGGTAGTAACCGAAATCTTTGAAACCTTTCACTTGTTTTTTGTCCACAAATTTAAACGGTTTTGTTCGACGTAGTAAAAGGAGGGAATCCTACAAAACTCGATGTTCAGATGCAAAAATGGGCGGTTGGAAACCACCGAACGCAAGAGAACGAGGAAAACTTCGCTGGTGTGACGGTCATAGCTGGCGATCATCGCGATAGAGGCAACTGTTACAGTTTTCTCTTTTTGAAGAATTCCCTCCGAAGGAGGCCAAAAAAAAGATCAATAAACATTTTTAGTAGCGTACAATGTCGTGGATGAGCAGAAAGAGTACGAAGACCCCGACTATTTCTACGGCGATTTGGTCAGGTCCAGGACTAGCGCCGACCGAATCGTTCGTTTCTCAACAATTCTCATTTCGAGAAGAACTTTTTTGGAAAAAGTGAACTTATCAAGGCTTTGCTTTCTCAGCGGCAATCAGTAGTTATTAGTTAAAAAAAAATAAAATATGCTATATTTTGAGTTTTATCTTTCACCTAGTTTTCAGAACAAACCTAGAAAAATATTGCATTTTTCTACTTTTGCTGGTTTGAGACAAAGTTTCATGAAGTTTTTTTCAAAAAGATTATAGAACATCTTTTAGCTTATAAGTCTATGGTTTATCCAGGTAAAGACACCTCCGCCACTGCCGCCACCAATGAAACCTACTCACATTGCGATTCGCAATCCCAAAAAGGTAAGTTCTCAAAAAGTCTTTCGAAGATTTCGAGATCCGACTAAGCGCTCCTTTTTCAAGATATTCAAAAAAAAACATTCAAAACTCGTTGTGAACAATAAAAACGACAACATATTTCCTTACGTCATCTTAAATTGCTGATTGGCTTATCAATCGTTCGGATAACATATCCAAAAAAGACGCGAAATTGAGAAAGAAAAACTTGATCGAGGCGTCGATTTTTTTTCTCTTTAGCTGTCCACACCGTAGGAAAAAAAAACAGGTCAGAAAGCGGTGCTAAACTATCAGGGCCGTGAATCTCTATTTATACCTTTTTAGAACCGCTATAGGCAAAGCAATGGTTCAAAACATGAAAAGTAAAAAAGAAGTCCAAGAAAAAAAATTATGAAATATTTCTAGAAATCGTCAGTTCATTGGAAGGTAGCTTGCCTATCAGTGGCGGTAACTCTACTGGTCGTATTTCTGATCACCGTCGTTTTTTCCCTTTTTCTATTTTCGACGGGCCCAGGATTCCTCCAAAGACAGTCATATGACCTGGTACTACGGAAAAAGATTATTTTCTTCTGAAACATGAATTTTCAGCCCCTCAGCACACAGAGTTCCCAGCCAAGCCGGCGATCAGACATGGAAATCACGCCGAATCACTTGCTAACCTTACTTATTACTAAACGAAAGGTGTGCATTTTCGAGGCGGGTAGCGGGGACGAAGTTCAGAGCAGGTATGTTGAAACTGTTTCATATGTACTGAATAAATAATTAAAATAGAAACATTAGTTTCAAGTTCACAATGCAACCTAGAAGAAACCGCTTGGATAACTACATTTGTTGATCAAACTAAAATACATAGCTTTGAGTGAGCTTTCTTTCATTTACATAAAACTTCCTATAAACACATTCTTTCTTATTTTTTACTCGCTTTTAAAACTTTAAAAAAAAAACTAAAATTCAGAGAATCCTTCTCAGCGGATCACATCGAATCCGCTCACCTCATTTTCCACTCAAACTTGAGTCACTCTGGCGTACCAGTCCACCCTCTTCAATTCCAGAGGTTATTTCTTCAAGATATCAAAATATTCTTGAAAGGGAATTTCAAGATTTGCAAGAAACCAAGGTGTGGACAACGACTGTCACGTCGTGATCTACGACCGGGGACAGATGATTTGGAGCACCTATGCCGCTTGGATTTTCAAGGTCCCTGACTAATATTTACTCAAATAACTAGAGAACTTTTTTTTTTACCTCCTGATGCCAGAACAAGAAAAAAAACTCGAAAACCAGATCAATTGAGATTTTTTTAAAAAGTTTCCTAGTGAAAAAAATTCAAAGTTTTTTTTGTTGATCGAAAAAAATTAATTTGTATATTTTTACAATCCTCCTATGAAAAATTCCTGAAAAAAAAACTAATTAGAGCTTCGAATCGAAAAGCTGCCGTAATTGTATCTTTATCCAAAATTTCTAATGAGAATGATCATGAAAACATTTTAAAAATCGATTAGTTAATTATCTATTCACCTAGAGTGTCTCTTATTCATTTTTTCGAGAATTAAAAAAATGAATTTTCAAGCTTTTCGGCCATCGGAAAGTTTCCCTGCTCGCCGGTGGATACCTCGGCTGGAAAACTTACCAGGCCAGAAGTTCACAGTACAAGACCGAGAAAGGAGATGTCCAAAAGCCACTTCAAGGTAAATTTCAAAGAAGTTAAAACTAAGAAATATAGATCTTCAGGGGATTTCCTGGCCTCGTGGAACGAGTCTCTGATAGTGACCTACGATGATGTCCTACTCAACACCGAAATCGACAATTTTGACGTTGTGGATGCCCAGACAAAGGAGGTTTGAACCCATTTTCACAATATAATAGACAAAAAAGGTTTCGAACATTTTTCGAAGCAATTGATATTCGGAGAATTTAGGAGTTTCTCGGAATCGCGTCAGGTGCTCTCTATGGACACATCCACGGCGCTAGAAACCTTCCAATCGACGCCGTCTACGACTGGGGCTTGGGTCAGTGGAAAGACTCGAAGCAACTCGAGACAGAGTTCAACAATGCGGCTCTTTCGCCTCGCAAACCAGTGGTTCGTTCATTTTGGAACTCCCAAAAAAGCTCTTCATCTCGAAGATTGTCTATTGCTCGACCTCGCTACGATCCTCAATGATTTGGTGGGCTTTGGCAAGGTCCGGCTACTCGGCCAAAATCTACTTCGGCGGCTGGCCAGAGTGGGTCGTTCGAGCGCCTGATCAACTAAAAGTCCTCGGCCCAACTTCGAGCTAATTTTCGAAAAAGGAGAAAAATTTTATGTCTTTTCCCGGTGACCAACGACCAGTTCCTACTACTACGGGTAATTCCACGCTCAAAAGAGAGAAACCAATAAAAATTTTATCGAGCCAACAAAAACTTCATGCACCAACAAAGAGGAATATTTTAAAGTTTCAACAAAAAGAAAAAAAAGGGAAGTTTCGCGACGCTTTAAGCAAGCTGCAGGGGGACGTTGATACTCCGCAAAATATCGCCAACATCTTAAGAATCCTCGTATTTTCCAAGCCAGAAGTTTTTTTTTCGGATTTTTCTTTTATAGTTTAGCCCAAATACTATTGAAAAACTCACGGGAGAACTGAATTTTCTCGTCGATATTCCTGGTCCGGATCGTGGCGTCGTGATTTGCGACAAAAAATACGTTTCCGCCTTCTTTCGCCTCCCAACCGAACCTTTTCGCGTACGTCGCTACTTCTTTGTCTGCAAGTATTATGATTTTTGTAAAGCTATGCGAAAAAAAAGAAAGAAAATAATACCATCAGCTCCACCCAAAAGACGGCTCAACAGAGACTTTTCAATATTCTGGAAGGTGACGTTGATCACTCGGCAAGCGTCTGCAAAGTTAGAGATTGCAAAACGGGCAAAAGTGTCCCTATTTGACGCTTTCAATTTCACATAAAAAATTTCAGGCCAAAAGTAATATTTTGATTTAAAATTTCGAGTTTCTGGCGGACTATTATGACAAACACTGCTGTGATTAAACAACTAGAAGAATAAATTTAGAAGATAAAAACTTTAACGTCGACGTGCAGTTATCCGTTCAGAGATGAAGAACCAAATACCATAAATAAACAAATTTGTTCGGTTCAGAAAAAAAAAAGGAGAACTTACAAGTTTTGACGGCTTCCTCAAAACCAGTGATCGACCGGATCATTTTTGGAATCTCTTGGGGAAGTTTGAATGGTTCAGTGGCGTTAGTTGAAGGCTGTAATTAATTTCATTTTATTGAAAAATCTGCACTGTAACACAGAAATAAAAAGGAAATACCTCTTTCTTTTTTTTTAGAATTTCAACCCTCAGAGCTTTCTCAACATCTTTCTTTTTAGAAAAAAAAAATCCACCTTGTAAGTTCCTTTGACCAACTGCCAGAAAACGGAGAAATCACATGATTCCAAAACTGCGCCAAGATCAAAAAAACTCGTCTCAGTTCCTGAAAAACTGAAGAATATACCATTAAAAGAAGTAATATATACGGGAGATCCAAGCTTATTCGTATCGATGAGACACTTGGCAAGGGCGAAGTCGCTCGACGGCAAAACCATCAGAGTTTTAAGCAAGACGAGGCGAACCGTCGTTTCATCGTATCTTGAATCAAAAATTACAATTTACACAAAAAAAAAACCGGAAAAAACCTATCAGGATTGAGTTGATAAAGCTTCAAAACGGTCAAAACAATGTCCTTGTCGTATTTATTTTCGGCTGCCATCGCCTGGACACACGCCGCCAAATCGTTCACATTCTCTGGATTGTACCTAAAAGGATAAAGCTGACCTTGAAAACTAAACAATTTACTGACCTATTGACGCCTTGGATATCTGAGTGAAGCTGCGCTTTCAGCTGCTCGAAACTCATCCTAAATTCTAGAAGTAAAATTTGAATATGCCTTCGAAAGAATGAAGATACGTAGACAGAGGCACACTGATATTAAGAACAAGAACACGGAGAGAATATAAAAATTTATTTATCAACATTTTTCTTAGAATCTAAAGTTATCGTCACTGGACCATCGTTTACAATGTCAAGAGACATGTACGCAGCAAACTTTCCATCCTATGAAAAACTGAAACTATTTGGTTAAAATCGATATTCTACCTGAACTTTATCACTTTTGTAGTTGCTTTTCAACTTCTCCAAAAAGTTGGAGTAGAAGATTGAAGCTGCCTCAGGAGCCATTGCATTATGAAAATCTAGCTTGTTACCCTAAAAAGCCGAATTGAAAATTAATCAAACTTCCAGAAAACCTTCAAAATGCCGTACAAAGTGAACTGGCTCACAGATAAGACTTCGAGGTCGAGTTCCGATACCGATTTGTCCCAAGGTCGGCTTTCTGACGGGAAAAGCCGCAACTTCAAGATTTTCCGGATGATGAAGTCCATATCTTCTTCGGTGTCATCTTTGCTCACGCCAACAAGAACGCAAACTCCGCGACCTATAGAACTGATCTAAATTACGATAAAAATGGGAACGAAAACTTAAAAAACTCACCACATCGTTGCCGACAGTGACAGACGCCTTTGTGACTCTCTGAATGACCGCCTTCATATTCGCATTACTACAAGTTATATTTATACCCTTGGAGAAGGCAACAATGGAAAAAAAAAATAGCGAAAGCGGAAAATAGTAAGATCATAAAAACGGTAGTTTGCATGTAAAAAAAAACTATCGGCTTCTACAGAAGATGACGCCTCACATCGTAATTTTCTTCTATCGAAGACACCAAATAAAATTTTGTTCGAAAATCCTTAAGTTTAATATCATTCATATCTAATAACGGTGATAATTGGAAAAAAAAAGTTTGAACATACGTTTTAGGATAATTCTTTAACGAAATGACGGAGATAGAGGAAAGCGTTAAAATTGGAAAAAGGCCTCTTCCCAAGAACTATTCGGCAAACTCAATGAATTGAATTATGATTTCAAAAAACTACATTGAAAAAGCCGAAAAAGCGCAGAAAAAAACGCGATTTCGCGAAAGCCTACTTTTTGTCGGAGAGTTAAATGTTTTAGTCGCGATGCGTAGGCTGTGTAAGCGGAAAACGTTGTGAGCTACGCGCAAAGTTTTACGACCTAGTGAATTTTTTTGTTAATTTATTTTATATCTGTATCTTCTCATTTTGAAGAGTTCTGTTCATCTGTTTCGAACAAGCTAAATACTTATAAATGATATAAGTTAATAATATCTCTTGTTATCGCCATCTTTCATGTAACTTTAAAAAAGGTTTTTGCAGGTGTTCAAAGACTTTGCAGTTCAAGCTAGATAATTTTCATTTTGAAAAATCGAAAAACTTCGTATTATGCTATAGGAGTTTGCTAACTGATTGGAAAAAATTTTGAAAATGCCTGCTGCCGCAGAAGAAAAGGTGGGTGATTTGACATTATTTTTCTATGTTTTCAATTCCAGGCGACGGCGATGCTGTTGCAGTGCATCGAAAATGGCAGAGTCGATATTTTGTGCTCGATTTTGTCCCAAATGAGTTTGTCTTCTCATACAAAAAAGGAGAGAAGGTCGTGAGTTACAGAGAACAAAGCCGATTTCCACGAACAGGTGGACGTGATCTGCTGCTCCGAGGGCACTCTTCTTCACATAGCCGTCACTTTAGGTTGGAAGGGACTTTTTAATGGAAAGTACAAAATTTTTTGCAGATTCGACGGACACAGTGTCGGCTCTTCTGGCCAATGGCGTGAATGCGTGTGTCCAGAACAACGAAGGAAAAACCGCCTTTCAATGTTGCAAATCAGACGCCGTCCGTAACGCTTTCGTTCAAGAAGTTCTTCGAGCCATCACTATGTCAAAGTAAGCATTTATTGATATTTCATGGTGGAATCGAGAGGTTCTTTCACGTTTTGTTGGCGTCCGAGCTCTGAAAGCGTACTTTTCATCCAGAAAGGTCCCAAAAATAAAAACTCACATCGGCCGACTCGAAAACGTCATCTTCATGCGATTTGTTCAAGGGGTAGAAGGCTGGAGTCATGAATCCAGGGCCAGTGTTCATCATCATCTTATTCTGATGATATAGGGAATCTCAGTTCAAGGCTTACCTGAACTATCAGGGGCAAGTTCATCCTCTTTTTATCGAGCCGCCTCGATGCCAAACTCCGATCGCTGTAGGACCCGTCTGGATTTTCTTTGTGGATTTTTTGCCAGAGAAATAGGAAATTTGAAAATCGATACAAACCTTGTAGATCCATGAGATTATTGTTTCCTTCAGCTTGTACCGTCGCCCTCATGGGGACATATCCCGAAACACGTCGTTTCTTGGCCATATTTGCGTCAGGCTTCACTGCTTTCGTTGCAGTTGAATCCATCTTGTTTATTGGGAATGACGCTTTTTCCGAAGATCCTCACGGGAATTTTTCACGTTTAACATGATTAATATTTCTATACGTAATTCTTCAAACAATTGACAGAATTCTAAGAAGAGCTGTGAACGTGTAAGATTAGAAAATTAGCGTCGAGAAAATAATGTTTTTTTCGAACTTTTTTCGTTTGGATGATAAACACTTTACTCTAAAAAAAAACTAACAGTTGAAATCAACCGAATTCTGCTGATAGAATGAAAAGAAAAATAAATAGCGAGATAGCCTTGGAGCGCAATTCAACACTTTGTCTCTTTTTTTCACTGAATTTTTTTTTACAGGTTCTATCTCAGAAATTGAGTCAAAAACAAAATGTATCGTTAAAAAAAAAGCTTAAATGAGCAGTTCGACTTGGAGCGCACTTCAGTCCAAAAATCAAATAAGAGATTGAATATTTATAGCGTGAGCCGAGTATGTCAGCTGATCTGGGCGGGCGTTCCAGTCGACTCGGTGGACTCCCCGAAAACGGCCAACACCTTGCTCAATTGGGCCGCCGACTTCTCCAACGCCGAAGTCGTTCAGTCAGTGGTTCCTGTGCACTTCTTCCGAGATCTCCTCTGTTCAGAGCTCTCCTGGAGAACGGCGCGACCGTGGATCGGACCAACGCGAAAGGCGAGACTCCGTTGCACACCGCCGTCAGAAGAGGCGACGAGGCCGTCACCAAGGCTCTCCTGGCCGCCGGAGCAGAGGCCTACAAAAAAACTGCCGCCGTAAGTTTTTTGTGTCATTCGTTTCTTGTGACTTGATATGACGCAGTTTCTTTGCGTTCTCCTCGTCTCTCGGCGACCCTCTCAAGTTGACGAGCTATTTTCATGTTTCTCTAGATAGAGATTCCAAAATTTTTTTTAGTTATCTGAAAGCAAAGTGTTTTTACAACCGCTTATTTCTCTTCCCCGCGAGACCTTTTTTAAAAAATTTTTGTCCAAACTCGTATTCCGGAGCGAAAGATACTATACCGTAGATTGATATACGGGTTTTTATAGCCCAAAATCTCAAATGGTTAAAGTAAATTTAAAAAAAAAAAGAAATTGTTTTTCAAGAGAAAACGAAAAGATTCCGAAACACGATCAAGGATAAGAGCCAGCGCAAGTCGCTCATAGTCGGGAGCATGAAAAAAGGACTTGATCGCTGATTTTTTTGTTAGTAAGAGGGAGTGTATACACTGCTCCACATAATTATATATCCACCTGAGATTTTTCGAAGAATCGAATATTTTGAGAGTTTCTGAAAGTCTTTTCGTTGTCAAAAGATGGGAATTTCGATCAGATTAATATAGTTATCAACAAAGTTCCTATTGAAAAATAAATTTTTTTTTTAAATTTCGATTTTTCAAAAAAACCGAATTTTCCGTTCCACATAATTATATATCCACCTAACCAGGTAAGACTTTAAACTTTTTTTGAACAATTTTTTTCGGTTTTTTTGTATCAGTTATCATTTTTCTCATCATTTTTTTGTTTAAAAAAATAAGAAGAATAAGAGCAAGAAGGTTTTCCAAGAAGTTGGGGAACCTTGGATTTAATCAGAAAACGGTCGCGGTGCTGTTTTGTACTCCAGCTCCACAGTCATCAATGTGAGGGTTGAATTTTCATAATCATGGTTAACTCAGAAGTTTTGAAAAAGTTTGTCACAAAAAAGATTCTTAAATGGGCGTCAAATTTTGAAAAACAATTTCAAAAACCGTGAGCGCCTTTGACAAAGTTATCAGTTTTTTCAACTTGAACTCGCTTTTCTCAGTCATTGAGCGGAGAAGTTCTTAATCTACAGTGGAACAAAACTGAGGAAGAAATCAGAAATAGTTTAACTCAGAGAAATCTGACAAAAAACATCTCAAAGCTGAAAAAACTTCAGAGAAACAAGATTCGAAAAAGGATATTTCGTGATTTCGATTGTGTTGACTTTCTGTTTAATTATCTTCGCTGAATAAGGATAATTATGGATTATTTAATGTTTTAAAAACAAAAAAATATAACTGTAATCTTTAATCATGAGAAGAAAAAAGTAATTTAAAATTCGAAGAAAAAAATTCAGATTCCTATGAATTTGACTTGAAATTCCCTTAGTTATTTACCGCATTCGGTCATTCTTCTTTGCTAGAAGCAGGTTTTTTTGATGAGACCGACTATTCTTGAAGTAAAAAAACGATTTTATCTCAGAAAAAGTTTACAGAAATGGTCCGAAGACATTTTAAGCTTCCTATTTTTGGCAAAACTGCAAAAAATTCATAAATTTTATCGGAAAACTCCCTCCTTTCAGTGCAAAGAAATATTTTAATGAAGTTTTTTGAACTTAAATTGTTGCTCACAAGTACAAAGGTACTTATGAAATCAAAATATTCACATCATAATCGATTCAAGAGTAGCTGATGTAATGAAGAGCACCGCGACCGTTTTCTGATTAAATCCAAGGTTCCTCAACTTCTTGGAAAAACCTTTTTTTGCTCTTCTTCTTCTTATTTTTTTAAACAAAAAAATGATGAGAAAAATGATAACTGATACAAAAAAACCGGAAAAAAATGATTCAAAAAAAGTTTAAAGTCTTAGGTGGATATATAATTATGTGGAACGGAAAAATAAGGTTTTTTTGAATAATTGAAATTAAAAAAAATTTATTTTTTTCAATAGGAACTTTGTTGATAACTATATTAATCTGATCGAAAATTCCCATCTTTTGACAACGAAAAAGACTTTTCAGAAACTCTCAAAAATATTCGATTTTTTTTCCAAAAAAATCTCAGGTAGATATATAATTATGTGGAGCAGTGTATGTTCAAAGGTTTAGTCCTTGGGCTAATTCCCTACTACTACACTTACATAAAAAGCCTGCCAAGGCTGGTTTGTGCAAGTATTTTCCTATGCACGACATTATTGGCAGTAACACTTGTAAAAATCCTTCGCTTCGCGGAGGTGTGTTTCATGTGTTTAGAATAAAAAAAATTTTCAAAATTCCGAAAAGGGGATTTATTATCGTTATCGCAAAATTTTCGAAAATTGAAAAAGATTTTTTTGAAGTTCGAAGATCATTCAAACAAGAAGAAGGACAAAAAATATTAAAAGTTAAAGTTTTTTCCGCAGGGCCAAGACGCATTCGCCATTGCCACCAGTTCCGGCGGAGCTCTTCTCACAATTCTTAGCATGGATAGGTTTGTATTTTTAAATATTCAGAGCATTCGAGAAGAAAAATGGGAAGAAAAACACATTTATCTCCTGCCGAATTCTGAAAGATTCTTTCTGTAGGTATGAAATAACGAAATTTTGTGGAGTTCACAAAAGAGATTGGAAAAACATTTGATGGCTCCTTGATGATAGCTCGTTGTATTGAAATTTCGGTGAAGTTTTCAATTCTTGTTTTTTTTTCTGATTTTTCTCTTCTTTCTCAGAGTAGCGAGAGACGTTCGTCGGGAACATTCCGTCGATTCTTTGGACGATCGAATCTCCGTCATTTCAACTACGGAAACCGTCACCACGAATCTTTTCAATGAAAAGTTTGTTTGTTTTGTGAAGTCTCGTCTTCAAAAAAAAATGAAATGAAAATTTATAGGTACGAAAAATACCTGGAAGGTCGCGCGGAAATATGGACAGATCTCCTCTGGCCACAGCCCAAACTAGTCAAGCTTTATCCGGAAAATGGCGGCTTTGAGCTCCCGAAAGACAACAGGTTTTTTCATTATTTTCTTTTTCTATCGGTATCGCTTTTTTATTAGTTATGTAACTGTTGGTGAATATTTAGTCCAAATTAGGCTTCAGGTCTTTTTGGTCATTCCTTCGTTTGGTAAGTTTCAAGACAAAATTATTCTTCAAGTAGGAGGATATCTAAAATTATTCTCAGTCACGTATATCTTCTGTGACTTCCTCAATTAAATGCTAATCATATTGAAAGTCGGATTTCCATTTTAAAGACTGAAAATCTACTTTGACGACTCGTCGGACGCGAACCCCCGAGTGATGATGCAGATCATCGAGATGAGCAAGGCGCTGCTGACGTCGGTCGACGTCGAGATCGAGTACCGAGGCCATCGGACGGCCGACCACGACTCTTCGCCCCTCGACGGCAAGGTCACGTGCGGCGTCTTCTGCGACGGAAGGCCTTCTGGAGCCTACACTCTGACCATCGCCCAGCGCGGCATCGAAATCGTCGCCACCGACTATTCCGGCTTCCGTTACGCCGTCGCAACTCTGATCCAGATCATACGACTTCACAAGTTGGTCCTCGATCTCGGGAGCATAATGACTCATGCATAAAAAAATTTCAGGTTCGCCATCAGAAACGCCGGCACAGTTTCAGTCAACGGCGTGAACAGCTCTTCCAGTCCGAGTACTTCAATCAAAAGTCCGCCGACTTCCTCACCCAAGACCAACGGGTTTTCCGATCATAGCAACGGCAAGAAAGAACTTCCGGGAATTTCCATGGGTTAGTCGTAATCTTTGAATTTATAGCTCATTCATCACTTGAAAAAAAGTGTGAGACTGCGGACCATCGAAGCCTATCTCCAAAGCTAAAGTGTCTTATGGCAAAATTCGCATGACCTACAAGAACATTGAAAATAGATTTCCGCTACAAGACTTTTTGTGGAGTGAAATGTATGCTCCTTTCAAGACCCCGGTGATGGCGGGTTCATAAGACAAAAATAAGTTGTTCCGAAATACAAGAAAATTGTTCCGAAACAATAATTTGTGTTGTTTTTTTTTCCAACAACTTTGGGATGTCAATGAACACTGTTTGGAAAAAGTTTCCGTTTTATCGATTAAGGATTTTTGAAAAAAATGTTTTTATGAAATTATCTTTGATTGCTCTAAAAATTGTAATTTGAAAAAAAGAATTATTTCACGTTTTTTTCCAGACGGAACGATCTGTGAACTGACGGTCCGCGACTATCCCGATAGTTCATTTCGTGCCGTTTATCAGGACTTTTCCGGTTGCCGAATACTCAATACAGAAACGGTAACTCTTGAATCCTAGTTTTTGTCTCCAGTTTGAATAATCAAGGAGAGTTCTTCCAACACATCTCACGTTTTTTCAGATTCTCCAACTGGCAACTCGGCTCTCCCACTGCAAAGCCAACCATTTGTTCCTGAACTTCGAGGTCAGGACCACGGATCGATATCAATTGCCCTACACTAACCGGGATCTCTTCCATATGATGCAAGTTTGCGAGGAGCTCTACATCACGGTAATTTTTACTTTTTTTAAAATTATATTCTTTTTTGAGTATCCTTCAGCAATGGAAAAAAAAAGTTGGACTGAAAATTCGTTGATATTCGGAGAAAATATTCAAACTTCTTACCAGGGAACTTTTTTTACCCCACGTTTTAACTTTTGCTGAAACTTTGCTTAAGTATACTTTTGGACCCCCCTGATTGCAGATAAAGAAAAAAAAATTCTCGCAATAGATCTCGTTTCCGAGTTATGGAGCTTCAAAGTGTGCAAAATACGCAAATTAGGCCAAAAAAGCGCTATTTCGGGCTTTTGAAGTGTCCTAACTCGAAAACAAGATCTATTGCGAATTTTCTTCTTGTTCTGGAATCAGGAGATCTTAAAGTACACTTCAGCAAAGTTTCAGCAAAAGTTCAACCGGTGGTATAAAACGTTCTCTAGTTAGTTTTATCAAACAGCCAAAAGATACTCTCGAAGAATTGGCCAGAAATTCTCAGTTCCCCGAAATGTTCCATAATTTTTTTAGACGTTTCGAAGCATTCAGAGCATTGATAACGCCCCTTTCGAAGTTATTTTAAGAAATAAAAAAAGCCATCAGAGAGTGAAAAAATAACTGAATTTTGGAGAGTCAGAGATGGTTTTGAATTTTTAATAATTACTTTGAACACGGCATCAGAGACATTTCACGTCAATATTTCCCCCCTCCCCCGCTTTCAAAAACCAACCAAGAAATTCTGAACAAAGTCTGCTCCAATAATTAGAAAAAAAGCGGTCTCAGATTCTTGATCGCATTTTTTTCAGTTCGTCCCTTCACTGGACACTCAGTCCAACTACTTGGAGGCTCCTCAGGCCAGGGCCATTATTGACCAATTCCTGGAGGATTTCCCGCTTTGTAAAGTGGCTCATTTTGGGCCGAACCTTGCAAGTATCTTGGTCTCCAATCGAAAAGGTGAAAAATCATTTTCATTGAAAACAAAAAATGTAAAAAATGAAGTGGATTGTGATTCGAAATGCTTCGATTTCTAGTTCATTTTCTTCAATCAGGGAGTTCTTTTTTCGAGCTTTTTAAGTTATTTTCCAAGCTATTCTCAATGAAACCTCTGATTTTTCTGCTCAGTTCTCTCTGCCATCCAACGACGAGTTCCAAGGATATTCCTCTCAATGTCGGTCGACGCTAAAAATTCTCATCTGGTCGGTTTTTAATATCGAATTCCACTGTTTTAATGCTTTTTTCATGCGCCAAAGATGAAGCCTTTTGATCAAATTTTCGTTATTTAGTCTCAGAAACTAGATCTTTGGCTTCGGGGAACGAATAACTTCAAACAATTTTCCGAGACTGGGTATTTTTTTCAGAAAAATAGTTAGTTATTGATTTCAGTTGTCTTCCCTTCCATCGTACGTGACACTTTGTTTGGAAGGATGTTATCCGTTTGACGTGGAACAACATATTTCGCCGCGCGTCTCACTCGTTTTGAAATTCTCTACAGGTTCGCTGTTCTAGGAGGGCGTTTAAAACTAATTTTGCGCTTTTTGAGAAATAAAAACAAAAAAGAGATTTAAATTGTTCCGGAAAAAATTCTTACGTCTTCTTTGTTTGGAGGTGATGACGGCTACTTGTGTGCGGCGCCAGAATCGACGGCTAAAAAGGCACTTCTTGCGGCGAAACTCAGCGAACGAGCGACAGTTCTAGGTTCGAACTGATCTCTTGATCCCTCTGAATTTCGTGTCAACTTGAAGGGTCGATGGTGTGCGACTTGTCGACGGGCTGTGAGGCGATGCCGCCCTCCCTCTCCTACATGTCTCTCTTGGCAGCCGTCGGCGTCGCCTGGGACAGGGCCACCGACATGAAAAAGTTCGCCTTCCTCCTGCCCGCCATCGCGGCTCATCACCTCCTTCTCGATGGGTAGGGTCAAAGACTAAGGATGCTCATTCCACTATTTGATTGGGAATTTTTGAAAATAGGCCAGATTACTTCGTTTTATGCCAGAAAAAGGTCTTGTAAGTCTCAAACTGCAAAACTGCCCAATTTTCGAGAAACCTCAAGCACAATGAAAAACTTCAAAATTTGTTAAGTGGGCCATTTTATGACTTTGAAACCAAATTTCTCGATAACTAGAAGGTCGAGACTTCCAGGAACTTCACCTGAGTATTTCGAGCAGTCGCAATGTAAAAAGCTTAGTAAGAAAAAGTGAAATTGACGGTTCTCAGGGACATGGCGGGCTTGTTCGAGCAGGTGCTGACCCTTGGAAAGGTCGAGCATCAGTTGACGCGCTACGCCTACGGCTACTGGAAGCCACAGAGTTTGACGTCGCCAGAATCCGATTCCACGTCTTCTGACCACTTTTCCGGCTTCGGCGCCAACAAGAAAGTCCCGATATCCGTTTTCGTCGAGATGATCCTCAACCCCGAGAATATGAACCTCGAGCGACTGACTCCAGTTGTATTCAAGGTATCTATTTGTAGTACCTCAGTTACATGTGAAATTGACCTTCTTGGAAACAAGTTCTTGGAGGAGAATAGAATTTCATAACTTCGAAAAGTTTCATTTTTTCAAGTGAATGTTGATTAGTGAACATTTTATCGGAAAATTTTGAGGCTAGTTTAAACGGAAGATTCATCTTTAATGATATCAGATATTCTAGAGTAACCTCTTTAACAAAACTGGCGCCTCGATCGACTACAAATGCGCCAAATTGCTGAACTTTGATAATATTCATACTTCTTATGGTCATTATCAAACTAATTCTCAGCAGAACTTGCAATTACAATTGGGAATCCTCTTCAGAAGGCTCGAATTGAGTTGAGACGCGCCTCTGCGGCCCTGGACCTCGCTCGTCGAATGCTGCCTTACAACTTCGAGTTGGCTTTGGTCCTGGCGGAGATCAAGCTCGTGACCGAGTTAATGGTCCTGACAAGTCGCCTGGGACAGTCGATGTGCGTCCATGGAGCAGCGCCAATCGATCGGAAGAAGAGCTACGAAGAGGGTCTTCCATACTCCCCAGGTCGTGTCGGCGTCGTCAACCTCCCGCAGACTGTTCGCACAGACCTCGCAAACAGGTCAGAAATGTCACTTGATCGAAAAATGAGAAAAGTCAATGACCTTCCGAGCTGAAATGTACGAGTACTCGACTGAAGTCGTAAAAAAAAGGAAGTTCGAAAGTTTGCTACCGATTATGACGAAATTTTCAGCTCTAGGCAAATTTTTTTAAACATAAATTAATCGATTATTCTGTACCTCTCGTATAGAAATGGGAGGGGGTTGAGAAACTGTAGTCATTAGAATAAATTCAAAAAAGGTAGCTTTCCAAGTCAAAACTTGATCATCATCGTCAAAATAATTCATTTTCAATCAACTCTTTTGAATTCGAATCGCAACAAACCAAGCAATTGCAACTATCGTATCTTAAAATTCTGTTTCATTCAACTGGATAGACTTTCAATCTTCAAAAGAGAAAGTCGAGGTATGGTTCGAGGTAAAAAAATGAATCAAAATGAAATTTTTTTCACCTTTGCCGAAGCGAAGGATTCTCCAAAAATAAGCAGAAAATTGTACCTGCCTAATGGTCAGACATCGCACAACAGCGTGCCCAACATTTGTGGCAGGAGTTTCATTTAAGTGTTATGCATGGAAGAATAACCAGATAGCTATCCCTGCTGGGGAAAACACTCACCGAACAAACACTCCGAGCAAAACAAAATGATGAGCCCTTTTTTCTATGTGCCCGACTCGGAGCGGCCTGCGCCAGTTTATATCCTTCCTCGAGTCTTCATGGCTTTTTTTGTGTTTTTTAATTTAAAAAATTTTTTTCTTTCTTGTTAATGATGTAATATGAGATTTAGTCGTAACGGACTTATGTAATATGAAAAAAAAAACGGTTTCGCAAGATGAGTTAATGTGAAGAAGTGCTAAACTCTTAAAACCAATCAAATGAGAAAAAAAAAACGGAAAAATGAGCCAAATTTTTCAAATAAGTATATTTCTTTATTGGGGAATTCATAGACTGAAATCAAATTTTTTGTTTTCAACTGCATTCAACGCATTTTCGGCGATCTCTAAAGGTATTTCCATGTCTTTGACGTTAGATCATCCTTTAGATACAGTCTTTTGGTATACTGATTCATTTTTTGCAGTTTGCTGGAAATACGGACGCAATTTCAACACGTCTGGCTCTCCAGATCTATCGCCAGCACGCTTCCAAACGCCTTGAAGATGTTCGATAATTTGTTCAGGTACTTTTTGTCTCCAAAACCTCCGAAGATTGAGATCATGTCGTTCAAATTAGGATTTCAGAGCTCTCCTACCTCCCGACTTACAGGAAATGGGAAAACAACTTTTATAAAGAGCAAAATTTTCACATATATACGCATGCTTTAACTTTAACAATTATCTCTCCAGTAATATAGTATTTCCAATTGTTATCCTCCTTTTTCCACCAAAGACTGCCTTCAAAAGCTTGGTTTTTTAATAGTCATTATCATCAGAGCCTGTAACTTTATCTGCATTTTCTTGTACTGTGATTGTTTCTTTGTTATTTATTAATATTTATAAGGGAATTTCAAAAGTCATTAATGGGATGAACAGGGATTTTTCGTTTGGGCTGTAGACGGCTCAATTTTTAAATGGGTTCCGATACGAAGTTCTCCAAATAAATTATTATAAAGCCAAAGTTTTGCGTTGTGAGACCATTTTTGCGGAATTATTGAGAGCAACGATTGATAAAACTTTATAGATAAGGCCCAAAAAACGAGCTTTATCGACTCAAAAAAGGGAGAGAAAGGACGATTGAGCGGCTGACATACGAATTATCATTTTTATTGTTTTGGGGCTGGTCTCTATCTTGTGATAAGCAAATGTCGTCTTGCACTTCCATTCCGCTAAAAAGCTCATTTATACTCTTTTTTTTTCGGAGGAATTTTTTGTCTTTTTTTCTATTTCCTCGAAGTCTTTTGAAACGAAGGCTGAATTCAGATGACGTCGCTTATGCAAGAAGGCGTGGGTCTTTTCGGTACTCATGTCGTTAAGGACGACATCGAAGAGGCCGTTCAGAAGAAGTTCGGAAGTCGGGCCGTCTTCGGTCCTGACGCCGAGTTTGTCGTTGTAGGCGACGGCAATGTTTGATTTCATTCTTTCATCAGTTTTCGCCTCCCTTTCTTAGAACGGAAAAAAGTTTATCATACTTTGAAAAAATTAAAACAGACGAAAAATGTTGCAAGTACGGAAAATTTCTTCCTCAGAGAACTACATAAAATTTTTACATTTTCCTATTTTTTTTTTTTCAAAACACTTACAATCATAAAAAAGGAGAGAGTGCAGCTTTGCTGTTCAAAATTACCAAAAAAGGCCGGAAATTTAAGTTGAAGTGAGGATTTAGTCGTCTTTAGATAAAAGTCCATGCCACACTTTACTATAGTTCCTTGTTTGCTCTGTAGTTCATTCACGATTAGAAGTCATGCGCTATAAATCAAAAATCATATTGGATGAATCAGTCTTCAATTTTCTTTCTTCAGAGAGAAAGAAAGTCGTTTTGGAAATGGGCAGAATAATGGGGAAAGAGATGAAAAACAACTTTCTTTTGAATTAGAGGATAGTAACGCACTTTTTTTTTTTCTTTTTTCTTCTCAAAAATCACTTTTTATCACTCATTTACTCTCAATTTTAGCTTCGAAACTTGAAAACCTCAGAAAGATTTTTGTCAGATCTTAAAAATCTTCAGGAACCACAGGTTGGCTTTTTGAAATTCAAAAAGTAGGAAAGTTAAATACAGAACAATTCCCTTCACTTTTTTAATTTGAAGTTACAAAATTGTACCTGCCGAATGGTCGGGCATAGCACATGAACTTGCACAACATTTGTGGCAGGGAAAGATAGTTTTCGTGCGTCTGCAAGAATGCAGCCAAACAGCCGAATTCCCCCGAGAGCACGGAGAGGAGTTCAACCCGCGTTCCTTTCTCACATACAAATCAGCGCCTTAGGCCAATAGACTACCTCTCTCCGCACGGTTCGCCCCCGTTTCTGCCACATAGTCTCTTGCTATTTCGTTGGTACAAATCAAATTTTTGATTATTGATTTTCGAGTCTTAAAAAAATTTCGTAACTATTGCAATTTGCTGAAGCGAAAATGAACATCCTTCGCTTTTCTCCTGAATTTCGGACCTAGAATCTAGAAAAGATTTCACTTTTTATTTTATTTTTGAATTAATGAAAAGAAAAAAAATTTAATTGATAAAATAAACTTTTTCTCCATATATCCATTCTCCACCAAGCTTATATAGACTTGGGACGCAAAAATCCGTGGCCTGTCTGTACTCTCCACCAACCGGGCACTGTCTACTTCTTTATCGTGTCAAGAACATCTTTTCAGCGGCTCAAGCCGTGAATTAGCTATACATGTGTAGACACATTGTTTCACCAATTAAAACTTCGATGCTCAGATGATAAGGAATAATGATTTGTCTTATCTCGGACATTGGTAACGCGAAACAGGCGTGCTCCGGTCGTTTTTGTGCAGCTTTAGGGATCACTTAAGAGTGCTTACGTCTCTAAAGTGGTCACTGAAAATGCCCAGAAACCTCCGGATCACGTCCGTTTCGCGTTACCAATGTCCAAGATCGATCAACTATTTTTGTCGTGGGATTTTTCCCTTTTTCGCGGACTAGATTAAAATTAAAATGTTTCTCGAATTTTAAAATTGAAACCAAAATGTAGAGAATTTTTATGCCAATCTTTAACAGTTTTTGTATGCTTTTTCGTTTGTTCGAGTTTAGTGTTTGAAGAAATAAAAAGTATAGAAAACCTGTCAATCAAATTTAAAATGAACCTCTGATTTCTGTTATTTGTTTTCAGGGGTTTATCAGTCGAGTCGTCCTCGTGACACCAAAATGGCAAGGAGACGCTGCAGGACTTCCTGAGAAGTTCAAATTCTTCGAATTTTCCGATTTCTAAACCTGATGAAATCCAGGTTCATTCTGAAGATCATCTCCATGCAAAACACCATGGCCCTTGGCGATAAAATGAAGGAGAATGAGTCGATCGTCCACATGACTCCCGAAGAAGAAGAAGCTCTCTGGAAACATTTCGAGGGTGCCGTCCATTTGGTTGGTCTTTTTCAAATATCTTCTGGTTCAAATACTTGAAGTTCAGCTTCACAACCGGGAGGTGAACCTCTATAAAGTTCTGGAGACTTATGAATCATCAGCTGACGTCTTGGCTCCGAAGATATTTTTTTCGAAGAGCTTTGAGGCAGATACCAAAGGTTTATCTGGTCAATTCTGACTTATTCTAGAAAAAATAGGCTTCATCGGAATGGAGGCCGTGGAGGACGTCAAAATTAGGCACGTCTTCGTCAACTCGAAACCACATCAGCTGTTGCCGGTAAGAAGATGGATAAAAGTTTGTGAATATTCTTTTTGCAGCTAATGAATGCGTTGGCGACTCTAGAAGCATGTGGCTTGAAGATGACCGAGGAGGAAAAAAGTTCCATTTCCGGGTTTGATTACAAGACGATTTTCGGCACCATGTTGACCGATGAGGTTGGTTTCTTGCTAATCACAAGGCCAGTTAAAACGCGCTCCAAGGCTAACGGTCACAGTTTTCTGAAAAATTGTATTATAGCGCTCGTAAAATCCCCATGAGTCATGAAAGGGTCCAATCATTATTTTTTAATTAAACTCTGAAAAAATTTTAAAAAAGGGCATTATTCGTGCAGCGAACTTATACTGGAACTTATTCAAAACTCAAATCTGCCTGTGACCTCTTCTTCCTCCTTGCTGTGAGAGCTCAAGAGAGCCCAGACAGGTCAGACTGTCTCAAGTTGCGACGAATATGGTTTTGAAACAAAAAAGTTCGTAGTTTTTCAGAACGTCAAAAGGATGTTCCTGATGCTGAAGAACAACGACGAGAAACGGTTCGGCGAGACCGCCGATCGTCTTGCAGAGTATGGGTTGGAGTTGGTCCACGACGACGACATCGCCGGAATCAACAAAAATTTGGGTGAGACTTAAAAGTTACTTTTTTTTCCGCGGTTCAAATCAATTTAAAACTTCTTGTGCTTTTTCATACGGCTGTTTTCATTTCTCTATCACGGATAACTAAGAGAGCGCAGAAGTTCCAGACTTTTTCTACAAAAAAAAAGACGAATCTAGTTTTTTGCTCTTCTCAGGCATGAAAGACGTTCTGATCCACGGAGATTTGTGGTCTGCCAATATTCTCTGGGTGAACAAGGGGGAAGAAGATGAAATTGCCAAGGTTATCGACTATCAAGTTGGTTTCTTCCACCAGCTTCATTTCATTTCAAGCTTCAGCTGGTTCATTTTGGAAATCCGGCCGAAGACCTCGTCCGGGTTTTCGTCTCAACTCTGAGTGGCACCGACCGACGTCAGCACTGGGAATGGCTCGTCGAGAAGTTCTACGGATATCTTGAACAGAAGTTGGATGGATCTCCAGTTCCTTATACTCTGGATCAGGTTGGTTGATTTTCTTTTTTCTGAAAAAATGTTGAAAACTACAGCTCAAAGAGTCCTACAAGCGCTTCTTCGTGTTTGGTGCAGTCATTATGGCGGGGATTTTCGGACCGGTGGCGGAAGTTTGTTTTTTTTCTCTTGAATAGAACTTGGTGAGCTCAAAAAAGGGAAGCCATAAAAAACAAAGTTTCAAAAACAGTCTTTGAAAAAGCCTTCCAAGGTAGACCTTGTCTTGCGTTTACTCGACTCGTTGAGTTTTGACAAGTTTTCCACTGCGGCTGCACGTGGAAAGGATTCAAGCCGTCGCGCTGCGTTCAGTTAAAGCAAGTTGAGCGACTTAATCCGGTACTTACTGTCCAGAGTGGAATTAAAAGCCGTCTCTCAAACGCAACGCTTCAAGCCAGTCTACATTCGACCAAGTCATTTCAAAATAGATGCAAGAATGTTGCAGACCGCGCTCCAAAATCGAGACGACGATGGACACGAAGAGCGTCGCGAGGTCATATCGGAAAAAGTTCAAGCTCTTCTGGAGGACACGGTGAAGTATCATTTGAGAAACTTGGAAATCCATCCGGAACGTCGGACGGAGAAAACTGAGACGTCTAGCGAAATCCATTAAAGTAGGACTTTTATGAATCGAAATTGTATGAAAGAGCTTTATTCAACCTGGCTGAGATCACGATAAAATGTGTGATTATGAAAAAAAAAGATTGCAGTGTGCAAATTGAAAAACCGAACTGACTAGGGGTTAGGAATTTCCAAGGAATAGTTGAAAAATGTAGGGATATTTTTTGATTAAAAAGAGAAACTTCTTTCAAATATATGAAATCAATAGTCCATTCGTCTAACTTCAACTGTCTGATTTCTCTGCATTCTCTCCTCTTTTAACGATGCACTCGTGAGAGTAGAGAGAGTTCAGACGGATCAGAAGTTTTCAAGTGGCGAATGGGATTTCTGTAATTCTACCCATTTTATTTTGAAAAGAACTTTGTTTTACATACATTAAGGCAGTTTTTAGATCTACTGATTGATATTTTTGTCTAGAGGAACCAGAAAAAGTTGGGATGTCTGGGTGGCGGCGAAGGGGAGAGTGACGTCAGAGGAGCCACACATTTGCAGTCGTGCAAGAAGACATTCCCGAAATCGTGGCACTTTCCGCACCTGAACATTTAACTGAGTTTCTCAGAAAGAGCATTCTGTTCTGTCTTTCTTTCTCGCTTTCGAGGGAGAAAAAGGTCATAGATAGGCTAGATTGTTTTAAATCGCGAAGAATGGAACTTCGCCTTGAACATAAGATAATTACCATCCAAGGTTGAAGACGTCTTTGCACTGGTTCGTCAGCCAGTCAAATCCGCAACCGAGTTGTTCGTAGGTCGAGTTTGCGATCTAGAAGCACTTTATTTCTTTCAGTTTTCTCAAAATTCATTTTCAATCGATTTCTCATCCCAATCTCGAAGAAGGAAAAAAAATAAGTTTATCAAAAAACCTACTCCTGACAGTGTGCCACTGGGCTGACGAGGTCCGTGCAAATTTCGGTGTACATTTTGTTCAGATGAACTAGCCTGAAAACTTTGAAGAGTGAATTTCATAGAGAAATGAAATAAAATGAAACCTGTCCAGGGTAAACTTGGATTTGACCAGTTGGGCTGTTGGGATACACTGGCTGTGGTTGAGTCTGGAATTCGAAAAAATAAGTTAGAAAAAATGGAAAAAAATTACAAGTAATATAGTAAAAAATACTAAAATCTTTTAAAAATGTAACAAGGAATATTTCAAATCTGCTAGTTTCTAGAAAATTTCTCTAAAAAGTTTACAATATTAAAAAAATGAGGTGAAATTTAGATTCAAAAAATTTAGGACTGCAAATTCTTATCACCATAAAATATATTTACATATGTATGCCGATTCTCATATTAATAAAGTTCAAAAATCTGCATAAAATCTGCAGAAACTATGGGACTGGCAATTCTCTCTATAGAAATCAGAACATCCAGTTTTCATCTTACAAAATTTAGGACTGCTAATTTTCATTTCTAGAAATCATCTCTTGAAAGCTTGACTCTGTCAATTCTCATCTCTAGAAAACTTCCAGAATTAATTTTTGAAGTAGTTTGGGACTCCCTGTTCTTATCTCTATGAAATTTAGGACTTTCGGTAATCTTTTTGGCACAGAGAAATCAGAATATTTCACGAAATGAGTAACAATATTTAATAGAAAAGAACCTGAGGGATCGCCGGCTGTAGAATAGTACTTTGAACGTTGCCTTGAGCTGGATTGATGACGGGAGGAGCCAGAGGATTGGTCGGCTGGAAGTTGGCCGCTCCGAGGGTATTGTGACCATTCGGAGCAAAGATGGGGTTTGGCTGAAGGCCAAGAGGAGGTCCGAGGAGCGGATTCGGCAGCAAAGACATGGTCGGAGGTGAGCTGGGAGGCGACGGAGGCGTGAAAAGATGTTGCTTTTCAGCCGAAGTCTCGCTTTTTTCGACGGCTGGCCTCACGAGAATACTGCCCTGAATAATTTTTTAGAGAAGGATTTTTAATTGAACTGTACCTGAGTGAAGATTGAAGGTGGTTGCTTCAGTTCTGCGCTCTCATTCTCTTCTTGAAAGCTCTAAAAAAAGTCATGGTTGAAGTGGAAACAAGCTGAAGGACAGAGTTTCGATGAAACGTTTCCAGTCCCACCTGCTGGAAGAACTGGGGACGGCCAGGCACTTCAAGCGAGTTTATCGAGTTGAAAGACTCCGTAGAACTAGGAAGCGGTGTTGTCGAAATTTCGTCCATAACTTTGACAGCCACGGTGGTTCTTTCAAAGTCCTTGGCATACTCAAATATGAGAGGTTATAAAAAATTAATTTTTCTGCATACCTCCACTACATCCGAGCTCAAAATTTTGTCTTCGTCCAGCTTTTTCTCATGGTGGTTTCGAGGGTCGTAGCTGTACGAAACTATCTGCAGCCAGTCTAAAATTCTAGGTAGGTCAAAAAATTCTGGGCGACTTTGCTGACAAACAATTGTATCTATCTGATAAAATAAAACATATGAGGTTCTGAAGAAAAAGGAATCTTGTAGCAGAATCTCGCAGTTATCACTAAGTCTGGAGCTTTATCATTAGGTATACCTTGAGGAAGAGCCACACTCGCGATTTCGTGAGTTGTTGCCGATTGAACACGCCTGTGGAAACGGCCCGTAGCACGGAGAAGCCGCGGCTCGGCGCCGTCGCGACGATCCAGGGACACAGGCTTCGCGTCGCGAAACTGCTTCGCTCCTTCGGCATGGGCGCTTCGCAGAAGTCGCCGCCGAGGCAGAGGGTACCGCGAGGCACTTACTTGCTGCTGCGTCGGTCGGAAAATCTAAATGAGCTTTTTTCTCCCCAAAAAATAATGTAAAGTAACAGAAGAAATCTTATTAGTTCAGGAAGGATATACCTGAGCCTGCGCCTCAATTCCAACCGCCACGAAACAAAGGCAAGAGGTGAATGCGACGAGTCGCATCGCATCTAGTTATTTCAGCCTTTCTCTTTTTCCAGCTTGAAGTTTTCGGTCTCCTGTGGTGTTGAGTAATGTTGGGCGGCTTTTTGAAGAAATAACTAGAGAATGAAAAAGATTTAAAAAAATAATAGGTTCAAAGAAAACGTGAAATTTCGATCATAACCATTTCCCGAGCGAATATAACGAAAATCGAGTGGAATAAAGTTTTTCAATACCACTAGGAGCTTCAGAATTGATGAAAAATCTGGAAAGAAAAATAGGTTTTCTAATTTTTGTTAAATTTTGAGAGGGGGAAAATCAACACAAAAAGAGTAGCGATCAACTTCAAGTCATTTTTCCGAAGTTTTTACGAACAACTCACCAGAAAAAAATGGCAAAAAAATAAATAACTTGGACAGGACTCGAACTTTCGAGGTTGTTTTCAATGATAGATACCTACCTAAACACTGGCCCGCCTGCTCGAAAACCCCATCGGCTTCAAACGTTCAAAAGCAATAAAAGAGAACCAATAAAAATGCAAAAAGTTAATTTGATAAGAAAAAAAGAATAATTTAGAAGAGATGACGGTCGGCAGTTAAAGCGAAGCGTGAAAGGCGCCCGCAAAACCGTCCTCCAATGAAATAAGAACCAGAATAAGCCTGTTTTTTTCAAGGACGCCCATGATTACAGCGCTTCTTCTTATATCTTTTTGAATAAATGTTGCGAAAAGGCGTGAAAATCTCGAGAAAGTCCTGGTGAAGTTCAACAATTGAACCATCTACAAGGTACGAGGCAAATTCGATTGAAAAACTCACATTCACACGGAACCTTCTTCAAAAAGGTCAATCCCTTCTTCGCAACAATTTACAATCCCTTAACAGAAAAGGACAATAAAAGGGCTGTTTTCTATCGCGATTCACTTCAGTCGACTTTTAAATAGGTTTATAGCCTCTGAGATCCAGAATGAACTGAAAAAGTTTCGGTAAAGAATTATGATCTTTTCGTTTTCTAGTAAACGGCATTCTTACCGCTAAAACTACATTTCGAACCATGTTGAGGGTTCCAAGTCGTAAAAACAAGGTATCCGTTTTGAAAAAGGCTTCATAAAGAACTTCACCCATCTTGGTCTTTTATTGAGGTAAACCTAGAAAAAGATTAGAGAGCAAAATTCTTGGAAATAAGGCAAAAATGATGAGAAAAGGGAGAAAATGAGCAGTCATGTGAAAGCGCAAAACTTGGCCAAAAGTGGTTGGATTTCGACAAAAAGCAAGGTAGGAAATCGGGTGAAACCTTGAAAAAGAGAGAAAGTGAGGCAAAAGCCGATGAAAAAGTTCAATTGAAGGGATCCGAGACACACGATTCGAAGGAAAAGGCGTCGCAATTGTGGGATTGAGGTCACGCACATCATTCCGAAGCCGCCCAAAATTCTCTACATAGACTCGACAACTTTGATTTTATTCAGAGGTTTTTGGTGCATTTAAGGTATCGAAGATTCAGGCTGACTTCTGAATCGCGAAAACGATAATATTTCAGCAAAACTCTAGCATCTTTAAGTTTAACTTTTCAACCACATCGGGACTCGAACCTATGACCTCGTAGACGTCAGATAAGAGTCTTAACAGGTGAGCTACGCTTACTCTCTTTTTAATGTTTAGGCTCATCATGGTGTTTCTCTTTTTTTAGCTCAATTCAAAACAGTTTTCAAACGAATTTTCGTTTCATCGGAAGTTGAAATATATTATTGTCAATAAACTCTTTACTCCGCATTAATAAATACAAATATACAGAACCTCGCTCTTTTTGCTCGTTTATTTGCTCAATTGAAATTCTCCGGATCACGAAGTGCAGCAGACGTTGTAGCCGACATTCGGGGACATGATACACCTCAAAGAAGTCTCTTAAGCAACTTTTCGAATTGATGCATAGTCTTTGCAAATATAAGAGTCCGCATTTGAAAGTGGCAGGGATTGAATCTTCGAAGAAAAGGCTTGAGAGCACTGGTAGGCAAGAGTTCAGTAAAAAAAAAAGGCCGTTTTCTCATTTTCGCAATCCATCTAACTTTCGACTGTAGACTCCATTCTAGCTAACTTGGGACACAGGAACAAAACGCCTGGATCTCTACCCTTTAATCGCTATTTCTCTTTTCATACCAAGACTCCATGTTTCCAAAATTTTTCAACGTGATCAGACTAACAAAGGAGGTCATTTTACTTTGCGATTGGAATCTTTTCTGAAAAATGGCTAGAAAATGTCTTGATGTACCAGAAGAAGGTTCTGAAAGTCTCAATCTGCGAAACCTCTTAGCTTTGGAAAAATTATCTCTCAAAGTCAAAAAAAACCTTCAAAATCCATAAAACTGACTTTTCTGGGCTTTTCTCGAAAACTTGAAGATTTGGCAGATTGAGACTTTCAAAATGTTCTTTTGGTACATCAAGGAGTGTTCTGGTCGAGCTTGAGAAAATTCCCAACTACAAACTAAAATGACTTTCTTTGTGTCTAAATGAAGTTTTTTCAAATTTCTGTTGAACTAGTTTTTACTTTCAAGCGATTTCGAACAAAAATCGGACGAAAAATGGAAATGTATACCTTCTGTGGCTCGAGGGACAGGAATCCAAGGCAGGAGGCACGCATTTGGGTATCCTGTCACCTTCGCGATATTCAGCACCCGCTGCGCAGACCACTGAAGGATCTGTTGAAAAACAGAAGTTTGAAAGGATCATTCTTTCAGAAAATTTCAGAAAAAGTTACGCCAAAAACAATGACGTTTTTTATACTCGATAAATCGATTTTTAGCATTTTTTTTCCAAAGAGGATGGCTAAAAAAGCGAGCTTTATTCTTCAGAAAACGAAAACTTTAAATAAAGCCGCAGCGCGACCGCGACGCGTTCTGCATTTCTATTTGATGCTTAATATTAATTGAGACTCACCAGAACTCCTCACTCGGATCGTTCCTGTCCTTGGTAGTGGTCCTTTTGGATTAAGATTTTTTGGACGTCTCTCCTGTTGATCTCTTGGCTCTGACTTGACTGGCGGCGGTCTAGGTGGAGTTGGAGGTCGACCATTCCGATTTTTGGGCTGGCCGTTTTGAGGCCTAGGCCGGTTTTGAACTTGATGAGGCCCTGAAGGAGGAGGCTTCTGATTGGATCGCTCAGAAGGCGCTTCTGAAAAATTTTTTTGGATTGAAAAAAATATACAGAAAATGAAACTATGACCAATTCAAAGAATTGTTCAGAAAACTATATATTATTCTGAAATCAACCTGAGAAAAACTCGATGTACTTAATTGAAGAATCTGTGAGTTTGAAATCAAAACTTCCTGTTGGCTGAACTATGAAAAGACAGTTCTCGAAAATCTATACATTCTGGAACTTTTACAGAGCTCATCCAGTTAATGGGAGATTTCGCAGGTTCAAATTCAAAATCGTCGGAGTTAAAAAGACTTTTTTCAAGGCATGACAATTGTAGGCAAGATTTCTAATACTAGACTTATCTTTCACAACTTCAAAAATACTACCTTGTTTCGGAGGCTCCGGCAAGCCGTCGTTGAACTCCTCAACCCAGCTCGGTCGCTTTTTCAGATTCTCCGGCTGGCTGGAACCAGAAGCAGCTGGCAAAACGTTCTTCTTGCTGTTCTGGCCGGTAGATCCGAAATTTCGACTCCATCCAGTGGCGGCTCCCATTCTGGATTCACTCGGCGTCGGCGTTTTCTTTGCGAAATTCTCTAGAGTGCCGCCGGTCAAACTTCCTCTAGGCCCACTATTATTCTCAAAAGGTTTAGGACGGATCCTTTGCTGCTGCGGTTTGTTGCCACCTTCGAGCTTGGCAAAAGTCTGCGGCGGTCTGCGAGGAGGAGGAGGAGGAGGACCATTCCTGGGAGGTCCTTGGCTTGTCATGTTCCTTTGTCCATTCCCATTAGGCCTATTCTTGGGTCCATTGGCCTGAAGTTTGTTGAAAGACCTCGGTGGTCCTTGTTCTTTCGGAGGCCGAGAATTGATCTGTTTCGGTGCGTTCCTGCCGTTGCAATCCGTGTTTTTGTTGTTGCAACAGTTGAAAGGATACGGCGACGGATTGAAAGGACAGCCGTTCTGATTCCACTCCTCTCGCTCAGGATTCTTGTTTTCTGGTCTTCGGAAAGGACAGCCATTCCCATTCATATCCTCTTGGTTTCCTCCTTTTCTTCTGGCCATCGGAGGACACACAGGCTTCGGCTCAGGTGGATCAGCTGGAGACGGGTGGTTGTTCATGTTCTCATAGTTATTGTTCCAGTCGTTCCGATTTGGATAGTTGGGCTCATTTTCGTCGTTCCAGTTGTTATCGGGACCGGTTGGTCTTTGATTGTTGTTGCTGTTTTGGTTCTGATTCTGGTTTTCGTTGGGATAGGCCGGCCAGTTCTCATTCTCGTTCCAGTTTTCATTTTTCGGAGCCATGGGACAACCAGTCAAAGGTTTCGGCTCAGGAGGACTAGGCGGTGGAGCGGCGTTGAACGAGTTCTGACTGGGGAACGGACAGCCGTTCGGATTTGTCGGAGGAGGGATTTGCTGGGTTTCAGAGTCCATCGGTCTCTGTCTCGGACCAGAGTCTTCGATCTGAGGAAGAGACAGGTCAGAGTAGTCGTCGGACCTTTCCTCTGGTCTCGAAGCGCCGTAGGGACATCCGCAGCCGTATCCGCCCTCATATCCCCCGCCCCCGCCACAGCCGCAGCCTTCGTCGTCCCAATCGACAGCTCTTTCGTGCTTCCGAATCCTTCTTTCTCTTCCATGCTCATCCTTTTCCCTCTTGTTCCAGACGGTCAGTACTGTCTTGGGCGTCGTCGACTCAGGAACTGGGTCTCCGTCGTTGATCATTCCGAAAGGACGAGGACCAGGTCGGAACGGACGTGAGATGATGGGAACCGGCGCAGGAATCGGAGGTAGTCCTGGAAAAAAAAGGCTGAAGGAGCTTCAAATGAAGAATGCAGAAACTCGTTGAGAATTTAAAACGACTCAAAAAATAAATGATGAATTTTCCGAATTCTAGTTCATCCACTGTTTGAAAAACTCAATCAGTTTCAATAAAAAAACTGATCATAAAAAAATGGAAATAATCAGAGAAAATGTCAAAACTCTTTTTTTTTTCGTGTTGTCCTACCTGCTGGCGGAACTTCGACGCTTTGCTTCCCGCAGCAAATGAAACGACGAATCTCACGATTGAACTCGCACTTGTACCCACGAAGGCATTGCTTCAATGAAAAAATTCTGTTGTCTGATTTTCCCCGAATTCTTAGTGCCGATTTCAAATCTGTGATCTCCAATTTTCATAGAGATCTACGAAACGAGTTCTGAACACTTCGATTAGAAGAAAGAAAAGGTCATTTCAAAAAAGGAAGTGTTCATGAACTGTACATAATATCATTTTTGGAATGAACTTTTGACTAAAGCCTGAGATTCGATCTGAAACCCTGCTTGAATCTCATTGAGAAGCTGGAACAAGGAAAAAAAACCTGAAAGTAGCAGTCTCTGAGTCGATTTCCAAAATCGATAAAGACGGATTGATCTGGATCGTTGCAGCGAGGAAGTCTTCGGGTCGCTGCTCTGAAAAAAGGAAGGAAATTTAGGATGACTGGGAAATCTCAACTTTTTAGTGGTGGTGGTAGTGATGGGCTCCTCTGTGGTCGTCGTTGTCACTTTCCGACTTCGCGGCTTTTTTGGTCGTTTTGTAGTTTCAAACTCCCATTCTATATCTAAAATCGAATACCTTAAGATCTCTGGAAAGAGTTTCTCGATACCTTCATCATCCGTTATATCTCCGCCCTTATCATCAGGCCTTCTGATGGCAGGAAATATTGACTCTTGAATATTGACTTGAACATGAAAACGAGTGAGCTATAGAAATTGAAGCAAAAAACCTTCTTCTTCTTCTGGCTTTTCGATGAGCGCATCCACGACAGGACGTTCTTTACGTGGACCTTCCGTGAAGGGGAACAGTTCTCTTGGTACCGCTGCTGGAAAACTTTTCATCGAAGGTGAACCAGGGAAAAATCTGATGGAATCTCACTTGTAGTGCCGACAATGACCTCTTCATTGTCAGAAGCGTCATCCGACCAGCAGCAGTAGTCCTTGAAAAAACAATTATTTCTTACTTTTTCAGTAGAGAAGGCATATTAGAAATACAAAAAAGCATAGAAAATGATTGATAAGATCGAAAAAATGAGATTTTCAAATTCCGTAGTAAGCATTTTTGATAAGAAGTTCGATTTTTTTTTTGAGCACATTATTGAATTAGAAGAAATTTAAAGCAAATGTATGATTTTTTTAATGTCGTTTACCTTTCATTGAGCAAGCTTGTGCTTCTCTATATGAACCTTCCCAGCTGTTTTTAAGCGAAAAAACGGGATAAAACAAGGAACAAAGTTTAATTTCGAAATCCTGGTGTGACCTCACCAGATCAGATAACTAACAATAATGACAAAGCTTGGATGTTTTCGAACAGAAAAAAAAGAATAAAGACCTACCTGGAAGCCAGGAATCAGAATGGGAAATCTTTCGCAAGCTGTCCCTCCAGGACAACTCGTCTCGTTGTAAACGCCGAGTTGCTGCTTACAAAGCTGCAGGTCGCCGCTGATCGGATGGACGTAGACCTTGTTTCCTGAGAAATCATTTAGGAACTCTTCAGAAGAACTCTTCCAACCAGAAGGACAGTGGATTCCGATGCCGACGTCGGCGAACATCTTCATCAGCACCTTCTCGCAGTTCGCCTGCAGCACTCCTGCCACCAGAAACCATACCCACATTCTAGATGAAGAACTGAAATCGATTGGGGAAAATGGAATCTATAAATTTCTCGAAAAGAGCCAAGAAAAGCGACGGTCAAGGGAGCCGTTTCGAATATGTTTGGGAGGACTTTGTGGGGCTGCCAGGAGAACGGCCTCCGACCGGCGCCGATTTGACAGCTCCCGGACCAGATCGGTCAAAAAATACCTTTGGACGTTTGAGCAAACAGTTCGCCTCGAAGAAGCGGAATCCATGCAACATTTAACATCATCATTATGACAGCCGATCTTTTCTCACAAGGCCGGTTATAATTATCTTCAGCTTGTGAGAAGAAATAGCCGCAAAAAAGGTTCTTTTTTGCGCTCCACGGATAATTTGAAGGGGGAATAGGGAAAAATGAGATTTCGCAGTCTTACAAGGTTTTTTTTTTCAAATTTGTTCCTTGTCTAAACTTTGAAGTTTAAAAAAAACCCGAAATCAGATCAGTTAAATTTCATAGCTTCATTATGAGAACTAGGTGGTATGAAAAAACCACCAGCGAAAATTCAAACGGCGACTTTTCCGATTTTTTCATATCGCTAGGGAACTTTCCGACGGCCACTTTTTCGACGGATCCCTTTCCGACTTTTTTCCCTTATGTTTTTCAGTTTATAAAACATCTATAAACACTTTTTTTCCTATTTCTTTGTGTTTTAATCATTAACCAACTACCTACTTTATATAGGGAGATTTAAAACGAAAAGTTTATCGAGAAAAAAAGTCGGAAAAAGATTCATCGGAAAGGTGGCCGTCGGAAAGTTCCCTAGCGATATGAAAAAATCGGAAAAGTCGCCGTTTGGATTTTCGCTAGTCTTTTTTTCATACCACCGAGAATTAAGATTTTTTGTCACTAGCTCATTTTCCCACGAAAACCAAGATTATTGAATTTGACATAGAAATCCGTAGATACGACTTCAATTCTGAAAATCCGTCACCGCTCAACAAAATTTTTTCCCTGTAACTGCATAAATTCCATCATTTTTTTTTACTTGAAAATGGTCCATATCTTTCCTTTTGATTTTCAATCACTTTTTATAAGAGTAATTGTAGAAGTCATCTTTTTCCCGATTACTCAATGCTCTAGGCTACACCTCTTCAACTACAATGTAGCCAGTCTTATCACTACTCCACTACTTGTTTTCTTCTCGATTTCTTTCCCTGGAAACTGTGCGATGTCGTCCTCTCGCTGTCGCCGTCTTGAAGGCAAAGTCGCGATTGTGACTGCGGCTACCAAAGGGTTTCTCTTCAACTCTCCCTTTATCTTTTATTCCATCATATCTCTCAGGATCGGTTTGGCCATCGCAGAACGGCTATTGGATGAAGGTGCCTCTGTGGTCATCGGCAGCAGAAACCAGAAGAATGTCGACGAAGCGATAAAGGTTGGGAATTGGAAAATGATGAAGAGAGCTCAAACTACTAGGAACTGCACAGCAAAGGCCTCAAGAACGTTGCTGGCCTCGCCGGCCACATCGCCAAGCCGGAAGATCAGAAGAAACTTGTCGATTTTGTACGTTTCTTTCAAACGGATGATGTCTCAATTTTCAATTAAGACTCTTCAAAAGTTCGGCAAAATCGACATCCTCGTGAATAACCACGGCATCAACCCGGCTTTCGGCCATATTCTAGGTTTCGAACTTGCCTTCCAATCTTCGACACAACTTTTCATTAAAGAAGTGCAAGACGAGGTTTGGGACAAGCTCTTCGAAGTCAACGTCAAGGCCGGTTTCCAAATGAGCAAATTGGTTCATCCTCATCTCATTAAACAAGGGTTTGTCAGTTGAATATATTGGGATCTGAAAAGAAATTCCAGAGGAGGATCCATTATTTTCAATGCGTCTTATGGTGGCTACAAAAGTCCTCCGGTACGTTAAATTAAATGACAATTCTGAAAAGGAGGTGATTTCTTTCGAAAGAGCAGAAATTTTGCTCTTTATTTGCTAGGTTGATTTCCGGTAGGCATCCGTCTACAAAGTCCTCCAGTTGTTAAGAAAGGTCACTAAAAGTTAGTTTCCTTGAGACTCTTGTTCTCTAAGAATAGAAATTTTACCAGTCTGCGATTTCTTGCTTTTCAATCTAATAGCTTAAATAGCTCTCAAAGTTCTCAAGCAGAAAAGGAAACTTTTCACGAAAATCCTCAGGGAATCGCGGCTTATGGAGTAACAAAAACGGCGTTGATCGGTTTGACGAAAGCTATGGCCAACGGCCTGAGCAAGGACAATATTCGGGTGAATGGAATCGCACCAGGCGTTATCAAGACGAAAATGAGCCGAGCGGTATAGACAAAGAAAAATCTTGATCTCAATGAAAATTTGCAGCTCTGGGACCATGAGGACGGTGAGAAGAACGTCAGCGAAGGCCAAGAGGTACTGATAGATCGGATAATATCCAAGAAAGGAGATTCAGATTCAACTGGGACGACTGGGAGTTCCGGAAGAATGTGCCGGTGCAGTGGCTTTCCTCGTTTCCGAAGACGCCTCTTATATCACGGGAGAAATGATTGTGATCGCCGGAGGGGTTCATGCGCGTTTGTAACGGAGATCAATAAATGGAAATACTTCATATTTGAGCACGAGAAGTTTGTATAAAAAGTGAATGTTGGACAGGAACTGGAATACATGACAAAATAATCACTTAAGAGGTCGCTTTGTGAATGCAACAGATAACGAAAATTTAAAATTGTACCTCGAACACAATAGTCGGAAAGCAAAACTCTTTCAAATTATTAGCTTTAAGTAAAACGTTGAGAATCACTATAGTTATCACATGATTCGATTGTTCTTTCAATTTAGGTCTACATGAATGAGATTACTGAATATTGATCAAAAATTTCATCGACTACTCTAAAATTTTAAGTAGAACAATTCGATAACAAAATTGAAGACAAGATTGCATAAAAATCGGAAAAAAAGATTCAAAAATCACATGTCATAAGCCCGTCGGTTTCCGTCGTTGAGGATCTTTCCGTGGAACGGTTTCTGGAAATATTTGAATTGAGGCAAGAGAAGTTACAAAATGGGTATTTCAAAGAAAGTACTTCGACGGAAATTTCGCTTTGAAAAAAGAAAATAAAAATTTCACAAATGTGAAGCCAACTCTCTATTTCGGATCTTTCAATTCTCAATTTGGTTGTTTTTCCCGATTCAGCTATATGATCCGAGATAACTATTCCAATTTCTACTGTTCAAATTTCCTGGCACGAAACCAATCGTTAAAACTAACCTCTAAAAATGCGTAATTTTGCCTCTAAATCGTTTTCGCTCAGACTTTCTTGATGGCCGATCCGCTGGCGTACTGTAATCCCGAGAACAACGTGGTAAACGCGGTTGTGCAACTGAAAGATGAATTTTCTTATTTCTTTATTTTTTTCTTCTTAAAAACCCCAAGAAAAAGATGGCGTCATTGATGGGAGGTGAAAAGTTGAAGACTGGAGATGCGAGAGACGTAGACAACAACAGAATTTGCAGCAACGTGTTCACCTTAACATTGTATTCGCATCAAACTTCATCCAGAAGAGTTTTTGGCTTCAAAAACCATGAATTTCCGAACAAATGTGCGTTCCTCACCTTGCTCATCATCGTTGGATGAACTTGCATGGAAGAAACTTGTGGATTGAAAAACCTATTCAGGGAATAGGGCGGTTCCATCGTCTGATACCTGAAATTGAAGGTTTTCAGATTTACAAAGTTCAAGAGGTCACTAAACCATACTCAAATGGTTTAGGGGCTTATAGTTAAAACTTTAAAACCAACTTTTTTTTTCAAAAAGGGTGTTAATTACGTCTCATAGTAATCATATTTGAAAAATCCTCCAACTTGAGATATTTTTTTTGAGGTAAAACCTTTTGTAAAATCCGCCAGCAATGAGGGAGACATCTCGTAGAATGACCAAAGTTGTTAACGGAACTGAAAAATTTAACTTTTTTTTATGAGGAGTTTAGGTTTTTTTTAATTTGAAGCGGAATAACTGAAAACTTACGAGGAATCAGGCCAGCATAGGTCATTGTGACGAACATTGTCGATATCAGCAACTTGTCGGCGACCGGATCCAGGACAGAGCCCAGAAGAGACTTTTGTCCAGGAACATTCCGTGCTATCCAGCCGTCCACCTGCAATTTTTTCGTTATATTCAGAATAGCTATTGTGGGCATCATTGAAATTGAAAATACCTCAATAAATAGTCAAAAACAGACCAAGTCCGAGGTCCCCGCCAGAACGAAGGACCAAAGGGCGGTAGTGAACGAGTTGGTTACGACCAAATAGCCGATGACCGGGGTCACGGCGATTCTGAACATTTTATCGGTTTGAAATGACAATCTGCGCCAAACCTTGCCATGCAAATTATATTTGGGATTGTTGCAATTTTGTACTTGCCGGAATCTATAGGTGAGCTACTTATTTCGTCAGGAGCTGTTCTAAAAACTTCTTTTTGACGGTATAAATAAAAGCAACGGAAAAATAAAAAATAAAAATAAGAACCTCTGTTGTTGAAGACGAGGCGCGATCGCTACCATCCTCACATTTTTCATCGCGAAGTGTACGCGAGAATATCTTGCACAAAAAATCGGCCTCGAAAGCAGATGAAACATCGAAAACCAGTTCGCCTCGAGGCGCCTTTTCAAAATATTTTCCGAATTTGCGTAGAAAAAACATGTGGGGTAAGCTTGCTCCACTGTACATTCTTTGCCCGCCAAACCAAACTTTTCGAATTTCTTATTTAATTATATGATTTAAAATAATCAAAAATTTATAATACTAATAAAAGTAGTAAGGATAATAGAGGGTTGAAGCTATCAAGACTACGGTTTTGAGCGATGGAGGACGAGTTTCTCGGGTTCTCCGAGGAGTACGACAACGCCTGTGGTAATTTTCTTCCCCTGCAGGCTTTCATGTATTTTCAGATAAAGAGAATAACGCCGACGATGAAACTGAAAAAGATGTCGTTGTGTGTTCTTCCGAAGCACTGGAGACGGGGTTTCTTAACTTGACACAAATGCAGTGAGAGAATTTATTGTACACTTTTAATCCTCGCACATTCAGACCTTGTACAAATGAAATGTCCAAAGGGGTAGTCTTAGAGCCGCGAAGCAAGTTTGAAAGAATACTTAAAAATCTTGGCGTTGAAGTTCTTTTCGACGAGTCGATGAAAGAATTTTTCAGGATCGGTATGTTTCAAAAGTTATTTTTTATGAGTTTATGTGGGTTTTGTGTAGGTGGTGACCTCAACCACGCCATGTGGACACGGAAACTAGAGGCTTACATGCAGGATAAAGCGAAAAAGAGCGAATTACTCACTCATTTCGAGGAAGAAGTCAAAACTTCGGCGTCGTTATTGCTTTGTCTTGCACCGACTGCATCGTGAGTTTGCAAAATTGTTAATTAATTTTCTATTATTTCATTTGCAGGTCTTTTGGGCGCCAAGACACGATGTTCCGCGCTTTTTTGCTCTGTAAATCTAGCCAATCAAAGGCTTTTGAAGTTTTAATGACGGCTCTCAATGACTTGGCCACTTCGTGAGTTTTATTATCGCTTATAATTTGCTGGGAAACTTGAAAACTTTCAGTTTTTTTTTTCAAAATTGTAATTCTAGATCGTGAAAGATACAGATAAGTTAAGCAAAACGTAATATTGAAGTTGCATTTCAGAAACGAGGAAAACAGCAAGGAACTGGCGTTTGCCTGCGTATCTCAGATTAGATATCTCGAAGTTTCTTACGACAACCAGGCCATTTACCAGAGTGTTTTTGATAGCAAGTTCGATACTTGGAATCCAACGACTCGTGACGCCTTCATCTCCGCTTTGCCTGAGGTTTCTGTTTTGAAATAGCTTTATTATTTCATTTATATCACTCAGATTTTAACTGATCCGTGCGCTCAACAAGAAGCCGCGCTAGAGCTGAAGGATATGTTGCGTTCTGAGGTCATCATGAGTTATCTTTTAAAATTTTTTTTTGCAGAATATGATAGAATTCATTTTTTTGTATTTTTTTGGGAGGGTTCCTCCAAAAACATTAAGGCGCATTTAGAAGATGGGAAAGGCGAAATTAGTCAGAAAAATTTAAAGAATGTGTAGTTGCAACCCATGTAATGTACAAAAGCTTGATAAGGATACAAATGTTCAAAAGCTTCAATTCATATTGGAAAAGGTTCTTCGTCTTGAAATTTTTTTTCAACTTCGTCTATATTCCTTCGAAAATTTCAAAAATATTTTTTTAAAAATCAGAATTATTATAAAAACGATAAAATTTGAATTTTTTAAAGTTAACTGTGTTTTAGCCATGATCTCACAATTTCAAGGTGCCAAGTATACAGATTGATCCTATTTGCTTCAGGTAGCCAGCGCGGCTTCTTTCCAGACGGCCATCCTCAATTCTCTGAATTTATTACGCATGCAACCTTCTGTAGCTACAGAGGTCCTATTTCAAATAAAAAATTAGGGGATTATACGGAGTCTTTAGGTTAGAAAGTTCCTTTGTGTCAATTGCATGCACGTCGACGCGACGATCCTGCCTCTCATCACCAACTTTTCTTTGGCTTCGATTTCAACGGACCCATCTGCGAGTTTTCTCGATTTTCTGAACGATTTTTCGAAGTTTCTGAAGTTGGACAACCTTCGAACACTGCGACAGAGTCGTGGGTAAGCTTCTCGAACAGAAAATGTCTCATTATATTAGTTGCTTTTACGGTTCGTAGTTTTGAGAATTTCGGATCTTGACAGTATCTGAGTTGGTTGTTCAGACATTTGGGCACCGATTCAATTGTGGCGGCCACTTTTGCAAGTATTATGCGCTACGTTCAGTTGGACAAGAAGGTGAATTCCTCCGAAAATCACTTCTCATCGATAATTTCTTCTTGAAAGGCATGGAAAAGTTTGTCGGTATTTTTGTGCCGTAACATTGACGAAACGGAGAATCCGGAGCCCGATGTGGGAACTTCTTCGAAGCCAAGAGTAACCTAAACATTTTAACATTTAAAAAAAGATAATTAAAAAATTCAGAAGTACGAATTGTTCGATTTGATGCTTCTTTTCGCCTCTTTGTCCTCCTACGGATGCCCGCCGGCCGTCTTGAATCACCTGAAAACCTGTCTGACGGCTAATCCCGCCGTCACCGATCAGTTTATCAATCTTTGCAAGAACGCCCTCAGTTTCAGAAAGGTGTATTGTAGATTGTGGGACGGACATGTTCTAGAAATACAGCAAAAAAGAAGCCGGGCGTTGCACTTTTGCTCTACAAAACTGTAAAAAAAAACACTTTAAAAGAGTAAAAAAAAAACATAGGACTCGAAGCGAAGCTTGGTTTTTTGTGCAGAAAAAAAAGAGTAAACGCCAGCGCGGGATTAAAGATGAGAACCTTTTTTCAGCTTGGAACATTCTGAATATTGTTAAACACAACATAATTGATCTTCAATTTATAAAAAAATGATACATTCAAATCATTTTTTTCTGAAGATAATGCTTAGACGAAATTTGATCATTGGAAGCGCGAAACGACGCTATAAAATGTCTCTGTTGCGTTACTTTTACATCGTTTTTCACGATTTTATAACGTGGCTATAAATGAAGCTTTATTGTCTATTCAAAGAAATTATTTTTGGAAATTGGAAATCTTTACGATTCATTCTAGATAAGACTCATCTTTTAATTTTTGAAAAGCTTCAAAATTTTTGTTGACGGTCGTAAATACATTTAGTTTTGCTTTTCAGCTTCTAAAAAGTTTTCCGACGTCTTATAAAAAGTTCTGAGCTCATTTTGTGAAAACCTAGTCAACATGACCGTTTCAGTTCCGATCAGAGTACCTGACTGCGTTCATAAGCTGTGCCAGACAGTGTGTATGGTCTTTGGACGAGAACCTCCGTTCTTTTGGCTCTTTCATCTACAAAAAACTGCTCGTCCTCACCGAAAAAACTAATCAACAGGTCTCCAAACTGTTTCAAAACAGTTTTTTCCGAAAAGAAGAAGTTCAGAACGTGTTCGAAGAGCTGCTCTCGCATTTCAGCCGCGGAGATGTCGAATGTTCCTGCGTTCTGGAGATTCTCAACATGGTTGCCGAAGAGCACTACAATGCGATTCGCGATTTCATCCCCTTGATTCAGGTTTATTCGGCGAAAATGTACAGTAAAAACAAGGCAAAATTCGATCCGTATTTAAAATAGCATCGAGAAAAGGCAAAAGAAGGCAGTTGGATCCCTTGATTATCCACTGAAATCGGAAGAATGATGAAAGAAATGTAAAAAAAAAGAAAATACCATCCGCCGCCGCCACAGCATCCACCGCTCATCGGAGGCGGGGCCACGCCTGAAAATCCAGGGAGTCGTCCGATATTCCTTCGGAATCCTGCAAACTTTTAATTTCAATTTGGCGGCTGTGTACATTTTTGGTTGCTGGAGATCAGAAAATTCATATAGTACCCATTTTTTCCGTTCAGTAATTTAAAAAAAGAATATTTCTCATTAGAAAACGGCTAATAAAGTAAAGCTCGAAGGTCTTTTTTTTCAAATCTAAACTGAAAAGGGCTGAGCTCTGAAATGATTTCTCTATGAACACTCAAAATAGTTAAAATGGACTAAACTTCGGGTTTTTTCGGTTGGTCAGATTAACTTTTTGTGAAAAAAAAAATTAGAGACACAAATGGGTATGATCTTTTTTTTTACCTCGGCTTGAAACTACCAGTAAATGTGCCAGGAGGTCGAGATGCGTTTTGGTGGAAAGTCAAAAATAATAGCATTCGCGAATCTTTTATGAAAGTTAACCATTTATCTCACACAAAACGTCAAAGCGCATTCTTTGAAAATGATTTTATGTGAATAGTTTTTTTTTTATTTTTCAAGAGAAAAGCTGAGTGAAATCGAAATATGCGACAGTTCAAATCGATGCCAAAAACGTATCGCGAAGGCTTTGCACATGAACTGCAAATGCCGTACGCCGCCTTTTTTAGCCAAAAAACAAGCTAAAGAAATTACCGTCGCTGCCACCGCCAGAAGATCCGCCGCCGCCTCCACGTCCAGAGGAACCTCCGCCGAGGCCGTTATTGTCGTTTTGACGCAGATAACTTCGATGGTCATTCGCGGTGGGACGATACCCGCCTGAGGTCGACGGTCGATCCATCCCGATTATTGATTGAAAGCTGCAGAAAAGGAGATTATTCAAGCGCCAACTTTTGAAAATTTCCGAATTGTAATGAATCAATCAAAATAGACTCGAGAAATAATCGAGAAACTAAGCTCGTAGAAAATTAATCATACTTAAAGTCAATACACCTTGAATATAAAGTAAAATAAAACTAACAACAAGAGGAGCATGGCGAAGAAGGACATGATCATCTCAATGACTCCTTTTTTCTTCTCGATAACTCTCCCATCTGCAAATAAAAGTATAATGAAAACTGCAGACCAAATATCTTATTTTTTGATGTAGTAAGTTAACAAAATCCTGACGAAAGGAAAGTTTCGTAACAAAGAACATCAGTTTGAAAGAAAATTATTTTCAATAATCGTTCTGTTTTATTGAACTAAACCCGAAAACCAACCTTTATCGACGTAAACCATGTTGATCGACTTTTAGAACGGGTGAAAGGTTGGGAAAATAATAAACGCGCGTGAAGCGACGTCAGCAGTCTTCAACAGAGAATGTGTATGCAGACGTGCGTCGCGATACAGTAAAACGGCAAAATTAAAATCTTCTCACTCAAGAAAAATCTGAAGCCGTCATAGTTTAAAAATAGATATGACAAAGAATATTGAGATGTATTGAAAAACTCATTTTTTTCTGAAAAAGACCAATTTCAGAAATGCTTGGATCTCATACACACGCTCTCGTTGGACAATGTCAAGAGCCTTTTCAGAGTTCTACTCATGATATGTTCCAAAAATGATGATCTCAACTTGAAGGTTTTTTCGATCACGAAGAAAAATTTTTTTAAAAACCATAATATAAATTGAGTGTATTTTTTATTGAAAAGCTTTTTTATTCATTAAAATATCCTAGGCTAACTTGATTCCTTTCCTCAACAAAAATAATGATATGTTTCAGAAGGATATCAACTACCTGATAATGGCTTACCTTTCATCCCATAATGAACAGGAGAGAATGTGGGGAATCATCGGAAAGACTGTTCAAATCGACCTGTTACTCCAAAGCAGGCATGTCCAGTCAGGCTCTAGAAGAAATGACAAAAGCAAATATAGGGAATCGAACCGAGAATCTTTGATGCAAGCCTACTTGGACGACATCGAGAGGTGTCTCCAGGGAGACGCTCCTCTGAGAAGCGCCTTTTACAGACTTTTCGCCCAAGTTCTTCAAAATAACGGGCGCAGCATGCCTAGCCCTTATATAGTTGAGACTTTTTTTCGATTAAACATATCAGAATGGCATGGTTTACAGTTAAAATGGGCTGATGTTAAAGAAACGATGTTTAAGAAGGAGTTTTTCGTGGATAAAACCGCCGGAGTAGAAAGTACATCGTTCGTTTGCTTCTCTATTAAATTATCCAAAAAAAATCTCAGAGCCTTGGAATCGGAAAAATTCGTTCGTAAAGAATGTGGTTTTTGGCTTCAGCCCCCGCCAGAGCGTATGAGAGAGCTCGTCGCGTTTTTCGAGCTTCTCAAGGTGTTGTTAAAAGGAATAAATCAATTTTGAAGCCTTTCCAGGAGGTTTCAATGATGAAGCGTCGCTGGAACACGGATGAAGACTCGTTCAACGCCAACGTCAATCACTTTGCCGCCTTTTTCTACGCTTTCGGTATTAAATCCATATTTTTAAAGTTCATGTGAAGAGACTGTTTCAAATTTTTTTTGTTTATTGTATCTCCGTTGACATTTCGGCCGCATCTAGAATAGCTCAAGGCATTGCGGTCGCGCTGCGGCTCTAACTAATGAGTCGATGCTTTCAAGTGGGTCGGGCCCACCACTTTGGTACTTAGAGCCATATAGCCGCATGTACACCGATTAAACGCGTCAGGCTCGGTAAGGATTTGTTGCACTTTATGCCTGCGCTCCAAAGTCGTTTCGGGTCGGGTGCACTTTCAAAATAACTTGCTCTCAGTCGTTGCGCATCGAGCCCGGTCGGCATGTTTTTTGTCGAGAAAAGGATGAATCGAGTAAATACAAGAAATAGTTGTTTAATCCATCCAGAAGCCAACATTTCTATGGAAGCAGTGACCTCGCTGAAAGAAATAGACAAAATCAAAGCGACTGTTGACTATCTTTTCTTCGTCAATGACTGGATCCGGATGGTTTTTCCTTTCTTTGGCCGAGAAAAGTCAAAATCTTCCAGCTTCTCAATACCTTTTCCTCGAGATCCAGTGTTCCCGGCCATCCCGACGAGGTTATCCAGGAGATTTGGACCAAGAAGTTCTTCCTGCTTTTCGAATGCGAGAAGCAAATTAATACAAGAATAAAGCGTAATTTGACATTTTTTAGGTGTAATCCTTCGTTTTTCTGGTTTAGAGATTGAAAAATGGACCCTTCCAACTGAATCCACGACGGATTGTTTCGTTGTTCGACAACAAGCGCCCAAAAACTCTTCGAAGAAAAAAGTTGAGCGTCGAGGAAAGAAGAGACCCAGAGAAAGCGACGAACATAACAGTGTGGGTTCTTTCAAAGAAATATTGAGCTTTGAAATTTTAAAATCTATTATGACAGAGAGGAAAAAAAATACTCAACAGAATGAAATTTACAGATGAATGAGCCGATAAATTCCCCAGAACCAGAAGAAATGTTCGTTGACATCACGACAAGTCTGAGCGATGCAAAGACGAGAAAGCCGTTGACTTTCATCGATTTGAAAGATTTCAATTTTCATCTACGGCCTCTGAAACTTGCTGCAGTTGTGAGGTTGATTTTGGTGAGTTGGAAATGAAAGCGCGAAAATATGATAGTCATTTGAAGTCTGTTCTACTAATTCTATGTGAAAATGTACATTTCTTCTTAACCTAGTTGCTAAAAATATGAAAAATGGGTGATTTAAAATTTGAAAAAAGCACATGTCTTCTTTAGCCATAGACTTCAAAAAAGCTATTTTCCGGTATTTTCTTCCTCAAAACCTAAATAAATACTTTCAAAATCTTTCTTCCTCTCAGATGGTCGACGAGAAACGAAAGTCGACACTTTTCCTGCTAGATGAGCTTTTGAGAATCCTCCGCGATCAAATCTCCAAGAAAGAAAAGAAACCGGGAATCTGGCTGCATAAAGTTATTGTATTGAACCTCCTTTCAGAATGATTGCAATTTTTCTCAGAATAACAAGCCGAAAGTGAGTTCCGACTACCATGGCGATCATACAACCGTTTGGAAGCTGGTCAAAAAAGTTTACTGAAAGATGATTTGGAAGCAAGAAGTTTATATTCAGTGCATTCCGGTCGTTTGGAAAATCGCGAACAGTATGACCAAGTTTTTCGAAGAGCAGCTCGAGACCTCCATTGTCGATCGGCACGATCCAGCGATTTTGGCGCAAACTTCTCAGCTACTCGCTCGCTGCCTTCAAATCGTACACGCTATTTTCTCATCGTGAGGTTTTTTTGATTGAGAAACAGTGGAAGAAAATGCATTAAAATAGGGAACGAGATTTTTAGAAATAGTATATCTGTAATTACTCCAGTTTCAAAAAAGCATACTCTGTTGTCGACCAAAAATGGCGAAGTAAGAAAAGGATTAACGCGTCGCGGCTGCGAAGCGGTCATTTCGGAACCTACTTTGAAAAGCACATATTTAGCAGGGAGCAAAAGTCTCTGAAGGTCCGGCGCAGCCGTCAAGTTTAAATTTCTATACTGTCGAAATTTAGCCATTCCATGCAAGTCCAATTTTTCCTTTAGTTCTTTTGGAAAAAATCAACTTATCCTGCATTTGTATGATCTCTGTACTTAAAATTCAAATAACGCGATTTTTCAAATTTAGAAGTGAAACTGCGAGACCTCGGGAGAATGAAGAGGGTTTCACATCGAGGAGGAACAAAAGGTCGGAGATGATTGAGACTTTGGAGAAAAGCATCATGGACATGCAAGAGCAGGAGGAGGTTCGGGTGAAAAGCACAAGAAACTAGAGATTTTCCTGGAAAATTAGAGAACCTCAGTGATCCCTAATCTGAGTTGTTCTTTTCAATGATTTCTGCATATTTCAACAGAGCTCTTCAGAATGAGTCGCCGGACGAGGCTGAAGAGGATCCCGAACACCGGATTTCTCAGATCTTCTTCAAGATGGCTCATGTCGCCCTGAGCAGCGAGGTCGCTATCGCCGTTCTTGATGCCTTCTCGTGTTTTGACGTCGCAAGTCCAGATATGTCTCTGAAAATGGGTTCGTTTTTTTATTGATCTTTGTGTTTTGGAAACCTCTTGATATTTTTTAGGCGCGAAGAGCATTTTCACTTTTATTTGAGAAATTTCACTACTTTAGCTCCTTTGAAAAACCCAACCAAGCTTTTCGAAGTTATTTTAACTGGAATTTATGTTTTTCAGCAAAAAGTGCCCTGGGTTACCTGCGCCGAGAGTGGTCAGATGAAGAAGGTAACGCTCTGAAAGGACCTTCCCTTTCCAATGCAGCCAAATCGATTCTTGAGTAAGGACAATACAAGTTCCGACTAGAAGACTTGGAACTTTTTGGAAAAACATTTTAGGTTTTTTTTTCTCAGAGTTTTTGCACAAACCCTGAGAAGTCCGTTTAAAAGAAGATCAGATAATCGTTACAATGTTTCTTTTCAAATTTATACCATTTTTATCGGCTTGACGACTTCTTACTGCCCCTTCAATCAAAATTCTTTTTTCGAAAGATCCGAGCTTACTTTCCTTGCTGTTTCTTCAGGGATTCTTTGTCATGAAATCTCCGCATTTCCAACAAAACTCTCCTTTTTCAGCCATTATATTCGGCTTCGTAGGGATGAAAAACAACTTACTGCGATTCATTCTCTTTTATCGGACAAGATTGCGTCTCTGGTATATTTTTGGTTGTTGAAGGATTCTCACTTATTTCTCAGGTGCCGAAAGGCGAGAAAGAAAAGAACAATGCCTATGGAGCCCTTCCTCAAGACGATGAGCTCGACGAGGATGACATGCGCGGCAACTTTGCCTGTATCAATGTGTAAGAGCTCACGATCGATAAAAATGAAAAGGATAATTGCAGAAAAACGTTCCCAGCCATCTACAAAGTCCTGTTCCGGTGGGTCAACGTCTGCATGTCGAGGAAAAATATGCGTTCGAATGTTATCAGAAATGGCTCTCACACCGAGGAACAGGTCGGTTCATAACATAGGAAAAGAGGAGAAGCAAAAATTTCCGAAGAAAATGGCTTTGAAAGAAACGTTACAAAAACTTTTTTTGGGAAACTTTTCTAAGGAAGGCTAGCCAAAATCAAATTTTGAAAATTTTTATCTTACCTTATCTAGAAATGGGCTTTTCAACTTTTTTTTCAAAGGAAAATTCATGGTTCTCGATCATTTTTCATGACATTTAAAACCCTTTCAAAAAGATTTTGGTGATTGAGTAGTGAATATAAAGTACTGGAGCTCACAGTGCTATAATTATAGTTCGGATTTTTGAAAAAGTTACAGTGTACCAAGTCTCCTTCTTCATTAAATATGACTTTTGTAGGTTTTGAATATGTGGGACTCGGCGGCGGCCTGTTTCTCGTTGCTCTGTCTTTTCCTCAGAGTTCCACAATTGCGAGCTTTGCCTGCCCTCACGACGGCTGTACGTGAAGGGAAACGATTTCTGACTCTCATCGCCAAGAATAAGTAGGTGTTTCCAAAAATTTATGAAAAAAGGTCTTGTCAAAAACGAACCTAAAAATGCTCTAAAAAGGTCATTTTACTCTGAAGTGAAGCTCCAGAAAGTCCCAACTCTAGTTGATCTGAAAGTCAAAGGAAATTCTCAAAATCCACGGGCTGTTTTGGGGCTTTAAGCTCTTATTTTTTAGAAAACTAAAGAGTTTTGCAGGTTGTCTCTATAAGTGCCGCATATGATAACTTGCCTTGTTATTCGATCGCGAACCTTTAAGTGATTACTTAAAGTCTTTAAAAGCGCTCATAGAGGAATAGAGGGTTGAGAGGTTTCTGTAAGGTCACTGAATGCTTTTCAGAAAGTCTCTCTTTTGCAGTTAAAAAATATTTTTTCTACTTGTCAGGAGCATTTTTTAAAAGAACCTTTTTCGAAAAAATTTTCAGCTATAACTGGACTTCTTTAAATTAACCATTATTCCCTGATTTTCATTATAACTTCCTCCTGAATGAGACACTTTATTCAGTTCGTTCACCTATCTCCTCGAAGATTTGCCGCAGGGGGCACGGTTCATCGCCATTGAGCCTCGTATCAGTAAAATCATCCGGGCAGTTCAAATGGGAAATGGAGTCTTGCAGAATATTGGCGTCTACGCAAAGGTTTCTTTTTTCAACTTGCATGCGAAGAAGATCCTTCAAAACGCACCCGACTTGAAACTACTTTCCCATTTAGGCATTTCCAATCTTATCGCAAACTTTTCCGAGCGAGCTTTTTTCTCTTAAAATTACACTCAAATGGATCATGACCTTTAATATTCAGACGAAAAAGTGCAACAATCTGTTGAAAGCCCTGCCGGAACTCCGGGGAGCCAGTGAAATGTGTCTCCGCCACATGCACACTATCATGGTTTTTCTTCCTTTTTGCTTTTCTTGACGGCGAAGTCTCCACTTTTCCAGGTAGCCAATAACTGCACCGACGCCTTCGACATTGGAATGATGAAGAGCAGGAATCTTGATGTACTTTATATTTTTAATCTTGGGTCCCAAAACTTGGGGACTCGTTCGAAATACTTGATCTCTTTAGATTTTATTTTCTTCTAGCTCTACAGAAAGGAGTTCATTCTTCTTTCTTTAAATTTTCTCCTTAACTGAAATAAATCGTTTAGGGCAAGGTGATGGAAGTGGAGCAATCAGAGGACAGCGATGCTGAAAGCGAAAATGACCCCGCACAGGTATTTTTTCGGTTATTTCAAGGAAACGCTTTTGATCAACAAGTGAATGACCAGTGCTTTGGAGAAACCTCTTTTTAATGTTTCCATTCCAGAACGATGGGAACCAAGATGAGGAAGGAAACGACGATGAAAATGATGATGGTGAGGACAGTGACAGCCGGGAAAGTGCCGTTTTCTAGCGGGTGCAACCTGATCTTTTTTTATTTTTTACTTTCTGAAAATTGACTCATAAATTCACTTAACATTTATTTTTAGTTCGAACATCAAAGAAATGCATTTGATTTGATAAATAAACGAGGAGTCGCTTGAGGTTGGGCGCAGTTGTAGATTAAACGTGGAATACATTTTTAAAGCTCAAAGAAAATGGTGATTTTGAGGAAAGTTTTAAAAAAATATTGCCATTTTTTAATCTCAACATAAATCAAGCTTTTTCAATCTACAAACCTTCGTTTTTTGAAGTGTGTTTTATTTTCCAAAAGAGCACCTCATTTTGCTGCGATATGCTGCGACTTTCTCCCAAAGCTGCTGTGAAACGAGTATAGCACGAAAATCGTTTTTTTTTTTCGTCAAGTTTACATGTCTATATGATTCTTATGCGTTGGTTTGTTATGGTCCTGCGCGATAATGGGAAAACATCCTCTTTTTGTACAAACAGCCGAGGAAATAAAAGCCGCGCCGATGCGGAAAGGTAGTCAAAGCCATGAAATCTGCTCAGCTTCTCCAACTTTCTTCTCTTCTTCTGTTCACGGTATCGGCAGAGTTTTTCCTCTTCCATGGAAAGTTTTAGTCCGTTCGGGCCTCGATCGATGTCGATCAGCTCCTGACAGTCGAAGGAAGTGGCCAGAAAGTTCAAGAAGGAATCGTCCATGTGACTGTCGTGACGTCACGCGTCTACGACCCTTCCAAAAACGCCAGCAACCTGAAAACGTTAAAGGACACGTTAAGTTGCAGTTCCACAACCTTTGTGGTCGCACTAAGAAAGGCTCAAAGAACTCACCAAACGCTTGGAAAACGATCCCATCGAAAATTTTGAATTTCTCAATTTTAACTTTGTTTAGCTAGACTCTCTGGACTTACATCAATTGTTTTCCGAGCTATAGGGAACTTGAAAGAATTTTAATCACTTTTTGCTTTAGATCCTTTCTCATCGCAACCGTTTCACGTCGTAACTGTTTTGTCTCCAGAAAATAGCTCTTTTCAGATTGACTCCTACTCGAAAGAAGAGGGAATCAAGTACCCGTCGGACCAAATTGAACAATATGTGAAAAATCACGCCGGAAAGTTTGCTGTTTTGTACATTGTCTACGACGCTGAGTGTGAAAAGGTTAGGAATTTTCGAAGAATTAGGCTACTGACATTGTAATTTGAAAATCTGCGGCTAATTAGTTTGCCCATTTCATAATCGCAGCCTTCTCAAAATCTCGAAAGTTTTCAAAAAGTCTATAAAAAAGCGTGGTCAGAATTTTTGTTGAAACGATTTTCCAATCTTTTAAAAGTTTTCTTCAATGAATTATGTGTAGGTTGGCAACACAAAACATGCGCTTCTCTGAACCTTTTTAACAGCTAGAAATTCACGTTTATTTTTCGAAAGACAGGATTAAAGAAATCTGGAAAATCTTCAGTAGCCGTTTTAGAGCTCCGGACTCATCAAGTTTTTGTATGATTTTCAGGTCCAACGTTTCATCAGAGGCGCCAAAAACCATTCCAAAGAAGTTTCATACGCAATTCTCGCGTGTCCCGATGCGAAAACCCAAATCCTCTGATCTAAGCTAGGTTTATTGAACAAGGGAGTAAAGTTTGAGTATTGGATGATGCAATGAAATTGTAAAAATGGAAAAAAAGATGAAATATATTGCTCAAAAAAGGAGAAATTCTCAGTTCAGATCCATCACAAAGAGAACAAAATGAAAAAAAATCGCAGTATTCGTAAATGGTCACATAAATAGAAGAATAATAGACGCAAGTCGGAAAAGCCTGGCCTGTCTGCACTCTCTTCTATATCACCGATGAGAAAGATGAAACAAGCACAAAGAGGTCAGACAGTTTGAACTGGCGGCTAAAGGAGCATGATGAGCATTTGTGTTAATGGAAGATGCTGAGCTTGCTGATTGCGGCGAGGACTATGGAGCCGGCGATAATGTGCAGCGAGTTGTCAGGCGCCATGTTGCATCTGAAAACAAGTGTTGAGAACGATCATAGGCTCTTTGATTAGCGAATCGTCAGTGATCAACTTGCCCATCTCCGTAGCAACAGCACGAGACGGAGCTCACGCCGATCATCGACGTGTTCTGGCAGTTGGCCACCGCGTTCGTTTGACCGTTCATCTAAGAATTCGAACTTTGAAGAAGACGAAAAAGATTTGAAAGCTTTAAGCGTTTGGAAGTGACCCCACAGAGGAGGCCGTTTTTAACTCCGAACATATGTTCAAAATTTATTGGTATGGGATTATCGTCATCTGCTCAAGTTTCTAAATCTAATAAATATTTATTTTCTTTTTTTCGGAACTCGATAAAGTTGGGCTATTTTGTTTACTAGCCATTTCTCACTTCATGTCAAACCGAGACTAGAAAATCTGTGAAGAAAGTTCAAATCCTTCTGGCGCAATCTTTTTGCCATTTTGTTTCTGATGACTAGCAATTCTTATAAGTCTTCTATCTCAGTTTATCAACGATATTTGGAGGATTTTTTTCGACCTCATTCTTCAAAAAAAGTTTCAACTCCAGCCTCGGACATTGGTAACGCGAAACGGACGTGCTCCGTTTCTGAGCAATTCTAGGGACCAATTAAGAGTGCTTTCGCTACTGAAGTGATTCTTCGAAATGCTCAACTAGGCTGGTTAAAAACAATTCAAGACAGTTTTCAGGTAATGTCGGAAGGATAAATAAGACTTATAATTTTTTGTGTCAGGTCATAAAATTTCTTAAAGACTTTAAGAACAATTTTGAGATGCACATTCCGAATTAGCGAAAAAAGAATAAGTGATTTTCGAACTCCTACAATGAGCCTAGACCGTTTTTTTATTTTTCGGATACACTAACTTTCTGTGTTTTTACTGACTTGCGAAACATTCTACCGCCGTTTTGAAAGAGCAAAAAATGCACGTGGGAAGCCAGACTCGGTGTTGCCAATGACAACAGGCCACGAGTCGCTAATTTTTTTTCTCCTTTCACGAGTGTTGCCACCGTAATCCAGGTGAGAGCCTCCTCCACCGTAGTCACGTTGGCTTTCTCCAGGAGCTGAAAGGAGAAGAAGGAGAAAACTAACAGTGCAGTTGAGGGACTGGCACTGCTTGGTGTAGGTGTTGCGAGTGAAGTCGACGATTTTCACGCAGGTCAGCGAGCCCAGAGGACAGTCCTGAAGCCATTTACAAGGTATTTGAAGCCTCGACGAAATACAAAAAAAAGATTTATCATTTCTTTAGAAAGTAAAGTTGTCTGTTACCGTGAGTCCGGAACTGTCGGTGACACTGAGGTTTCCTGTGGCGACGACGTGGCACTGAAGCGCTCCCGCAGCTCCGACGAAGAGGACGAGGACAAGAAAGACGAGGTGCGTTGATGGGATCGTTGAAGGGGACATTTTGCTTCTGAATTGAATTAAAAATTGAAAGAGGCTCTCATAGTTCACGATTTGAGAGGTGAAACATGATTCACGGCCTTTTAAGAAGCTGCGCCTGACTAAAACGACGTGCGCGTCCTGTGCTTGAATAAGTCAAAACGGCAATGCGTTCAGCCATGCTACACGCGACCAGAGGGTTACAAACTGGGTCGGTTGGAATAGAGGGAAGAAAGGATGGTTGTTGACCTTTTTTGAAGTTCTAAGTGTGTTTACTAACTAGAATTTATCGTTTTGGATCGCAAAGATTGCACTCGATACAATCAAGTTTCAATTATCGCATTTACAGACAGCATAACTGTTGAAATCTCGAAACTAAGCTTGAATTTGAAACACTCAAAAAAGGTTAGCCCGAGAGAAGAGAGCCCAACGATAAGCGGATTGATTCAACTGACTGGCGGTGAAGCCAATCAAGTTGGGGCCGAAAAGGAAAAGTGTTGCCTCGGCGTGTGACAGCGTCTATAGCAACGGCGCCCTAGCGACTATCAATTAGACAGGTGGAAAGGCTCACGCCCCGCTACTCTTGATTATTAACACTTTTTCCATCCCCAGTCCGTGGGAAGTTATTCCGGTCGGCGGGAAATTTTCCCCAGGAGAGATTTCGAAACAAACACTAGGGTTGTTCTTTTCGGATCACGAGAGTTCTTTCAGCTGGCAAGGCTTGAAAGTTTCCAATTCTCAATCTTTCGCAAGGTTTCAACGTGGGCTTTTGAAGTCAAAGGTCCTAAAAAAAACACTGAAAACGACACCTGCAAAGATTTTTGAACTTACAGTAACTCAACGAGGTGGCTAGCCAGGGAACGTTTCTTACCTCCCGGTTGAACTTTTGCTGAAACTTTGCTGAAGTGTACTTTAGGACCCCCTGATTGCAGATCAAGAAGAAAATTTCTCGCAATAGATCTCGTTTTCGATTTATGGAGCTTCAAAGTGTGCAAAATACGCAATTTAGGCCAAAAAAGCGCTATTTCGGGCTTTTGCAGTGTCCTAAATCGAAAACGAGATCTATTGCGAGAAATTTTCTTCCTGTTCTGAAATCAGGGGGTCCTAAAGTACACTTCGGCAAAGTTTCAGCAAAAGTTCAACCGGGGGGTAAAAAACGTTCCCTAGTAAGTTCTCAAATTTGTGTTCAGTTCTCAAGACGGAATACGTTAGGTCCTTCTTCTGCGCCATTAAAAAAATAGTTACCCAAACAATCGAATAAATGAACAAGCTGATCCTGAAACGAAGCATGTTCTTTTCTGCAAAGTAGCCGGAATTTCGAGTTCTATTATTTTTTGCACCTTCGCCTCAGCAAAGGATTTTTCAAAAATGTCCCTGTCTAAAAGCCGTACAGAGCTAATAACTTGCACAACCTGTGTGGTAGGTATCTAAATTCAGGCGCAGGGTAACGGGAAACAAGTCGGTGAACTCGTCTTCCTAACTACACTTCGTAATATGCAAGATTTTCCGGAATCAATTATAAGGCTGTTTTCTGACTCCGATTGGCTTGCGCCGGCTTGTATTCTTCATCGAGTGCGAGGCGTATTTCATTTTTTGAAAAAGTTTTTTTCAATGAATACCACTTTGCTCTCTGGGCGCTGTCTGCTTTCAAATTCCGCTTCGGATGCGAATCTTCTAAGATCTTTATTTCTACGAAAAGACACTTTAACGAATGTTTCGAATATTTTCACAGGTGGAAGGAAGGAATAAATCTAGAAGAATCAAGAAAAAAATAAGGCGTCTCAAAATGCGAAAGAACTCATGTCAAGCTATTTTCATCAAGGAAGTTCCTTGAAATCGGTGGTCGCATTGGAAATGGCACGAAGAAAAACGGTCTCTTTATGCAGTTGAAGCGACGTTAAGTTGAAACGAGCAAAGTATAGTAGACAACGTGAAGCTCATAATCTGTGAGAAAATGTTCCCTGAAGTTTTTTTCTCTGTGGGAATGCAAATGAGTAATCTATTTAATTAGCACTCTATAGAACTAGTTTTTTTTCCTACCGTAGTCAATGGAGAGGAAAAATTGGAGCTTCAAGCTAATTAACGAGTAAATGGTGACTCAAACGTTGTTAGACTATAGGTTTTCTCAGAATGTAAAGGAGTCTCCAGATTTTTTTTCTTGCTCAAGTTTTTTTTTTTGGAATGATCAATTATGACCTTTTCTGGGGGTATGACTCAGAAAGAAGTGGTAAACATAATGAAATGGCACTTTTTGACTTCAAATACGCTTCGGTTGTTTTAATATTAATCAGAATAAATTGAGATTTCTAAGACTGATTAGAGGAACTATGGCGAGAAGAAAGTGGAGGGGAACGGTTGGCGTCGAGTTGCACCTGAAAATATACTGAGTATAAATAAATTGGATTGAGTAGATCATTTACATTCATTTAGCAAAACGATTCAGTCAAGGGACAAAAAAAAGTCGTACAAGACAGAAAAAGCACAGAAAACGGAATAAAATTTCATGAAAAGTTTTCCAGGGAATCAGAGCTTCTTCTCGAAAATGTTTTCAAAGTTTTCAGTTCTTACGGTCTCAAAAAGCTATCATAAAAAAACAATCCTTTTTCCGTACTTTTTCGTCTTTCAATCCAATTTCCGTTCTAAAGGCAGACATTTGAGTTTCTCATAGGCTAAAAGTCGAGTTGAAAACTTGCCCATCACCGTAGCAACAACATGTGGCTAAAATCACGCCATTACTGGAAGTGTTGAAGCAGTTGGCAGGTGCTGGCGTGATAGTTGTGGACTGGAAAAAAAAGTAGGGGAATTTTTCGAAAGGAAAAAATACCGTGCAGTTGGCTGGCTGGCACTGTTTGGTGTATATCAAGTGAGTATAGTCAACGATTTTCACGCAAGCCAGAGAGCCCAACGGACATTCCTGAATATTTTCGGCTTTTTTGGAACTTTCCAACTCCAAAGGGATCATTTTCAAAGAAGAAGTTCTAAGAAAAATTAAATTGAATCATTAACTATGGAGCGAACATGTGCCAACTATCTCGGCTTTTTTTTTTTCAAAATTTCAGAATGAAGGATAGTTTCTTACTCCCGTGTGAGAAGTCGGCCTCTTTTTGACCTACCTTATTTATTTTTGAAGTTTAATTCAAACCTCAGGAGACGAATTTACGGGATTGGAGATGTTGCCGCTTGGTACAATATGGCACTTGAGGCCGGCTGCTGTTGTGAAAATAAAGGATAAGGTCACTAAAATGTGTGTTGCAGACATAAGACGGTCTTTCTACAATCATTTTTTTATTTTTTTTTAAATTTTTGTCTTATAGAAGCAAGTTGCAGAAGTCCACTATCAGATTTTTTCAAGATTTTCGCGACGAAAAACTTTGAAGAATCAAATTGAATCGTTCGCGCTTTTGAAAAACCTAGAAATTCGTGGATTTCAACATTAAAATGAATGATGTATAGTCCAGAAAGCGTATGAATCAAAAGGAAGCACGTGTCTGTTTCCTTATTAGATATAAGGTTTCCCACATCTTTTTTTCCCATTCTTCTGAGCTTTGTCATAAGTTTGTGAAGATTTTATCTTCAGTAATTTAACTAAAAATGTTTATTATACGGTGCTAGAAAAGTTTGATCTAGAAATATAGCTGATTTGAAGATACTTTATTATCTGTACGACATTTCCCTGCACCTTGAGAAAAACTGTCAAAATGAAGAGGAACATTTTTTAACGTTTCCATTAATATTATCAAGCTTCTCAGTTAAATTCTACCCCTATCATATATCAGCAAACTTCAAAGCTGACTTTGAAAATCAAGAAAACCAGACAATTTTCAGCAATTTTTGTGATAAACTCCACTGAAACTGATTGAAAAAGAAAGTTTCACGAGAATCAAAAATAATTTCTTCTTTACTTTTCTACTACTCAGATTTTCATTAAACCAGTTTAAAACATAGATGAGGCTTTAATCGAATTTCGACCTTCCTTGTTAATTTTTGGTCTCCACAAATTTATCTTGCGAAATGACATTCAAGTCAGGCTTCTCTCGTGTTTTCAACAGACAAAAAAAGAATGTTTTGGTAAAGAAAAGGCGGATACACGGGGATCGTGAGAAAAGGAAACGAATATTTCAGGTGCCGTTTCCGGCGCCTGATTACGTTGTTTCCATAGCAAACGAAGAAAAGGCTATGTATTAGGTGGGCGAAATCACGGGGTTTCCAAAAAAGTGAAAAGAAAATGATATGAAGTGTGAAGACTCAATGAAACTATACTGTATAAAAAAATATACTCAAAAAGACGTTAGAAGTGGAGAAGCGGCGGAAACTTGAGCAGAACGCTTGTTTATCCCAATTTATTATTTCATTATTAATTTACCTTTGTATTAACTTCAGGTTTTCAAAGCTTCCAACTTTACTTGGTCCCCATGACAACAGACGTCTTCTTCGCTTCACCTGTCCCTTGGTAGGTTTTTGTTTCTTGAGAATCTGACATATCCTCTTCAAGGGAAAAGTTTGCTTTCAATTTGAGGGAGAATAACCCTCCTCCAAAGACAATAAAATAATACAGAAGTTGAGAAATTAGTTCATTCAAAATTTTCGACACATTACGAAGGAGGCTCAGTTGTTTTTAGTTGTTTGAGGCGACGTATCTGGAAATTCTCGATCGCTGTTAATACAATAATGGGTGGCCGTTGTAGGGTCCAGCGGGTCCTGAAAAATTTCGCAAGTTGAAAAGTCTAACTTCTGAAAAAACCTCAAAACCATCAGAACTATGAGAGAAGTCACTCCTTTTCAGGGGTTGACGGCTCTTTTTCTTCACTTTCAGAACTATGAACGCTGCGAAAATAGCTAGAGCCGCAGATACCAATAAAAGACGCAGTTTAGTGACCATGAAAGTCTAGAAATGAAGTTTTCTTCCGCCTTTTTCTATTTAAGACACTAGATACATTTTTGAAAATGCGTCAAAGTCTTGCATAATGTAAGAAGAGTCTTTGGTCAACTAGAAGTTTTCTGTTGGGCTAAAAAAAATTGCTCGAAAAGAAGTTTTTTGCGAGTTTAATTCGGAAGTGAGTGCCAAAGTGCCGCTAAATCTCTTGAGGGATGAAAAAGTGATAAACGAATTTGATGAATGAATTGAGGGATAAATGAATTAATGAAACTTATCAAGTGAAGAAAAAAAGACGTAAAGCTCATCGGCATTTCCATTGACCATCGCCTCCCAAAACGATTTGTTGAGATTCGCGGTCTGTATCATTTGGTTCGAAGTCTTTGAAAGTTCGAAGTCACGCTCCATATTTTGCAGTAAAAATGTCTTGGTATTCAAAAATTTACATACGAGTTCGGGAGATTCGCTCGAGAAATCCGATTTTGGGATGGTTCTGCACGCGACTTCTCAACACTATGCTCACAATTCAGCTTTTGGGCGTTCTTTTTACGTGAGGCTCATTGACTTTTCTTCTAATGGAAAGGGGAATTTTAGTGTTTATGTTTACCTAACAGTTACTCTGGGGTTCTACGTTCAATCTTCTTTACAGGTTTTTTTTCGCAGCTTTTTAGATCAGATAATTCAAAGAAAAAAAAATTGAAATTGGCAATTTTGCGGAAAAAAAATGATGAACTAATTTCTGACCGTCGTCTTCCTTGATCTGAGTTTACGTGAAAAGAAAGCGGATAATTTATTCACACAGTCTTCTGTTCGCATACCTAAAAAAAAATTAGACATCGAATTAAAAAAGAGAAACGACAAAACTGATAATTTTTCCTAGAATCATAACTGATTCACGGCTGACTTGAGCCATCGAAAAAAAACGGTCCTGACCCTACACCCAACATAATTGCCGATATCGCAGCGGGCCGCACGCGATATAGCCAAGGCTTCTTGCTGCGATCTCGTCAACATGTCGCTGCCCTATCGCTCCCTCTCAAAAATTTGAAATTTGAAAAACATTTTTTTTGCTTTTTTTTTTAGACTTTTATGATGAAATCAATCAAAATCAAGAAAAAAACATTTTTGAAGAAAAATTTTTCAGAGAGCGATATAGCGCAAGACGTTTGCGAGGTCGCAGCGAGAGGCGAGCGATATCGCTCGCGGCTCCCCCGCGGTATAGTCCACAAATTTGGGTGTATAAGAAAAGAGACAGCGCCTGGTTGGTGGAGAGTGCAGACAGGCCACGCCCTTTGGCGTCCCAAGTTATTCGTGAATTGGCTATACATACCCAAAGAAAAGAACAAGAAAAGTCTCGAAAATGGTCTAAAAAAGTTGACAAAAGACCCCAAAATGACCACTATTTTTCACTTATCCTACAGGCATCAATTTATTTGACCGTGCTCACCTTCCTTTTATGTATGTCTCTTTGGAGCCTCGGAAAAACAATATTCACTCCAGTTGCTCGTGTCCCTCCCCGCTTCAAGGTTCTCGGAAAGATTTACTCGGATCCATAGAAAGTTCTTTCGATTCAGCCTTGTCCCGAGCTCGACAAGAAACTTCGAAGTGTGACTCCACAAGAGAACGGCCGGTTTTTCGTTGAAAAATCGACCGTCGATCAGGTGAGTCCCTAACTCTGAATCTCTGACTTTCCACTTTTTGAAGCAAATAAAACAGTGCGAGATTCTTGAGCAAATGTGCGCCCTGATGAACATCAGCGTGGCCGAGTGCGATCAAGTTGGACGGATAAAGTTTTTATTTTTGGTTGTTAAACGTTAGGGATTGAATTGAAAACCAGGAAAATTCTCTGGAAACGAAGAAAAATGCTCAAAGCTTTTTGCGATATCCTGTTTTCGTGATCTGGAGCAATCAGTAGAGGCCTGGGGCGATGCAAAATTAGTCTCTGGTTCGGATCCTTTCGCCGCGATTTTTTGCTCAAATAATTTTGATTTTATTTTTGACTTTAGACTTCATTTGCCAATTTCATACTGGAATATAATTAATCTTTTCACTTTGGTTAATTTTGGAGAGTGTTTTCAAAAGAAAATCTCGCAATAATAGGCTTTTTAATATCCTTGGAACTTTGGGCTTCTGAAAAGCACGAAGTCTTTCATCTTTTTCCAAAACAGGTACTGCTACGACTGCGGCCACATAAAACCGGACCGAGCACGACATTGCTCATCTTGCGGCAGTTGCGTCGTCAAATTCGATCATCACTGTCCCTGGATCAACAAATGTGTTTCTCATGTGAATCATTTTGCGAAAAGTTTCAATTCAACCTTCTGAAATAGGCTAACTACAAGTACTTCCTACTGTACGTTTTCTACACAACCATACTCATTATTTGGTTGGTTTTCTCACTATTCGCAACGTTTTCTGGATCTATAGGTATTTACTGACATCGGCTGAGAGCTTGGTGAGATACTTCATTCACCAAAAATGGATCGAGGAACTTAAATACGTCGGACAGGTCGTCTTCACGATGGCCTTGGGCGGTCTTTTCGGGTGAGTTGGAAATTTTTTAAATTTTTAGAAAACACTTTTTTTCGTTTCTAATCTCAGCGATAACTAGATTTGCTTTTCTCCGAACTTCTAAAAAAAGACTTTGAAAAATTGGAGAGAGAAAAGTTAATTTTTAGAGAGAAAAATTAAAGTCGGAAAGGCTCGCAATTAGAATGTTTCGGTTTTTAGTGCGGCAGACCTGAAACGACTTGCGCGCTTTGACATTTGAAAACATCAGAGCACGATAAGTCCAACCGCGACACATATTCGATCCATTCCAAATGCGACCACATTTTTTCAAAATTAAAAATTATATTTTAATCTCCCTTGAATCTGATATTTTTTTTCAGATATTATCCACTAGGAGAACTCCTAATTTTTTTCACTGGGAACTTCTAGGCCTCAATGAGACGACGTGTGAACAGACGAAACCGGCCGTTTTGAGGTTGAATGTTATCTTTTTAATAAGATAAATGTTTTTTTTTCAGGTTCGACAACAGAGCCGACTACAACTTGGGCAGAGCCAGCAATTTGAGAAAAGTCTTCGGATGGGGCCTTTGGTTCTTACCCATTGAAACATCGGTCGAAGATGGCATGCACTACGAGATTAGGTTTCGATTTGTCGAAAATGTCGGTCTCAGAAATGTTCTTGTAGATATCTGGCCCCAAAACTGACTGGTCGATACGTTCGCATCGAAGAAAGTGAAGAATTGGACGATTCTTCCGACGTCTCTTCTTATAATACACAACTAGACGTCGAATAAATCCATAGTTCTCAAAATAAGATTGAAGACTTGAAAATCCGTGTGAATGCACGCCCATTAGAAAATTTTAAAATTTAAGGGAAAGTAAAACCACTCGCTTTTTGCTTCATATTTAAAAGTGGAAAATCAATAGATTTCTCATATTGATTTTTGCTAAAACTTTCCAGAGAAAGGCTAAATAGACTATAAAAAGTCTTCAGCTTTTGAGAAAATTTTTGATCTTCGCAGAACGGCTCTTGCTCTTATTTCTGGCTCATATCTGGCTCTTATAGTCTGTTCAGATTTTGAATGTCAAGTTGTCGCTCAAGCTCCGCCCCAAATGGTGCGATAAACCAATCAGAGAGCGAGCCATCCAGATAGTGTTTTTGAAGGACGTCTTTGCACTTGACATTAAAAATATGAACAGACTATATTAGCTTTTTTTGCAACCTTGAACATTTTGAGACTTCCAGGCCCATCAAAAAGTCGGTTAACCGTTAAACAATTCGAAATCTTGTCATTTTTACTGAAAACATTAGAGTGAGAAAAAGCTATAGAAATTGGCTAGGAATTGATTCAAAAACCGGAAAATTCTCAATGAGAAGGAGCAACAGTTGACTCATAACCTGTAGCCAATTAAAAATTCAAATCGAGAAGACCCACTCATCCCACGTTTTTGATCCTCTTATCGACACTGGTTTTTTCTGTCCGCCTCGTTTTTCTCTCTACTTCAAAATACGGTTAACGGAGAACGCAATGAAACGAGGGCCAAAAAAAGATTGTCATCATCGATATTTTTTCGTGTATTTGTCGAATATTGTAGAGGCTAAACACGTCGGGCAATGTTTCCTTTAATTATCTTGTTCTTGCTCTGCTTTTCCAGATTTTGTCAAGGTTTGCTCTTTTTTTTTAACAAGCTTTAAAGCGAAAATTAAGCTTTTTTTAAAATGATAATTTTGATCTTTTCCAATCAAACTTTATGATTCAAATATATTTTGTAAGCTAAACTGAAAAATTTCTTTTTGAGTGAGGTTCTCAAAAAGAATGAAGCTCAACCGGTTCAAATCTTGCTCCATTTGTTCAAAAATTATGAAAGTGAGCCTCTTTTAAAGAAAATTTAACGATTTATGTACAATTATTTGAAGAACTAGTAAAACAATTTTTAACGACTTGTAACTTGGAATCTGAAATACTCTTCATATGGTCAGCTTGAGATAAAGCCCAATTGTTTTCGCACAACTTCTCGCTCTTATTTTTTAAAATTAACTTGGTCCTAAGCCAACGGCATCAAACTTGTAGTTGAAACATGGTTTTTATTTACCAGGCAACACTGAAATTCCAGTTTCGCCGACCGAAATCACGGACAACTTTTTGGAGAGCGTTTTGAGGGCACGAAACCGATCAGACTTCACTGTTGAAGCACCTTCGGATGATACAGAAAACCTCCGGCAAACCTTCCACCACACGAGTATACCGAAACTCCGGGCTGGAATGCAATCTCTCAGGCAAAAATGGGCGAGAAGACTTCAGGCGATGCCGCCCCACAAACTCCAAGAACTCACAAATAACGAGAAGGTATCATTGTCGAGGGAGGTCTTTCTAGTAGATAATTTGAAGTTTTCTGAAAGTTTGCTCGAACGATCCTTGAAGGTCTAGAAAAAGGTCTATCATAGCTCTCGCGAATTTTGATTTTTTAGAAACATCATAACTTCACATTAAAATGATCTTGTGGATGGATGGATGACTCAAAATGAAATCTAGCATATTGGCTACCTTATAAAATTGTAAATGGACCATCTAAAAATGCCCTTTTGAAAAATAATTATTTTTTTGCCGATTGAGAGTATCAATTCAGAAACTACGTCCGAAGCTTCGAGCGCGGGTTCAGAACCACGCTGGAACTCTTCCAGAAGTCAACCGGGCGGCTGGTCTGAACGAGTTACTTTATCAAGGAGACATGGTCCTCACAGAGTATTGATTATACTTTATTCTTGAAATTTCTTTCATTTCAAGAAGCCAACTTCAAATCATAACCGAAGCTCAAGACGAAGATACGGCTCGGGAGAAAAGACAAGCCTACAGGTTTATCGATTTTATCGAAAACACAAAAATCGATCGTTTCCAAAATTTCAACATATTAAAACGATTTGAAGGGATCGCTACTACCCATCTACCACCTGGGGATCCACGGCTTACTACTATTTCGATTCGTCGGCCAGTTAGTTTTTTTTTCAGCGTGTCTATCAAAAAGTTATTGTACTTTTTCACATAACAGTAAGCCTATTCAAAAAAAAGACAAGAAAATGATCCTAGAGCTTTTTCGAATATTCAACCTCTTTCTTTGCTTTTTGAATGCACTATTTCTGATAAAATGAGATCAGACTTCAACTTTCCATCTTTTCGAGACCTCATTAACGCCATGTTTCGGTTTCATCTCAACTTTTCACTGGAATCCGAAATTTACAGCTCCGAAAGTGAGAGCCGCCTTCAAGGCAGCCGTTTCATTTTGGCAGAATAATACTTGTATCAACATCATTGAAAGCCCCACAGGTTTCTATATCCTCCATTTTTCTCAATTCAGTCCTTCTAATTCTAGCAATCAACAGAATACGAGTTTTCAAAGGCCAAGGATGTTATTCGTACGTCGGACGGATCACAGGCGTCCAGGATTTATCCCTAGGACCTGGTTGTGAAGAAGTTGGTCCGAAGTACGTTCTCCTAACAACGTTTGTCTAGTTTGGAACTGCGGCTCACGAACTGGGACATGCTCTCGGATTTTTCCACACACAGTCCCGCTACGACCGGGATCAATACCTTTCCATTAATTTGAACAATATTGAGGTTTTTTTTCCTTTTCCTGCATTTTAAGTTTCTTTTTTTTAATCAGTTATTATGAATCTTTTTGGAAACTTTTTAGGCCAGTTATATTGAACAATTCGATAAGGAGACATCCTCGACCAACTACAACTATGGAATGCCCTATGACTACGGATCTATCATGCAATATGGAGCGACCAGGTGAATTTTCGAGGATCTTCTCCGATGTTGACCTCTCTTTCATTAAGAACAGCCTAGCCCAGCGGTCAACGTTTTAATCTCGAAAATTCACTATGAAAGTTTGGATTCTTTATCTACAAAGTTTATTTTGCCATTTTCGAAACGAAAGATCCGTTGACGAAAAACCCGCTCTTGAGTATTCAATGACCTGTTCCGTTTTTTGCATTTCATAATTTGAAAGAAGTTTGGCTGAAAATCAAACGGAGAAACTTACAAGGGGACGTTTTTCGTCCCCCGTTGAACTTTTGATGAAACTTGTCTGAATTTATTCTAGGACTTTCTGATTCCAGAACAAGAAAAACATTTCTTGCAATAAATTTTTGTTTTAAAGTAATGAGTCTTCAACACTCGTAAATTACAAAGACACTGGAAAAAGCTTTACTCGAAAGGTTTGAAGCTTCATAACTCGGAAACAAAATCTATTGCGAGATATTTTTTCCTTGTTTTACCAAGAGGCCCTTTTTAGCCAAGTTTCATCAAAAGTTCAACTTTTGATGAATAAAAAAGAGAACCAAAAACCTTGTTAGAAAAGAAAAACTAAAAAATTTAAATATTTTCAGCGCATCCTTCAACGAAAAACCTACGATGGTTGCCAAGGACACGGAATATCAGGATACGATGGGCTCGGACGTCGTCTCATTCTACGACGTTTCTATGATGAACGAACATTACAAGTGCAAAGGTTGGATTCATTATCACTGCGAAAAGACTCATTCTTTCTGAAAATTTGAGAAAAGAAGAGAATACAGTTTTCTGTAAGTTTTTCCAGCTCTCATTAGTTAACTAGTTACCAACTGGCAGCCTGTTTGCAGAATTTGTGTCCTGGGCTTAATTCCCACCGGAGGAGAATTTTTTCTTGAAGAAAGATTAACATCTTACCATTTTTAGTAGAAAATATGAAGATGAGTCACTGCGGCTCTCGTCAGATCGGAAATGGCAACCAAGAGTACATAGGCAAAGTCGGAAGGACCTTTCGAGGGTCCATAAAGGTCCATAGAAATGTTCCTTTCAGGGTGGTGAAGGCTCCTTTTTTTGCTGCCTTTTTGCTCCATTTTCTCAGCCCTTATGCACCATTTTTGCTGCCTCTCCCTTTGTCCACCATTTCTCGAGCCTTTAAAATTCCAGAAAAATGGAAGGCTCGATAAAGGGAGTCTCTTTGTTGCCTTTCGCTGCCTTTTTGCTGGCGTTCTGCGGCCTTTTTTGAGCCTCTCCCGTTTAGCGGCCATTATCCACCATTCCGACTTTGCCCGAGGTAGTGACTAGGGACCTGTATTGGGAAAGTTGCAACCTAGGTTCTTTACCTACCGGAGAGAACATTTCTTTTGCCATTTTTTCTTTTAAATATCTCGCCTTTCCCATTTTCAGTCGTTTCGACTTTTTCTCGTCGATTTACAGAGCTATGCCCTCCGTTAACGTCGGCCAAATGCGCCAACGGAGGCTTCCCAAACGCCCGAGACTGTAGCACTTGCATCTGTCCTTCTGGCTACGGCGGTCTCCTCTGCGACAGCCGGGTATAGCCGAACTTTGCTACTTCTAAAAGAACATCGATGAGTTCCTAGCCTTCCGGCTGCGGCTCTACCTTGGCCGCCGGCAGCTCTTGGCAGTCCTTCACGGACAAAGTCGGGGAAGGCGGCTCCAAATTGAGAGATCTTCACAGCTCCTGCAACTACTGGATTCAAGTAAGTCCCGATTCGAGCTGTCTTTCTGATCAGAAGATTTCATGGACCTCCAAACACCGTACTGGAAGTGAGGATAAGTGACCTGAACTCCTTGCCGATCGACGGCTGCATTTTCGGTGGAATCGAAATCAAGACTCATGCCGATCAGAAGCTGACTGGATACCGGTCATTTGTCTTGATCTCAGTCCTAAAACTCGACGAACTCGTTCAGATATTGCTCAACGGCAGACAAAGGCACAGTTTTACGATCTTCGTCGAATTTGGTACCTGTAATTACCTACAACCGGTATATGTATACAACAACTACGTTGCAGTATCGAGCGAGTTGGTTTCTTTCATTTTTGAGATGAATGAAACGTTCGCGAATAACTTTTCTGATCGAATATAAGTTCTTAGATTCGTAGAAACTTGAAAAGTTGAACTCAGTAATAAAATTATTCTAACTCAATTGAATAAATGTCATTAGGCTCCCTACAAGAGAGGTAGTTATACTCGAAATTTTACAATTTTTTTCAAAATTTGATTGATATATTCTTTGAACTGAATAAAGAATGAGATGAAGATCCTGAAAGCCTTAACTTTAAAAAAAATTTTAATTTTTTTCAGAAAGGGCTTCTCAAGTTTTTCAAATATCCATTAGGTCCAAATTTGAGACATTTTGCTCGAAAATTTTGACTGTGACTCATTCTTTATTCAGTGTAAAAAGAAGTAGTTTCAGCCGATTTTCAGAAAATCCCTGGATTTAGAAAAAATGGACTTACGAATTATTCTCACAATTTCAGCCAATTATGACTTTAAAGAAAAAAAGATGTTTTTAAAGTTTCCGCGAATGATTCAATGACTAGAACGGTTCTACCAGCGCCACCATGCCAAGATTTGCATCCAAAGTCAGTTATTTTCATTTTCTTCAAGTTTCAATCCCATTTCAGCTGTCCAGCCTTTGTTCTGAACGGTTTCTGCTTCAGTCCCTTCTATTCTCCGAACGCAAGACGCTACTACTGCACAAAGTCCTGTAATCTATGCTGAAAGTCTTCTTTCTTTCTTTTTGAAAGCTCGAATCTGAAATGAATGTACTGGTTATTTGAAGCTATCGGCAGCAATTCAAAAGTTAATTCTCACTGTTTTACGAGTATAGGTTTTCAAAAATAGTGGGTGATTAAAATTGAGAGAGCAGGCTTTCTATTTTCTCTGAACGCCTTCTTGACATCTTTGATAAATGAGATGTTGAGACCCCAATAATTTATAAAATAAAAACTTTCTACCAACGTCGAATGGACAAACTCCTGTTTAATGTGTTTATTCAGACCCGAAAGAAAACCGGTATGTGGCAACATAAATTATTAAATAACTGAAATCGGAAAAAGTTCAGAATCCGGCGTCGGCCATCTGCTGAGCGAGACTTTCGTCGAGCACCTCCAAAGGCCGTCCTTTTCCTTTGAAATCGTCCGTCGGAGGAGCCAGGAGCCTTTGCGGCAGGTTGTTCAGCATCGTGTTCTCGACGACCTGAAAGCGAGTTTTTCGCCTTCAAATACATTGTGCCATCAAATCGAAACGAGAAATGTATTGGGTTGAAACGTTTTTGTCTGTTTATTCGCGCCTTGATGGGATGATTTTTGGTGGCGAAAGTTGAAGGGGCAGCTTTAGAGTTCAGGTATTCTTTGAGAAACTCGCCACAGCGTCGCGAAGAAAACTAAATTTTACTTCGTGAAGTCGCTTGAGTAGATAGTTAGCCGTCAAACAAAGGCAGCTTCAGTTGCCGATTTAGTCAAAAACGAAAATAGTGTTTTCATGTTCCAGAAAAAGTTTCAAAAGAAAAAGTTAGGCGAATAAATTCAAGTGTTTCAACTCACCTTTATATAAGATCCTCTGTTACAAAGCGGTGTTGTACAGACGCACAGAAGTGAGGCCTAAATTGAACATTTCTCCATCCAAAATATGGGAAAACTCCAGCCAAACCTGCTCTCCTGGAGTCGCCGGGGGTGCCGGATCCTGCTGCCGTTTCGTCCTGCTGAACTGCACCTCTTTCTGAAGTTTCCCGATCAAAGAGTCGCTGAAGGAACTTGAATCTCACCGGATCGACGTTTTGACACATGCTGGCTCCAGAGAGCATCATCAGGTACTGATAAATTGGCGTGCTGGGAGGCGTGCAGAACTTTCGGACAACGGACTTCCCGTCGCGGAACATCACCGCCATTGAGCACGACGACGAGTTTCGACACACTGTTTTCTGAAAAAAGAGAGTTTGAGGGTAGGTGGTTGGAATTTTTGAAAAATAAAGATCTGACGCACTTTTTACTTGTCAAATGTGGGATTAATTTAGCCAACAGGACTTTACTTTTGCCTCTGCTACCTCGAAAGAGAAGATCAATAGAAAAAATAATAAGCAAAAAGGAATGCCAAATCTCCTGAAAAAAGGAGCTCACAGGCATCGACCTGAAAAATTGACGTCGAACTCTACAGAATTGTGGCGGCATTCTGCAAAAAAGCTTCATGCATTTTGCAAATCAGTGCTTTGCATTTTGCCCAGAAAAACCTCGCATTTTGCATTTTTTTTTGGGCTCACTTTTGTACAGAGAAAAAAGTGCAAAATGCGAGGTACTTCTGTGCAAAATGCAAAGCACTGATTTGCAAAATGCATGAAGCTTTTTTGCAGAATGCCGCCATAGGCACTGCACTTTGCAAAAGTTCGGTAGAGTAATTGATCAGGCACTGCGCCACGAAGTCAAGTTTGGAGAGAATTTTATATTTAAGGTGTTTCTTGAACTTGAAGAGCTATTCCCATCAGCTGCGAATAATTGTGAAAGATTTCTGTCGTTGGAAAACAGAGGATTCAGAATTTGTTATGCACGATTTTGAGTGGAAGGGTGTATTTCTATTCTTTTAACAATACCCGATCGATGCAAGGTCCCTGATTGCGATCATTGGTGTTGCAGGTGAAGCATTCGAAGGCCAACGAAAACTTGCTGGCCAAAAACGCAAAGATCAACACTTTGAGCATTTTGATCTGAAGAAAAGGTGCATAAAAAAAGAAAAAAAGCTCCAATACTCCAAAACTCGAAAGACTAGAAGATGAGGATAATTTATGAACTGTTAGTAGGGAACTGAGGAAAAGTTTTTTTGTGGATGGGCAGAGGGAAGTCTGTCGAATCGCCACAGGTTTCCATCCCTCCTCGTCCTCGTCCACTTCCTCTCTTCGATGGAAAACGAAGAAGAAGAGGAATCGGGGCCGAGGACAGTCAATCGTTTGGTTACATGAATAAATAAACACACACGGCGACAAGTTCCACTAACACCGCTTCAACCAATTTTTCGATGATTGACTTTTTAGAAATAGTCTCAAATATTGAGTTTCAAATAACACTTCTCAACGACACCTGTCGGAATATCTGGTTTTCGAGTTTTTAACTTTCAAAAATTAGCTTAAGCTCACGCATCTAAATAATAAGCGGCGCGGTCCCTCAAAGAATAGCGCAGTCGGTAGTTGGCTTACTTGAGACTCTCGTGACCAGGGTTCGTATCTCTCCGAGAATTCATACTTTTTTCTTTTTTCTAACTCTAGAAGTCGAAATAAATGGTTATAGGTGTAACAGAGAAAATACTTGAGATTCTTGAGACTAGGAATTTTACATAGAAATCAGGCGGAAAAGCTAACCGAAACAGCGAAAGGAAAGGAAATCTTATTCATAAACGGGCAAAACCAAATTAGTTGAAGTGGATATGATAGATCGGTCACACCGCCTTTGATGGAATTGAACGAAACGAAAATCGCGGCATGCATGGGAAAAGCGGGTCGACGCCGCTTTGACACAGTTTTTTGTCGGCGTCTTTTCGACACCAGATTATGCTTATCCTCATGGGATTCCTGGAGAAAACTTTGAGCTGTCAAAATATTTGAAACCTCTGAGAAGCTTCGATAGAGGAAATTGAGAACCATAGAGAGAAAAATTCCTTCAAAATGAACATGTTTATTCATTTTAACACGCTTCTTTTTTCTCCCTTAAAAGGTCCTCCTGAGAAAGACATCAAGAAAAAGGCGTCTTTGATACTTTTTCCCAAAGGTTCTTTTCTGGACTTTTCCCGTGAAGAAAAAATGAGGGAAAATTGATTGAAAGTGCTATTGATTCCCGCAATCACTAGAAGCACTTTCAAAGCTTTCCCTGTCTCTTCCATTTCCCTTTTTTCCTCGAAAATCAATGCTGCCTCTTCTCGTGCTTTTTCCTTTCATAATCACCACGGTAGGTGAAGTTATCTTCTATGATTGAAGTTAACAATTCAGACCCATCAAGTGTCGGAGAAAGGTCCAGTGTACCAGATTCGAGTGATGGAACAGCGAATCAAGTATTGTCTGGAAAAAAATTCGAAAGCCGTCTGTGATGACATCTTCTCACCGGAATCGACTATACAATTCGCTGATAGGAATATCAGCGGCACTGGTTGGTCGGAAATCGGCTCGAAAAAAATACAGTTTTGTTTTTTTAAAAAAATAGATTATAAGAAGCAAAAAAATCTAGTGAATAGTTAGGTGTAGGGAAAAAAAATATCTGTTGCCGTGGTCGCAGATGGAACGGCGCAAAGCCTTTCGGCAGATAATTTTCAAAAAAGTTGTTTCGAAACAGGCCCTATCAAGCAACCGTTGCTTCGAGCCATTCCACTTGCGACCATAGCTATTTAATAATTATTTTCAGATGAAATCAACAGCTACCTCTATGGATTGATGTCCAGAGTGGGAAATTTCGAGGTTCAAATTTTTGAATATTGAGAAATTCCCGTCTTTCAGCTCGTCAATCATTTGATAACCTCGGCTTCTGATGACAATTTTCAAGCCAACGGGACTATGGTTCAGTCGAACCAGAACTGCACAGAAATTTCCGACTACCTGGCTAAATTTGAGGTTATCGAATTTCTTTTTGAAACTGAAAGCAAACTTTTCAGAGCATGAAAAAAGGCTATAAATTGTCTTTTTTGAAAGTCTTCGGCATACAAAGTGGCGACAAGGAGTGCAAATGCATCATCTGTCCTCAATGAAAAGTATTCGCTTCTTTTTTCAGCATGAAATAAATGTCTCAAAAGGAGTCAAACTTTGGTCACATTTTCCAGAAACAAGAGCCTTATCCGCTCGACTAGAAGGTTGCTTTCGCATTTCTCATTGCATATCAATTGTTAGATTTGCAACAATCAAAATTCAGTTGTTTGAATTAAATTTCATCAATTCAAAAAGTTAGAAAAAGTCGAACTGCCTGGAGATCCTCTCGAGGCTTGTAGGTACATCCGAAACAAGCAAACGCTTAGCAACGCCATAACTGTAAGAAAAACTCTTTTATATCTTTAAAATCATTTCAATGACATACTCAAAACCAGAATGGTTTCCGTTATGTTAGTTGAAACGATTGTTTCTTGAAAATTTTTCGAATAACTTTCCCGAGTAACTGGCGATACAAGAACCTTCGCCATGTACGCTGAAAATTTTTTTGCGGAAGAAAGAAAAAAATGTTCTACGTGCAAGAAAGATGGCTCTGAAAACTGATACGCAGATAATTCTGAGCTCTTCGAAAATCTGAAATTGAAAATAAGTCATTGAAGCTTTGCGGAAACTCGCCGTCAGAATTAAGGTGCCAAGAAGAAAATCGGGGGAATCGTGTGCGAAAAGAGAGACGAAGGAACACATTGATAGAGTGAGGACCTGGAAAAGTCAAAACTGAAGTTTAATGAAGAGAAAATTCAAAAGGATGAAATCGCGGGAAAACTCGCAAGAACCGACTTTGGTGATAAGATTAGCAAGATGATAGCGCTGGCAAAAATAAAATTTTTGAGAAAGCTCATCTAGTCATGCGGAACTTCGGTGAGCTCCGTGCCGCTTCAAGTAACTTTTTACAAATTTGCGCCCGACCACACAAAGTTTTACGCCATTGTAGTTACTTTCTACTACTCACAACGAAGAAAACATTTAGGATAGGCCCTTTACTGATAGCCGTATTTGTCTCTCCCTCGAAGTACGGATAACTGAAAGTTAAAAAAATTGACTCAAATTTGAGAACTTGTTGCAAACTCAGAAGTTAGCATGAAGAGATTCAAAGCCATCAAAGTCCCGACAACACTGGATATCATATAGACGATTCCCTGAAGATTTATAAATTTCAGGGAAGAATTACAATTTCGAGAGACCCTGCAGTGGATATGAAACTTTTTCGGAGTCTCGTAGTCGACCATCATTACCGGGGTACCGGCAAGATGTCCCGGCGATTCGGCCGATCTCAAAGACCTCAGCGACATGGCAGATGACGAGAAATGCCACTTTTTCCACGCTTCAGTTGTTTTTTTCTTTTTTTAGTGTTGATAAGTAAAAAAAAAAGTATAAGCTTACCAGCATTGGTTAAATTTGATTCAGACTCTCTTTAAAAATTTTTTCAAGAAGATGAAGCCCGAAAACTTCGCCATGATTCGATGGGCGACTATCATCAAGAATTTTGAGGTTTGCGCAGTCAGTAGCGCTCAGGATTACCATTGCAACCGTCCTGGGTTCAAAACCTCTTGTCGGTACTTTTGCATTTTGTCTTTCGCGCTATTTCGATGACATTATCAAAGGCGCTACTTTTGATAAAAATAAAAATAGTGCTATTTTTAGAAGTTTCAGATTATCCTTGTTATTATTATTTTGACCACCAAAATGAGCCATCATATCAAAAGAAATTGCTCATTCTCTGAAATTTTCTTTATTTCATTACACATAGAAAGGGCAATAGATGAAAATTTCATTTTCAGCTTCTAATTGCAGAAGAAATTTTTCTGTTTTATTAGCACTTGAAGTTCTTCTGATGAAGCTGTCTGACCTTCAAATTCATACCACTCTTTCTTTTTTCAAAAGTTTCACACCTGAGGTAAGTTCTTGAAAAAATCCCTGTCAATACTGCGTTTTCTGACACCCGTAGATATATTATGAAGATATTCGCCCATACACATAACTGCGCCGAAATCAAAGTTTGCCTTCACTTTGTTGGCTGGAAAAAGAGAAAAAGATGGTTTTAGAGGTAAAATTTCGAATTTACCCACCTATAATACGATTAATTTTTGACAATTCGTGGAGATATTCGACTCCAATTATGCAAATGCCATGACGCCTCTTTTTGGAACGACATTGCGAGTCGCTGACGTAATTCCAGTGGGTCCACCTGAAGTCGAAAATTGATCGCGAATGGAATGGCTGGAGCATCGCGGTCGCGTTGCGGTACCGCTTGTAGATTCGAAAAAGAACCTGACAAAGTCCTGGGCGCAAGGATTTTTCGGCTGACCAGATATATTGAGCCAAGTATTACTGTACAAAGTGGAGACCAGCATTTCGTCGACACCGTAATACTGAAAAAAACTTACTCGAAATAAACGTTTCGAAGCTTTTAAAAGTAAAAAATAGATATTTTTTACAAGGCAACTTCTCGACATCTTATCACAAACTTCGAAGGAGAGACCACAATAAGTTAGTAGTAATGGCACAAACATATGAACTGATGAATCAAAACCTTACTGTCACTCACTTTTTTCACATTAAAAGCTTTGAAAATGTCCTCAAGGTTGAAGTTCATAAATATTCCCTCTACGAATTTTCGCGACAGCATAACTTCATTCAAGCTTTTCGTGACATTCAAATTTCTTAACAGTTGATCTCGGCTTCGGTTGCTTTCTGAAAAATAGACGGTTCGAGAAAATCGAAAAAATTTTTCGCGTTGCCGCAACTTGTGAGTCTGATGAACAATTTCTCGGAGTCTTTAACCCTTTTTTTTCACTTTTTTCATTCTCCCAGGAGCGAAAGAGAAGAGAAAACAAAAAGAGGATTAACCAACTCACCATTTTTCCACAATTTCAAGAAATGTGGGCTCCAGTTGTTTGCGACATCATAACGATAGGTTTGCGCCTCGCCGACGGACACTCCAGACGTGTCTTCCAGTATTTCACTGATTTTCGAAATTTCCTCCGGCGTAAAAATCAACATATCGTCGTTCTTAATAAAATCAAGCGTCTTGAAAACGAGTAAAAAATATGATTGAATTAGAAACCTGTAAAGTGAAGACGTGAGACCATTGTTTCTTTTGTTGCAAAAGCTCCAGACAACCGAAATGAGCCCTGTCTTGGTAGTGACCGTCCGAGTCGAATGAGAAAGTCTGAAATCTTCCTTTTTTTCTCTAAAGAATAATGAAAAAAATCTTGCCTTATTCATAACATAGATATTTGAGAAACACTCGGCAAGACGGTAGATCGATTGTGAAAAACGAGAACTTGCATTGTCCGACAGGGCGAAGCAATAACTGTTGTCAGGGTTGTAGGAAAATGACAAAAAAGCCTCCTGCAGTGCGTAGAACTAAAAAAATTACTTATCACGAACATCAAAGCCAATGTAAACCTCATAAACGTTCCGAGCGACGGCAAAAGATCGGATTTTCGGATATGAATTGCTGCCCATAACTCGACGACGGATAGAAGCGCAGTCCATGGCAATGTCACCATCCTGTTATAGTTTTATATTTTAATATTTTTTTAATAACGGGCTTACGTATTTCAGGTGAATTCTCCCAGTTTTAGAATAGTTCGACATGACTTCTTGATCATTTTCTAGAAAGGCTTGACAGTTGTAAGCGGAAGCAGCCAGCCTTCAAAGAAAACTTTTTTTATCATGGTATACGGTAGGTCGCAAGTATGCTGTATGCGGTGCGCGCAGCTCAAAAGGTTTTATTTTACGAGCAAAAATTTAGGATATACCACTTTTCTTGTTCTTTTTTTTTCACCTTTTCCTTCTGTTTCCAATTTTAATGTTGCAACAGCAACGTTTCTTTAATTACTTCTCATTATAGGAATCTAGTCTTATTATTCACATTTGTTTAAATTTTTCAATTAAAATACTCGTTACTTTTTTTTTTCAAAAAATTTGTTTCAGGATAAAAATGTCGCGGAATTCAATCAAACAAGAGGTTTTTTTTCGGAAAAAAAAAACTAAGCATTTTTTTCAAGACTCCTTTGGATCACAAATCCCAAATGCGGTCGGCTACAAAAATGTCGAGCTGATACTTTCCAGGTGCGCTTTTTTCACTTTTGCTCGATATTTTTTGCATATCGAACGTTGCCGGAGTTGTAAAAAATAAATTTAGATCACAATTTTGATAGTGTTTTTCTTTGGAAAACTCACCCAGGTCTTACATAGGAGTACCAAAGCTCAGCGATATTACTTCCCACTGGACGACAATAATTGGGAGATGCGTAAAATTTGAACTGAATCAAGTTTTAAAAATTATTATCGAATGACAAAAACTTACCTCTGCATATTTTTCAACTAAGGAATCACTAAAGATCAGAAAATAAAGCAAAATAATTGTTGTAACTAAAACGGCGAAATATGTAGTAGTTTTCGCATTGAAACACTTTCTTCTTGATAATGATTGGAAGTACACGTTCTTTTGTTCTGAGTCCTCATTTTCGTCGTCTTCTACCGATAGAATTTGATACCTCGGCTCATTCATACCCTACAAGTTGAAGAAAGTAATGGGAAAGCAAAAGAGCAGATGTTTTCAAAGCGAATTACGAGGAAGTTTCAAAAACACTTGGTGGGGATCTTGATGTTTATTCGAGACCTCCACCAGTAGCTTGCGCCCCTAGCTACTCACCTTTGTGTTGGGCGCAAGTTGTTCGGAGTCTTGTACTTTTGGTAATGGCTCTGACTAATGAGATCAGCTCACGTGATCTAATAGATCTAATAGATCACGTGTAAGCAAAAGATTTTAAGTTCAGATGAGAAGTCAAAATAGAAAAAAAGTTATAGTTTTTTTTTATTAATTGAATGAAGAAATTGAAGCTCGAAAACAGAATTTTTTAAACGAGAACTTAAAAGCAGTTTCAAAAAGATTAGGACGAATTCTTGAGAATTATATTTTTTGTTTTCAGAATTTTGTAGTGTCGTTGCCTAGCAAGTTTAAGCTCAACACTTTCTCCACACTTTTTTTTTAACGCAAAGCGGCCTAGAAACGGCTCGAAAAATAATATTTTCTTTCTCAATTTCCAGCTCAAAGATTCGAACTCCAGACTCAAGATGTTGAAAAGACACTTATTCTCACGTATCAAGAATACGATTAGATTATAATACTGCATTAGTTTGGAAAGTATTATTTTTATAATTTATGATGTTGAGGGTAAAACTTGATGCTCTAACAAATTTTCTGTTAATTTCGACTATGCGTAAAAAAAAAATTCAATGAGTATTTCAAAAAACGTTGCAAGTTGAAAGAAGGAAACGAAACGAGATAAGACTAATACATTGATAACGAGAACTCTGATGCGTTGAAACTTTTTATAAAAATATTTTCGAATGTTATAAAAAAATGAAAAGTTTTTTTAATATACGTGAGAAACGGCCAGTGCGGTTCCCTTGGTGATTTGATGAAGCCGCAGCTAGGCCAGATTTGGTTTCAAATAGAGCTTCCTATTGCAAATCTCTTTGTTACTGCTGAAAGCACATATATCAATGCCTCACGAGTCCTAGACAAGTTTGAACGGGAAAAAGTTTGGAATTTCCCAAAGATGGTCTTTACGAATAAAAGAACCAGGAAAACTTTTATTGTCCTTCTTTTTGATTCGAAACACGCCTTTTCTGCCTACCTTTTGTTCTCAGGGTACGAAAAAAACATTCCGCTTTTCTGTCAAAAATGTGCTCTACAATTGTAATGTGGCAACATGGCTTTTGAAATAGGTCTACAGCAATCAATCTTTTTGAGACACGATGAGAAATAATCATCGTAATAAAGTGTCAATTATGCTTGATATTTGGATGACTAGAGGGTTAGACTACAAAAAAAAAATCAAAGAGCCCCGGTTTTCCGAAGTAAGAATCTTCTAGCCCATTTTACTGCGAGCTCACTGCTTTCTGTTATTTTCTTCGACTGAATAACTTAATATAGAACACTGGGAAGAATTTCACTATTTATTAAAGTACAAGGAACGTACAAAAGAAAACGTGGTTTGATAGGCCACGCCGAGAATCAAACTCATTCTCGTTCTATTTGAGAAGTCTCAAAGACTGCAATGCCGGATTCGCGCCATTGACAAGCACAATAGATCAACAGTAACGTGCTAAAAGGTCGAAATATATCTACGTTGTAGACACACGTAACACTTTCAATAACGAAAAAAAGAGATTTTTTTTTCATAATATTGAACATTTGAAACAAGTTACAGCTTTTTGTGACATTGAAAAAAATTGTTTTTTTACTATAAAATATCTATTATTTAAAAAAAGCGGAAAGTTGAGAATTACACAGAAATGTTTTTTTGTCGAAGTTGCCTTCCCGAATCGCTTCCATCTCACGAACCTCAAGTTTATTGTTTATTTTATTGTTTGATTTAGCTACAAAAAACCATTGGAGATTTTTTATAAACATCGAGATCTATTCTGGAGTTAGTCATAGAACGATTGTGCAGTAACTCGCTCATACACAAGGCTGTGCCAAAGTCGAATTCCGAGACCACTTTATTTGCTGAAAAGATTGCCATTTCGAGCTTCATTGGAACAACGTTACCAACTAAATGAGGAGATGATTGCAAATCCGGTAAATATTCGACGCCGAGAAGGCAAATTCCGTGTTTTTTCCGTTGTGACTTACAGAACGGATTTATGCCATCTCGACCATCTTTCCAATTGAAAAATGTCAGTCTTCAGAAAATTTCGATTTTAAAAGTCATTCTTCCCTTCTATTACCTGACAAAATCTGAATAGCTCCCGGAGCAGCCTGAACGCATCTGGCCAGGCAGACCCAAATCGTTCACAAAAAGCATTTGAATCAGCATTCCATCAACTCCGAAAAACTGAAAATTATTATTATTATTAGAATCGGAAAATTTTTGAAAAAACCGATGACTATTTTTGAATAGGGAATGATAAATTTAATTGAGGAGTTTTCGAAAACTTCTTTAACAGATTTGCTTTTTGCGTAAACAACGTTATCAAGGTATGTGGATAAAGACTTCGAAAAATAATATTCAGCTTCATAGTTTCAAGGACCAATGAAAAATCTCATAAGTGCCAACAACGAACTGGATTTCAATACTAATTATTTGTTTTCAACTCACCTTTTTGTTGTCAATTATCTCGAGAAGTCTAGCAAGGTTCAAGTTGTCGAAAATCCCTTCTATAAACGTCTTGGACACAAAAACCTGGTTCAGCTGCTTCCTAATTACCAGCGGCTTTCTCAAGATTTTCTCCGAAATTTTTTTACCTAGAAAAAATGAAGTTGAATTGAGGTATATATAACTAAAGTTCAAATAGCTGGTTCGAGAATGAAGTTAAAAATTCTCGAAGATATATTTTGCAGCGTTTTGATTCAAATCCTCAGGACTTTGGGGTCTATCATTTGCTTCAGAGAAATATTCAGAAAATTTTCAACCTATTCGCAGAGCTTGAGTTCCCGAAAATCCCTTAAAAAAAATTGCTCACCATTTTTAAACATTCTCAACCCGCGCGGTGACCAGTCAACAGCCTCATTGTATCTGAATCAGAAAGTTCTTTTTTTTTCATTGGAGCAAACAAGTTATATGTACCCTCCCAAAATTGGAAATTCGAATCCCATCTCACTGGTGACATTTAAAAGTTTGCTGATCGAAGAAAATTCCTCGACGGTCTTCAAGGGAATGTCGCCGTTCTGAAGATCATAAATATATGATTTCCGAACTTTCTCAGAAGTTCTGACCTGTAATAATAGGGCGTGGTACCAGTTTTTTGCTCTGAGCTTCTTGAGACACTCAAAATGAGCGAGGTCCTGGTTGTGTCCGGCTGAGTCGAAGTCATACGTCTGAATATGTCAGAATTTAGTTTCAATCAGAAGCTTTTTTATCTTTCTGGTCAGTAATATATTGATTATACCTCTTTAAGTACAATAACATTATCGAGACAGTCAGCAAGATTTCGAAGCTGGCTTTTGAAACTCTCAGACGCCTCGAAGTCTATAGCGAAGCAGAACCAGTTTTGTGGGTGATAACCCATGGATAACATTACTTCTTGAAGTTCGTAGTCCTGGAAGTTGATTAGTTTAATTTTAGTTGGATTGAACTGACCTTGTAGACGTTGCGAGCCGTGACGATTGGTCTTTCAAGAGGGCGATATGAGTTGTTTCCCATAATCCGGCTTCTGATGGCCGAACAGGTGACGTCGGTGGGGAGTGTCTGGAAAAATTGAATTTGGACTAGTATAAGAAATACAACAAACTGAGTTTATCGTCATCCTGCCCATTTTCACATAATTTTCAAGCGCCGAACTATTTCCATCCAGGAACGCCGCACAGTTCAGATGTTCTTCGGAGCGGCTAAATTTTTTGAATTTACCTTCCTTCCATACAGGAATGTTTATTGATGATTTCAGATAATTCTAACCTGTTGAGAAAAGTTTTCCTCAAGGCTATGTAGCTATGCTCGTTGGATGTTTCAGCAGAGAAATTTTTCGATTCAAATGCCTGAGTCTTATCAATTTTTCGATTAAATTCCATACAATTACCGTAACAGACTGGAAAGAGTTAGCGAAAATAACGACTTGCGAAAAAGTGAGAAGCGCAAGGTTGAATGAAGCGAAACAATTTATCATACTCGAAAAAATCCTCTCCGAACGTTGCTCCTTCAGAAAATCGAAGCCTGGCTTCATCACTGCAAAGGAGAAATTATTTTGAATCAACCGCTTTGATACAAATTCTAATAAGACTATTTTATATTGTTCTTTGACCTTTAGTTCCTCATTACGAGCCTTATTAGCATCTGTAGCATTTTCTCGTTGCGAATTATAATATCTGAAAAATTACCGTGGAAGTTTTAGCAGAGATAAGAGTATCCGAAGAAACCAAAAAGGAATAATGAAATTGAATTGGCAAAAATGAAAAAAGTGGTGACTCCACGTGTAACGAGCCAACCAAAAATTTTGAAGTTGGTAGTTTCATATATTTCATTTTTATCGACGGTGGTTCAATTTATATGTCGCCTTACATTGACTTTAGATGATGAAAAATGAAAAATCTTCCTCCCGACATAAGGTAGAGTGCAGACGCGAAATGCCCGAGGCGCCGAAAGCCGGTGCGAGTCGGGCGCGCCAAATAAGAGGGTCCCGTGCGTGGTCATTCCATGCCAGAAATGGACCGGTATCAGGGTTTCGAGCTTCGGCATGTCTTGCTTTTCATAGACATTCTGGAAGAAGTGAGCCGAATGATACCAGATCCTGGTCCAATCATTCGATACGTCGAAGAATAGTCGAGAGAGAGGCCCAGAACCGGACCGACTGAGCCTCCATTTTTGCAGCCTCGGAAAGGCTTACCAACGGCCCTCTTAAGGGCCAAAAATTATATACGAAGCGAAGAAGCCTTTTTTCGTATAATACAGTTACGAAGGACATTGAGACACATATTCTAAGAAATTGAAATCTTTACCCAAGGTTTACTATTTTCTGAGAGACATTTAAGTTTTAGCTTTCTGTATCATCTGTGTTCTTAGAATTTTTCTTTCATGCGTTAATGAATATATATATATGTAGATGATGCAGCGCGTTAAAAAGACGTATTTGAAGTTTAAAAGGAAAGAGGACTTTATTAAACCCGTAAAAAGTATATTTGAAAAAAAAACAGTTCCAGTTTCATGGATTACAGAGGAATGTTTTTTTGTCGAAGTTGCCTTCCCGAATCGCTTCCATCTCACGAACCTCAAATTTATTGTTTATTTTATTGTTTGAATCAGCTACAAAAAACCATTGGAGATTTTTTATAAACATCGAGATCTATTCTGGAGTTAGTCATAGAACGATTGTGCAGTAACTCGCTCATACACAAGGCTGTGCCAAAGTCGAATTCCGAGACCACTTTATTTGCTGAAAAGATTGCCATTTCGAGCTTCATTGGAACAACGCTACCAATTAAATGTGGAGATGATTGCAAATCCGGTAAATATTCGACGCCGAGAAGACAAACCCCATGTCTTTTCTGTAAGGACTTGCAGGTCAAAATTCTGCCATTCGGATCACCATTCCAATCCCAAAACGTTAACCTTCAAGAAGAAATTTTTGATTGGGCTTTTTTTTTCTTTTTTACCTGACGAAATCGGAGTAGTCTCCATAACATCCTGAGCGCATCTGGCCAGGCAGACCCAAATCGTTCACAAAAAGTGTTTGGATCAACATCTCATCGACTCCAAAGAACTCAATTCAGGCAGTCAAGAAGCGGAGTACATTTTATTAAAATTTGTAATGTCTTTTTGTGAAAAGCGAATAATAAAAAAGTTTAAGGAGGAAAAATTACGTTAAAAAGGTTAAGATATCCACGGGACTGCATGCATCATTGGGTGAATTTATGAAAACTTCACATTTTTTTAATTACAACAGTTCCTAGTATTTTTTCATTGTGTTAGCTCTCGAAAAAATGAGGTTGCTTGTAGCTCAAGTTTATCTACGATTGGGTTCCTTTTTAGTCTGTAGATTCTATGATCAAGGTTTGGATCCTATTTTCAAAATTTTGCGATTCTTATTTGCAACCAATGAACTCACTTTTTTGTTGTCGATTATTTCCAGAAGCCTAGCGAGATTCAAGTTGTCGAAAATCCCATCTACGAACGTCTTAGACACGAAAACTTCGTTTAGCTTCTTCCTAAGTATTAATGGCCTCTCCAAGACTTCTTCAGGGACTCCTGATTCTAGAAAGAATTATTTCATAAGTAAGATGATTGTTTTTAACCATTTTTGAACATTCCCAGCCCGCGTGGAGACCAGTCGATACTATCATTATACCTGAATTAGAACTTTCTTCTAGAAAATCTGAAAAATATTAGCTACACCTGGCTGGAAGTGGACTATCGAATCCCATCTCACTCGTGACGTTCAAAAGTTCGCTAATCAAAGAAAATTCTCGAGCAGTTTTCAAGGGAATGTCGCCATTCTGAAGATCATAAATATATGATTTCCGAACTTTCTCAGAAGTTCTGACCTGTAATAATAGGACGTGGTACCAGTTTTTTGCTCTGAGCTTCTTGAGACACTCAAAATGAGCGAGGTCCTGGTTGTGTCCGGCCGAGTCGAAGTCAAATGTCTGAATTGTCAGATTTTTACTTTACTCAGGATACTTTAATTATCGGTGACGTTCAAACTAACTTCTTTGAGCACGATGACATTATCTAGACAATCTGGAAGACGTCGCAACTGATACTTGAAAAAATCGGATGCATCAAAGTCGATTGCAAAACAGAACCAGTTTTGTGGGTGATAGCTCATGGATAACATCACTTCTTGAAGTTCGTAGTCCTAGAAGTTGATCAATTAGAGTTCTATCCACAATAAACTCACCTTGTATACGTTTCGGACAGTGGCGATGGGTCTTTCAAGAGGAACATATGATTTGTTTCCCATAATGCGTCTTCTGATGGCCGAACAGGTGACGTCGGTGGGAAGTGTCTGGAAAAGTTGAATTTGGACTGGTATAGGAAATACAACAAACTGAGTTTATCGTCATCCTGCCCATTTTCACATAATTTTCAAGCGCCGAACTATTTCCATCCAGGAACGCCGCACAGTTCAGATGTTCTTCGGAGCGACTAAATCGTATTGAGAAAATTCGAAGCTTCTGAAAAAAGGAGAATATTTTGACTATAATATTTACCTGTTGAGGAAAGCCTCCCTCAAGGCTCTGTAGCTAAACTCGTTGGATGAATCGTCAGAAAAAATTTTTGATTCGAATATCTGTTTTATTCATTTCAATTTCTTTGAATCATTTTGGCTACCGTGGTGGACGGAAAACAGCTGGCAAAAATGATGATTTGAATCATCACGAGGACCGCGACGAATATAATGAATAGGGCGGAGCGCTTCTTCCTACTTGAAAAATTCTTCTCAGAACTTTGGTCCATCAGAAGTTGATTATCTGGCTTCATCGCTGTAAGTTTAAAAAGACTCCAATATAAAAAAAAAAGTATACAAAAAGTCTCTGTAGGAATATCATTATCAAACTAGAGGTGAATAAATGTTACTGGCCTTTTCGTCTTCAAAAACCGAGCCTTTCTTTTTGCTTCATTTATTTGAAAGTTATTTTTGAGCTCTGAGAATGCTGGACGGTGGGAAACCAATATACTTCATTCAGATTTTGGAAAAAATTATGAAAGTCCAATAATGGACAGTGCAACGGATCGAACCAGGTGCATCAACAGCTTTTTTTCTTTCCATCCATATCCAGTTGTTCACACAAATAAATTGATAGATTAGTTTATGATGAATATTCAAATTGATTGAGTTTCCAATTTAGTAATCATTATTATTAAAAAAATTCGAAAAAAAGGACTTTTAAAAAAATTTAGCTGAGAAACTGAAAGTTTACTTCTAATGGGTATTTTGAAAAAAACCATCCAAAAAAACCATTAAAAAAACCCTTTGAATTGTAAAATGAAGATTGTGTGGAAAAATGCAAAAATTTATTGATCAGCGCTAGGATTTGTACAACAATCAGAGAAAAACAGGAATGAGAACAAGTGAAAGAACAAGAGCACATAATATTTCTGCAATAAATAAATAAAAGATAGTCGCAAATGATGATTCAATTGGAAAAACCCGTAGAAAAGTTCCTTTCGAAAAGACCCTCATTTGCTGTTTCCCACGGTCCGAATGTAGGGAAAGTCCTGGAAATATTTAAGTTTAGGATTTTACAGAAAAAATTCCAATTTTTTCTGCAATATAGTAAAGAAGTGACCAAACAGCAGATTTTCATACTCCTGCGCAACTCTTTCTTGCTAGATTAACTTTAAAATTCGATATAGTCAAAGATCCTTACGACGTTGACACAGGCGATAGTCGGTTGCATGTCGGCAAGATCTACGCGGGTATTTTTCGCCCCGACCGGCTCTAGCAGATTTTTCCACAGAGCTTTTGCGATGATCGCGTTGCCCAGTTTACTCAGGTGGAACTCGTCCCAGGCGTAGAAACTTTTGTCATAGCTGCCAGCAGCCTAGAAAATGTAAAACTGTTCTTGTTAAAATCAATTCATATCTTGCTCGAAAAATATAAGAGAAGCCTTTTTCAATAGCTCTTTCGTTGGCATGTGAAGCTCCTTTAATAGTTTTATCGAATTTGATGAAGTCGTTATGAGCTCTCTTCTAGTTTATGCCAGAGTTTTGCACAAAAAATAAACTCGAAAAGGCTTCTCAACACTTTTTAAACATCTGGCTGCTCTTTCAGAAATCAAAGTAAATGATTTTTCATAATTTCAACACTCCTCACATTGCGGAAGGCGTCCTTGATGTCCACAGCAAAAGGCTGGACCACAACCGTGAAATTTTGCGAATCGAACTTTCCTTCGTTTTGAACTTCAAAAGCAACCTGGAAATTTTTCGAAAAGTATGAAAATATCATTGGAAAACGCTGAAACCTGCTGATACTCAGAGCACTGCTCATCAATCGCATCTTGAGCCGCTTTATCACCCGGTCTTTCACTAAAACTTTTTTTTTGCTCTAAGCTGCAAATTTTCGTTCAAACTCACCCAGTCTCAATAATTCGTCCAGCTTCAATGAGTAACTGTGGCTGGAACATGGCCACAATCGAAACAATCGTTCTTGGTAATCCTTTCTTTAAAATAGACAAGCCTTCTTCCATTTTCGCTTTGTAGACCTCGCGTGATATTGGATCCTTAAAGTTTGGAACATTTTCTCCCCGAAAAAAAAACACACACAGCTTCTGAATGACCACTTAATTTTCCGACGTCATTCGTTCCGAAAAACACTGAGACGAGCTTCCAATCCGCATCCAATTTGATCTTAAGAAAGCTATCAAATAATGAACCAAGATTTTACGAACTTTTGGATGAGTGGAAATTTTCGCGACAAGTTCTGCGGCCTGTCGTGGAAAATCGTCGATTTTCATGCCACCGATAGCGACATCGAAACCGACGTTATCCATTCCATTTCCATGACTTCCTCCGATCAATTGAGCCGTTGGGAGTTTCGAGGAAAGACACTGCAGAATATCTGGAAATAGCCTTTTATTTCTTCAACCGCGCAAATGGTTACTGTGCAGAGTGATGTGCTTCTCGATGCCATCATCGGCGCCAGTGAAAAATGCGTTCCCAGGGAATCTCGCTGCGACTCCAAAGTCAGCTTCGGAATTTGCTGATCGTGAACCGATCTGGAGAAATGTCAATCTCAAAATTTTTAAAATTTTCATATATTTTTCTCGCGATTTCAAGGCTACTTTTTTTTTGGTTTGTCAGCGCTTCTATTATCACATTTTCTTGTTTATTTTATACACCGTTTCACTTTTTTTATTTCCGCAACAAAAAAAGCCATGAAAAAAATCGCTAAAAAAAGTCCTCAAAAAAACTATACTAAATACTTGAAGAAATTTTTCTTCTAATTTTTAGAAAAATAAATAAAATACCGTGAGAGAATCGCCAATGCCTGCGATCACTCTAATGTTGTGAGGCTTCACCTGAAAAACTTTATTTTGTTTTCCATTTCGGAGTACAAACTCAGAACCTTATTGACATCATCGGGTGATCCATCATCAAGAATCTTCTCCCAATAAGTTTTGATACATGGGTCTTTGTCCGGATTCGGGACACCCAGTGAGGGCAAATCTGTATGATTTTCATTTTAAATAGGTTAGAAAAGTAATTCTGCACACCTTTGAACTGTTTTTCTACATTGCTCAACATACTCGCTTAGAAAATGACGTCGAAATGAAAGTAAAGACGTGTTTTAAAATGAAATTCTCGGGTCGAGAAGTTCACGTGAATGTTAATCCATAAAAGCCACATTGGCAAACCCTACAAGGATTTTAAATCAAATGCGCTCTATGGCACGATATAGAGCAAGCTCGGACATTGGTAACGCGAACGGACGTGCTCCGGACGTTTCTGGGCGATTCAAGGGATCACTTAAGAGTTCTGAGGCTACTAAAGTGGTCACTAGAAAAGCCCCGACACGTCCGATTCGCGTCCCGTACGCTTTACCAAGTTCCGAGAGCTCGACGCGAAAAGATCAATTTTTCAAAATGAGACTCTGTGAAAATGGAGGAATAAGCAGAAACCCGAAAATCGAATTAGAGGATGAATATGAATAAATTTCAAACTAATTGGTCAGCAACGTTAACTCGATTAATTTCTCGGGTTTCTTCATTATCGGATCAAATCAAAAGATATATTGCGAGTCAGAAGCGCAATAAGAAAAAAAATTTCTTTTAAAGGGTGCTTTTTTACAATACAAATGTACAAAGATGATTTAACCTATATCGAAAAGTGTTAGGTTTGAAAACTAGAAAAAAATGGGAGAAAATTGCAAGAAAAAAAAATTGAATGCATGAAGTTTGTCGTAGAATGTCTGCGTACCCTACATTTTAATTAACGACTATTGTATATTTTTCGTGAAAGTCAATATTTTTATAATCATTGCTCTTCATGTTCAATGTATCATGATTATGAAGGCTTTCAGGTGCGATTGGACACAAAAATCAAAATGGTTCACCTGTTCACAAATGACTTTTCTCACCTCAACAATTCACCAAACAAGGTAACTAATTTTAATTATCTCAATGCAAATCCTTGCGTTCTAGTTTTTTGGTCTCATTTTTCTTCGCATCCTCACTGAATATCTCACCTCTGAACAGGATTGGAGGAACAGGAACAGGAGGAGTTCGATAGGAAAAATAAATAAATATCACTGTCAAAACTAGTGAAAAACAGATGAATTTAGCGCCATTGCGAAACGCGCGAGCGATAGCCCGCGGGACGATTTCTGGTGAATAATATTGATGATATTGCTCGAAATCCTGCAAATCGGATATTCGACTTTGGGCTACCGCGGACACAACATAAGCATTATTCGAATCAATGGTTAAAATAAAATTGAAAGTGAATCGAAGCCGTAGCTGTTTTGAAATTTTTACCGAAGATAAATCTTTTTCAAAGTGAAATTTCTAGCAAAAAACATGGCCTCGGCTTCTATGTTATGCTTCTGAATGAAGTTTAAATTTTTTGGGGATTAAAAATTTTCAAACCTCAATAAATCCAAAATTATCCGCGGCGTTAGTCGGTAGTTTGTGATATGAGAAGCGACGGTCCAGCTGTAAGAATAAAATTTTTTTCTTTTTTTGGGACAATTAACAAAAATGAACGAGAAGGAATAAGATTTTTGAAAAAGAAATGATTTTCTACGTGTCATTTTTGAATACTTTTCACTTCGGCGGGAATCAAATCTTTAACTGAATTTTTTCCCAGCGAAATTTATCTGAAGTCCCTATTTTATACATTATCTACTTTTGAAATTGAGAGGAATTTATCTTAGTGCTTATGTAAAAAATTTCAGACACTGGCCGTTGAAAATTTGGTTAAATTATAGAAAATGTGCCACTTTATGTTTTTTTGCTGTCAAACAACAAAAAGGGCAGCGCAAACAGGCTGTGATCGGAATCGATGTAATATGCTTTTTGTGTATATTCGTGCACAAAAGCAATATTTGTGCAAGAAACCTCTAATTCTTGTTTACTTTTGTACTGTTTCGCGTTCGCGATAGCGAAAAATTTGACTAATTTCAGGCTTTTGATGTTGAAACTAGTTCTGAAAGCGATTCAAAAAGTTTTTCAGAAAATTGATTGCTGTAAGCTAAACTAAGCTATTGTGTTAATAGTTGAACACACGACCGGAAATTTCAAATATTAGTTTTTAATTAGAGTTCAAATTGAAAAATATGTAAAACCAGAACTTTGGACGGAAAATTGGTTTTTTGGGTTTTCCGAAGCTTTCGTATTAATAATGATAGGTTTTAACTCAAAGAAAAGCGATAATTAGATTTCGAACGATTTTAAGTCAAAATTCCATGACGATTATTCTTGATTCTCCTCAAAAAATTGGATGTTTGAAAACGAAAAAAAAAACTCACGAATAGCTGCAAGTTGGGATTCAGTTGGTAGTACGAGAACAGAGGCGTTGTTTCAATAGGAGCGCGCTTTTTTCCTATCATTTCCAGCCGATTATTGATACTTCTAGTCAGTTTTTTGAGACGAATTTCAAAACAAATTTGTGTTTACGAGCGATGAAGTGCAACGTAAGACTGTTGCTATAGATGGAAATCGAAAAATCGCGATAAGGATGTTCCCGAAAGGGGAATCTTCGATCCGAATCTCCTCCATTTTTGAAGAGGTTGAGGAGCTTTTTTCCGAAGAAAAAAAAGACAGTTAGACTTAAAATTAAAGCTCCATTATTTAAATCTTGATTGGAGTAAATCAAGATTGATAGTTGTTTTTTTTTTCATATTATTTTCGTCAATGTAGCGCTCTTCTTCAAAATCTGGAAACACTGAAGCTTTCGTAAGACGATTTTGTTTTGCAAATAGTCACTGGTGAGGCGCTGTAGCCACTTTAAGAGATTTCTTAAGGACTCGAAAGCTTTAAAACACCTTATATGCTCATTAGAAGATTTATTGCGAGCTTAGGCTCAAGTTTGAACGATCATAAGATCTTAGAACGATTAGACAATATCATTATCAGAAAGAGTTTTTGAATCTTTGAGCTTTATTTTTGGTAGAAAACCAATGTAGAAAAAAAAGAAAAAAATTGAAACTTTTTTATATTGAAATTTTTAGGAAAGGAAGGAGGGATGCAGATAAATTCAGTAGTCATAACAACCTTTTTTGTTTTCAGTTACTTCAGAGGATAAATTGCCTCTTAGACAAAATAAACTTCATGAACTTTTCAATTAGAAGTACCCAGAGGCTAAAGCCGGTGCAAATCCAAATAAGGGAGTCACGGTATAGGTTTCGAGCTTCGGCATGTCTTGCTTTTCATAGACATTCTGGAAGAAGTGAGCAGAATGATACCAGATCCTGGTCCAATCATTCGATACGTCGAAGCAGCTCTCAGAATTGTCGAGAGAGATGCCCAGAACCGGGCCGACTGAGTCTCCATTTTTGCAGCCTTGAAAAGGCTTCCCAACGGCCCTCTTTAGGGCCAAAAAATAAACAAGAGGCTTGAAGGAGAGTTCTGGGGATTTTTTTGTGGTTTTCTCGGAACCAATTAATAATTTGAACTATGGACTTAAAAAGAAATTTATTCTTTCCAGATTAGATTATATTCAAAGAGCCCTTCACAACTTTAAAGTTTGCTTCAAATTTGAAAAGTTTGATCTCTTCGAGTTGAAGTTATATGACATCATTGAGAAGAAGATTCACTACGAGGCTTCAAATTTTCTTCAAATAGTCATTTCGTACCGAATATCCAACTCGATTTCGAGGCATTTCTAGCCTCAATCGTTCCAAACTCCCATTATCACACCTGAGTTGTAATCGATGACAGAAACGACTTTTTCCCGAGCAAGAAGTAGGCGACTTTCGTCTGGGTTTCCGCGTGCCGGACGCTCTCTCGCCCCCAAGTAGCCATTGCGTGTAGGAATTGGGTCAAAAACCTTCCTCCTTTGTTTTTTTTGTTTTGTTGCTATTGCGTTCGATGCTCGCCGACTTTTTAGCTGGATGGGCTGCCGGTGAGCTTTCAATTCGACTTTTGAAAGATTTGGCACTATTAAGAATAAAAAGCACATTTTCCTCCAGGCTTCTCGCAAAAATTTTTAAAAATCAAAGACAATCAAAATTTGGGCGCGAAAGGGCTCAAGTAAAGCAAAATTTTTTCATATTTGAAACAGTTTCATTATCTTTTCTTTTTTATTGTAAACGTGAAAAATACTTTTTTTTTATTATGTAGTCCGAAATTTGCACAATAACGAAAAAAATGATGAAAAATTACTACAGTATCAAAAAAATGAAAGTTGAAGAAAAGTAAGTTGATGGCGAATCTTCACCAAGATAAATGAAAAAGTGTCATTCCCGATAGAGAAGTTTTATTCATTGAAGAATTTTGATTCTGGAAACTTCAACAGTTTCAGAAAAAGCCTTCCTCATTGGTTTTATATATTTTATTGCAAAAAAATTCAAAAATTTAGCTATACATTATTTCGATTGATCAAAATATTTCGTCAACCACCTTAATTGGAATGCACTAAATAAGAAGTAACTCTGAAGAATTCTGAAGAAGCGGCTAATATTTTCGATTATGGCTTTGAAGAGGTTTGATTTCAGGCGGGGCTGGTCTTCTCATCGGCCATCCGTTGGATACCGTGAAGGCTCGGCTCCAGACTATGAACGCCTACAGTGGAATACTCGACTGTTTCACCAAAACTCTGAGAAACGAATCGGCAAGTCTTGAAAAAACCCATTTTCTAACAAAGTCGCGAATTTTAGGTTGGAGGTCTTTACAAAGGTATGCTGGTACCTTTCCTCTCGGCCGGCGCCCAACATTCGTTGATTTTCCTGGCCTACGGCGGCGCCTTGAAACTCCTGCATCCCGGTGAATCCAACGTCGACGCGCGGAAAGACTTGCCGATGCGAGAGGTGCTGAGCTGTGAACGTTTAAAATTTTAGGCTTGAAATTTGTGCATTTCTTCTTACGCTTTGCTTCTTTTTCCCATATTTTATTCAAAACGCCTTTTTCCAAATCGCTATATTTATGCAGACACTTGACGCCGAGGAAAAGAACCCATTTTGTCAAATTCTTTGAAAAGAAATAAATTTGAAAAAGAGGAAAATTTCGTAAGGATCGGCTTGAAATCAAAGAGTTTGCCTTTCATTTTTGCTTTTCCGATCCGAAACTCCTCTTTCATTCTCGTTTTTCCCTGCCGCAACAAAACACTGATAAAAAGAAGCGATAATTAAAAATTTATGAGAAGGAGAATACGAAAAAGACAAAAAAGGAATCTAAAGTAGAAATAAACAATAAATTAGACATATTTTTTCATTTCAATTCATGAAAAACTAATTTTGAAACATAAAGGCTTGACTTACAATACGTTCAATTTTCCTTTCGAAAACTGTTCTTACATCCTACGCCCATAATTTCTAAGAATTCGCTCGGAAAATAGAAACGTTTCGAAGTGGAAAAAACAAAATAACAACAAAGAAAAGGACAGTCTTTTTTTCAACAAAAGTTGTATTAAGATCCTCCTCGCCTCGATTTGTGGTACAATGCTTCAACTCGGCCCAGCGATCCCCATAGAAATGGTCAAAACGAAGTTGCAGGTGTGGATTATTTTCAAAAAAAACTCTAATTCATCACATTTAATTTTCATTTTCAAGGTTCAAAGGGAAAATGCGACGCTTGCCAGAAAAGATCAGCTTCTTTACCGGGGACCCGTCGACTGTCTCTTCAAAACGTATCAATACAACGGATTTATGGGACTTTTCAAGGTAAAACAATATTTCGAAAACTAAATCCAAAAGAGCAGATAAAACCGCATATTCGTTATCACGATGATGTTTATGAAAGGTTTAGTCTGATGAAATTGATATGAATAAACTTTGAGTGTGACCAAGGTCTTTATAATGATCTTCTGAATCTCGCAAAGTTTCCTAAACACAAACCTTTTTTCAAAAATTTTTTCATTTGAACATTAAAAAAACTTTGAATCTCGCAAGTTTCATTATTTCGTAAAATGAGAAACATGATTGCAAGAACACCTATGAAAAATTTAAGCTTGAAAGACCCAAAAGGTGAAGTTGAGAAAAGAAGAAGGGAAAAAAGTGTGAAGAAAGAGGAGACACAGTTGTCTCTCTTTCCCATAGGCCTTTTCAGATCTCAAGCTTTTTCATTGCTAACTAGTAAGTTACGATTCCGCTCTAGATTCATTCTTTTTTTTTCATCAATTGAAAAACTTTTTGAATGGGACTCTATATTCACTCATATTCACTTTCATTTCTCAGGGCGGCCAGGTGATGTTCTACCGCGACAACATAGGATTCCTTTTTTACTTACCGGTTTACGAAGGCCTTCTTCGACTTTTTCGGAAGAACGACCTCGATAATGCGGCTTTTCAGGTCAGAATCGAGGATATTTCCCGAATATTGCGGATTTTCAGATGTTGGCTGGCGGCATCGCAGGCTCGACCAGTTGGTTCTCCATTTGTCCGCTCGAGGTCCTCAAAAAAATCGAATTCAGACGGATAAAGTACATGAGAAGATGTTAGTTTTTTTGAAATATAATATTTTTTTGAAGTTGAGAAAAATTAGTCAAAAAGCTATTGAAATTCGTTAAATATTTGTGAATGAACATAAAAAAATTATTGTTATTATTAAGGAGGCACAGAATTTTTTTGACCTACAGTTATACTCAATATGGCTCTTTGCCTCAGACCACTTCGAAGTTTTTTTTTGCTTTAAAAACTTTTCGAACATACTATATTATAAATCAATCTCCAATGAAAATTTTCTCCAATAATGTATTTTCAGCAACATGTGGGAACTGGCGCGAGAAATTCGACGAAAAGAAGGGCTCACGGCCTTTTATCGAGGCGGTCTGGCCATTGTTTTGAGAGGCTTCATAGTCAATTCTGTCCTTTTTCTCGTCTACGAGAAAACTTTGGAATTGCTCCAATGATCAATGTTCATTTGTATATTTTGAGGCATAATTCAAAGTTTTTTCTCTTTTAGGGTTTGACTCTTTATTTTTTAATTGGACGGGTTCATCTTCACTAATTATATCAAAAATGATTCTTGTTTGCCGTGCCGTTGATCTTTCTTGCATTGTCCCCTCGAACAATCTCTTGAATCCGTTCTTCTCGCGCAGTTTGGCCCTTCATCTATTGATTGAGTTGACCACGTCTCTCTGTGTTTTTTTCCACTTTGTTTGCTCTGTTCTTTTTTTCGCAAGTCTTGAACGGTTATTCTTTGGACTGGGTAACCTTTTTCAAAGTCAATTGTATAAGACGACAAATTTCAGACCCTTTTTCTCTTACTTTCATCAAAATTCTACTTGAAAAATCGGATGAAGCTTGCCAAGGTAGCTTGCCAATCCCTTATAGTCTGAGAAACTGTAGAAGAATTTTTCAAAGATGGGAAAAAGTTCGAATGGAAGATGCAATAATTTTCCTTCCATTTTTTGATATTTTACCAAGATTTCTCCATTTTTTTTTGTGCGTTTGTTTGTTTTTTGTAATTTTTATTTCTCGCATTATTCATCATTTTGAACTTTGCTTGCATCAAGATCGTCAAAAGGTGCTATCTGCTGTTTTTTTTTCTGAGGGAGAGAAGTTCTTTGAACTTTGGCTCATGCCATTATTTTGAAAATCTAGTTCATGGTCTTGAAAAGATTCTTTGAACATTTTTGTCCGATTTTAAACTTTTCGTCTCATCATCGTTAACTATATATATATATTTATTTTTGATGTTTGCTCATGTGAAAAAACAGCCACGTTTGTTTACGCCGTGGTTTGGGAAAGAAAAATGATTGAAATATATATCGTGCAAAAAAACTTTTAACGTTTTTATGAACCTTGTAATATACTGTTTTTCTTTTAGCTGTAAAAAAATTTATATTAATGAAATGAAATTGTATTTGTTGGTCTAAAAAAAGAGTTCTGATTCAAAAAGGAACGTTTGAAAAAAATATCTTGTTTAAATAAAACGGTTGCAACCTTCAGTTTGAATTTTAGAAAATAACCGTGCTCCAAAATTGCCTACTTTGAAATTTTTTTTTCCGTTTTTGGTTTTTCTTTTTTTGTAAAGTATTTCGCTCGTCATGTAATAACTTTTAACAGAGCTTCAATGATCTTCTACATTTCATGAAAATCCTGTTACAACAGTTTCGAAATTTCCCAGGCAACCAAACTTTTTTCACACTCTCTGGGTCTTCAAGCACCGTCCAAGAGCTGCCATTTTTCCTTCCACTTGAACCACCGCCTTTTTTTGTCCCTTTTTCAATTTTTCTGCGTGAGAATAGATCTTTCCCATTTCTTTTGTTTTTTTTCTTTTGTTTTTTTGGAAACAAGAGAAATGGGAATAAATTGCTTCGAAAGGGTTAAATAGTTCTGAAAAGAAGGAATTCTCCGCAAAGGGTCCTGTCACGATTAGCAACGTATTGCATGAAAGAGGCAACTTTTACGTTTATTCCCATACTTTTTTTTTCTGTCTATTAACAGTTTATTTATGGCTAGTTTTTTTTTTCCACAAAGATGAGTAGGGTTTTGTAAGCTCTCATGTCCCCCTCCCCCTCCTTATTTATCACCTTATGATCAATTTATATCATTGATTGTGTTTTTAAGCAAGCAGCCTCCATTAAGTTCATTCATTTATATCAGATCATTTCTGAAAATAGATTTGGAGTGAAAACTAATAACCGACGTAGTTTTATGTGATCTTGAACCTCCCAGTCTTCTATTTGCGTTAGCTAGACGCATGTAAGTGATTCGGGTTAACACCAAGATCAAATATTCGAGTTAAAAATTTCTTCCGCAAATAATGGGTTCATTTCAGTTTTTTCTTGATTTCTCCATAACGTGGGTCTTTTAATAGATTAAAAACAAACGAATGACTCTTAAAAAATGAAAAAGTATAGTTTTTGGTCTTTTCTTATCACCATTCTAAATCAGAATAATCGTTTCCGCAGTTCGTATAGCAGAGGCTTTATCTTCTTTTTACTGTTTCTTTATCTTTTTATCAAAATCACATTCCGCTATACGATTCCTCAATGATTTATAGCTTTTATTATCAGCTTCTTTTTGTTTTTTCGTACCTTCGTTTATCTTTTTCATTTTCTGATTTTGCAGGCCGAACATGTGGTCGTTAACTCCGTTGTTACTGACCCTTGGAGTAGCAGTTGCACTGGAGAATGGGCTCGCCAGGTAAGGAGAAAGAAAGGAAAATCTTGAATAAAAACGATCCTCCCAGTTCCAGTCTTTTTTTTTTGTAGAATAGTTCGATTAGAGCAGTACCTCTTAAGCGACCACATCTTTGAACATTTTAGGGAAAATTTTTTTTTGAATAAATTTTATACCTTTTTCGAAAGATTCGAAGTTTTGCGTTGAAATTCGGTCTAGAGGTCTTATGGCCCTTAGAAATGTTTTATTTGATGTAAAATGAATAAACGGATGATGATGATGATGATAAGGTTGATCTAGGGATTCCGAGGATTTTCATCCTGGAATAGTGTAAAACTAAATGTGAAAAACTAGACAGCTTGCAGTAGTTTGTAAATCGGACAAAACGAAAATTATTCCGAAAAGCAAAAACTTGTTTCAAAACAAAACAGTACTGTTTTTTGAGCAACTTAGAACGATAAAAATTTTTTTAAAAGTAAGTTTTTTGCATTTTTGAATTTTTTTTGATCGTCATTATTTATTAGCAATTTTCAAAGGGTCTTGGGAAGATTTTGAAAACATTACAGACAATCACATTTTAAGAACACCGCCAATGGGTTGGATGTCTTGGACGGCATTTTATTGCGAGCTCAACTGCACCAAGTACCCGACTGGCTGCATCAACGAGCGGCTCTACATGGACATGGCCGATCGCTTGGGTTCGTATCAGACTGGTCTGCGTCTCTAGTTTTCCCATTGTGTTTTCCAGCTTCCGACGGCTACCGAGAGGCTGGCTACGTCAGCGTCCACGTCGACGACTGCTGGATGGAGCGGAATCGCGACGGCGCCGGAGTTCTCGTCGCCGACCGAGAACGCTTTCCCAGCGGCATGCAGGCTCTTGCCCAATATGTCAGTCTCGTACAGCTTCAGAGTACAACACAATTTTCATTCTTTGTTTTAGTCGTAGGTATGATTTGCTAGGCGGTGAACAAAAAAATGAAGTTCAAACTTGTAGTTGATCAGTTTGTAAGCTTGGTCTTGCGGTCCTTCGTCTCGTTCAATTCAATTTTTCAACAAGCTTTGATTAACTCAACACCGCGAAAAAACTGCAACTGTTTCAGACTCACACTCGTGGCTTAAAGTTTGGAATCTATGAAGATTACGGAACGTTAACCTGTGGCGGTTATCCCGGTAGTTATGGGTACTTGAAGGTTTGAAGAAAAAGAGCCAAAAAATTAATTAAAATGATCAGATTGATGCTCAAACGTTCGCGAATTGGGAGGTCGACTACTTGAAGTTGGACGGCTGCAACATCAACCTCGACCTCATGCCCATCGGTTTTTTTTTTGCTCAATTGAATTTAGAAGTCCAATTTTCCTCCAGGTTACCCGCAAATGGAGAGAGAGTTGAACGCGACCGGAAGACCCATCGTTTATTCTTGCAGCTGGCCAGCTTACCTCATCGACCATCCCCATTTGGTGTGTTTTGGGAAAAAGCTTTCTGAGGGCTGAGTTTACATTGATGTGCTTCTTTTCATTGATGTGCTTTTAGATTATAGTGGTTTTAAAAATTTCACGTCTTCAAAGTTTCATTTTTTATTCTCTTCCAGGTCAACTACCACGTCATCGGCAAGTCGTGCAACCTCTGGCGCAACTTTGACGACATCAACAGCTCCTGGAAGTCGATCCAATCCATCATCAACTACTACGATCACAACCAGGACAAGCACATTCCGACTCATGGGCCTGGCCGTTGGCACGATCCTGATATGGTCGGTTACTGACGGATCATTTGAGAACACTTTAAGATCCTCCTCAGAGGCCGTTTTCGTGATCGTTTACGCTTCGATGTGGTAAATGATTTCAGAAAGATGAAATTAGTTTTTGGTCAAATTCGTGAGCTGGAAGAGTTGAATATATAATATAAATAGAAATATTTCCTTCTGGATACTCATTTAAGTCTTAGATTTACGCTGCGTAATCTTTCATGCACATGTCTTCAGAGTACTGAAGAGAATAGAATAATAAAGTTTAAAAAGAAAGTATGAAAAAAACTTTGAGATTGAAAAAAAGGAAGTCAATTTAAGGTATTCGTGAAAGTAAAAAAAAGAAATTTTGTGAAAAACTTTGAAAAAGGTTTTCAGAAGAGAATTTCCGCTATATGGATACGTGAAAAAACTGTTGATTATTGAAAATTGTAGTATCTGATTAAAAATTTTTAAAAAAAGGATCTTTTTCGAGAGACATTTTTTTGGTAATAATAAAAATTTTCGATGTTTCACGGTAAGAATATCAAAATGAAGTTTTTCAGCTGGTCATTGGCAACAAAGGCATCACCGTCGACATGTCCATCGCGCAGATGACGATTTGGTTTTCATTGTACCTCTCAATTATAAGTTAATTTTGAATCAAGGTGCATCTGGTCGGCGCCACTGATCATGTCAAACGACTTGAGGATAATCGGCAAGGAATTCCGCGAGATTTTGCTCAACCGCGAAGCAATCGCCATTGATCAGGACCCTCTGGGAGTTATGGGCCGCCTGGTGGCTAATGTACGTTTTTTTCTACATGGATCTTGAAATGGTTTTTTTTCAGACGACGGACATTGGCGTTTACGTGAAGCCGATCACTCCGACGGCAGGATCCAGGACTTCTTTTGCTATAGGAATCCTCAACAGGAACATTACAAATGCTAAGGTTTTATCGATGGACGGATAAAAGATAAATGGACTAGAAGAAGTTTCTGCCAAGTTTCTACAAAAAAGCCGTGGGTCTGAAAAGCTGAAACTGCTCTTCAGTGAGGAGGCCTGTAAAATTTGACTGGGAAATCTCGACTTCCATTTTTCTAACTTTCACCGACTACCTTATAGAAATCTTTTATTTTTTCTTAGATTGAGTTCTATAGAAAAAAGGGGATTTAATTTTTCTCATTTTTTAACATTATTTCAATATAGAAAAGTACATTTAGAGTCTCTACATAGCATTTGAAAGTCTCACTTTGCTTTTATTACTCCCAGATTTTTTTTCGGTCTGACAGTTTCCTGCCTCAATGTCAATTCTTACGCCAGCCACTGAAAACGTATTTTCAGACGGTGGAAGTGGTTTTGTGGACTCTGGGCTTGAAGGACGAGGCCGGCTACAGAGTGAAAGATGTCTGGGAGAAGAGCGATCTCGGCATTCTGAAGCCGTCGGACAAGCTCCGCACCCAGGTCAACCCGACTGGGGCCGCCCTGTTCCGTGCCGAACTCGTCAACCAAGCTCCCTCGCCCGATCGCCCGTTTTTCTTTGGCGACGTCCCGAATGACGCCTTCTTCCGGCCTGGCCGAGTTTTCAACGAAAGAAAACTTTCTGGAAACTACAACCCATACGCCTTTAGCAACGAGTACTAGCTTTTCTCCCGAGTTTTACAAGTCTTTATATTGCTTTCTTTGCAGCTTAGTCATTCTTCTCTGAATTGGCTGACCTGTGAAAAAGAATTCGCCAAAACTATCTTGAATACGCTTCTCTTTCAAAACCAAAATATGAACGCACCTTAGAAAAATACTTAACATGAAAATGTTCATATATTCGTGAACTTTTCTTGAAAAGCTAGCGATGAATAGATTAAATGTACATAAGTTGATTTTTCCTTCATGTTGCAAAATGTTCTTGTCTTTCTCTTGCTTCTACCCTCATCTTCACTTTTGAACTTTTTTATGTCCATTTATATGGGTCCATTCACTCAACCTTCACTTCAACTTGTTCTTGTTGCTTCTCATGTATAAATTATTGATTACTTACTAATCGCCGTAAAAGGAAGGTCAATCTTTGATCCTATTTTATTGGTTGGAAAGAACGAAAAAAGAAAAAAATAATCAGTTCAACTGAAAAAAAAGTTATGATAAAAACCTGCTAGAGGAGTCGCAAATAGGGTGAATCTCCTATAAAAAAAGACAAACAAAACTCCTTTTCGTTTGAGTCCGTATCCCAGCTGTAATGCTTTACATTCTGCACTGCATTCATGTTTTAAACAAAAATTAAACGCGAAACATGAAAGATGGTGGTTCTGAGTTATTCGCAATTTTATTTTATCCTAACAATTTAGATAGAATTTTATAAAACTCCGTTGTGTATCCAGAACCCTCATCATGGCACGACTTTTAAAAGTAAGATCCTAAGTTTTCAAAGTACAAATCTGCCTTTCAGTTAAAAGTTCAAGGCCTACGAAGTGTCGGTCATAAGACGAAGGATTCTCTGGAGATTCCCTTTGTCCATCCTTTGACCATCATCAATGGTTCGATCGGAACAGGAAAAACCGTTTTTCTTTTATATTTTTCGAAACTTGAGAAATTGTTTAGACGATAATCGAATCTTTAAATTCCATTGCAACGGGAGCTTGGCCATGTGGAAACCTTCAAAATTTCATTCGATATCCAGAAGTTAGATTAATCGGCTTTCAAAACATTTCATATCGTTTTTCCAGACCGGAAAGCCTACAATCGAAGTTTCGATTTCGTTGGAGTTCGAGGATTTGAATGGTTGCGTTTGCACATCCACGAAGAGAATGGTGGCGACGTTGATGAAGGCTTTCCTCTTATATTTGTAGGACCTTACTTTATATATTCAGGGAAAATTGCGTTGCAAGTCGGAAACTCTCAGTCTGAAAATTCGGATGCCGAACGGTCAAGAGCGGAAGGTTTCGAAAAAACTTTTGAAAGTTCAACGGGAAGTATGTTTCTAAAACCTTTTTCAAACTTGAGTAGCCAGTTAGAGTTGTATTTAAATTGGGCTTCTGGTTTATTTGTATCAATTCGTTTTAGATCATCGAACACATGGGTGCTCCGGCCGTCATCCTCGACCATGTGAATTTTTGCCACCAAGATGAACATTTTTGGTCGGTTCCATCTTTTTCTGAGCACTCTTTCTCTTGTCTTCCAGGCCTTTGGGCGAAGAACTGAAAGTTGTTCTCGATCAAGTCTTTCAGTCGTCGAATTTCACTAGAGCGATTGAAAAAATGGAAGAGGCGAAACAGTGTTTTGTAAGATAACATTTCAGGATTTTGGCCAATCTTCGTTTCAGGATCAAGATTTGGCACTTCTCACAGAAAAGCAGAGAAAAGCAGAAAGCCAGCTCGGAACAAAAACTGAAGTTCCTTTTTACAAAATTCCCATAATTTTAGATATTCTTCCCTGTTTATCCCTTATTTGCCACGAATTTGAACAATATTGCCTGTCTGCCCCTTGTAATTTCATAAGAGCGGTCGCGAAAATATGATAATTAATTTGAATACCAGAGGTTTAAAGTAAAGGCGAAGGAAGTATATAGTCAACATTATCATAAAGTAAATCGAAAATATCAACTTTTCGGGGCTTTTTTGATTAAAACACAATAAAAGCTGATTTTTTTTAGCTGCAAGGAGATCCGGAAAGTCTGCAAAAGTTTGTCAATGCTGAAAAGGCCTATAAGATTATCTGTAATGAATGTCACATCATGAATGAGTCCGCCAAGGTTTCAGTTTCCCCTTTCTTTTTTTTTAGACCGATTAAACTTCCAGAATTTGCAAAAATACACGAAAACCTTGGCCTCATCGCTGATAGCGATCCACTCGGAGAAAATGGCGGAAATCAACGAAATAATTGACGATTTGTGGCGAAAAGTCAGCAAGGGATTGTACATTGATTCTATCAGAATCGGGTTTTTTGGACGTTCGATAAGGCTTTCGATAATTTTTTTTATTTACAGGTCAAAGTGTGTCAAAACGAGTTCGGGGGACAAATCCTACAGCTATTCCGTGTTAATGACTCGTGGCAGTATTGAAACCGAAATGCGCGGCAACGAGTCCAGCCCTAGTCTCGGAGAAAAGGTTGGATTTTTTTTCGTATTGAGAAAATTTTGTCTTTGTGGAAGAAAAATCTTGTTACAGTGAGAAAATTATATTTTTATATTGCGAAATGGTTCTTTTTGTAAAAAACTAACGATGTCTCTTGATATGGTTTCTGGTTGTGAAATTGGACAAAAAAAATAGACAAAATCAGAGAAAATAGATTGAATATCGGAGCCGCGAGTTTTTCGACTTTTTCGCTACCTCAGCGCTTGTTTAACATCATAGAAGAGCAAATATGTATCGAAATAGAATTAAAGTGTATTTTTAATCGGATCATATTTGTCCCGTAGTCACTCGCATGCTTGGTTATTCGAATAGCCCTCGCCGCTGTTTTCGGAGGCGCCAGACCGATTATCGCCCTCGACGAACCGACAAGGGACATGGACAAGACCAGGTCGAAGCTCGTGGCAGCGATGCTGAACGATTTGATCGTGTCGAGGGGCGTCCAGGTTCTGAAACCCGCTGAAAAACTCTCCTTACACGTTTTTCTTCAGGTAATTATCGTCACTAACGATGATCGGCTCCTCAAAAAACTCGTCGTTGCGAACAGGCCCGACTTCACTTTTGTCCTGGAGAAAGACCAGCGAGGATTGAGTTCCATCCGTAGTCAGCTTTTGGATCGATAAGGTTTCGAAATCTTGAAAAAAAAGCGAGTTGAGAGGGTCACGTTTCAAAAGCAAAAAAGAAAATTATCTACAGTTTTCTGCATTTTTACTCTACGTAACTGAAAAAAAAACAAAGATCTTAGAGCGAAATTCGAGTCCAATTCGGTATAGAGAGAGAAAAACTGGCGCGGAACGGCTTATACTCATTTTGTTTCAGAATCCGCAACTAAATCATCTAACCCGACATTTTCATTTACGTGTTCTTAGGATGACACAATAACCTGGGCATTCAATATTTTGTAAATTTTTACGGTTATCTTGAGCAGTTTTGAACGGTACAAATTGTTGTTGTTTTTTTTGTTTTCCCGCAAAATAAAATTTTTTTCCAAATTATATTCGTTATTTTTGTAAGAAAATGAAAATCCTTCATTTTTCATGAAATAATTAACTGAATGAGTTTAAATCGAGACCAGCCAGTCTTACCAACTTCGTTTTGAAGGGGATAGGACGAAATTTTGAAGGTGGGACAGACTGCCTTTTTGCACAGAGATAACCATTGTGTATCAGTTATATAGCATCCATTAAATATGAGAGAGGAGAGGGAGGCTTATAATCTGGCGCATCTTTTCAAAACGAGAAAGTTAACGTCATTTGTGAAAAGTCCATATTTCGGTGGTAAAGAAGAAACCTTAAACCGGTTCGCAATTTGATATATTCTTTTTTTACCTTGTGGAAAAATAAATCATAGTTATTATAAAGGACTGCGACCGTTCATCTCTTCTCGAGTAGGAGGAAAAGATGCAAATTCGTTGGAAGAGGGGCGGCGACGTCTGTCCTCTTCAAAAGAAGAATGACGACGTCTTTCCTCTCTGGAATCAGAACGACGACGTCTCTTTTCGGAAAAAAAGTCGGCGTTCTTCGGAGGATGTGCCTAGGATACAAGGTTCCCAAGGATCACTGGCAAACTCGGGAGTACCAAAAAAAGAAAGTCGCCGCAGGAATCTCCTGGGAGTTTAGTTTTCTTATCAAGTTTTGGCTACCTTTTTAAGGTCGCTGAAAAAAAGTCCTCTTTCACCGACTAATCGAAAACATCTATGACTAAAACAGAAACCACATGATTGAAAAATGGGTATCAAAGAGACGTTATCAAGGACCTCGGCGACCTCTCTTCTTATCGCCTCGGCCACTCATTTGCATGTTATTCTCGGCACTTCTGGTCGTTTTTCTCGGCTTTGCCCAGAGTTTGGAGAATGGGCTCGCGAGGTAATTCATTATTGTTCTACGATCAGTTTGTATCACTGAACCCACATTCCAACAGGAAACCGCCGATGGGCTGGATGTCTTGGGCGGCGTTTTATTGCGAGACGGACTGCGACCAGCATCCGAGGAGCTGCATCAGCGAGTTGCTCTACGGCGACATGGCCGATCGGCTAGGTTTCCTCTCGTTTTACGAGTTGATTTCCACGATAACTCTACAACTTTCAACTGAACTTTTCTGCAGCTTCCGAGGGGTACAGGGAAGCAGGATACGTTGGAGTCCACGTCGATGACTGTTGGATGGAGAGACAACGCGATCGGAGTGGCGCTTTGGTGCCGGACAGGACTCGGTTTCCCAGCGGCCTGAAATCTCTGGCCGATTATGTGGGTGTCTAACAAATATATGGGTTAATAAAAGTACTGGAGAAGTTTGAGATAGAAAAAGGAAATGTAGGTTTATTTTTCGATCTGAAAACATGAATGCTTAATTTTGCTTCAGTCAGTTCAAAATGTAAGTTTTTAGGCTCCAAAAATTCCAACACAATTATTAATTCTTTTCTATCAATTTTTGTTTTTGAAATGGATTTTTTTGTGTTTTCATATTTTGATTCTTGCTTCTAATTTTCCAGTGCTTCAGTTTGATTCTTCAAATTTTAAACTTACAACCAAATTTTAGGTCTGACTTTTATATTGTTAGCTCCATTTTCAAATAATCAGTACCAAATTTATTTGCTCTACTCTCAATTTTTCAACTTTATTGTCACTTTTCAACTCTGAAAGTTCAAATTTTTAGATTCATGACAAGGGTCTGAAGTTTGGATTGTACGAAGACTACGGTACGAAGACCTGCGAAGGCTATCCTGGGAGTTACGGTCATTTAAAGGTGCACAAAGTCTCTTCACAACAGCTCTCTGAGTAGTTTGAATGCTTTGCGCTCTGAGACCAATTCATGCGTTCAAACTTTTTCGAGAGTTCCAGAAAGCTTTTTTGGATTTTGAAATTAGAAGAGTCAAAACTAAAGAAGTATTTTAGATAGACGCTCAAAGTTTTGCCAATTGGACAGTCGACTATTTGAAGCTGGACGGCTGTAACATTGATGTGAATTTGATGGAGAAAGGTAAAATTGCGGATTTTTTAGAAAAAAAAGGAATTTTCAAGGATTCCCGGAAATGCAAGTGGAACTAAACGCCACCGGCCGTCAAATTGTCTATTCTTGTGTTTGGCCGCTTTATCTACTCCCAAAACATTCGGAGAAGGTTTCTTATCACGAAAATTATTTGGAGAACAGAAAAAGGCATTGACTCCGATGTTCTATCTGAAAAAAATGCGACTTCTGGCGATTTTAGATAAAAGGAAGTTTGGAATAATTAATGAATTGGAGTGGTTATAATAGAATGAACCCTTTAAAACTAGAAGTTTATATCATTGAAAATTTTTTCTATTTTTTCTTCTTGCGCGGAGAGATCGATAGCGACCTGAAGAGACGCCAGGGAAAAAGCAATCTCTTATTGTCTAACTTTTCTTCAATCCGCCTTCTTTCTTTCCCCGAAGTTCTAATTCAGATCGACTACAAATACATTGGCGACCATTGTAACCTGTGGCGCAATTTCGACGACGTGAAAAGCTCTTGGGACTCGATCACAAGCATTATCGATTATTATGACCGGAATCAGGAGAAGCACATCCCGACCCACGGACCTGGCCGCTGGCACGATCCTGATATGGTTTGATTTGGGAACTCCAAAACAACTGTTCTAGTTTTTGAAGGAACACAGGCAAAATAGTTTCCACGGCTAAATTACGTCTTGAAATTTTCGAAAAACTTTATTGGTTTTCCTAGAAAATTTCTACAAACCCTCTGCCCTTTTTGAAGGAGCAAGGTCAAAATTCGAAGAGGTCTCATGGCGATTTTATGTGAACTATTTTTTGAAAATCTTTCTAGTTTTTTGAAGCCTTTCAATTGATTGAAAATCCCGAGGCGTTGTTAATCGACTCATCGGAAACTAAAAACAAAATTTTATATTTTTTTTTAAGCTCGTAATCGGCAACGAGAATATTGACGTGAACATGGCGACTGCGCAGATGACCATTTGGTAAGGATATCAAATTTTTTTTTTTGACGCGGTCGAATTCTTAATTTTAACCGCGAAGCTTTGAGCCATTTCACGTGCAATCCCGCTGTTTTAATGAGAAGTTGACCGCTTCGAAATAAAGCTTCAATGGTTCATTTAATTTTCATATTAGGCGTTCTTGTGCCTTTGAAAGTTTTTTCTGCGTTTTAAAATACGAATATCTGAACCTTTCCTAACTTTATGTTGCCAGGAGCATTTGGTCAGCTCCACTGATGATATCAACCGATTTGCGAACAATCAAGCCAGAGTTCAAGAAAATCTTGCTCAACAAAGATGTGATTGCCGTTGATCAGGACAAAATGGGCATTATGGGCCGCATGATCGCTAATGTCAGCTTTTTTAATATAGTCAATTCACCGCTAACCCTTATGAAGCTCATTTCTCATTCTCAAGTTCATTAAACTCCCACAATTCTCATCAAAGAAGGAAAAAAAGTACCTGATTGCAGTCGTCCAACGTCTTCATCTATCTGAAGCCGATTTCGCCGACAGCCGACCTTCGATCATCTTTTGCGTTCGCCTTACTCAACCGCAACACGACTCATCCTTTCGTGAGCCCTCTTTTTAGACTTTTGAACTGGAAAAATTGCGTTGATGAGAATAAGGGAAAAAAACTTAGAAGCCCAAAATATTCAATTGATATGAATTTTCAAGTTTCTTAAGTTTCAAAATTCTAAAAATCTGATGGCACCACTATTAAACTTTTGAAAAAGTGACCATGGTCTGTCGAGTTTCTTGATAATGTTGCTTTTGAAGTTCGAAATTCTTGCAAAGTGCACAGAAGAGCGGACAGCTTCAAAAATAGGAAAAGGTTTTTAATATTGTTTATCAGAATCTCCACCCGGCGAAGATAGTCATTTCTCAAAGTATTTCATAGTTTCAAGTACCAACATTTTCTAAGCTCAATTGAAGTCCCAAAAAAAAACTAACTTTTAGTCAGCCGAGTTTGACCTCGAGTCGGTTGGCCTCGAAGATGCCGGCGGCTACAAAGTGACGAATCTTTGGAGCGGCGAGGAACACGGCCGACTTCTGCCCTCGGACACCATCAACATGACGATTCCGGCTTCTGGAGCCGTCATGTTCCGCGCGGTGCTCGTCGACCTCAAGCCCAAGCACCATAAGATCGACCGCTTCCTGAAGTCTGGCCAGCTGCTCCAGCTCCGCAGTGCCACCACTCTCCGCAAAACCGGCAAATCGCTCTGGTCTCGATTGGAAAAATTCGAAAACTGGCTCGCCAGGGTGTTTGAGATCGACAGGAAAGTGATTAAAAGCGATTTTGGCTACCATTTTTGATCATACTATGCATTTTTCTGTATTTAACTTGTGTCCTTCGTTTTATGCTAATTTTTTCAAGATGTATGTGAAATGAAAACTTCAAATTGAAAAAGTAAATAAAAATGTTTCTCTTTTTTCTTCAAAACTCAAATTAATCACAGCTATTTTTAAGTGACCACTTGAACTTCCTTTTTCGACTACTTTATAAATTTTGAAAACTTCTCAAGAAACACGCCCTGAAACCTTGAATACTTCAATTTGGAGTACGGCCACGGAACCAACAGCCCCGTGATCCGAGTTGAATAGAGAGTCCGCCATGATTCAGACGAGCCGTACAAGGAGCGGCTGACTCAACAGTCTATGCCGGCAAAAGTATAAAAAGTCCTAGTTTTTCATCAATTCCCATTCACCACAACTCTTCGGTCCAACTTTGCAAAAAAGGATGCGTGAATTATTCACATTAATTCCATTTATTTTAACCGTCAAAAGTCGGGAAATCCCCGAAATTTGCCGTCATTCTGAAGCCTTCGTTGATCGGGTTTTCGAGAACATTACCACTGTGACTCATACGTCTACTCTGGTAAATTCTAAGCTTTTTTCTTTGAAAAATGTTTTTTTAGACAAAGCAAGTGTATTCCTACACCAGCGAGGAAGAGCCAAAGTTCGAGAATGGTCCATCCTACCGAGTTTTGATTAGAAACGACAAGTTTTTCGACAAATTTGTGAGTTAAAAAAGCTAAGGAATGGAACTTTTTTTTGTAGGACCAATGTTATCTCCTTTCCGTTTTCCCTAACTGCATCCTAATTATTCGCTTTTTTTTCTGATGATAAAGATTTTTAAACTAACTTTTTAACAGTTGACCACTCTCAATTGGCATGACCTCGGCGTGACAAAGAAAGGAGAGTTCAAACTTCGCGACGTCTGCTCCAACAAACGCCTTGGTCGGATCATCTCCAGCGATCCGTTCGACGTCAACGTCCTCTTCTTCTCCTTCAATCTTTACGAACTCGAAAGGATCCCCGGAAAAGCAGCTCCGGTAGAAGTACCGATAACTAACGACACCGTCGTGGAAGGTTCCGGCGAGATCAACGACGAGGTCAACGACGAGGACTACCTTTTGACTTATCTCGAATAATTCTGCTTTTTTCAATACCTCATTCTACTTTGTATGTGTATAACTTTCCAAGGAAATTACGCAAATGAAAAGTTCTTTGAATCTTGTATCCCAAAACACAAGAAAGGTTGAAAGGGAAACCAAATCCCTGAGGAAACGGCAAGACAATTAGAAGAGAGAAGCACCGCTCTTTGGTTAATTAAGTCCCCCTCTTCCTCGTTCTCGCGTTTCCAGTTCAACTAGATTCATGTTCAAAGTCGCGGTCGCAGGTGGCGTCGGCAGTGCCAAGGTATATCAAAATCATCGTTACATTTTTCGCTCTAGTATATCCTATAACGCGCTTTTGATGCGCCTTTAAACGAACAAACATCGAGAATAAAATATCGAGAAAAAAAGTGAACTCTTAGAACATCTCATTTTGTTTCTCCAAAAATGCTCCTTTACAGAAAAAAGTCGCCGAAAAATTGAAAACTTGTCTGTGGGAATCCTGCAAGATACCATCTACAGTTTCATCTTCTGGAGGTGAACTTTCTGAGAAATTTACAGCTTCTGCCTCTCAACTCATAAAGTTCATGGACGCAAGTGGAATAACTCAGCGCGCCGGACTAGAAACGACTTGCGCGCGTTGTCATTTGTTTATTACAAGCAGACCTAGTGCCGACGCGACGGCGATGCTTCGAGCCATTCCACGTGCGACCATAGAATTTCGAAACGAGACAAATAAATTAGAGATCACGCTAAATTATAATATTCAGACAATCTTTCTCTGACCAAAACCAACTGCTTCATTCATCATGGAACCGAACTTTACCTTCAAAACCCGCCAAACAGCGACTTCAAAATATTTGTGGATGTTCCCCTAGATTTGCTCATTAGCCGATATAGTGAATAATGTTTAAAAAATAATATTATTTAAAATTTCCAGTTATCAAAAACGCGGCCAGTCTAACATACAGTTCAAAGAAAATTCATGAAAAAGTTGATCAATTTCGAAGATTTCACATCGAAGTCGTTTTGAAGCAGAAACGACTGGCCGACGCTTGGATCAGCGAGGATTCTGATGAAAGTAGGGATTTTTCGTCAGATGAATTTTGAATTTTAATTGCAGGACGGTTCGCTCTGATCGCGTCGAAAGTTGCAGAGAAGATGAGAAACGGAGAGAGGGAAGAAAGTCCAGAATTTTCCGCATATTTTAATAACTACCCTCAAAAGTTTAATAAAGCTTTTCAATAGACAAATTGAGAGAAAACGAGTTGAAACAAATAAAAATAATTGACGTCGAATCTCACTTCATTTTACAACTCGACACTTCGCTTCTACTAGTTCATACACAACACACGATGCACCGACTACCTTCAGATCGTGAGGTAAAATATCCGCAGTTTTATTCCATCTTCGCCAATTCTTCCAATAAATCTTTGAACTTTTAAGGAAACTGGCAAACTAAGATCAAAATATCCTGCGTTTATTCCACAAACCAGTAGTTAATTGAATATGTGGGCAATTCATCAAAAAGCTCGCCAAGTTTTGAAAGAAGAAATTTACTCCTTTTGAAGCTCTTCTTCTCCGGATACTGTAACGCTTAAGCTAGCACTTAGTAGTTCAAGAAATCGCGAATGTCTGGCAACCTCTGAAACATTCTCGACAGGATTTTCTTCCAAAAGAGCCGAAATGAATTTTGCAACCTCTCAAGTGATCTTTTAACGGCTCAGAATCTCTTACCTTGGAATCAAAACAGAGATTTCAGTACGAAAATCACTATCACATTTGGGATCGGTTTCTGGATTCGGCCGGAAATCGGAAGAAGTCTAAGAGATGTGGGTTGAATTGAGAGATGCAGAGAAAAAAGAAGAGTTTCAGGCAAGCCGACGATGGACACGACCGGAACGGCTTTCACGACGAAGACCGTCCAGACAAGCTCCGACGTCACGGTCGTTTACTATCAAAAACAGGTACTTAAGGGAGCACTTGGAGACGACAGCAGAATAACCTTCCAGGAAAAGCCGAAAGAGATCTCTGAGAGGCCTCTTGAACGGTTCCCATCAAACACACGACCGGCAGAAAGAGTCAAGACCAACGGCATGACTACTGATTCTCAAAGAGCACGAGCTGCAGCTCCATACCAACCTCCCAGCTGGACCTTCAAATCAGACGCTGTTGACGTAAGATTATTCGGAATATAGCTCCTGGAACTTGTTGCTTCTAGTACTCAGTAGAGCGAGCTCGAGCAGCGTTCGCCGAATATTCCGACAGAAAGAGAAGCTCAAAAAGTTCGCGTCGTCAGATAGGCGTCGATTTCGAAGAAGTTGTTCCTCAACAACAACAACATCATCATCGCAAAAGAGTTGCTCGGAAAGTCTCCGTCGGTTGCTGCGGGTCGGTCTTCACCACTCGGTAGATCAAAAAAAAAGAAAGAAATAAAAACAAATTCTTTCTAAATCACAAAAATAATTTTTTTAATGTTAGATAGAAACCGGCTGAATAGTTCTAGGAGTATAAAAATTATGAAGTTTGATAAAAAAGACTCTGCGTGAGACGGAGGAGAGAAGGCAGACAAGCCAGACAGTTTCAATTTCCTAATCAATGAAAATATACTGCTTTCAGAGCTTTCGAAGCGACTGAAGAGGAAGACGAATGTGTTATCCCAGCCCATCAACCCAAGCGCATCCATTGGTAGGAGGGACTTCTTGTTGAATTTTTGAAAAGTTCATCACAGTCCCGTCGAAGAACCAGCCCCGGCCTTCTACGGATCCATCGAAGCGGAGATCGCGGCCGGGAAAGCTGCCGAGCACCTGGCCAAGGCCTGCGAGAACCTCGACAAGTTGCGATTCATCGCCGACACGGCCTTGCCGTCTTCCGAGCAACATCTGGTGTGTAGCCGACTAAAAACGGCTTTCCGAGTCGCGTAAAAGCAGACACTTTCCTTGAAAAATACGCAAAAGTTATTTTCTCAAGAAGGTTTTCAGGAGAACCTGACGACGATAACCAACGAGCTCAAGCAGTTCAACTCACAGTTGAAAGACCATCGCTACAAGGACAAGTTTATCAAGGTTCGGTTTGACATAACTTTGCTTGAACTCGACCCAACAATAGGAAGCTAGGCTTTTCCGCATTCGAATGACATCAGAAATGTCGCGTCAAAGACTTTTCTGTTTGTTTCAGAGCTCGGCTCGCGTCGCTCACTTCATCCTGTAACCATTGGATTCGGCCGGAGAACGTTTCCGATAACATGAAACCTACGAAAACTGACAAAATGACTCAACTTATCTACTCCGACTCATCGTGAACACAAACCGATAAATAAAACTGTGTTAATCCCACTTGGTTTACCGAAAAAAAGGCGTCTCTAAATAAAAATAACATGGAAATCAGAGAGATTTTTTCTGAAGAGCAAAAAACGTGAAAAAGCTTTCTGATGCCTCTACAGTAAAATTTAAATGAAAATTTTTGGCGAGGTAAATTTTATTTTTCACGTAAAACCTTGTTTTTGAGGGCTGATGAAAAAGTTTTGCTGTTGAATTTGATCTCCGATGATTTTTTTTTATCTGTTCAACTTCTTGGTATTCACTGGTTCAGAGAACAGAGCGAAAATACGGAAAAAACAGCCTAATTCGAAATCAGTCTATCATTTTGAGAAATGATGTGAAAAATAAAATTAGAATCAAAAAATATATGTTGAAAAAACCTCATAAAAGCATATTGCCGCATAAATGAGAAGTGAAGTCCTTCTTGAGAAAAAAAAGACGTGAATAGACCTCATTTCATGCTATTTTCAAAAATATTTCTACAAGCTCATAGAAAAAAACCTTAATCCGTTCAATATTTCCAACTTTCTTAGAAATTCTGACGTCAATCTCACTTTTTGAAAGTGTTCTATCTAAAAAAACAGCTGACTCGAACTAATCAGAATTTCAGGGCGAAATATTATAACTCACCCAAATTCTCGTTTATATACGTTCAATATCATCAACTTATTATTATCATTTGTTTCAAAGGCCTCTTATTTCTCCTCCCCTTCTTTATTTCTATTCCAAGAGGGCGATGACGTCAAAAGACCTTCTCGTTTTGTTCTATGCCCCTCTTATTCAGTGAGCAGAACAGGTAAAGGAAGATTAATGCTGAAAAAAAGTAAGTAACCAAAATATAAGGGCTTAATCGCATTTCCGACCCGATGCTTTCCGGTGTCCTCTCACAAGGTGTTGAGGAATTGAGGAAAAGAAAACGGAAACACGAGCCTCATTTCATGGGAATGGATCGTGCTTCCACGTTTTTTGAGTATAAAAACTTGAATTTATTCCTGGTCCTCGAAAATTTGTGAAGAAGTTCGCCCAATTCTCTAAAACAAAATTTTCAGAACCTTTTTTGGATTTCTTCTTTTATTATGAACGCGACTATCGTTCTTCCCAGTAAATTTGAATGTTTTGTTCGATGTGAAGATTTCCTCGAAAAACATGAATATCTATCTCTATTTTGGGCAGGTCACCCTTCTCCCTTTTTTCCACTTGAACATCATTATACTCCATTCATGGCCTGACTTGCTTGATATTTTGGTGCTTCGAAACAAGATCACGGAAAAAGTGAGCAGTTCAACGTTTGATATCTTGTTTTTTTGCTCAATTATTTCCCTCATCGCTCCAAGATTCTTTTCAATCTTGAAAAGCTATATGAAATGTTCCGCAAAGCTGGCGGAGAGTCAAGTAACTAATTGTTTCTCCTTTTTTTTTTTAAATTTTAAGGCCAAAATACTGTTATTTACTGAAACTAGCGCGTTTTTTCTTAGTTTCCTACTCGAAATTCTAAGTCACAACAGGACATTTGCTGTTTTTTTCGTTCCTGTCCCTCTATATTCAGTTTTTTCAAGAATCATTAAAACCGAGTCGAGATTCCAGCTCAAGAAATGTACCGGAAAATGCTGCGGAGTCATGAGAACGAGCCGGACCTCGAGAATCGCAAGAAATCACTCAAGAACCGGAGTTTATCGAGAGAAGCGAGGAACAGACAAATTTCTGACAGCGAATCTGAGAATCTTCCAAAAAGTGGACCTACGAGTAGCAAACCGTTGGCCAAGTCTCACAACGTCGAAAAAAGCGAGTTTTTTTTTCTTCTTTTTCGAATCCTGTCCAATCTGACCTCCTTGTTAGTTCTTCTAGTAGACTACCTCAAATTAAACCTAGAAATTTCGAATTCGGATAACGAGATCAGTCGAGAGACAAATCGACTGTCAGAAAGCCAACGTGTCCTGATCCAGAAGACCTTTCTCAACATAGAAAAAGATCCAGTCCGAAATGGATTGAAGATTTTTGTCAGGTAAAGACCAAGTTTCTAAACTAAGGCAAATGACCAAGTTCAGGTTATTTTCCGAGTATCCGAACTACAAGTTGGTCTGGCCACAATTTCGAGCCATTCCCGATTCTTCATTGATGAACGCCATCGAGTTGAGGTGAGGGAAAGTCCAATCGAAACTCTTTTTCATTAGAGAACAAGTCGAAATTCTATCGTCGCACGCGGATTCGCTTCGATGTAAAACAGTCTGACGTGTGTACGTCTCTTTTCTCTCACTGACGAGGTCATACAACGAAAATAGCGCGTCAAAGCGAGAGTTCATTCTAGGGAAGACTTTCTTCCAAAGAGGGCGCCGAGAAATGTTCAAAATTGTGACGAATGGAATTCTGAATTCAAAATTTACTCTACAGACGACACGCTTCGGTGTACATGTGTGGCCTGCGACAAATCATAGACTCGATGGGAAACGAGGAAGAACTCGCGGCTCAATTGTCGCGAATCGCCCTGGCTCACATCAAGTGGAACGTTCAGCGATATCACGTTGTTGTACGTTTTTTTGAGCATCAAAAACTAACTGAGCTCAGCAAAGGTTGTGAGAAAGATGAAATCAGATTTCCTTATACGTTTCCGGTTGGTGATTCCTTCTGACTAAAAAATGCTAGAAATACAGCTGTTGTAAAGGAGCAACGAGGAAGTAGCTACATTATAATGAGCTTTGAATAGAAATGTTGTTATGAAGATATGATTTTTAAAATTCCAGTAATACTTTCAAGTTTCAGCGCTGATAAACGGAATCTTTGAAAAATTAAATCTTTGAACCAAGAAGTTTGCAAAAGGTAGCGACTGAATTCGGGCTTTCAATGAAGATTTTTCGGAAAGGTTCCAAAATTCACCCTAAAAGACCGCCTTCGTCAATCCATTGATTGGCTTCCAGTACAAATTTCCTCGCAATGGTTTCACTAAAATATCCTAATATAACGTCATTTCTCCTATAGAATCCGTCTACAACTTGCAGAACATGTGCGAGCCAGTTTGCGAAGTGGTCAAAGAGTGCAACGACTACAAAATGGACGCGGAGACGCGCAAGGCCTGGACCGTCCTCTACCAAGTCATCGCCAACTTGATCGAAGTTTTCCGGGCGCGCGCCAAGTAAACCATCTCAATTTCGGACGCATTGTAATTAAATTTTACCTCAGCAATCGATGAATTTTCAAAGCATGCTTTTTTCGAAAACCAATACAGAAGCGGTCAAGAGCTCTTGTACAGTATACTTGAACGTGCCAATATCCTAATATAACTTCAAGCAATTTTTGTTTAAAAAATCATCATGAAAGTGAATTTTTTTGAAAACAAACTGAAAAATTTTTGAAAAAATATAGAAAATCGACGAGTTTTTCCATTTTTCCTTCATATTTATTAAAAAAAGCAGGAAAAAAATTAAAAAAATATCGAATAGTTCTATTTCACGATTCGTAAACGTTCTTCCATGCAATCCTTAGCCTTTACGCCTTCAGAAGACCTATTTTTTTATTTGTTTTTCAAAAAGTTCAAGCATTTCTTAAAAAAATTTCAAAAAAATTGTTCTTTATGAAGAAAAATAAAACTTTGTTTCAGGCAACTTCTCAAATAATTAATAACTTTATTACAATTTTATAATGAAAAAAAGCACTTGACATGCAATTATTAGGGTAAATCGATAAGAAAAGCTCGTTAAATTGGAATGACAGCAAATGTTTCTTCCCTTTTCGCATTCAGAGTCGACAAAATCGGGCAGAGGTAAAAATGTAGGGGGTTAAAGCTCAAGGTAACAATTATTGAATTCGAAATTCGTATTGGGAACAGTAAATATATGAATAAATAAGTCTCTATTTTTCGGCGGATTCGTTGTTCGAATCTGCGACCATCTTGGCAAAGGCCGATTCCTTGTTGGCCAAAAGGACGTTCGGCGAGTCGAACTCGCTGATTTGGCCCTTGTCCAGCACCATTATCCTTCACAATCATCCCGTTATTTCAGCTTTTTCTTCCCTGCACATAGCCTGTTCATGGAAGAAGACAGAACAGCTCGTGAAAAAAAGCCGCAGTGAAAAAAGCCTTGAAATAGCCGTAAAAAGTTCAAACCAACGATTGAGCAAATCGAGACCCTGCGGTGGCTATCCTGTTTAGGTTGTTAGCCTGTGATATTTTTTCTTAACTATTTTATGAGCGGCTATTATTCTGAGCTGATTTGCCATCTCTCTGGCTTGATCCAATCAGGGGAAAAGGTCTTGACACGATAAAAGTAAAATAGGGGTTGACTTTTGGAGACGCAGATATTTTTGATTTTTTTTCTTGTACCAGACCAGCCGTGAACAGGTTATATGTTTGTCTTTTTTTTACGAAACCCTTTTTAAGTGACATAATATGACGTCTCAGGATTTTAAAACAATATAGAATTTCAGGGGGAGGCGCGCCGAAATCTAGAGATGATGCGCTAGTGACGTCGAAACTTGTCGTTTTTCCCATTTTGATTATTCCAACTGACCTATCGTAGTCCATGATGGTGTTGAGTCGATGGGCGATCGTGAAAACTGTGCACTTGTCGAACTGTTCTCGGATCGTTGCCTGATGTAAAGTTCAGGATTCTATTAAAGGAGGATGGGAATCACTTGAATGAGAGCATCCGTGGCAACGTCGACGGCAGCCGTCGCCTCGTCCAAAACCAGCACTTTAGTATGTCGAAGCAGGGCTCTCGCCAGAGCAACCAGTTGTCGTTGGCCAACACTGAAAGAAGCTTTTTCTAGCCTTTTGCAACTGATTGGTGTCGCCTTAAAAAGTTGAAAAAGAAACTATCTGGCATTGAAAATTGATTATCCTTCAAGGAGGACTATCTAATTAAAATTACAGAATTTAGCTTTCATTAGTAAAGCTAAAAATTTCAAAATGTAAAATATTTTTGCAAAAATTGGCTAACTCGCTAAATTTCCTTTAAGTTTCACTTTCGGAGGTTCGGTTTTCGATGGTGTGTTTTCATTCTGATTGCTGAAGTCTTCGTAACGATTTAGTGTATTTTCCATTCAACACACCTGATATTCTCTCCCGCCTCACTGATGACGTAGGCGAGACCTCCGGGAAGATTTGCGGCGAACGTCTTCAGATGGGCCAATTCGAGAGCGCGCCAGATCATCTCGTCGGTGTACCGCGAGAAAGGATCCAAGTTGAAGCGAAGCGATCCAGAGAACAGCACTGGGTCCTGGAAGAGGAAAAGTAAGAACTGCTTTTCAGAATGAAATTAGACTAGTTTTCTTTAATCTAGAAGAACGGCGTAGCGCAACAGGTTGTGGCCTGTCTACGGTTCAAAGGGTTACAAGTTCGATCCCCCCCCTAAACCAAGAGGTTTAAGAAATGTTGGTAGCGGGAAACCACGACTTCGAAATCCCAAGCCGTCACACACAAGGGCAGATATTTCAGTGCAGACAGTCTACTGATTAACACTGATATCAGGATAGCACCTCGGCTAATCGACTTGGGTCGCCGCTCAAAGGCGTTAGGAAAATAATAGGCTTTTATAACGAAGAGAAAATGTTCAATTGAATCACCTGAGGTATAATCGTGATATTCGACCTCAGATCGTGCAAGCCAATAGTCGAAACATCAACGTTATCAATGATGATTCTACCCCCAGCCGGTTCGATCATTCGGAACAGTGCCAGTGCAAACGAAGATTTACCTGAAGTGAAGTGACTAATTTTGCTCAACCTATGAGAACTTTAAATAACCACATCACTGATCGTTTCACAAATCCTACGAGGCAAGCCGATCAGAAAATAGTTCGTTGAAGCGAGCTTTCAAGGCTCAAAAATGCGTCATTAAATACAGTTGGGTCCAAAAAATACACTTTTTGATCACAAATTTGTTGTATAAAGCTCATTATTTTTGAAACTTTATGAATTTTTGTTCTTTCTTCTGGAAGCTGAACTCTCAAAACTCTGTTACAAATATTAGTTATCACTCGATCAAGTTTTTGAAAGACTGAACTCCATACAAGAAATTCGGGATCAGAAAGTTATTTTTTCGTATCTTTCCTGACGCACTGTATATGAAATCATGTGACTATTTTTTTTATTCATTTGAAGAGCTCAGAAAATTCCTGATAATTTATAGATCTAGTTATGGAATAGGACTTATGACAATTATTGCTGATTTATTTCGAAAGACGGAAGAAAAATTGGGGCCTCTAAGGCTTTTTTTTAATTTTTCTAACGTCACGACCAATCACAACAACCGAACTCACCATCATACCACTCAATTCCTGAAATTTGCAATAGATAAATTCAGAAATTGGTCTCAAAAGATCAAAAATCATGAAAAAATCGAACGAACCAGCTCCGGTCCGTCCAACGATGCCAATCTTCTCGCCAGCGCGCACATTCGCAGAAATTCCATTCAAGACCAAATCGAGGCCTTCGCGATAACTGAAAATCATTTTATTCGGTTATTTTTATAATTAGTGATGTCTTTCCAAACTAGAACTGCGATCGATTCATTTATCGGGGGAATAAAAATACGAACCGCGTGGAGTAATCCACAAATTGGACGACGCCGCTCTCCGGCCATTTCGGACTTGGCTCCGATCCTTCGACCTTCCATTCCGCCTTTAAACGATTCTACGGTTTCACGGGAAAAGCTCAAAGAATCCAACCTCATTCGGCGTGACCGTGTACTCGTTGACCCGTTCAACGGCGACAATATTCGCTTCGATTTCACTAACTTGTCTGACGGCGAAATTCAGCACTTCGGTTATCTGTAATGGTTTTTTGTAGAATCGATCCTTGTAAATAATTGACGACACATTCTGTCAGTAAAAAAAAATCAAAATTTCATGAAAAATCTAAAAAACTCTTTTCATTAAATATTTTTAAAGATTCGTTGTGAAAAAGAGAAACAAATGTCGATCTTGTTTTTTTCAAATTGAAATAATTATGGAGAAAAAATCAAACATTGAGAGCATAAGAGATGGAGACGCCGACGACACCCGCATTGTCAGACCAGCCAAACTCCTTGGAAAGCACAGCGAAAAGGGCGGCGAAGAAGATCTGGAAAAAATCTATTTTGAAGGTCTGAAGGCGTAACGAAGAATAGGCAGACTGCGACTTCTGCTTATAAATCTTCTTCCTTTTCCTTAGGATAATTTCGGAAACTAACAATGCAGTTTCCAACAAACTCGAGTCGAACGGCCAGCCAACGATTCGAAACCGTATTTGCGTATTTACAGCGGATAAACGCGTCGACAATCTTACCCGAATGAGCTCGGAACTCGTCAACCTAAATTGGAAATTAAAGAAATTTCTCTACTTGAAAGGGTTGTCAAAATGGCCAACTTTTGAGGTTTCGTTGGAAACTTGCGGCACCCTTTTTTAAATCAATTTTCAAATTTTCGAAGTTACGACGCTTCAAAAGCTCAACTTGTAACCTTGTAAGGGTGGGTCAAATTGGGGACGTCATATCTTTGCGGAAAGGATTGAAGAAACATATTTTTCCTTTAGAAAAAAAGCGCTAGAGCACTCAAAATCTGACTATTTCGACAGTTATTGCTCGGAGAAGCCTTGCCTTATTGAAAGCTCGAATCGAGGCGGCGCCCTGAATCGTTTCACCGAAATGCGAATAAATAGGCGACCGATGGACGCTCTCCAGCCGTTTCAGTTGTCGCGACGTCGGCACGTAGAAACGCTGGAAAAAATTTTGAAAAAAAAGGTTTGGTTAGATCATAGAAGATCCTTTGTTCAGTTAAAAAAAATTCCCCAGTGTTCCAAATTTTTTAAAACTCTTTTTGTTGTTAACTAAGGAGATTTTCAGGCGATCGAGTGTGTCACTGGATCAAAATTTCAAAGAATATGAAAATTTTCACATCTAACATATGCGAAAACCATTGTTTTTTCGACTTTAGAGCCAGACTCACCAAAAACATCAAGTAAATAAAGGCGAGTGGGACGATGACCGCGGCAAAGAGAGGCGTCGAGATGACTATAACGATGAGTGTGAAAAATACCTTGAAAATCTCATCTCAAAATCTGTATCGTTTCTTTTTCCTCAACCTGTAGGAAACACATGACAAGGTAGCGAAAGTTCAACGGGAGAAGCATATCGATCACTTCAATGTCCTGGAAAAGAAGCCAAAATGTTCAGGGGGATACACTGGACAATTTTGCCTTTGCGCATCGGTTCAGAATCCTTCCTAGAGGTGTCGTATCGTAGAAAGACATGGGCGATCGGAGCAAATTGTGGATTAAAGGGGCGTGGAGATTCCGCGAAGCTCGAAGACCCGTGTAGACCAGCGTTACCAGAGAAACGAAAAAACAGGCGGCTGAAAATATAAAGTTTATCGTCTTTTGTTCGTGATTATCAGAGAGTTTTCCGATTTTTTCTTCCATCGCTAGAAAACTTTTCGACTTTTGTTAAAACTTCTGCGTTTTGCACATCCTTACACGGATCATATTTTTAAAACTTCTTTCCGAGATATGAAATATTAAAACTTCGGCTTTTAGATCAAATGGATACACAGTTCTATGCAAAGCCTTATTCTTGTAGGAAGGTTCGAAGGGGCAGAGCCACTGAAACATTTCTTGGTGGAAAAAAAAGTTGTTTTGAAACGGATTTTTGATCCGAAAGATGAATTATGGGAACCGAGGTTTGTTACATATCATTTTTCAAGAATTCTCTCCAGTCAAAAGGAAAAACGGACATTCCGTAACACCCAAGGCTCCGTAGACGCCAAGTCTTTCGGCGATGGAAAGTGGATGAGGCGACGGATTTTCGGGATCATTTTCGTTGGACCAGGCCGAGAGCCAGAAACTCCGGAGGCATTGGAAAGTCATGAACAAAACGAAGAACACGATGAACAAAATACTCAGAAGGTAAGTCGAAGCCTTCACGTACAGCTTGTAGACCGACATTTTCACCTGAAATACTCTAATTTTGAAAAAAAAAAGTTAGAAAAAAACGTAGTTTTGAACTTGATTTGTTGCAAATTGGTACTTGAACAACTTTTTCAGAGATTGAATCGAAAATTGAGGAGCCTATTAGTTTTAAAACGAATGTTTTGAGTCGCAGTCTACTTGATAGCTCTAAATTCATTTTTTTTTTCCAGCCTTCAAAATTCGGCTTCCTACTGTTTTGAAGGTGAATGGTGAGCCTTCTGAAGCGTGAGGTAGTGTACTGTATCATAATTGTCTTCATAACAGGTTTTACAGACAAACAAAAATTTCAAGAAAGAAAACGCTAAAGGAAACATGTTTTTCTGTTTTTCATACTTCATTCTTCCACTTACACACCTTGCCCATGGCGACATCCTCCTTTTTGATCAACTTGGTCGCGGTTTGAGGTCCTCCTTCGAGAGGCGATTTTGCAGAAACTGACAAGGAAGATACTTGCGAAGTAAAAGGCACCGATTTGTTGGTCGGCGAGCTGAATTCTCAAATATTTTCCCAAATCCAAAAACAAATGAAGACTTTGCAAGTTCCATCTCATCGATCTCAGCTGAAATTCCCATGGCGATGTCGTCGATCTGCGTGAAATCTGAAGGAGAAACTCAACATTTCCAGGCCGAAAGGCACAAAAACCAGATGTTTCAATGATTTCAAGGTTCTCAGTTGATCCGGCGTCAGAATCATCAGATCCAGTTGATTTGTACTCCTCGACAAAGTTGAAGAATGCGCCTCGGTTTCGCATCAACGTCGAGTAGGTTCCTGTTTCAGCGATCTCGCCATCTGAACAGTTTTTCGTTTAAAAGTTTTTTGGACATTTCAAAATCGGTAAACCGTCATATCAAGATTCAAGAGGATCTAAAAAAAATTCACCTTCAAGAACGACAATTTCGTCGGCGAACTTGGTATACGTCAATCCGTGGGTCACCAAAATTCGGGTTTTTGACCGCAAAAGGCCGTTTGGTCCAATGACCTGAACATATTTTTGTCTTTTTTTTCTAACTTTATTTTCTAGCTGTTGTCAAACATCAAATTTATATAAAGATAAGTCTTCCTGTTTTCATCGTAAACATTCACACGCTCAACACTATTCTTTATAAAAGTCAAAAAGAATAGGAGAAAATTCAGGAATTTTGGTCATCATTTGAATTTCTGAAATGATGTGGGGCTCAGAGATCTTAAAAAAACATTCCAAACGCGGCAATTTTAGACTATTTTAGTTGTATCAAGCGACGCGTACGCGTTGCGGCCCTTCTATTTCCCAATTTTCAGCGAAAAGTTCGGATTTCGATTCGAGACCTGTTCGAAAATGTGTCTTCCAACATGGGCGTCCACAGCCGACAAAGGATCATCCAACAGATAAACGTCCAAGTTTTGATAAACGGCCCGGGCCAAAGAAACACGAGCTTTCTGACCACCGGACAAGTTGATACCCTAAAAAATCACTGAATTTCAGGAAAAAATCCGAAAAAGCAGCACCTTTTCACCGATTTCCGTCTGATCACCCTCGGGCAGGATTTTGAGGTCTGGCTTGAGAGCACAGGCAAACAGAACCTGAGAAATTACAATTTTTCAGAAAAAAAAAAACCCTTCTTAAGTTTCAATAAATGGCCTTTTTGAAGCGATTATTTTGAACTCCGTGATAAAGGTTCGAAGAAAATCCTGGAATCCTCACCGAATCGTAGCGTTTCTTGTCGAAAGGTCTTCCAAAGACGATATTGTCGCGGACGGTCATGTTTTGGATCCAAGGCTGCTGAGGAACGTAGGCGACCCGGCCGGCCACGCCAATCTTTCCTCGAAGTTTTCCCATCTCGCCTCAAATTTTCTGCTTTTTTTCTTCTTCTACAGTCTTGATTATTTCAGGTCCACAAAAACTAAGTCCTCAATAAGTGCTTTGAAACTTGGTTCTGCGAAAAAAAAATCTCAAATTTTCGTGAGGTATGACTGGACTTACAAAAATAAAGCTCTGAGTTTCAAAGTTGTCCATTCATTGACCTCCCTGAACTTTTCTGTTTTTCTCATAAAAACTATCTTTTTTGTTTTTAAACTTAAAGGCTGAGGGTCACACGGGCAAATGTAGAGCTCAATCAGAAAAGTTTGAGAAAATAAAAATAAAAAAAATGCTTTGAACCTCACGTAGTTAGTTTTGATAAAATTAAATATGAGTTTCAATCTCAGTAAGGTAGTGTTGAAATCAAGTTAGGGAGAAAATGATTCTCCCACTTATGGACTGACTTTTCTTAGGCACTAAATATCCATTGAAAAACCTAGAAGAGCCGACAAAAGACTGCTCTTCCCGCTGCCAACTTTGCCAACGACAGCGATGAGCGAATTTCTCGGAGCCAAAAGGTCGATGTCTTCCAAAGTTGGCTTGCGATTTTCGTCGTCGTCCCAAGACGCAGTGAAATCTTCGACGCGCACAGCGTTCGGCGAGCCTGAAATGTCCGTTCAGCAAGTCTTATTCGATCTTTTCGAAGCGTAACAAAGATATTTATACTAAAAGATCTTTCGCGCTTCTAGGGACAACTCGTAAAAGCTGTACTGAACAAGCTATTTTTTCTTTGATGTTTTCGTCAGTTCAATGAATATTTCTGCGACTTAAAAAGACGGAAAGAGTCTTAATTTATTGCTTACAAGACTTTTACACTATCTTCTTCTTTTAAAATCCAGCCAATCAAATTAAACTATACATATTTTTTTCTTTCAAAGTAACTAAAAACTCCTACAGTATCCGTTTGAGGTTAAATTTAAGGAAAAATTAAGGATTCAAAAGAATAGTTGTAAGATGTTCTTTAGAAGTGTCAAAATGCCATTCAAGAGAAATTTTTTTAAATCATTTCCATAAACTTTACCAAATCTTCCCAAATTCTTGAAAACTTTAAAAATGACTTAAAACCTCGCAAGTTCCTTTCGGAACCAATATTTTTCAAAAATGAAAATCCCTTACGCTCGATATTTTCACTGCGATCGATGGAACCGAAATCCAACTCGTCGGCGACCAAAAATTCCTTCAGTCGTTTGTTGGAAACGACCGCCTAATCGAAATAAACACATTATTGATAGGAAAAATGTTTTTTTCAGATAAACTTGAACAGTTTGATTGATGAGCAATGCGATCATGGTCATTGGCGATCGAAGTTGGTTGAATAAAGTTAAGGAAACGAAAGCAATCTGAAAAAAAAGTGATAAAAATGATGGAAGATAATCGGAGAGCTCGACCTGAGGCGTAAGTTTGTGGGAAGAATCGGAGAGTACAAATGTTCCGAAAGAAAATAGAGCTACCTGAAAAAAGCCATTAGTTTTTCAAATTAATCGAAATCAACCATGAAAGGACTGGCAGTGTTGAAAGAGTCCAAAATGTTTCTGACGGTCGAACTTTTTCGAATGAGTTCGAGTTCTTTCTCTCGGATTCGCTCAATATATTCCTCCATCGGTATCTCCCACGCATACAATTTCACGACCTGAAAATCAATTCATTAATGATCAAAAACAAGAAAAAAAAACCTTGATTCCATTCAAAATCTCGTTGACCATTTTCGTCCTCTCGTCTTTCAATTTCATTTGTTGCATCTTTAAAAAGAAATCGCCGTATTAGAGAAAGGTTAAAATGAAAAATTAACAAAAATTATATCCATCATTGCAGTCTTACTGGTCCTACTATTGTTCAAAATAGTTTTCAAATTTTTTTTTAATATTCAGGAGCGCAGATCAGTAGAAAAGTGATTACAGTAAAAATTGAAGTAGCGAAAAATAACTTTTAAAAGTGGTTTTTCGGTGAAATGGTAGAGAAAAACACTGAAAATGTAGCCAAAAATTCAATTTTTTACTCTCTAAACTTTTGAGGTCGCACGCGGAATGGCTTCACGCGTGATAGGCTCGCTTTGTGGCCTACCAGAGCGCTGGTGCATCAAAAAACGTGGAAGCTGACAAAAATCAAGGCGGTTACAAATCGCGACTTTTCGAGCCATTCCAAGTGCGACGTTTTATTTCCAATTACCTGCCACTTCTTAACGACCATCGAGCTGATAATGTTCATGGGTACGAAAATGAGCATAATCACGACGCCAGGAATCGCAGAATAGCCCAGAGTGAAGAACAGGTAAACCAATGCAAAGGTGATCTTAAAAATTGATGAATTATTTTTTCTTAATTATCTTTTTTGATAATCACCTGATAAGGACAGCTCCAAAATTGCTGAATTTGGGGGGTGATCAATTGGAATCTTTCCACATCGATCGCCATCAAATTGACAATCTCCCCGACCGTTTTCTCTCTTCTCGCGGCATTCGACAAGTAAAGAGTCTAATTTTCACAAAAAAAACTTTACAAAAGTTGATTTTCAGCCAAAACCTTCTTGTAAACCGCCGCAGTCATAGCAGTCTGTATTTTGATACCCATCCGGAACATGATATAAAAATAGCCATTGAGCAAAAATGATCGCAACTACAAAACAAGATCTAATTTTCCGTAATTTCGCTGCAAGACCTCTGAACTAGAAAACATGAGAATACTGTAGGCGAAACCCTTCCAAAAAGGGGCATTCGAGTCGGAAACAAAGCCGATCAGTTCGCTGAAAACAAATTTGATACCTTGGACGAGAGCAAAACATCAGAAACTTGAATTTTGAGTTTTGAATAAATAAGAAAGTCTCACTCAATTTGAAACTATCAATCAAAAAAATAATTGTAGCGCCAAGTGGCAACTTCAAAAAGCTTTTTTTCAAACTTAGGGGAAGCGCTAAAATTCCGAAAAACCTATCCAAAGTTGTTCACACTTTTTAGTTAATCTTTGAACAAAAAAATAATGATAAACTTCAATAAGAAAGGGCTGGCGAACTGCAGAGTGTCGGAAGTGAACTTGAGGGCCGTGGCGAGCAGAAATTCCCATCGGAACATTCGGAAAAGTGTTCCGACCACCGATGGCAATGGAACCTTTTTCGTGTCACTGAATTAACAAAACAATTTTCGATTTATCTTTTTTTTTTAATTTCAAAATTTTTGCACTTGATGTTTTGAGGACTATAAACATCAAGGTTCGAAAAAAAAGGGAAAGATCCTTAAAACGAAGGTTCAAATAAAGGAAATTTCATTGCGAAGAAAGATACATTTTGTGATTTTACTTCTGTCACCATATTAAAACATACATGGGTAGACCAAATTTCAGGGCCCCCGACCCTTTTTCAGGAAATTTTTTTGCAAAATACCAACCTATTCTCCCAATTATTTCCGGGATCACTGGAAGAAAAACTTCAATTTTTTTTCTTCGAAATTTTTTTGAAAAATGTTAAAATGAGTAAAAGAAAAAAATTTTCTGTAGAAAAATAAAAACAAAAAAGATTTCGTCTATAACAAAAATTTACGACTTAGAAAACGGTGAAAATTTCATCTTTCCCTGAGATTTGAGAAGGGTTTCTTGTTTGTAAAACCCTTGTATATACGAAAATGGAACTTTATCTCAGGAATAGAAAAAAATTACCGACTTTTGGAAGATTTTTGTACCAATAATTAGACTGGTCTGGTCCCCTCGCTTGAACTTTTTTTTTCACTCGTTTGTAAAATTTTTTGATTCACAGTTATCCCTGGAATGTATGTGAAATCCTAAAAACCAACGGGATTTTCATAGAAAAAAAATTCATGTTTCATGGCGGTTCAAAAAGTTTTTTTTTTGAAAAAATAAAAATCTCTCCCAATTATAGAATGGAATGAAGTTTGAAAACCATTCAAATAAACTAATAAAGGAAAAAACGTGTCAACAACGAACTTTTTATCTCGCTTCCACACACTTTTTTGCAGCACATATTCTGAAAATATCGTGGTGAAAATCAAAATCTTCAGATCAAATATGAACCTTGCCGTCGCGGCTCCCAAAACTGCTCCCACAAATCGCAGAGATGCTTCGTTTTGCTGCCTTCGTTCAGATCGAACACATCCTCCGGCTGCATTTCAACGTTTTTGTATACTCATTCCTTTTTTCAACCTCCAAATCGCGTTTGGCACCTTTCCAGGGAATCTCATTGAACCACCAAAGCGTCAGACGGTTCAAAAATGAGCTGTCGAGTTCGGGGGACTGCGCCTGGAGTTTTAGAAATAATTCTTTTCCTAATCTACTTATTCATGTCAGTATTTTTCAGGTTTTCGTTGAAAAAACGTGACAAGCAGCGAACGAGAGCATAATTGACATTCTACACGAGAAAGGTTCCCAAGTGCGGTTCACGAAATTTTCTGAGTTAAAAAAAAATGGGAAAACAATTTGAAGAGTATGCGCTTTGAATCATCTCCTCGGAAACTTACAAACTAATTTCATTCGAAATTCTTAATCGAGAGTATTCTAAGAGTATTGAAAGTTAACTGGAAGGAACTAAATAGCTCTCCGTTTGTTTTTGGCCAACTAAGCTGTTTTTTCAAAGTAGCCCTATAGCTCGTATAGTTTGATTAAAAAATGACGAACCGTTTCGCCTTTGCCTCGTCTCCTTGGATCAGCAAAGCACAGGGCGAAGCAATACACAAAAAGCGCTCCGTACCAACAAAAATAGGCAATCGAAAGTGTCGAAGTGAGGACTTTATGATCCTGAAAAATTCCCCAGTTCCAGGAGATGATAGAGGACCTAAAAATCATGAAAATTCACGGCCTATAATTCAATTCTAAATGAATTTTAAGTCTAGAAAGGAATTTTTGATCCCCAAAAAAATTATAAGTAATAAATGAAGTTTGAAAAATGTTTTTTTCTGTATATCCATTCAAGGTTCGAAAGACTTCAAAATTTCGCACATTAGGACTTAAAATCAAGGCCACGAACATCGTTTCCAGCTCGAATCCACTGATAAAGCTCCGGAGCCCCGCAAATCAGGAAAAGAAGGGCGGAAATATGTTGAACTCCAGATGAGACAAGTCCACAACGTAGCCTCACAAAGTGGATCACTGCCGTGGCCGCCTAGAACTTCAAAATTCCCTCATTTCACAAGCAAAGAAAACTCACAAATGTAAAAGTCCACATGGGTGGATAAATAAAATAAGCAGTCGGATAAGATTTCCATCCGAAAACGATGAAACACCATACAAATAACGAGTTCGCTGATATAAATAGAGACAAGAACTGAAAAACGGTTTGTGTATAAAATAAATTTAAAAAAAAAACGTTTTTTTTTGTCTTGAAAATTCGGGCGATAAGTCAAATAACATTATAGAACGTTCGATCAAGTCTCCTACTTTTCTATATATATATATATATATATATAAGTATCATTTAAATCAGCGGAAATTGTCAGAAACTCAAAATTAATCCTTTCTCAGCTGACTTGCCTGATGAAAACTGTAAAAATTTTTTTATTTCAGTATCCGAAACAAGCCAAAAATTTTTTTAAAAAAGTGAAAAAAAGATCAGAAAGCTTTTTTTATGTGGAAAAAAAGAAGATATCTGTCAAGAATCATTGTAAATTTCTCTTTACATCAATCGTCGTGTAAGCCACATAGTGCTTTATTCGCTTAAAATCAAGCTTCTCATGATAAAAAGAGCGGAATTTCATCAGGCTTTGCAATCTTTCCTTACCACTTTAATGAGAAGCAGGCCACTGTAGGGCAGGGGCGGGAATCGTTTGGAATTTAGGTGACACTGGGCGACGAGAAACGGCAATGTGAGCAAGAAAAAGGCCGTGGGCGCGTAGACGAGGATCGTGTGTTGGGCGCAGATCGACAAGTTCGGGACACCCGTCGAGAATGGCTCGCTCTGAAACATGTTCTTTGGATCATCTCCAACCTTGTATCCTGTTCAGCCTTTCGAAAGTATTTGGCAAAAGAAAAAGGACTGTCGGAGGTAAGCAAAGATGCAGAAGATTTTGAAAAGTCAGAGGTTATTTTTAATCACCCATAATTACTCTGACCGAGACATCACTTGAATTCATGAAGAAGATCCTGCATTTTAACTACAAAAGGAAAAATCTCAAAAAGTTGAATATAGAAAAAAAAAAACCGAAGAATGTTCAAATTTGAATCTTCTCGCGATTTTTCTTCTTTCAGAACCAGCTGACGAAAAAAAGCTTCCATTGAAAGACTGTTATTTAAAACTTGAAAAAGACGTTTTCTCGATCCATTGGGCTAATTTTTTTTTATAAACCTCTAACTTTTTTTTTGAGACACAACCTTGTCTTATTCTATCCGCAAAGCAAGATTACGAACCTCAAATTCAGAAAAAAAAAACTAAAATGACTTCTCAGTCTCATTACTAGGGAGTTTATGGGAGTTCGCCTTGTGAATTGGACATAAGTACTCAAAATTAAGAATGATTGGCTCAGTGAGCAATATATCTCATCTGCTACAAATTGCTACTCACATAAAGGCCGCCATCGCCACAAAAAGAGGCCCAAGTGGAAGAAGAAGGCGTCGCCGACGTCGTCGCTGCCATTGCCCCTAGGCTCCAACCCTAGAAAATACATGCAAAATGATGAAGAAAACTGATAGAACGCAAATTTATAACATAATATAACTTTTTTTTTAAAACTAAGTCATCACCATGGAGACCATTGGTGAAGCCATATAAAACGAGGTGAGGAAAAAATATTAGAAGAAAACAATAAATAGAGATGAAAGTTGGAAAAAAAAAACATGAAAGTCCCGTGAAAAGGACATTTCGAAAAACACAAGTTTTCTTGAAAAATTAATAACCTTTTTTTGAACTACCTGAATAAAAAAACAAATTTCAAAAAGTACTGGAATTTCTAAACGAGAAGGTTTATTTTATACGTAAACCTACTTCGAAAAAAATATTGAAAAAAAGGTCAAAAAGTTGAGAAGTAATCTGAATACAAATACCATAAAAAGACGCGTTAATCAAAAAAAAGTTATTGTGCTGAAAATTCAAAGAGCATTCAACCTGTCTCTGATAAGACAAAGATAATTTCGATAGCACGTTGCGCCCACTCAAAAAAAAATTTATGTCAGAAAAACCAAAATTATCAAGCTCCTGTCCTGGAACTTCAACTTTTTATAGAAAACCCACGATTTATAAGGTGCAAAAATCAATCCATCCGAAAAAAAATGATACGATCGGAAGTGCTGACAAATTCACAATTCAGACCATATATCAGAATCAACTACTTCAAATAGACAGAAAAAAAACGCATGCAACATTTGGTGCCACTCGGAAAAATCATCAAGGATTATGCAAAGCGATTCGGTATCAAAAAAAATCGGGATACACGCGGTTGAAAACAAAAAAAAGCGTCATACTTACTAAGATCAAAAAAATCAGTTTAAATTTATTTTTGATAGGAAAAAATACAAAATGGCTAACCAGAAAAAAAGTCAAGAAAAAAAATAAGGAAAACAGACTTATGGAACGTTGAAAACTTTCTTTGATTTTTCTTTCATTAAATCCGGAGTTACACAAATGAAGTTCGAAATTCCCAGCATATTTATTGATAATCAAATAGAACCCATGCAATCTAAAAAAATTTCTATACTATACATTTTATACAAAACTATAACTACTATACATTTTTTTCAACTCCTGAACATTTTCATTTTATCTGAGCCATTTGAATTATGAAAAACGACATTAAACAAATATATGAAGCTCTCAGAAATGCTCCAAACTGCGAGTTTTTTCCGATTTCGGGGCACTTTTTCTAGCTTCGGACTATTTAAACCTCAAAACGAGATAAAACGTAGCGAAAAAGAGATTGAAGCGTTAAACATCTTCACCGGGGCCTCAACTAATTTAAGTTATTCCTTATCTTGAATATACTCTGAAGAATGCTGACAATTAACCCGTTTCGCAATGCTTTTATCATCTAGCTATCCATCACATGGAGCCCTTCACGAACACAACTGACTTTAAATCTGTGACCTACGACCAAAAATTTCCCGAAAAGTGAAGCTAAAAGGTTCGTGAACTGAAGAAAAACGTGAAAATGATTGACATATATCTATCTTTTTTGAAAAAATTTAATCGGAAAACAAACAACGACGAAATGAATGAATGAAAGTGCTGATAAAGGTCCAGCAGCTTTTTGCTCTTAACAGCTTCTCAGGTAAACTGCGTTGTAATGTTGCGATCTATACTAGCCAAAAGAAAAAAAAAGTTACAAATAGCCTAAAGGCATGGTGATTTCCAACGAAAAATTTTACAAACTAATCTGAAACTTATAAGCTATAGAGTTTAAAAATATCTGAATTTGATAAAACTTCCAAAAATAAGGTAGATATGTCAAAATACTGAAAGACTTCACATAAATCACAATTTTGAGCTCTGAAAATGATGAAACGAACACAGAAGAAAAAAAAAAAAGAAAATCACCTTGAGTAATTTGAGCGCAAGAGCCGAAAGTTCAAATTTGGCGCCATCCTGCACGAGAAATGCGCTAATGTCGTTTTATTTCGGTTAATCGTTTTTTTTTTCGAAATGTTTCATTTGCTGTTTCTCTTCTCCATTTTTGAAATTGATAACCTATTTCTCCGGGCTGAAAAATCATTAATGAAACTTTCAAGCTGAGTTATTTGTGATATCTCACTTTTTTTCTTTTTCTTAGCAAGTTATAAAAATAATTACAGTTTTATTATTCTTGGAATACAATTTTAGTAACCTCTTTGAAAGCAAATAACTCCAATTTTTAGAGAAAAAAAAACAATTATTAATTTTTCTTTCGAAAAAGGCACCAATACAGACACAAGATAAAAGACATATTGCAAGATATTATAAATGACATATGAAAAAAATATAAGAAAAAAAGAAGGCACAAGAATAAGAGAAAAGACATATTTTGATCAGTTTGCGGGAAACGAAAAATAATAACCGAACCAATAGCCTAACTGAAAAAAAAGAAGATGGAAGCAAGAATATAGCACAAGAATATGGAAGGAAAGGTGGAACTGAAATTTTTTCAAGGGATTTAAAGAGTATTCCGACATCTTTTTGCCCTAAAAATTGATATAGAGTGTTGAGGGTTTTGAAGACTTGTTAAACAAAATTAATATCTGATTAGAGTTCGTGAAGTAATAAGACTTTGTGGAGAAAAATCTAAAAAATGAGTTTTAAGAAAAAAAAAATTGATCCATAAGATTTCCTCTATAAATTGATAAATTTAAGCCCATCCACCAGTTAGCTTGTGGAAAAGTTCTTCGTTCAGGGTTTGCGATTGTTCTTTACTTCGCATCGAGAGGAAAATGTAGCCGCCGATGAACTCGTGGACCACCTGGAAATGATTTACTGATTAGAAATCAAGCAAAAAAGGGACTTATTGCTGGGTAACTGATCAGATTAGCTCTCCTTTTATCTTGTGGCTTTCTAACAACTGTCATATTTTTTTAATTTTAATCTTTTAAACTTCGCAGTTTTATACGTTTTTTTAATTAGATTTTTAGGGCTTAAATAAAGCTTGATATATCCTTCAGATGCGTTGAAAAATCTAAAAACTGCTTGAACTTTTTTAAAAAACTTTTTTCAAGAAATGTTTCTCCAGAAATGTATCCCACCTTGCAATCAGCCGACAAAGGCTTGAACTCAATGTCCTCCTCTTCGAATTGAACCTGAAAATCGTCAATTAAAATCAGGTGAAGCCTTGAAAAAGTACCTTGAGATGCCGAATCTCCCAGTTGACATGCCATTTCTTCATTGTCGTGAATCGCCACGTTTTGATGCACTCTCCATTGTCCATGTTCAGTTTGACAAGGCGATTGATGGCGACTCCTGAAAGAAGAGTCGCCGGTTCAAAACCTCTTGAATTTTTACAAGGAATCGAGTATTACCTAGAGTAAAAAGAAAGGTTTAAAAATAATCATTTTTCAGAGTATGTTCCGTTAAAAACAGCCACTTCCAATTGCGAAGTTATTAATATGATTTCAATAATTTGAAATTTGAAGTACATTTTCCACCGCCTTTGAAGCTTCAAGAAATAAAGTGAAACACTTTTCAGAGCAAAAATAAAAACAGATGACTTGACATGAATTTTCCGAACACCCACCAATCAGATCGGCTTTGCGGCCATTGCGGAATCGGACGATGAAATAATGCATTCCATGCTCGGGCAGGGCCTGCCACGCTCTGATGTACTGCATTTTGGCCTCGGTCGCCGTCAACTGCCGGACGTTCGAGTGCGCATCAGAGATCCGTTGTTGCAACTAAAAAATCTTTGTTTAAAATATTACGAAAATTATCGATTATTCCGGTTTAAAGGCATAGGGGCAGTAAAAAATGGGGTTTCAGGTGAAAGCAGTTTCTTATATAGTTTTTCTTTGCGAATCGAATGGTGTACTCAAAAAAATTACAGGTGTGACAACTTTAGAAGAAAAACGCGATTTCACTTTCCCGCCATTAATTTTGAAAAAAGCTTCGGATCGGCCTACGGACAAATGTTTACAGTAGTCGTGCACGCGATGTTGCGGACGTCTTATTAGTCTCGCATTTTGTGAGAAATAACCGGATTTCTGTCTCAAATTAAGGGTTTCTTTCCTGAAAAAACATTTAGTCAAACAAAAAACATACAGCGATAATAAAGAAAACACAAATAATCGCTATCCCAATCGAAACTTGTGTAAAATCATCATTTTTCACGAAAAACGCTTTTTTGCGATCAAAGTTTGCAAATTATACATCAATAGAAAGCTTTTGTGACGAAAAGAACTTTGGTGACAACAGAAAAAATTGAAAATTGAAAGAAACGAAGAAAAAAGCGAAAATCCGAAAAACGGGGAAGCCTGTTGTCCATAGAGCAACTTTACTGCAAAGCGCCCTTTTCGCGGGAACTCAAGCTTTCCTTTCTCCGATTTTGAATTATTTTTTCTTCAAAACTAGGAAGTTCGGTACGTTCCCAAGTTTACCGTTCGATTCGCAATGAAAAGCTCTACAAAGTACTGCTTTGAACTGAAACACCGTTTTTTACTGCCCCTATGCCTTTAAGGAAGATAGATCGCATACGGGAAAATAAAGCGCTTCTCGATCCGATAATTGATAGGAAAAACTGTTACACTCAAGTTTAAAACCTATTCCCAAAATAATTTAAGTCAATTTCTAAATTTAAAAAATATTGTCTTACTTTTTCGACTGTTTCATCTTTTTCGGCGTATTCTTATTCTGAATTTTTTTTTTTCGCCGGCAAAATGCTGGGATTAAAGATATAGCCGACGTATGCTCTGGAACCATTTTGAGCAAAACACTTGGAATTTTCAGTTTCGTGGAGATGATACAAACTTTATTCTTTCCTCTCCATTATGTTAAATGGTAACTTGGATAACCAAAAAAAAGACACAGGAAACTTGTGGAAGGCTTTTTTTGTTTTTGTTTTCTACCCCGAAATTCTTACGGTTTGTTTGCTGCGAGCCCGTCGCACGTATCTCGACGAAACGTATTCTTCAACATTGAAATCATTGGGAAGTTTGACTGGCGCCGCTTTCCGCGACGTCGTTCCGTTCTCGCGGCCGTGCACTGGAAAATAAATGTTCTTGTCACGAAAAATCACGAGAAAAATTTATATACTACTCGCGAGAATTGATTTCTGAAACTGAGTCAACTGTTATTTTTTCTACAAATCTTTATCAGGTTTTTTTTTCGCGTAACTTTCTCATCTTCTGTCTTTGAAAAGCCATGCATTTTCAAAGTCAATTCGGCGATTTCCAAACGGACGTGATTCGTTTGTAATTATTTCGCAAAATACTTCAAATTGGAATTTCGTGAGCGGTTAGAAAATTGGATATTACAAAAAGATGGCCTTTTTCACGCGCGGATTGATAATTTTGGTCAAAATGCCCAAATAATTCCAAACGTGGAGCTTCTTGATGTAGGACCCAATTTTTTGCACGGTTGCCAAAATTTCTCATTGCGTATTTTACGGGAAAAAAAAATTGTGTGCGCTCTCCACCAGTCAGGCGCTGTCTCTTTTTTGTCGTGTTAGGACCCTTTTTTAAATGGCAGCCATAGATCAGCTATATTCAACTTTTTGTACACGAAATCCTTATAGGGCAAGAAGTATGAAATCACGAACATCCGCTCTGCATCCGAAGGTAGTTCTTCAGGCCGTCGACTTCTTGTTGGTAAGAAGCGTCCGCCATGGTTTTTCCTCTGAAAAACGTTCACTCCCTGCTAGTTTTATTCAGCTTTGAACCATAATAAATCAAACTATCAAACTTTTGAATAGGTCACAAGAGTTCAAACGAAGGTGCTTTTCGCTTCTTTTTTTAATGAGGGCGTCAGGAAAAATAAAGCAAATAAAATTTCGTGATTGAGAAAACTATACTTTTCGATATTAATTTTGCTCGTTGATTTGATCTAATAATTTAATTAAACGTCATTTTTTATTGAACATGACGCCGAAGGTTTCTTGGAAATAAAAAAAAATTTGCAGAAAGGCTAGCCTCATAAAAACTTCTTATTGAACACCGTTACTCGAGCCGTTTAATCATGATTTGAAGTCAAGTTTTTTTTTCAGTCATAAGAAGACCGACCTTGAAGCGAGTTTACAGGCAGCCATCCATCTAGCGTATTGATGCTCCTGAAAATAATCGATTTTCCAACAAAGAGAAAAATAGGTGACCAAAAAAAAGAAATGAATATTGATCGATATCAAGTGAAAACGAAAAAAGGTACCGAGTCGCATTTGAGGACAAAGTCGGTCATTCCTTCGGCCGTCGGAAGACTCAGCTTGATGTGGTACTTTCCTTGGGTCACAGAAACGTCTGGGGCCACTTCGCAACCTAGAAAGTTTTTCTTCAATGAATAAAAAAGATTGATGGAAAAAGATATTAACCCATTAGAAGGCAAACTTCAATTTTTTAGACAATTTTTCTTGCTAAGAATCACTGAGATAAACAACCAAATTTTTCTTCTGCGATTTTATTTCATTTTATCTAACATTAGGGGTTATGATATCAACGAGATGGTTCAATTGAAACTGTGAAATAAGACAAAAAAAGAAGAAAAAATCAGCAATATCACGGAGTGTCACATCTAAAGGTAGGAAAACGAAGATTTAAAAAAATGCCCGGAAAAACTTCAAAAAACATCCAGAGCTTGAAATGGCCAAAAGTCCTTTCATAAAAAAAAGATCCGAATATTCAAGTAATTTTTTCGGTATTAAGGCCACAATCCTGGTCATTATGTTTCTACAAAAAAAGTGACGTAGCTTCAGAAATCCCGGAAAAAAAGCTTCATAATTAAGTCAGCAGAAAAACCTAGATGATCACTGAATTGACTTTTATTTTTCGTATTCCATTTCCTAATAAACTCAACAAATAAATGACACCTTAGTAATTGAATCCAAATCGACAAATTGAGTTTTTCTTTCTTAAATTTGATTTTTAACGGTTTTTTTTTCTTTGAAAATGATACCTTTGAGGGAATAATGACCAAGAGGCGGCAGATGTTGTTCAGAGGACGACTGATGATAAGAAAGATACAGGTCCCGGAACATGAAATAGGCCCGTTTGAAGCCCTTGAACGCCGCCAGCTTCTTCGGTCTGGAAAAGAAGGAAACTTGTGAGCTTTTCTCGAACGCCCACTTCATGTATTTCAGATAGTCGGCGAGTTCCGGCACTTGGGTCAGGTCATTGCGGCGGTTCGTCGCAGCCGCGTCCAAGTTTTGTTCCTGGACAAATTTTATTTTATTATTTTCTTTAGCAACTCTCCGCCTCCGCAAGTCTTCGAAAAAATTACTAATAATTTCACCTCTCATTCAACTTTTTCTCTGTAATCCTCAGATACTCAAAAAAATTCGCTTAAATTCAAAGCCAAGTGAACTCTTTCGGGTTCACAATGACCCGTCAACAAATTTACTTATTTAGAAATTCAGATGACTACGATAAAAAATTAAGACGAACCAATTCGTCGAGAAGTAGATCGACGTCATCTTTCGTCGCGTCTTCGGGTTCAGGCGAATCTCGTTGCAGAGTTGCTTGAAGCTGAAAAAAGTCATGATTCACAAAAAACCATCTTTTGAAAACCTGAAGAGCCGCAAAAAGAGTCGCTTCTTCTTCAGTGTGATCGAATTCTTCCAACAGAATCGACCACTTGGCTTGCTCGTAGAGTTGGTTTATTCTCACGGGATCATACTGAACATAATAGATTTGTGAAAAGCTTGAATATCACGATTTAAGTTGAAACCTCCACTTTTTCTTTTCAAATGTTATTGTTGAGATATGTAAATAGACGTTATCTAGTAAATAGATCACGTGGAAGATTATGCTCAGAAGAGTATAAAAAGGAGTCTGAATGTCTCAGGACATCAACTCTCGCATCTCATCCACAGCCCCGCCTTCACCGCCGCCCGCCGCCGTCGGCCACGACAACGACGCCGACGACTGACTCGACTACCTCTTTTTACACCAAACCAAATAAAATAAAAATTTTAGGTGGCCGATGGCGGCGGGCGGATGTGAAGGCGGGGCTGTGGATGAGATGCGAGAGTTGATGTCCTGAGACATTCAGACTCCTTTTTATACTCATTCTGACTCTAATCTTCCACGTTACATACTCAACAGTTATATTTTTAAATTAAAAACCTTTGGATTGATATCGAAGAAAGACATGAACTTGAAACGGAGAAGAACGATATCGCCTTCGAAGACGCCCTGTTCCATCAGGGAGCTGGAAAATTGATAGATTCACTAAGAATAAACGACTTTTGGAGGCAAAATTCTCAACTTTTCCCATTGAAATTTTGGCATTTATTTTTCCTAACATCCTGGAAAAAAGGAATCTGGAACGAACCGGCTGGAATCGAGCCAACCACGGTTCAAAGCCGCCTTCTCGACATAATTTTGCGGTCTGAAAACGGGTGTGTCGCGGCTAGGCGCAAGGCGGGGCGAGTGGACCAGAGCCGCGTCGAATTGCTCATTCTCGAGGCCTATAATGGTTTCATTTTTCTTTCCATTCGCAGTTGAACAAGTGCACCTTCACTGAAGCTGATGCTGGGCATGATGGGAGTCCTTCGCATCGTGTCATTGTACTGCAAAAAATCTGAATTTACTTTTCGAAACGTTCATGCGCATAAGTAATTCTTGATGAGAAGAAAGTCTTGATGAAAATTTTTGACCGTTTTTTGAAAATATCCCTACACAAGAGGTCAAACCAGGCCCTCAGGAAAAAATACGGAAATTTGGAAAGTTTTGTTTCTAAGAGTCTCGCGTACACAAGATATCTGTGATATATTTTTCAAAAAAGATTTGAGCTTTTCCGTTGTAACACAACTAAGCCGTGTAAGCCTCTGAAAACTTGATGAATTTTTTTTTCTGTGCTTCTTGCTGATAAATCTTTCTGAAACACTACAAAATGATGAAAGAAACGAACAGCGCCAGGACTGGGACTAGCGCCACGCGGGAGAGTCCCGTGTCGCGGAAGGGTTCCCATTTCGTGGGCGTTGAAGATGTGGCCGCTGGTGGAGAGGGCCGGCGACTGCTGCCGTCGTCGTCCGTCGAGGTTCGACTGCGAGGCGAAGATCGGCGTCGCCTTCCGCAGGGTCATCGGCCCGATCGACTCCTGGAAACCTACCTTCATTTATTGCAGAATAAATAACTGATGATGATGCATTTTAAAAGGTTTTTTCTCCTTCTAAAGCAGGATGTAACATTTTTTATCTTTCTTATTTTGTTTAAATTAAAGTTCGCACCTCTCCAGGCCGAATGGCTTGAGGTCCGCTCAGGTTATCCGCATCGGCGGTTCCTTTGCGCAGCACTTCCGGAGGGATGTACCTGGAAAAGAGAAAGTTTATGTTGAAAAGTTGAAAAACTCGATCGAACCGTTTCAAGCTCAACTCCTCACTGCGTCGGATTCCGATGTCGCGGCACAATTTCGCCGTCGCCTTGACGATATTCACAGAAAAATCGAGGCGCGCGTCGATCATTTGCATGTCCGGCAATTGTACTCTAGAAAAAAAAAACATATCTTTCTCGAAAATATTAGGTCCACTTTTTGAACTGCTCGATTGAAAAAGCTCTCCTTTTTAGGAAATAAAAATTTTTAGGTGTTTATTAACCTATTTATTTTCCACCAGAGTCTTGCCTAGGTACTGAGTTGAAGGTACAGACGCAAATTGTATAATGAAGAGAAACTGAACCTGGCATCCTTGTGCATGGGAGTGAACTCGAGCTTCGATTCGGCGGTGATGCCGTTTTGATCGAGGGTCGATCGTGTATGCTGGAGCCATCTTCGCTTCTCTGGCCACCAAAGCGCATGGTCTGACCAATCTCGGGCCACGTCTGCAAGATATCAACGTTTGAAGAGTTTCTGCGGGAGTAGAAAACAGAGCTCTTCTGATCTTCAACGTTTGATTTGGAGAGTGTACGATTAAAAGATCGCAGAAATCTCTTCAAGTTTCTCGCCCCTTGTTATTCTGATTTTAATCAAAAAAAAGCTAACAAACAAGCTAAAGAATAGATAAGTATTCTGGGCTCCTAATATGTGTCTACTCCTATATGAATCAGTCTTCGAAAACGGTGAAATTCTTCTAAACTTGACATTGAAAGCTTCAAGCTTGAAAAGTCTATGGGAAAGTGAAATCATCCCTATAAAAATTGCAGACTGAGCTAAAAAAAACCTCCGATCAATAAATCCAATAATTTGGAATCCTTTCAAGGGGTGATGCAAATTCAAAACTATGATGCAGTTCCAAGCCATTTATATTATATATTTTCCCTTGCTCTTATAATTTTGTCCCTGAAGTAAACGGCAAAGCCGTGGCGAATAATGTCAATTTCAAAGAAAACTCAATTATTTTGTTTTTTTTTTCGAAGTCCACCACTTTACTATCACATCGGAACACCCTCCCGGGGCCAGCAACAAGCAAAGTATGGGTGGAAACGTGAAACGCGTGCCGCGCGGCAGGCAATCAACGTTCCGGATACGCCCCGAGGGACGTTTCGTTGCGCTCGAATGATCTTCTTGCTTGGATATGTAGCCGAGAACATGCGCAACACAAATATATACTTATTACTTCTTGCCAAGCAAGTAGAATTGAAAATGATAGCGTCCGTCCCACAATAAAAAACGAGATTGAACTCCCGCTGTGGCCGCCAAGGTTATTTCTTCCAAATCGTTGCACCCGAAATTTGATCTATTCATAACAATCAAATGTTTATTGTGTCAGAAATCGACATTGCACTGTGTGAGAACGGTAAAAAAAGGTTCACATTTTTTAAAATTGAAAAAATAATGCTCTTTCAAGTCTGTTTAGGTAAGCCTTTTGAACAGAGTACACTTGTCGGAACACTCTAGCCATAAAAACTATTCCGAAAAAAACTCAACAGCTTTTATTTATTTATAGACCTATTTTTATGTTTCGTGGCAAAAGGAGTACAGCTCAAAGAAAAAATTTGATTTTTGGAGAAAAGTTGGACCCTTTTTCCCGTCACCAGGTTCAAATGAAACCTCTCAGGGCTCGTAACAAATCCAGAGTTCTATAGCATCAGCCAAGTGATGCGAAGCAGATTTTTTCACGTCCCTGACCTTTCCTGGTACTGTAAAATCAGTGGAATTATGGCATTTTCCGTGACAAACACTCGAAAGGGCCTCTCATAACGACATTTGCGAAACCGAGCCGACCGCATAACAAAACACGCGGCAAAGCGCAAACCAAGGGAATAATCAATGAATGCGGCTGTATGCGCAACTCATTTTCGGCTGTTCTGGTCAGTCGGATTCGTCGAGTAGTCGCCGCAGAACGCAAACAAAAGCATCTTCTTTTTCTTCTGCTTTTGATCGCCTGGCTTCATTGTTCCTTGGTCTAGGAGTTTGTGAAGAGTACACCAAACGTGGGAAATTCGAGAGATCAGCCGCGCTTTGGAAGATTCCATGCTTCGAAGTTTTTACAAAGAAAGGAAAACATTTGAAGAGATGCTGGAAAACTAGTCCTAGCCTCGAAAACAAAATAAATTGGGGTGGTCTTTAGAGAGAAAATTCAAACTTTCATTGGAAAAAAAACTTTCATGTCTTAATAAGCGGTTGAAACTTTTTTTTCGTAAATTTTCATAGATGGCTAGTGAGAGCGAAAGACCAGAGTCGGTCTGAAGTAAAACTAGAGAAAGATAGAACCCTTCCCTTCTCTCACGTCTCTTCAGGTCACCCCTGTCTTTCGCAACTATCTTCTGTTGAAGCTAGATAATTATGAACGTATACAGTCATTCCTCCTCGAAAAAAGACGAAACTGAAAAGCCAAATTTTCAACTTTCTATTCTAAAAAACTCATAGGAAACTTCCTTCTACTGATAATTCACAAAGAAAAATATTTTGTGCAGATAAAATCAACTTCACAAGATTATACACATTCAAAATGTCCACTGCTCTCTAAATACGCGTAACTAGCAAAAACTTTTGAAAATCACCTACTTCGGAACAAGATTTGACGACTTCATTACTGAAATAAATCCATGATTTTCTACTTTATATCATTATTCCTTCGATACTCTACAACCGCAACGCGTCCCTTGCACTTGTGAGAAGAGCAATTTTTCTCGCAAGGTTTTGGCCTGACAGACGGCGCGAGATGAGCTGCCAACCAACGTACCGACAGAAGCGCCGCCTCGGCTGTGTAAGAATGTAAAAGCGTTTGTTCGGGGGCGGATCAGGCCTCGCCGACACTTCCACGATCCTTGAGCCGTAGAAACAAATCAATAGCGGAGGTTCTTGGAAAAAAAGAACATGTAAGACGCGAAAAAAAAGTAGAAGGTGTGAGAAAGAGATGATTTTGCAACACAACCAATCTCTTAAAATGAGAAATTCCTCAAAATTCTTCTGCTTTTCAATTTCGGATATCTTTCTCAAGTTTTTCATTCTAATTTAGTCACAAGTTGCTCAAAAGTTAGTTTAAATTCGAGAAATTGAAACCTAATCTTATTTCAGTGTTCGAAATGTATTTGGAGACAGCCGCTGATATTATCTTAGTCTTTCAATCTATGGAACATAAAAAATAGGAAATGACTCTTTAAACCGGCTACTTATCAGCGATTTTAAGAGAAACAGTTTTCAATTCTCAATGATACCTTGATTTCAAATTTTCTTGTTAAAAGAACATTCTTAATGTTACAATAAAGTTTAAGGATTTCAAAATGATAAATTTCAAAAAAAAAACTAGGTCTGTCAGGTGAAAATTAAGACACTGCCCTTTCTGAGCTTTAGTGAAAGTTCTTTCCCATCAAAATTTACAAAAGTTGAAAATGAAAGAAATAGCGAACCGATCTCGTTGACCAGCGACAGCATGAGACCACCGATATGAAGATCTCCACGAACGAAAATATTTCTGGAAAAAAAGACAGAAATAAAGAAAAAGAATCAAACTTCAATAAACTAAAATGATGAAAATAGGTCAAAAACTAACCTTTGAATATTCATATCGGTGACAAGAATCGGCAAGGCCCATGATCCGTCGAGGACCGAAGTCCCCTCGACCAAATGCGCCATCGCCTGTGAAACAGCAAACAAACATTATCAATGAAGATTTTAACACAAGAAAATCAGAACGAAGAACAAAAATGAAAAATGACCTTGTCTGAAATCAAATGCCGTGAATGAGAAACACAAAAAAACTTCGAAACAACCAAAAAGAAGAAATTTTAAGAAGATTTCTCTACTTAATTTTCCAATGTGAGAATACTTTTTCAGCACTTTTTCACCTGCTTCGCCCCGTTAAATTCAAATTTTTGAACTTGCAAAAAAAAGAAACTACGATAAAAAATTAGAGAAAACAAATCAACTACTTTAGCACATCACGTATTATGTTGGGGTTTGGCGATGTAAAAATTTTTGCAAATGGTTAAAAAAATAGTTTCTAAAAATTATTGATGACTGAAACTAGAAAAAAAAAAAAAATATGAAGAATGAAAACCATCTTATGGACTGATCCTATGATACAAGGAGATATTAGTCTGATTAATATTATGAAAAAAATTGTAGGAACAAAAAAATACCTTATAAAACGGCGGAAAGTGGTAAAAAAAAAAACAACTTTTCTGACGTTCTTTTCCTGTTTAATGCCGAAAAAAATTTTTCCAGCTGCTATGAATGTCGCCATAAAAATTTAAAAAAACTTTCAAAAAAGGCTTCATTTCAAGCTTAATTGTTAAAAGAAAAAAACATCATCAAAAACTTCGAACTAAGGAAAAAAAGATAGTTATGCGATTTTGTGTGGGAAACTGACATCGTTATTTTCATTCGGAACCTCCCTCCAATCATCCCTCAAAAAAATTTAATTATAACTATATAGACGTTGAAAAAAATTTAAAAAAAATTGAAAAAAAATTTTCCTAAATTACAACGAGGATTACAAGATGTGGCCGACGGTCAAAAACAGGGATATACCTCGAAACTCAGCGAATTTTGCTAAATTAAATAATTACAGTCGTATCTCATTCCAATTTATGTTCCTTTTGAACGCCCCATAATCTTCATAGAACAAAATAATATATCTAAACGAACAGGTGATAAAAAAAACGGAACACAACAAAAACAGTACGGTTCAGGACCCGCATCGGCGGTTTTACGAGGCAAGGCCGTCGCGGCGGTTGGTGTGTGCCTCGTCGCGTCCGAATTACACTCAAGAGGCGGGGTTTGTTGTGCTGGAGCAAAGGCAACACACCAACAAAAATTCTGATGATCCCCGTTCGTCGTCCTATTATAGAGATTAGACGTGTTTTCAACCTTTTATCAGATGAAAGCTCACAGAAACCAAAAAAAAGAAATTGAATTAAAAATTTAAAAAACTAGAATTAGAAAAAAGGAAGTATTTTTAAAAACAGATAAGTAGAACGCCATGAAGTTGCGAGTTATTTCATGTTCGAAATTGAGAATTAAAACACATTCTCTAAAAATATCGAGATTTGTTCCTTAGGATCTCCAAACAGCATTTTTTTCTCGATCTTCAAGCGTTTGTTAAATTTTTTTCAAGACATGTTCTGTTCTCTCATCAAAAAGACAATTAACACTAAAAAAATAACGACACCATAAATCTTTGAAATTAAAAAAATAACAATAAAAAAAGGCAAAAATTAATGGAGTTGTCGTCAAGTTCATTGGATACACTCCTTTGCGCTACAGTACCCCTTTTTGCGAAAATAAGATGCTTTCGGTTATTTTTTTATTGATGATCATCATGTCAGTTTCGAATGGAATCAAAAAGGAAAAAAATTTCACAATGAGAAAAATTCGGTAAATTCCAGAGACAAAATTTGAAACATCTTCAAATGTTCAATTTCAGTTCAAAGTTATATATATCTTCTAGTCAATTTTCCTGTTCACTGTTGTTTGTATAAAAAATCTGTTCTTAAATCCAGAAAAAAAAAAATCAGAACTCCACACTTCGAAGTTCTTGAAGAGGTCGCGAAATGAAAATTGCGATGAAGGTGTTGGGCCAAAGAATCCTTGGAAAAGGCTCTTCGTTGCCAGAATCTCATGAAGATTTCCTACGCTTCTTCAACGACACCAGAAAGGATTTACACATATTTGATCGAACTGAAAAACCGACAAAATTTGAGTCTCGGGTTTTGTTATTTTTATTTTTTTGCTTCAAGAAATATTCACACCCTGGAAAAAGGCGCTTCCAAGTCCCAGGACGCGTCGAAAATTCAATTGGCCGAGGAGCAAGCTTGGAGGAAGCGAAAAAACAAATTTTTCCTTCGGCATGCCCCCAAAATCAGAGCAAAACGTAGACGAAGAAGATGCGAGGCAGCGGCGGCGAATGGATGTCCGTCGAGGACCTCATCGACAAGATCAGCCAGAGGTCCCGAAAGGTATGACCCCTTTTCTTCTTCTATTCTTTTCTTTAGGAATTTCTTAACGATTAGACAGACTGTGAGTATTGTATATAAAATGTTTGTATATAAAATCTGTTCCTAAATCCAAAAATTTCTTCTACCTACTGTACTCAGACTTTCCCCAATTCCTCAAAATTAGTCCGCCTAGTTCCCCAATGCAAAGTTATAGTAGCCAAACTGTGAAAAAAAAGAGTCGTTTCTCTTTTTGGTCGAGATACCCTGAAAATCGGTCAGAACACTTCCCAATGTACCAGAGGAAGATCGAAAGAGTCTCAATTTGTCTTTGATCTACATAAAGTTTAGAAGTCTGAGAAACCTATTTTTACGGGCTTTGAAGAATTTTTTCGACTCTGAGCCCTTATTTTTCAAAAACAAGAACGTTTTGCAGGTCGAGACTTACCTCACAGTCTGTCTAATCGTTAAGAAATTCCTAAATTTAACTCCAAAGAAGTGACCTTTTGTGTGAGCCTTTTTTCAAGCATCATGCTTTCGAAAAATAGTTTTCCTCCACCTCAATCATGCCATGCTTTTTTGTACAAGATCGTCGGTTAGGTCCAACATCTGGTAACGACTCTCATTACTTGTGAGGAGGGATTCCTTCAATGCGGCGAGAGTTCAAGGAGCCGCGAGAGAAACGAAAAAAAACCAGCAGCCTCACACGCTAACGTGAAAAAGAAGAAGCCGCCGAAGACGAATCGATCCAGATGCGTCTTCGACGGCTCGAAAATTTTCCGGTCGTGTCTTTTGGATGTCATCTCAAATTCTTGAATTTTTCATGACTTCTTACTCATTCATTCATTCTTGAATTTGCAAGCTCTTCCTTCTTTGTTTCTCCGCAACATTGTTTCTTCTAGGACCTGAAGAGGCTCTTTGTCAAAGTTCGAACCTCAAAAAAAGAAAAAAAAACGCGAAAAAAGCAAGTCTACATTAAACTTCTCAGAATTTTTTTTTACCACAAAATGTATCTTATCGACTTAAATTAATAAAATTAATACTGTATTTTAAGTTATCAGAAGCTTGGGAATTTCCTATTGCAGCCAGATCTAATCCAAAAAAGTGAAAGTTAATTTTTACAGTTCTTGAATTTTTTCAGACTATATCCAAAAATAAAGTTCTGAAGAAAAGAAGTTCAGATGTCGACCCCGAACAACAACATCACAACATATTCGGCTCGAATGCGCGGTCGTTCCAAACAACCCATCTACACCTCGGACAAACGCGCAAAATTCACTCAAAAAGAGAACAAAAAGTGAGTTTTCGAATAAAAACTTCTTAATCCTCACAAAGTTAAGATGGGTCCGCTTTGTCACGGTACTCGGTTACATAATTTCCGTTTCTCTGCCAGCGATTTCTCTCAGTTTTTATTACCTCTACGTCTGGGATCCGAGCTACATCGCAAAGGTAATTGAGATTTATTTTTGAAAATACGCTTCCAGTTATTTATTTTCTGCCATTCTTCCGCTGTAACTTTTTTTATACTGAAGAGATAATCCGTTTAAAGATGAACGGTCGGCCAAGAAAATAATTCGACGGTAGTTCAAAACGTTGTTTCTGTACCAGAAGCTCAAAAAGTCAAAAAATGCTGTTTCAAAAAATTCATTTTCCTTCTCTCCTAAAATTTTGCAACCGAAAAAAACATCCTGAATCTTTTTCGTATCTCATGTAAAAAACTGGCTTTAGCTTAAAAAATTATCTCTAAAATTTTAATATAATGAAAAGTAACAGGCTCTCTTCAAAGAAACTTCAAAAGTAACAATTAAAAAGTCTAAGTTTACTCATACGTTTTCGAATAAATTTCACTTTTCCTACAGTTCCCGCCGGAAAACGTCAGCCGAACGATGGCCATTCACAAAACTCCGATTTTGCCCACAAGAAATCATCGAGACGTCGAAACGACCCCGGCAGTTCAACCATCAGCTCAGGCTGAGAAAATCGAACTGGCCAAAATTTTAAGAGAAGGTTTGTTTTTTTTTTTCTTGATAATCAAAGCGCTCTGACCACTGGAATGGTTAGAAGCGTTGGGGTTCAGGTAAAGCTTGAAAACTTGTATTTTACGTGTCGTCACGCAAAAGTCGTCTTTGGTCGGATTAAAATGTAAAGCTAACGCTTCGTAGTCGCAAAGAGTTCAGCCCCTCCCAGAGTGGCCAACATTTCAATTTCAATAATTTTACATTTTTTTAAAAATTATTTCCAGGTCGAGCCTCGATGGAAAATTCGGGAGAAAACGGCTGATAATTCTGACTCACAATGAAAAAAAAAACTTACAAAACGAGTATTTTTTTAAAGAATATGTTTGATGCTGTCATTTACACTGAACTGATGTCATTCAATAAATCATTTTTATATTTTCGAAAAAAAAATCTACTCACGGAAATAAGTTAAATGCGCTATTAATCATCCTCAGTTTTTTGAATCGTTTCCTATTTTCGATTCCCATCGTATCGAGGTCCTTTTGCAGAGAGTTCAACAAATCGTCTCGTTCTACTTCCATCTGAAAACTCAACTTTGAAGAAAAAAACTAATCAATCCCTACTTTTGCGAACTCGGACATCACGATCGCGTTGATTTCCTTGTACTTTTCAAGCTCATCTTTGATCTTCTCAACGTTTCTTGCGTCATCCTGAGCAAGAAAACTTCAACTTCTTTTTTTCTCATAGAGAATGGGCGTAAATAATTTTAACACTCGTTAATCATTTTCAAAATTGAAGCTATCAGCTATCAAAATAAAAGTTATAATCCTGGAAAAAATACCTCTTGATTGATTTTAACTTTTTGACTATATACAAAGTGACATGAAAAATGATCAATTTTCATGGATTTCTGGATTAAAGTACCAAAAACCACAAAAACAAACCTCAAATGTTCTCGTTTCGTTATTCATACGGCTCAAATCATTCTGTAAGACTTCGAGTTGCTCTTTGGCGCGGCCGAATTCATGAGTCTAGAAAAAAAAAAAAATGAAAATCATCCTGAAGCTGAAGCCTTTCTTGACTGAAGTAACTTTCAAAAGTTGCAAATTTAACATATTTTTTCCCGTTCAAAGTTATCTTTCTGAAAATGCTGCACAAGAAATTTGACGTATTTTCTGTATTATAGTTCTTCTCAACAAGATCAACTTTTGCTATCACCTGTTCTGAGATGCTGGCTCGAGCCTCCTGAAGGCGTCGGATGCCTTGATCGCGAGATTCTTTCACCAGGCGCAGCTCTTCCTATAATATCTATTTCTTTTCGGTGATCTTTAACGCCTTGCATATCATCTAATTCATTCAGTATGTTAGAAATGCATTATATTACATTTGTGACCAATTCTTTCAGTAAATGTATACATATGGTAAGTCTAGAGCTCAATCAATCAGTACAAGAGGAAAGGTTGACTAAGAAAAGTTTCAATAAAAAGGGCATAAAGAACAGTTTTAACTCCAAGAAGGTAGTGCTGACGTGAAATCAAATCAAGTTTAAATCATAGGGAGGTAAAACAAAATTTTATTTATGAAGTCTCGGGGTGTGTTTATGGATGCTTTAAAAATGGTCTGCCCATTTATGAGCGTATCCAGAAAACAATATTTATATATAAAAAAACCGTGTGCTACGAACTCACGTCAGTAAACTCAGAATATTATTTTCTCGCTTTGAATTTCTCAAATTTCCCTAATTTTTCCTTTTTTCTGTCGAGTTTCCCAACAGCACCTCCAAGTATTCGATTCGACCCATCAACTCGGTTTTCTCGTCGACGAGAGCCGTCTCCATGGAGCGATATTGCTCCGTGTACATCAACGTGAGCTCCCGGACGTCCTCTTCGTGTTCTTGACGGCATCTTTCAATCTTAGAAAGGTTTTTGATTGGAATTGGAGAAAATTCTGGGATGTTATACCTCAATCTGTGTGGAACTCTTAATCCGCTCCTCCAGCTGAGCCACGGCCTTTTCCAAGTCTTTCTGCGCTTCCACCTTCTCCTTCTCTATTTCTTGCTTGAACAAAATCAGAAGGTCGTTGGAGTTGTGGAGAATCGGATGAAGATCCTGCAAAATGAATTTCACGCATAATTTGTTTAAAAACTTTTACTACATCGCTTGAAGGAGCGAAGGCAAATTTTATAATGTTCTCCCAGGGTGAGACTACTTGACCTTGAAGAAAACCGCAGCGATTCTTTTAAAAGATCATATGAAGGGGCTTTATTATTGGAAAGACTTTTATTTTGGATAAATTACTCTGCATCCACTGTACAAGAACTCTCTGTGCGCTTGATTTCATAGGTTTTTTCTCCGTGATCAAATTTCATCCTAAATTAGGTTAAACCAGTTTCGAAATTTTCAAAAAAAAGGCAAGTAAACTCCGAACGAGAATTTGGCTGTTTCTCACCTCTGCATGATCGCTTTCGACCGATTCGACGACATCGTTGCCGATTCTTATGGCGCCGTTTCTCGGCGGATTCCTCTGAGTCCCGCTCAATTTTCTGATGTGGCTCCGAAGATACTGAAGCAGAAAGATTAAAATTAACTTTCCAACCATTTCTTGACATAAAGACCGTAATATCTCAATAAGTTATTCAATAGCCACCTGATGATTTCCTGAAAGTTCTCTCAACCTTAATCATGAAAATTCGAGTTTATAAAGAAGAAAATCAAGATTTAGGAACCGTGAAATTAAGAATCACCGATTCCGCTTCAAATCTATTGAAACCCACACTGGAACCTCACTTTCAGAAAATAAATACAAAATATCGAAATTAATTTTTCGCTGTTTTTTATCGCAGTGGAATATATATAGGTCATTCCGCGCCAGCTTATATCCTAGAAAATTCAAATCATGTCTCCGAAATAAAGAAAAGCTTTTAGACATTTACCTGAACCCTTTGAGTTCTCAGTTGGTTCAGCTCCACGGTCAATCTTTGAACTTCGAAATTTGAATCGAAAGTTGGTCGAATGGGGTTCAAATCGATAAGCTGAGAAGTATTCTCCTGAATTTTTTGAGAAATGGGAAAGAAATTGAGAAGAAACAACTAACTTCATGTCGATAGCATCGGTTGCGTGAAGCGCAATTTTGAGGTACCTTCTAAAGAACTTTCATTCAAATTTTGAAAAAAAAAACTTTTTTCCAGTTTGATTTTTACAAAATTACAGCTCTCTTACAAAATTTTTAATTTTTGCTGCCTTCAAAATTTAAAAATTCAAAGTGATCATCAGATAATAAAGGCACATCTGTTTAGTTTCCTTAAAACTGGAAGAAAATTTCTTAACCCATCTGATCTTTTTGAAAAAAAAGAATCCAAGAATTAAAAAAAAAAACAAAATTTTTTTTCGTTTTGAAGGAACTTCATCAACTTTTGAAAAATTAACTTTTGAACTATTTATTAATCCTCCGAACTCGGGAAATACTTAATAACTTCGACAAATTAATGAACCAAAAACTCACACATTTCGCCAAAGGTTTAACGACCAAAGTCTTTTTTCCTGATATAAGAGCTTCTTTTGGTGGCTGCCGAAAAGCGTTCATTCTTCAAGTCGAACGAAGATTTCTGAACTTTCTCTTTCAATTTCAGGAGCTTGAAGAAATGTTCGTCACTTTCATTCTTGAGAATTTCGAACTGCTAATCATTTAAACAAATATGACGCCGCGAAAGGATTTTTAAAGAACCAATTAAAACTTGATGCAAGTTAGAATTCTTTTCAGCTATCCAAATCAGCCATTTCGAAAATCATCGTTTAACCGAATCCCCTAATAAATTACCCGATGGAGAAACAGTTATAGCTTCAGAGGAAGAATATTGAGAGCCTAAAGGCTAGATGAACAGCTGCACCGATGCCGACATGTCTCCTAGCAACCATTGACCTTCAATTAATAGCAGCTTGAAGGGCCACTAATAATTACTCCGGTAATGGAATAGAAAAATCCCCAATTTTGTGACCCTTTCAAAAAAACAACACAAATTATCTAACTTTATTTGTTTTTTTGTGCATTATTTAATGAAATAACAATAGAGTTGGGATGGAGATCTCGGAGAAACAAGAAATTGGGAGAGGTATTGAAGAAGATTTAGTCGACTTCTTCCATTCGGGATGCATCTTCCTCGGCGCCTTCAATCTTAGCTTCGGCAGCGCAAGACGTTTGGGTGGTTGGCTCCTCCTCGTCATCTCCGATATCCAGGCCAAGCTTGATCATTCTGAAAGAATAAGAGTATTGTATAGTTTTCATTCAACAGCTTTCACCTGTAGATTCGGGAAGCGTGTGACTGAGGCTCTTCAAGAGTGAATCCAGATGAAAGGAGAGCGGTTTCGAAGAGGAGAACAACCAAGTCCTTGACGGTCTTGTCGTTCTTGTCGGCTTCAACGCGATCACGGAGGGTCCTGATGTTCGAAATCAGAAAAATGTAAAAAAAAAAAATTAAAAAATCTCACTTCATGATAGCATGGTCAGGGTTGATCTCGAGGTGCTTCTTGGCGGCCATGTATCCCATGGTGGATGAGTCACGAAGAGCCTGAGCCTTCATGATGCGCTCCATGTTAGCGGACCATCCGTATTCAGAAGTGACAATGCAGCAAGGGGAGGAGACAAGGCGGTTGGAAACGGCGACCTTTTCGATCTTCTTCTCCAAGATGTCCTTGATGACCTTGCACAAGTTCTCGAACTTGACCTGAAAAAAAGGAAAATTTAAGAATAAGAAAAATTAATATATTTTACCTTGTCCTCTTCGAACTTTTTCTTCTCATCCTCGCTCTCCGGGAGCTCAAGGCCCTCCTTGGTGACAGAGACGAGCTTCTTGCCGTCGTACTCCTTGAGCTGCTGGACGCAGTACTCATCGATGGGGTCAGTCATGTAGAGGACCTCGAAGCCACGGCTGCGGACGCGCTCGACGAAAGCAGAGTTGGCAACGCTGTCCTTGGACTCTCCGGTGATGTAGTAGATCTGCGTCTGGTTCTCCTTCATGCGGCTGACGTAGTCCTTGAGAGAGGTGGTCTCCTCAGAAGCAGACGTGTGGTAGCGGAGGAACTCAGAGAGCTTCTTGCGGTTGGTGGAGTCTTCGTGAATTCCGAGCTTGACGTTCTTTCCGAACTGCTCGTAAAACTTCTTGAAGTTGTCCTTGTCCTCAGCAATTTCGTCGAAAAGCTCCATGCACTTCTTGACAAGGTTCTTTCGGATGACCTTCAAGATCTTGCTCTGCTGCAGCATTTCGCGAGAAATGTTGAGCGGAAGGTCTTCAGAGTCGACGACTCCGCGGACGAAGTTGAGGTACTCGGGCATGAGTTCTTCGCAGTTCTCCATGATGAAGACACGACGTACATAAAGCTTGATGGAGTTCTTGCTCTTCTTGTTCTCGAAAAGATCGAAAGGAGCACGCTGGGGCACGAAGAGAAGAGCGCGGAACTCAAGTTGTCCTTCAACCGAGAAGTGCTTGACAGCAAGGTGGTCTTCCCAGTCATTGGACAAGCTCTGCAATAATTCTCACTTAAAAGAGATATTTATATGAAAAAAATACCTTGTAAAACTCGGCGTACTCTTCGTTGGAGATGTCATCAGGGTTACGCGTCCAGATGGGCTTGGTCTTGTTGAGCTCCTCGTCTTCCTGGTACTTCTCCTTGATTTTTTTGGTCTTCTTCTTGTCGGTCTTTTCAGCATCAGCGTCCTCTCCGACGTTTTCGACTTCTCCTTCCTTCTTCTAAATCAGACAAAATATACTTTCTAACAAATTAAAAAAAAAACCCCCCCAAAAATAAAAATCAAACCTCTTCCTTCTTCTCCTCCTCCTCAGCCTCGTCATCCGAGACTTCCTTCTCGCGTTCCTTCTCAACGACCAGCTTGATAGGATAGCCAATGAACTGAGAGTGTTTCTTGACGATATCCTTGATGCGGCGCTCCTCCAGGAACTCGACCTGGTCCTCCTTGACGTGCATGACGATCTTGGTACCACGAGTCAATTCGGGGTCAGTGTAGTTGCTGAAAAAGAAAATAATGATAAAGAGTTTTAAAAAAGACTACACATACCGCACGATGAAAGAACCACCAGCGGAGGATTCCCACTGATAACTGTCATCATCGTTGTTCTTGGACGTGACGACAACACGGTCGGCAACGAGGAAAGCAGAGTAGAAACCGACTCCGAACTGTCCGATCATGGAAATATCGGCTCCAGCCTTCAATTTACGATTTAACATTCATCAAGCAAAACTTTGTTACCTGAAGGGCCTCCATGAAAGCCTTGGTTCCGGACTTGGCAATGGTACCGAGGTTGTTGACCAAATCAGCCTTGGTCATACCGATTCCGGTATCCATGATGGTGAGAGTCTTCTCGGCCTTGTTCGGCGTGATCTTGATGAAGAGCTCCTTGCCGGAGTCGAGCTCAGAGGGCTCGGTAAGAGCCTGAAATATAGTATCATTCCCTCTGCCATTTTTATTTAATAAACGTGAAAAAAAATGGTAAAGAAAACAGCTACATACCTGATAGCGGATCTTATCCAATGCATCCGAAGAGTTGGAGATCAATTCACGGAGAAAGATTTCCTTGTTGCTGTAGAATGTATTGATGATCAAGCTCATCAACTGAGCGATCTCGGCTTGGAAGGCGAACGTTTCACCCGATTGTTCGGACATTGTCTAAAATATAAAACAATTTTGGAGATTTACAACCAATCTAAACACGAGTAAAAGAAGAAAGTGAGAACAGCACTTGAAAAAAAATCTTTTAGGTGTAAGTTTTGTTTTTTGGACTTTATTTTCTTCCCTAGCTCAAAAAGCATGATTATCCCGTTAACTAGTTGAAAAAATACTGCTTTATCAAAGAAAACAAAAAAATCGCCTCAAAAAGCAACGATAGACCTTCAATAGAGACATTCTCAAATTTTTGACTGAAAATCTAATGGCAGAATTCAAACTGAAATGTTCTCGAAGGAGGGCGGAGTGGCAGCTCCGATTGGCCGGCTGACCGAATGGGCGTGGCCAGCACGTTCTAGAATGTGTACGCCGGAGCACACTTACCCTTGGTGAAAATTTCCAGAATTCGAAAATCTTGCGATGGCGCCATTTTTCTTTTCAAATAATTTCAGAAATTTGATATATCATCGCGATAATAGTGGTTTCGAAACAATATGTGAAATATATGAATTTAGGGCTAGGTCTCACTTGACAGCTTTTGAAAGGGCCCTAAAAGTATATCTCAAGGCGTAGTGCATTCATATTTGAAAGGAACGATTTCAGTACTCGGCTTTTTTTTCCTTCTTCATGAAATAGTATATTCAAGGGGATTTATGGGTATAACTAAACTTTTGGAAGGTGTAATGGACCATTTCTAAATGAAAGAGAAAGCGTTTGAAGTACCAAAGTTTAATTTATGAAAAAAATGGTTTTTTTGAAATTTTCACACATTTCTGTTTATCAAAAAAAGCTTCCTATTAAAGATCTACTCAGATCAAAGACGTAATTAAAATAATTCAAAGAAATTCGACGTCAATTTTTTTCATTGAAGTGAGAAAAAGTTTTGTAACCAGGTTTTATTTGATATTTTAAACCTAACGGCATGAAGTTACGTAAAATTCACTCACCAGTGTAGCTTGATGTGGGGAGATTGACGATAGTAAGTACTATTTGCGAAATCTGCGAGATTTAAAGCTCCGCTCCCATCTTTTATACTCCCAGCGACCCGCTTTCTAGAACGTTCGCGCCGTTTCTCGGCGCGGCCGCGTCGATCTACTCGCTCATTCTTTTTCGACTTGTTTTGCCATGAAATTGTTTCATCATTTCTTTCTAAAAGGGAATGATGTTGATGCGAAGATTTCGCAGATTACTCGGACAAAAAGTTTCCGCTTTATAATCAATTCAAGTTTATCAATAACAATTTCATAAAATGTTGAGGTTTTCAAAAGATATTTACAGAATGTCACGAGCAGATGAAGGTCGTCTCATTCACCTGGCGAAGAAACGCGAGCGAGCAAAGGAAGACATTGAAAAAAACAAGCTAAAAAAAGCTGGAAGAAGACATAGAAAAAAAGTTTGGTTGATTTTTCTTATTTTGTAAATCGCATGAAAGATTTTTTTGGTTTTGGGAAAAATAATGTTCAAAAAAACCCTTTTATATTTTTATATAGTTTTTATTTTAGGTAAAATGAAAATCACGAGTAAATTCACGGCCAACTATGACGCCGTCGAGGAGTCTTTGAAGTCCAAGGCTATAGGATTGATATCCCTGGGCGATATGCGTGAACTTCAGAAAGATGTCATAGTTCACAGGTGAAACTAAACATCTTCGATAAAATAAATTGATTCTTGAAGAGATTTACAAGTAGCAAAGGGGTACAACATCCCAATCTCATGCCAAGAAAGACACTGTCGCCGACAAAATAAAAGAAGAACACGTCGTAAAAAATACTGAGGTTCATTTCGAGGTTCCTGAAAATTTATTCAGTTTCAAATTTACAGAAAAGAGTTCTATCATTCGGTGATGATGAAGAAGATGAAGAGGAAGTTTTCATTCCAAAAAAGGTTCAATTTTTGGAAGTTTTGTTTAACTTCAGTTTTTAGAGAGTTGGTATGGACCCTAACGTGGATACAAGTTTTTTGCCGGACAAAGAAAGAGAAGAAGAGTTGGCCAAGTGAGTTCTTGTAACCGCACAACCGTTTGCACGCAAATTTTCATTAAAAAAAAATAAACTGCAGAAAGAAAGAAGAATTGGCGGCTGAATGGCGAGAACAACAAGAAAGGGAGAAAAACGAGGAAATTCTGGTGGCCTACGCGTATTGGGACGGTTCTTCTCATAGAAGAAATATGAAAGTCAAGAAAGGGCACACGATTTCGCAGTTTTTTTGAACCGGGCGATAGAGGTTTCATTTTTTTAATATTTTATATTGTGAGAGATGGTGCCCCTTGATTTTTTTATTCTGCCTTTATTGAATCCAAAAATTTTTATTTTCCGGTGTCACATTACCTTTTATTCTGTAAAAGGGAAATTTTTGGGGCCAAATTTGAACTAATCTGCTAGATTCTTCAATTTTTTTATATTTTTTTTATAGGCTATAATGATGGATTCGATAGGGGAAAAGGGAATTGTCTCTAATACGAAAAATTAGATTCAATAAGCTTTCTGAAGTTTTTAGTTATGATTCATATTTTAAAAAGAATTATTTTTTTCAAAATCTGAGATATCATGAATGTATTTTTTTTAAACATACCAGCCAGGAATTTTGTAGAAAAAAACTGTTTTTTTGTAATCGAAAGATGGGAATAAATTTATTATTTTTCCTGAGAGTTTTAATGTGAATATTCCATTTGAAAAAGTCTAAAGATCTATGAACGAAGTTTTTGTAGGCTTTGAAGAAGGAATTCACCGAAATAAAGACGTGCACACCCGAAAACTTAATGTTCGTCAAGGAAGATCTCATCATTCCACACTTCTACACGTAATTGTGCTCAAAAAATGAGCAGTTCGATAAAAATTGAAACTTAAGGTTCCAAGATTTCATCGTCACAAAGGCCATGGGCAAAACAGGTCCCCTCTTTGTATTCGAAGCGGCGGCCGACGTCCGAATACGACAAGACGCCGCTTTGGACTACGGCGAAGCTCATCCAGCCAAGGTTCAACCAAATTCTTTCGGAATGGAGAAAAAACTTGAATATTTTTATAGTTTGTTCGAGTTCTTCAATCTTTTCTAGAGCACCTCGACGCTTTTTTAAATTGCAATGTTCATTCTAATGAATTTGCAGGTGGTGCTACGAAGTTGGTACGAGAAAAACAAGCACATTTATCCGGCGTCTCGTTGGGAACCATTTGTGGCAAGCAAAAAGTACGGGAAAGATTTCGACGACCTCAGCGACCTGTGACGTTTTCAGTCGCTTTCTGTTTCATTTTTTAATGAATTTCTATCTTTCATGAAATGTTTATGGACTTGGAAATGAGAATGGAAACCCGTTATTCGATGACTAAAAAATAAGACATTGGAGCAATTGAAACTTGAAAGCATTTGTGCAAAGCGTTAGGAAAATGAAGATTAATGACGTCTCTATATTATTTTCTAGTTTCCAGTTTTTTTCAAACTATTCAACGAGCACTTACTAGCTGAATTCTCCGAATAATTGAGAAAGACTATAAAATGAAAACAAAAACACAGTTTCGGATCACAATCGCCATTCTTGAAGTCGTTCGTCGTAAATTGCGGCCTGTTTCGGAACGTAGGTGATAGTTCGATCGTTGCTCTCGATCGGAGAATTAAGAAGAGTTTTGCTGCCAGTTTCCGGGTTCCCGTGGATCGGAGAGTATTCTCAAAGTTAGAGATTTATGATAAGATCAATGATTTGCTGGAAAAAAGACAAAACTAGTGAAAGCTTACAAAAAGGCGAATTATTTTTTCCAATTTCTTTTTTTTTTCAAGTTTTAGAAATTTGAAGAAGCCTTTTGAGATAATTCCAGTGCAAACCTGCCGGTTTTTCCCTTCTTCCCGTGCAGTTGATACGAAAAACGGCCAAAGTGTCCAGAGCGGCCGTGTGAATCAGCCGGTTACAAGCAAAATAAACCGGGAACCGAAGGCAACTGAATTTTTAGAAATCGAACTGATGATTTCTATTACTCTTGTTAGATTTTTTTTTCTTCATCCAGAAATGGGTATCCCTCGATAACTTTTCTTTATTCTCATTCAAAAAATGGCAACTTCCAGTTGTTTTTGAGTTCCATGTTGGGTTAGTGTTAAGATGGTCCCTCCCTTGAGGCCTAAAAACTGCGAAGAGCCCTTGTTTATAGAGGCTAGAAAGGGGGACATTTATTCCTCGATTCGGCTACTCGCCTTAATTTTCATTAGGCTTCTTCTCTTTTAGGTTGCTTTTGTTTTTCCCACCGCGACGTTCTTTTTTCGTTCCTTTCCAGCAGTGGAGCCATATATTCGCTTTGAAATGAGGTGTTTGTTTTAAGAAAGTGAAGAGGAGAAAGAATATAATCAAAAATCGGGTGATTGAAAATTTGAGGGTTTTACTCGAGCCCATAGTGCTGATCAGTGCTCGAGAGTACTGAGGCTACCTAAGGGCTCGCTAGAAATTCCCCGAAACGTCCGATTCGCGTTACCAAGGCCTGAATAGTCGATCCGAAACTAATTTCTGGTTTTATCAAGGCGCAAAAGCCTGTCATGACTTGACCTAACCTCAAAAGCGGTGAAAATTTCATGATTTTTTTTCCTATTGCTCCTATTAAATCAATTTGATGGGCTTAATAAAATTGTATTTCTGGAAATCCAGCACTTGCTACTTACCTGGAGAGAAGAGTGAAGATACTGACGATGTCGTTTAAATAAGAGTACATGACAGGAAAACCGTCTTCCAAGCTGCTCCGGTCGATCGTCTCCCAGAAAGTCAAAAGAACCTCAAATGTAATTTTTAAACAAAAACTACGAGTAGAATATTTGATCAGAGATTAGCCGCGTCGTAATTCTCAAAATTTTGAAATGCCTTTTCTCGCACTTGAAGCACAAATTTGCCATTCCAAGACCCTGTTGCGGATATTTTCAATGACTAATTTGTCGGGCTCATTTTTCACCGTCTTCATTCATTTGACCATTTTCCCCCTTTTATAATCCTGAACTCTTGATTTTTTGAAAAAAATTGCATAAATACCTGTAGAGCTTGCGACAAAATGTACATTGATACGAGGCTGACAAGAGCTCTTGTGGCGTCCTTAAGTGAAACCTCTAATATTGGCCAGTTTGAATGAAAACGAACTCGAACGTTCTTCCGATGAGTCTTTGGGTTGGCTGTGGATCGGATCGCGTTATGATCGACACTCTCTTTTTGTTGACGTTTCTTTTCTTCTTTTTTCACGGCCTGAATCTTCTAATTTTTAAATATGAACCGCGAGTCGGAGTGAACTTTCTGTAAGACTAGACTATTCAATTAAAGTGACATTGAATAGTGCTCAATCGAACTTTTACTGTTTCTGTTTAACAATTTGTCACTTTAGACTATTCAAATTTTGTGAGAGGTCAAGCAGTTATGAAAAAAGTCATACAAGGCACCATTGCAATATGAAACACCATACCTGAAGGTGTCCCTCAGAACCGTTTCAAATCTTGAAAGAGTAATTTTTTATCACTTTCTCAGCGTACCCTGATGATCACGACGTTCATAGCGATGAGCAGGAAAAACGGCAAAATCCGGTCGACGACGTTCCTCATGATGAACATCCACCAAATACGGTACTCGGGGATCCTCGCCAGAGGTCCTGCCACGATCTCGTATTTTCTGGAAATGATGACGTAAATATTGATATGTTCACTTCAAATATTGATGAAAACTCTAAATCTGACTTCAAAATTTGGGAAAAATAAAAGGTCCAAGGTTTACAGCAAAAAGTTGTAAGGCGAAAGATATCAGAGAATTTGGAGATCTTCAGTTTTGAAAATCATTCAATAAAATTTGCCGCATGGGTAATGTTTTCTATATTCTTCTATGGGTTTATTCCCCATCGTTACTCGAAGTTCTGGACATCCAAGATCTTCATTCATTTCACAGAGGTCGACAGGAAGTTCCCAATTAGTTCAAAAGAGCCCACTTAGGCAGTCGAGAAGTCAATGAGCCATTTCTGTCTCTTCATCTTTTTTGTGCCAATCCATTTTTCCCGTGAATTTCTCTTTAAAGATTTTTGAAAAACGTCGTAGTTTTTGATAATCGAGAAAAACCCTACGAAGATCTTGAACCGATGAACATCTTTTTCCGAAAAAAAAATTATCCAGAGTTATACCCCCAGGCGTCGTCGCACTCTCCTTTGATGGAGACGTCGATCTCCCAGTACACGCAAATCTTGTAGGCACATGCAGCCAGAATACAACAAGCGCTGACTTTCGCCCGATTTTCCTCCAGAAATCTAAAACCATGGATATAACACATCATATTTACCACACTTTTCGGCGCAAAATGACGATCTGAGAATCAGTCGCGTTGCGTTTTGTCAACACTTCAAAAACTATCGCTTTGACGCTCTTTTTGTTGGTTTTCTCTTTATTTTTTTTTGAAAAAAATTTCGGAAATTCCTTGTAAAAAATGAATGATGTAAGTCTATTTATTTCGCGAACAGGAAACGTGAGAATATTATAAATATCTGTGATTTGAATTGGCGCCAAAAACGCATCGAAACCGCTGTGTACACACATTGCGAGTTCTGCTTCCGCCGTTCCTCGCCGAAAGGAAGGAAACTTTTCAAAATTGTCTATCTATATTTTAAAGTTCTACTTCGATAGGCGCACGATTATCACCAACTTCCTACAAACGTCGATTCGTTTCCCACTGAAGGTTTTGAGAAGTCGTTCCGTCGTGGCCAGCAAAATCATGAGAAGCGAGGAGAACATGGCGCAGTTGCTCTCGGCAAGGACCACACGGAAATAGGACAAAAAGAGGTGCCACAATGGCAAGTAGTGAAGATAATCCATGTAAACCTATAAAAGAGGATGATAAGGTTTACAGAGCTTATAAAAACAGTTGAAAGTTTTCTAATATCCTCATGAGGACATACTGAATGAGAAAGGACTGAAACAACAGTAGCGAGAGATCAGAGGAGCCTCAAGAGACACCAGAGAAACAGAGTGGTTCCGCTTCTCTGGCGTCTCTTCATGACGCTATTGATCTCACGCTTTTTGAAAAAAAAAAACTAGGCTTCACCCTGCGTCTCTAAATAACGCAGCTTATGAGCAAGACTAAAAAATGAAGCTCCAACCTGCGCCTTTAAAGACCTGACAAGTTCAAAGTTGAACAAATAATTCACTTTTTAAAAATTGTTCTTATCGGAAGAAACTTACAGGAAGAGACATGACAGCGATATAATTGACGGCCATGATCGTGTCGATCACCGCAATTATACCGAAATAAAAGACACCCGACCTTCTGAACAAAACGATAAACCAAAGGGAATTTGAATTTCCACATTCTTACCGAATTGAAGGATTTTTGATGAAAACGATGGTGTAGAAAGTGTTGAATATTATCGATAAAATGGCGATGAAAGTCGCAAAAACGCCGATCAAGAGGATTTTCTCATCAATGTGATCAGTTCCCTACAACAAAATAAAAGTTGCATCAATTGAAATAAAACTCCAATCACAATAAACATCACGATTCATTTCGCAGCTCATATTGAGGTCATTTTTGTAAAATAAAATAATTTTCCATGATCAAAATATTTGTTTCAAATTGAGAAAAAATTTTCCTTTGATACAGAGACTTTGAAAAAAAAAAACGCTTTTTTATTTGTTCCTATCGCACTAATTACGCATTCGGCCGCTTCATAATAAGTTCAAAATAGAGGCGCCTATTCGAAAAAATTCTAAAAAAAAATGCAAAATAAAGCAAGGAATCTGTTTGAAAATTAAAATAGAATACTCCTCACAAGGAAGGTAACTTCAATTTGTGGTTGGAAAAAAAACGTTACCCTGTAAGTGCAATCCGTCACATTTTCGAAGTCTTCATAAGCTTCGTCGCCATCCATTTGCTCACTGAAACTGGAAACTTCTGATCAATATTCCATTAACGGAGAGTTCAAAGAAAGACAATTGAAATAAGTGAAACAGCGATGAGAATATGTTTCGAGACCAAGAAATCCATCAGGGCTTCGAAAAGTGTCCCTAAACTCGTACTTTCTGATTAAATCAAGGAAAATTTGATTCCATTCAACTCTGCCTAACAAAATCAACCAGATGTTGTATGAACTTTCAATAATAAAGTCTGCAGAAATCGAGAAATTCAATTTTGAAAACTCCACTCAAAAAACTCGGTTCCATTTAGCAATGGCGGTGAAAATTAACAAAATTATTTTTAATTACGAATATACGATTTTTTTATGACTTTTAAGAGTGTATTCCTCGACTAAAATTTTCAGATTTCGTTGATGTCGCTGCAGAACTTCTGTTTGATTTTAAAAAAAAAAAACTGAAGTGGTGTCTTCAGTGTCCCAGGTTGGCTTGTTCTCAATTATAAGCACACTTCAAAGCCATTGAAAAGAGTGATTCTCATAAATAAAACAGAGTGGCCACTTGAGGTAAATTACTCGGAGATTGTTGTCTACTTTCTCTGTAAGAGAAGCTGATTGAGAATAGCGGCACCTTGAAGTTTCCTGAGTAACACCTTAAGGGATCAAGATCAAATTTTCTCCGTCTTTTTGAATATTTTTAATCGAGTTGTTCAATACTAGCTAAAGCATTTCGAGTGGTTCTTAAAAAGGACAAAAGAGTGCTCTCCTGAGCCTTCATTAAGGGGCCACTTGAGAACTTTGAAAACTCGCAGAATCAATGCCATCCTGAGCAAACCACTGTGACAGAATAAAAAACCCTCAAGAGACAACTAAAGTTTTTTTTCGAAATCCCGTAAACACGGTGCAGAAGAGAATTCGCCCGCGAGCAAAACAAATCAAAAGCGGAGCGAATTAGACAAAGAAGTAGAAAAAATGAACGAGAAAATATATTTTCTGAAAAAAAAAAACAAAAAAACGGGGAAGAAAGAAGAAGGAGGCAGTGGTTTGAGCTGAAAAGAAAGTACGCCCTTGGGAATTTGAATGAAGTCAAAAGGGTCAGCAAAAATACTCAAATCCTTGCTCTGCATATGGAAAAAAAAATTGAAAAAAAATTCATTCAAAAAAAAGTAGATTCATCGCCATCTGTACCATTAGAAACGTCATTTCCGGAGGCAAATGGATTTGAGACGGCTAGCGAATCAGCGAAATAATAGGCTGAATGAGAGGTTTACCGTAACCTAGAAAAACTGAACGGTCAACAAAAAAGTTTAGTTTATCACTTTCAAAGAAAAAAAAAAATTAAAATGGAGGAATTTTCGGGCTCGGACGACAAGAAATAAAAGTTTTAAAAGGAATCATCATCGAAAAATTTCAAGTTCTGAAATAATCAAGGACGGTATTCAAAACTTTTCATGTTTCAGGAATCAAGTACATAAAACGTTTATATGTTTCGCCATAATGCAATAACAAAAAAAGAATATACATTATAAAAAAATTTATAAAAATATATTCTGGTATCCGCTTATAAATTCCAAGATATTTGTCAAGCGATTTTCAAACGGAAAATCAGAAAATACTTCCCTTTTCTCTGTTTTTTTCGTTCCTAGTCAAGTCAGCAGTGAATATCAAGTCAGAATTCTTCCAAATGACGGTATTTTTCATTAGAACCAGCCAGAAAAGACATAAATAAATGAAAAAAACGTGATTTGCATAACAAAAATGCGTTTTGTGAGGTCTTTGGGAAGCTTCACCTGCGGTATTTCTTTGAGAAGCAATTTTTTGCATAAATCCTAGAAAAAAAAATGGATTTGAAGTTGATTTTCTCAATTGAAAACAACGAAAAGGTCCAAACAGAAAAGTCCAGTAGCGCTGGAATAATAGTGAAGAACCGCGTGAAGAGGCTCCGCCCACTTTCTTCAGCTCCGCCCCCAACTTTCTCAAGTCTGAGTGTGTCGGAGAGCCTCTGAGCTACCCGATATGCTCAATTAAAGTTGAAATGAAAACGTCCGAGTTTTCAGGAGAGTGGGGAAAACTTGAAGAAAAAGAAAGAAATTTGAGGTTCGTAAACAAAATTTGAGGGATCTACCTAATTATACGGACTTGGATCCGAAGAAAAAAGCTACTTTTCTAAACTTCTGGTCGAATAATAAGGAGAAGTAGAAGCTAACCTGATGAATGGGGAAAATTTGAAAAAAGAGACGATTAATAATTCAATTTATAAAATAATTATGACGAAAAAAGGCAAAAAAAAACGCTGAGCAGTCGATATGACGATGTGTCATTTGCAGGAGATCCTTTTTTGGTGTCATGCTTTTCGGGAATCGAAGAAATATTCAGAAGGAAAATTATGCGAGACTTACAAGTTTTAAATTTAGTTTTTAAAACGCAGCACAAAGGTATAGAAAATATAGCGATGAAAAGTTAAATTGATTCTCAGAAAAGAGCTCAAAAATCCTGCAATCGAGAGTTCCGATGACCCCTTTTGGAATGGCCCGAAGCGTGGCGGCTATGAAGCGGTTTGCTCTAAGATCGCGTCCGACTCAAGGCGAGTTGCGCGCGGTGGCATTCGCAAGCGTTGTACAAAGCTATTTTTTTGATTTTTTATCACAACGTGGTCGCTCTGATCCATCCATTTAAAACTAAAACTTGTCAAATCGATTTTTTTTGGATCATTTTTTCAGTAAAGAAACTTTCTGAGGCTGAAATGTACATATTTTTTGTTTCTGAAATTTCCATCCCTATCCGGAATTTCATCAGAGCTTTTCTTTTTCTAGAAGATTTTATTCCTGCGGTAAGGGACTAGAAATTTTAAATTTGAGGCTGAAACTTTGTAAAAATCGGCAAAGTTCCAAAACTACTTCAAGAAATCCAGGGACGAAAAAAACTTGTCGTTCTCTACTAATTTAGCCGCCTCTCTTGCACATTTCGGAAATTGAATTCCTTTCTTTTTTGTGTGTGTTGCATAAGCCATGAATAATTAGGGGAAACGTGTTGGAATGGGTCCTTGTAAGCCGGAGAAATAGTTTTTTTGAACTCTCTAGTCTTTCTTTTTTTCTGAAAAAAGATCCCACGTCATTCTACGATTCACGCCTCGGATTCAGAAAAGTCTCCAAAAAAGCCAATTTCTCGACTAAAAACCTGAAACCCATCCCCTAAAAAACAAAAAAAAAGAGAAGAATTGAATAATTAAACGGGCTAGCCGCCGAAAATGGGACCGGATTTGCATACGATTGAGGCGATCTTCAGCTCCTGAAATGGGCTTTTTTTCTTTTTCAATTGCTTTCAAGAGAAAGTGAAAATTTCGAAGGCTTACTGACAGACAGGCTCTGAAACCCAATGAGAAACTTTGAAAAGGTTCGAGGGACCGCTTGAGGGGCTTTGATGTGATGACCGAAATCTATGGAGACTTCACTTTCTTAAGCTCGAAGAGAAATTATGAAAAATAGAGTGATCACTCCAGGGTTCAGACACATTAAAATGGCTCTAGATGGCTTTACTTTTTCAAGAAATCACCTCCTTCTTAAAAAAAAAAAAATGAAAAATATGAAGATGAGCATTGTGGGTATTGGAGTACAGATATTTGCCTCGAAATAAAAAAGTTGATTGACATAATAATTCTTTTTATTTTTGAACAAAAAAGCACCTCAAAGTATGTTGGATAAAATCCAGCATTTTTTATCAACTGTTTTTCAAAAGGTTAAAAAAAAACTCTTTCCGACCGGAAACTCGGCTAAATAAAAAACACTTTTATCGAAAAATTTGGACCCAAGCTACGGGGGTGGCATGTTCTCAAACAGCCTCAGGCGGTTTTTCAAAGCCTTCCAAAAACATTTGAATCCACTCAGAATTCACTTTAACTTGAGAGGGCCAGAAGAAAAGTTCTAGGTGAACTTGAGAATTTCTCAATAGATCGGAAACAAGAACGATACAAATTTGAACTTCAGGTCCAAGTGAACTCTTAAGGGTCCACACACTGATCTGTCAATAAATTCATATAACTTCATGCTATAGGGGATCAAGTTGGAGATGAAAGACTACCCCTATAAAAAACCAAGCTGGAGATAAAAGCACAGTTTTCTTAAATATGCAGCCACTGAAATTCCGTTTTTTTTTTTCGCATTTTTCTTCCTCCTTTTATGAATATCATAAATCCAAGATTCAAGTCAACGATAATAATTTTGAATTGGATGAACACCAACCGGAGCGTGACAGGAGGAGAGATATGAAGTGCTTCGAGGCGGAAAATGGGCACGCCATCAAAGTTATGGTTTGATTTATCTGCACCATAATCTTCTCTGCCGAAATTGAAGTTCATAAGGTATTCACAGGACCTTCTAGATACCGAAAAAAAAGAAAGAAAATGAATATAGTTGAGGTATCAAATAATTTATTCGGAAACAAAATACAAACAAAAAAGAAGAGTTAAAGCATGATAATGTGAGAGAGAATAAATAAATGAGGATTCATTTGTGAAAGAAAGATTTATTTGGCGTCATGTCGAACTTTCAACTTGGCTTGACGAGTTTTTCGCTTCAGAAGCCTGGAAAAAAGATTTTCAGAAAAGGTATTCTAGAAAGTTGAAGTGATCCCTCTAGAAGCCTTTCAACATGAAACTAAAGAAGCAACTTGAGGTATTTCTGAAATTTACCCTCTCGGCGCGCTTGACATCGGCCGAATCCATGTAGTTTTGCACAAGTTCGTCCTGAATTTCAAAGTTGAAGTAATCTTGAAATGAATTTAATAATACTAAATGTATAGTTCGAATATTGGAAATCGCCTCATTCGATCATTTTATATCAATTATAGAGCCACAAACCCTGCGAGCTACTCGAATTTGTTGCTGTTTCAGGAAGGTGTTGATCAGACGCCCCACTTGCTCTCCAATCGTGTTGAGATGCGGTTCGACGGCGCCTTTTATCAAGTATTTTCTCATTTCAACAAAATTGGGAAAAATTACCCGTCAGGTGTTGCCAAAACTGTCGCCAGTCATTCTGCACGCCGCTCGCTTGGATTTGGCTTTTCATCTGCATGAAAATAAGTTTGAAAATATGATGATAAAGATGCATTTTTTTTTTCGGATGTGTCTTCCATTCATTTCGCTTGGGTCCATGAATCAAAGAGTTCAGGTGAATAAATTGTACAAAAAATTTTTATAGTGAAGGCAAAGCTTCGGCAATACCTGAAACGCCGTGGTCGCACGTGGAATGGCTCAAAGCGTCGCGGTCCAATTCGGGACTAAAGCCAACTAAACTCTTCCCACGTAACTTTGAAACTCTTCGAGGCGCCACGCGCAAGCATTTTCAAGTCGGGCAAGACTTAAGGCTGCTTCGAGCCATTCCGCTTGCGACTCATTTGCGAGTTAGGTCAATTTTTCTCGTGTAAATCCCATTTTTCGTATTCTCTTTCACCCACAATCTAAAGTCTGGCAGTTTCTTCATCGAGCTCCTCCATTTTCCCGAAACGAAACCCTCTAGAGACCTAAAAACTTTTTACCTGTCCCCAGGTATCGCCCAGCTGATGCCAAATGGCCCGGTAGGTCGAACTGACGTCTTGTTGAAGCGCCGCTTGCATCGCCTTCTGCTAATTTCATTCATTCATTTCACTTCTTCCAACCGAAAAAATTGAATTTCTACTTCTTTTTTTCTGCCAACCACTTCAGTTGTTCGGCACTTCCAAGTGTTCCTATTCAAAAAAACTGAGAACTCACATAATACTGAGCCTGGTTATAGATCGGCGTGCTGATTTGAATATTTTGTAGATCGATCAGTTGATAAGGATTTTCTGAAACAGTTTGAACATTTTTTTTTCAAATAACAACGTGCACTGATAAGCCTGCCTTCTCCTGTTTCTCTTACAACCCAGCTGTTTCAAGGTGTTGAAAAAGAAGTATATTTATGTTATAACCAAAAAGATAAAAATTATATCGAAGATGTCAAAATCACTACAGTAACCTGTCTTCTAACCTCTTTTTTTTTGCACGATATGTCTCTATTCGTGTCAAGACCAATTTAAATATTTTTCAACCTAGTGTTCAATTAGCCATCCTAATAGCTAATTAAAATTGAAAAAGTTGAAGATCGCCTCATTTTTCTGGATTGAAAAGCGATTTCCAAGCAAAATATTGTTTTTTTTTCACCAATTTTTTGGCATAACCTTTTTCAAATCGAAAATCGAATCATAAATTTGTGTTCGATCGACTTTTCATACACCTTACCCTTATCGTAGGACGAAAAAGACCGCTCGACATTATTGTTGACGTCTGCCGGATAAACACCCGCATTGCTACCGTAACCCGATGGTCTCAGCGTTGGATATTGGTTCTGAAACTGGTCAGTTCATTTCGAAAATTATTGGACAGCTCATTTCCTAATATCAAAATGGTCGCTAGTTCGAGTCCCTCTCAAGGTTTGTACACAGTTCAAACAAAGCTTTCTCTACAAAAAGCCCAATTTTGAAGTTATGCCGAGACTCTGGTGTTCAAAAATTAACAAAAACTCATAAGTTACTTTAAAAGTTTCAAAAATGACTTCAACAAGTCTTTTCTATTTTTTTTCTCTCGTTTTATTCTGCCTATTTCTATCTTCGACAAAGCATCACAGCTCAAAAGTCCAACCTCATTTATTTTGAAGAAAAAAAAAACAGAATCCAGCTGAAAGAATGGAGCTAATTGAGGCTGTTTACCTAGTTCTTCTGAACTCGGGTCGCCCAAAAGAAAGCGACTGTTCAAAAGAACGCTTTTTGACGAGCAAACAAAAAAACAAGAAAATGAAAATTCTACTTTTTGTCGCTATGAATTTCCCCCAGTAATTTCAAGAAGGTTCTGAGGGATCCCAGAAGTATTTTATTGATAGAAAACAAAGGACATTGACTTCTTGAAAATTTTAAAATATCATAATGAATGGAGAACCATTCCTGTTGTTTTCTCACCGAAAAACAGGTCACTTCAAGTTTTTCGAACCTAACCTAACAAATAAGAAGAAATCTAACACTTTCGTTTTATTTGTTTACTTTCCACCTTCCATTGAAAAAACAGCTGGTACTTAGAAACAACAGAGTGGTCCCTACAGAGACAACCTTAGGGGCTGTTGAAGGTTCCCCTCGAGGTATCAGTTTATCTCCCCTATAGGGATTACTCTGGAGTTCTTTAGTAATTACACCCTCTGAGCGAAATTCGAAGCTAAGCTCGATTAAAATATCGAGATTACGTTTTACATCAATCTATGAAGGAAATTCACCTTCGGTGGGGTTGGCGTCGTTTTGGGGATGATCCGAGGCGTTGTGAAGGTGAAGGTGATTGGTTCATGAGTCAATCGGGCTTAAATACAGACTGTTTTTAATTATAGCAGCAAAAGATCAACCGCAGCCCGAAGAGACGCCAGGCAACTAGACCAGCTACAGCTTCTCTGTAACTACTCTGGCACCTCTTCTGTGGCTATTGATCTCTCGATTTTCCTTTCTCGTTTGATTTTCTTACTTTCTCAGTCATATTAATCTTAAAACTCACGAAAAGTTTTTCTAGAGATCAACAGCGATCTGAAGAGACGCCAGACAATGTAAGAGTGCTCAAACTTCTCTGGTGTCTCTTCAGGCCGCTGTTGAACTCTGACCTCCAGAAATAAAATATAAATTAAAAACTCACTATCGAAAATTGGAACGATTCCTGTTTGGATTTGCCGCTTCTGCGCAGGAACCGCTAGCGAAGGGGACAGGAAAATGACGACGAAAAAAATGGGTAGCCTGGAAAAATTTCGAATAGTTTTTCAACACCTTGCTTGCAGTTATGAAGCTTCAACTCACTCAAAATAATCTAAAAGTTTCAGAAGAAAAATAACTTTATTGAACTGCACAGGCCTCCCCCATCCCATGGGGGAGGCCTGTGCAGTTCAATAAGAAACTGAAGATTTTTCAAAAAGCAAAAAAATCTACCGCAAGGAGAAAAACCAAAAAGAGCCGCTGAGGCAGCGTGGCTCCATGGAAGTTGGCGTCGAAAAACGACGGAAAAAAGCAGAACCAAGTGGGGCTAAGACAGGTAAATGGATACGGTTTCCGAGAAAAGAATAGCGAAAGGGGTAGGTTAAATCGAGGAGGTTGTTTGCGCGAAAAGTTTGGAGAAGCTGGACCACCTCATGAAGGAGGATCAACAAACAAGAAGAACTTGGCGAAAAATCTCTCACTTCATGGCGTCGGTCACTTTGTTCGCGCTTCTTCCGCACATGTTTCTTCGATCTTCAGAACAAATAATCTCGGGTTGGGAGGTTCAGTCAAGTTCACGCTGACGTCACTTCCGTTGCTCTGAAAGACGATCGAAGATCAAATGAAGTACTGTAGCTGGAGAGCTTTTGTTTTGTGGCTATTCACTTCTTATTTTTCTTTTCTCCAATTTTGAACGGCGCCGGAGTTATTCCCAAATTTTTTTTGTCACTGAATTTTTTTTCTGTATAAAGATCGGAATAGGGTTGGCTTTGGCCAATATACGAATAAAAAAATTATTTTTTTGAAACTTTTGTAACAAAAATCATCATTTCAAGTCCTAAGTATGAAAAAAATGGAATTTTATTTCATAGAAGTATTAGAAAGTCATCCTTAACTTCAAAAAAAGAATCTCAAACTTTGGAATTAAGACTTGGACGTCGAACCAAATAATTCTAAACTCTGTCTCCTCTAGGCGGTCTGACCGAAATTATCGAAAAGCTGATAAAAATGAAGGTAGCTCGTTAAAGTCTTCTCATAAAGACCCAACCAAGACTATCTTAACATTTCAATCTCTTCCTGAGGACTCTTACCAAAATAGGGAACATTCAAAAATCAAGTCCAGTGTAATTTCACTCGCAAGTGTTACCAATGAAATCAAAAAAGAGATTATCCAGCTCAACAAAAGAGGAACAGAAGAACCACCCAGCAAACGTCTGAAAGTGACATCATATCTAGAATTGCTTAAAATTCTGACCAAAAAGAAATGTGGAGTTTCTAAACAGTAGAAAAATGAAACCTTGATATTTACACCTGAAGACCGAATGAGGTCAGCCCTATCAGTCCAATCCACCTTACAAATACCGGCCAAAAAATATTCAAAAAATTACAAGTTGTGTAGCTGAACTCAAGAGAAGCAGAAGAACCAACCGGGAATCACGTCGACAAGTGAGAAGAAATGAAGGCAGTTCTTCCTTTGAGGAAACTCTTTGATTCCTTTCCTGCCGCCTTGGAGTTTCCGGTGTGCTCAGGAGCCGAGACAATGGCCTCAGGCCAACAAACGGATGCGCGTGGACCGCCCATCTCTCTTCGGGAGGCTTGCAACAAGGTGTTGACGCCGCGGATCAGCTCCTTGTTCGTCAGCCTGAGAGACATGCCCGTCGTCGTCCTCGGCCACCGGCCTTCCCAACTAGGCTTGACTCATTCGAAAAGCCATGGAGAAAAAATTGAAGCTATTCCCCAGAGATAAGCTCTCGTTTTTCGCCATCAATGGCAAAAATAGAAAGGTCATGAGCAAACAACTTTTTGGCTCGCAACATCTATACCTAATAACTAGTTGCGAATGACCTGTGAATAAATATATATTATTGAAGAGAATTTTTTTATATCGCTTGCTTTTGGCACAACAAGAAGAATCAAATTCCCTGAAAAAATTGACTTTTTTTTGAGAGAAAATTTATTTTTTTGCCAGGAAGACTTTTTCTTGCCTATATCAGCGTAGGTTCTCCAAAGAAGTGCAACGTGGAAATTCCGCATTTTTCAACATTCACAGGTTTTTTGTGATTTTCCACTATAAAAAATGTCTTTTTGGACTTTTCAGATAACTCCGCAGGTTGAAAGCGTTGAAAGTTGTCGCGTGTTTTGAAGAAAACTATAATTTTCTCAAAATTTTCCATTCTTTTTTTATTTTGAACAACATGAAATAATTGTTTCTTCATTTGAAAAACTTGAAAAAGAACCATTGAAAAATAAGAATGATAATTAATCTCCCAGGTCGAAATCTTCAGTACTAAACTTTTTTTCAGACAGTTTTTTTGAGATTCATATTCAAAAATAAAAAAATCAATCAAGCTCTATTACTTTGCAACATTTTTGTTTTGTTATACCGAAAAGGTCGTTGAAGAGTTGCGCAATCAACCGAAAACGGCCGTCAGGATGCAACAAACCGGTCGCCCCGTCAAATGAAACAGAGAAAAAAAAACAGTGAAATCCATGGAAAAGTTGCCCCGTTTATTCAAACTGAACTGCCTCTCACAAGCCTTCATTTCCATTATTATTCACCTTTTCAACGCTTCGTCATGAAAAACCTTATATGGAAAAACTACTAACACTTCTAATATTCCTGCTTTTGATAAGCAGCGGAACGGCTGCAGATCCTCTCGAAACTGTGATTAGAAATGTGCTGCTGCAGATACGAGACTACGGAGAGAAGGTCGGCTTCTCTTTCTATTTTTTTGAAAAAAATTTCTAATAAATATAATAAATTTTGACTTAAAACCTGTATTTAAAAAAATTCAGACTGTTAGCGATTGAAAAAATAATAATCGGCTTTTTACCATTCTAAATGACCTTTTTTCAAGATTAACTGAACATTCAGGTGATGGCAAACTTGGCAATCCCAAAAATGGACGACACCAGCCAATCAGTATCGTTTCAGATGGACAGGCCGACTCAGAACGCTTTCATGACTTTTTCGCAGGTAATTTGAAGGTGTCGTCGATTTTCCAAACAGTTTTCGCGGCTCCTAAATCGAAAAGAGCTCTATGAAAACGACTTTTACATCAGAATCAAATTAAAATCTTAAAGTTGCTCAACACTTGTCCGCCGTCTCTCCCCCTACCACCTTTGGTCTCGGACACTTCCTCGACGTGGCAAGCGACTCACGTTTCCAGAAGGCTCCTTCTCACCCAGTTTGCTGACATCGATGAGGTAAAAAAGAAAATTAAAAGGAGCTACTTGTAGGTGAGGTATTTGAGTGAGACAAAAAAAAAACCGAAAAGTTTTCCAATGTCCAATTAGATCGATTTCAGGCAATCGAAAAGCTCTCAACTGGGCAACAATTGTCGAATCGCAGGTCGATGTCCACCCTTCTTCGACAGCCGACCGATTTCCGCTGCGTCCAGCTGACAGGTTCTTTCAAAACAAGAAAACTGAACATTACATTCCTGAAACCAAAGTTCTGAGCAACAACGACTCGCCGTTCGAATTCTCCTACTACACCAGCAAAGGACGCCGCTCAATAATTGGAACGATTCAAAAGAAGAGCGAGAGTCTGACATTTTCGTTCGGCGGCGACATCGAGTTGAACTGTGGGTTTAGTGGAATTCTCTAGTTACCGTCCAAAATGAGCAAGAACCAAAAAGCTCTTGTGCCAGACATATAGTTCATTCAGATTTTGAATGTCAAGTAGAATGACGTCATTCAAAAACGCTCTGTGGATCGCTGGCTCTCTGATTGGTTTATCGCGCCATTAGGGGGCGGAGCTTGAGCGAGGACTTGGCATTTAAAATCTGAACAGACTATAGTGTGGAAAGTTTTATTTCAGAGCTTCTATTTTTTTCGTGCGTTTTTTGATCTCAAACTTCTTCCACAAAAAACTTATCCTCTAGTCTCATCGAAAAAGTGAGCTGGAAAAATCCTCCAGTTATATTCAAGAAAAACAGCCGGTACAAACTTTGTTAGCTGTGGAGCGTAAATTCACATTATTTGCAAGTTGTGCAGCTATTTTCTCCTCATAGCTTCTGCAGAAACCATTTCTTTCAGTGATTCTGGCCTATTCCACTTCGGATCTGTTAATTTTCGGCCAAAGCGACACGGTGCCCGCCTGCGACAACTATCTCATCCTACAGCGTCTCGAGAAAACTTATGAAAATCCCTCCGATAATTTCCAAGAGATTCTCACGGCTCTGGGCGGAAACTCTGCCCTAAATCGAATAGTCGAATTGGCCTCGTGCCAGGAAGCCTCCACCAAATCGCCACCAATCATAAGACCGGCGTCTCAAAGCGAAAAACCGAATAAACTTTGAAAAAAAGTTTTTTTTTGCAAAACAAATCATGGAGTTTTTTGCTTGACTGCCGCTTTGTCTCCGATTCGAGACCTTGAAAATTAAAATTTTTTTTTTAAATTCTCACTGGAATTCCGGTTTTAAAGGGGAAAAAAAACCTGGGGTCAGGGCTGGGAGCAGCCATCGCCTCGTAATTATTTTGGAGAGCTTTGATGTTTTCCAATATTTGCGAGCGAACGAGTCTCGGCCTCAAAATGACAAAAGAAGCGGCGAAATCAGCCGATAGCTTCATAATCTATAAAACGAAAGGTCGATTCAACTTACAAAAGAAAGGATCTTCTGATAGTTAAATTTGAGATAAAAGCGGCGAATCAGGTAGAAATAGCCGTTTGAGAATACTTAGCAGCTCCAGAGGAACCCTTGAATCTGATTCGCCGCATAATCTTTTAGTCAACCAAAAAAGATATACCAGAAATCGGAAAAAAAAATCATATTTAAAAACTAGAATTTCCTGTCATTGATTGGAGCGAATAATTAAATCTGAATTCAGATTTTTAATCTTTTCGATGAACCAAGTCGATCTTTTTGTAGTTTTTGATTTTGTAGTTTTTGAAGTTTTTGAGTTTTTGTAGTTTTTGATCAGATCGCAACCATTAATCTTCATTTTTCAGGGGGGAAATCTAACTTTTTTTTCCAAATAATTTCTATAACCGTTTCAATCTCAGTATTTCCGAAACTAACCGCGCCACTGTTTCCGTCAGTGCCACAATAAAATGGGGCCGAAAAGACGGTAACCAGTTTTTTATTGAAGAAAAATGTGAAGCCGTCCTGAAAAAAACTATTTAATAAATTTGGATTCGTTCAAATTCTTCAAAAACCTTGGAAACTTCGTGCGCCCTAACGACCATGTCCAATTTGAGAGTTTCAAGAAATGAAGTGGTCGCTTTTTCGCCAAAAATGACAGATATAGCCCTTGCCTAAAAATAGAGATGTTTGGTGGGTCTTGGGAGGAATCTATAGGAATACCGTATTCATTGAAAAAGTCGTGCATTTGCTTTGTGTCGGATCGGCCCACATGAGGTCAAGAGCGATTCCTTCATCACACTCCTTGAAAAAGTAATATACGAATTTGAATGCCGGAAGGTCAGTTAAAACTCTTGAGACAGTATGAACTATGACAATCGGTCTTCTAAAACTGTTCAAACTAGTCTGATATATTTTTAAAGCTCCAAAAGAAAAATCAAATAAAATAAAAAATCCCGACTTTCGGGTCCAAGTCGATTTGCTACGCTTCAAAGAAATTTCAAGCTTTCGGTAAGTCACAACTTGGCACTATTACTGACTTCTCAAATTTGATCTGGAAATCAAAAAACCTTTGGCCTTCTCGGCTTGTCCAAATTCTCCAGGTCTTGCCAATTATGGACATGTTCTGAGATTCCTCCGTGCATGCACAGGATTCGTCTGCTGATCGAGGCACAAAGCGGCATATCATTGAACACCTAAAAAGGGAGAGAAGAGTGATAACATTCCAGAAATGTCTTGCTATCTTTTTTTAAAAAAGATTAAAATCAGGAAAAACTTTTTTTTACAATTTTAATCAAGATTGTCGATGAGCAATCTAAAAATCATTCAAATAAATTCTCACGTCCTGAAAAAAATTCTCCAGAGCAGCAACGATCGCTTGCGCTTGAGCTCTTCGTGAAACCCGTAGATTCGGTTCATCTTGAAACGTTTTTTTCAAATTTTTTTCTACTCAACTTGAACTCAAATATTGGGAATGATAAAAATAAAGAGCATCGTCCGAATGAAACACCAAATATTGGATTAAAAAAATAGAGATAGAGCTTCGAAAAATTGGCAAACAATCAAAAAAAGTAGTTGTTTTTAATTAAGATTTGAAACTGTTATTTTTTTATAGAAGAAGACATAAAAAAAGGAAGAGAGGAAATGAAATTTTTCGATTCATGGAAGAATAATGCTCGTAAACTGTCATGTTACCTTCTTTTTTTCCGTTATCAATTCATTTCAATTTCGAAAAGTACTGTATTTTACCGATAATCAGATAGAATACTTCAATTTGTCACTTGTGTGGTATTGAGGCACCTCAGTGATCCCTTAATGTGATATACCTTGAAGCATTCATGATTTCCTCGCAGCAAATGTGTCCTAGTCGGGTGTAATACTTTGTAGCACAAGAGGAGCATTATGACCTGGAACTTGTTGTGTCAAACAACAGCTTTTCAATGGAACGAACTTCGAAAGAATGAGCTCCACGGTCAACATAGTCACCGAGGAAGAGCATTTGACGGTCGGCAGGCGTGCCTACCGTCTCGAAATATCTTGAAAATAAAAAATGAGTGGAAAAATTCACTTTTCGTTCGAAATCTCTCTATGAATCATTTTTTTGGTTTTACGAAAGCGCAAAAGACTTTTCCTTGAAAATAGAAGAGTTTTCGGAGAGCCTCTACAAAAAGAAGCATAGTCAGTGGAAATTACTTAAATAAGTACTCAAGTTAATAGTTTCAGTGATTCCACGCTTCCTGTTCCCCCAATTTCAAATATCGTTGTTAAGAAGTCATAGTTGAGGTATTAAAAGGAGCAGAACTCTTTCATAACCTGAAAAAAAGTCATTCTGCCTCGTAAAGATTTTCAAAAACTGTCTAGGCTCCTCTAAACGTCCCAGTAAGATATTTTAGTGAGAAAGCAAACAAGGTTCAATTATTCAACTGGTCACAGAAGGTCTTTGAACAACTCCGAATGGTCATTCAAATTTGATTTCACGAATTATTTCTGCTTGATGATCGGCGTAGCTCAAATTAATTTTTACTACATTCATTCGCCTCGAGACCTTTTCGAAAACTGTCTACGCTCCTTCAAATACTCGAGGAAGGGACTTCGAACAACTCACGACGTACCTGAGTAAATCGCCGAGTTGTCCATGAATATCGCCAAAAATAATGATCGGAACGCCGACTTTTATCAAAGCTCCAAGTTTTTCGAGTTGCTCTTTTGCCTAAGAAACTGTTTTTCGAAAATGAGAAGCGTCGAAATCCCAACCGCAGCCAGAATTCGATAGACTTGTCTATCGGTAAAGCCTTCCAGATGCTGTTCCTTTGTGATTCTTCTTATCATTCGTCCCGCAAGGCTTCCCACAGACTCATTCTGAAATAAAAGTCAGTTCAGAGCCGATTTCGGTCGCACGGAGAATGGCTCAATGCGTAGCGGTTACGATGGGATCACTATGATTGTGGACCAGACCTGCTTCTCTTCATCCCCTAGTCTGTTCATGCTCCAGAAAAATTGACGTTTCCAAAAAAAGGGGTCAGAAACATCAACGATGGAATAAGGCACATTTTCTTCATTTTGAAGCAGTGCTGCTTGATTTCAAGACAAATTTTTTATCAAAGCGGCTTACTTCATCAAGTATTTCGAAAGTTTGCACCAACGACCTAGAGCTCTGACTGGATAGCCACGCCTTTTTAAACGGAGTTTTGAACGAGAAAAACTGACCTGAAGGAAATCCTGGACGGCCATTTTTCACGAGCGATGAGTTATACAGAAATGAGGGTCAGGTTCGAAGATTTGACGCTTTTTTTCAAAATGGAAGCTTAGAATTTATTCGAGATGATGGAAATGAGAAAGAATACGAAGCTTATGCCGTGTTCAAAATGATTTCGCAAAATCCAAAGTTGACGCCAGAGAAAGAAAAATATAACTAAATTTTGGAGAGTCAGAGATCATTTTGCACTTCGCAGAAATTACTTTGAACACGGCATTATAGTTGCACAGCCCCGACTTCAGAAGCTTTGGCCGCACGTCGAATGGCTCTAAAGTTTAAAGACGCGTCCGAAAAAGAACTACTTGCGCGTTAGAACATCGTAAACAGCGAAGCAAGCTTTTAAATTTCAACCGCCACGCTTCAAGCCATTTTGCGTGAGACCATTTTTTCTGAAAACAAGGAGAACCGACTATGAATCCGAAAATCAGCTTCCAATAAGTCTGTACAATTTTTCGGGGGCCTTAACATTGATGCATTTATAAAAGTGGCGAATTTTCGAAAGTAGTGTTTTTTGGTCGAATTCCATCAAAGACGCTCTGACAACGATATCAATACACCTTTCGAGACCTTCGACGTCCGATTTTTTACCTGAAAATCGTGGAAAAATTCAGATTTTCTCAAGGGTGGATGTGAAAAAATATTTTTTCTAGAAGAAAAACCTTCAAATTTCAAAAGTTGACTTAATATAATCGAACTTTTTTCAAGCTGAAAAAAACTCAATTCAAAACTTTCGAAATTTGATTAATCCAAAACAAAACCCACCATAAACTTTAACAAGCTGATCTAGAATTGAAACTATATTTTTCTGAGATAAATCCGTGAACTTTGCAATGTCCAGCAGGCGTTGAAGAGGCTCCGACTGTAAACAATTTGAAACTTGAAATAGGGACTTTTCATTTTCTTCTCAACTCTTTTGAATCTCCCGCTCATTTCGACAAGAAATCGAACATCTTCATTAGTCAGGGTCGAATCTGATCTCTGAAATCTCGAAAATATATTTTAATTGAGTTTATAAAGGGCCTACAAATGAATTCTTGAACGAAACATTCTGAATTTCGAGTTCAAATAACGCAAGTTTTTTTCGAGTCGTTTAACCTGTTTATTGATCATGATAATATAGTTAGAAAATTGCAAGTTCGAAAATTTCGTGACCTTGAGTTCATCAGCAACTGCCAACCCTTGGCCCGCCTCTAAGAGTACAAAACGGCCGATATTGACAAGAGTCGACATCTTAACAAACGGTTTGAGCGAATTTTCGGCTGAAATAGTTTTCTTTCAATAAATTTTTTTATAAAGTGTGAAAAAGATAATTATACCTTCTCTAGTTTCCTTCTTTTCATGCGCCTCTTGAAGGATCAAAAACGAGCAAGAAGTAAGAGATTTGGGCTTTTCATCAGCTATCAACCGTTGGAGCAAAGCTATTCCAGCTCTCCAACCGTCTCTGAAATGAAAAAAACTTTATGGAAAAACCTTCAAAAAGAAGTTTAGTTTTCTAGACAACTTTCTGCATTCACTTTCGCTTTCTGACATTGTTCCCTTCTTCTATAATCCTTCCTTCTCACCAACCCGGAAACTAACTTCCTCAAAAAAATTATTTTCTTTTTATTTATTACTTCACTTTTTCCACAGCTTCTTCCCACTTCGCATCCCTTCCAAACCCAAAAAAGCTTTGTCAAAAAACTTCATTCCAAACAAAAAGAACACGACTGAATCATTTGGGGTTCGGCGACGGGTTCTTCTCCGGTTCCTTTCCTTTCATTTTCTTCGTGTGTTTCAGTATTCGAATCTCCATACGACTGAAACATTACAAGTCAAAATGAAAATACAATCTAAATGACCACCTATTTATATACAGAATCGCTGCAGAATTGTTAATCTCTCCACAGTAACACGGAGCAGAGAAGACGGTGATACAGCGTTTGTCGGCAAACATCTCATATCTGAAGGTATTCACACTCAAGTGATCACTTTGATGGAGGCACCCTTCCATGACGCATTGGTGAGCCCGACAAACGACGTCTATGCACAACGCTTTGCAGAACTCTTGAACCGCAGTTTTTCCGAAAATCTAGAGAAAACAAGGTAAAATGGGCCGCTAGAAGCAACTAAGTTTCTGAATGGCTCGACCAGCCTCTGATATGCTAAAATGGTGGTCGGCCAATCAGAGATGTTTTTCAGTGAGTCAAAATTTTTCGAAAAATTCCGATCTTTTTCGAAGAGGAACCTGGAAGGTCTTTAAAATACCACTCAAAAACACGCCGTGAGAAATGTATAATCAGAGACGATTTTCTAGATCCCTTAAAAAGATCTTTCCTTTGAACTTTGCTCAATTGGTCAATTATTTTGAAGATGTTCTTCCACAGATCAAACGAGAAATTTTCGGACTTTTTCTGTTATTTTTCAGCATATGCAGGAGCGAAAAACCAAGCAACCTGCGAGATTCCGCGAGGGCTTGGAGCGTATCGCGCCGTCGTCGGCGATGGGTCCGCCCAAATCAAATCGCAAAGCATTCCGATATCGCAGACGTCAGTAGGCCGGACGATTCTTGAAGGAAAGTTATTCTTCGACAGCGTAAAATTGAAAAATCTGATTCCTGTGCTTCATTTTCATCTTCTATGACCTCGACGATGTGAAATATGACAGTCCAGACTGTATCAAGTCGGGTTCTAGTCAAAAATCAACCTCGAAAACTGCCGAAATGTGTACAGCTCCTCCGAAATGCCGCCATGGACACAGAAAACTCGTTTATTGATTCTGGCGGCGAATGGCAAGCAGTTGAAGACGTGCTGGTACATGCTCCACAGATGCACGCCTATCAATTTCAAGACTAAAATCCATGAAATCCATGAAAGTCCATGAAAGTCCATGAAAGAAGTTACTTCCAGGCACCTTGTTGAGGGTTGAACTTCCGCAGACACTCGTCATAGAAACCATAATTTCTATTGACGATCCGCGTCTCGTGATTGCCCCGTAACAGGTACATCCTATTCGGGTAGAGCAACTTGAAGCAACAATATTTCGTTATCTCGATGACAAAAAAAACCTTAAAGCACAACAAAAGCGAAATCGTCTCGATACTATGTGCCCCGCGGTCGACGTAATCTCCGAGGAATAAAAACTTTTTGTCGGGGGGTCGACCAGTCTTCTAAAGCTTTTTGGAGAAGTTGAATGAGTATGTTTTGAAAACGTTGGAAAAAAAAAGAAAAATGAAAAACGGTCTTGAGCATCGATGAATGTGTACTCCATGGATGAAAAAAGGTTCGGTTTTTTATTTTTTACTTCTTTTTTAAAACTTTTCTTGAAATCGAAAAACTTCATTCGCGTTCTATGGAATCTCCATATTTCTATAAAGAGATATCTACTAAAAAAATTCAATTGAAAAAAATCAAAAACTCTGATTTAAAACACTTGAATTATCTTTAGAGCGTACTTTCGCCTGGTTCTTCAGACTTTTTACCATCCATTGCACTTTCTACGAACCTCCAGCATGGCAAGCAGATCATGTAGCTGACCATGAAGGTCACCAAGAATGAAAACTGGAGCTTCGATTCTTCAAAAGAGAGAAATTAGACATTTTCTCTTCAAATTCGACCGAATTGCAAAGATCTTTCGGAGTTTGCAGAGGTTTCATGAGAAAAGACGCAAAAAAAATATTTTATAAGCTCAGATTCTGCTGTGTTTTTTTTTTCTTTAGAAAAATTGAAAAAATAGATAGAACTTTTTTTTTGCTTGTCCTCCCATTGAAAACCTTGCTAAAGCCCATGAAAGATCTTTGAAAAAAACACGACCAACTCGACGAGAGGCGGGTCGATGAGCATCTGTTCCCTGGCGCGGAGACACATCTCCATGAGCTCATCGAAGAAGATGACCTTGTCGTGGGGCGTCGTCGGCTTCGACTCGCGGATCCGCTTCTGCATCAGCTTGAGCATCTCCACCGTTTTCTGGGGCATCGAGCATCTGATGGACTTCTTGCCGTCGTCGGACAGAAACTCGATGTTCGGCGAAGGAATCTTGCTCGAGCTGTCGTCCCCCGATGGGTTCGACGGCGGCGTCGTCGTCACCGGGGCTAACCGATGCATCGAGGGTTAGAACTGAGACGTCTATCCGGACAACGACTGACTAGAAATGATTCCTACCTTATTCACTCGTTTTAATACTTCTTTTTTGTTTTAAATCACTTTGAAGTAATTTAGGTTTTTAAGAACAGGTTCCTCATTAGACATCACAAAAACGCGTCAATAAGAAGTAGAAAACACTTCCCACTTCTTTGAACTTTAATGTGAAATACGTTGAAATGCGTCTTTCAACCTTCAAAATATCCTTAGAAATCGTAAATTAAAATTTTTTCCAAACCGTTTTTTCTTTTTCTTTTTCTCAAGCTGTGTAGATTCTCACTTCGTCGAGCCCTTTTATGACGATTTTAAGAACGGTATTTAAAACCGTTCTTGGAATAGCAGTCTGTCCAATTGAATAAAAAACAGGAATATGTCCAGCCACCATAGCTCAGTCGGTCAGTCTCTTGTACACCCCTCAGAAAGCCACTATTCCAAGTCCCATCAAGCTTAACCTTTTTTTACCCAATCATTCAGGAATTCCCACGAAAACTCCCAAATCCCAAGTTTACAGAGCAAGTTCTATCATCTCGATTCCCTTCAAAAACGCCATAACTCAACCAGACAGATCAGCTCAGTCGGTAGAACCCTTATCTTTCACTAAAACGACCGCAGGTTCGAGACCTTCGAAGCTTACTTACTTTTTCAAATTCTATAAAAAAGTCAACACTTCTCCCAATTTTTTTAAATAGAAATCACGAGTTGGAATTTCATGCCTTCCATCCATGATCCATATCTGTTTTCCTCAGACAAACTAACTTAAGAACGACGTCGCCGACCAGGATCTCCAAAAAGACGTCGCGTTGGGCGCAGAATCTCTGAAGTCGCAAGAAATCGTAGAATTGACACGCTAGTTCGACGCCTCGAGCCTTCAGAACTCTCCGGATTGCCGAGCAGACTTGCTCCTCGTTCAACTCCACGAAACGGGCTAAAAGAGGAGAGTTCTAGTCCGGTCCGAGATTTCCTCGAGAATTATTCACAAAAGCTTAAATATGTTTTCTTCTCGATATAGAGGATAGAAGCTTGAATATCCATTTTTTTGGTTAAAATAGTTCAAAAAAATAAGAAAGAATTCAAACGCCATTCAGTACTTCCACTTTTTTTCAAAAAAACTGTTTTTAATTTTAGATAGATGAAAAAAACTTTCTGAAAAAATTAAAATATCTCAAAATTAGTATTGAACCAAGTAACTTCCATAAAAAAAAATAAAAGACAATAATTTGAAGTAAAGCGACTCCTTATTTAAAAAACAAAGCTATCGATATTTCAATCAAACAACAGCTTCAGTGATAAGTTGATTAATTTTATCAAGATCCCCATTTCACATAAAACTGGTAGATTAGATCGATTTGAAGTCTCACCGTGTCGATATTCCTTGGGCACATCGGAAATCGAAGTTTCCAACAAACTCCTGGCCAATTTTTCTTGACTATTCGCCATGGCCAAGCTGCTCATCTTCAGAACAGCCGAATGTGGCAAATCCTGGGATTTCCTGCGAAAAGGTCTACTTTTTAAAACAAAGATCAAGGTTCTACTTGATCTCTTCGAACTTCCCGATGGCGGCAGGAAAAATCGGTGTTGGCCAACCGGAAAAATCTCCCGGATCTCATTCAAATCCTGTGATAAGAAAAACATTTTCATTTATTAATATTATATTCTGAAAAAAACCTTTTTTTCGGTTCAACCGAGAGTTTCCTGCTGAAAAAAATCTATGAAATAACCGAGGCGCCCACATGAAAAAAAGTCTGAAAAAAATTATTTCAGAAAAAAATTTCTGTCATAGTACTTGTTGCTGGACGATTACCTGGCTTTTTTTCAAAAAGAGAGAAAGTTGATTGAAATAAAAATATTTTATTGAGGGGAAAAATGGGATGCTATCGTTTTCCTAGTCGAAATCAATTCAGAAAAATAACAAAAAAAGACAACAATCAATATTTTCCAACAGAAAAAAAGAAACAATATAGACAACTAAACTAGAATCTATGACAAGAAAAAAACATTGATAACGAGAGAAAAAAGGCCCGTTTATGTGTTGAAAATGGGAGAAAATCACGGAAAAAACAAGAAAAATTCAAGTTTCTCGGTAACTTTTTTTTATCGAGACCACACTTCTTGTTCCAATTCAGAAGATTTCTGGAAAATATATGAAATTAATGAAATTTTCGAGCTTATTCAATTTTGGGTCACCATAAGCTAGAGAGATTCATGTTTTCTACCTCTTCCGAAGGTGCCTTTCGTAATCTCAACAAACTGGTACTCTTCTGAAAATATCGTTCCTTAGATACCCAGGTTACCGTAACCTGGCTACAGTGAGAGGAAATGGTTCTTAAATTTGCTTCCGGATATCTGATTATAGGCTATAATACTAGGTTAAGTTGATTGAAATTGTTGTTTTTCTTTGAATATTTCGTGCGTTAGTTCTGATCTTTGTAGAAGTTTACAAGTAAGAAAAATAAAAAAACAAAAAAACGATATTTCATACAAAGTTTTTTTTTTCATTTTCCACCGTTTCATAGAACTCACAACAACAAAAAACCGTGAAGAAGCCACTCAATCGTTGCTCAGAGAGTGACTACCTCAGGTATCATTTCTCAGGAAACTCACAACTTTCAATCCGTCGAAGAACTTTCTCAAGCTTCCCTTGAGCGGGAACGAGCTCGATTCAATATCCTGGATCAGACCATTCAACGGCTCCATATCTCCCGAATTATCTGGAAAGAAATCCTTCGTGATTGAGAACATCTTTGAGATGTCATCCTTACAATAAAGTCGCGTCAAGGACTCCAAAAGGGAATTGAGTTGCATTGTGGAGGCTCGACCGTTGAAAACCGTGAAAAGTCCGTGAAGAACTTCCGCCTGTAACTGTCCAAGTTTCCGAGTTAATTCAGACTTTCTGTTTCAAAATAAGAGGCTGAGAAGGTGGATCAGCAGCAACCTGAAGAGACTAGAAAAATGGGAAAGGTAGGGGCCATAAATCTCTCACCAACTCTTACTTTCGAGTACTATTTTCCGAAAAGATTGAAAAAAAAGCGAGTATTTTTTAAAATACGAGTTGAACAGGTAGCTCGGCCATAGCTTGAAGAGACACCAGAAAAATTAAAAAGTCTGTCTTTCTCTGGCGTCTCTTCTCACCGATTCCGTCTCTCGACTCACATTCTTCGAAGCCAAGGCCAAGGTGATGAAATAATGGAAGACCTTCTCGTCTATATCGAGATTGTTTCTCTGAAGAATAAAAAAATATTTAAATGACCAAATTTCGAAATAGAGAACCTCGATAAGTGATCTGGCCTCAGGAACATGTCCAGCACTGATGAAAGCGTAGGCAAGGTCGAAATTTGCAACAACCTGGTCATGGACACTTCGGACCAGCGTGTGAATCTCAGCTAAGAGTTTCTTGTCCCCTCTGAATACAAGTTTGGACTTATTATGAGGAAAAAAAGCCCAATAAGAAAAATAATTAATTTTTTTGTCATCTGAAAACGTTGTGGAAGTGTAATTTGAAAAATTTCTCTCTTTTCCGATAACTTCTAGGGAAACCAACTTTTTTCAAACAGCTGTTTTTCCCGAATTCTTCCATGATCCACTTTGTCTTTCTCGTGTTTCATTGTGAAAAAAATTTGTGAAAAAGGCAATATGTTAATAATTATACCTCCTTATAGCCTCCGTCATCAGTGGCAATTGCCCAAAAGCTCGGCCAGCGACGCGAGTTTCTTGCAGGACGAACTTGAAGGCGGCGTCGAGGTCGTCCCTATCAATATCCTTTTTTCGCTACGAAGTTTGTTTTTATTGAGGAGAAACGCCAAAAAAGTTAGAGGGGACGTTATGAACCTGGGGACACTGAAATTCATCAATTTTTTTCTTGCAGAAAGTCAGGTCCTGTGGCGTGAGAAGTAAGAAGTTCTCAAAGTTAATTATCTCCCGCCGAAAAACCATATAAACTTCGCCTCCGTATGCATGAACGTTCACGAGTCGTGAATGTAAGGACTGAGTGAAAAAAAAGGTGAACTCGAAAAAGCGAAAAATATTTTTCCAGTGCTTTATAGGCTCTTATTAAAATCCTAGTGCATCAACACACAAAAAATGAATGAAAATTGATTGATTTATCAGAAAAAAAAGAGACTAACTTCTTGATGAGCTCACTGAGCTGCTCCAACTTGACCTGGGCGGCGATTCTTCTCGTCTGCTTCGGCGCCAACGGGAACTTCTTGCCAAGGTACGTAGACAGCTCTTCGAGCCGTTCAAGATTGACCTTCTTCAGCCTTCTTCCCAGCTGAAACTTTCAAATAGAAGAGAATTTATGGCAAAATTTAGATAGACAAATCGGAAAAGCGCTCAGAGATTTCGAAAAAGTTCCCGTTCGAGTGGAAAAAATTTCATTCATGCTGCTTTTTTGAACCATTTCATCAGCTCTTTTTTTAATCTCTTTAGCCTCCTCTTTACTGGCTCTTATAAATCTAATTAAAGAAACCTTTTTTGCGACCTTTCTTCAGCCTCCATTTTTTACTACCAGTTTCTGGCCTTTCGAAATTTGCCTGGGCTTAGCTGCCTTTCTGACGGAAATTATAAGAATACAAGGAGCAGTGAAAACAAAATTGAAACTATAGCGAAGTTGTTCAATTTTGAATTTAAATGACAAAGTGGAGCAAAAACTTCGTAAATTGGATTGAATTTCGAGCCGAACCAACCTTATCAAGGTTGGAAATGTGAATCGGCTGGGCGGTGGTCCGCAACTCCGCACAAACTTCGTCGGCTCGGGAAACTTCCTCGGAAAGGAACAGTCGGGAAGCATACAGAAGGTACGCATCCGGAGATAGAGGTTGAGTTCTGACAATTTTAATAGTTCAGTAGGAAGCTTTTGAATAATACTTTGAAAACGTAATTTTGTAAGCTGATCTCAAAAATTGCCAGAGGTCTGCGAAACAAGTTATGCTGCCTCGAACTTGAATTCTCGTTTCTATTCATCTCAAAGTTTGCCAGGTGGTGAATAAGAGCGGAACATTTTAAATGGGAACCAAAATATTAAATTTTCAACCTTATCACAGTCACATTTTTTCAAACACCTCATTGTCAACTTTTGAGACCTAATTCGACATCTATATTTGATACACATCTACGGGTCTTAATAAAGTTCTCACTTCATCATCCAAATCCGATCCGCTCGTACTGGATCTTCATTGCTCAACGCTTTGACCAGAGCCAAACTTTCCAAGTTTTGCACCAAAGATTTCAAAAATGGCGAATAATTTCTTTTCTTTGTCGCGGCTTCATCCGAATTTGATTTTTTATCCGACATTTCAGTTCTCCAATCTGCTGTTGCTTCGAGTACGGTGACAATCGCGTCAATGTCGTCAGACTGAAAAAAGTTAATAATTGTACTTTTCATAGGTATAACTATGTAGTTAATGAAATCGGCTCATCGAGGTTACATAGATTTGAGACATTTCTACTTTTCTAGAAAAAGTTAAGCCTTAAGATTTTGTTTTGTTTCAAGACGAGTTACTTGTGATTTTACTGAGCCTAATACTTCAGGACTTTCCTTTATTCTTCGATTTCTTCTATATTTTATTCGACCTTTTTTTCGCCCTAAAGAGGGCCGTTGGGAAGCCTTTCCGAGGCTGCAAAAATGGAGGCTCAATCGGCCCGGTTCTGTGCCTCTCTCTCGACTATTCGGAGAGCCGCTTCGACGTATCGAATGATTGGACCAGGATCTGGTATCATTCGGCTCACTTCTTCCAGAATGTCTATGAAAAGCAAGACATGCCGAAGCTCGAAACCCTGATACCGGTCCATTTCTGGCGTGAAATGACCGGCACGGGACCCCGTAACTTGGTGCGCCCGACTCACATCGCTGCAGGGTGTGTTCTTAACGGTCCGCGAAGATGATCAAATCATTTTTCGTAGTTCCGTTTATTTTTTTCAGTTAGGATAATTCACAAAGCTCACCTTTCTCATTGAACTCTACATAATATCATGTTTTTGCAAATCTCTAAAGCCCATCTGATTCCCACCTTCTCCTCGACGACGCGCTTCACGATAACCTCCTGCAATTTTTCGACAGCGTCCAGCTTGACGTTTTCCAGCGACTTCAAGTGTTTCAACTCGGTCAGAAGTTCTTCGAAGTCGGCCTCCTTCCAACGGGTCATCGTCTGATTCTTCTTCAGGCGGTTGATTAACGCCGCTTTGGCCGGCTGGTCGGCCAAAACTTTCCGAGCTTCCAGAATCTCCGCTTGAGTGTAGCCGACGCGGTTCTAAATTTTCATGATACTTTTTTTCAAAATAAAGTTGAAATGAAATACCATCTTTTTCCTTATTTTTTTGGCTTCTAATTCTATAAATGCGCCAGGAATCGGCAGAAAAAAAGGTTGAAAAAGCTGTCATTTCATTCTCAAAAGAACTCTAGGAAACCCTTTCGAGTAGTTAAAGTATTTTATAATCTCAAAATTCGAATTGATAAACAACCTAAAGCTTAAAAAAATATTAGAAAGTTATCTCAAAAAGGGTTCCAGTGCCTGCTCAATTACCCTTGATTTGAAGAGTTGAAAAAAAGAATATAAAAAAATTAAGTTCGAGAGAAGTCAGAATTTTTATCCATTTTCTTCTGAATAATTAAACAGAAGCTTAATAGTTCAAAAAAGGTGGCATTTTTCTCTGAAAGGTGCTCCAGCTTCTCTCCAACCGACCTCATTCTCCAAGGCCTTGACCAAACGTGACGCCATCTGCTCAGTGATGGCATCTTTGGCCAAGAATCTGGTCAGGTTCTGCGCACCGAAATCCATTTTTGCGTTTACTAAAATTGAAAAAAAAATTGAAAATTCATAGGTAATAGAACCAGTGAAATCTAAGGACAAGATCTTGGCGACGATCTGAACTCGCTTTCCATCGGATATATCAGAAGCCGTGGGTTCTGAAGTCTTCTTGAAGAGAAGGAATTTCAGAAGAGCGTCGTGAAGTCGAACGGCGTGAGCCCCATCGACCACTGGGCTGAATAATTTGAGCTTAAAACATGCACAAAAGTCCCAGAATTCTTCTATCCGCTTTTATCTAAACTTTCAGAGCAGCTGAATTCAAATGAAGTACATCCTCAAATTCGTGTCTTTTCAGCTCTTTGATTAACCAGAAACTTTTCAATCAGAAAGAATTTAAAAGTGAGAGACATAAACCGATGTTCAGAAAACTTTACAGTAAGAAAAAAACCATATGAAGACTGAGGAATCTACGTATTTTTATGAACACTCAAATTGTAAACTTTTACTTTTTAGAAAAAGTTGCAGGAATATTGAAAGAGTAGCTAATTTTTGCGATGAAACCACCTTACCTGCTACACAATTTGGAGATCTTATCGATGGCAAGGAGGTCGCTTTTATGCGTGTAGAGGAGCTGACTGAGCAGAGCCGTAATATATTCCCGTCGAACATAACCGTCGTTGATCAGTGGAATCGTTTCCAGCGGAAGGACGACGTCTGGAAAACTCAGAATGAAAATAGTCGTCAGAGAATAAAAAGGTGACTAAATTTTGGGAAAGTAAGAGATAATTTTGAACTTCGCAGAAATTACTTTGAACACGGCATTTCGGTTGGAAACGAAGTCGAATCAAACATAAAAAAAACTCTGTGTGGGCTTCTGGAAGAACCATTGAATCATTCCAAATAGATCAAAGCGATTTTGAGACGCACAGACAAAACAGTTCATCTTTCAGTAGGTCATATATAAAGTGAGACCGTCCTACGAAAGAAAAAAAGTTCTTTTTTTAAAACTTTTTTTCCAGTTTGAAAATTCTCATTCTTTCATTTTTTTTTTTTTTTGTAATGACACATGTTTTTCTAGTATTTCTTCAACCTACAGGTAAATTGACTACATGCGATCGAAGGAAAAGTTTGAAAGTTTTGAGTTTTCAAAGACTTCAAAAAGGGTGGTTTTCTTTATGATTATTCGAGTTTCATGATAAATTTTTTAACCATTTTCTATTTGGATTTTGAATTTTTGCTTTTTCTCAAATATTTTTTTTCGAGATCCTGATCGTTTGGGTTTAGGCTGGGTTGGAAAATTCCGGTCTTTCACTCACCATTAGATCCGAGCTTGAAAAGGATCCTGTAGAAATTCGTGTTCCGCTCGTATTTCTCACTTGTCGGCGCAAAAAGAACGTTGACAATGTCTGATAAATAAACGGCTTGGGCTGAAGAGGAAGGAACACTGATCATCTGTAAAAACTTGGATGGTCTCCAATTATTTTGTAGGAAATCCACTTTGTGGCTTAATTTCCTGGCGACGGCTTCTTTCAGGTGCGGTTTTTGCATAATGACCTTACGCAAGGCCTGCGAAGATTTTACGTAGACGAAAATTTTCTCAAAGCTTTCCGATTCCAGACCAGATTCCAGTAGGAATGCGTCAGTGTCTCTGAAAAGCGGAAAATCGATAACTGCTAGTAAAATAGCTTCATTTGGAAAATGGTAATGAACTTTCTGAAATTTCAAAAAAATAGTACTGCGTATTTTTACTGTGGGCACGTCTTGACAATTTATTACTATTTTAATTGTTTTTTTTTTCCTATTGAAAAAAAGCACTCTAAAAAAAATGTTTTTTCAACTTTCGTTCAAAATCTTTCTTCACTCCTGCGCGTTTGAACATCCAAAAAAGCTTTTATGAACGGAACTATATCCTTTTTTCCCGAAAAAACTCACTCCAATGTGCCATTCTTCTCAGCGAGCTTCAAAATCTTCGTGAAATAGTCGAAATTCCGTGGATCAAGGGTCGCAATGTCTTTGGTCAGCTTCTCGCGGAGGTCTCTCTCAAAATACCTGAAGAAAGTTACTGAGACAGATATGATGATCTTGATCCAACTCGTTCTTGAAGTTGGGATGGATCGTGGCATACAGAGCCAGGGCTTCCATCGACTTTCCTTCGGCCAAAATGCAGCGGGAACGAGCGACGACGGCCGGATTGAAATGCCGTTCCGACAGATGTTCCCCGTCTTCCGACAGCATCAGGTAGGCTGATAACTGAATGAGAACCGACTTGTCACATTCAAATAATATGATGATTCAAGTTTTTCAGAGAGGATGAAGTTCAAATTGATGACTATGCTGGCTTTTCTCGGCCACGTCGTGGGATAAGGTTCGATTATTCCACATCCTAGTTGAGGACAATAACTCATGCTGCGTTTGAAGTCATTTCATGGAATTCAAAATAAGCGCCAGGGAGTGGGAAAGACAACAAGGTTTCGGGAAATCAGAAACAATTTTGAGGTTCGCGGTTTCACTTTGGACATCCGTTTTCCTTTCGTTCTGTTCTGTATTTGAGGGAGGAAAGAAAAATTCTTTACCAACTGCAAGGCGTTTGTTTCTCCGGCCTCGACGAGGTCCATGAGCACCATAAGGACATGTTTATTGTTTTCCAACTGAAAACGTCTTAAAATTACCCATAAAAGGCTTCTGAAACATACAGTGAGGACTTTGGCAGTAGTGGGAATGGCTCTGAGGGATTCAATCGCCTCGAATGCGCCATGGCCGGGATTGGCGCTTTCTCGGGCGATCGCCGCCTGGGCAGCCGCACACCTCAGCCGAACAACGTTCATCTTCGACGAGAATTTCTTAACAAAAACAAAGGAATGAAATTGGAACAGCTAACAAGGAATTTGTCTTGTAATGGGAATTTTCCGAAAATCTCTCAAAATATTATTGATTCAACAGATTAGGGTGAAAGCCAACTTTCGAAAATTCTTATTCTTCAAGAGAGAGGCGACTTACTTCTCGGACTTTAGTAACGCGAACCGGACGCGCATCGGACGTGTCGGGGCTTTCTAGTGACCACTTAAGTAGCGTCAGCCCTGTTAAGCGATCCTTAGAATCGCTCAGAAACGTCCGGAGCGCGTCTGGTTTTTGTTACCAACGCTTGAGTTTCAAAAGCGATTATTCATTAAATGAAAAGAGCGCGAATCCGCACATAGAATACTTTTTCTTCTGTAGCTTTTTTCGCGCTGTTACAAGTGCATTTTGCTGGGGAGCTCCCTTTTGAGGTTTTCAACGTGGCAGAGTGGAGAGACTGGACCCAGGTTCAGTCACCTTTGTGATAAAAGCAGAATAATTGATATTTTCCTCTCCAAGTAAACTTTTAAAATTCCGTGAGCTTAAAAGATAATTTTAGAAACCGTTTAAAATTCAGTTCGAAAAAAAATCGATAGTTTCGGTTTGCGAACAAGGAACAACCTCAATGACCGCATTCGTCTGAGAATCGTTTCCCAACTTGGCCAAGGCGAAAACCATGGGAACAATGTGATCCTCGCCGACCGTCAGGCCAGATTCCCTCATGTGCGTGATGAGATCCCTGGAAAATTATTCATTCAAGTCGGAATACTCGAAGATATGTTCAACAGTCCGAACGTGTATGAATGAAGTTCGAAAATTGTAATATAATAACACTTTCACATTATTTTCGCGAAATTCAGAATAGCCGTCAGAGAGTTAAAAAGAAGACTGAATTTAGGAGAGTCATGGACACTGTTATAAAATTTCGCGGTAATCACTTTGAACACGAGAACACGAGATTTTTTTTTCCTCGAATGGGAAAAAAATTGAGAAAAAACTCACGCGATAGCCTTGACATTGCCCTCTCTCGCATAGACATCCGCAAAAAGGCCAAAAGATTCTTCATTCGGCTCGAGTCCCGCTTTTTCCATGTCGCGAAGTTCATTCACCACATTCAGCGATTTGGAATTGTTGGCCAATCTTGCCGCCAAAACAGCGTTCCGCGATGCGATTCCGAGTTGAATTTCTGAACAAAAAAAGTATGAAACGTAAAATTTTTCACCTTTTAATCATTTTGGGGTATCGAGCGTACTAGCCTTCCAACTTTTTCGAAACCTTATTAAATGCAGTACTTTTAAAGTTATGCGAAATCTTAGTTAACAACCTTCCAAATGCTTTTGTACTTGAAGGATATTCTAAAAAAACGGTGTGCTGGAATAGTTTTATTTTTGCGTCTCCGACAGAACACATAACTTTTTACCAATAAATTTTCGGGTTTTCCATCACCTTGTTGCTGTAAAGTTTTCAAAGCCGATGTCAAGGCTTCGTCTCTTTTTGAACGGGAACACGTGTCACAAGCGGAGCCATAAGCGGACAGCAAAACGGCCAGCTGACTGAAACGTACATGCTACACGATGAGTTATAATGCCGAGATCGAACATGAGAAGCCGATGGAGCTTGAAAGAATCCTTCTAATTGAATTTTTCTTTTATTCTCTAATCTCTACATCTTTCACGTATTTCTTATTTTGGCCCTAAAGAGGGCCGTTGGGAAGCCTTTTCAAGGCTGCAAAAATGGAGACTCAGTCGGCCCGGTTCTGGGCATCTCTCTCGACAATTCTGAGAGCCGCTTCGACGTATCGAATGATTGGACCAGGATCTGGTATCATTCGGCTCACTTCTTCCAGAATGTCTATGAAAAGCAAGACATGCCGAAGCTCGAAACCCTGATACCGGTCCATTTCTGGCGTGAAATGACCGGCACGGGACCCACTTAATTCGCGCGCCCGACTCGCACCGGCTTTCGCTGCCTCGGGCATTTAGCTCCTGCACTGTACCTTACGTTGGGAGGCGAATTTTTGTTGCTGTTCATCCCCTCTTAGATATTGCCGCATTTGAATTAATTCTTGCTCATATGAATTTCTTTTTACTCTCAAAAATATTTTTTCCTTTTAATTTTTCTCAAGTTAAGATTATTGAGAGAGAAGATTATTATCATTTTTTTCTGAACTCCTCATTTTCCATTTCTTGTAGGAGTTCTCTAACTAATGCAGAATTTGAAAACAACTCCGATAGTTGTTATAAATATTTGGCCTTAGAAAATAGATTCCGAAAAAGATTGCTCACCGATCGCTCAAACTGCTTTTCGACGCCTCCCCAAGTAACCTTCCAATCTTTTCCATAACATACGTGTGGATTTGGCCTCGATATTCAATACTGAATTTCAGAATCAAACAGCAAACAATGGGGAAATTCTCACAATTCAACAGCGTCATGCAGATTTTCGAAATTGGATTTTTGAAACGATTCGCCGTACTTTTTCTGCAGTTTCAGTTGTTCAACTGACATTTGCGGGCCATTCTGCAGATTCAAAATTATTTTGATCTTCGGAAAGCAGAGAAATTGTAATATATACCTGATACTTTCTGATTGGTTTCCTGTCGCTATTGCTGAAAGAAGCAGGAATTGGAGCAGCAGCACCTTGTTGATTCTTAAGGATAAATAAATAACGAAAAAAAGTCGCTTAGTTCGAAATAAAAATACTCTTTTCCAAAAGACGAAAAATTAATAAGAATCATTTTTTTCAAAAATCAAACTCTGAACAATTTTTTTTCGCACTGAAACTTGGAAGCTACGGCTCATAACTTTTTTTTTTAAAAAGGTCAGTTTCTCACGATTTCTTCGATGCCGTCATCGTTTTTTTTTAAATTCTAAATTTGCCTTCTGAATTAAACGATTTGAGCTTTTCCTCATCCTCTGACCACGCTTTGAATTTAACCTATCATAAATTTCAGAGCTGGTAGCCACCTAGAAATCGAAGTGTCAAAACCCAGTATCTTTCTCACAAGGGCTGTGTGCGCGGTGAACATCGAGTTAGGAATTGAGGCTTATATGGTAGATGGTCCTAGGGGAGAGCGCTCCAAAACGAAAGAGAAAATCTGCTAAGCGCCATAGGGTACCGAGAAAAAGCTCGTCAAAGTTTTGCCGCCAAGTATATGCCCGCGCTCGGAGTGCTCGACCAGCAACTGGGAGCGTGGTGAAGTGGCAGGGTTCTTGAATGGCGCTGACGCTATGCTAGGTTCGATTCCTTTTGACGTCAAACTTTTTTTGCTCTTGTTTATTCAATTCTTCTACACTCTATCATCAAACAAAAACAGCAAAAAAAGTTTGAAAAAGTTCTAATAATTGGTTCATGGCTTTCGAGATCACAACACGATGGGATCGAAACAAAAATATAAGTGAAAGATCACTCGTGAAAAAAAAAAGAAACCAGGTACGAGTACGAGCCCGAAACACAGGGAGACCTGTCAATGTAATTTCGCATTCTTTATGAAATTTCAAAAATTTCGGTGAACAATAGAACTAACCTTTTGGTATGAGAGGGGCTTCAAAAAAGGGAAAATAGAGTCGGTGGAATTTTTGCGATGAAAGATTTCCCAAGAGTAAAAATAAAAAAAACATATAAAGTGGTTGAATGAGGCCAGAGGAGTCAGGTGTCTTATTATTCACAATTATAAATTTTTTACACGAGGTATACAACCTTTTATTGTATTTTATTGAGCTATCATCTCGAGAAGCCGCCCAAGCATCTATTATTTGGACGATTTTTTAGAAGTTTTCCATGGAAAAGCTAAATTTGACGCAAAAAAAGTTTTTTTTGTGCTTTCTCGTTTCTTCTTTCCCAAATTTCAATCAAATCCTTCAATTTAAACTTTTTTTGCTATTTTTGTTTGATGATAGATTGCAGAAGAATTGAATAAACAAGAGCAAAAAAAGTTTGACGTCAAAAGGAATCGAACCTAGCATAGCGTCAGCGCCATTCAAGAACACTGCCACTTCACCACGCTCCCAGTTGCTGGCTCAGCGCTCCGAGCGCGGGGATATACGTGGCGGCAAAACTTTGACGAGCTTTTTCTCGGTACCCTATGGCGCTTAGCAGATTTTCTCTTTCGTTTTGGAGCACTCTCCCTTAGGTTCATCTACCATATAAGCCTCAATTCCTAACTCGATGTTCACCGCGCACACAGCCCTTGTCAGAAAAACAAGAACAAAAAAGAAGGTAGAAAATAATAATGCGATACCTGGACGACAGCCGCGGCAGCGAACCCGCGTCTCGCTCCCGTCAGCCGCAGTCCTCGACCCAGCATCTAATTATTTCAATATAATCCAAACAAATATTTTGAAATAATCCATTTCTAACGTCAACTTTTTCAAACCACTTTCTAAAAAAAGATATCATCCCAAAGTACGAAAAACTTTTTACGAGAATAATCCATCAAAAGCCGAAATATCATTTATACTAGACACAAAAAGAAAAACTCGTAAAAAAATATTCACAGGAAAAAAACAAGAATGTTAACAAAAAAACGAGAAAACAAAAAAACCTATGGCTAATCCTAGTAAGAAAAAAACAAATCTAGTTCTATTTTATGACAAAAAAACGACTAACGAGTTTTCGATGCAGAGACCGTCGAAAAAAATGTTTAAAAAAACTTTACATGTTCAAAGAAGAAAGAAGAGAGAGAATTTAGCCTCAACTCAGCGGCCGCTCAATGTTCTAACAGAAAAGATGAATTGAGAACAAAAATCTAATTTTATACGATATTTAGGCTTTAACAAGATAAGTTGAAGTGAGATTTGCGATTCGTTTGGCGATTCCTTCATCGACATCCACGCGATTATCCGTGCACCACTGGATGAGTCGTTTTCCAGACTCCACGTCGTTTTTCAGTTCTGAAAATTACAACTTCTACTCTCCAATAATTTTTTTTTTTTTGAAAAACTTGGTATTTGATTATTTTTACAATCTTCTCAAAGTCCGTGAATACATATTATTTAAAGAGCCAAGATTGAAAAAGGGGAAGATCTGAAAATCTTATGTTTTTCGTTTTCTGTTAAAAAGTGTCATAATGTCAAAGGATTGGAATTTACTGTCGAAAATAGTTTGATTCCACTATTAAAAAAAAAATCCATAAAACTTTTTTTTTCTCCTTTATTTTTGGCCCTTCAGAGGGCCGTTGGGAAGCTTTTCCGAAGCTGCAAAAATGGAGGCTCAATCGGCCCGGTTCTGGGCCTCTCTCTCGACAATTCTGAGAGCCGCTTCGACGTATCGAATGATTGGACCTGGATCTGGTATCATTCGGCTCACTTCTTCCAGAATGTCTATGAAAAGCAAGACATGCCGAAGCTCGAAACCCTGATACCGGTCCATTTCTGGCGTGAAATGACCGGCACGGGGCCGCGTAACTTGGCGCGCCCGACTCACACCGGCTTTCGCCTCAAGGTATGTTTGATTAAAGGTCATCAAAAACTGACCAGAACACTTTATCCAGGCATCCTGCAAAGCATCGGTGATTTCGTGGAGTTGCTGCTCGTCAACTCGATGGAACTTTCTTTTTTGTTTCTTTCCCAGAGGCGTGAACTTGGGTTTTTTAGCCGTTAGCCCGAAAAACTTTTCAACTGTCGTCAAAAGTTCATCGTCCGCTTTCTAAAAAAAAAGTTTTCAGTTTAATTTCATAGTGACTCAATTTTGTACTGAATATAAAAAAATTTCAATGAAACACGGAAATTAAATTTTTTCAAATACAGCTTGAACTTATTTCGCTTCACGATCAGTTAAGGGTAAGTGTCCTATCAGATTTATGAGAGAATCATGAAAATTAAAAACATACAAATCAAACGAGAAAGGTTATTTTTTCTCTGAATTTACGAATTTTTGATATGAATACATGCAGAGAATGGACATTCAAGAAAGTTCTTAGGAAAAATTGCATTTAAACATGTTTCGAAATTCAGAGAAAAAATAACCTTTCTGAAACATTTAAATGCAATGTTTCCCAAGAACTTTCTTGAATGTCCATTCTCTGCATGTATTCATATCAAAATTCGTAAATTTCTTTCTATGCTCTGATCAATTGGTTACTGCCGAAGAAAACTATCCAACTTCTATTTATGAAATTTATAAGCGCCGAAAAATGCAAAAATGAAAGTCAGTTCTTGAACGGAACGCCACAGAACGTGGTGAACTGCTTGACAAACCCACAGGAATCCTTTTGCAGTCTCTATTAAGCACAAAAGCACTGAGACTCCTTTGCACTACTGAACAACTGCGTTGGGGAGGAGTCGAACCGGCGACCTCCACGACGGCGCGCCAGGGCAAACGCCACTCGGCCAAAAGACCAACTGCTCACCTTCGAATCGACGGCCGCCAAGTTCCGCGCGCCCCGTCTCTTCTCTCCGATGATACATTTCGAGATGAGCTCGGCTAGTCGTTCAATTCCCTCCAAATCGTTCTAGAAATATTGAAAAGCTGCTTTCTAAAATTTTGTCAATTTCAAAACCTCTTCGACCATAGATTCCAGTGGTTGACGGAAGTATCTTCCAGAAACGGAGACTCGTTTAAATATGCATTCGGCGTCTTCCAATCGGTTTAAACGTACTAAGGCGCAGAGAAGCTGAGCGACGCTGGCAAATGGATGATCAGCCGTTTGGCAGTGAGACAACAGCTTTTCTAAAAACGCTCACGGTTAAAACTTAACCAAAAATCTTTCGGCTTTCCATTCATTTTACTGTCAAATTGGTATCACCAGAAGCCTTCTTTTTTTTGCCTCAAACTGTACAAATCTTTCCGAACTGGTTATTAAAGAAATTTTAGGAGTAGAAATCTTGAACGCAATACGCTAACGTGAAAGGATTTTTTCTTTTCTTTTTTTTTGAAATTTAAAAACGGCTTTTTCGTGAATGCATTTTTTTTCATTGAACGTGAAATGTCAGAATATTTCAGCACAAGTGAGCTTTCTTCGGATAATGATTCCTGATATCTGTAGTTTATATTTAACAGGAAGAGCCTGCACTGTTCTCGTTTTTCTCCCCATACAGATGATTCACGGCTGGCGTGAGCCATCGAAAAGGGGTCCTAAGAAAAGAGACAGTGCCTACTTGGAGCAAAGATAGGCCACGCCTTCTTGCATCCAAGCTAGCCTTCAGAAAATCTTATCAATTTGAAACAGCGTAGGTGAAGAAATTAGGATAGGTTTTTATCAGTATGATGCCATCTTTTCGTAGAAATCCCACCGAAAAGACTTGTTTTTGAACCTTTTTTATGTCGACGAAACTTTTGTTTCCCGGATCTCAAAAGCTTACTCAGAAGACTCTCAAAAAAGAATGAATAAAACCGACCAACGCGCCAAGCTTCCGGCCTGGAGCACTGATCATCTCCAAGGGCGATCATCCACATCGATTCTACGCCGGCAGTGGTTCCGTGTCGCGTCGACATCTCCTTCCAAGTCTTTCAGAATTTTCAAGAAGTCTTGGCTCTGTTGCAGGGCGTGTCTCGTCGTCGTTTTCATGAAAAGCTCCGCAGATTTGTCCAAATTCGCTCTGACGCACGCCTCCATCACACGTTCTGCCGAGGCGGAGGTTCCTGAAAAACAAAATGCAAAAAAAATCAACATCGGCTCGATCTTCTTTTAATCATTTGAATAAAATTTCTGTTTCTAGAAACGGAAGGTTAAATTCAAAAGAATGAAAATGTGTTTTTGATCAACCGCTAGGAAAAAATTTGACATAGAATCTGAATTCTCAAGTCAACACTGAATAAACTAAAACCTGTCGAGAAAGGATTCATGATTTGACGAAGATCTGGCACAAAACATAGATTAATATATGTTCGCATGTTCTCGATTCTAACAGCAAAAACGCAGACCAATATGAAATCTCTTTTTTTTTGAAAAGAGAAAATGCAGCCCTCCTGGAATGAAGTCAAGAAATGCAAGATCTCACCTCTGGCCACAACTTCGGAGTACAGAGCTGTCAGAGCGCTTCTCACGACGTTACGGTTGAATCGCTCTGTAAAAATTCATCAACGTCGTCTATTTTACTTAAAAATTCCTACGCTCTCTCGTCAAGCACATCTTGCTGATTTGTGAAATTCTAGATGCTGTAAAAACGGCGTCTTTCTCCTTCGCAATACGAATCGCCAGCGCGACGAGTACGTCTTCGGCGATGCAAGCTCGTACACTCGAAGCGGCGCTGGAAGAAATTATCAAATATTACCGTGTTCGAAATGATCCCGCGAAAAGCAAAACAACCGTCAGAAAGTTAAAAAGTATAGTTAAACTTTAGAGAGTCAGAGATAACTACTTTGAATTTTCAATAATTACTCCGAACTAGGCATCGAAGTTGACGTTTTAGCAGAGCTGTACTCTGGGCCGGCCGGACTGGCCATAGTGATGCAACGCGGTCGCGAAGCGGTCGAAAGTTTGCCACTTTTCGAACGTTTTTGTCTCGAAATTTTCACAGAGTGTAAATGGGGAAGTGAGTGATCAAAAAAATGTGTTATTTAGAAAAAGTTATGTGATGTAAATTATGAATTAAGATAAAAAAAGATCGCGATTGCGACGATTATGGGCCGGTTAGGCCTTCAACCTCGGCCCGACGCGCAGCTCTGCGTTTTAGTCGTTTCAAAATGATTTCGGACGAATAAATTTCTGACTTTTTCAATATTCTTCATTATCTGTGAAAATACTTTGACTTTCGGCATTAAAATGATTCCGCTAAATTAGGATTGAAAAAAATTGAGTTCCAAAACAAGACGACAACAAGACTAAACAAGAAAAAAAAACCAACAAAAGGCTCAAAAATCGCAGAGCTTCATCGGAATCAGCCGCTTTTTCCGTCGAATAACGCAAAATCCGATTCGCCTTGTTCATCAGACGCCGGTCTCCCTTGAAAACTTCCTTTGGCCACTTCTCGTTCTCCAACATGGCTCGCAGCTCTTCAAACCTCTGAAACAAAGATATTTGTTGAGAAGTTCGAGCAGAAACAAACATCATTAGCAACTATTTCTTCCAAAACTTCAAGTTCTAGGAATTCTTGAGCCGGCGGAGGTGGGATATAAACTTCCACTTGAGGCTTCGTGGACGTAGAAATTTGAGGGATGTCAATGATGTCGGGATCCGGGAACATTAATTCCCCAATATTTTTGATCATTTGCGGCTTTTCCCGTCTCTCCGTTTTTTTTTCGACGGGAAAAGCTGTTCCGGCTGATGGAGCATCGGGAAACATCAGTTCCCCAACATTTTTGATCATCTCCGGCTTGGAACGTCGTTCAGCGGCTGAAAATATCACAAGTTCCACAAAATTTCTTGTTTCTTGGTCCTTTACCTGGCGGCATAGTGGAAAGATGAGATTTTCTTTGTTTTCTCAGTTTTTCCGACAAGTATTGCCTTGTTGATTTGGCCTTCAAAATGGATTCCGGCACCAAAAACGGGGCCTGAACTTCTTCCAGTTGACCTGCTCTGGAAGTACTCGGTCGCTGCTCGTCGTAAATCGAACTGTAGGCTCTGAATATGATTTTTAATACTTGAAAACTGTAAAAGTGAAAATGTAATTTGAATGAAGCACAAGGACTTATAAAAAATAAATAGCTAATTTTTTTGAATTCTTCGTCGAATTGCGCAAGTTTTATAAAAAAAGTTCATCTTTTTTTCAAAAATATTCCGAGTTTCTGACTTTCTAGACTTACTGAAACCTGGAAAAAAACTATCATGAATTTCATATAAATTAAAAAAAAAACAAACACTAAATCTGCAGGCTGAACCAAATCTTCCACCACCTCACTGACATCAGCTCCTTCAGCAAGCAATTCCACTACCTGAAAGATTCATTTTCAACAAAATAAATCAAAGTATTCTTAAACATGTTGCAAGGCGGCGACTTCGCCATTCCCGCCAAGTTCTGACGTATTTACCGTCGTTGGAATGCTGACCCCAGAAAAGTTAGAGATAGAGGCAGTTCTGAACTATGTTCTATGTTCAATAAATCTAGAAAATCACTCACTTCAACAGATGATCAATGAAAGATGTGGCCTCCCCAGAAGAGACAGTTTCCGTAGAAGGATATCGATCCCTATTGAAAGAAATAAGGCCAAAATCATCGAAAGATGTTCTGAAATAAAAATTTCTCGTTCAAGACCTTTTTCCCAAATTTTCTCACAGTTCTTTGATGGGGACGTCGCTGAAAACATTCGGTAGCACTAAATCTGTCCTATGGTCGGCTAAAGTTGATAAATCGGCATTTGAACTGAAATCACCACAAATTTCTATAAATGAAACATCCATACAATTTTGAATGATTGGTGGTCTGTGCAAACGACTCATTGTGCTTGAATAGCACCTGGATTTTGGCAGTTCTTGAAATCCTAAAAATGCAAAAATTTTATAAGTCTAAAAGAAAAGTCAAACCGTGGAGCGATTATTGGGAATCTCCACATGATACAAAACTTTGCATAGTTTGCTTACCGTGCAAAACGATGTCGCACCTTCCAAATATTGGAAGTTATTACCTGAAACCAAGAAGTTGAATTGTAAAAATGAGAATTGAAAAAATAAACAGTTGGGCTATCCTAAAACTAAAACTTCACGGGAAAAAGCGACGAGTAATTCTACAGCAAAACAAGTACGGTAGGCTTTAACGTGCCATTCTCACCCAAGAAACCCGAAAAAAAGCAATAACTACTTCTATGAATTAAGAGTAAAAAATGGAAAAGCTGTCCAAAACTTTTTTTGACCGCCCAGGATGCAACTTCTCGTGCTCGTGTACATTCCGCAAACACGTGACGCTACAGTATCCGCTCTAACAAAAATTTCATCACAATCGGATGATTCCACTGCAGAGGAAGTGGCCTGATCATTTTTATGAAACTGGGGTTTTTAAAACAGTACTAATTTGGAGTTTCTTCTGTTTCTCCTGAACAAAATAACTTACATAAAAAGCAAATTTTCTCTTTGAATATCAACGTTTAACGCGCAACAAACAGCAACCAAATTTCAAAATATTTATACATGAATCCAATTTTTCACAAAACGCATTGAAAATTCAATGGAAAAACTAGAAATAATTTAGAATCTGTAATATCACAGGAGTGTGTACAGGGAAGGTGAAAGACTTGAGATGAGGACAAATATTTGGAGAAAAAGAAAACCCGAAATAATACTGTTTCGTGAATAAAATAAACTTTTTGGGACGAGAAAGACGAGAACAAAACGTTGAGATTCGTGAGGCGAGAAGGACGATGGGTAATTGAAAGAGTCAATGAATTTAAAAAAGAGTTAGAAAAAAACAGAAAAATTCACCAAATAGCTATAAAATTGAATAGAAACTATCACAGGTCATTGGAAATTAAATATTCTAATTTAGAAAAAAAAAATTCGAGGACATTCATAGTAGTTTTATTGAAACCAAAGTATGTATTTTTTTTTCTGAAGCTCCGCTCAAAAAAACTTCAGAATATAACACCACTATCTTGGTGAATAAGATCACCATTACCGGAAAAAGCTTTTCAATACTATTTTTTGAGGAGTTTCACTACTTTTCATAGTCAAAGTTAGTATTGAAACTACTGTAGTTGGTTCAAAACAGCACATGAAATCGTTTTGATAGCTTCGACGAACTGTCGTAATCCCACTAAACTCTTCATGATATCCCTATAGGACTATACAGCCCAACTACGTTTCCTGGAATAGTATGAATCCATAGGATGAGGCATGTGGAAATGCGGGTCAGGCATCATTGGCGGACACGACGGCGGTCCCATTTCAAAGGCAGGGTGAGAAGAGGAAAAGAGAGCCGGTCCGAGATATTTGAAGAGTTCGGCGTGTTGTGGATGAACTTGGTGAGGCGTCATCGGCGTCATCGGCGTCATTGGCGTCATGGGCACCATGGGCATGGCTTGCGCCGGAGTTGGGAAGTTTGACGAGGTCGCTTCGTCGGCTTGTTCAACCTAAATTTCTAACACTTGGAAGGTGCTATACAAAACGAGCGAAAAAAACTTCTTTTTTTTTAAAATCTCATGAGAAGAACTGGGCGAAAATCTTCAAAAAGCGGTCTTAAAGCTAGAGACCGCAGAGCCACGCCCCTTTTTGCGATGGTGAAATGCACTGGTTTTTTAGATTTCGTGTTTGATGTTTTCGTAAAAGCGCAATACTGAATCAAACACAGAGAAATTTGGTGGAAACATAGAGAAAACCTTCCTCTTCAATCTCATATACTTTTCATCCGATTTTCAAAGCGTTTTAGCGGAGCGTCGTACAAAAAACCAAAACTACTTTTTTTCTTCGGGTTTTTAACCTAGTTCCATGTCGTTGGCGCCTTTTTTTATTTTCGAATTCGATTCTTAAGTGAAAAACAAATCTTTTAAGACAAAAAAATTAAAATTTTTACGGTGCCTAATCTTCGTGAGGCCGCGCAAAGTTGAAAATGTTGTACTCGCTTTCGAGAGCGTGTAAGTAAACAATTTTTATTTTAACTTGTGGATTAAATTGTAACTAAAATTTTATTAATATAAAACTTATTCCGAAAACTTTGTTTTCTGAGAAAAAAAAGACAGTGAAAATTTCGAAATTCATTTTAACATGGTCAGATGTCGTTGGCGCCTTTTTTTATTTCTTAAATATTAGCGTATTTCAATTTTCAATCAATTAAAAAAATAAAATAAAAATTTTAGCGGTGCCTAAAAGTTTAATCAGTGTTAGTTTGAAGCCAACGTTAAAATAAGAAAAAAACACCGAAAACGGAAGCATTTTGAACTGAATCTCTATGAATAAATTATTTTTAGGTGCTCCGAACACACGTGACTAATAATTGTTCAACTATCATAACTTTTTTTTGGACAAGATTGTCGATAAATGCTGTACTTTGAGGTGAAGTGGTGTATAGCGCGAACGCCTCCCATCTCCGAGAGATGTCCGTGGAGCAGCGCAAGTGCGCCTGCATACAGTTTTGATATCGCGAGTTCAATCCTCGCAGCGGCCATTTTTTTTATTTTTCAAGAAAAAATAGCTTTTCTTTTCAAACTTGTGGTTTTATACTGTTTTAATGACTTATTACGACTTTGAAAAACCAAACTAAACTACTAAAAAAATTTAAATCCGATATGAAAAACAAAATGAACCACCAAAAAGTGTAAAAATCTAAACTTTCAGTACTAAATTTCGCGACTTTTTTTTCACTACTGTTTTTGACCATAACTTTTTTTCTCAACCTTTTTTTCGAAAAAAACTGAACTGTTTTTGAATAGTAAATTAGAGCAGCTATCCAACCATAGTAATATTGAAGTTCGAAAAATTTTTTGAAAATTCGTCTGCGGTCCCTACTTAAAGCTATTCAAGTCGCGAAGAATACCTTGCTTTTTTTCCTTTGTTGGATACTCGTTTTTTCACTCGGAAAATATTGGGTTATTCAAATTCTCTTAACCTTTTCACACATTGTTTAAAACTTATTGCTGGGGATTTCAGAGCGGCTTTGAGGTCACATAAGTATCTGTCTATGATCCTTTAAAGACTGCCATTTCGCACCTGCCGCAGGAATTCGTCGATCTCATCCCTCAGTTCTGGCAGAGCCGTCTTCGACGTCGTCACAGGGAGGATCTCATCGAACAAAGAACTCGTTTCAGAAACGGATCCATTGTGGAAGGATCCGTTGTTGAACAGCATCGAGTGCAAGGAGGAGGACGATTCTGGAGAAGAGGACTCCGGCGTGAACATGGATAGATGCCGAGGGATCTGCTTCATCGCGATGTCGACTTTGATCTGAATCCAACAGTTCTTGCTTCAGAATTTGAGGTTGGCGGACCTGCTCGCAAGACATTGGGAAGTGATGAGGTACAAGAGAAGCCAGAAACTGTTCCTGCTTGACCATCGAGAATGGATCGCAATTCTGGGTGTACTCCGGATTGAAGGGACTAGCTGGACTCAGAGGCCGATCGTCAGTGTTGGGCGAATCCTGGCAGGCGAAAACGGCCGGATAAGTGTGCCTCATACTGTAGATCCAGGAATTGGCTTGCAGTGTAGCTGCTTCGAGGTCACTGAACGAGTAATGAATTGGTATGAACTAGACAAGGTTAACGTTTTAGAAAACATCCACAGTTTTGGAGGAATGTTTTTTTCAAGGTTCCAGGCACATCTTAGTGATTTAATTACAATAAAATTCTATCAAATCATGAAACAATAGTTCAAATATTATTTATACCAAAACTTAGCTTCAAACCAACCTCAAGACTTGATGGAAGCTGTAGATCAAGTGGCGAACTCGCCGTCCCTCGTTATTGACTTCATGTCCGAAATTGCCTCGAATCGTGAAAACCGTGTGAAGCCAGATCCAGTTGCCGGCGGCGGTTTGCATCCGGATAAGCGACAAAACTGATCCTTCCTTATCTTGGCACACTGAAAATCTTTATGAAGTTGTAGAAAGGTCAGGAAACACCAACATAAACGATGTTTGTAGGCGACTTCGGGGACATTATTCGGGTGAAGCATTTGGTACCAAGATTTTCCGATTAGATCCTCCGGTTTGAAGCCAAGATGATGACAGCTCCTAAAAAGCTTGGAATGAAAAAAGATAGGCGTATTAAAAACAGCATAGCTACAGAGATATGACTATTTCTAAGGTGAAGAAGATCGCTGGTGTGAGTCCACTAGCGGTTGAATCAGCTTTATAGTCAAAACATGAAAAATTATATTACCCGCTTTCGGAAAACTCTTCTAATCTTATACTAGCAGATTCTACGCCTACTAGAATCAATTGGGTCAAAAGGCTTTATTCAACTGAAAAAAAGTCGATTATTTTAAAAATATTTTTTTCTCACTTTTTTTCTGATTTCTATGCTTAAATCTTTCCGAAGGTTCTTGAAAAAAACCGCTTCGCATCCGTCATGCTTCGAGCATTCCAAGTGCGACCATTGACTATGGCTTTTCAGTTCAAGAAAAACTGAGTCTTTTTAACATAGAAAAAGCGATAAACAGCAACAAAAAAAAGCCCTACTAACATGGAATCAACGTCTTTGAACTTCATGTCAAGGTAATGCTGTGTGCAGAAAACGTTGGTGTTTCCAGTGGACATGGACTCGGCGTTCTCCGGGTTGATCAGAGGCTGGCAATAGGAGGCGAACACCGGCTGGGATATTTCGGGAGCGCTGCCGGTCGGCGCGTTCTGGTAATATTCGGCCGGATGGATGTACCTTCCTTGCAGTAAGATGAACTGAAAAATGCAATTCTTATAGATACAACTTTTTTGAGCAACTTTATGGTATTGAAGTTGGCGTTTTGCAGTTCTTGCCAGGTTCAGGCGGCAAATGAAAACGCGTTCTTCTGGAAACGAGGCACTTGGGGGAGGGCCGTTCGACATTTCGGCTTGTACGGCAGCGTGGTCTCTCACGTCGACCAAGTCGTAGATCGAATCGCCTTGGCACATGATTTCTTCCTAAAAAAATATGAATGATGCCGATGCCTCAAAATGAGATTTCAATTGTATCCTCCTTAGAGCGATTTTATCATGATAAATCGCGCAATAGGGCGCTAAAAGCTTCAAGTAAACATCACTTGTCTCGCTTTATGAGCTAATTCTTCAGAGGTTCATAATTTTTCCTTCAGTTTTCTTTTTTTTTCTTGTAATTAGAAAACTTTTTCGGTACAAAAAAAGAAAAGGTTACCACAGAATGGCCCAAATACTCGCTGGCGTTCTCAGAAACGTGAAGGATCTTCCCGTTCCTCGTCAGCATGATCATGAAGCCTCTCAACGCTTTGCACATGTCGATTCCTTTCGGATGATGAGAGGGTATCAACCCGGATCGCAGCACTGAAGAGAACTCTCATTTGATGAATAAATTCCAGCAAAAATTATATTTTTTTCGGTTGACCAGCATGAGAACTTTTATCAGTGAGCTTGTAAACGAAGTACAAGGCTTGTTAAGTTTCTAAAAGCCTGTTAACATTTTGAAAATGTTCTCCGTTGGAGAAAACAAACCGTTTTGTTGATACCGGTGTTTCCGAATGAATATACACCCGAGGGACATGACTTGGAGCTGAAAGAGCCGATCTTTGATCGATTCCGAGAGCGGCAGCAGATCCCGCAGCCGTTGGATCTCCACATTGATCTGATCTCGTCGCTGTTTGGAAGCCCCACGGGTTGATCTGAAAACTACCTATTTCATTACTATGATCAAATTATGATTGTTTGTGAAGGGTTTTTTGGCTTGGCTACAATAGAAGGCCACATAGTGGTTAGTAAATGAGTTTTGATTAACTTAATGGCAATCCAGGATAATCTGGTATTGTTGAAATTTGAGGGACAATTAGATTCGGATAATAGGTGATTAGAAAAAGATGTTTGAAGTTTGCAGCCCCAAAAGGCCAATTGATCGAGTTTAAATGTGCTTTAAGACAATTTCAAATTTTGCCACTTTTTCTAAAAAATGTACTGACTTATCTCATAATATTCGAAAGTCCTCAAAATTTTAATTTATTTTTTCGTCCTTACACCAAACATTTTTCGATTAAATTGAGTTTAAAATTCAAAGCTCCTTTTAGATTCACCTTTCTTTTAAAGCTCGCCTTCTCTGATCTAGTAGTGCTCAAAGACCCCTCGTATTGCTCATCCCAATGGTCACTATGCGCGAAAAAGACGTTTTGTTTGATCTGAAGAAGTGAAAAGAGGTTCCACCACGTCCATTCAAAGTCCATTATTTACCGCCCGAGTTGCGCAACTTTCTCGCCGTGACGTCACACGGCACTGACCGTACTTGACGAGACCGAAAAAGCAAATAGTCATACAGATATGTGTGTTCTAGAGGTTCATCGTCTAGGCGGTCAACCCTCGAAGAAATTAACATAGTCAATAGAGGGAGCCCCTGTGACGTCACGAGGTCCTACTCAAACAGGAGCCCTGAGGCGGTTCAGAAAGAGAAAGCAAAATAAAAAGAGTGGACCGGTGGAAATGATAGAATTGAGTTCAGAGGAAGGTGAATGGCCACTCAAGGGATGTTCATCAAAGGTTTTCATTGAAGCCTGTGTGACGTCAGAAGGTCATGCTCAAACTGGAATCTTGAGTCGGTTCAGAAAGAAAAGACACTGAAAAAGCGGATGGAAAATATAGAGAAAAAAGGTTCTCGACAAAAAGGACATTGCGATTTAAGGGAAGTCCAGATGAAATAAACTTCCACCTGTGAAATGCACAATTTGTGTGAGGCTTCTAAACCAATCAATCACTTTTCCACCATTATTTCTGATCCATTCTGTAAAAATCCGCTGAGAGATCCATCAAGAAGAGAGCGCGGAAATTTTTTCAAAAGTCGACTACTCAACTGCATACTAGGGCTTTTTGAATTCAACATGAACTCCTGGTTTCACCAAAATTTCCCATTTCGAACTGGTTTGTTTTTTTTTTCTTTAGAAAAACTTTCTATTCTCGCGATTATAAAAACTCGGGAGACCAATAGATTGATCCTTTACGGAGACATTATTTGTTGAAAATGGTGTGGAAAGTAGGTGAAAGCGCGAAATTTCACTCTCCTTATTTGCACGGTCTCATTTATAAAATTTTGGCCGTCTAGACTGAAGTTGGTATAAGAAATGAGAAGCTGCAAAAAATGATCGTCCGAAATTGAGACTAAAAAAAACAATATTGTATTGGGGAGATTTTTGCAAAGTCCTTTTCTATAGTCCAGGTAAAAAAATGTCAGCTGATAAATAGTACAAAAATTTACTTTCATTTTGAAAAATAATATTTTTTTGGTCTGACTTTCAAAAAAATGTCTTGTTTGCTCAGGAAAGAGCTTAAAGAGGAGATTCCGAAAGTGACTCGGACGTGCACTTTTGCGCTGTACCGTTGCGTTCCACGCTGAGCCAATGAACTTCTTTTCCATCTAACAAAAAGGTTTTTACTCTACGTTTTTTTTTTACAAAGAACAATTAAAAGAGAAAAAGCTCTTAATTCACGATAAAGTCAGACAGAAAATATCAAAAAATTCCAGACAAAAAATGGATTTTTTAAACTCTTTCATAAAGCACGAAGACTAACATAACCTGAGTTTTGATCCATTTTTGGAGTAATTCGAAACTGATTCCCTGAATTGATAGTCAGAAAGCTAGACTAGAAGAGACACATATTTATTATTTGAAAGTCAATCATGATTATAACCTGTTTAGAAACAGGCTGACTTCATCAAACATTCTGAACCTTCATTCTTGAAGATTGAAGTCATGGCTGAACTATAGATGTCAGGAAGAAGGCTAAATCTCAACTAAATCAATAGAAAGAAGTCGAATTCATCTGCCTACTTCAAATGAATCCTTGAACACGGGCGTGATCTCACTAGCGATTTCCCTACTGCGGAAACAACCAACTTTTTCAAGATGAAACAAGGGCACAATATGGATAATGAATGACAATCAGGACAACGGATACCTCAGATACCGTAAATTTGTGATAACAGCTGAATCTCTAGACACAACCAGAATCATTAATTAAACTTGAGATCCTTCAAAAACTCTTAAAAAAAAGTTAGGACCATGCTGTGGGTCATCAGAACCTAACAGCTGTCTGAGACTAAGTTCGATTCACAGAAACTTCACCGTCCACGGACCTCCCATGATGGTGATTTATTTAATTCAAACCTTTTAACTCTGTCAAAAATGGAAGTTATCATACTCAAAGAACCTCTCAAACTAATACTTCAGAGTATTCCAAACTTTTTTTTAAGACGAAGCTAGGTAATACTATATCACAGATAATCTAGGAAAATCGGGACCTTAAAGTTTTTTCAGATTCAGTCCTATTTACAGTGAAAAAGCGATATTTCTTTTTCAAATCCTTCTTTCTCAACTTGAGATTATCAAGAAAAGTCGGTCGTTTTTCTCAGATCAAGTCTTATCTACATGTCAAAGGGAACACCAAAGGACCCTCAGGATATAGATTCACTCACTCCAAAACCTTCTCTCTGTCAAAAAATGTAAGTGACCATACTGAAGATGATCAAGAACATTCGGGACTTTGTCTCAGATAAAGTCCCATGCAGAGTAAAGGGAGCATAAGACTCACCTCTGGGTGGCATTGGCAGCGAGTTGCTGTTGCGTGGGAGTGAGATGAGCGCCGCTGCCGGAGGGACACACGGCTCCGGAAGCGGCGGCGAATCCGGACGCGGAAGGCTGCGGCAGCAAGGAAGCGGTGCTCATGGGTCGTGCGCGACGACTGTGCACGTCGTGTGGACACTCCGCGTCGGCGTGAGGTCACGCCCCGAGGCCACCGCCGCCGCCGCCGACACGCGGTTCGTACCGTTCGCGGCAAGTCGCCGCGTCCTACGTCATCAAGGGAGCGAGCGATCTGAGCACTTTCTTCGGTGAAGGTTTGGTGCTCCGCGAGCCCTCTCAAAACACCGCTGTACGACCAAGTTTGAGCAAATGCAAATAGGAACGCCTTTCGCCCGACCACCGCGGTGTATAAAAGGTTTTTTTCTTCTCTCTCTCTGTTCTCTTATGAGCGAAGAGGTTGACCATTTGGTGTGGTCAGTTCTGATCTTCAAAGAATTTTTGGTAAAGTGCGGATGATTAGAAACATTTTTTTAAATTGAGGAACCTGAGATGAAATTTGAAATTTAACATTTTGCAAAGGATTAGATGAATTTCAGGAAAAACAAGTGTGAAATTGAGGTAATTATTTTTTTTCTGAAAAAAATTGTTGGTTCCCTTTGATTTCAAAAAAATAAAATCGAAAAATTCTCATAATCAAAAAAATCGTGTCCCCTGACTGCTCCAAAGCTGTCCATACAATATCAAAAAGTTGTTTTTTTCTTTCGAAAAAAACTCACTTAAAAAAAGAAAAAAATTTTTTTGACAAGATTAATCTCACGAAAAAAAGTTCATCAGAGAAAAAATCAAAAACTTTACAGAAACTTGAAAAAAATAGCTGCTTATCGAATTACTCTAAGTTCGTGTTTCCTCGGCAACTCTAAAAACAATAACTTGAAAAAAAGTAATTAGTAACAGAATTTCTTCATGCATTAGAAAAATATCCTAGCTTCCCATCTAAACGGATCATTTTCACTTTGAGAAGGAGGACGAAATACTAAATTTTTTTGCTCTTTTATATCTATTTTCTTCCTTTCAAATTGAAAATCACTTACGTTCATCTCAAAAGATTGAAAATTCGCAGGAACTTCTTTTGCTGATCTTTTGTTCCATTCGGAACCATCTTATTTTCCCGTGTAACCGATAAAAACTGTTAACAGCATGTTCATCATGATTGCACAGAATTTTCAAGCGAGTTCCTCAACGAAGACCGCCGATTTCGGTGGATGAGTGGGCGGGGTGTAGACAATAGTCGTCTGCATATTCGGTGGGAACTGGACCATTCCGGGGGCGAAATTCAGGCTCGGCATCCCGTTGGCGCCAGGGTAGATATCTTGATGGGCGTGGGGAGCTGGAGGAGCGAGGTGGAAATGAGGCGGAGGCGGGCCTGTTGCTGGAGCTGAAGCTTGAACAGGGTAAGCTTCAACTGACTGAAATATATTCTCAACTATGTCAAAGTGTTTTTTCTCGAAAACAAAACCTTCTTGTCCGAGCTCTGCAGTAGCGGAGCCTTCTGAGATTCGACGAAAACTTTCTGAGGATGCTTTTTTCCGAAACTGAGCAAGGCGACGATGGCGTGATGAGTAGAAGAGCTCAAAATGAAGGCCGCTGCGGCGACCAGACCCCAGATGAGCTTCGAAGCGTCAAAGTAGAGCAATTTAACGGCCTGGCCTTTGTAGAAAGGCTTCTTCTCGGAATCGTCGTTCCAAAGGTAGGGAGTGAACTGTTCGACGGAAAGGTGAGCTGAAAAACTTCTCTTTTTAAGAGATAGCAACAACTTCAAAAAAGACTTCTGCAAAAAATGTTTTTCTCAATTCCTGTCAATAAAAGAGATTTATTGTGTTCTCTTGTCGAACCTAACATAATAGGGACTTTTTGAAATCTTCGCGCATTCTTCCTATTCGAAATCAGATCTTAACTGTGTTCTCTTCAAATATCGAAAATCATACCAATCTGGGCAAACTGAGAAAGGTTGAGGATGAGAAGGAAGGGGAAGGACCAGGCGAGACGAGTGCGGGCATCATACACCACCGGATCTTCTGAGACGTTTGCCGCCGAGGCTTTCTCCTGTTTCCCGCACACTAATGCAGTTATTATGGACTGAAAATTCTTCTTCTTCTGATTCTGAGCAAGTTTGACCCAACGCCAATCAGGAGGAAGACGAAGCTGATGGTTCCGACGGCGAGAAAGAAGAAAATGGCGGCGGCTTGCAGTTGGGACCATTTGATGTCGACGAAATGGTAAGAAGCGGAGAGCAAAACCGAAATCAGGAGAATCGAACAGTGGGCGTCCCTGAGAGAACTTTCATCGATTTTCGTAGATATCCCGGCTCCTTCTGACCACATCTCCCGCATTTGGAAGTTCTCTCGACGTCGAGCGACGAACATCAAAGCGCCAAGGTAGAACGGAGTTCCCAGTGCGATGCAAATGTTCGTCGAGGTCAGACAGGTGTTGAAAAACGCTTGGAAAGCATCGTAGCTGAAAGATTGAAGAATTCAGCTATGGCTCGAAGAATTGCGTTCCCAATGTAAAAATCTCCCAGTAGAAAACGCTTTCTCAAATTCCAAAACATTTTTTTTGTGAACTTTTTTTTAACCTTTCCTAAATTTATAACCTTTAAGTTGCGCCTCCAAGTCTATATCAGAATTAATCGAATTTCTTTTTCTGTTTGATTTCATCAATAGAGGACATCTACGAATAGCTGCTTTTTTTTTCAACTGCCCACTCACATGAAGCCAGACGTTTCTTCGAAAAGAACCCCCTCAACACCACCAAGGATCATGAAAATGGCCGAAAAGGTGAGCGGCAGGTAGACGACCGTGAGAAAAGCCCGCGTCATGTCGTTCTTCATCTTGACGCTCAGAAGCCAAAAAAGCGTCAAGAGTACGATCTGCAGAAGGCCGGCTCCGACGGCTGGGAGGCCTAAAAGTGACAACTTTTCGTCAATGAAATTGGCTATCAACTTCACGGAAGATTATTTTTATAAAAGCTTGCACTCGAGACTAAATTAAACATTTATGATAAAAAAAAAATCGCAAAATATAATTTTTTCTCGGCGGCTATATGTTCGCAGCTTCGTTTCGAGATGCGGTACTAACGAATACTTAAAGACTAACAACAAAAAAGAACCAAAAAGTCTATTGACGAAAGTGCCGTTACCTCCAAAGAGCTGTTGCTTCAGGAGATAGGAAGGCGGATAGTTGCACTTGAGTGACGTCACTTTTTTGACGGTGACGTTGTGACAGAAGAGGTCTTCCAAGTAGGGACGACCCGGAACCGGGTTCGCGTCCATAGACATGGTACCTAAGGTATATTGAGTACCCATAAAAAACAAAAAAAGTCCGTTCACGGCAGCTTTTTGGAAAGCTCACAGCAGCAGAAAGCAATTTGTACTATTGAAAATGTAAATTTGAAAAGCGAGAGAGCGCAGAAACCACAGAGACGCAGATCTCTAGTTCTCAAGCGCCTCTTCCACTTTTTCTCACAGCTTCAAACTTTGTTCATGATTTTTCGTGGCGAAAAGTTTTCCTGCATATTAGAAAAAAAAACTTTTTTGAATTTCGGCGGCGCCTTTGAAACTACAAAAAGCTGCTTCGAAAGAACTATGTATGCGTAGTTTCAATTTTCAAACTCTTCAAGCCTTTTCAGGAAATTTAAAACGTAAACTTGAATTTTTTGAATACTTTCTACAAATATACTTCTGTACATTGGACATCCTAATTCTCTAAAAACTGCAAGTTAACGACCTAAATAAAAGAAACTTCGACTAAAACCCACAAAAAGTAGGTAAGAAACTAACAATTTAAAACAAATCCATCAACTTCAAGCTGAAAATTGGCGGTCTGTTGCCAGGGCGACGGCAAGTACAGCTGCTACTTTTTTATTTCGTTTTTTTAATAGCAAAATTTGTTCATTTTCAACAAAAAAAAAATGAGGAAAATTCAGCTGGAATGCTGCTGCGGCTGCCGTCCCATCGCCTTTTCCACGTTGGAAGGGATCGTCAGGCTTGGAACTTTCTGAAAAAAATTGCATTCCTTGGAAAAAGCCCATGATGAAGGTTTATAGCTGATTCACGGCTGGCTTGAGCTATCAAAAAAAAAGGGTCCTGACACGATAATAAAAGAGATAGTGCCTGGTTGTTGGAGAGCACGCCACGCCCCCTCCGCGTCTCAAGTTAAATCAGTTATATCACTAATTGAGGTAAAAAATTTGCTCAAAATTGGCTAGAAAACTTCTTAATTTCATACTTGAAAGAGAAAATAAGGTTTGAACATCTGATGATTTTTTTATTTTGAAAATTTTGTTTTTCAAAAACTAGGAAGTTTTGCAGAATACGACTTTCGGAATCTATTTTTTCTAATAGCAAAGAAACTTATGTTCAACTTTTATCAAATTTACAAAATGTATTTTCGAAAAACCAACCATCATCGTCGCCGGATTGTACTGATCGTTACCAATGACGTATTTATTGAAATTCTTGGAAAAGGTGACCCTTGGGGACTTTCTGAAGAAAAAATGTCCTGACAGGAACTATTTGAAAATTCTCACGCCGAAGGAGTTTTCTCAACAGGATCTTTGTAGATCGGCTTAGGCTCGGGTCCAAAACCAGTGCTTATCAGATGTTCCATCTCTTTTCTGTGAACTTATCAACTTCATAGCTTAGTGAAAAAAACTTTAGTAAGCTTTAGAAGAAAAAAAATCCTAGCAAAAATTTCGAAGCGGAAAAATGAGATTTTCGTAAAATTCTGATTTAAAAAATGCTCCTTTTTGTTTTGAAAAACAGAAAAAAGTTTTAAAATAAAAAACTGAAAATACACAACTGTTTTTTGATTCCAAGGATCAGTAAGGTTCAAGAATAAAAACGAAAAAAAAAACTGAAGTAGCCAGAAGGTCCAAACTACACACAAGCAAATCTTGATGACGTCACTAGGCAGTTGAGGATCTTCGACTTTGTTGAAGGTGAGGACAGAACGGACAAACAAGACGGCGTTCGGCGAAACAGCTCTCTCGATCAACAACGTCGTCTGAATTCGGCATCAAGCTAGCCGACGCTTCCTTTTCCTTCGAACCACGCCATTTTGAGAGAGTTTTTCGATGAGTAGCCCCTCGCAGGTTTTGACGTCGCGAACCTCTCGATCGCCTATTTTCAGAATCGCGTCACCGACGAATAAATGTCGTCGCATGGTGGATTCCCAATTATTGTCCATCATGTCGACGTAGACCTGAAGTTTCATTGATATCAACTTCTATCGGAAAATTTAGATATGTCCTCATGGAACGTGCTCATAAATCGGGAACAGTTATTTATAAGTTCCCGTTTGAAATGGGTTTCTAGTGCCTGCTCAGGAGAAAACCATAACTGAAGCAGTCTGAGATGCTAGGTCCACGCTATAGGAACTCTACAGCCAATCCACAGCTAGTTTGAAACGCAAATAGGCGTGGCCTTTCTGCGCACTCTATCAACCAGACTCTATCTCTTTTATTACCGTATACCACTTTGATTCCAAAAAGTGCTCAAAAACAACCTAGGAGGTCTATGAACGATGTTATGACCGATTAAAAGGAAAAACTACGACGTCTTCCATTGATTATTGCGTTTCCAAAAAACAAAATTTTAATTTTCAAGCTTCAGAAAAAAAATTAATTTGTCAAGAAAACCATTGCTCCTAAAAGACCAAAGTGACCCCTAAAGTTTTTTTTCAGATCTCGTGAACTTTTCAATTTTTCATAGCTCACCACTTCTTTAAAAGACTTGACATTCAAACCAAGCTTGCTCTTTGGGTACTTGACAACTGTCATTCTGAAAAATAAGGAACGTATTCACAGGTTTAAAAATCGCTTCGACTTGTAATACTCGTAGCCATCCTCCTCTCTTTTCGGACCATCTCTTTTGAGGGCGCAGTTTGACGGTAGATCATTCTTGTTGGTGTACTCTTCGATTCCCATTATCCGTCTCACTTTGAACAGGAGCTGAAACAAAAAAATAAATAAATAAAAGTCCGTAAAACTGGCGAAATTTTTTTTTAAAGAAGCCAGACTAATTATGATTTTTTTTTTCTTAATTTGGAACGAAATCAGTTTGAATCAACTAACATGGGAGGTCATTTTAGCGTAGGGTTCAGAATTTTTTCTAAATTTGCTCAAACAATCTTTGATGGACTGGGAATCGATCCCCCATAGTCGCTATCTGCACAAACTTTTTGTTTTGGAGATATGATTTTTCAAAGTTTTTATCCTTAACCATGTGACGCCGTTTGGAAGGAATGTGGCCGCGCCACCAACCACTGCATGGCAGCTAGGAGCGTGGTGCAGTGGCAAGCGTGTCAGCCTGCGGAGCCTATGATGAAGGTTCAAATCCTTTTGCCGCTAACTTTTTTTGCCATTATTTTTTTAAAGAATTCTGATGAGAATATCAAAATTTCATGAGTAAAACCTTTCCAAATAAGTTCGATAGCTATTTTCTTTCTAAAATCGCTTTTTTTGATGAAAAAAAATCATGAAAAATTTCTAAAGTTGTGGCAGACTTCACATCATCAGAGACTATTTTTTTGAAAAATCAGCGAAAAAAATGTTTCAAAAAAAGCGCTGAACCTTCATCGAAGATCTTCGCATGTCTTGGTTGTGATAAATAACAGTGGCTTTTTCAATATTTCAATAGCCAATTTCTGCCTTACTTCTGGAGAAACATCTTTACAGAGTATGAAAAACTTACCTGTCATCCGAGTTTTTATTGAAAAATTTCCAAAACCCCATTTCCATCCTAATCCAGATTTTCAAATTTTCAGGAATCTAAAAATCTTTTGAGCAAAATGTTTTTGGGAAAATTCTCTGATGATGTGAAGTCCGCCACAACTTCAGAAAGTTTACATAACTATTGTCCATAAAAAAAGCGATTTTAGAAAGAAAAATAGCTATCGACTTATTTGGAAAGGTTTTACTCATGAAATTTTAATATTCTCATCAGAACTCTTAAAAAAAATAATGGCAAAAAAAAGTTAGTGGCAAAAGGATTCGAACCTTCATAATAGGCTCCGCAGGCTAACACGCTAGCCACTGCACCACGCTCTTAGCTGCTATGCAGTGGTTGGTGGCGCGGCCACATTCCTTCCAAATGGCGTCACATGGTTAAGGATAAAAACTTTGAAAAATCATATCTCCAAAACAAAAAGTTTGTGCAGATAGCGACTATGGGGGATCGATTCCCAGTCCATCAAAGATTGTTTGAGCAAATTTAGAAAAAATTCTGAACCCTACGCTAAAATGACCTCCCATGTAAATATTAAATAACTATGAATTAATTATAGTCAATACCTTATCAGGCTACGGAAATCGATCGATTTTGATTAGAACACGTTCCTGAAGAGAGGTTTCAATCTCAAGGTGTAGAACATGAATTGAGGAGAAAACTCTGGGTACACACCGTATGCGGCTTGGTGCTCTTGTTGGCCTCGGTCAGGAAGTCCATCAGCTCCTGTGGCGTTTTGATTTTGGTCCGATTGATACTGATCAGCCGGTCGGCGTACTCCAACGGCGGCGTCATGTAGGAGGGCACAAGGATCAAAAGTCCCTTCTCCGTCATTTTGAAGTCCCGGAGACGGGGCTGAAAATGCTCCAGATTGCAGTGCAAAGGGGATACTTATGCGCTCAAAAAAAAATTCATTAGAAAAAAAAAGTTTTTATTTTTCGCAAAATTCCAAATTAAATTTTAAAAAAGAGGAAAGAATGAAAAAGTTTGGGAGAGACTCAAGGATAATTTCGAACCTCGCAAAATCACTTTGGACACGGTACTTAAACGTTGGATTCTGCGAAATTTTAAATGGGAGATGTTTTTCACTTTGAAGACCAAGAAAATCAAACTAAACATTTTGAATTACGTCGAATTATGTGAGAGCGGCAAATAGTTATCAGGCAATCACATCCGCCTCAGTAAAGCGAATATATTGGCACCATATTCAGCCCAAACTTCACGATTTTTTCGTATGCTTGGAAAAAAAAGACCTTTTCGAAAAATTTTGATATAAGTTCAGCTTTTCTCCAATAAGTTCATTCAGCGATAATTTCCGATAACACTTGAAAACTTTATCATGAAGAAAAATAAAAATTTTTGAATAGTTTTTTTGCGTCAAGATTTAACTAGAAACAATAAATTTTCCTTCACAGACAGCAAAATTCTAAAATTTGGGCATTCTCATTCACCTGAAGAGCCGCACAATCGATAGGAAACGTTAAAGTTTTGATCATGTGCGGCGGAACCAATTCTTCGGGATTGATGTTCAATCTCTTGACATTACTTGGCGGTTTCTCCTGAGGAATCACAGACTTTAGTTCTGGAGCGCTAAATTTCGAATAAATTCCTATTTGGGCCGAAAAAGCTCACTCCACATTAACCATGGCTACTGTGAGACAAAATAATTTAGAAATAAACACACTCAGTTCCTTTTCACGTTCTTATTTATTTTTCAAACAAGCCAGTTTAATTCTACCGGAAAGATATCAAAATCCGATATTTTTTGAACTTTCGTTCAAGTGGAATATATGTATCCACGTTAAATTTTCAGAACAAAAAAATATCAAACTTTTTCATTACTTCTTCCTCTGCAAAGCCTTATTTTGAAATGGATTTCCACAGTCCAGCGGTAAGGAAATTTACAGCTAACTTTTTTATTTTTATGGAAACAAATTTTTTTCATCATTTCAGTTATTTTGAACCTCAAGTTTCATCTTTATGTCTTTCTCTCATAAATACTCGAGCGAGTTGTTTATCTGTTGACAAAGGTTTCAAGAAATCAAAACGTACAACTGCAGCAGTGAGAAAATACAGCGAAAAACTTTCGAATCTGAAAGTCAGAAATGTTTATTTTGAGAACGTAAGTGTAAGGTACGCGAGTTCAAAAAGAAAAAAGAGGCGCACACGAAAAAAAAAACTTTTCTCGGGATATAAACTTCTACAAATGCGCTGGGAAAGAGTAGTTTCATCATCCTATGGGAACAATTTGGTTGGAGAAACATACGGCCGAAAAGTTTCTTCGACTTATTGGTACGGCCGTGAGAATCGTTGGGTGCCTAATTGACAACAAAAAGGGACCTCACACGAGTCGAGAAATCCCACGGAAGAAGCGAGTTTTTGCCTGGACTTTTGGCAAGGAGGAAGGAACGTCGTGGCACGGGCGGATTCAGACTTTCGAGAGCTGCAGCAGCAGTCCGAAACGTGAGTCTGATGGGTCTGAGCACGGCTTCGTCGGTCCAACTCGTCTATGGCCTTCCTAACCTAGCCCTCATGATCTTCTTCTTCTTCCTATTGGCGTGTGCAAATTCCTTCGAGTACTCTTTCTACAGGATGGTTCAGTTCGACTTGCTGGTTGTGAGTTTACCTAGTTAATTTATTTTGCAAGCCTTAAACCGGAGGTACAAAAAACTGTTTATAACTTCAAATTGTGTTCTCAAATAGTCAAAAGATCCTATAAGCAATGATAGAGGATGCCTCACCTGCAATACTTTTAAGTTTTCGATAGAAGACGCTTCAAACTGTCATTTCAAAAAGTGATCTCCTTATTTTAAAAGAACTTGCGTGTGATAAGGTTTATTTCATTCATTTTTGACAAGATAGTCGATTGAAACAGAACAAATTGACTGCTAGCTCAGTAAAAAAAAAACAAGGGAAACTTTGCTCGCTCATTTCAGCATATTGATGAAATTCCAGGTCTCATTCCTTAAAATTATACTGACTTTGTCTGAAGAAAGTTCATTTTTCTAAACTTTTTCTAACTTAGAAGTCTTCGCAACAGGTCTCAAACAGCTCAACCCGAAACCGCAGAACAGAGTAATTTAAAAATAGAAAATAACCGTCTATTTTTCCCCAACCCATAAAATTTGATGGGAAAACGTTGCAACACATTGCAAAAAGAGGAAATTTCGTGACTAGTTCAGCATAACTTCCTTTGTGAATCCTTCAAGAAATCCGAATAATTCTCAAAATATTAAATGAGTTTTTCAGAACGCATGTTGCTACATAAACACTTGGATGTTCCTCCGACTTCCAAACGAATCTTTCGGTCCTCAGTTCCAGGTAGCTGTCGAATTATTCAACCCCTACATTCTCGACACGGTTCATGTTCTTGGTCCATGGTAAGAATTCCGAGTAGTTCATTATCAAAGAATGAAATTTCTGGTTTTTCCACGTTCAAAGCCTTTCCACGTTGACTCTATCCACTCATCGACTAACCACCATGAAGTTTTTAAACGCCGATAAGGTCAATAGCGAGGAAACCGAATGAACGATTTGACAATCACTTTCAGATGTGGAACAAGTTCTACTGGATCGCTGCACTAATTATTGTTTTCTACGGCAATTCGATCTCTCTGGTTCTGCGACTTCTTGGCTACGACCTCAAAATTTGGGTAGAAAACGGTGTTATAAAAAAGGAGTTGGTAAGTATTCACCATCTATTCAAGAGATAATTTATTTTTAGTACAACTCAAAACTAATGTTTCAAATGAACCCTTGGTTCGCTTTGGTCTATTTTCTGCTGATAATCTCATCTGGTCTACTCTCGATCCGAATGGCTCAATCAAAATTCAGAAGTTTGATTCCGAAAAGATGAATTAAACAGAAAATGATTTGTTAGCAGTGAGCTCCAACAAAACAACGGCTTTTGTGAGGAAATTGGCGCTGATAACAGTCGTCAACAGTATCCTCAGCTCGGGGAACTTGCTCTACACGGTGAATCTTTATAAGGATTAAACAGGATTGTTGATGATCCTTTTCCAGTTCGTTTTCGGCTTCTTCGCCTTTTTCAACATACAGCTCTTCAATTCTGGAATCAGCGGGATCATCGTTCCCTACACTTCCGATATGGTAGAGTCTTTTTTAGCAAGTTTGATTCATAGTGGCTCCAGGCAATTTTGTCAACTTTAGTTGCTTTTAGGCGTTATCTTGAAGCAAACACTACAAAGCCTTACCCAAAACTGCGGGAAGCTGGCTTAACGCTTTCCAATATTAAGGAAGTGAGCTTCAAGTGAGAATTATCTTTCCTGCTTGGCTAATCGCACTTTTTTTTCAACTATTTTTGGGAATTTTGTCCGATGCAGCCTATTTTTCAGTCTTTAAAAACTGAAACATTTTCCTTGATTCGAAAAATTTTATCCGCCTTTCAGGTAACTTTGACTCTACCATTGATCCTGTTAACATTCGATGGAAACGTCCAAAAATTCTTCAAAATGAAGAGAGATCCAAAGTCGGGAAATATCACGATCGTAACGTCGACTCACGATAATTAGTAAAATATATATTTTTTTGTTTTTCTATAAAGTGATTCATTTTAATATCCAAGCACTTATCAAAAAAAAAAACCTTGTACTTTTACCCAGACTTTTGATTCGATTATCACCGTTTTCTACGGAGTTTGATGAAGCTGATGACACCTGCAGACACTTAATCATGATAAGACTTGATTAATGTTGCTCTTTCTGATGGAAAAACTCTCATTTCTCTTGTTTCTATTGTTGAAGAGAGGTTTTCAAAAGTTCTTCTAGGGCACATGGAAAACTTCACATGATCGTCACCTTTTTCCTTAAAAGTAATGATAGCATGTGGACTTTAAACGTAACAATTAGGCAGACAAATTTTGCCGAATTCCAAAAAAGTGGTTTTAGGTTGGCCCATCCATTATGTCACACTTCTCTGCAACGTAGGATCCTTTTAAACGAGTTTTTTTATCGCTGCTCAAATAAGAGTTCTTGACAAGATCAAATTTAACAGACGTATTATTTAGACACTGACAATATTTTCTTTTTTCAAGAAAATGCTAGCCGACAATCGTATTTTCGGTAGTCCTGAGATCGAATATAGAAAAGAAAAAAAATTTAAAAATTTGAGCTTGTGCATAAAATAAAAATGGTTCGTAAAAATGATTACACTTGAACTTTGATTGCAGCTTGACCTTTTTCTCTTTAAAGCTGATCTATCAAAACCGGTTTTTTACAACCGAAAAACGACACAGTTTTAAAAAAAAAACACGACAACCCAATAATTTAAGCTGAATCATATTTTGGCCCAGTTCAAAGGCTAAGTTTTGGGAATTTGTTCATGTTTAGGTTGAACAGAAAATAATTGATGGATTCAAGTAAAATCTTTATTTCCTATTCCGCTAATCGTTTCTGGTTCTAAGACAAATTTAGAAAAGATAAACGAAAACGTTGATCTCCTCAAACTCTTTATTAAACCGAAAATGAGCGAACTGAACTTATTTTGTCTATTCTCATAATACCCTACTCCTTTGAAACTCGGTGCAAACTGCTTGTGGATTTAGTATAAACGGTCGAAGAAAAATCGAGGGAAATGAAATCTCTTGCATTCTTGTAAAACCTCAAAAATCTTTTTTGTTTTTCAGGCTTTTCATGACCTTGTCAACCTATACAACGATTCAACTCATTTACGGAGTTCCTAGCCTATTTCTCATGATTTTCTTCCTACTCGCTTTGAGCTTGAGCAAATTTTTCAAATACTCATTTTATCGCATGGTTCAGTTCGATCTCATCATAGTGAGTTTGAAACAGTTATGATCCTGAAAAATGTTGTAAAGATAGGATCAATGCGTCGGGTCAATGAGCGGCTAATTTGAGCCAAGCAGTTTTAGTGTAAAGGGCTCAATGAGTTGATTATCGATAGATAACATTCTTTTTACTTCAAATGGTACCCAAATCATTGCAATATACTTAGTCTACATGAAGTTATAAAATGTGATGATATCAAACGGGAAAGTTTCAAACTAATCTATGGCGTTTCCAAAAAGAGATTCTGCTATTTCAGAATCTTTTTTGCTACCTAAACACCTGGTTATCCCTCCGGTTCTTCATAGAGGAATGCGGAATGGAAATTCTCGTTTATCTTGCCAAAAAAAGTTCGGTGATTCTCGACGCATCGCATGTTTTTCTGGAATGGTGAGAACAAAACTATTTCATTTTTGGTTTCCTAATTACGCATAGTACCGGACTTTGACCATAGAAGTGTACATTATAACGAGAAAATCTCGAATAATAAGATTTTTTTTTCAGGTTTTTCCACGCTCAAAGTCTGTCTGGTTTTTTTCTTTGCGCACATCGACTGACCAGCGCGTTGTTTCTCCGTTCTGATGAGGTCAGAGCGAATATTTTCCGGAAACTAACGAGACGTTTCAGACTGGGGGCAAACATTACTGGCTGATAGTCTTTGCAAGCGTCGTCTACAGTTCTGCGATCCCTTTGACTTTCTTATTCTTTGGTTCAATGACGACTTATGAGCTAGTGAACGACAGAATAACGATCAGACCGGTGAGCATAAAAAGAAATTTATTATCGCCACTTCCTAAATTGATGTCTTCATACTCTAAGTTTTTTTTCTTCGAAAAATCTGCATTTTTTTACTCTAGAACCGTTTATTTTTCGCCCACTACTCGTTAATCGTTACAACACCCATCTCTCATAACTCCCAGGTTCCTACAAATTTTTCCGAAAAAGTTTTTTTGTAGCAAAACATGCATCTGATCGTTCTCCTGAACCCAGTTTTCGCCTGCATCTACTTCACTATGATTTTCTCGTCCGGATTAGCAACTTTCTGCACCTTGGGAAAAAGGCTAGAAGGTATACCTAATTAGGAAACACTTCCTGCTTTAAAAAAGTAAAAAGCCGGAAGGAAAAAACTTTCCGTGTCGAAAGTCCAATAGTTCAAAAGTAATGTCGCATTATGCTCAATCATTCCAGAATGCTTTAGAAAAATGAACAATTTTCAGTCCTGTACTCCGTACGAAAAACCATATCCACTCGCAAGATGGCTCTAATAACTATCATCAACAGTTTTGTGATTTCCGGCAACTTGTTTTATACGGTAATCTTTTTATAATCAATCAAACCAGCTATAAACAAGAATCAAAAAAACTCTATTTTGGTTTTTGCAAAAGGTATATCAGTTTTCTTTTTGTGCAGTGTAAATAAATATTTGAGATGATTTTTTTACAACTTTTACAGAAGGAAAATTTGACTCAAGAAGCCTCAGTCTTTGAATCAAAACTTTCAGATCATATACGGCGTAATGACGGCCTTCCATTTCACAGCGCCATACTTTCTCTCAGTCCGAGTTCTTTTGTTATCTTCTGACATGGTTTCACAAAAGTTTCGATCTAAATTCAATATCTTTTAATTCCAGATCACTCTTGCCATGCCGTGGATTCTGCTATTTTTGGATAGGAACGTCGGAAAAATGCTCGGCTTCACTATAACTACCAAAAAAAGCGTCCGAAGTATAACCTAATTAACACTCTTGATAGATAGAAAAATTATCTAAACTAAGGAATTGCCATAACTTTTTTTTTGTGATAAATCAGTAAATTAATTCTCTTTCTCTTATTGAAAAGATAATAAATTTTTTTTTCTGTTATTCCTTGAATCAATTAAGTTTTAATTGCGTGTAAATCTCTCTATAACCTAATCGACATGTTTTGTTGAGTCAGTCTATCGATTAGCAGAAAATGACAAATTTGAACGAACTTATTCAGAAAATTATTCTCAATTGTAAACTTTGAACTTTGTTTATCTATATCCATAAAATGATTATACTTCCTGAAGCAAACAAAAAATTTTTTTTTCTTTTACCCTGTAATTATATATGTATAACCACGCGACGTTTTGTCTTGACCGGTTATTTAAACGTGTTTGAAAGCGACATTGCTCTTGGACTTGAGACCCCTTAATTAAAGCCATTGAGATCAGCCTTTGGTATATGCAGAAAAGAAAAATTTCGAAAAATGATGTTCTTTATATCGAAAATATTACTCTTAGACCTTCTAGTAACAGTTACGGAATGGCTGAATCCAAAACTCTCCTCATTTCTACCATTGGGCGCCTCATCTTCAAGATGACAAGGCTTTGAGGCTTTGTATCTCAAAAACGTGACTAACTGTGCACTAAGTTTTTTATTGTGTGATCGGAAGGTCCTCAATTGCTTTTCAGCAAAGCTTGGTCAGATTCTTAACTTCTTCGAAGCCAGATCAACAAGGATCTTTTAATCATATGGAAAAAAAAAACCACTAAATGCAAATTAGTCCCTTTCGAAGCAAGTTGAAAAGAGGATCATTAGTGAAAGATGGAAGATATTAGAGAAAACATTGCAAAGGAATCAATCGAAACGAATTCAGCACGCTTGCTGCGACACGGTAAAAAATGAACTACTCAAACAGAAAAGTTAATGACCGTTTTCAAGTTCGTTTTCGGCTACTTCTCTTCCTTTTTCCACATACAAGTTTTCGATTCTGGTACCACTATAATAATTGTTTCACACATTAAAAAAACTTTTTTTTCTCAGAATCAAGGTCGATTTATAGCGAGCTGACCATGGTCGTAAATTTGAAGGACTTTCAGCCCCTCTTCAACAAACTTCAAGGTACATGGTCAGCTTTTCGAGCAATATCTCTCAGAAGAGTGAAAATTAGCCTATGAATAAACTGTGAAAACTTGCCAGAAATTTCGACGTTTTTACTCTATATTTCTAATCGGATAGTCCAGCCATTGTTTGAAATTCTCAACAAAAAAAAAGTTGATCTCTTTTATTCAAAAATTATTACAAAAATGCTTTCAGACCGCTCTGATCACTATAACTTTCGATGGAAACGTCCGAAAAATCCTCAAAATTACGAGAGATCCAAATATGACCGCGAAGACAACTGACGATGATTCCTACGAAATATTCATTTATAGTTTATTTTTATCGCAATATAAAGTTCCATTTCCTTCCTAGGTTTTAATTCACATGAGACATCCCTCGTACTCTTGGATTTTTAATTCGATTATCTTGTTTTCCTACGTGACAGTTGAGGGGATCAACGATAACTCTAGACGCTTAAAACAATTAATTACAGCTCAATTAATGTTGACCTTTTTGTAGGCAGGAATTTCATTCCTTTTCAATTTATCAGGTTTTCCAAACGCCTTCTTTACGTTCTGAAAATTTCGCATTAGCTTGTACTATTTTTTTTCAAGAATTAATTATAGTATGCGAAATTTGAACATGACAACTCAAGAAAGCGCGACGTTGCGAAAAGTTCTAAAAAATGGATAATTTGAACTGAATCATAGTGTAGTATGCTGAGTGGAAATAAATTATAAAGTTTTTAAACTTAAAGATCCAAAAATTATAACTTTCAGAGAGCTAATATGGCCTTATCAGCCCATACAACTATTCAACTTATTTACGGCGTACCGAGTCTGATTCTCATGATTTTCTTCCTTATCGCTTTGAGCTGGAGCAAACTCTTCCAAAACTCCTTTTATCGTATGGTTCAGTTTGATCTCATCATTGTGAGTTTTGGAAAAAAAACTGTCAAGATGATGGCTCAGTATGTCTATTGAAACTATTTTGCAGCCCAAAAAAATAACGAAAATAAAACTCAGTTTTAAGCGCGACGCGTTATGAGAGAATAATGAGATTTTAAGAAAAAAACCCGAACTTCACTTCAGAACGTGCTATGCTATCTCAACACCTGGATTTTTCTTCGATTTAGCTCCGAAGATTTCCGGATGGATTTCTTTCTTTATTTAGCCAAGAAAAGTACGACGATTCTCGAAGCATCGAATGTCTTTCTCCAATGGTGGGAATTGAATGATCGATTTTCGGTCCTCTAATTACGCGTAGTACTGGACTTTGACCAAAAAATTGAACAAAAATCCCAAATATTATTAATCATTTTAGGTTTTTCCACGCTCAGAGTCTGTCTGCGTTTTTCCTTTGCGCACAGCGATTGACAACCTCCTTATTCATCCGTTCTGACGAGGTATGTTCTGTTCGGTAGATCTCGTTGGGGAAGATACAATGGGCATAAACAAAATTAACAATGCAAACGGGTCTTTTTCTGGAATTCGAAAAGAAGAGGATTTGAGAGAAGAAAAAACTAATTTCAGATTTGGAGAAAGTACTACTGGTTGGTCGCCTTATCGGGCCTAGTCTACAGTTCTGCAATTTCACTGACTTATTTATTAAATGGTGTCGATACGACCTACGAAATAGTCGATGGAAAGTTGATAATCGAATCGGTGAGAGCCTCTCGAGATTTATAAAATAATAAACTTTCTACGCTACGTTTACCTAGCTTTTTAGGAAATCTAGCTGTCGCCAGCTTTCAGAACCTCTTTCCTTTCTGAAAGAACTGAAAATTTTCGAAAAACTTTATTGTAAATATCTTTCAAGACCTTTTTTATTTGGGAAAAGTTGATTTAATTGGTTCTTCATCTTTTTGCTTGAAAACATGGAAAACTTGAAACTTCTCTTTCAGCACCATATGGATATTATTGCGTTAATGAACCCAGTTTTCGCCTGCATCTACTTCACTATGATTTTCTCTTCAGGATTAGCAACTTTCTGCATCGTGGGAAAAAGGCTAGAAGGTATACTTAATTTGGAACAGCTTCCTGGTTTGTTTCCAGAAGCAAGAAAAAATAGAAACATTTTCGCTGAATCATTGAAAAAAAAATCCCCGAGAGCATCTGTAGAAAGTTTGGATATTTTGTGATAAGAAACACTTCTTTTTCAGTATTACACCCAATGCGAAAGGTTCTATCAACTCGCAAAATGGCTATAATTACCATTGTCAATAGTGTTGTGATTTCCGGCAACTTGCTCTACACGGCAAGCTTTTAAACCTCTCATTTAAAATGAAAACTATCTTTTTCAGACCTTATACGGAGTTATGACAGCCCTCAACATTAATGCGCTCAATTTTCTCTCTATCAGACTTATGTTATTCTCATCTGACATGGTTTTACTTCAGTTTTAACTTGAATTAATCCAAAGTTCAGATCACTCTTGCCATGCCGTGGATTCTGCTATTTTTGGATAAAAACGTCGGGAAAATGCTCGGCTTCTCTAAATCTATCAAAACAAACAATGTCCAAACTATAACCTAATTAACTTTTTTTGTTGAATCTCAAAAAGAACCAATTATTTCTAGAGATTTAAACAATTGATGATTCAACTGGAACCTTTGCACGTTGCTTCAATGAAACGTATTGAATCATTTTCGCTTGTTCTTTTTTTCAAATTGCTTGTAATGGTGAAAATCACTTTTTTTTTCATTTTCTTTTTCTTAAAAAATTACGCTAATAACGTTGAAAAACAAATACAAACTACAGTCAATAAAATTTTTTGTTTTCATAATTAGATAGTTTTTCTCCGATTTTTTTTTCTGTTGTTCGAAAACATTTTCATTTTTGTGTTCCCATACACTAAACGTGTTAATTACATACAAAGCACGACTATCTAAGGAAACACAGCTAGCAAAAAATGGCACGTGATTTTTTCGAAGAAAACACAAGAACTGATAAGAATTTGCCCTTTTTGGTCAACAGCGTTGACCCCTCCCATTGATCCGTTTCTCTCATACGTCTTTTGGGGAGGTTAAAACCCCTATTAGTTTTCTTTTATGTTTCTACTAGTTCTAATCAATTTTTTTTGAATAAAAAAATCATTTCGCTTTCAATTTTTCGAAATTTGTGGTTTTCAATGTTTAAATATTTTTTGTCTCAGAAAAGGCACAGTTTCAAGATATTATTAGACCAACCAATCCTCAACTAATGTCAGTTTCGTTCGACTTCACCGGGAAACGGGTATTAGTTACGGGCGCCAGCCAAGGTTTGCACAAGAAATCCTAATTTGACATTTGAAAACTCTTTATGGATCTCAAAAAAATTTTGGAATCTAACAAAACGCGCAGATTTTCTTGTGAAAAATTTTTCGAGGAAAAAAACTAACTTCATGTCTCCGGTCTCAGAATCCATTTTGCACTCCAGGTATCGGCCGAGCCATTTCTTTACAGTTGGCTAAAGATGGAGCGACTGTGTTTGCAATGGCTCGAAATGAAGAAGCTCTAGACGAATTGGTCGAGCAGAGCAGAAATGAAAAAGTTAGTCCCGATTTCTGAAAGTTGATGTTTGAGATTCAAAAAAGATATTACCAACACGAAAACATGCATTAGCTTGAAATTGACAAACCAATTGTTAAGCTTTCTTGCGTTTTTTCGACACAAAGAAAAGAAAAACTTTTTCGAACAAAAAGCACAATATTTAAGTACTTTTTAGAAAAAAAAACGAAACTGAGTTGAAGTGAGGATTGTGTAAGAAATGAGTCGAAGGAGAAAAGGATAATAAAATCTAGACACAAAGTATTACAAGTTTACTATTGAAAAAACTCTGAAACTGAAAAAAAAACTGAAAGGGAAGAAAGTAGCCGGAGGACAATTTGAAAAACGGAAATAAATCATGAGCCGGGAGCTGATGCAGAATAAATGGTTCTAAAGCGAAGCGCTGGGTTTCGAGGCTTTTGAGAGGATATAAATTTTGATGAGGTCGATTTTTCAATTTTTTTTTTCTACTTTGCAATTGTTTTGTGTAAAAGTTGTCTCGCTACCTCTATAAATCACTTTTATAGAAAAATAAGGAAGTTTTAATCAAAATTATGCTCAGAAAAAAACGTATTAGCCAGTAATTTAAAAAAATTCTTTTTTTCTGAAATAGTAATAAACTTGAAATTTTTTTCTTTTGTCTTTGCACTGGTGGTTCGTTTTTAATTCAGGAAATACTTAAAAAGAAAAGTGATTAGAGATAGAAATTAGGTCTATTTTTTTCTTCGCACTATTTCTAATGAAACGATTTCTCGGGGTTTTTTTTATTAGCATAAAACTACTATTTTCTCTAATTTCAGGGTACTACAATAACTAAAGTAGTTGGCGATGTGACAGCCTCAGAAGAGGAGCTGGCGAAAATTTTGGAGCCTCACCAGCCATTCGACGGACTCGTCAACAATGCCGGCGTTGCTCATCTTCAAACCGTCGGTTGCATTACCGAAGAAGCCGTTGCAAAGTAAGAAAAAGCTTTCATTTGAAAAAAAAAATTGTTAAGAGAGTAAGATTGAGTCGATTTTTCGGAGTCCTATTATATTTTCCTAAACTTCATGTCTTTTTAATGGCCTTCCAAACTTTCCTCGCTTATTCATGGCGCTTTTTGCAGCACATTCAACGTGAATCTTCGCTCTGCGCTTTTCATCGCTCAATTAGTTTCTCGTGAGATGATCAAGCACAAAAAGCAAGGAAGCATCGTCAACATTTCTTCACAGGCCGCCATTCGCCCATTTTTCAATCACACAGCCTACTGTAACTAGAAAAGCTTGCAAACTGATTAATTTGCGGATTCCTAGGCGCATCCAAAGCCAGTCTGGATATGGTAACGAGGTGTTTGGCCGCTGAACTTGGCCACAGTGGGATCCGCGTGAATAGCGTCAACCCGACTGTCGTCATGACCGAAATGGGCAAAGCGGTATCTCATTTCGTGTTATTCAAAGCTATCATAAATTATTTAAAGTTTTGAGAAACAGTTTCACTATTAAAAATTTGATAAATAAAGTTAAATAATTCATTCTTCAACGAGCTTTCCTTTGGGATTTTTTTACACACAGATTCAGTAATAATAGCTTGAATCAAAAAGTTTTCAAACTATGATTTTCGTGACATTTTTATTCAGGTCGAAATTTCGATTTTAAACTAGCATGTAGTTCTTTTATTATCGTTGATTTTAACATTTTTCAAAAGAAAGCTATTAGATTGCTCCAGTTTTGCTTGCTAAGAGCCTTAAAAGCTCTAGCAAACTGATTCCATAAGTCGCCGACTAAATTTTTTTTTTCAAGTATTCAGGCGGAACCAGTCTATAAGAGTCGTTGTTTTCCTCAGTGAGACTTTTTGAGAGCTGATAAAGCCTTCTTTCGAACCTAAATTAAATATTCCTATTTTAGAACTGGAGTGATCCTCACAAAGCCAGTCAACTACTCGACAGAATGCCGATCAAAAGATTCGCAGGTGAGAATACAATTTTGAAAATTAACCAAAATTTTATTTCAAGAACCGGAAGACGTCGTTTCGGCTACGCTTTTCCTGCTTTCCAACGCTTCAGCCATGACCACAGGTGCCGCTTTTCCAGTGGATGGAGGTTACATAAACAATTGAGAAATCCTAAAAGCGCAATTTTTATGTACACAGTATATCTATTCAATCCAAGCCTTGCAATGAGATAATCTTTAAAAAACAATATTTTCATAACTATTAGATTACAAGACAATCTTCACAAGAACCGTAGATAAGTGCACATGAAAAAGGGAGTATGAAGAATAATTCTGATAAGCAGTCAAGTCTTATTTCCGAAAAACTTGGAAAAGAAGCCGCCTTTCTTCTTTGGAGAGCCATCGGAAGAAGGTACAGCTTGATCGGATTGGACTATTTTCTTGACGGCTATTGGTTCCTCTGGAGTTTCTTCGGCCTCCTTCAGAATCCGTCGCATCGTTTCCTCGTCCAGCTCGTCTTCTTCAGAATCCGTGTCGAGGCCTTTCTAAAAACAAAAAACTCGAGATGTATTCTGAAAATATTGATTATTACCGCAGTTTTGTCCAGCTGCCTGTCCCAAAACTGCCCAAATTCGTTGTTGACCTTCTCGTTCATCTTCATCGCATCCAAAGATTTTTGTCTGGCTTGAAAAAAAAAAATCGATTTCTAGCTTTAAATCAAAACCAACTCGAAGCCAAAATTTTGCGGACATCTTGTGCTGAAGCTTCTTCTTCGGCTTTACTTTCTTGGACGCGTTTTTCGGCATCTCTCATAAGTCTGAAATTCTTTTCAAACTGACTCATAGAACAAGCCAAGGAAGTGGTGTTTGTAATTAAGCGGTCACTCAAAGCGTTATAGAATCAGTGAGAGATTTCAACCAATCGAATAGAACGAAAAAATAAAATTTTTATTCTAAGCAATCTATAGGAATCATAAAACCTAAAGCTCTCTCTAACCTTTATAAACAGAAAAATAATAGGAAAACGGCAGGAAAAGGTAAAACGTTTCGAATAAGAAACCAACTCATTGATCGATTCCAGTTGCTCTTTAGTGGCAGTACTGTATTCAGAAGTTCCTGAAGTCATCGACATTCTCATTGATTCGTTTCCTAGAAAAAAAAAGTTGTAAAAAAAACTTTCAACCTGTCCTTTCAAGATAACACTCCAAAGAAGAGACAAAAAGAACTTTCCGGTAATGAAAGAAATCTGGTAGCTGATTGACTTTGTAGCTGTACTCTACAAATTTTGTGAACGCACTTTGTCTTTTGCTATGAGATACGTTCGTAGAAAAAGAAAATAGTTCTAAACTCAAAACATGTAGACATGGATACCTATAGATGAAGATTGAAAAAACGAAAACTTTCAATTTGAACTGCTTTTGAAAATATAAATATTGAACCAAATCGTGTCCAAAAAGAGCAGAGACTTTAGAACAACCTTACGAAAAATTTTTCAAAGCAAATAAACGTTTTTCGCTCTGAAACTCAGGAAAACGCACTGCTGACGTCGTCCTCCTCTTTATCGTCCTTCTCAGTTTCCGCCTTCTTCTTCAACATCCGATGACGTCGCTCCAGCTCGTCCAGCTCCTTTCTCTCGTTCTCCTCCAGACTTTCTTCGATCGCAGCTCGATCCTCGGCCATTTTCATCAGTCCCGCTACAGAATTTGTTTCATTGGCTTGCTTTGGATGGGCTTCAAACCACTGAAAAATCCCGAAAGATGAGAAACAATAGTCAATCGAGTTCTTACTGCTTTCGGATTCCGCACTAATTCGATATCACACCCTCTGAGCATGGCTAATCTTCTTTCAATATCGTCGGTTGAAAGTTGAGACTCAGCCTTGGGCTCATCTGCTCTCAACTGGGCTCGGCGAGCTTCTAACTGCCGTATCTCAAGATTTTTTACTCAATGCTAAAAAGAAAAAGGAGCAAAAGCTCCAGAGAGGAATAAAACTCTGATTTATTTGAAGTCTTTGAAATTTGAAAAGAATTTGAAAAGAAAAAAGCTAGAAAAGACGTTAGCTGAGAATAAACTACCTGTTCATCTTGAGGCGTGACTTTTGAGAAGTGATTTTGGTTAGGAAGCCGATTTTGTGATGTCGGAGGGAAGGCACCTAAAAATGAAATACAATTATCAATTTAATGATTTAGTAACCATATTGTTGCCTCATGGAAGGCGGAGGAAGTCCTTCGCCCCACCAATTTTTCTGACCCGAAGTCGAGGCAGACGTTCCATTTTCACCAGGTAGAGGAACAGACGTTATCTATATTTTCCCTTTTTTTAAAAATACTGCATCATAAAAGAAATAAGGAAAATCCAGAAGCTTGAAAAAACGAAAAATTTTTTTTGATAGGCAGCAATTTTTTCGTCCTATTTTTGCTGCTTTTCGATGAAATTTTTTTTCGATCTTCCCACAAATAACTGACCACAGCCTCGGTTTTGAGCTTCTTCGCCTCGATCTTCTTATAGCAATTATAGCAAACGGTGACCGGATGGGGCGAAAGATTCGGTATCACTGTCCGGTGGTCGAGGCACTTTTTGCAGAAAGAAAAAGCACAACTTGAGCACCCCGCCTGAACAAAAAATTGTAAAAAGATAATTTATCCGTTATTTTGTACCTCTCTATTAAGTAAGGAGTACTTTGAGCCGCAGTTGCTGCAACACTGCGACGAGGGCATCCAAGAAAATAATCGCTGAACTTGATGATGAAAAAAAATCAGGACGTTTTTGTTTTGATTATAGTCTATTCCGCGCCAGCTTGTCACGTTTTTGTTACCGCCAAAAAGACCGTATACCAAATTAGATCAAAATTCTGTTTTTATAACGGCAAGCACCAAAGGTCTTGAAGAGAAAGTTGGTAAAATTTGACCTGGCCTTTTGGCGGAACGAAAAACGTGACAAGCTGCCGCGGAACGGCCTATACATGCTTTTTAGCTTCGGAAATCTGTCGGGAAAACCTTTCTGATCGGCTAGCCCCGTCCTTTCCGTCATTTTCAAAGTTTGAACGCAAAATTCCCAGATCTAAAGGCTAGATCGAGCTTCGAAAGCGTTATAAAATTCAAAAATAGGATTTTTTTTTTTTGAAATAAAAATGAAATTGATTTTCGGAAGGTTCTCATCAATTCATAATCGTGGTAAGTTAGATCGAATTGGAAGAACTAAAAAGCCTCATGTGATGCACCATTTTTTGGTAAATTTCTAGCGCGAATTATTTCAGTAATGAATAAAGCCCAAATCAGTTAACTTCACAGAGGCTCGCTTTAAAAAAAAAATTTCAAGACCGGGAACCGTTCATGGTCATGAAAGTATTCCACGCCTTCAGATATCTTAATGAACACTACAAAAATATATAAACATCAATGAATATACAACGAACCATCCTTTGAAGCCGCATACCTAGAAATAAAAGCAACTATTCAAATAAAACAGGAAGACAACTAAAAACAACGGTGAATCATGTACCAGTTCGACCACCTCTTTTTTTTTCGCTTCTCTTTCTTTCTTCTCTCCGCTGACTATTTGCTTTGAGAGAGAAAGGATCAATTGGTCAATTGATCCGAACGATGTTTTCGATACGCGTGAAGTTCAGGGTTAAATTAATCATCAATTGTGGCGCCATTTTTGATATAAATTGAGTTATCAATCAATCAAACTTAATCCTAATCATGCTTGACAGGAGTAATGGAAAAGGGAAGTTCGATGGAGAGGAAATGAATTTTCAAAAATCAATCAAGATTTTTTTCAGAGTCAAATGGGTAAAGGAAAAGATTACACTTGAATTTTGAAGCTCTCATAGTCAATTTACAAAATTACTAAACTTTTTTGAACCATACCCTGTTCAAAACCCTTTGCTCCAGTGATTGTAGGAGCATAGGTGATTTCAAAAGGATTTGGCCGTTCATTAAGTCAGATCGTTCAAATGATCAGCGATGATTTTTGATAGCATAGAAGTCAAGTTTGGGTGCATATCAAACCTAGAGGCCCTCCACCTCGCGAACTGCGAAAATTCAGCCTGTGCTATCCAAAAAGTTGTTGAAACCAATGGAACAGAAAAAAAATTCAACTGATTTAAACAGTTATCTTTTCTTGCAAAAAAAATTGAAAATCTTCGCAATATTTATCTGAAAAATTTAATTTTCAAAACAAGAACAAGAAAAATCACAATAATAGAAACTATTGCAATATCATACAAATCCTAGAAACCCTTACTGTAGAAAAACTTTTCAATTGCGCTCCGTGGTGCTCCTTTCACTTTGATTCGGCCTTTCAGTTCATCGACGTGTGTTGCAACTGGGTGAGAAAGCTCCGACTCCAGGAAAGTTCGCAAATCTGTTTCGCAAGCCTTAAAAGGAAAAATTAAGAGAAAACAATAAAAAATGAAAAAAAAAACTCACAAAAACGTCTCCATCGACTCCTCTAACGACCACGAGTTCAGCGTAGTCAAAATCCAAGCTTTTCTCGTTCAACAGATCCCGTTTCCTTTCCAAATACAATGGCAAAAGGTGATCTCGCCGCCGACGTAGGTGATAGGACAAATTGGGAGACGAAACTCAAAAACTTTTTTTTTACAAAACTCCAACTAAACCAACTCGAAGGAGGCTGCCAACCACTCGCCGTAGGGAAACTGTCATGATGAGGAACTTCTGGCACAACTTCTATTGGCATAAGCCTTTCTACGTATGACCAATCCACTGCGATTTCTTCAACCTTCGGGTAAGTTTTCTCTGAAGAAGAGGAAATGAAAAGAACTGATGATTGGAAACTTGAAACCTTGCTTTGGTAGAGCGTGCTCCCAAGGATTTTCCCAAATCTTTTTCTCCGGTTCTTTCGATGAAAACGATTTGACCACTTCCAACGACGTCACTGCTCTGACAGACAATATCCGGCGACAAATAATTGAGGAAATCATCTCAAAATGCTCGAATAAAGAGGTGAAAAAACAAAGCAAGATCCTAGTTGTTTATAGCGCGCTAGCGTATAATGACGACGCAAAATATTTCGAAAAATAAGTTATTTTCTCCGACCAGGAAAAAAAAAAGTTATTTATTAAATGAAAATGTTTCACTCTATCACTAAACGCTAATGGCGTGTTAATCGGAGAAACGGAACATGCTTCAAAACAAGAAATCGTGTTCATCGGCGCGTCAAAGTTGCTCCACAACAGTACAAATTTTTGTTTTGGAACAATTGTCTTTCGTTTCGAAGCAATTTTCGTTTTGTCCGATCAACACGCCATAAAAAAATAATATATAGAAAAGGAGAAGGAAAGAGAAAAATTTCTCGGGGAGCGACTTTATTTTTTTTCAGACCGTCGAAGAAAGTGTGCTCCAGGGCGCTCTGTAAAAAAATACGTTGCCGTGTGAAAATGCAGCGGAAATTTTAGGCCAATTTTTATTTATTTTTTATTTTTTCGCTTTTTTTGTACAATGTTAATGATTAGCAGGTGTTAAAACTCTCAACTGATAGGAAAATCTGTTTCAGCTTAACGGAAAATGACTATTCGGAATCGTTCTGTATTTTAATTTGGCTTTTTGAATTGATAAAATTCACTTTTTTCAAAAATCCTGTATATAGTTAATTTCGGTTAAAAATTCATGTCGCTTTTCTCATTCTATTTATTTTCTTTTTTATTGTTTTTTGCCTCTATTTCATAGTTTGTTCTGATTTTAACTGTCAACCAGATAACTCTGACCTTGCCGCCACAGTATCTTTTCGCGTCGATGTTTCATCGCGCGGGACGGTTTTTTTTTTTCTTTTTCGACCTAAAAGATAGAAAAAGAAGTCAAAAATGTAGCCTCATCAAAAGTTCATCGTCATCTAGGACGAAAAATTGACGCGAAAGATGATGTAGCCTTGGGGCGAAGTAAGCTGCTTTATGCCGTGTTCAAAGTAATTTCGGCGATTTCAAAATTGATGCGTTATTCGTTTAAAATGATTTTAGGAAATAGGCAGAATTGCTATTCCGGGAACGCGCAGAAAAAATGAGCCCTACAACGATATAAGGTTAAATATGCATTTTTACCGTAATTTCTTCGCGGGAACTCAAAATTTTAGAATTATCAGGCATTTTCTACTAAAATTTCAAATTCGCGCGTAAAACACCGTAAAAATGCATATTCAACGATATATCGTTGTAGGACTCACTTTTTGTCCGCCTTCCCGGAAAACCAATTCCGCCTATTTCCCGAAATTATTTTAAACGAATAACGCGTCTATTTTGAAATTGCCGAAATTACTTTTAACATGGCGTGAAATTAAAAGTCTGAACAAACTACGTTCTTGTGTTTTGAAAAATGTCCCGTTTCTGCAATGAACACGTCATAAAAGCGCGCACACGGACTCGCATAGTGGCCAGGTGTCTCAACAGGTTCACCCGTATTGAACTCGTGTTTCTGAGGTTATTTCATTTTAGTCTCGGTTGGGCTAAAACGGGGGAACAACGGATGTAAGAAAAATATGTAACCCAGTTTAGCTGAAAATTGCTAAAAGTTCTACCAATTGTGCTTAAACGTTTAATACGGGGGCACCTGCTAGCAGTGAGACCGAGCGCATCGAAAGGAAGCTTTCCGCAAGTTTTCTGTAGCTCGGAAGAAATTAAAGTTTGTGAAAAACTGTCGTGGAATGGGCTGTACGCGCATTTCATCAGTTTGGGTCCATTGGCCGATCACATAGCTACAAAATATGGAGCTGGGGGAAACTTCGGAGAGAAGCCGTCGATCACCTGTTTTGCAAAATTTCGCGAAATCATTTTATACACGGCATGGAATTTCTGTCTCGTGTACTTTGAACCGTTGGTGCAGGATACCTATTGTCTTCAAATTAAAGTTTACTCATCTATTGCTTTCAGGTAAATATGTCTGACGCTCTCGTGTGGCAAGTTGTGCGCAACAACAACAGCTTCTTGCGTTCTCAGCGCGGAATCCACAAGAAGTTCTCCGTGGAGAAGTTCAACTTGAAGGGCGTCAACAGCCCTCGCTACAGTGGATTGGCCAACAAGCGAGGAATTGATGTCTCTGCTGCTCCTTCTAAGAACGGAGTAGTCGTCTCTCTTAAGAACAACAGTGAGTTCAATCATAAATTTTGCTTTTGCTTAAATATTTCTTATAGAGGGCCAGCCTCTCAAGGCCGTTCAGTCTGTCACTTTGACCAAGAAGACTCTGAAGTCCGTCCGCAACATCGCTAAGGGATCTGGATTCGGAAAGCTTAACAAGGTACGAATATTTTCAGTTTCTAATTTTTCTCTTTTTTTTTATAATTGAGATGTAAAAAAACTTTACGAAACATGAGAAAAAAATTTTTTTACAGCTCGCCCAACGCAAAGCCTCCGCTATCCTTCTGTCGCAGAGACCCAAGAAGACCAAGAAGCACGCTAAAACCGAAGCTTGAACTGGTTCAATGATTTTTTTTTCTCTTACAAAACAATTGTTATAAATCTTTTGTTACATTTGTTCAAACTATTAATTTGCGTCTTAGTGAATTACATTTTTATTCACAGAATTTGCAAAGACATTGAGATCTCAGGCCACATGCAGTTAGGTGTTTGAAAAAAAAAAAAGCAATTAGTCGATAAGTTTCTGGCATGCGGCCACTGTAGGCAGAATTCACAAAATGAAAAAAGGAACGAGGGAATGTAAATGATTCAAAAGAATGGAACAGCTCTATGGGATCCACGGCCACGTCCGCGTCCTCGACTCGCTGTGCTTCGGAATGAAGTGACCGTCGAAAAGCTTCGCACCGACGAAGTGTCATCCATCGCATCTTTCTCCTGAGATTAAAATCTTCAAATTTAGATTTAATTAGGCAAGAGCTACCTTTAGAGAGTTCTTGTACAAATTGTAGGCGTCCCATTCAGTATCTTTGGTGCTTGCTTGAATTGGCAGCGTGGACTTCTTTTCCAGATAGTCAACTCTTTGAAAGTTCATATGAAAATGTTCTTTCGAATAACGCTTACATGGCATTTTTGTCCTGGGCGATGAGTTTCGAGCTGAACTCCATGGCGACCTCGAGGAAAAGTAAGTTTGGCGGAGGTTTATTTGACTCTGGATCATAATTCTCGAAGGCGAAATCGATGCTCTCCTTGTGCATCATGGCCACTCCGTATCGATTCTTCCGGTAGTCGTTTCCGAACGAGCTTGCGAATCTTGAACAATTTCTCATTTCAGAATTTTTTTTTTCACTGAAAACCCACCTTTTGGCCAAGTCACGCAAATCTATGAATGTTTCTGATAGCGGATCAACGGTACCATTGAACTCGGCCTTAATAAACATTTTAAGCTTTTCAATAATATCAAATTACCAGCAAGTTCTCAAAAACGCAACGCAAAGTCTTTGCTACGGCCAGCCCGGTCTCCTTGAAATCCAAATCGCGACATTTGAAGAGCAAATTCTTGAAAATGTCTCCGAAGTCGGTGTAGTTCTGAACATGAAAAATCCTAATTTAACAGAAATATGAGTTTTTCAAACCGAGACGTAATATTGCAAAACTGCCGTTGATTCTTTGATCGGGAGAACGCCGTGGATTATCAATTTGCAGAACTGAGTGACCAGTTTTCGTTTCTTAACTTTCAGGGGTTACGAATATTCACGAAAACGAAATAGAAAATGGTTTTCTGAAAAAAGTCACAGCCATTGGCTCTTTTTTTTAAAATCCATTGAATCCTCAAAACATCTTTCTTGCTTGGATCCATAACTTTGAATTTGAAAATTTTGCTAAAATACTTCAAAATAGAAGTTGAATAACTTTATTTTAGAGCCATGTTACCTTGTGCATGAGCTCGATTTGCTGCTGCTGGCTCAATTTGGCCGTGGTGGTGGAGTCGTCGCTGAACGCGTTGAGCTTGAGGAACATGTGAATTTCTTTGATGATGTTCTGAATTCGAGAATTCTCAAAATGATAACGGCATGATGCAAGTACGTCTTCTGGCCGAACAATCAAAGATTCAAGGTTGACTTTTTGGCTGTGAGTTTCTAATTGAGGACCAAAGAGAATGAAGGAGTCGCAGAGTGCGAGGAACGCCTGAAATTGTCTTTTTTCTTTGCTTCTCATCTTCGAAGCTGGAAAATTCTCAAAAGCAATAGATATTTTCAAAGTAGCACGAAAAGTATTAGTTTGAAATTTAAAAAAATTCAAGCTTCAAAGTTACCTGTTCAACACCGGATGCTCGGTACTGAATGGTATTCTCAAGGTTTCGGAGGAGTTGATCTCGTCTTTTACGCAATTTCTTCACGTTGTCCTGAAGAAGTCGATGAGAAACACCAGGACTTGGAGTGCGAATTCATTCAAAACAGGTTGAAGTAGATTTTGATGAAGTTGAATAAGGTGAATTATAAACAAAAGGCGCTTTTTTATAACATTTTCGTATCGAATTTGAACAAAATATATGAATTTGAACAAAATGGAGTATGAAAAAAGACTTCAGCCCCTCTTTCTTTCAATTTTGCTGCCCTCGAGTCTATTCAAACAGTACATAAAAGGACTAATTTTTCGATGGACTCACTCCTTTTCCAGATTCGCCCTCCTTGACGAGCCGATAAAGATCAAAGTTCAACTGCATGAAAAGAATCAGAATCGCGGCCTCCGTCACGTCGGTCGCCGTCTCGTTTTTGTCATAGTTGACGACAATCTTCAGAGCCAAGTCCCAAAGGTCCCATTTTCGAAGGTCCATGTACCTGAGAACGAAAATAGGTCCAATATTACGCGAAAATTGTTCAAAAACCGGGAGAAAGCCTTGATTCTGCGGATACTACAGAGAAGATTCGTTTCATCTTCGTCGTCCATAGTGTTATTGTTCAGAAGACGTGTCGCCGACCTTTGAAATTGCAGGGCAATTCCATCGATCATCTAGAAAAGAGAAAAACAGTGAGAAAGTTTTGAAAAAACGTTTTCATCGAAAACTTGTTTTAAATTGAAACACAATTTTAAAAAAAAGAACTTCGAGCGAATTTGGCGCTCCGACAAATACTCTTTCGAGTTTTAGAACATGCTTCGTTTCTCAGTTGAACAAAGGTTTCATAAAAAAAAACTTCGAATCTCTTTGTCTCTCAAGAATTCAATTTCTCCAGATATTTATGTTTTTTTTTTAAATTTGGGAGTCTTCAAAGATTTAACTCCGTCAAAATTATTTTAATACTCAACCAATTTAGCTTGATTTTGATAATTGCATCTCTCTAGTGAAAATTTCCTCGGCTGTTAATAAAAAAAATAAAAATATCATGTCTGAGCATTTATTCACCATTTCGAGACGCTCCAAATCATTTACCTTCATTTTCGCGGCTTCAGTTTGCGCCGCCACAGTCTGATGCATGGATAAAGTGTAGTAGACTTCAGCGACTCCATTCAAAAGCTGAAAATATTTCGAACTTCATATGTTCCTATTTTATTTTTCAAGCTTACATCATCATCCACATGCTTTTCGACAATGACCTCCAAGAGTTGCAATAAATCCACGAGGTTCTGAATTTTTGTTTTTCTCTTCTGAGAATAAAGCCGTGGATCTCACATTTTGCATCCGAGCGACAAGATACATATCCAGATGAAAATAAACTGGAATCGTCACCAAATTGATCACTTTCTCGCGGTCAGCCACAAACTAAAACGAGAAGAATTGATGGAAAAAGGGAAATGAAAAAGTAAAGACCTTTCTCAGCAAGGCAGGAAGAGCTGGGATCAGAATTTCGGATAATCTTACACGATCGTCAGTTTGTTCACGAGTTTCTTTGAGGGCCGGCGCTCCACGTTTGGCCACAGACCTTAAGGAATAATTTTTAGATTTTTCTCAAAATCGACTAGGTGAAAAATAAAAATGAAGAAGAAAAAGGAACTACTTATCGAAGTGTCATTAAGGAAAAAGTTTTTTTCATTTTTTTTTTCACCGGTGTAAAGCGGTATTCAAAAAATTTTCAAAAGTTTTTTCTACGATTTTAGAAGCTCTAATTATTTATGAAAAGCTTTTTTTTGGATCAAAACCTTCCAACTGGCGACTCCCCAGTGGCCGACTGTTTGACGGAACAAGCCAAAATCTCGATGAGATTCAGCTCTGCCTTGTCGCTCACTAAATGAAGAAAAAATTTTGTTAAATTTATTATGAAAATCACATGTTTTTCCCAACAACAAATCAATCATCGTAGCCCAGTCCTTGATGATGTAATTAGTATCGATAAGAGCATCGACAATATACGTTGCATGGTCGTGACACTGAAAATAATAGTAAGTCTTGATAATCCGGCAAAAAAAAAAAAAAAAACACAAAATGATAGTTTGATAAGTTGTTACCATCTCACTTTCCGAAAAACTCCTGAATTATCTTCGAAAACGGCTTATCAAACTTTCAAAAATTGTCACATCTAACTTATGGCTCAAACGAAGGAAAATCTTAATCAAGCTCATTAGGACATCAAAAAAAAATTTTTATTCATGAAAAGCTTCATTTTCATCTAAAAAACTCGGATAAGATTCATAACCGACCTCTCCCTCGATGTAGAACTGGATGAGATCTTTGATCAGAGCTGCATTATTGGCGTCAGCCGTTTTTCCCCCCTTTTTGGCGTTTTGGAAGACCTAAAAATTTAGTTTAAAAATTGTGGCCGTTTTCTGGATATTGACCTTGGTGTTCAAGAACTCCCCGGCCGCAACAGCCAAAGTCCGGTGATTACAATAGACGAGTTCATAAATTGGAACACAATCTTGGACCGTCAAAAGAGTAGGGAAAACGCTGAAAAAAATCAATGATTTTTTGACAAAAATACTGTTAATTACGTGTAAATCAAGGTCATCAGATTGCAAGATTCCACAGCCACTTCTTGGTCCTTATCCAAGACCATAGAGACCAGGCGTTCCTGAAGAAATCATTTTGTTGATTTATTATCTGTTTAATTTTTTATTCAGTATAAACTTGTTCACCTTGAATTTATTGGTGAAAAGCTCGAGTTTTGCCAGAGCCACGGCCTTTTTGTACAGCGGCATCAGGGATCGGATGCATTTTAATCGAACGTCCGCAAACTGGGAAAAGAAATATTTTTGAAAATGTTTTGGAAACATCAAACTTTATCATAAAGCGTCCACCCTATATACTTCAAGTAGGAATCTTCGAGAAAATGCTCCGGATAAACTTGCATCCAATTTCCGAGTTCACTGATGCAAATCGACCGGATATCGGGCAGACCGTCCCTAAATGATTTTTTCAACTTTTGAGATATACTCGATGTGTATCACTTTGAAAATGCCCCTACAACTTTTCCTCATGACAGCACTAGTCAGGTCAGAATTTTCCTTTTCTGAAGACGAAAAGAAAATAGGAGGACTAAATTCAATATTCAGTTTTTATATTGAAAAAAACCTGTCATTTTCTTGTTTTCATAAAAAAAAACATTCAACAACCTGGATAGCTTCTGAAAAACAGTTACTTTTTCAATTTCGGAGCCCTTTCGGTCGATTTCAAATCACTTTTTCAAAACTATTATAATATAACCAAATGTGAAAAAATTTCGAAACCTATATCTGTGAACGAAAACACTCTTGAACAGGTACTGGAGCATTTGTCGCACTTCGTCTGTTTTCTCTTCAATCTGGAAAAACAAAGTAATAATGAACATAAAAATATTTGAAACCTCGCTTTTCTTAAGCAACAAAGCGTCCAATTTCTCATTATTCGTCGCATTTTGCTTGACTCGAACTCGTTCCGTCTCAATTTGCTTCGAATTTTTCTCTTTCACTGACGTCAGGTCGATGACAACGTCCACCAAGGCCGAGGATATTTTCATGGCTTAAAAGAATGAATTATTTCTTCAAAGTTTGGTCGCAATGCAACCAGCATAGGTAGCGGTGTGACGGAAAGCGCGAACTTGGCTATCGGCCAATCCAGTCAATAACTGGATAATTCCATCCATCAGCCGATTGTCGAACATCAGAGAAGATTTACACTTATCGATTAGGGTCTGAAATTTAAAAAAAAACTAATTTTCTGAAATTTAAGAAAGAATATAACTTTTGAAAATGTCTTTCTCTAAGAAATCCGTTCTGAAACATATAGATTTTTCAGGACGATTTTCTGATTACCATTTGAGAACAAAAAAACTCCTTGAAACTCTAAAAAAATGAAATTCGGATTTCCAGTGACATACTGGAAATGGGTGATAACCTGATAAAAAAACTGTTTTTAAATTATGAGTTTTTTTACATTTTTTTAAAAATTAAAACAAAAAAAGCCGGAAATGTCATAAAAAAATAAAAATATTTTCTTCAGAAAAAAATCCTGGAAGGACGGTAAACCTCCATAAATAAGGCCTAAGATAAAATATTCTTATTTTGCTCACATGGATCATTGTGTGCAAATTCTGACGGAATTTTTTGAAAGTCGGTCCACTTTGAACCAGCGGATAATCGCCAGATTCTTCGTCGAAATCTTCCGTCATTCGGCGAATAATATCACTGAAAAAGATTTTATTTTCGAATTCTTGCCAGAAACCAACGCGTAATCCATAGTTGCCGACATTTGTGGAGTCAAAACGCCACGGCAGCCACAAATTGCAATGAAAAACTGATGAAGTTCGTTTATTGCAAGTTGGTAGTTTTCCTCGTAGCGCTCGATCCAGTTTTCCACGACATCCTAAAGAAAACCAACTTATAAACATTTATAAATATCTTCACTTACTGGAATCGCCTTCCCCGACTTGACAGCGGCGTACAAAGTGCTATCTTTCGCTTCTTGCGCCTCGTCGCGTGTTGTCTTTGGCCTTGCTATTCCAGTCATACTTTGACGTGGGCGACCTCTTTTTGAAGGCTTTAATAATAAATCAATATTCATAAAATGAAAATCCAGTAACCGATTGAGCCATGTTGCTGAAACTCAGTGTCAAATCGCTGACATCATGAGCGACACGACGTTTTCGGCCTCTGGTTCCAGCCGCAGGTGAACGGAAAACAGCATCATCGTTGTTCGCAAATGCATCATCACTGAAAAATTGAAAAATTATTTAATTGAAAGTTTTCAACTCAAAACCTGCCACCCTGGGACATTTCCATATAGTTAACTCGGCTAGTGTTTCGCGTTGCCATCCGCGTTGGTGTCAAGACTTCTGGTGTGTCGGTCATTTCCTGATGTTTATTTTTAGTTTAAAAACTGAAACTTGAATCAATAGAGAGAAGCTCTAGAGCTTGAAAACAATGCCGTGTTCAAAGTAATTTCCGCGAAATGCGAAATTGTCTCTGACCCTCCAAAATTTAGTTATCTTTCTCTTTCTCTGACGGCTATTTTGAATTTCGCGGAATCACATTGAACACGGCACAAAAAAAAAACAAAAATAAATAAATCGGAAATTATTTGAAAATGCGCGCGCGCCAATTTGCGGAGCGTGATGTCTGCACAGCTTCCGCTAACCGTAACTATTTTCAGGGGGCCCCAACCGCAAATTACTTTCAGTTTTTTTTTTCTTTTTTTCTCTTTCCATTTACCGTCGTTCATATTAGTTATCGTCAGCGAAATTGCTTTTCAGAAGAAAGAGCCAATTTTGAATATATAAAAAGATTCACTCGCCTTTGCTAACTTTTCTACATGAAAACTTTTCCTTCGAAGATTGTTCTTTAATTCTTTAAAAAGCTTTCTAATTCTTCCGTGCCATAATTTTTTTTTTCGTGACGTGGTGCGAAGATTATTAATTCTTTAGGGTTTTCAGATCACAATGGTTTCTGCGAGAGCATTGAAAGAGTGGGGAATTTTCGGCGCTTTGCTCGTTTGTGCGTTTCAAATTTTTTTTAATTTTTAAAGACTTCTTTAAAAATTTTGAACTTCATATGTATGTTTTTCTTACAGCAATGCACGTGGCCTATTACACAATTCAGAGCAACGAGTCATTGGTTGCTCCACATCAGGTTTGTTCCAAAATTTTAATTTATTCTCTCAAATTTTGATAAGTCACAAGTTTTTGTTCGAATCCATTACAATAATCGGACATTTTTCTGTATAACTAGTCAACTTTATTTTTTAACACATACACGTGAAATGTGAAAATTGATTTATAACCCGAGAGCTAAAGAAAAAAATAAATTGCATCATGATTGCTTTTTAAGTTGGTTCTTTTTCTTTTTCAGAGACAAGAACTGTTCTACATCCGGTGGTTAAAAGAGAAAATCCCAGCGTTACGTCCATATGGAGTACAAGAAGAAAAGCCGCATCCACCGCCTTCAGACAAATAAATTTTCTTCTTAATAACATTTCTGGTTACTTCGACATAATCAGTTGAAAATGTATATTTTTGTATGACTTCAGACTTTTTCTGCGAGAATTCATTCTGTTTGTACCATTTAAATGTGATAGATCTTAATTAGAATGTGCTTAGGAAATAAACTCATAGATCATGTATCTTTCACTGCTTGGAAAAAATCGTTCGAGTCGAGAAGAACTATTTTGCCTGGAGAACTATAAGTGTAGTCAGAACGAACCGTGTTGCGAATCTAATGGTAAGTAAATTGCTTTGAAGATTCAAAAAAAAAATTACTGGAATTATTTTTACTTCAAGAGATGTTTTGTTACTATTCTAATTACGTTCATATTTGAAACTTGAAACCTTTTTTTTTTGAATGACGACAATTCGGCCTTTTGACGTCATGGACCTTCTTAAGTTCAATAACGTGAACCTCGACCCGATGACTGAAACGGTTAATTTTTGGAAAAATTTTTTTGAATATTGAAATTATTTTTCAGTACGGTTTCAACTTTTATTTGTACTACTTGGTGAATTTTCCCGAGTACTACCAAGTCGCCGAACATCCCAGTGGCGAAATTATGGGCTACAGTCAGTTTCATTTGATGAAAATCTGTTAGAAAATTGCTTTTTGAGTAATGGGAAAAGCCGAAGGTCGTGATAATCAATGGCATGGCCATGTGACTGCCCTTTCCGTGGCCCCAACCTACCGTCGGTTAGGCCTCGCTGCAAAAATGATGAGAACTCTGGAGAAAATCTCCGAAATGTTAGTTTTCTTATTGTGAAATTCGGGAAACTTTATTTTCAGCAAAAACTGTTTCTTTGTCGATTTGTTCGTGCGAGTATCGAATAGTGCGGCTATCGGGATGTATAAAGTAATTAAATTTATGATTTTCGGAAAGTTATTTAGTTGTATTGCAGTTTTTGGGTTATGTAATATATCGACAAATTATCGATTACTATACCGGTGAACGGGACGAGGACGCTTATGGTGAGTTTCGAAATTGTTGGAATCATTGATTATATTTAAAAAACCTTATGTGCTGTGCTTGTAGAAAAAATGAAAGTTCAGCCAAACTTTTTCGTTTTAAACTCAATTCTTCTCAAAAATTTCACAGTTGCACCACGCATGTTTGAGAAAGTACTACGGTGGCCGGTCAATATTGCGCAGTCAGTTTCGGAGCCAGGAAATTTTTTTAATTTTCTTTCTTTTTTGCAATTTGTTAAGGACATATTTCTCGAGGTTACAAGGTAAGTTACGTCACAAAAAGTACAAAAGTTTTCATTTAATTATTGAAAAATCTGTCCAAACTACCGTAATACGACCGGCCACCTTTAACAGGTGTGGAACGGGAAATTTGAAAGGATACGCGTGAAGGGGCAAAAATTAAACAAATGTTATTCCAAACTTTAAAAAATTTTTTTCTGAATGATTAGTTTTGAAATGAGCCGTCACTTCTTACTTTTTCACATTTATCATTTCCATTTTCTTATTATTTCGAGAAAAATTTTTCTTAACACAAAAGTTTTTATACAAAAAATCAAGATTAAAACCAAAAAAACCAGAATCATTTGGGAAAGTTTAAGCTCCTGATTGTCATAGAAATCAATTCAAGTTCTTCTTTTTCAGTTTAGCCTCCATAATTTTAATTTTCCTTCCAGATATGAGAAAATCGCTTCCAAGAGACGTCGGGGGCAAAAGCACCATACCATTAGCTCATCCGGTCCACGCGAGGGATATCGATTAGTTTATTTATTTATTGTTTTTCATTCTCAGTTCTGTTAATTTATTCGGCTCTTATACTACTACGATTGATTATGTGTTGCTTCACCCCGGTTGTTCATTGTTTTAATGCGGTTTTTAAGGTACAAAATGAAGTTATGAAGATGCAAAAAAATAATGTAATTCGTTTTCTGTTCTGCAAACGAAAATCTTCGTCTGTGAAAGTTTCTCTGAATATATAAGATATTTAAAGGAAGTATTAAAAATTCAAAGAAGAAACGGTACGCTGAAACGTAAGTATAGATCATCTTCATTGAAAAGTGAGATATTAGAAAAAATTGTTTCATTAAACTTTTAATTGCTTTTTTGGTCTGTATCTTCGAATTTGAGGTCAGTGATAATTGTTATGTATGGGTACCTAAACTGTTTTTGAGCTGCAACTTGAATTTCGAATAATTTTTTTGTGGTTTGTCTCCATTGATATATTCACTCTTACTAGGGAACGTTTTTTACCCCCCGGTGGAACTTTTGCTGAAACTTTGCTGAAGTGTACTTAAGGACCCCCTGATTCCAGAACAGGAAGAAAATTTCTCGCAATAGATCTCGTTTTCGAGTTAGGACACTTCAAAAGCCCGAAATAGCGCTTTTAGGCCTAATTTGCGTATTTTGCACACTTTGAAGCTTCATAACTCGGAATCAAGATCTATTGCGAGAAATTTTCTCCTTGATCTGCAATCAGGGGGTCCTAAAGTACACTTCAGCAAAGTTTCAGCAAAAGCTCAACCGGGGGGTAAAAAACGTTCCCTGGTTAGTCTATTCTGTGAAGAACGATTTAGAAAAGATTGTCTCTGATTGGCTTTTCTTTGTGGTTATGTAGAACATTTTGAAGCAACCATATTCGTATCTCAGTCACTTCTTCAGCTAATTCAATCGACCAAAAATATTGCGCCTTGTCAATTTTAATCATCAGTCGAATTTCCATTTCAAAATGTGAAACGAACCTTCTGGTCTCATGAAGAAAGGTGCAACCCATTGTCATCATCTTTGTAGATGGAAGAAGAACAAAAAGACGTTGAAAAAAAGCCGTTCTCCTTCTTCACTGGTCTTCAGTACGCTACGACCGGCGCGGCAACTCTGCTCTTTCTCCGGTCAGGAAACAGATTCCTGACCCATGCGCAGCGCGGAAAAACGATCACTGCCGCTGTTTGTCAGTTTTCATTCTTTCATATTTTTTTTATACTCGCCATAAATGTTATCCTATCTCCAGTAAGGAAAATTTTTGTATGAATTTTCATTTATTTTTTTCTCTAATCAGTCACTTTCCTTCAAGCTATAAGTATCTATGTGTGGTGAGACAATTATTTTAACGAGAAAAGCTTCCAATCGATAGTTATAATTACAAAAAATGGAACTTTTCGACCTCTTTGAACTTTTCAAACATGATGCGACTGTGGCCTCGTCGTTTCAGTCGATAAAATGATCGTATCATCGATGTTTGTTCCATTTTTCTTTTCCAGGCTGTTTATATTTGTCAGTCGCGAACGAGATGGGCTGGTTGCCGTTCAATTATTTCGTTAAAGAGCGAATTTCCATAAAAGAGCAACCGACGTCTAACCCTCAATAGCTTTTTATTATAAAAAAAATCTTTTTATTTTTTATATTGAAACTTTCAATAACAGCTCTAGGTTTTTTAGGATCCTCGTGGTTTTATATTTGGTTTAAATACAGTTGAACTATAATTTTTGTGAACTTATGAATATTTCGTGTTGATAATTTGTGATAACTGCCAGCTTTTTAGAAGTTAGTCCATTATTTCATTTAAATTCATTTAATTTCATTTAAAAACTTTATTCGTGACTACTTGAAAAAACGCATGTTGTTTTGTCTAATTAGTTGCGATTATCAATCAGAAAATTTATGACCTTAATTTATCACATTTCTCTTTTTTATTCGTTTCTTTCTGAGATATTTTCACCCCATTTCCAATAGAAAGTTTCTACAATTTCTCGCCCTCTTTGCTTTCAATTCGGAGCTCCGGTGTTACTTCTATTTGTGCCGACATAAAAAAAATTCCAATGTTTTTTTTCTTTCTTACCGCCTTCAAAAAGGTTCTCTGCCTGAGTGTATTCTTTTTTCTCAAGTCTGATGACTTTTTCAGTAAATCATTTTGCACTCAGCTGGCGTCGCCTTCTGAGTCGAAAACAATTGCCGAGCAAGTTTTGCGCAAGGACTGTTTTGAGTGCCGCGTCATCGGAACTGGAAGGTAAATTTTTGGGTGTCCTTTGGGTTTTATTTCAAGTCAGCCTGAAATGAAGATTTTGTTGCAGTTGTACATTCATTGGCACCTTCATTTTGTACAATACCTGGACCTCCGACTATTATATCAAGAGACCTTACGTGAGAGCTGCTCTAAAAAGCTTCGCTGCTGGTTTTTTTTTTCGAGTTCTATGACAAAATCGATGATAAGTTATATTTTCAGTGGCTTTTTATGGTGCAGCGGCCCGTTGGTTCTATTTGCCGCCGTTCACGAATTTGAAAGGTTCAGCGGCGCGTTTAGAAATACCGACGCATGAAGAGAATTCAAAGAAATGATGATAGTTAGTTTCTTTTGAGTACATGAAAAAAACTAGATATACAGGGTGACAAATAAATATTGAAAGGCGTTTGAAACGTTATAACTTTCTCAAAAGTCAACCAAACACCACCAAACTTGGAACAAACTTTATTCATACAATATAGAAACAAAATTCGAGAATAGTTTTCAAAACGTCCTCCTTTAGCTTTGATAACGGCCTTCAGTCTCTTCGGATACGCATCGATCACGGCACGAAGGTAGTCGTCGTCGATTTTGTCCCATTTCTTGATGAGCGCGGTCTTCAGAGCTTTGATACTTGGATAGTTCTTAGAAGAGACCTTCTCGGTCAAATATCCCCACAGGGCATAATCCATCGGGTTGAGGTCGGGCGAGGAAGCAGGCCAATCAGCAGCCGAGATGAACTCGAGAAAATTGGCGCGATACCACTCTTGAGTCTCTTTGGCGCGATGAGCGGGGACGCCGTCTTGCTGGAAGGTCCATGGTCGGCTTCCGTAGTGAGAATTGGCTCAGGGCAACACCCTCAACTTCAAAATCTACTCCCTGTGGTATAATTGGTTCACTTTGACTCCAGGATCCACAAAAATCAGCGGAGTTTTGCCGTCAGCGGTAATTCCGGCAAAAACCATCACGGAAGCCGGATGCGAAGTTTTATTCAGAATTTTTCCCTTTTCACAGGCACTCTGATAGTCAGTAGCGATGATCCGATGATTTTGGCCGTTCTTGTTCGCCTCCACAGTGAAGATTTTCTCGTTGGTAAATAGCGTCGTCAGATGCGAGCCATCTTTCGTGCCAGCGAGCAGCTTTCGAGCCTTTTTCATCCGGAATGTCTTGTTTTTTTGATTGAGGAAGGCTCCTTTCTGCATACGGTAGAAAATCATCTTCAGCTTGTCCTTGACAATAGTTTTCATCGATCCTCGATTCGTTTCGTATTCTTTTGACATCTTTCTCATTCTTCTTTCCGAAGTGCGTCTGATTTTCTCTCGAACGGCTTTGACGGCTTCTGGAGTCGGGACGGTGAATGGACGTCCCCTCTTTGCATGTCATCTGAAGTACCGAGACGCCGATAGCGTTGTGCAGTTCGAAAAACGAGAACACGAGACACTTTCAGCTTTTTAACGATCTCTGAATTTGTCATTCCGCTTTTGACACAATCAATGATTGCGGTACGGTACGGAGATGGGGCTACCATTACCTGAAAACTGAAAAGTATGAGCTGTAACTTCAAAAACATAATAAGTGAGCATGAATGAACGTAATAAACAAAAAATTTCAAAGGCCAGTCCTTTGTGCAAAAAGCAGCGATCAAACAAAAAACGGTTTCAATATTTATTTGTCACCCTGTAATTATTGCGGTACTAAAAAAAATCGACAATTAGAGCCTCTAACTCTGAATTACCGAAATTTATTTTTTAAATTTTGTTTTTTTTTTTACGTTTTCCACATTAGATTCTCTCCATCAGCTTCTTGAAATGTTTTAATTTACAAAAAAAGGCCTTTGCCTAAAATTTTCATTTGAAATGTTAATGATTTTTCATAAAACACCATTTTCCACAGAAACCTGAGATCATATATGTGATGGGAGTGAGCGGAGCTGGCAAATCTACTGTAGCTGAACATCTGGCTGAAAAAATAAGCTGGACTTTTATCGACGGCGATAACTTCCATTCTAGAGCCAACATCGAGAAAATGAAAAACGGTACTTTTTGAGACTTCAGAATCAAAATTTTCGGCGTTTTTACGCTAATTATTGACATTGGTGGAAATGTTTTTTCAAAGTGGGAAGTCTGTTTTATTAATTAATGAAATAAAATTTGAAAAATTAAGTTTCGACAAAAATGCAATTCTTGTAACCTCTATCGTCCAAAATAGAGCTTGAATCAGGCTAAACATTTTCGAAGTTTGAACTTTTTTTCAAAAACAGCAGTGGCTCCGTTTTTTTTTTAAAGAGATCTCATTTTCAATTCAAACCTTGACATGGGCCTATTTGAAGCTTCATATTCTAATTTTTTTTTCAGGGATTCCGCTTCAAGATGAGGATCGCTGGCCTTGGTTGGAGAATATCCGTGTTCACGCCTTGGAAAACTCGAAATTAGTCATCGCGTGTTCTTCTTTAAAGAAAAAGTATCGAGAACTTCTCGCCAAAGATCTTCAAGCCGTTTTTGTCTTCCTTGATGTCACGAGGTTCCCATCAATTGATATTCAAGCATCTACTAAAAACTAAGTTTCAAGGACTGAGCTGGAGATGAGGATGACGAAAAGGACTGGCCATTTCATGCCCTGTTCGATGCTCGATAGTCAGCTGGCGACGTTGGAATATCCGAGGGCCGATGAGAAAAATGTAGTCGTCGTCAAGATTGCTGATTTGTCAATTGATGGGATTGTCACGCAGATCTGCCGCAGTCTCGATTGTTAGATTTTATAAAAAAAAATTCAAAAATGTTTGTTGAAGCAAAGACAAAAAAATGAAAATTTATATGAATAGAAACTAAATAAAACTGTGAGAAATATCTAAAAAACAATGGAAAGAGATTGGATGAATAATGGGACTCTCACTTTAAACGCTTTTTTGGCTGACAAAACATATCGAAGTCGTGCAATCATGGGTGGCCCCAATTTTGAGAGCCCGGTCGGAGTAGAAAAAGGAACTTGAATCTAAAAAGGAAAAATACTACAAAAAAATATCTAACAAAGTTTAAATTTATCCTTTTTCTATGTTAGAATAAGTCAGAAGTCGACTCACATTTTTCCAAGAGAGTTTTTTTTGTGAATATGTTTTTCTATGTTGACAAAAACCACAAATATAATGTTTCAATATGTGTTCTATGCAAGAAAATGCCGTGAAACATTTTTTTCAGGTTGTTTTCCAAAAAAATAAACTTTGTCAGAGTTTTTGTAAATGCAGTTTTTCTCATGCAAAACTGTTTCACTCTCGAGTAATATTTCTTTTTCCGACTCTTTTTCATCCTTCATCATTGCTTTATAGCATTAATAAAAACCTTTTTGAATGTTTGAAATTTATTTCGATGAAATTTTGATTTCCTTAGTATTTTTCGTTTTGATATTGAAGATGCATGAGCAAATATCCCTGTTTCTCTTTTTTATGGCGTGTTCATCGGACAAAACGAAAATTTATTCAAAACGCAAAAAATTGCTTCAAAACAAAAATTAGTATAGTCTGTTCAGATTTTTTAATTTCAAGTGCAATGACGTCATTCATAAACACTCTGTGGATGGCTCGCTCTCTGATTGGTTCATCGCACCATTATGGGCGGGACTCGATTTGGTGTCGCCGTGCTTGAGCGACGACTTGACATTCAAAATCTGAACAGACTATACTTTTTGAAGCAACTTTGGCGCGCCGTTGAACACGTTTTACGTTTTGAAGCATGTTCCGTTTCTCCGATGAACACGCCATTAGCATCAAAAAAAAGTTTTATCGTACATTTAAATTTTACAAAAAGTTCGGTAGTATGTTGATTTTCGTCGGCGATAAAAGCACTAGAAACATCATATTTGACGACTGTTTTGTGGGCGGGACTTAGCTCTGGAAACGCCGTGATTCCTATGGCGTGTTTATCGGAGAAAAGGAACATGCTTCAAAACAAAAAATAGTGTTCATCGGCGTGCCAAAGTTGCTTTAAAACAGTACTAACTTTTGTTTTGGAGCAATTTTTTGCTTTTCGGAGCAATTTACGTTTTGTCCGATGAACACGCCACTAAGGGCGCGCCCTAGGGGGTGAGGGAAGGTGAGCGAGGCGTCAAACTTTCTGAATTTAAAATAAAAGTAAGTGCGCGCTCCGGATGAAATGACGTCATTCTACGTCACAAATTACATGAGTATTCAACTTTTAAAACTGGTTTGTTCAATCGCCTTTGGCTGCGCAATTGGGATTTCAATATTCGTGCCAAATTTTTTTTTTTTTTTTGACGTTTCTTCACCCTTTTGGTTAACGCCGTGTCTTTGGAGGTTTCTAAGGATTAAGATAACTTCCTTTAAATCGTAAACACTCACAATAGATTCTTCGAAAGTTCATATACTTTTTTTTTTAGTTTTCTTCTTCAGATCCTCACAGTGCAAAGACTGATTGAAGGAATCGCCCGAAACCGATTGCAAAATTTTGAACATATCACCCACTACAGAGCTCCGAGTGTACCAGGTCTCATTTTTCATTTTTTTTTTTATAATGGATTAAACTGAAACTTCATTCATTTCTGGACATTATTTCTACTGAGCCTCCCGTATTTGTACAGCCTGCCTCACGTAAATGGACAAGAGATTTATCATTGGGGCGCGCTTTTTCACACCTCTTCGATTCATTTTTTTTTCTTCTAATTTCTCTCGGACATTCGTAACGCGGAACGGACATGTTTCGGACGTTTCTGAGCAATTCTAGGGATCACTTAAAAAGCTGACGTTACTAAAGTCCCTGGTTCTCTTCATTTACGCCACAGAATTCTGTCTGTGAGTGAACAATAAATATTTCTTTCATTGCAAAATTTAAAAAAATATATATAGGTTGATTATAGGGTTGACCTCTCATCGAATAAACATTAAAAAAATTATGAAAAAAAGATTGAAATGAGAAAAAAATTCAAATTATTTTCAATCTGCACCTCGCACAAGCCTGGCTAGCCTGTTTTTAAAATATGTCAATCAATTTTGAATGAAAGATGATTTCATTTTTTTTTTGTGCTAGGGAGGAGCGATTCAGCTAGTTTGAAGTTACTGTTATTTTTTTTACTCCTCTGCGAATTTTATTTATTTTCTCCCCAGTTACTGTTATTTCTTTTCTCCTTTGCAATTTAAAACAAACAAAAAAACCCTCAGCTGCTTTTAAGAGCATTGGGCTGGTACCTGGTATTGTTTAGCCGCAGTTGATCGAACTCCGTCCGCCATGGATTTGGTTTGACAAAGTCGTTGCGACTGATCTAGGAAGACGGATTTCTTGTCATGGCGATTAACTGAATTTTCAAAGATAAGAGACTTTCAAATGCGGAGAAGAGGATATAAATAGTTGTTTTGATGTTTTGACTTATTAGCTATGTAAAGTCGTAAGTAAGTTAGAGAAGCTTTATTCAGTCAGAATGAACTAACTAGGCGGTGCGCTAGAGCTCCGCTCGGCCTTGTCAGAACTAAGAATCCTAGACGCCGAAAGCCGTGACGGCATTTTCCGCGGGGGTCCCATCATCGCTTTGTCAGTTTCGCACTGCCAACAGTTTGTGCTTCGGCCACTGGAATGGGCTTCGGCGTGACTTTGCGTATCCAATTTGCAAGCAAAGAGGATCGGCACTCCGGGAGTCCCGCGGGCCTAATCTACTAGCGCTTACAACACAGATACTTATTTTGAAAATTAGAAGTTAAATAGAGGTTCAAAACTCATCTTGAAGTTGAATGCAGGAACAAGACGACTCGTGAAGGAAGCAGGAATGATAAATGAAGCCAAGTCATACAAGAAGAAAGGACACGTTGTCACGTGGTTTTTTGCAATTGTTTATTTTTTCGATATTCTAAAAATGATACCTTGCCACGGGGTTCACGTTTTTTTTTCTAATCTTACAATTCTTATTTTATTTTTTTGAGTGCCTTTTTAACTTTCCTATTTCAATCTTTTTTTCGTATTCATAAAGTTTTTACTCGATGAGAGTTAATCAAGTTGTATAATATTTTTTGTTTTTATTTTCCAATGAAATGAAATTTTTATTGTTCGCTCACAGACAGAATTCTGTGGCGTGAAGGAAGAGAACCAGCGATTTGAGTAGCGTCGTCTTTTTTTAAGTGATATCTAAACTGCTCAGAAACTAAAAGAAAAACGATAGAGGTGTGAAAAAGCGCGCCTTAATGATGAATCACTTGTCCATTTACGTGAGGCAGGCTGTAAAAATACCGGAGGCTTTTTTTTAAATGCTGACAGCTTTTTATTTTATTTTATTTTTTTGAAACTTCGAGTATTGGAGAGAATTCTTGAGCCGTATTTCCATCATTTTTCAAAACTCCCCCGATTTGACCGCAATTTCTGCAGACCGCGAATTAGAATGAAAGACTTTATAAATATGATCACATTCATTTTTTGTCTTTTGCTTGTTGTTTATGGGTCTTGACGAGAGTTTTGACGTCGCGCCTATGAAGAATCGAATCTTTTGTGAGGGCTTCAATAGCGGCCGTCGCCACGGCTTCTTGTCGTCGTTGTTGCAAAGCTTCTCGATATTGCACTGAACAATTTCTTTCTTTTTTTCGAGTAAAATTTTCATTCCCAGCTTTCGAAACTTGTAAAACGAGAAAAAAAAAGAAAAAAAAAAAATTAAAAATTGCAAATGCCGGTACTAGCTCATAATTTTTGTTCTTTGGAAAACAAAAATTTCATAAGTAAAAATGATAGACTAACTGGAATGAATAAGGAGTAGACCGCCCCAGGCGATTGACCAAAACCAACCGACGAATAGGAAGGTTATCGTGAAAAAAACTGGCTGATTCCCACCTCAAGTTAGGTCTTTTCTTTATTTTTTTAGTTAAAAAGTTATTATCAAATTGAAAGTTATCATCAGTTCTATACATTTTTTTACGGTTTTTTTACAGCTCAGGGAGGACTCAAAATGAGGTAATAACATTATAATCGGCAAAATTCGTTCACATTACAAGAAAAAAACGAAAAATCATTTTACTCTGAATTTACAGTTTTTTTCGTTTTTTTCTGTTTTTTTTAATTGGTGTTTCTTCAAGGTTCTCCTATCATTTCTAGAAACGAAAGAAAGTTATTATGAATGAAGTTTAGATACCAAGATATTGACAACAAGAGTGACCAGTTTTCTTCCTTCTTTCATATTCACGCGAGGTTGTCCCATACAAAGCGCTGAGAAGCCTGATAAGATGGTACCTGGAGAAGATATTCTCGTTTCCAGAAAAGAAGATAACAGAATGAAAAATCCAAATGCGTACCTGAACCAGGGATAAGAATATTGAAGATGAGACAGGTGATGGCCACTGGGACAGGCAGGAAAGGAATGGCTTCGTGCATCATTGTAATGTCGTTCGTTGGTAGGTTCACCTAAAATGTAGCGTTTCTCTCTTTTTCAAAAAAAAAAAAACAAAGTTTTATGCTATTCTCCGAGTAGAAAGAGCCGATTTTCAAGTTATAAATATATGGGTACTCTTCAGAAAATTTTTAAAAAACTCGAATCTGATAGTTTTTTCTTACCTTATCCCCAGCCCTCGGCTCTTTCTGCGTGTGGGCTTCCTCCTGTGCCGCTATAACGATTCCAGTTATGTTGAACGCATTTGAAGTCTGAAAATTAAGGTATTTGGTTCTAAATTCCCGGATAGGACTTTCAAAGGAGCATAAACGATGTCTATGAAGATCTCGAAACAACAGTCCATTTTACCAAAAACTTGTCATTTGTTTTCGAAAGTTGATGAATTACTCATCAGTAGGAATATCATTTTTCCTAAGCTAACGGCAGAAGGACCATAGAGTTATACAAACCGCCTGAACTTGTAGAATTCCTTCACTTCTACCGTACTCGATAATTCGAGGAAGAGTTTTTTGGACAAGCTTCCATCCTCGCACTTTTTCTGCTGAAAAATAGCTTTTGTTCGTGTTTGTTCTTGAGGAAACGACTGTTTCTCTGTATTTTTGAAGTCTTCAGAAGTGGATTATTTTAGCAGAAAATGATGAAATTATCGATTGGAAACATAAAGAAAAAGTATTATTTGCAAAAGATGTCAGTCAAGATTAAGCCGGAGGAGAGCCTCGGAGTAACCCAAGCGTGAGAAATCGTTTTCAGTTGACTTTTTTGGTCTGTTCTCTCCTTTATGCCTCTTTTCTAGTACTTGATGTGATCTTGATGAAAAAAAACTTGGGAGTCTAAATTTTCTCAAATTTCTCTCAAAAAGCACATTTTTTTGGTTTTCTGCACGATTTCCTGACTTTATTCTGTTTTGTGACCACTATGTTAGTTTCAACTTTCACTTGCAAATATTTTGAGCGGAATTTCAAGGTTTTTTTCTCATTTTTCTTCGAAATCGATATTGTTCAGAATTAAAAGAATTTCGCTGTAAACTGGTATAAAATCCAGAGAGAGAGAGAAAGAGATATTTGAACAAAAGCTGGCTGAAGTTATTGGATTATAGAAGGAATTTTGAATTACAGAAAAAAAAAAGATTTTATGAGTTATGATCTGGAAATCGAATAAACAACTTTGACGCAGGGCGCCAAAAGAACTATCTCTCTGACACACACTATTTAGTCGTTATCTAGCTGCTAGAAAACGAGGAAATAGTGTAGGTCAGAGAAACAGTTGTGGCGACCTTTTGGCGCCCCGTGTCAGAGAACGTATCTACTGAGCTTGGTCTCATTGAGAAGACTGGGCCTTTGAGGAGAATATCAGAACTGTCAACGTTTGGACCTGTTGATCAGTTTTTTTTTACAACTAAAATTAACAATTGAAGCCTTGTCACTAGAAAAACTAGAAGAGTAGTAAGAAATACCCGGGGAAGGATTCCGATTAGAATAACGCCTCTCTCGATCCGATATACTCTCTCGACGTCGTGAAGACGCTCGTTCATGAGATCCACGTCTTCTTTGAGTAGAATTTCGGCTGTCGACGATTTCCAAAGAATCCGTCTTCTTGCTAGACGTCGACATGACGTTCAGAAAAATGTTCACGTCATCTCAGCGTAGTGATGAATATATATAAGATTCAAGTCGTAGGCCAACGGCAAAGGTGAAAAGTTGAGTTGTAGGATTGGAAGGATTTTTTTTAGTGGCGACGGCGAGGGACAACCGGATGTCGGCTCATAATAGCACTCACGCCTCGTGGATTTTTGGATGTTCTTTCTGAGCCGCCTTTTGGCTTTTCTAGTGCCTTTTGTCCTTGTGATTTAGGGCTTTTTCTCGATTGACCCGCTTTTTTTTACCAATGGTTTCTGTGACTTTACAAGGCGCGCGGTTAATTTCATGTAGTCTCTTTCCTTTAGTATTTAATCAAGCTGACTGCGTCTTTTTCACCTTGCTTATTCAGTTATTTTATAAGCTAAAAGCATAGTTGAGTGAACACGCTAGTGTACGATATTTAGGGCGCAATTTCGAATTCCTCGGGTAAAAATTATTTGTTTTAAAGTTTTTTCAAAATTTTCGGCTGGAATGCACTTTTCATGGTCTATGTCAATTCACACAAGATCAAAGACCATTAGATAAATGCCAATACGAGTTAAAGAAAAAACTAACCCGTCGTGAGGATGTTGGCCATGCCATCGGCCACGTTTTGGATCATTTTCCCGCGTTGTGTCTGTAAAAAGGTAAATTAATACAAATAAGCTTTATAGAAAGGTAATTTGGATCTCATCCTATCTTTTGAAGAGAGTATACTTCGTTCACAACTTTCTTTTCCTCAAAAAAGGCCAGAACCGCATGGAGCTCTATTTTGGTGCGAGCTTTATTTCAACGATCTTCAATATAAGTTAAAGCTAAAAAAATGAAAGTAGCCACTTTAATACAATGTTTTATAAAAAAAGCCCACCGGGTTGAGTTTTTTTCACTTGTTCAAAGGCAGGGAGGGGTTGAGAACTCATTAGAATTGTCAAAAATAAGCGAAAAATATCCCATTTATCTCATTCTATCTATTGAGAATACTATATAAAAAGCAGAAAGGTGTAGCTGAGAGAATAAAAAACGGCAGTATTATGGGGTTTTTCGGCGACCGATGGAAAAGGTCCAAATTGCCCCTCGGGCTCTGTGCAGGAAGTCGGGGCTCACCTGAGATATGTTTGTTGTCTCCTTCCATGAAAAGGAAGAAAAAAGAAAAGTCAGCCAGAGACAAAGGAGGTACTCCTGTACGCTTCATTTCATTCGCAGCCATCGACGGTTTTTCTGCATCCCTCGAATGGAATTAATTACAGTCGCACGGCGGGGATGACCCTGAAAGTTGATCGCGCGAAAATCTGATTGTTTTGGCAGTTGAGTGAGAGATGAATAGATGGCAAATTTGCAGGTCGCACCCTGCTACATAGATCCGTTTTGGCTTGATGTATCGTAGTTTTTTTCACGAAATTTGGTTACTAAATTGTCTAACGCAAAGTTTTTACTTCTCGAAGATAGTCCCGTATCTAAAGAGCAGACTTTCCCGTCAAATTTTGGGTTTCACTAGAAGATTGAATATCTCGAGAAACTACTCCGACATCGCCGCGGAAACACAAAGTCGGCGGTCTTTTGAAGTGATATTCAAAGCGGCGTAAGTGGTCACTCAAGGGGCGTTTTCCGTTTTTCTGCTTTTGATTTTGAAAAAAACTGTTTGGCTCGACGAACCGATATATAAAGAAAAAGGGTGATCGTTTGAAAATTTAAAAAGGAAGTTGCTCTTATTTCAAAGATGAGTGGAAACTTCGGGTCTTTCACAGTTTTTCTCTAGAATAGACTCGAACAAAACAATCAGTAGAGCTGTCATTTCCACATTCCACACCACCATAATACCCTGTTTAACATGGAAATCGCCGTGTCGTTTCAGAACGTGCGCAGAATCGAAAAAGGTTTCCACAATTTGTTTTTGAAAAGGCAGTATTCTTTTCTATTCGGCCCTATTTTTCAGGAGATATGGCCCTGTTCAGTCTTTTTCTTGAATTTTTTAGAGTTGATGTCGTTGTCATTCTAGTACTCATTTGGATCCGAAAAAATTGGTTTTAAAACGTTTCTTCAAACTCTAAATGTTAAGATCTTGGAAATTACTAGATTCTTGCTGTTTTATATAATACCACAACCGTCGTTCATTGTAATCATTTCTGTTTCAGTCTTTCTTTGGCCTTTTTTCAGGCAAGAGGGCTAAAAACATGTTAAAGTAGGATCAATTCAGCCTCAATGGAGCATTTTTCCAGTTGAAAAGCTCTCAAAATTTGTTTAAAACAAATAAATTTTTTGGATCAACCTGTATCAACTCAGCATCTTATTTTGCATCCACAAAATCCTCAGAACCTTTTTTTTTAAAGGTTTTTTTTTGGAACCTATTCGCTGTTCTCGAAATATATTCATACTGCGTTTTTGCCTCACTGAAGTTGTCGACTGTTTGTTGATGTGGCCGGTGAGTAACCACCTACCTGAGCCAGGTGAATAGGTAGGCAGAGGAGGAAAAGGGAGGTCACCTTTCGCAGGTCACCTTGTACGCTACGCGCGCCTACCCCCAATTCGTCCACTTCCTCTCCGCTCCACGCAAATGTCCATTATCGATTGATTCCTTATTTTTTACGGATCCTTTTCGAGTTTCGAAATCACCTGTCTTCCGAACAGCTCTTTCATGACCCTTTGAATGCTTGAAAGGACTTTTAGTTGAAATATTTTCCTTAGTAAAACCTATGCTTCTTTGATGATTGTATGTATTTTCGGAACGAAACAGCGCTTTTTCAAGATAATTTTACTTTTCTTTGGCTATAATTCATGAAATTATATTTAACATCAAAGCCCCGACTGGAAAATCGGACTCCTGTAGTTTTTATACTGTCGTTGCTGATGGGTATTTGGTCTTCAATGATTTTTATTTTTTTGGAAGTAATTTTTCACTTGCAATCTGCAATTCGAGAAAATAGAGTTTCGTTTGTAACTGCGATGACTCTATTCGAGAAAATAGAGTCATCGCAGTTACAAACGATGCTCAGCTACATAAAAAGAGAAGTAAAAACAGTTAATTTTTGGCCATTTTCACTTCAGAAAATGAGGATTTTAACGCCATTCCGAGATTCACCGCAATAAAATCGACATAAACATGGTTAGGAAGGCAATCGGGCCAGATTGCAACGGCTTTTTCTCGCTTTCCGTGGCGACGCCGTGTTAATTTGATGGGCTTTTGCCGATTTGTTCTCCAATCATTAGTGTTTGTTGCGTATTACATTCGTGTTGCTTCTCGATGCTGCGAATTTACGATTTTTTGGATTGGAAAACATTTTCGAAACATGAACAAATGAATAATTAGTGAAGTTTCTAGTCTTCTCTGGAGAATGCTCCCTTCAATTGAGCCTATAATTATCGGCTTTAAGAGCGGAAAATCCGCGTCTTTTCTATTCAAAAGAGTGTTTTGCGCTTTTTTTTCCTTTTTTTTTCATTTCGATTCAAACTTTGTAAATAAAACTCTTCTGACCGTGTGTCAATCCTATCTCGCCTTCAAACGTGTCTTACATGCCTTGAACTTTTTTTCGACTTTCACAAAAATAAATAAATAAATACGTTTTCCAGGCTTTTTTGTCCATTTTATTATAAGGAATTGTTTCTATCAACTCAATATTTATTTCTTAACTGAACTATTTAAAACCTAATTTTGTAGGAAAGGTTATTACATTCACCAAGATTTACAACCAAACAGAAGCCTTTTCCGGATGCATCTTCCATGTCTTCTTCTTCAATTTCCGGAGTTTGGCTTACCGCACAAACACACTTTTTTCTTCTTCCTTTATTTATTCTCTGCTTGAGACCTCTTCCTTCATCCAGCACTTGATTACTTTATTTTCTTTCAGTAGCATTTTTTTCATTAGGAAACCGCTTTTTCAAATTTACGATTCAAGAGTTCGGTTTTAAAAACTCCTTAAGCTTTCATTTATAGGTTTGAGCTGAAAAGTTGAAGAAGACCAATGAAACACATCAGAAAATCAAATTAATTTAAAATAAAAATTCAACAGGCAAATTGGCCAGTGCCCAACGAAATACTCGGACATTGGTAACGCGAAACGGACGTGCTCCGGACGTTTCTGGGCGATTCAAGGGATCACTTAAGAGCGTTAAGGCTACTAAAGTGGTCACTAGAAATGCCTCGACACGTCCGTTTCGCGTCCCGTTCGCGTTACCAAGGTCCGAGTATGCAAGTTAGGCGCAATAAATTTGCACCGGCGCGCGTAAGCAAAATTTTTTGGTTTTTTGCTTTCAATTTACTCAGTTTTTTTTTGCGTTATACATTTTTTTATCTAGTTTTATAGTAAACATTTATTAAGCTTGAAGGCGGTTTAAGAAAAAGTTTTCAAAAATTTCGAGGCCGCATTCGAGTGTCCATTTTTGTGTCGGTTTTTGCGATTCGAGAAATCTTCCAGATTTCATTACTCACAGCTCTTGGTGTTTTTTTTCTGTTTCAAATATTGAGGCTGTTTTCAGAGAAACTTGAAAACAATTAATTATTCAACTTAATTCCTAAGAACTAGTTTCTATGATTTTTTGATTTTAATTTTTCAAAATCATTTAAATGTATTATGCGTGTTTTGATTGCTCTTCTTTGAAGAATGTTTACGAGAGAACGGCAGACACGCAATCAAAGCCGTGGCCAATAGAATTTGCATTGAACGGCCGTAAACGTTTTCCAACGAGATTTTTTTCTACCCCACGTTTCACACATGGGAATGGATTTCTCACCCAGAAAATTTTTGTTTCCCACCACGACTACCAAAACCGTTGTCCGTTTTGTCTGTTGTTCCCTTCTCCGTTCTGTCGGCCCGGCGACGTTTGTTTGGACAGTTCAGCACACGGCCGCCGACCTTCCCCGTCGCTTCTTCTGTGCTTTTATCGCTTCTTGCTCCGCTCTTGACCGTTTCCTGTACTCTCTTCTCTCATATGAAACCTTTGTATTGTCATTCAAACTTCTAAAAATCATCGATGGGCTTCAAAAAGCGCTGAAAAACTGCTCTCTGCACTTTGAAATCTGCATTAGGTTTACCATGCCTTCTTGAAACTCTTCCAAGGATTACTAATCTTTTTAGTCATGGTTTTTCCAATAGAAAACAGAAGCTGTCTGAAAATTAGGCTCAGGTTATCTTGAAAGTTTTAACAGAAATTACCTGACACTAAAAGTAACTTCAAGTTGTGCAGGTGTTTTCAAATATTTTTTTCTATTTCGGACGACAACTTTCAAGTAACACGTTAGTCTATCAGGAAATTTTGAATCCGAATTTTGATGACATGCAAGATAAGCAAACTTGAAGCTTGGCAGATGGTTTTCCTACTTGAAAAAAAAAACTTCAAAAGGAACGGAAAAAAGCACAAGTTTTCAGCATGTCACTTCAAAACAAAAAAAAATGTTAATAAAACCAAAAATGAACGAAAAAAAAGAATGGAGTGAAGGGAGGCGGCGTGTGAGTTGAGTTCTCTCTGATCGTCTGCCCCTCCTTGATATGACTCATTTTGCCGACAGAGCGCACTTGCGCCTTTGTTAGGGAGCTTTGTCTCCTCTCGTCTGGCTCTCTCTGCCACCGATTCTTTGCCTCTGATTTCGGAAGGTCTGCAGATCGGTCAAGGATAAATCCCCATAGTGTTGAGGCGGCCGAAGTCTTTTTCTTTCAGTCGCAGACTTTTTTTGCGCCCGACCTCCCCCTTGTTTCTACTCGGTCAATTAAGAGGACGAGCCGATTTCGTCCGAAAAGATTCTCGCATTTCCATCCCCCTCCTTTTGGCTAATTGTCTTCTTCGCGCTATACGAGAAGAAGAATTGCTCTAATTTTTTTCTCATTCTGCCTCTCTTTTTAATGGTGTAAAGCTTCCCCTCTTTTCTCTCTCTCTCTCTCTCTCTCTTTTTTTTTATTAAACTCGTACTCTTTCTGACCGCTGACCTTTATTGTTTTTTTTTCCTGAATTTCGGAGTTTTTAAATTTTAGATCAGAAATTGTGGAAAAGAGAATTCATATATTTCTCACATAGATCTGATTTTCGCCGAAGAAGGCTCGAAAAGGATTTTTGAAGAAGATTTCCTCTTTTCGGAGTTTTTTTCAGTCATTTCGCGGAAAAGTTCCGCCGCCTTTTTTTGAGTTTGAATTTCCAAAACTGCTCAAAAAGGATCCTAATTATTACAAATTCCTTGTTATTCATTGTATGATTCATATCCAAAAAAATTGATGGAAATGGCGAGAGGACTTTTCAATGCGAATAGTTTTTAAAAAAAGTTTTATGGCTTTTAAAACTATCTGGGCAGTAATGTTATTTGAAATTCCAATTCTTCGAAGGGCATTAGCGGGATGATTCATTTCATTTTCGTATCCACTTTTAAAAATCAGAAAAAGTAAAGCTTTCTTCTTTTCCTCAAGCTTTTGGTTTCTTTCTCAGTTTTCAAACTTTTTCGAAGTCAAAGAATTATTTCCTTTTTGATATTTAACTGAAATTTTGATGGAGAATAAACGCCATCCAATAATTTAATTTTTTATGTTTTTAATCGCTGCTCTGAGCCAGTCCATGATATTTTTTGAGTTAAAATAGTCTTATTCTTCCAGTTTTTCTGCTTGAATTTTTTGATATACCGCTTCCAAGGGTCACTCATTCTCATTTCTATTTCTCAATTTAGTGTTCTTATACAATTTTATTCACATTCTTTGTTCTTTAAAGTTCGATTATGAATGAAAAAAATGATATAATTTTTAATGTTTATTATTTCCGAATATTTACGCCTCCATGAGCCAAAAACTAATTCATGACATTTCGTTTGACGTCGATGAATCATTCAATGTGGGCGAACCCTTCAATAAATATATTTTTTGCTTTATTTGACGTCCTGATATCGTTTTTCTTATCACGATCTCCTCTATTTTGACACATTCGAATATAATATTTCGTCCTTCAGCTTTTGATGCAAAAATGATGATGTTTATCGATTTGTGTGCACTTTTTCCCGCGGCTACTTTTTTTTCCTTTTCCACGCTGAATTCTTTCTTTTTGTGAATATTAATATGCGCCGTTTTCTAGTGGATAGGGAAATTTTCCAGAGGTTTTTTTGTGGGAAAGAGAGTTGAGTTTAATCAATCGGAAAATACTCCATAGCGGAAACTTTAGAACTAAATTTATTGTTTTCCAAAAATACCCTTTCTTGAAATTTTCGCGATTTTCAGTGTTGTTAAGCAGTTCGTGATCCTTTTCTTCAGTTATCGGTCTCTATCAGAAACTTTGGATCATTTTTTTATGAAAAAAACGTTCTTCATTCATCTTCACCAAATTTAAAAAGATCAATAAAAAAATTCGAGAAATAGATTTTTAAAAGAATATTTACAGTGATCTGAAGCTTCATTTCACCTTGACTAGTTGCGGCTGAAAGGAGTACACTATGACAATATTTTTAAATTTTTTTAAGGAACAGAAAAAGAGCCTACATATAAATCGTATCGAGAGCAATTCAAAGTGAATTCTTTTCTGAAACGATTTTTTTTTGATTATTTCATCACAGGCGATCTGTGGGTAGATTGCAAAGAACCGACTTTCTTTCACCACTTGAAGTTTTTAAAGTACAGTTTTGTGTATTCCAACGTTAACTAATATAATCTGAAGATTTTTTTTGGTTCTGTAATGGTTTCATAACTCTTCAATTTTTTTTTAAATAACTTGTTTCATGACGATCAGGTTTTTCTCGGCACTACCTACCTAAATATCTTTTTTGTCGATTTTTCCAAGATTCAAATTTGTGAAACTACTCAATGTCTTGCATTTAAGAGCCATGAGTCTCTCATTTGTTCCGAAATAATTGACGAGCTCATTGAAATTTGAAATAAAACGTTGAGGATTCATAATAGCTAGTTATTGGAGAATGACCCAATTTCATTGATATATTGAGGTGATTAGCCATTTTGAGTTATTTTCAATTCCAAATTGAAGTTGCGCATACTCATAATCTGCTCAAAATGTTCATTTTATTTTTTCAGAGCGCATCTCGGTTGAATTGCTTTTTAAAATGAAGTTGTAAACTGTCTTTGCCTCGAAATTTACTATGCGCCTTCAAAAACCGAGTGAACTTTTCAATAAGCTCGCTCTCTCATTTTTCCGCCATCGTTCTTTTTTTTCTGTTCGTTTACCCACTTCTCTTTGAATAATTCATATTTTTGCGCTCTCAGTTTTTGGACGAGGCCGTGGCCCGACGGCCGACATAGTCAACTGGTTGGAAAAACGAGAGGGAATTCGATTGGGATCAGTGGTTTGGCGCCGCCTGGGGGCATCAGATGCCGTCGTTTTTCTGCCTGCCGATCGCCTGCAAACGGCAGATCGACTCGTTGGACCGGCGCCAGAACAACCTCTACGATGTCCCCTCGGATATTGACAAGTTTGTTCTTTTTCTGTGGTCTTTTCCAAGGAAATCGTTGAGTTACTGATAGGAGAGAAAGTTAAAATTCCGACAAAATCTGGATTCTGCTAAAACCTCAGCCTAAGCAAGAATAATTGCTACGATATCCGATTTTTTGTGCAACTTTCAAAGAAAATTTTGAAAACTTTTAGAGTTACTCATTTGAGAAAAAGTCAAGATTCTGCTGAAGCGGTTTTTTTATAAAATGATTCAAACTCAACTTTTCAGATATCGAAGGACGTTGGAGTACCTTCAGCTGTCGATGAATCACATTGAGGCTCTGCCAAAGGTATCTTCAACCTTCTTTTTTCTTTCTTCGAAGAAATTTTTTTATTTTTGTCTACTTCAATCGACCTTTTTTGATTATTCCCTCTTCAGAAGCTCTTCACTCTGCGCCTTTTGCGAGTTTTGGACGTTAGCGACAACGAAATCGCCGTTGTCCCGCCGGACGTCGCGAAACTCTCTTCGATGGTCGAGTTGAATTTGAGCAGAAATAGTTAGTTTTTCCACTTTCTAGAGACAAAAAGTTCGTTTTACTCAGAAATAACCGATCTACCTGAGGAATTGAAAGAATGCAGAGAGCTCAGGATATTGGATCTCAGTGGCAACGCCATCACTCGGTTGGTTCCTTCAAAATCGAATTATTCCGTGTTTCAACTTCTAAAAAACGAGATAAAAGTTTGGGGATCTCTATGTTGCTCCAAGGGAAAAATCCTCATTTTTTCGTTAATTTTTGAACAGAAGTTCTTGCTCTTTTGATTCATTTCTAGCCAATTTTCTCGACTTTTTTTTTATCTAGATAATAAAATGTTGGGATTTTAAGGAAACGAAAACTACTTTTCAAAAAAATTAAAAAAAAAAGATCTCCCACATAATTTTTTTTCACATAAAAGAGATAAGAATTTTTCAATTTTCGGTAGGATTTTGGCATTTTTGAAATCTCAATAGAAAACCGTAAGTTTATTTCTTGTTCAAATTATTTTTTTTAAATTTCTTTTTCAACATCTTTAATTGGAATATTTCTACCGCTCCGTCTATTTTTTTGTATACAGTTAACTATCGACTGACGAGGAAATTTCTTTTTTTGCTCTTGGTTTATTTTTTTGATGAACCTTTGCTTAACTCTATGTCAAGACCTTCTCTTCTTGAAACATGACGAAAAATTTTTTGCAATATATCTTATTTTTAATTTATGAAGCTTCAAAAGCTTCAAATGACGCGTTTTCTCCCCAGTTTGTGTAGTCTTTGAACAACGAAGCGTCACAGCTAAAAAAACGAAACTTTTCCGAAAAAAATTTTTTTAATCTAAAAAAACAAAGACCCTTGAGAACTGCTCAGTGAAATTTCAACGAAAACTGAGAGGGATGCCAATAAAAAGTTACCTTGTTAGTGTAGAAATGTTTTTCCTGCCAGATAAACATTGTTCTAGTCGGTTGCTTGGAACATTTAGCAATTTAACACATTTCCATAATTTCTTATAGATTCCCCGACGTGCTGGTCAAGTGCGAGTCGATCATGTCCCTGTGCTTGCTCGACGTTTCCCTGACAGCCCTGCCTCAAAATATCGGACAACTCAAAAACCTCCGCATTTTAGAGGTGCTCATTCAAAATATGTTATGGAATAATTTCTTTTCATTTTGTAGGCCCGTGATAATTTGCTCCGAAAGGTACCCTCTTCGATCGTTGACCTGGCCAATCTTCAAGTTCTGGACCTCGGCTTGAATGAAATCAATGAAATTGTGAGTTTTTTTTGATTCATATCGGCTTCTATAGCGTGCATTTTCATGGAATATCTCGATTTATTGAACTTCTGACATTGAAATTCATTTTTGAAGAGCTCTTTCAAGACCTCGCTGCTATAGGTTTCTAACATGTAATTCAATCGGAGAACCTCTATTATTCGTATTATGAAGTCACGCTTCAAGGATTTTATGGTTTATTTTTCCCAAGTTTGAAGTCCTCGCCTTTTTAAAATCCTATGGGCACTGAAAAGTTTTATATATTTGGAATCTTGGAGCTGAACGACGTGGGATCTTAAGGGTTTTGGCAAACGTGATAGTTTTGGCGTTTTTTTTTACTCGTTTTTAATTGCTCTTGTTTATTTATTTATTTAACTAATTCATGATTTCTCATTCGTTTTTCAAATAGCTTCAATCTCTTATCGACTGACTGGAAATTAATAGTTATTTTGCAGCCCGAAGACATGGGAAAAATGGAGAGTCTCCGGGAGTTTTACATCGACTCGAATGGTTTGAATACCTTGCCGGAAAGTATCACGAAATGTCGCCAATTGGAACAATTGGGTTGGTTCATCATTGACTTTTTTTTTGCTACAAATTGATACGATTTCGAAGGGTATTTCATTGGAAAAAATCTATCAAAAAAATTCAACTTTTGATATTTTTTTCATGATTCTTTTGGATAAAAAACTTTCTAAAAAAAGAAATTTGAGTTGATTGCAAATTTCTATAGATTCCAACCAAGAAAAAGACATAGAAGCCTTTTGGAAGGTCAATTTTAATCATATTTGGATTAATTTCGTTATTTATAGATGTGAGCGACAATAAATTGATGGTTCTCCCGGCAGATATGGGCGATTTGGTCAATTTGACAGACGTTTGCGTCTCTTTGAATAGCCTCGAAGTGTTCCCGAACTCGATTGGTTGGTTAAATACGCTTTTTTTTTTGTTTCAGAAGTCTTTTTATTGCATTCTTCTGACTATAAAATCGTTTTCAGGCCGGTTAAAAAAGCTGTCAATTCTGAAAGCCGATCGAAATTGTCTGACAGAACTGACGGAATCGATTGGCGACTGTGAATCTCTCGTCGAGTTGCACCTTTTCGATAACTTGTTATCTGTGAGATCATCTTGGAAGTTGCTCATCTTACTGATTTGAACTTTCCAGGAAATCCCGCAGAGTATTGGGCAATTGAGGAAGTTGAATATGCTGCACTTGGCCAAGAATCAGATCACAGCTTGTCCTGAAACGGTAAACATTGTTTTTAAGAGAGAAATTGAAGATTAATTGTTTGCAAAAATATTGAGTATGATTTTTGTTTAGTTCTGTTCCAGGAAAGTTTCAAATTTCAAAGATACAGACTTTTGTTAGATGACTTTGTGACATTTTTTCTATCTTTCCCCTAATCAGTTATTTTTTTCAGATTGGCTCATGCGAATCATTATCAGTGCTCATTTTGCGAGATAATTCGATTTGCGACCTTCCGATGACGATCGGAAAATGCGAGAATCTGAAGGTTTTGGACGTGGCCGCCAATAAATTGACCTTCCTTCCCTTCACAATCAATGTCCTCTACAAACTGCAGGCTCTGTGGCTCGCGGTTAATCAGGTTTCCGAGGAGTCGATCCAAAATTCAGCCTGATTTCGATTATTTCAGCCCCAAACAATGGTGAAATTGTCGCGGGAACGGGATCCGAGGACGGGAATGCAGGTTTTGACGTGTTATTTGTTGCCGCAGGCCAGTGCTGCCAATGGTCAGTTTTTCTTTTTTTTTCACTAATACATTTCCCAGTAATTCGGGCTTCCATGCCCGTCCTATCTTATTAAAATCATCGAAAGAAAAAGTTTTCTATCAGGGTTTTGCGGTTCCGGAAGAAATTCTCGATAAGTTAGTTCCCTAATAAGTTTTTCGAAACTTCTGAGCTTCCAAGTACTTTGAAAGTTAGAGAAAGTAGAAGATTTTTCGTATTTCAACTTTTGAATCTGTTTCGAGTAATATTCTGCACTACGCTGTGTACTGAAAAATATGAACAGTTCTTTTTTCGGCTAAAAAAGTTGAATTTAGTTTTAATTAGCCCCAAACGTGGCAGATTCCCACAGGTTTTACAAAATTTTTAAAAATATGATATTAGACATTTTTTAAAAAGGCGGAGCCATCCAATCACGCTGTGGGAATCCGCTGCGTGTCATTGGAAGAGAGCCGCTTTCAAAGCTACGCCGAAAAAATTGTGGAAACGCGCTGAATTGAACTGGAGAAGTGACTTAAAAAACCCTTGGATCTAATTTGCTACGCGCGTCGAATTAGCTTTGAACGCGGCTGTTGACTGTAAACTTGTTTAGAAATTTGTTTTTTTTTTTCTGATAATGATATCTGGAGTTTTCAGAAGAAGAACGGGCGCAGTCTCGGTCGTTCCTCGGCGGACCGAAGGTGCACTTCCCAGACGAGGAGGCGACGGTCGACGAGGAGAAGGTTCTCGTGTTACTTCTTTCCCCGAGTTATTCAATCCATATTCATTGGGTCGCGTTGTACAGTCACGCGTCGACAAATAAAATGCCCACAGAACAAATATGAATATTAATGAGGGTTTTTTTCGGCCGAGGCTTGCGAATGCCTCTTTTCCGCGGTTTTTGAAGTTTTTCGAAGGGTCACAGGGTTTTTTGGTCTTCGAAAAAAGTGTTTTGAGAGGGGTGAGGTGGAATGAAAACCCTTCCGAATCATCAGAACGATAATTTCGGTTTCGGGTGACAATAATGGTAGCGTTGGAGGGACAATTTGTATTTAAAAAAAGTTCAAATGTTAAATCAATTTTTGAAAGAGCTTCCGTTTTAAAAATAATTTTTTTAAAAATTTTCTAAAAAGTTTCCTTTAAATGTGAAGAGAACAGTTTATTTTTTTCTATGAAAGTTACGGCGTTTTGGCTCATATTATGAATCTGTCGAAGTTATTTTTTTGAATGACAAATGAAGAAGAAGGAAGAAAATTAATAGACCAAGAAACAATTTCTATGAACAGTCTTGAAACTTCATTTTTTATTAATCATATTTTGAGGGACCGATTGGACAGTTCGAGCGTCATAACACGCCGCATCCGAAGCCGGCTAAATTGAAGAAGAACAGTATCGATGGCCACATTATTCATCATGACGAGGTATTTTCACGCTTGATAGTCCACGAAGGAAATCATTTGAATTTGAAAATTTATTTGAAAAACAACATTTTAATTTTTCGTTTTGCCCGGATTTCTCTATTTTTTTACCATTCAATGAAGTGAATTATGTATGCAGGCGCGTAAATGAGCTCAACGCACATAAACTTAGATTGTTTTAGGTATATGCAAATTTTCAGGCTGTTGAATAAGCATAGGAATAGAAAGGTTTCCCTCTGAAAAACTCACACGCACCTTTGCATTTACGTTGCGTAAAATTCCATGCGTACGGGATCAAATTTTCAATAGACTTTCTGTTGCAGGACCAACCGACCTCCCTGCTTCTCAAAAAGCCGACAAGCCCGCAGCAATCGTTTGCGTCGCCGACGTCGCCGCCTTCTGCGGCGCCGCGCTCGTCGCTCAAGAATCAGTCGCTGGACGAGTCTTCAGCGAGTAGAACACGGGCGGTGAGTTTCGAGCTGCGAGTTTTCAGTCGCGATTCTGTAGACATGAATATTCACTCGCGAGAAGAAAAGTTGAAATTGTTTTCAAGTGATCAACGGAGAGTAATTTATAACCTATCAGTGATTTTCCATATAAATCAGCACTTTTTCATTCAAAATTTGGGGCAAAAAAAAAGAAGTTCAACTAGAAGGTTTTCGATTCCAAAAAGGATGTTGTCATGGACTTTAAAATTCTTTCTCAGTACATTACGGCATTTTGTAGAATAAGGTGTTACGAACTTTGTTTTTTTTTTTGATTATCTTGGAGACGAAGTTTCGAACAAACTCATGTAAGCAGATGTTTGAGTTAATATATTTTGGAGCCATTTAGGAAAAAAAAGAAAGCATATTATATTATTTTTGAACCTTAAAAAAGGTGTGAAAACTCGAAAAATACCACAGAGAGGTGTATCGTTCACATTCGGCGACCCAACGTCGTCGAACGAGGAAGACGTGGAAGGCGTCTGTCCGCGACTGAAACGCGTCAACACCCCCCACTACAAGACGTTGCGAGGCTCCCACTCCATGTCCATGCAGCCGCATTCGACCACGGTGAATTTGGATGGATGAGAGACGTCGTGCCGTGGCTTCTTCTTCTTCTTCTTGTGTTGTCCTTCGTTGTGGCTCTTTTGGCTGGATTGGAATGAATGAAGTGTGAACAAACGTTTGAGAACCTTTCGAGCTCCATTGATAGTTTGTTGGGAAATGATTTCATTTTATGATTAGACAAAGCCTACTCGGACCTCGGTAACGAAAAAACGTTCCTGAGGACTTCTAGAAACTTTTTAGGGAAGTTGAAGTCGCAAATAGAAAAAATAAGCTTATTAGGACTAATTCATGGATTCTACTTTGAAAAAAAACTTTTGCGCCTTCAAACTGCTCAGAATGATGTTGTGAATTTTCTACACGGAAAAAGAAGATGTTAAAGTTTATTTACTGTTCTTCTGAGCGTCAAAAGCAGTGAAGCGTCACGAAATAAGTGTTTATTTTGATAAAAAAAAATTATGGAAGTTCAAACATCAGAAGCGTTGATTATCATTGGAGCACGGAAGTTTTTTGATTTCCTTGTGGCTGTTCTTTCATCTGAGTTTTTTTTTACGACTTCTGCTTTATTTTTTTTCATAGAAGCATCTAGCCGAAGATTAATAATATAAGGTAGTCAGAAAGGCGTACTGATTTTTTCCAATTAATACTGAAAGAATAATTACTGCAAGGATAGTTTGATGTTTAGTTAATGAGATGAATACTGGTTTCTTCTCAAAGAATATTCTACGTATTGATTATTGCAGAGGATGAAATGATTTCTTTAAAGCTGAATTTTTGTTTGCATGGTTTGACAGTATTGAGTTTCTTTGAAATGTTGTGATTGAACTTTGAGTTTTATACTTTACTGTTATAAACGAGGTTCTTTTTTGCAGAACGAGACGATAACGTCGCAGAACTCAACGCAGTCTGAGCAGACGTCGCTGCGACGAATCGTGATTCGCCGCGATGCCAGCAAAGATCTCGGTCTTTCGATCGCCGGAGGTCGCGACGATCCTTATATCGAAGGCGACTCTGGAATCTTTGTCACCAAAGTGAATCCGGGAAGTGCCGCTGACAAGGCCGGATTGATGGTTGACGACAAGTTGATCAGGTTGGTGACGTCATAGAGGTATTCTGAAGGCCTTCTCGACTTCAGAGCCAACGACATCAGCGTCACGGATGCGTCGCAGAAGGAAGCCGTCGCCGTGATGAAGGCCGCCAGGGACAACGTCGAGCTTCTTGTTCGACGCTCGGATTCTGCTCTGAACAGCTCTGCGTCGCTACAGGTACATTTTTCCTTATTCAAAAGCTGCTAAAATGAACCAGCAATGTGTGGCGTTCACTATAGCTGAAGGTTTTTAAAGTTAGGCTTTTGGAATTAAGCCTCTGAATTGAGGTCTCGAAATAACGCTAGGAAGGCTTTAAAAAACGAGCGTTTAGGCTGTCTTGTCTCAAAAACTCATCAAGTTGTGCAAAAGCAGCGGATAAACGTAGAGTAGGACTTCAGAAAAGATCAAAATTCTAAAAATATACTGCGCTAATAGTTTTTTCAAATTATTCGCTCTTCTGAACTATCAACTTATTTTTTCTTCTTTTTTGTTTCATAATTTTGCATGCCTATTCCAACTCTGAACTCGTACAGGCTGTGAGAGAGAACGGCGGCGGATCCCGCGAGAGCATCTCGGCTTTGACCCACGGCTCCAACGGAAGAATGACGTCATCGCCGGCGACGTCTTCTATAGGAATGCCTCTGCGGCAGGAGACGCCGTCCTCCGTCGGAAGTCCGCCCCGAGGCTCGATCAACGGACTCTACGCGGTGAGTAAACGGCCTCCGATCACGACGACGTTCGGCTGCGAACCCGTCAACACACGAATCTCTTGAGTTTCTCTCAGACTTCGGCTTTTCCGTTGAAAATCGACTTTTCTTTTGATTTTTTTTCATTGGCTCCGAAGAGGAAAGCCACGAAAAAGGGCTCAGCGATCGGAATCCGTAGCTTGCTTTAACGCTTTACGATGTCTAGTAGCGCAAGTCGTTTTTGGTAGGGTACATCTTATAGAAGCTGAGCCATTCCACGTGCGACCAAGGATTAGAATTCATTATTTCTCGGCGGGTCGGTCGCACGGAGAATTGCTCATAGAGTCGCGATTGAGTCCGTAGTGGGATCTTATGCTTAAAAGTTACTAATGGCGCTTTTCCTGGTCAGGCGGCATTTCGAAGTTGCTGAGCCATTTCAAGTGCAACCAAGGGTTTTTTCCCATTATAAGGTCAAAAGACACCCGAAGCAACGGAAAAGTTGAACTTTTGAGTTTTTTAAAATCCTTTTTAACTTTTTCGTTTGACCTTGCTGAGGATTCTGGTGTGGGTAGGTGTTTGAGAAATTTTGCCTTTTCTTAGTGATTTTGGAAAGTTTTTGACAAGTAGGTCAAAAGTTATTGGATTACATTTTTCATAATCTTATCCTGATCTTGTTTTTTTTCCGGTACTGAGCGCTTTTTTGCCGTATAATCAAAAGTTTCAAGTGCGCTCGACTATTCACGGCTTCTGTTGGGGGGTGGATTCAATAGGAAAACGAGTGAGCGCTCAAAAACTTTTGGAACCTCACCAAGACGCGAAAGTCGCGAAATGTCGGGCGCAGCTTTCAATTGTCGAATAATAGTTCGTGCGGCCATTAACGCTTTCAGTCGGACTGAAAAAGTTGAAATTTCGGCTGTGAAAGAGGGTTTCCCCCCAGGTTTCAAATTCAGGTCATATTTCAAAAAATAAATTTTTCCTACTAGAACTCAAACCTTGGCAACGTAAACCGGACGCGTTTGGACGTGTTTCAGCAAATCTAGTGACCATGATAGCGTCGTCATCACTCTTAAGGGAACCCTAGAGATACTCACAAACGTCTGGTTTGCGTCACCGAGGCCGAGATGGCCCCTTTTTTTGTGATAAAATTGTAAGAACCACTAGAATGAGTCCTCCAATTTTTTTCCTTAACTTTTAAAAAAATATCTCGTCGATCTTTTTTTCTTTCAAGAAGCCCTTTCATAGTTCGCGTTTTCTAATGTAAAAAGTATTTGAACAAATATTTTTTTATTACTTACATCTAACGGATTTTTTTTAATTTTTTTATTCGATCTGTGTATGTTTGGAATGGTCTGTCTCATCGTTTCCTTGTCAAAATGTTCAGTTTGCTGTGATATTTGTGTATTTTCTTGCGGTGATAATACTTTAATTATCGATTAGTATAGAATATTAATCAATCAAAGTTTTTTTGAACTCTTTTTCTTCATGTTCATTGTGCTTAATTTCCGAGAATTCGAAAATATTAAAATTTTTGATTATTTCTCTTGTTGTTCGATTTTCTCCAATCATGCTCACCAGATCAGAGGAAAATTCAAGTGGCTTTTAGGGGGGACTCCTTAAGTGGCCACTAAAGAGTTTAAAACAATTAAATTAGGATTTAACCTCTTTTCTTGATGCGCTAGTTTTCATATCAATGAAAATGTCGCCTAAGTGGCCACTTGAACTTTCTTCTCAGTTGCCCTTCGACTTTTTGAACTGCGATCATTTCCAACCTGTGATATCTTTCAATATTTACTTTTATTTCATTTTTCTGCAATGTAAGCTGCCTCGCCAAGCTTTACTCACGCTCATTCCCCAGGAAAATTCAAGCTTTTTTTTCTCAATTTCTTTTTTGAATTTCATTCGGTTCGCCTTCATTGTCATACAAGAATTCCATGGATTTTGATGCGAATGAAACTTGTTTTTAGTCCTTTTTTCGACAAGCAAAATTTCGTCAGACGGAGCTTTGGAAATCTTTCCGGGAAGGTTGGAGAAATTTTTTTTGATTTTTGGCGAGAAGTCATTGGAAGCCCGAAGAGACCCCAGACACGAAGAATTCATCTCTTTCTTTGCGTCTCTTTGGGTGACCACGATCACTCGCTTAATTTAGTTTACAGGTTTTTATGTTCCTTCGGTTGGATTTCGCTTTTTTGTCCCTGACTGGCTTTGCAATGATGATTTCGTAACTTTTTACCTATCCTTCTAATTTTTCAGTTGGAATGTTGGGAGAATAATCGAAATCCACCGCAGCAGCACATCACTAGCCCGCCCATTTTTCTGTACCGCATTGTGTTGTTCTTTTCGGCTCACTCCCTTCTCCGGGCTTTTCCAACCTGTTTCAACTTGTAGTTTATCCACGGCAATTGCTAGAAATCGATTTGAGTGTCATTTGGAGAAATAATTTCGTTGGAGCGCCTTTGCTCGAATAACCGGGGATTTACTGAATTTGCACATGTTCTTCGTGTTGTCGCCGCCCTGAAATCACTGGTCATTGTTTCTTTTTGATATTTTTACCCTCGTAGTTTTTCTATTTTCTTTCCTTCTTCTTCTTTTTTTCACTATTTTCTTCTCCCACTTCTATTTTTAACATTATTTTTCCATGATTTTTTTTAATAGTTTTTGCACGATTTCGTTGTGAATTTGTGCGCTTTTTTCTTCTCATGAAATTAAAACCTTTTTTCAATTTAAAAATTATTAAAGATTCTGTAAAAATGCTTTTTATTTTTCTAGGGATAACAGTTCGCACTTTTTGAATACACGAAAAAAAATAGATGCATGCGCCTTTTTTGTGATACTGACTGTGATTAATATTTATTTCACCTAATTTTTCCTAAACTGGACACCCGCTTTCATACCGCTTCCGCGTGTGGCCTTGAGCTTTTATATGCAGAGTAGGCTGGGGCCTGATTCGTGTATTGGTGCACTTCTTTATCAACAAAAAGAAAAATAGTTTATGAAAAATAATTAGTTCTTCCTACAGGAAACCAATGGAAGCAGTCTCCACGATATTCTGGACGATGAGCACGACCTGAGAATTCCGGATCTCACTCTCAATTCGGTGAGTTCGAGGTCGAGTTTCAAAATAGTGGGATAGTTAGATAGAAATTGGATCGAAATTTCAAGAATTTAAACTTTTTTTCAAAAAAATCGAAACTCAACTTCTACTCAATGCTGGATCCGTAAAAACGAAAAATACTTCTGGTCACTCAATATAATTTTGAGCTGTTCATGAAAATTCATTCTTCATTCATTTTTCTATTACAGACGAAAGACTCGTTCAATCTGTCGAAGGATGCCGATTTTGAGATGGAGCCGGCCAATAGTCCGCTGCCCGCCGCCATCCCGGAGCCGGTCATGACGGTTAGTCGAAATCCGTACAGTTTTCGAAAGAGTTTTGTTTTAGAAGCCAAAATTGCCGCCGCCAGTCGCACCAAAACCGATTTTGAAGCGACCACCGGTTTTGCCGCCTCAGGTACGCAAAAAGTCCAATATTCTACTTTTATTCCTCAGTTGAGAAGCATAGTTTAATCAAGAGAGTTGCAAAAATTGGAAAAGTTTGCTCCAATGATCAATGTCTCTAACCGGCTCGCTTCGCGACAAAACTGTAAAAAAAATAATGGGCATGGGCAATCAACCAATGGCATAAACTTTCAAGAGTATAGCTCGTAAGCTCTTTAAATAGGATAATAGATTCCTGAAACTGAATTTCATAAGATTTCGTCCTGATAAATCATTTAAGAGATTGCAAACGCCAAAAATATTCTCGAAAATACAGTAGTTTTTGTCTCAACCATTTAAAAAAACTAAAAAAAAAAAAAAAGAAACTAAAAAAAAAAAAAAACCTCTAAATAATTTAAAAAAACTGTTGCACAAGTCCTACTTCTTCAATGGAAAATCAGGAATTTACGGCTTTCAGGACCTCGACGTACCTGTCGCCAACGCCGAAAACGCGCCACCTGAGCGAATGAACTTCGCCTCGAAACTGGAAAAATTCAAGGCGATCGACGTGAAAACGCCGCCAAAATCTTTGCCGCCACCCGAGAAAAAGCCGCTTCTCTCCATGCAGGACATGCAGAAGCTCAAGGAGGAGGAAGTCAAGAAATTGGCCAAAAATGGCGGTTTGATGTATGGCATGGAGCTGTCGCCCGAGAAGGAGAGCTACGACCATTTCTTGGAGGATTCGTTAGTTTTCCAGTTTTTTCTCTCCGGGACCTAAAATATTTTATTCATTTTGAACAAAACAATTCAAATTTTTTCCATTAGGTGACAAACATTGGAATATAGGAAAAATTAAGTTACAATACTTTTTTCACGTTTCATGCTCTAAGTTTTGTTCAAAGCTGTTTTTTTGGGGGTTTTTTTAGAAAGAGAGCGGAATATTTTCGAAAATGAGCGGTGAATCATCACAAGTTTCACAAAAATCTTTATTTCTGAGAGCACTCCAAAAAAATAATTTTTTTATATCGTTTCCTATATCTTGCACACCGTAAATGTTCCTTCACAGGCCTCTTCCGCGACAGCCGTCAGTCATTCGAACAAAAAAAGCTGAGAATCGGGCCATCGCTGCCGGTTTGATAACAGCAAATGATGAAGGATTGTCGGAAGATGAAAGAATGTTGGTTTTGGCAAGAGAAGGAAGAAATTGAGGATATTTTGTTTAGAAAGAAGGAACAGCAGCAGAGGAGCGAATGGCGTGCGGCTAGACTCAAAAGTCTCGAGCAGAGGAGCGCAGATGCCGACGCTCTGATGCATCGTCTTCAGATCTCCTCTCCGGTTTGTTCTGTACCTCATTTTTAAAACAAAATTTGGCCTTTTTTTTTAAGGTCCTAAGAATGAACAAATCAAAACTGCGGAAGGTGGACTGCTTGAAATGTAAAGCCGAAAGAATTATGTTTTTTTAAGTATTGAAATTTTATATTTTTTCCTAATGTTGCGTTCAAAGAGAATTTGACACGCACTGCGAAACAAATTTCTTGGTCTGACGGCTCGGGATGAAACGCAGCAGTACACAGCTTCCCACAACATGATTGGATGGCTCCTCCTTTTTAGAAAAAGCCGAATGTAGTCTCCTTTTCAAAACGTTTAGCTAACCAATTACGCTATGTGAATCTTCCGCGTTTGCATGCGTTTTTCTCGTGCGTTTGAACGAGAAAAGCTTTTTTTTTCACCTAAGTCAAACTAAATTCGAACCGGACATGTAGCTCACACCGCACCAACTTGTCACGGTTTCCGTTTTTCTCTGAGGTGCAGAAGTCTTCTATTCGAAGTGTTCGACCTTCATCTTTGCATGTGCCTTCGATATAACGGAAACTTTAGGCTAAATAAAAGACGCATGCACACTCGGACATCGGTAACGCGAATCGGACCTGCGGGGCATTTTAATGGCCGCTCAATAGCGTCAGCACTCTTAAATGATCCATAGAGTTGCTCAGAAACGTCTGGAGCACGTCACCAATGTCCGAGCAGAAACAGGCTGAGCGCTCGAACTGAATGATTATCTAGTTTGAAGGAAAACGAAAATCGTTAAAAGCTGGCGCCGCCGATGCCCCATAAAAATTAATACTTTTAAATATATACAGTTTTCTGTAGCTTTTTCTGTACATTACCGTGAAGTCCGAACAGAATTTACAATTTTTGATGCCAAGGAAAATATATATTTTTTCCAGATTGCTGCAAATGGCGACATTCTGTTTGCCGACGAGTAAACTTCTCAATATTTACTTTTCTTGTTTTTTGTTGATTTGAATAATTTAATTGTATAATCGGAATGTTCACTTACCTATTACCGTGAGAAGAAAGTTTTTAAGCATCGCCTTGTATAATTTATTTATAGGAATTTTTGAGCCTTCCAACGGTGCATCAAAAGCAGCTATGCTCCTTTGAAAATCAAATGTTTATAATCAAAACCAACTTTCCATGTGTCACTTCCCAGAGCGCGCAGCTCGATTCAATACAAATTCCATTGAACTTATTGCATTTTTATACTTTTTATATATGTTTTCTTTCCTGTTTTTACTCTTCCTGTATTTCTTATTCTCTATTTTCACTAGTCTTTATACTTATTTTCTGTATTTGTTCTAACTTTCTCTTCCAATAATTGCTGATTCTTTGTGAAATTCTTTTCAAAATTGAGCCTTCGGTTGTGATCTTTTTCTCTTCTTTTTCCGGACCGAATTGAGCCTCGTTGCTCAAAAATTGTTGCACCTCTGAGCTCCGATCTTTTTTTTTCGAATCGGAGCCCAGCGTTTTTTTTTCTTGGCAAATGTATTTTTTTCATTTTTTTGAGACGGACATAAATTATAAATAAATTATTACGTATAATTTTTTTGTTATTTTTTTATAGTTTGAGAAAGTTTTTCAAGCTCGGTTTATTCGTGAGGAAAAAGATTTTCTGAAAATGAAGTTATTTTTTTCACACGCAAAAAAATGCCAGAAGAAGCTGAAAGAAGCCAGAAAAAGGCAGAAAATTGAGAGGCATCAAATCTACATATTTATTGACACAATGGGGTTCCCCTTTTTCCCCTTTCTTTCATTTTTCTTGTTTATTACCTCCAATTTGTTTTCCTTTTTCAAAAATCCATGCGAAAGTATAGATTTCGGATTTCATTTTATTCCTAAATAATTCAACCTTAATAACGCTTGTTGATTTTATGATTTCAACGTTTATGAGTATAGCTGATTCACCGCTGGCTTGAGCCATCGAAAAACGGGTCCTGACACGATAATGCATGAAACAGTGCCTCGCTAGTGGAGAGCGCAGACAGGACACGCCCCTTTAGCGTCCCAAGTGGCCGTGAATCAGCTATAAAGCTCATTAAGAAGGATTATCTCTCAACCAAAAATTTCATATAATTCGAAAAACATTTTAAAGATTTTTTTAAAAAGTATCTTTCTCTAATTTTTTTCTCACAAAATAAAGTTAACGAATAAATTCAAACTATTCAAAACAGCCAGGGATTTATAACATTTGAAATTTGAAAGTTCACTGTACGATTTTTCAGAGTAAAGATTTGAGAACAAAAAAATTGAGAATTTCATTTCTAAATAGATTTCTAGACTAAAATATTTTATATAAAAAAATAGTTGGAAGCGATTTAGTGTGAACACTCCAGTGAGTGCTCATCTTCTTTTTTTCAACTTTTGTTGACAAAGTTCATAGTCAAGAAAGAAGATAAAATCTAGTATCTTTAGATGGATTATTGAATTTTCTGCTTCTTAGAAGTTAGATCAAAATGTGAAGTACATGACGGGAAGGAAGAAAAATGGGCTTTCATCACTTGAAACGCTCTCCGACAGAATTCACACGTGTGCCGCAGTAAAGAGATTAAAAAAACGACGTTGGGCTTTCGACAATTTGCAATGTTCACCCTAACTCACCCTTTTTCTTTGCTTTCTCTCGAATAATCATCAATTTCCTCTCAGGAACCGATGCGCAATGATGAGCTCCTTCTTGACGTCATTGTTATCATTTTTTTCATCTTTGGATTATTTGGAAATGTTAATGTTATTGTGGCCACGTACAGGAAGAGAAGAATTCGCAGCAAAATAGGTTTTTTTTTTGCTTGCAAATGACACTTGAAGTAATTTGGGAAAAGTTGTTTCAAAGCCTCTCTCAAAAAGCTTATTGTCCGTTCAAAATGGCTTTCTGTGGTATTTTAATGCACCGGAGCCCTTTACGAAATAGGGCGATGAAACCTTTTTTGGATTTTTTTATCCCAAAAAATTAGCTGTGGCTGATTGGGCTCAAAAAGTTTTCAGTTTTGGGAAATTTGCACAGTTTTCAGTTGAAAAAAGCGTTCAAAAATTTTTATTTCTTAGCCTGTATCTCAGAAGTTTTACCTCGACTTAAAAAAATTTGAAAGATAATTCATTTTTTTCAGGATGTCTGTTATTCATTCTTGTCTGTGCTCACAACATTTGCCTATTCTGTGAAGTTCTTGGAGTCGCTCAGAGATTAAGGTAATTGTCAAAAGTTTCAAAGTTTGGAACAGCGAAAAATTCTCTTGAAAAGATATTTTTCTTATCAATTCGAAGTTCACTTCAGCATTCAAAAATGTTCTTTTTTCGAGTTTTAAAATTAGCTGAGATGATAAATCGAATTATTTATATAGTTGAAATTAATATTGTTCTTATTTCACAGGTTAAGTAATACTATATTCAAAAACATGAAACGAGAAAGTTTTTTAACTCTTTTTTTTCTAGATTCCGATCAATGGAACGACTCGATTGTCTGAAACACAGCGCTGTCTATCTTTTCGCCCTCGTTTTCCAGTCATTTTTGTTTCTGATGATTGCCATCGACTTGTCATTTGGGATATTGCTACCTTTTAGGTTGATGACACGAAAAATAATTATTTTATCAAGTTATACCTAGTTCAGCCATCGAATTTGGTCTCGAGGAAAATATCTTGTTTTGTGCTGTATCCCGCCATTTTTGATGTCAATTAGCGTCGTTTCGACAAGTTTTTATTTCATGACTGATGACGTCGTCGTCGTTTGCAATCCAGCTTTTGGTAAGAAAAAAAAAATTGAAAGCTTTTCACGGTTTTGAAAAAAAAGATCAAAATTCAGAACAGTAAACTTTTATAGACTTTTTTATAAATTAAATTAGAGCGCTCCAGCGAATTTTCCATCTGATTATCTCATTACGGGCGTTTTTGAACCTTATTTTAGAACGAGATTTTCAACAATGCCTGAAAGGTCATTGAAAATCAAGAAAACTCACTTTTGGGTCTGATTTTCGAAATGTCAACAGATTTATTGAAGTTCCTTGTAAGTCTCCTCTCAAACTGGTTATATATTAGAACCAATGATGAATCAATTTTTAAAATTTTTTATCTTTGATAAATTTTTCCAGCCCCGCCCCCAGTCGTTTACCGGACTGGATCGGCCATTGCTTTGCTAGCGAATTTAGCTGTTGTTGGCCTCTCTGTTGGTTCAGTATCATTCATGGTCAGGAAAAGTTAGTTTTCTCTTTGAAAACTTCTTCGAGTTGCAACTTGAATCTACTTTCATAGTTCATTTCATTGCCATTTTCATCGAGGATATAAGCTTTATCGATTTTATCCGAATTTTCAGTTCTCAGTTTAGTAATTTGTCGAATTCGCTCGAACTTGAAGATTAAAAAAGAAATTTACATCAAATTTACATCTTTTAAACGGAGTTGACCTCACTGAAACTCTATGAAAGTGGGAAGTCCAAAAATGAATTATTTTATTCCTTTTCTTATCTGAATTTTTTTTAATGGTGTATTGTAGGATAAGATTTTCCTTTGTTAGGAATAATGAGATAATTGAAATATTAACTATTGAAAAGTATAAAAAAATTCCTAGAAGAGAATAAAAAAGAAAAAAAAGAAAGCATGTACAAATCGCAGCTGTTTCTAGTGTTTTTCGATATTTCTTGTTGATGTGCTCTATAGCAAACTTCTAGGTAAGGAGATTCGGGGCCGAAGAAAGACAAGCTCCAGATTTGATAGCACCATCTCTCTTAGATCCGTCGATGAGCATTTCAAGGTATTTTCTGTCCAAAATAGCTTTCTGAAGTTTCCAAAGGTGCATTCAGGGCTGAATCGACTTGCAAAAAATTTTTTTTTCGTCAAAACTTTTATGAACTTTTCCTGTGATCCCCAAAATCCTCAGAAAGCTCTTCAAACGTTTATTTTATGAATCAAAATCACGAAATTGAATTATTGAGATGTTGCGATCGGCAACGATTCTGATTGGGGTCTTCATTTGCTCCTGGCTGGTTTCAACCGTCGTTTTCAACTTCATGACTTCTTATTTCCCTGAAACGACGGCGGAACGATACGAGAAATATTTGGTAATATTTTTAAAAGTAAACACGAAAGTTTACTATTCGGCTCAAGATTATTTTTATTTATTAATCTTCACAAAGTTTTTTGAAATAACTATATTCAGATCGTCATCGTGATGCCAACCTACTGCCAAACCTACTATGTGACTTATTTCCGATCAGCGAGGTATCGAAACGCTTTCCGACAGCAAATAAGATGGATGACATGCCGGAAACCATTGGAAGCTAGAAGAAGAAGCACCCGAAACGATCAGCCCCCGGAATCTCTCACATTTTGATTTTGATGTTTTTTTCAACAGGTTTTCCTTTTTTCACTTTTATCCGTTGATCTCTGGCTGAATTCGTTCACTTTTTTTTGGTCAGTAATGGCGTTTTTTGAAAGAACTAATGTAGACATTGGTTTATTAAAATTTGAAAAAGTTTCAAGTGGAGGAAGCGATGAAGAATAAGTCCAGATGAGTACGGGAACTTTCGACACCGCTAACATAGTTCAGAGAGACTGTCAGGAATCATTCGTCGTTCAAAGCAGAATCCTAGCTTTTCAAACTGGTCAACTTGTGTCAGTATGAATTGAGGAGTTTTGAAACTCGTCTTCGGCCATAATTATCCGAGACAATGGCTCAAGAAGACCATGCGCCAAAAAATATTGATAAGAAAATTTACTGATGGGCTTCTACGCACGTATTCTTGCTCGAGGACGCCAGCCCCAACAAATAAAAATTGACTCGAACTCTGTGGGGACGTTTTATGAGCCGAATGTTCATTGACAGGGATTTCGCAGATAATTTCATCTGTCATCTACGGCAGAGGACCATCGAAGTGAATCAACAGTGGAGGAACTTGTCGAGATGATCTACCAATAACTGAATGACAAACTCGGCGGTCACCCAGATTCAAAAGGTCAGCTCTTGGAAGGCCCCTGGTCCGGTTCATTCAAGGATCAGCAAGGTTTCCAGGCCAGCTCGCCAAACGAAGAACTGTCATAGATTCTTAAGATTTTGTATCTGCGGGAAAAGTATGCCATCCATCGCTCGTCTCGTCGTCACTCAAGTTGTTGACTGCAACGATTGCAAACCTGCTGTATTCTACGATACATCCCAGCGAGCCCTGAGGAAGGCAGAATGGAATGTACGCCCAAATAATTGACGAGGGAGTTTTTCGGGACAAAAGACGTTTCGGAAAGCAAAGGAAACCTCTCTATGTTCGATGGATTGCTTACTCAAAAGCGTATGACTCGACTCCTCATGACTTGTTGGAATGGGTCTTAATGGCCATTTAAGTACATCAAGTTTCGAGTCGGCTGCGTCTTGAAGCTTGAGCCATTTCACAGGTTCGTATGTTTCTATACATTCAAAACACAAAATAGTTGGTTGAAAAGTTTATCTCATCAGTTAAAACCCGTTGCATGGAAATATAGAAATGTTAACGACAGGAAAATCCACCAGAAAAAGAACAAAGCAAAAAAGAAAGAGTCGATCTGAAGATCATGAGCAAATTTTACCAAGCAAAGACGAATGAATGAGAGAAATGAAGGCATGAAAAAAGAGTTCGGAAGTGGAGAGGGGAAAGCTAGACCTCGAGCTTTTTGGTTCACTTAACCATGTGCGAGTTACGTTTTGACCGGAGTTGTACCTTCACGACATAAACATTCTCAGAGATAAAAGTTTTTGAAATACGTTTTCACGTAGACTTGGAATTGACAACTAACTACTGGTAAAGCTTTGAACTCGCGTTTAGTTTTTCTGCGAGATTTTGATATGTTATCGATTTTTTTTTCTCTTGATCTCAGTTCCAGTTGAAACGCTGCTAAGGGATGATTTGAACTTAAAGTAGGTTATCGGTTCAGCACCCGAACTATTTCAAAATGGAGATTTTTATCATTTCTTTCGTGCAAACGTCGTGGCCAGTGCAGTGAAATCAAGCCAGTTGGTCGCAAAATCTTTCTACGACCAGAGAAAATTATCCAGCTTTCCACACAATCAAGATTTTCTTTTTTTTTCTCACACTGTTTCAGTTCAAACGTCGTCGTCATTAGAGTCCTCTGTCGCCTTGTCGTTTCTGATGATACAGGCGTTTCCATCTTTCTCGTTCTGCTCCACGAGCAGCACCGTTCCCAAGGTGAAGAGCAACGGATACTGCGTTTTCTGTTCCTCAGTCGGGACGTCTTCTTCGTCATCCACGTCCATCTTATCGTCCTCCCGGTCGGCGTTGCTCATTCCGACGGATGGTGTTCGACTGTAACCCTGGAAATTGGTTTTTTGTTGAGTTGTATTAGGTTTTGAAGCAATCTAGTTAGTCGTCCAAAATACACAAAAAAAAAAGCTTTGTAAAAAACCAACTTTGTAATACGGGGACGTCGTAAGAGCCCTCTTGAACTGCGTGACGAACTCTTTTTTCAAGTTTGGCTGACATGTGACATATATCGGTAACCTCAGTGTTCCTGTGAAGATTGTCAGCAGTGAAACCTGGAAAATTTTTTATATAGTAGTTCCCAGATTGTCTTGTTATTTTTTTTTTTGCAAGAAAACCCGTAATCTAATGCGCATTTTGCTAGATCTGTGTTTTTTCCGATTTTAAAACGTTTTGAAGCGAATTTTGTGTTTACGGTAGCTTTTTTTTGCTGCATTCTAAAACGCGACCGTCCGGCGACAAATAAACTATGTGGAAACGAACCACATCCACGGCGCACGTGTAAAAGTTGTTGAATTCGAAGGCGATCTGCTCGTAGTCAATGTATTCCCAGAGGATGATGACGACGTTGAGAACATTCGACAGGAGGTAAGTGAACACAACGAAGACCAATGTTCGGGTGGCGTTCCTGACGCGGGCTTTCCGCTTCGCGTCGCTCAGCTTGTTCGAATGCAGGTATTCGAACTCGCTCCGGCTGATGATGCTCACGATCCTGATGTTGATCAAGGCGAGCAAGGAGAATGGGATGAAGTTTGTGAAGACCGCGCGGAATCTGTAGAAGAAATAACGATGAGATAGTTGGTATTGTTCAGCTTCAAAACAGAGGGTAATTTTATTGTTATTTTTAGGAAAGGACTAGAACGAAATTTGAAACATTTTTTATGAAGCACAAGTTCGTTTCATGTTCTACGATCTAAAAGATCTCGAGTTTTGCATAAATTGGGTTGTCTCAAAATTGTGAAATAGCGAAGAAGTTGATCCGAACATTCTGGAATAACTAACATGACACGCCAGTAATCGTAGATGGGGTCTTTCGTGAGTTCCGATGCCTCGATTATGTATTCCTTCATAGTTCCGTAGCATTTCGGCTCATAGCTCACCTGGATTTGAGCTTTTTATCTTGTGATTTCGTTTAGAACTTACGGTAATCTCAAGAGCCTGGGTGAATTTACAAACGATTCCCATTACAACGCTAGAGGCGGCTATCGTCATCCGATGCTTTTGAAGCCATTTGGTCTTTCTGCCGTTGGGTTGGACGGTTATGAAGTAGCGCTCCAGCGATGCCGCCACCATCAAAAAAGAGGAAGCGGTCATAGCGATGTGCGACATCGTGATCATTGGCAACACGTAGGTGAACCTGTAATCAACTGCGATTTGAAGAGTGGTAAAATAGGAAAAGTGCATAGTGGGAAGTTTCGTGGTTCTGGACTTCTCTTTAAGAGGGCTCTTCTTGATTGTAAAAAAAGCTCTTGTTGATTTCAAGAAAATCAGTTTTTCTCGAGAATTTCTCAAAAGCTTTAACTCAAAATACGAAATAATTCTAGGGACCTTATTTGAGCCAATTTGCTTCCTGAAATATTGGTTGAATGGATCCTAAGAAAGGAGCGGCAAAAAAAAAATTATTCAAAAAAATCTGTAGAAGGAATTTTTTTTTTGGTATATTTCCTTACGATAACTTTCTTTCAGTCATAATATCTTTATAGTTGATTTCAATAGTTTTATTTTTTCTGAGAGATGAAGCAATGAAAAGTGGAGTGACAGCTAGAGAAGCCGATAACTATTGATGTCAATGGAACCTAGGATCTACTTCGGAATAATCAGAGAAACAGAATGTCACGAGAAAACAAGAAACCGCTTGAATGATCCTCACTTACCACGCTCGGAGCAGCACTACTGACTGAAAATAATCAGTGGCGAGGTTGAGACTCATCAGTGGGATGTAGGCGACAGCCATCCAGACGTCGAAAAAGGCCAAAAGCGCCAGGTACAACATGTGGGAGGATCGGTGCGATTTCCTGGATATCCAGAAGGTGTTACAAAGAAATAAGATCATGAAAAACTTTTTGAAGAGCATGAAAGAGAGGAAAGCATTCTCGAGGATGTTGATGACTGCCACGGTCGTGCCGAAAACGGCAACCAGATAGAATCGCTCCTTCACGTAGACTGGACTCACGAAATCGCAGTCGGGCTGAGGGCCGTCTGGAAAAGAAGTTGAAAGAGAAAACAAAGTGCAAGACTTACCTATTGGAAGAGAAGAACCGTTCGGATCCATATTGAGGAAGAAATCGTATTCACACTAGTTTCATATTGATCAGATTGGCCTGTAACAGAAGATACAAGGTTAATGGAACTTTTTTTAAATTTCGAATATAAAAAAAGGCGCGCTGCCGAACTTGAACATATGCGATGATGAACTTATTGGTTAAAAAAATTTCGTATTTTTTTGCTTTTCAGGTTAGTTCATACTTGGTACAATTTTGAAGCTTCACTTTCTATAAATGAGTCAAAAAAACCGAAAAAAAATTTATCCCTCATAAACAAGCGGTACAAAAAAATGTTATGAAAAAAATAATTAAAAAAATTCGAGAGTTTTTTTAAGGTGAAATGTTAAGAAAAAAAGATTAGGAAAGGTGAAAAATTGAATATCAAGGTTTTCTTCAAGTTTCTGAACTTCAAAATAAAAATTTGATTCGGACTTTTTATTTTTGAAGTTCAAAGTATAAAAGAATGAAAACGCTTCCGAAAGCTCTTCATTTTTTTTTCCACAGAAATTCGAGAAAGACTAATTTTAATTTTTTAAGAGCTTTCAAATTTAATTTAGAAAAAAAAAGAGTTTCTTTTTTTCTACCAAATTAACCTCGGAAAAACAAGTTTGAGAAAAATTCGTTGTTAGATTTCAAGTTTCGAAAATGTGTTTAAGCGTGTGAAAATCGAAATAAGAAGGTAGTTTCCATTAATTGATAAGTTTGCAAATCAGAGCTCAGATATGTGAAGGGGAGATTTATGGGTAAAATAGTTTGACATTTCTTGAGCTTTTTCAAAAATAAAACGGAGCTTTTTGTAGCAGTTCTTTCGAGTTTGAATTCAAGGCGTAGTTTGGGGATAAACTTGAAGAATCAAAAGGCTGGAGGAAAGTTGTCGAATGGAATGTAAAGGCAATTTCAAAACAACATCTTTCGAGAGCATGGAAAACTGCAAAAAGTGGCGTAAAAGAACGGCAGCGCGTGGGCACCACACCACCAGAAATCGGCAGGAAAGAAAAAAATGTTCCATGTGGGTCAAGCTTTTGATGTTTGTCTGGATGCCGGGAAATGGATGAATAAACAACCGACATATGAAAAGGAACAATGAGCCGGAAAGTGATGGATATCAATCAGAATTCGGCTTGGAATTCAACGAATTCACATTTGAAAAAATGTTGTCGAGCATCGGAAAACTGAATTCCCTCCAGCGGATCCATCCACAGGTGCTCGGCTAGGTCCTAACCGAATTTGGGAATTCTATCCATCCAAGAGAGTCCCGAAACTCTTTCTCGAAACCGTGTTTCGATAATATTATTGCCTTTTTCCAGAAGCTGGCGAAATTTTGGTGGTAATGGATCTGAGGAAAAGTGGGCATCTGAAATATTGGATAAGCGAAAAATAGAGTTCAAGAAGGGTTGGCCCGGTTTTGAAGTTTGAAAAATGGTCAGAATGTTTTTTAGAAGAAAGACTTGAAAAATCGAAAATAATTGTTTTTTTTTTCTTCGAATGAAAGTTTTTCTTTTTTGACGGGTGCGTCTTGAAGCAGCCGATACTCGCCAAATCATCCAAATTCCTATCTTTGACGACTGAATTTTAGATAAAAACTTGGGGATTCATTCAAGTTAAAATTTAATTTTTATACGAATCCCTCTGAAAATCTTTAGTTATCTTGTAGTCGAATTCATATAATCACGTTCTTTGAGGTGAAAAAAACGTCCCGAAATAAAATGAGTAGTTAAAACGAAAAAAATTGAAAAAAAGAAAAAAATCAGATATTTTTTTATTTTTTTAAAAAAAGTCCTCGCAAGATATCGATTTGGTCATTACTTTTTTTGTTTTTTTCATATTCTTTAAAAACTGAAATCGGAGACCGGCTGGTGAGTCGCGCTTCGCTCACAATTTAAAACAAAAAAACGAAAAAAATTGAATAAAAATTAGAGAATATTGTGAAAAAAATAGTATCTAAGCCAATATTTGTCAAGTTTTAAAGCACTTTTCTGCCCTAATAGAATATTTTAGTCTTCTCGAGTAAATTAAACTTTTAGCTATCTCTCGAATCAAATGAAAAAATCTATTTGAAAAAAAATAATTCATTTAACTTCGAGAAAACTTCTAATTAAATCCGAGGAAGTGTAATAAATTTTGAGAACAACTGATTGATGTAGAAGCTGTGGAGGTCTCTGAGAACTACGCAATTGGATTTTGGCCTGCGAAAGAGGGGGAAGGTCCAATTGAAAGGAGGAGGCTCGAAATTGAAACCTTATTTCCTTCCGTTCTCAAGCAAGATGATAGGAGGAGGACTGTGACTTTTTTAGCCAAGCATTCAAAGTTCAGTCTAGAACGTGGGAAGCGAAGAAAATGTAAATTTCGAGGTGAAAAAAAAAAGAAGAAAGAAGGGAAGGAAAGAATGGCTTTTTCTTGATCAAGCATTCAAAGATCAGCTTCAAATGAAGCAAATGAGAAAAAATAAAACTCCCAGATAAGAAAAATGAAACAGATAAATTTAAGAAAATCATTGTTACTTTGAGATATAAGCCAAGTTTTCAAAGTGAACTTGAGGCCAAAGAATGAAAATTAAGAAGTAAATTTTTGAAAATATGAGCAAAACAGAAGGAAAAAAATGACCATAACTCTTGAGCTAAGAATTGAGATTTCAGATAAGGAATCTGAAAGAAAAAAGTGGATTTTGAAGAAAAAAAAAGAGCAAAACAGAAGGAAACAAAACGAACACACGCAATAGTCCCATATGGGGTTTCGTTTCTTTCAGTTTTTGGCTTCCTTAAAAGGGCCAAAAATGTGTCGGAGACTTCTCATGTTTTATTCCTCACATCTAGTTCTTGATCAGTCAGGGCGCTAAATTTATCTCTGAACGAGGTTTCCCCAGAAACGTTTGAATAAATAAGATGTTAAGGTAGCGATGAAAGGACCCTACTTCATTAACAACGAGTTGAAATTGTATGGCCGCATGTAGAATGGGTTAAAGCGATGCAGTAAGTAGTCGGCTTGAAACTCTACAGTTGTGTTGGACCCTTTCCTCTGTCTCTGCGCGGAAGCCGTTTCGGGTCTAACTGATCTGTAGCTCTTACGCATCTAGCCATTCCAAATGCAGCTATTGGCTTTGGAAAGTCATTAGAAGGAGCTTCTGATTTATCAATAGTTGAATTAAAGTACGTTAATTGATTAACTTAAGATAATGCAAAAAAACTTGAAGTGTAAGTTGTATGACTTTTTGGACGCAAAATTAATCGAAAATTCAATCAGAATATAATTTAGCTAGAAGTTTCGGAAAAAAACAGTATTATTCAAAATTCGAAAACACAGAAGAGATAATTATTATCGATCAAAATAATGTTAACAAAATATCAGAATATATTGATACCCGACGAGATATTCATGATGAAGTATAGGTGAAACTCAATCCCTTGAAGAAGATTACGTTTCAGGTTGTTGGGAAAGATTTAAAAAAAAAAGAATACGTGTTTTTCGGTGTCAGTTGGAACTGAATTGATATTTGAACAGAGAAAATGTCTTACGGAAGCAGGAAGCTGTGAACTTTTACCACAATTTTCTCCTATTCAAAGAGTTGAGGGAAGAAAATGGAAATAGGGAAAGGTCAACTTTTTCGACAATTTTCTTTCATTTAAACGTCGAATTTACGAGATTCTCAGAAGTATTGATGCAACTTGAACAAGATAAAACGATTCTTGGTTGATTTTTTCGTTCATTCTCAAAATTACGGTGCTGTTTGTGAATAATAGGCGGCTCGAACCATCAAAACACGGAAAAATGCTTCAAAACTTAAAAGTATATACGGAAAAGGAAGCATAAGGGTCAAAGCCGACGTGAGCGATTATTCAAAAAGCGGAAATTCGTGCGGACAACGGCGGCTTGACCGCTGCGAGTGACTTCGGCTCTGAGGCAGGCTAGGCCTTGGAAAAGAAGGACGTGATTCCGGCTGAACGCTCTTTTCGAGACATTTTTCCTCCCCTTGGGGCATTTTGGTTTGAAGTGTGGACCGCCTTCCAGCTTACTCATAATTTTGACATTGTTGGAAAATCGAGCAATACTTTTTGATACGATTGATGGGAAAAGCGTGCAGTTTGCATCTTCGTCCCCATAAGGAAGTTGTAAGCTTGGAAGTTTGTAGTCAACTTCAGTTTATAGTTTGGAAAGGCAACTGAGAAGCTAAAATTATACGTTTGACTACTTAAAAACAAGCTAGAAGGAAAAAAATTTCAAAAGGATGCATTTACGAAATTCATAAAATTTCTGTTCTTTTTAAAAATTTTCAAAAAAATAAATAATTTTACCAGAAAAATATTATCGAATATTTGAATATTTTTTCAGGCGGGAAACCACTTGAATTTGTGCTCTACGGATAAAGGCCGCGCGAAGATCGCAATTGCACTACGGATGAGAAAAAAGTGAGATTTTTCGGAAAATATGATTTTAAATTTATTTTTTTACATTCACGCTAAAAATTGCTGAGCTCATAAAGTTATTTGAAACCGAATTTTCACTAAAAAAGAAAGATCTTTATTTCAAAATCGCAACAAAAAAAAAACTATTGAAGAACGAGTACTGACATATAATCAGTGTAAGAGATCTCGAAAATCATTAACTTGGCGGCTGAAAGACTAAAAGAACAGCTGAAGATTAGTACAATTAATTAGAAAAGGATGGGAAAGGAAACCTTAATAGAAACCTTGACAGAAGAAACGATTTCCGATCATTTAAATGTTTCAGAAAACTGTAAATTATTAGAAGAACAATAAGAGAAAAAACTTGAACGGATATGGAAGATGAATTGCGGGGTTTTTCAAATTTGATAGTTTCCTTAATTTTTTGAAGGTTATTACAGAAAAAAGGGATAAAATAAAAAAAAAAAACTTAAGTATAAGAAAACTTTTTTTTGAAGTTAACGCCATAGATTAGAAGGTTTTAGGTTTCTGGAAAATTCGATAGATTTCCTAGACTTTATGGAAGCTCCGGGCAAAAGCTTGGCCAGAAACGAAGACCTCACAAACTT